CTTGTTCACCTAACCTAAAACAAATTGTATTGACTATAATCAAATGCTTGCTAACCTGAGACAAAAAAAAACGATAAGGCGAAGTTTCAAAGATCACAACAAACTAAACCTGACAGGCCATTCATATAAGATTAGATCTATATAGCACAGCGGAATGAATTGCTTCTCACTGATTTCCTACATCGATAGTAACACTCTGAATCCCGAAAGCACTCGATTGCAATCCCTGTAACACCCAATCAAACATGCTTAAATCTTGGTTGGTGTTGATGGCAGGTCAAGAGGAGTACCCGAGGGTACCACTGGCGAATCGCTGCGAGCAAAGCGTTGAGCAAGCTCAGCCGACATACGAGCTGTAGGTTTATGTTGAGCTGCCCCGGCGAGCTCAACAAACTTGCGTTGCTTTACGGAGAGAATGGAGTACGCCATATCAATCCTGGGGGTCTCCACGGAGAATTCTCGTGCACGCTGAACTATAGAGCCCACGATGCACTATATTTAAATCAATATGACTCTTTCTAGCCGTAAGGCACACTCACCTGCAACTCCATTGGACGATTATTGTCGTGGTCTACGAGCATAGAGGGCTTGAAAGCGGCTCTTCCGGCTGCTGCCTCTTCACTTTCTCCTATCCGTTGCTCGTTCGCGTGTTGGATACCTCCAAATTGGCTCAAAGTTAGTGACAACTGCTCGTCGACAGCAGTAGCAGGTAATTCTGTGCAATATGAGACGGTAGAGAAGTAACATTGACCTACTTACTGTCTTCATTAATGTCCATACTGCGGGCAACGAAGAGAATCTCAAGCATTGTTCTCCTCGCGATCGGGATAACATTATTTACATTCTCATCACGCATAAGAACAGACATTGGCTCGCCTGCTAATGTAGCTAAACTACTGAAGGTTGCATTCCACAAGTTCTTTTTCCATCTCACTGGTTGGATATCCGAAACAGGTAAGGTATTCGAATTACCGGCATGCAATAACTTGACTAGGTCTTCAAGCAGCCTGTCTGCATCCGCTTCTGGCATCTTTGAGGTTACCATTTGATGATTAGGTCCACGCTTCTCTCCCTTAAATCTACCAACGACGAGCAGTTCCTGATACTGTAAGCAGAAGTGAGAGTGTGCCCATCATACTCACAAGATCATTGTGCACGACTCTGCGAGATTCCTTTAGGTTTGCGCCAACCCAGATCGCAGCACTGATTATTGTCGCATGGGGGACAAGCTCTTGGAGAGGTTCTTCGATCCCTATTCCGTTTTGTAGCAGCACAAAGCAGTTTGAGCGATGTAAGCAAGGTCCCAAGATATCCTGTGTCGGGGTAACATCAGGGAGGTGTTTATATGTGCATAGAATGAATTTGTAGTCCCTATCTGCCGCTTGATGTACGTCGTGGAGCACTCTATAAGGTTGCCATGAGTGCTTGCCGAATTTGGCCGACTCAATCTGCACGCCCTGTTCTTGGACTGTTTTGTAGTTTGATCTGGCGACTGCGGTGACTCGAACGCCTTTAGACTGTTCAAGCAGCCATCCGTATAGAGCACCAACAGCTCCAAAACCAACGAGCAGTACATCCTGTCGATTGTCCGCGGTTTCTGTCATGGTGGTATTGCGATAAGATTCAGATTGGAATGAGATATAATTAGGCTCCGAACCAGGAAAAGTCTTACTGCAGCACTTTCTCAGTACAGTTCCGCAAGGGTAATTTCCAATAAACAAAACCACACTTGTAAATAGAGCATTGCGGCTATGCACTTTCTATTTCAACTTGGTGGTACTAAAACGCGTTAAATAATAACAATATTTACAACAACTGGTAGGGCCTTCTTTGTTCTTATCTACACGTAACTTAGAAGTCTTCGTCGTCAGAGAAATCAATATAAGTGGGCACTGCCTTTTGTGTTTGAGAGCGTCCAGACTTAGCGCGTGGCGCGACTGAGGCTGGTTGGTCATCCCCTCCAACGCCAAAGTCGTCCTCAGAGGCAGCAGAGCTCTTCTTACTCTTGCTAGCTGGCTTCTCGTCTTCTGATCTAGGTGTAGTGTTAGAGAAGTGGGTTGTGAATATGAAACTCACTCCTCACTAGCACCCTGCTGCTTCTTAGCGGGAGCCTTCGATGGTCCTTTTGCTGCTGCCTTGGTCTTGGTCGTCCTCTTGGTCGTCTTCCTTTCTGGACTTGCAGAGTCCTCACCCTTGACAGACGCTTGGCGCTTAGCAGGTGGTGATTCACTGTGTATGATTATTAGTTGAAATACCTCACCTCCCTCCACCAATCACAACTCACTCGTCACTTTCGATCTTGTGCTTCTTAGCTGGTGTCTTCTTAGTGGGCTTGCTAGTCGACTTGCTCGTGACCTCAATGTCATCGTCAACCTCCTTCTCCTTCTTTGGCTGCGTCTTTTTCTTTGGACTGGCCTTCTTGCGTTTTGGAGCAGCAGCTGAAAAGTCGTCATCTTCGTCATCACTATCGCCACGCTTCTTCTTGATAGCTTTCTGTACACGCCTTGCTGTCGCACCTTTGTTCTTCGTCTTGTTTGCGACTCTATCAGCAGCCTCTGCATCCTTCTCGATCAGATCATTCCACTCTTCCATGAAGCGATCAAGATCGTTATCCCAAAGATGCTGGGGCATCATCTTTGCCAGATCGTTGAGCTCAGTCTCCTTGGCATCGCGTTGTTTGAGGAGTTGCTCCATCTGGTAGCGCATTAATAGAGCACGTCACACAAAAAACCCACTCACTCTCTCCATTGTCAAGCTAGAAATCTGCATGCTGAGCAAGTAATCAAAGTCGCTCGCTCCGCCCTCGTTCTCCTCTTCCTCCTCTTCCTGGCCGATAATCTCAACCTCACCAGGTCTCTTCTTCTCCCTTTGTTTAGGGAAGGGCGTAAACTTCTTGGCGCGGAGCTCTGCAACAACATCCTTCCGTTTGCGGTTAGAAACGATGAGTTCACGCTCGACAATCATCTTGATGAAGCGAGCTTGGTTGGAGAGTCGATCGAATGCCACACCGAGCTCGTGCATCTGGTAGTCCTTTCTCAGCTGATAGTACTTGAGGCGGATGTAGAAGAACTCCTCGAGTATCTCTTCAGGGTTGGCATACTTCCTTATCTTGCCCTCGGACGTGAAACAGACAATGTTCGAGGTCGCTATCGAGCCGTTGAGCTTAAAGTACTCATGCAGGCCCTTCTCAAGCGCAGTCTTCATCTGTTTCTGGTCGAGCGTGACGATAAATTCGACAGTCGTCGTCGTGTCGTGCTCCTCGTAGTCCTTGATCAGAGGTGCTGTCTTCTCATTTCCTTGAGCCCACAGCTTCAGCTTCTCCTCCTTATAGGGAACCGTCCATACTCGCACAGGAAGCTCAGTGATACGAACCTTGAAATCGTCAATGTGCTCAATGATACCTTGGTTTTTGAATCTGTCCGTTGTGTTTGGCATCTGCTCAATGTTACCTGTGAAGCCGCGATACCATGGAATCATAGGTTGCATCTCCTGATTGTTGAGCTTGCGGCGGATGTTGGCAACGAGGTCTGCTGGGTTGTAGTTGGGAATGGTGGTCGACCATCCCGTACCGATACCGTCGGCGCCGTTAACAAGGACCATTGGAATTATGGGCACGTACCACTCCGGCTCGATCCACTCATCATCTTCTTTGAGGTAAGTGAGGATAGGGTCGTCGTTGGGGTGGAAAACAGTACGCGTGATGCGTGGAATTGCAGTGAAAATATAACGTGCAGCAGCCGAATCCTTACCGCCCTCTCTACGCGAACCGAATTGACCATTTGGTGAGAGGATGTTGAGGTTGTTCGAACCAACGTAGCTCTGTGCCATACCGACAATAGTTTGAATGAGAGACTGCTCACCGTGGTGGTATGAAGTATTTTCAGCAACAGACATACCCAGCTGAGCGACCTTGATTTCGCTTTTCAAGTTTCTTTTGATTGTACCATAAAGAACCTTTCGCTGACCAGGCTTGAAACCATCAACCATTGAAGGTATAGAACGTGCATTGTCTGCCATCGAGAAGAGAATAAGTTCTTTGTTGACAAAGTCTTTATAAGTGATCTCATCGATGTCATGGTCCAGGTAAGTACCAGGCTGTAGGTTGCATTAGTGTGGCATGAAGAAGACAGTACAAACACCCACAGTGTACCCTCTTAGCCACTCCTTACGGTCCTCCGTACGCTTCTTGTTGAAAGCCATATCAATGAGCTCACGATCACCGTCTTGAGTGGAGGTAAAAGGAATACGGTGACGTTCGAGTGCTTTGAAGTACTGGCGAGCCTCCTCGTCGGACGAGGTACCCAAACCCTTGTAATACTTCAGTCTCCAACCACGACCATCATCGTTTTGGGCCTTCCAATTTTCAAACTCGGGGACGGTGAAAAAGCTCACTTCTTGGTTCCGCTTGAACACTTTGATGATTGGAGTGATAAACTCGACAAGGAAGTTAGGGATTTTTAAGAGTGATGGATAGAAAGTATCAAAGTAGTTGATGAGCAGGCCCTTTATATGGGAACCGTCGTGGTCTTGATCAGTCATAATCATGATACTACCGTAACGCAGCTCCGTAATGGAAGAGTACTCTTTCTTGTGAGCCAAACCAATGATGCTCTTGATGGCCGTCAGCTCTGCGTTATTCATGATGCTAGAGTGGGAGGCATCTCTGACGTTGAGGAGCTTACCACGGAGTGGAAAAACACCGTAATAGTCTCTACCGACGACCTGAGAGCCAGACATTGCGAGTGTCTTGGCAGACAGACCTTCTGTGAGAATTAAAGTGCACTTATGACCTTCTCTTCCACCCGCCTTGTTGGCTTCTTCGTAATCTTTGATGGAGATTTTTGATTTCTTAGTCTTGGTATCGCCCTTTGCCAATTGACGATCAGCGTCGAATTTTGCCCAGTCAAGTATACTCTCAACGATACCAGACTTTGATACTTTCTTATGAAACTCCTCAGAGAGTGGACACTTTGAACCGAATTGTGTGGCTTTAAGAGTGAGCGTCTCTTTAGTTTGAGAGTCGAAAGCAGGATTTTCAATCATAGAATTGACAAAAATCCACATCTGATTCTTCATCTTACCAGCAGTGACGTTAGAGCCCTTGTTTTTCTTTTTGACAATGTCGGCGAGCTTGCTTGCGATTTGATTGGTGACGTGATCGACGTGAGTACCACCTTTAGTTGTAGCGATAGAATTGACAAATGAGACCTCCCGGAAAACACCATCACTAAGTGCGAATGCCACCTCCCAGCGATCATTGACGCGCTCATGAATGATAGTTGGCTTTTTTGTGGAGGCTTCACCCTCATTACCTTGGGAGGATGCGACATACATTTCAACGTACTGCTTAAAGTTGCGGATAGGCAGGCGGGTACCGTTTAAGTAAACCTTGACACCTGGAAGACAACCGGCCATATCGTAGACTCTCTTTGTCATGAGAGCGCACATGTCATCAGAGATTTTGTCCATACCGAAGCGAGCGAGATCTGGTTTGAAGGTGATTCTGGTGTATTCCTCACCTCTGCTGTTGCTTGTGATTTTAGGGGACTCCCTGTCGCTCATATTTTTGCGGAAAGTTTGCTTGAACTAGGTTTGTGGATTAGATGAGAGCTTGGAATGAGATGTAAAACGTACTTTCTTTCCACTTTCACTGTCTGCTGTCTCAACGGTGAACTCCGTGGAGTAGATGTTTGTGAGCTTTGCACCGAAACCGTTACGACCGCCGGTTAGTTTCTTGTCGTCGTCATCATAATTTGATGAAGTCAGAAGCGAACCAAAGATAAGCTCAGGTATGAATATTTTCTCTTTTGAGTGGATTTCAACAGGAATACCTTTACCGTTGTTTTGAATCATAATTTTGTTATCTTCCCTGTCGATTTCAACTTTAAGTAGATCCATTCTTGGGTCACGTGTCTTGTTATCTGCAGCATTGACGAGAATTTCATCCATAATTTTGTATAAACCGGGTACTATTGAGATGTCTTTCTCGATGAGATTTTTATTTTCATCGTCAAAGACCCAGTGGTGATCTTCGTGGGACATACAGCTACCGATGTACCTGAGGGGGGGTTTAGAGAGTGGAAATTGCACCAACGCTGTTACCACATACATATCAGGTCTTTTAAGAACGTGTTCAAGTTGTGAGAGCTTGAGTGCGGGATGAGAAGGGAAAAGGGAGGGTGTATGTCCAACACACCTTCTGGTAAGTCTCTGAGGCAGATTTCTGCTTGGTGGAGCCTCCTCGTGGTTGGATGCTGTGAACGCCATCATCATCGTCATTATCACTTGCGTCGTCGTCGTCATTCTGAGGAGCCTTTGACTTTGATTTTGATTTTGTCGAACTGGATTTCTTTGGCGGTGGCATATCAACATCGCTGCCATCAGAAATCTCGAAATCGTCTTGCTCAGATTCACTCGGAGCTTTCTTGTTGAAGCTGAGTTTTGTCTGCTTTGGTGGCATGTAAAAGTTTCTTAAGTGGAATTTAAATTTATTGGATTGGCTGTTGAAGGGGAATGTAGATTTTGATATCCTCAGCAATCCACAAACTCGATTAATCGTGTTGGGTAATCGCTGTCGTAACGCAAGAGAAGCGCTTTTTATCGTTTGAAATTAATGTTATTTTTTCAACAAAATACAAATCTAATGTCTACTTTCTATCAATGAACAAGCTGCTGATCCTATTTGTTTGCGTATATCTTGGTGATCAACGTCGTGAGCTGTTTGGCGTGGTTAGACGCGTATTTTACGCGTTGTACGCGGTTATTTTGGTGTGATAAAACTTACAATCTTCAACTTCACCCCAGCGAGCGATTTGGGATTTAACTTCGACGTGTGCTGCTTGTGAAGCCTGATCGATGCTCAAATGACGATCAATGACGGCCAATCCAATTAAGAATGACTTTGTGTGCATAACTATTCTCTCAAATGCTGTAAATTTAATGAGTGAATATTATTAAATGTAATAAGTCAATGCCTACCTGCCAAAGTGAATTGATCAAACTGTTTAATCTCATTGAGAAGACGTTGACGTGATTCTTGTGGCTGCTTGCAAACAATAACATTCTCAAATACCTTTATAGGGGTGTTATAACGCTTACTAGCCCATTCAATCAAAGGTCTCCAGTGTTTCTCTTGTAATTGAACCAATTGAACAGGTTCATCTTGGAAGAAAGACACTGCGTCAGTTTCAAAGTATTTAATGAGGTCATTGCACGTATTTTCCATTTCATTTTCACATTTAAATGAATCTAAAGCCCTTGAAGCGAGTGAGGTTATTGGAAGTGCGTGTGGCTTTATCAGCTTATCCTGAGACTGCCATTCATGAGCAATGAGAAGGGCTAAAGCTGCCTTGTTCTGTGGAAGATCCAATACATTTCCAGCAGGTGTTCTCAATTTACGTTGATCGAGGTGTACAATCTGTCTTCCTTCTACGCACTTAACTGATGCATTCTTCCAAAATCTTTTCAAATTAGATTCAGCAGCTAATTGGGGTTAGTGGGTTGTACTCAAGTTCAAACAAAATCCACTGACTCGCTGCTTGTGATTTGGTTGCAGCCGATGTGAGCGACTCAGCGGCTGCAGCGAGTGAAGAATTAAATCTAGTTAATCTGCCAACCCCATATAGTCCATTTGTATTTCTAATTCCCTTTAAATTTATCAAATTCATTTTTATCAATCACCGCGTATCTCCCTTGAGGAAGGCGGGAAACCATTTTCGTCTTTTACTGTCAGCTCATAAATGATCCAAATTATCGCTGCAGCCGTGGCGATCATCTTGGCAGCTTATCTGCTTAAAGATAAGATGATCAGTAAGCAGGAAGCTCGTGTACCTGTCCCGGCAGCCAACACTGCCACTCGTAATATTATCGATAAGATGCAGTCGACGAGAAAGCGTGTTATAATCTTCTACGGTTCACAGACTGGCACTGCTGAAGAGTACGCCCTCAAAATAGCCAAAGAGTTGAAGCACAGATATGGCCTTGGTGTACTCATCGCAGACCTCGATGACTACGAATACGAGTGTTTGCCTCACTTCCATCAAGACTGGGCTGCTGTTTTCGTTATGGCCACTTACGGTGAAGGTGAACCCACAGATAACGCTGTCGCTTTCATGGATTTCTTGGATTCTCCAGAGTTTGAAGACGGCGCTGATTCCATTCCTAACCTCAAATATCTTCTCTTTGGCCTCGGAAACAAAACTTACACTGAATTTAACGGCGCTGCACGTAAATTGGACAACAAACTCAACAAACTCGGCGCTATCCGTATCGGTGAGAGGGGCGAGGGTGATGATAACAAGAGCATGGAAGAGGATTATCTCGCTTGGAAAGATCCTGCTTTCGATGCACTCGCAAAGAGCCTTAACATAGAAGAAGGCACCGCTGCAGAAGAGGCTGACTTTAGAGTAACCGAAATTTCTCAAATCCCAGATGAAAAGGTCTACCTCGGTGAACTCTCAGCTAGAGCTTTACACGGCACAAAAGGTATACACGACGCCAAGAATCCTTATGCAGCTCCCATTATCAAGTCAAATGATCTTTTCAAAATTGGTACAGAACGTAGCTGTATACATACAGAGTTCTCTATCCAAGATAGCAGCCTTAAGTACCAACACGGTGATCATGTCGGTTTGTGGCCTGTCAATGCCGAAGTGTATGTAGAAGAGACGCTCAAAATTCTTGGCCTTTCAGATAAACGTCAGACTGTTATTCAGATCGAATCCCTAGACCCTGCTCTCGCTAAAGTCCCATTCCCACAACCGACAAACTACGAGACGGCCTTCAGACACTATTTGGACATCTCAGCAACGGTATCGCGTCAGACGCTTGCTTTGTTTGCAAAACACGCTCCAACGGATCAAGCAAAGTGTGTACTTTCGGAGCTGGGTAGTAGCAAAGAGAAATACAAGGAGGTAGTATCTGACCACTCTATGAGATTACACGAGGCTCTCGAACACGCTTCAACTGAGACATGGTCAATTCCATTCGAAGATATCATCTCATCCATGCCGCGTCTCTCGCCTCGCTACTATTCCATTTCCTCCTCACCTAAACTTAACCCGAACGCTATCCACATCACAGCTGTAGTTTTACAATATAAGAGCGCGGGTAATGCCAACAAGAATGTTTATGGTTTAGCCACCAACTACGTCCTCAATATAAAGCAATCAGTCAACAATGATAGTATTTCATATAGTGCACCAGTAGATGCACAAATAATAGCACCACCTCAATACGCGATACAGGGTCCGAGAGGTGCATATGCTCGTGATGGCCACTTCAAAGCGCCAATTCACGTGCGCAGATCAAACTTTAGATTACCAAATTCACCGAAAATACCCATCATAGCAGTAGGACCAGGCACTGGTATTGCGCCATTCAGGGGATTTGTGCAGGAGAGGGTGCACCTATCGCGTCGCTACAAGGAGAAGAATGGAGCTGATGCGCTCAATGAGTGGGGCAAATTCTACCTCTTCTACGGATGTAGGAGGAGTGATGAGGATTTCCTTTACAAAGAGGAGTGGCCGGAGTATGGAAAAGAGCTTGGCGATTCGTTCGTCATGCGCACTGCGGTGAGTAGGGAAAGCGAGAAGAAGGTTTATGTCCAAGATCATGTCTGGGAAGCTAGGGAGGAGTTGGCGGATGCGATACTAAATAAGCGCGCATATATTGTGAGTTTCTGGTTTCTTTGAAAGTTGCCCGGCTAAACAATTCTCTCACTCAGTACATCTGCGGCGAGGCTAGCAATATGGCCAGACAAGTGGAGGAGACACTCCAGCGCATCCTCGGCGAGGCTAAACAAGGTACGGCTGAGGTGGAAGGTGCGCAAGAGATACGCCTACTTAAGGAGAGAAACCGGGTGGGTAGCTGGATCACAAGGATCAAAGCAGCATACTCACGCCAATATAGATACTTACAGACGTTTGGTCATAGATGTTTTTGTGTGTTTTGCGATGGATATAATGTTAATTTTGCTGCGTGTGCTCCGTGTATTGTGTGTGTTATCAAATTTATCAGTTTGCTTGCGAGTCGAGAGCGTGGAATTAGGAGCTAGGAGAATAAAGCGAGTATATCTAGTGCGCTTTGATTGTTGGCTAGCTAACTTGCAATAAACACCAGGCACATTCACCCAGCTTACACACTCCTTCCTCCCTCTCCTTGTCTTGCACGCTCATGTCCGCACCTATCGACGCCAGCCAGATATTAGCAGAACACAGCAAACGATACAAGCCAACGCAGGTGGACAGAGAGGTACCGATAACGATAGATCTCAACCTGCTCGCTGCATTCGACACCAACGCACTTAACGCCGATGAGTTGAAAGTGGATAGAGAAGAGTACGTCAAGTCACTCACTAGAGACGGCGTACAATTACTCGTAAACAACTTGTTCCAGCAACCTATCACGAAAACTTTAGATGGCCCACTCGCCAAACTCCCAGACGAGTCAGTGTACGCAGTACCAAGAGAGAAGCCACTGCCTAAGCCTAAGCCATTGACCAAGTGGCAGAAATTCGCGAACGAGAAGGGTATCACCCACAAGAAGAAGGATAGAATGGTATTCGACGAGGACGAGCAGAAATGGGTTCCAAGATGGGGATACGGGGGCATTAACAAAAAGGAAGAGAATCAATGGTTGCATGAGCTTAAAGATGGTCAAGGTGAGTTGGTTTTTTGGGTGATTTTCTACCACTAACGAATTCTCAGACGAAGACCACAACCCTGCATCCGCCATCAAGCACGCTAGAAGGGATCGTTCACTCAAGAATGTCAAGCAGCAGCTCAAGAATGAGGGTATTACAAAGTCGGTTCAAGAAAAACAAAAGGCAGAGGCGGCTGCGAAGCGTGCGGAGAGAGCACAACATAAGCAGGAATTGGAGAAGAGTCTGCATAGATCCAGAGTCAGCACAGGTTCAATGGGTAAATTCGATAAGAAGATGTCTGGTGAGCCCGCTCTCAAAGGTCAGAAGAGAAAGTTCAATCCAGTCACCAACACAACCGAAGAACACAAATCTAATCGTGATATATTGGATAAGGTCTCGTCAGGTGCAACCAAGCTCAACAAAGGTACTGGTGGTGGTAACAAAGACCTCGTCAACACTCGTCGAGCTATCAACACGACAAAGAGATCAAAAAAGTAGATTTAGTGCGTTATTAACTTATTGTATTTGTCATGCTTTGCTTTCGGAATTCATTGTTTAGATTTACTTGAAACACTAAATGTAACACTACACGACGAATGAAGATTCATTTTAGATAACGAAATATAAATACATGTCTTATAAAGAGATCAAAAGCTATTCGGTCTGCTCGAGTCTTGTGAGCAAGAAACTTCCCTCCAACACTCACACCTACCTCAATTATGTTATCCTATGAGAAAAGAAATATCTGTGAAAATGCAAGTAAAAGCGACTGTGTTGATTTGTATTTAATGAGTGTTGAGAAGTGTGTAGCTAAATATAATGAATTAAAAGACGTCCGATTAATGAGCCACGAGGCTCAAGTGAATCAAATCACCTTGGATATATTGAAAGATGAGCCCTGATGAACTCCTTTATCACCAGCCGCCTACATATCCACCATTCTGTCTCCATTCACGTTCCCACTTGGCAGTTCTCCATCCATGGTAAGCCGGATCAGGGCCGATTCTCATTAGATCCTCCATCCAAATTTCGTAACTGTTTTTTACGCTGCCGAGGAGATTGAAGCATTTACCTGTGATTATTATTAAAAGTGCATCTCACAAACACTCTCCACCCACCTCTAGGACCATCGTAAATCTCAACAGGCGAACCAGAAAGTGGTTTTAATGCTAATGCCTTGTTCGACTTCTTGACACTGGCAAAGACCTGACTTGCTGTCGTATGATCCACGTTAGCACCCTTGAGAAGTTGAGCATGTGCGAACACAGGTTTTGGTTCTAAGGTGTTGAGATCGAATTGTATCTTACTGTGACCACAAAATCTGATACTACTGTCGCGTGAGATGGGTGTTGGTGCTCCTCCTGCTGCTACCCAGTTTGGAGCATGCACGTATGGGATTCTGAGTAAGTGGAACGCATATCTGAACGTATCTTTGTCACCACCCGCCAACTTGAACCAATACTTGTGGTTATCAGCCATCAATGCTGCTATGTGTAGAGCAGCTAGGTTCATTCCATCGTTACCAGCCTTGTCAAACATAATTTGACCTGTCTAGTGTTAGCAGCGCGCAGCAGGCTTACATTCCAACCCACCTGAATCAATTCTCCACTCATCAGACTGACAAGAAATACCTAGAATCCTCCAGATAGGATTGGCTGGATGGTCCTTCTGGAAATCAGGCCAGAATGTGACTCTTGGAGATGATGGGTCTGCATACATGGGGTCATCGAATAGGAAGTCAGGGTTTCGGATAGGAATGTTATCGCTGTCCATGTAAAGCACCTCTCTGAACGACGAGTCTCTAATAGCATGCGCTTTAATTTGATAGTTGTGTTGGTCGTCGCTCATCAAGTCTTTCGATACACCCTGTACATATCTGACAGTAGCGTTGAGGGAGGCATACGTCTGATTTAACTCGGAAGACAAATGCTCATCACGATACTGAAATATTTCAGCCGGCCAAGTAAAGTTCATGCTTCTGAGCATTTTGAGGGACGTGATAGCTCGTTCATGTGTGTCTTTGTTACCGGCTGTGATCACGAGACCTTTCGTGGTTTCATTGTGTCTCAAACCGGCCTTATCGAAATTGAAGACAGCGTCTTCTCCGAGAGACTCTAAGTGATGAATAATTTCACTTCTAATCTTTATTATCTCCTTTGGTGTTATTTGCTCCCAATTGCCTAATTCCTCTCTGAGCTGCTGCGTATCGCCGACTGCTTCATGCGTCTTTGGCAAGCAAATAGCGGAATTGATGTGATAAGCTTCGGAATGGTTGAGCGCAGGCTGGTCAAGAATGTCCGCAAGCCTTGAGCTGAGCTGATCTGGGAGATCTGGGAGGGTGATTGGATAGTTGTAGATATCTGGCCGGTGCGTGAATGTAGAGCGAAGGTGGGAGAGATCCGGTGCGTGGATTTGCGAGTGTCTCGTCAGCAGCATGAGAAGGCTGAACAGAGAGAATACAAGCGTTAGAATCAGAATTCCCTTTCTGCTGATCATCGTCGTGCTGGTGTAACCACGTATTATCAGCCGCAGTATCTGGGCGTGCGCTCGACGGCTAAAAATGTATCCAATTGCTTGAAATGTATTTAAAGCATCAGACTTGAAAAATCCAAGCTGTCTCTATCGTTATTTCTATTGCTCTTCCCCACTAGCTGCATTGGTTCACAGTAGATTTTTCAAGGGTAAAGTTGGATTCTACCTGGGTTATTTGATTTCCCTTGCCGTCTTTCTTTGATTTCCGCGCTCTGCCAAGGCACATCGGAACATCTGCAATTCTAGGTACGCTAGTGCGGATGGTTGAATAACCGAGATTTCATTGGCTAGGGGTGCAACAATAGCAATGTCTTAAGCTAATCGTAGTTTGTTGGAGTTTCTTATCTTATCTGTTCAGCCGAGATAACATTAGCTGCATTTACCGCGCTCATTCTCTGAGCAACTCGCACTCGCTTTCCTACGACACACACGCTTTTTATTTTTTTTTGCATAGCAGCTACAGTTATATGTTGTTCAAAATCTAACGATATGCTTTATACAAAATTCTGCACTCAAACTTTATAAAATTACGCCAACGTCATCATAATCTTCCCCCTTAACACCACACTGCCAAGAAGCCACTGAGAATGCCACAAAGAACTCTCAAGATTTGTTTCCTGAAGGCAGATACACTACCTTACGAAGCGATAAAGCATCATGGAGAGTACGAAGAAGTATTGTCACAACTTATTAAACCACTCTGCCAAAGCTCTTCTAGCGATATTGACCTACAAATATCGAAATACGACGTAATAGAGAGGCAGTATCCTAAAGACATTCACACTTACGACGCAATCATCATTTCTGGTTCATTTGCCGATAGTAGCATTGATGATAAGAGTGAGTTAGACTGTTGGCTGATGTATCAGCAATCTAACAACTAGATAGTGTGGGTTCTCCGTCTTTGTGGCTTCTTGATCATGTTGCACGATGAATATCCCCATATTCGCCAAATAGGTATCTGTTTCGTACGTCTAACCGAATTCTTGGAAATAACTCTCCCCTTACACACCCACTCGCTTTCAGGGCATGCAAATTCTCGCCCGCGCTTTCGGTCCTAGCAAGATAATCGCCAATACTAAAGGCTGGGAAGTAGGTTCCACAGAGTTGAAGCTCACGGAAGGTGGAAAGGAGCTCCTCAATCCAGATGAAAAAGATGAGAACAGAAAGGATGTCATCAGATTGCAGCAAATTCATCAGGATTGCGTTGCAGAGATGCCCAGTCAGTTTGAGTTGCTCGCTAGCTCCGAAATCACGCGCATTCAAGCTTTAGCCAAGTATTACGACGATGGTAAGGCTAGAGGGTTCACAAACGCCCCAGATGTAGTACCAGGTGGCAAACACGGTCAGGTGCAGATTATTGGGTATGTGCGCTGTTTTGCTGGTTAAAACTTGGCAACTGCTGATCATTCTAACACAATCATAGTCTACAAGGCCATCCTGAATGGTCCAGTGGCATCATTTTGTCGCTCATCAAGGAATACGAACGTGAAGGTATCTTCTCGTCAGAGTATGCGGCCAAAGTTAGTGAAATCGCTCAACAACCAACTGATGCTATGCATGTTGGTAGATCAATCATGAAAGTGTTGGGTGTGGATACAAAGTGAGACATTCAATCAGCCATTTTATTTATCGCATATCAATCAAGTTATGATACTAATCAATGCATAATAATACAACTGTACAACTCAATTAATCAGACTTCCACGCCTGTAGTCGTTCTTTCAGAAATTTCTCTAACCGAATCGCATTCTTGGTGTAGCTGCTCCCCTCGCCATTGTATGCTTTGCAGTTGTTGAATATTTTACCAGCATCAGCTAAGAAATGGTCGAGATTCTCATACAGATTATCATCCAGACGCTGCTCCATTGTGCTGAGATCCATTGGCTCTTTGATTACCTCATAGTAATCAGCTACTTCGTCTTTGTTTACGGGACTGAGGAATGCCCAAGACGAAGCGTGATTTTGTAGGTCAGAGAGTAAGTGGTGCATGATTGCAAAGTCAGGGTTCCGTGATGGACGTTGACATAGTGCGTCTAGTTCAGGATTCCAACCACTCTCGACTGTTTTAAGCGTAATTAGAAGGTGTAAAGTGCAATATTGATTCACCCACTCAACCCTGGTACCTCGCGATAATCTATCTTGTATCCCTCGGGAGCATCTTTGAAATGCGTCAATCCTTGGTGCACTATGTGTGACTTCGAGTATTCGCGTATTTTTTCCAAAGCCATCTTGGGAGGTGTGAGTCGAATCTATGCTGCTAATGCTCGTCTCACATCTTTCTGTCGAGATAGTATATCGTGCACATCTAAATAATTAATTTTGGGCAACATAGAGCACTTGGATATGTCACAAAGTTAGCCAATTAGGATATCCAACATACACTCAACACACCTGCATCATCGTACCACCCTCATAATCTTTGATATAACCAGTCCATATCTCACGCGGCAGTGTGATCTCCTTTGTAAAACCCTGTTTTTTAAAGTACCCAACAGCGTAATTGTCTGCATAGGTGAGGAAATGTTTACTAGATGAGGTGGCTTTGATGTAATCTTTAAGATGGTTCATGAGGTGTGATCCGTAACCCTTAAGAGTATTGTCAGAGGGTTAATCATTATATAACGACCATAATTTTGACCCACCTTGACTTGCTCACTACCAGTGATTGCGCAGAAGACGATTTCAGAGAAAGCCCTACTTTCAAATGGTCTCCAAGTAATACCACCTCTGACCTGAAGACCTTCCTTTACAATAGCCATAGATCTATGATTACGATCGTAGACGAGTCTGGCGATATACTCTCTTGGCATTTTTGGTAGCTGTTTCTGAAAAATAGCTTTGAGACCTGCGAGTATAATGAGATTTTGTGATTGTTCGTCTGGAGAGAGAGTGGGATCATTCTTGACAACTTTGAATTGAATTAGTTTCTGCTTTTCTTCAATTACAGCCGGACGTTGTTTTTTGGGTTGCTGACTGTCTTTGTTGAAATCGTCAGAGTCAACTGAAACGCCTACAGTGAGGGCATCGACATTCATATGGGCTTGTTTTTCATGTTGAAGGTGTTCTTGGTGTTGCTTGCGGTTGTCTTCTTCTACTTTGTCTTGGAGGTGTTGGTGTACGTCAGAAGGAATGACGTCTTCATCGAGGGATTCTAGTTTTGGTTTCTTTAGAGGTGGTTCATTATGATCATTGAGTTGTTGATTATCTTGGTCATTGTCTAGTGATAGTGGTATAAGTTGTTTCTTTAAGCTATCAATGTCTTGATCAGAATAATCAAAGTTATCCAACTTGTTAATGTCTCTGAGTAACTCATCGATCCTGAGTGCAACTTTAGCTCTTCTAATTTCCTCCTCAACATCCTGATCAGGATTCGTGTGATCACCCAATGTTCTCGTACAAGCGCAGAGCTGAGAAGGGGAAATGGAATCTGGATCACCAGTCAATACAACTACAGCGCCTTCATAAGGTCTATAACCATCACAGAAATCAAAAGTAGAGTGCCTGCTAATGAGTAAACGTCTAGCTTGTGAATTGTTAAGTGAAGTCGAATTGGGTTGTAAATAAAGCCAATCTAAATCTATCCCGTTAGAAGAAGACGCAGGTGATAATGAAGATGAGTTCCTGGTTTGTGGATCTTGCATGGCTGCTTGGAGTTAAGAGAAGCACCTTAATCTATAACGACCACTACTGCCAACTGCGATTATTGGAATGGAAAACAAATTGTAAGAATTGCTTTGGAATTTCAAGCAATTTATTAAAATTAATAGGAAATCACTTAAAGTTGGTGATCTTAAAGTGGGATTGGATTTTAATAGGAAGACACTAGTAACTGATACTAGGAATTATCCAGGACATCTTGCAGAAATCTAATCTGTCTGTCTCTGGTAAGAAGGAGGAACTTATACAGAGAATCCTTCAAAATCAATCTACTCAGCCTATGGAGGACAACGTTGAGCAGAGTAAAGGGGATCACCAGTCTGAGCAGCCTGAACATCCTCAACAGCCTGAGCAGCCTCAGCAGCCTGAGAATAATGTTGAAAACAATCCTACACAACCACACAATCCGGATAATTCAAACGATTCAGATGCTCAATTGGATAGAAAGAAGGCACGCGCTGAGAGGTTCGGGCAAAGCACCCAGCAATTCGAAAAGGAGCAATTGAATGTTCGTTGCTCTCTTGTATCGTCTACCTCTTCCACTCACACCTTTACAGCTCCAGGAACAAGCTAAAAAGGACGCCAGAGCTGCCAGGTTTGGCGTAAGTACCCAGCCAAAGACCAAGAATGAGCCAAAGTTAAGTCAAGAAGATGAGGAATTGAAGAAGAAGAGAGAAGCAAAGTTTGGACCAGTTGAGGTGGGTGATTACTATCACATTGATAGCACATTAAAACACGATAGAAATCTACCACCAACAAGAAGCAGAAGATATAAACACGGTTTTTAAGACCTACATTCACAATACTCCCCCCATGAATTGTACTAACCGCTTTTCTAATTCCAACATAACGACGTCAGAATTTGGATCTCTGTTCTGTGATGAAGGTATAAGGCTGCTTGTGAGATCAAGACTGACGTAGACTTGTACTTTGTATTTCGTGGCTTTGAGTGGTTTGAGTGGGGGGGGGGGGCTTTACAAACAAGCCGACCCACCTAATCGCCTGCTTATCGACGCAGCCATATCGTTAAGATTACTCCATCTAAGGACATTTGTGGATACGCAAGGAATGTGTTGATTCGCTGGCGTCGCTACTGCCCAATCTTTGCCCAGATTAACAGAAATTGCATCGCCAGGTAGAGAAGCGTTGCACCAAATCATCAAACATCTTTCTAAAGTGGTGAGCTTGTAATTGACCGTGTAATCCTCGATTTGTGTCGTTGTCGTTGCGTTTTTCATCCCCTTTTGGCTGAGAACATTCAAGGGTAATATGTCAGATAAGCCATCAAAGAAAGAGTTCTCCAGGGATAAGGGCACAACGCACCTCCCAATAGCGCGTGTCCAAAAGATTATAAAGGCTGAGTGGGTGTGCTCTGCTTGCTGCCGGCCCAGTTGATTTCTTTTAAAGCAAGGAAATGGAGAATTGCGCGAAAGAAGCTACCTATTTGATAGCTGTGGCTACTGTGGGTGGTTTACTTGATGGCGTTTCACCCTAACAAAACAAGGAATACTTCATCAAATATCTCACAGATGCTGGATACATACAAGCAACGCTGGATAAGCGCAACACGATTCAATACAGAGATCTAGGTTGGTGGCATTCTCTCACTTCAGCTCATCTCTCACTCCCCTCCAGCCAACGCGGTTGATAAGAGCGAAGAATTAGAATTCTTGAAAGAAATCGTGCCTTCGAAACTTACAATGCAGAAAGCTTTGGATCTTCAGCAGAGAAAGCAGAAAGGTGAAGATACTGACGCGCATTCTACACAAGATGACGCCATCTTATTCGAACCTCCACACAAGAATAAAAAGAAAACACACGCCCAAGCTGACAAGCTAGCCAAAGATCAAAGTAGCCATGATATATCGATGGAGGAATAACGTGTCAAGTCTTAGGACCTAAAATTTTCCTCCATTTGAATGCGAAAGAATGAAATAATAAAATGCCTTTGTAAGCGATATGGGGATGCTAGGAAGGCTTTTATGATAAGTTTTGCACACATTCCCTATATATGTCTGTCAAATTCACGCGAGCCGAGGAATGGCGTGCTAAAATGAGGAAGAAAACCGCGCGTTTTGATGTCTGACAAATGAAAGTCAAGCCACGGTAGGCAAAAATGAAACATTTGTACACTATATTTGCTACGCTACTCAGTCTGTTAACGATAACCAAAACACAATCACTAGGCTGGAAGTTGCAGCATGATTTACAGGGGCCGATACAACAGCCTATGCGACCAGAAGGAGATGGAAGGGGTGGTAATACGCGATACATTACTCTCAACATAACAGATGAGTTAGCTTCCCTCGATGGCGACGACGAGCGCTACGTGTATGCAGTCAACGGACGCGCATTCAATGGCGGTGAAGCTATCTTCTTAGAAGAGGATGAGGAGGTGGAAATTGAGCTAAACAATAACAGCAAGGAACTCAACACAAGTACCACGTTGCATGCTCATGGTATCGAGCAGATTGGCAGTGTTTATAATGACGGTGTTCCAGGTGTAAGTCTGGTGCATAAAATAAAGATGTTTCAGTTAACAAATCCCTCAAAGGTCTCTCAAAATGTCATCAAGCCAGGTGAAAGCTTTATTTATAGATGGAGAGCAGCACAATATGGTCTTTACTGGCTTCATTCTCATTTTTCGGGCATCTATCAAGATGGCCAAGTGATTCCACTCTACATCAGGCCCAAACAGCGCAAGAATCCATTCTCAATCATCTCCGACGACCAAGACGGCGTTAGGGCATTGGAGCGCCACGACCAAAATCCAACCATCATTACCATCACAGACTACACGCAGTTGACGATTTGGGAGCAGCTCGAGAAAGCAGAAGAGTGGCAAAGTGAGCTGTTATGTGCCAACAGTCTGCTCATCAATGGCCAGGGCAGGGTGAACTGCCCCACATCGGAACATCTCTCCGAATGGACAGATAGCAACACAACGACAGCGAAAGGTTGTATAGACAGAGGCTCGCAGCCAGGCTATGAGAATGTTACATTCGATAAGGATCTCTGGTACACATGCACACCTACCGATGTACCTCTCCAGACGTTTGAATTCGATTATGAGAGTGGATGGGGAGTAATTCATTTCCTCAGTGCGAGTGGACACTGGAATTATCTCGTATCGATAGATGAGCACGAACTGAATTTCTTCGCCGCTGATGGTAACTACGCGAAACCAGTCAAAGGAGAAGCATTCTCGATAGGGATCGGGGAGCGTATAGGAGTGGCTTTCCGTCTGCACACGCCAGGCGAGTACACGCTGCGCATCTCAGCCTACAACGAGCCGCAGGTGAGTGTGATAACAGCACCATCAGCAACTACTAACCCAGTTGCACAGGTAATCGGTCAATTCGCCATCATAAGGTATGGATTGGCTGATGATGATGATAGGGTGGAATACAGTGACCCGGCTTCGGAAAATGATCCAGGGATGCCGTCCATACCACTGTCGGAACCATTTATCAACTACGCTGGTCAGCCTGTATCGGGTGATATACGAGTTCTGAATGATTCACTCATCTCATTGAAACAGTTTGCTCCCCCACTTATCCCCAAGCGCGGGGAAGCGGCGGATGTGACGTTGCATTACTCACTCAGTAACGCCAACTTCCTCAAATGGTCCATGAGCGAGTGGGGCACTGTGGAGTACTATGCCGCCAGCAACGAGCTCAATAAGCCACCGGTACTGTATGATTTCGAGCAATACATCGGTGATGAGTCTATAGCGTCGTATCCGAATGGCAGTGTGGTTGATGTAATAATCACAAATGGTGCAGATTATGGCGATAGACAACCTGCGCACCCTATCCACAAGCATTTCGAACATTATCACGTCCTCGCGGCTGGAACAGGTAATTTCAGTTACTGGGATGTAGTTGAAGCTGAGGATAATGGAGTGCAAGTTAACTGGCTCGATCCACCTTATAGAGACACTGTGCTGATTCCAGAAAGTACAATTGATGAGGGCAGCTATCTCATCTTTAGATACGAGAGCGTGCAACCTACAGCGTGAGTTCGGGTGTAGGATGTGATCAATATTTTTAACTAAACAATAGCGCACTGTTGCACTGCCATGTTAACATGCACAATATTGGTGGTATGGCTTATGTACTCATCGCTACAGATGAGGGCGGCACACCTGCAATGCCTGAGTACTACAGCGTCAAGGCGCTTAATAAAGATCTCAACACGGTGAATAGCGAGCTGTCGTAAGGTTTTGACAATTGTAATAAAATCCATTTGAAAATGAAAAGAATCAAATGCTATTGTCAATGCCAAAGACATGCATATAGGAAATGTCTCAATTTACATCGATTTTTGCAGAAATAACGAGAATGCAATAATGATGCGAAAGCGCTTAGATATACTGATATTAGACAGCTTTAGCAATGAAAATGATTACCACAAGGTTCAATCACCGTTCGCAACTGAATCACAACTGAATCATCATTCATAAATCTCAACTTGTGAATACAAAAACGGCGTAATAAATTAATAATAAAGCACAGTCACACTTCACGCTTACAATTTAACCTCAGCCGCTCTCTGCAATTTATAACCGATGCGACTGCGGGACGCCGAACGGCCAATGGGAAAAACAAACGGGCATTAAAAATGCGAATGTATTGTACATGTGTCACAGCAGCCGAGAAATATCGTTTTAAAAGATAAGATAAATGATTTTATACAACTATGTAAACAAGTCAAAAACAAAGGCTATTAAACAAAAGAGATTAAACATAGAAGACAAGAATGGTAGTATAAGAATCCCTAAAGCTTTGATTCTTTGGTGTGATTATGTTGAGCTGTAGTAGAGTATCGTGTTTGATGTATCGAGTCTTGTGTTTTGTTATCCAAAATAATGTACAGATTATCTGTCTACCAAGAATGAAGGAAAGAAAGACGAGAATAGGGAAATAAAAGATACGGAGAAGGCTTTCGCTATAACGTTGGATTCTGTATATCTTTAGAATGACTAGAAATGTGTAAGAAAATCGCGATGAGTCATTTTGATCCTTGTTGTTGAGGGTGAGAGTGTGTTGGCCTCATCAATTCAATCCGTGCACCTAGCAATGAACGTAGCTGTCTACCTCATTTGCCTCTTTAGGATCGAGTGTGTAATCAACAAAGTCAGTGATAGCGCTATGGCCAAAGTCGTGCGTATGGGGATGAGTATGAGCGTTGACTAAGTTATTACCATGTGAACCACTTCCAACACCGACACTAAAGTCATTGCTGTTGCTAAAATCGTTACCATTTTGAGCGCCTCCACTGACACCGAAATCTTCGAAAGTGTGGATGAAATCGGATGCGCATGATGATCTTCTAACTTGATCATTGTAGCCGCTATACATATCATACGGTACCATACCACCATAAGTCGTTGTTGCGCTTGTAGATACCTCAGAGTCCCTCCTGCAGTTATCGAACAAGCTGCTGTTATCGAAGTTACTCGACATAACAGATTGTCGACGATCGGCATCAGATTGATCGTCAAAGTAGGAAGAAGATTCTCTCCAGAAAGTGTCTGAAGTCGCTAGAGCATGGGAGAGAGAATTTGAAGAAGATGATTGAAAAATATTGTGCTGTTGCTGATTTTCCATTTGTGATGGAGTCGTGTTGGTCGTTGGACTGGAAGGGTCGCTCGAGTTAAGTTGAGCGTCTGCAGTGTGGAGTACTAATCCATGCGTAGAAAGAGGTGCTTCTGTAGGTGAAAGGGGGAATGGCGAGTTTGGAGATTCTTCTGTGCAAGTTGGGAGTTTAGACTTGGATGCAGATTGACGTAGTGACTGATTTGAGCGACGTGTTTGGAAATTTGGAAGTGATGCTCGCCTGACGGGGCCGATGTTGCCGGGATTTGTAAGAGCGGAGAGGGAATAGCCGAGGGAGTGAGACTGAGGGATAGACAAACCTAAGCCGTTTGTAGGCGCGTGGGTTGGCTGTACAGGTTGTGTTATGGGAGCAGATCCCCTTCTAAACTGCGTATTGTTAGGGTTACTGAGTGGATCCAAGTTAAAGTGAGTATCAAAGAATGGATTAGATATCAGGCTTGTTGGCGATAGACTTGTAGATGGCGGTATTAAGCTTGAGGATGCAGGACTTGGAAGGGGCGATGGATAGAGAAGATTTTGACTTGGCTGAGGGTCAATTTGAAGGGAATTGTTGGTTGGTGCGGGCGTTAGCGTTGGTGCAGGTGTAGAATCACTGTCACTGTGTGCCTGTGCCTGTTGCTGCTGTGGCTGTGGTTGTACCTCGAAATCGTCATTGACCTGCTTCTTGGCCTGGGCTTTGGCCTTTGCCCTTCTATTCTGAAACCAGATCTGAACGCCCCTTGGAGTCATTTCAAGTTGCTCTGCCAAGGATTTCCTAATTAAGGCTGCTGGCTTTGGATTCGTCTGGTAAGTTTCCTCGAGGACCTGGGGGTTATTTTAGCAGAGAATTTCACAGCCACAGAGCCAGCTATCACGTACATTAAACTGATGCTTCGACGTCCTCTTCCTGTGCTTAACCTCGAATGGCTGATATTGGAGCAATTGCGTCTGTAGCTGCTGCTGCGAGGGCTTGCTATCGCTATCGTCCTGGCCCACAGCATGCTGAGTTGCCTGATAGCTACTTGGGTGGAATAACTGTACTGGCTTATAATTCATCATTCTATCTCTGGTCACTCTTCACCGATTTCAGTAAACCCGATTCGATACTGAAATTCCGGTAAGAAAAATTAAATAAAATATAAAAAGCTTTTTGGTTATTTGGTTTAGCTTACATGAATTTATAAACCCCAATTAGTCCCTTAACACTCTCAGTTCACTCCCCCCACACACCTTCCTAATTCATTTCATTTTCCTACAAGAAAATCTTCATCCAGCTTCAACAAGCGCAGCTAGATTGGTTCTTGTCAGTTTCCTCATTCTCCACGTTTATCTTGACATTGGCGGCTTGCTTCTTGTCCTCCTCATTCGCCGGCAATGCCATGGCTATCCTCTTGAACAGCTGCTTGACGTTCTGCCCCGACTTAGCCGACGTCTCAATGAACATCAAGCCATTCTCATCGCAATAAGCTTTTGCCTTATCTGAATCAACTCTATCGCCGTCACTCAAGTCCACTTTGTTGCCGACTAAAACTATGATAACGTCATCGCCCCTTTCAGCTCTAACTTCTTCGATCCACTTGGATGTGTTATCGTAGCTGTTCTGGTCTGAGGGGTATTAGTGAGTACAGGATGGTTAGCTATAGCCACCCACTCGTCACGTCGTATACAACAACTGCCACTGAGGAATCCCTAATATATGAAGGTATAAGTGATCTGAATCTTTCCTATAGATTATTAGACTTGTTAGACTTGTGTGCGCTACTCAGCCAACCCCACTTGTCCTGCTGTATCCCACAACTGCAATCTAACAGTCCTGTCATCCAAGTACATTGTCTTGGATAAGAAGTCTATTCCTATTGTTGCTTGGTATGTGTTATCGAATGTATCATACATGAATCTTGTTATCAGTGATGTTTTCCCAACCGATTGTTCACCCTGTTTTGAGTATGAGCTTTGTGAGGTGCCAGGACTCAATCCACGCACTAGAAACACCAATTTAAACTTTTTCAATGGCGCTGCAGATGTTGGTGGCTGATCTAGCGCAGAGGACGACATTCTAGATGATGGTGTAGGTGGATCATGTGATTTCAACTCAGGAATACTTATTTATAATCGAGGTGATTGTGTTGCTATAGGGTACATCATTATCGCTGCTATTCCTCTCCTCCGCGTCACTATCCTCTACATAGCTGTTCTCATCCAGCTCAAATGAATCCTCTGCGTATATCCGCTGCCTCGACAACCCGCTGTTTATCTCATCCAATTGGCTATCTTCTACTAGAGAAGCTGAGTAATCGACGCTGTTGTTAGCGTAAACGCGTGTATTTTCAGCGCTGTGGGGTGGAATGGCTCTGTGATTGAGCAACTGCCTCGAATGGCTGAAAGAGCTATTCAACAAGACGCGTCTTTCTTCCTTATGATTTTTATACGCTTTTTTATCGTCTTTGTGTGGGGTTTTTTGGGTGGTAATGTTAGCATAACACCCGCTAACAAACCCTCCATTGCGATATACGGGTGCTTTGAGAGTGTACTCCACGAGCCTTGTATTCTCATCGAAGAGAAGATCTTGCGTATATCAGAGGAGACGTGTACACCAACAATCGACCCACCTGAAGGCACCAAACGGGGATGAATATACTCAGCACCGCTAGCGCCGCTGTTCAAGCCTTCCAGCACCCGCATAACTCCCCCGCCATCGACAGCGACATTCCTAGGTTTTATCACAACCACCATCGTCAATGTTCACCGAGGAAATAAAAACACTTAAGAGACTCGGTTTCAGGCATTGCTTGTTGCAGGCCTTATCCTTTGCCAGTGTGATATGTACCGCACTCGCCGTTTACAAAGGATTAGGCGTGGTGATGAACACCGAGTCACCGATCGTTGTAGTCTTATCGTAGGCGGCGTATCTAGCAGCGTGATACAACCTCTCACTCCTCTCCTCCAGCGAATCCATGGAACCTGCCTTCGCGCGTGGCGATATCCTCTTCTTATACCATCCACCCGTGCAGCAGCCCATCGATATTGGAGAAATTACCGTCTACAAGCTACCAAACACTGACATACCAATCGTGCACAGAGTCATCGATCATCATTTGGATGTGGGGCTTGAGACAGAGAAAATTCTCACCAAAGGCGATAATAACCCCGGAGACGATATCGTGTTGTATCGCGGACCCAAATGGCTCAGAAGAGATCAGATTGTGGGCAAGGTTATAGGTTATATTCCTTATGCGGGCTATATCACGATATTGATGGTATGTGCTTTGTTTGAGGTGATGGCAGTGACACTAACACTAACACACACATCCCAGAATGACCATCCTAATATTAAATACGCTGGTATTGCGCTTATGGCCGCTTTTGTCATGTTAAAGAGGGAGTAGCTGTTTATTTATGCATGTATTTCATTCGAGTTAGGTGCAGAATGCATGAGGAATGTTGGGTGCCATGTACCAGGTATTATAAACCATATCCACACAGCCTATGCAATAAACACTTTGCATACGTCACAAAACCCACGTTCAGCAGGCTGCAGCACGTGCGTCTGACTCGCTAAACCACTTGCGCACGTATTGATACACACGACAACCAACGCAACGCACAAGAATGCAGCAAAAGAATCCATTACGACACACGCTATTCGCAGTCAGCGCACTCATGGTCGCGCTAACCGCGAGTCCTGTGCGCCCACCTCTAGATATACAAGCGCATCGCGGAGGACGTGGGAGTACAGTGGAGAACACACTTCCCAGCTTCGCATATGGCGCCATCAGCGGAGCCAACACGCTCGAGCTAGATTTCGGAGTGACAAAGGATGGATATGGGGTGGTGTGGCATGACGAGTATGTGATGCCGTCGAAATGTCTCGATACAGCGCCTGTCGTTGAGGAAGATTCCATGTGGCCATACGTAGGGAAACACATTGCGAATCTCACTCTCGCACAGATCAAGACACTCGATTGCGGTAGTCTGCGTCAGAGCGACTTTCCAATACAGGAGACTTACCCTGGCACTAAACTGTCTACTCTAGACGAACTGTTTGAGTTTGTTGCGTGTTTTGATAAGTCGGGCGACATTCAATTTAACGTTGAAACAAAGATCAACGCTGCACGAACCAACTCCACAAGAGATCCCCTTACTTTTGTTGAGGTGCTCTTGGATAGCATCGATAAGCACCATCTAGGCACGCGCATCACCCACCAAAGCTTCGATTGGCGGGCTTTGCAGATATCGAAGCATCTCAGACCACATCTCAAGACTAGCGCACTGTATGACGTAACAACAGCAACAAACAATTCAGCGTGGCTGGGTGATGGGGATATTACAGGTATAGAAGATTACAACGGACTTCCCCCTGCCACTGCAGCTGCTTTGATAGCAAGGGAAATAGACTCAGATATGATATCACCTGCGGAAATAACCACCAACAGCTCATCGACGCTGTCCTCACCGGAGTATCACCCATTCCTCACAGAGGAGGTCGTTCATGTGGCACACGACTTGGATATGCTCGTCAAGCCATGGACGGTGGATACACTCAATGTCGTAGACGAGATGTATGGCTGGGGCGTTGATGGGATTATAACCGACTGGCCACATCAACTTGTCAGATGGGCTGAGCTGAACAAACTCAACACTGCACGCAAGTTTGATCATCATGTTGTAAACCAGTGTCTCGCGGAACACAACCAGCTTGTATAAGTATCTAATCTAGTTATTTTGCTATTGGGAATATCTATACTTTGAGTGTCGCTTTGTCACTGTTGTCACTCTAACTCACCTCCTCCACTTGCCTCCGTCTCACTCTCTCGCCAAGTGTCCGTTTGAGCTTATCCAAATTAACCTCATGTTTCGCTGAAATAGGTATGATGGTAGTAGACGGATCGAGAGTGCCGCCCTCGATTAAACACTGCACACCATCTGTAAACTGCGAGAGACGGTGTTTGGCTTGTGCATTCTGCTGCTCATCACCACCCAGTAAATCAGCCTTGTTTGCGACAATCACCGTCCCAGCCCTGGCCAGACCGCTTTTGTACTCGTTCAGTTCGTGTATCAGGGTGTGCAAGTGTGTGAGGGGGTGAAGTGAGGAAAGATCGACAACAAACACGAGCACGAGAGCGCGCTCGACACTGCGCAGGAAAGTGTGTCCGAGGCCCTTGTTGAGCGCCGCATCAGCAATCAGGCCGGGGTTATCGAGGATAGTGAATCTGTGCGAGGGTGTGAGTGCATCTTTAGCGCCCTCACCTTCACCCTCACCGTCAGCACCGACGACACCAATCTCAGGCTTGAGCGTCGTGAAGGCGTAGTTGGCGACTTTGGTCTTGGAGCTGGTGATAGCAGCGAGGATGCTGCTCTTGCCTGCATTCGGCAGTCCCACCAGTCCGACATGAGCGAGAAGCTTCATTTCGAGACTCAGCTTGACATGTCCACCCGGCTGGCCTTTGCGGGCGAACTTGGGTGACCTGTGTTGATGGGTGACGAAAGCGGGGTTGCCGACACCGCCGAGACCACCTGAGACGATGAGATGAGGGGACTTATCATCGGATATATCCACTTCGAGTGCGTGCTCCTGCTCGTGCTGTGGGTTATAGCGTTTCAGCTGCAGATTTTCACTCCTACGCAATTCTTTGTCGGCGTCGAGGAAGAGAGGGTGGGTGGAATTAGCCTCCTCCATGCCTGGATAGTGTAGCCAAGCCCTGTCTCTACGCAATTGCGTGAGTGTGTCTTCGTCTTGGCTGCAGTTCCTGTCTTCGCGCGGCGGAGGCGCACACCGCCACAGCTCGCGGATAACGGTGCCTGGGGGGATATCGATGACTGTATCAGCCCCACGCTTGCCTAAACGGCCATCCCCGCTGCCTGATGCGCCGTTGGCAGCGCGGATCTTGGATGGGATCGTGTGGAGGCTGTTCAGTTTGGCGTTGGGGGAGAAAGTCACAGAGCCACCAGAACCACCTGAGCCACCGCTGTTGAGTGCGTTCAGCAGACACTCTCCACACCATCCAAACCACTCACGTCGGCGGCCCTAATCCCGTAGGCGTCTTGGTGAAGGCAACAGCGCCGTTGCCGCCAGCGCCCGCCTTAACGTCGACGACGTGGAAATCTTGGAATCTTTTATGACGTCGCTTGCCATCGACTCGCAGTCTTATCGCAGCTTCGTTGAGCGTCTTGCGTAGCGTCATCGGCGATCGTTGCAAGTGAACGTTGAAGATGAAGGAAACAAATAAAAATAAAATCCAGCAATTCTCACCAATCAGATTGCAGATCTACAAAGAATTCTGGCACGCACTTTCTTCTTTCAAGCTCAACACCCAGCGGCTGGATGACGCACCGATACCAGTCCACGCAGGTTTCAACGCAGGCAGGGCGATCATCGATAACAACACCGGCGACGTCATTGATACCCCGGCATCCCTCCTCCTCGACGGTCTTGGCGGTGTCGACGGCGTCCCTCTCAGCTACGCGGCGCACGGCCACGTCCACAACATGAACACCATCGAGGATTTCAAGCGCTGCGATAAGACAGCTCTCTTCAACTCCACCCTTGACTCCATCAAGCTGGCCAAATCCGTTGACGATTTGATCCGCTTCCTCCTCATCTCCTTCTCAGACATGAAAAAATTCACTTTTCACTACCTCGCAGCGACCCCTGCGGTGATTGATGGGGGTGCACCGTGGCTGGGGAGCATGGCTGGGTGCGATGCTGCTCTGGCACGCGAAATACAGAGTGTCCAGCCGGCAGGACAGTGGTGTTGGATTGTTCGCAGGGCAGATGACGGTGTGCTGAGTGGTGCATCTGTTGATGAGTGGGAGGTGTTCCATCGCGACACTCACTCACAGTCACACACTCACAACCACACTCCCACCATCGCCTTCATCGACCCCTCCTCAGGCCACGCGCCCGGATGGCCACTGCGCAATCTCCTCTACTACATCTGCACACGCTTCGGTGCGCGCAAAGTTGACGTCTTTGCCAGCAGAAACACACATTCTCTCTACGGCACGCTGACCACCGATGCACGCGCGTACGAGCAAGTAAGTGGGGTGGGATGGGAGAAAAACAGCTCCACGCATAAGATATCTCCACAGACAATCGACCTGAGTGCCTCACTCGATCCAACCAAACTCGCCGACCAGGCGGTAGAACTTAATCTCAAGTTGATGAAATGGCGCATACTCCCCTCGCTCGATCTGGACGTGATCGGTGGGCAGCGCTGTTTGCTGCTGGGGGCGGGTACGCTTGGATGTTATGTCGCACGCGGGTTGATGGCGTGGGGTGTGAGACACATCACCTTGGTTGACAGCGGCACAGTCAGCTATAGCAACCCTGTCAGGCAGCCGCTGTTCGAATTCGAGGACTGCGCAGAGGGCGGGAAGCCCAAGGCGGAGTGTGCGGCGGAGCGCTTACGTAGGATTTACCCAGGCGTACAGGCATGCGGTGTGCAGTTGAGCATTCCTATGCCAGGTCACCCCTTCCCAACCTCCAGCAAGGCGCGTGTGGAGAGCGAGGTTCACCGCCTTGATGCGCTCATCGATCAGCATGACTCCATATTTCTCCTCACTGACTCCCGCGAGAGCAGATGGCTGCCAACTCTGTTAGGCAAGGCGCGCAACAAGGTGGGTTGGAATTGGAGCGTAGTTTGGAAAACACCCTAACACGCACCACAGACGGTCATAAACGCCGCACTGGGATTCGACAGCTATCTCGTAATGCGTCATGGCACACCGGTCAACAAACTCGGTTGCTACTACTGTAACGATATAGTCGCACCAACAGACTCACTAAGTGATCGGACACTAGACCAGATGTGCACGGTCACCAGACCGGGTGTGGCGCCTATAGCTGCTGCTACTGCCGTCGAGATGCTGACATCACTCCTGCAACATCCACAGCAGAAGCATGTGGGGAGTACTCGTGCTGGTGGTGATCATGTGCACACCGATGAATCACTCCTCGGCGTTACTCCTCATCAAATTCGCGGCCAGCTCGGTCGGTTTGATAACGTGCAAATCACTGGCATGGCTTTCGACCGCTGCACGGCCTGCTCGGATGTCATCCAGGATGCATACCACACCCAAGGGATGGAGATGATCAGCAGGGCTATCAACGATAGTGACTACCTCGTCAATATCAGTGGTCTGTCAGATTTATATAAAGCTTCAGAAGATGCAATCAAGGATATAACAATAGAGAGTGAGGATGAGTTTTGATCAATCCACCCAAAATCACTCCAATCTTAATATCAAGTGGACACCAGAATCAGTATCGATGATGTCAGATAACTGTAAGACACCAATGTTAAACGAGGCATCTTCGAATGGTTTCTGCATCTGACCACGGCTGAATCTACCCAAGTCACCGCCTTTAGCGTGAGAGGAGCAGTCAGAGTGTTCGTGTGCGAGTTTCGAGAAGACGGCGGCGAGTTCATGAGCGTGGTACTGCGAGAGGGTTGATTGCAGCTCTCTCAGCTGAGCGAGGGCTTCTTCCTTTGAGCGAGTAATGTTAGCCTGTGGGTGGTGTTAGCGTGCGTGCTGCTGATACTTCCTACACTCTCACCTCCTTCCAGCTCGAAGGCCTTCTTGACTTGTTGTGCTTGATGAGAAGGTGCGACGCGCGTACTTTTTGTGGCGCTTCACCTGCGCCACCCGCACCACCCGCCAACAACTCATATCCAGCCAGCGACTTGATTTCTTCCTGAGTTAGATTCCCCGGTGCCTCCCAGACGCTCTCCCTCGTCTCCGAATTAAAGAAATATGGCTGCTGGCGTGAGTTTGAGAATTTAATCGTCCACGTCATTTTGCAATGATGTCACGAGCCAAGGCAACTAGGCAACATTTGTTTCATTTAGGATAAAAAATTAAATTATTACAAATTTCACTTATTCTCTTAGGACGTCATGTAAGTTGAGGCTTCAAGAGTCTCTGGGAGCTCTGGAATTGCAACCTCGAATCTGGACTGGATTGCTTTGAGTACATTGTCATCGTCCTCAGTAGAAACGAAAGTGATTGCTAGACCCTTTGTACCGAATCTACCTGCTCTACCTACTCTGTGAAGGTATGAGTCGGCATCTGTTGGTGTATCGTAGTTGACGACAATGTTTACTCTCTCAACATCGATACCTCTACCAAAGATATCAGTTGCAACCAAGATTCTAGACTCAAACTGCTTGAATTTGGTGTACCTCGCAATTCTCTCGTCTTGGCTCATTCTAGAGTGTATGCAAATTGATGGGAAGTTGCACTCTCTAAGTAATTTGTCTAGTTCGTTAGCTCTGAGTGTTGATTTAACAAAGATGACGACTTGGTTGAAGTCGAGGCTATCGAGGAGATCGTTCAGCTTGCGATTCTTTGTTGATTCAGATAACTTCACATAGTGCTGTTGTAAGCCGTGCAATGTAAGTTTAGTTTCATCGTCGACGTAGATTTCCAGTGGAGATTGCATGAATTTTTTGCAGACTGGTCTAATTTCTTTCGAGAGGGTGGCACTAAACATCATGACCTGCTTGTGATGTGGTGTAGCTTTGAATATTTCCTGTACATCCCTTCTCATATCCAATTGATCGAGCATTTTATCACACTCATCGAGAACAAAGTGTTTTATAGCCTTACCATTCAAGCTACCATCTCTAACTAAAGCGTTAATTCTACCAGGTGTACCAACGATAACATGAGGACATTTTTCCTTGTTTTTGAGTATTTCTTGATCGGCTGCGACTGGAGTACCACCAAAGAAGACGGAGGTTCTGACGTTTGGCACGTACTTTGAGAATCTGCCGTACTCATTTTTGATTTGATAAGCGAGTTCTCTAGTGTGGCAGAGGACGATGACAGAGACTTCACCGTCAACTGGCTCCAATTGCTGCAAAGACGCCAAAACGAAGACAGCAGTCTTACCCATACCAGATTTTGCCTGGCATACAACATCCATACCGAGAATAGCCTGTGGAATACACTCTTGTTGAACTGGTTGTTGTGGCTGTGAGTTGAGTGGTTGCGTGACTTGACCAACTAACCTTCTGAAGGATGCTCAAAACCCAAATCTGAGATTGCTCGCAGCAATTCAGGCTTTAAGAGGAAATCTCTGAATCCAGTGGAGTGTATGCCAACGTAAGAGCCCTTCTTATCCTTTCCTTCTTCTGTAGGCTGCGCGGGTTGCTGCTCCTGCTGCTGCTGTGGTGCGACTTCCTCCTCCTCGTAATCAATAAGGTCTTCGTTATCAGCCCTGGAAAACGCGTATTAATATTCTCATTGCCCTATTTAACACCAATTTATCTCACATTTTTTATTCACTCTGGGTGTATTCAACTAACACTCGATTCGGCGCATAGAAATTGAAAAATTATCTGAAAAGCGTGATTTATATTGAGTTTTTATATTTTCTTTTATTTTCTTATCTCACTTTCTAAGGCTGTCGTAATTCCTAACAAACCAATCCACGCTCTCCTCCAAAGCCTTTTCAAATGGGGTGAATTGAAAGTTACCGATGCACCTCATCAGCTTGTCGTTAGACGCAGGCTTCCTATACTGTCCATCTGGTTTGCTGGTGTCAAGGACATACTCTCCTTGGAATCCAACAGCCTTAACGACAGCATCAGCCACCTCTTTTATACTCACCTCCTCATTCTCCCCTACAGAGAGAATGACAGGTTCGATAGAATGATACTCGCGCAGCTGCCATATGAATAGCCTAGCGAGATCCAACGAGTAGATAAACTGCCGTAACGGCTTACCCGAACCCATCACCACGAATGGCTTCTTCTCCTTGTTTGCGAGGTAGCACTTGTGTATCAGGGCGGGTATAACGTGCGCGTATTCCAAGCTGTAGTTGTCATTAGGACCAAAGATATTCGTTGGAATTGCCGATGTGAACTGATTACCGAACTGGTCGTTGTACGCGTGGTTCTGTACATCTATCATACGCTTACCATATGCATAACCAAAGTTAGATGAATGTGGTGGTCCTAGGTGCACGCTCTCCTCGCGCAGCGGATAGGATACTTGGTCAGGGAAGACGCAAGTGGACAGGCAAGATATAAGTTTGTGTACCTGTGAAGGCTATGTTGAGACTTGTAGTTGTATATGTGCTGCAAGCCACCCACCTTAAATTCATGGCTCAAGTGGAGGACATTGTCGTTAATGAGCATGTTCTCGCGCAGGAAGTCTAACTGTGAGCGTGCGTAAGTGTGATTTACACCGCCCCATACAATATCGTACCTTGTATTTCATGTTGGCGAACAGTCCACCGACTTTCGCAGCGAGGTGTATGACGTGCGTCGGGGAGTATTTAGCGAATACCGCACGCGCTTCTGCGTAGTTGCTAAGTGTTCATCACGTGCGCCGTAAGCACTGTTCAGGTCATTCAACCCACACTCACCGCAGATCGCCATCAGTCGATTTGAGGAAGACCCAGGATTCGTTCGGCTGTCTCCCAAATCTACTTCCAATAGCCTCCTCATTGATCACTTTGTTTATTGCACTCCCAACTAATCCTGTTCCACCCGTAACGAGTACGACAGATGTGTTCTCTTGGCCGCTGCTACTGCTGTTGGTCATTTCGGTCTAAGGAATAAGGAATAAATATTCATCGTGCTTATAATCATATTTATTACGTTGATTGATTACGTTTTACAAAAATCCTGCTTCTGGTATGGACCCTTTCACCGCTTCGAAATTGTTCAGCGCTTGCTCCAAGTTCCAATTATTCGATTGAAGGCACTCTATAGAAAAGTCGTAATTGAGACGCGTCCTCACTGCCAGCTCACAAACAATACCATGTTGCTCTTTGGAAATGTGGTCTGGTGGGTTTTTCGGCAGCTTGAGTAGTATCCCTTTACTTCCCTCCACCGTGTCGATTGTGCTGCCCTCCCTCCACGCTTCAGATTTGGATAGTGCGCGTAGTGTGAGGCTGTCCGAAACCACCGCACACGGCCATCCACTCTCGGCGGCGAGCGTTGATACCGAAGAAGGAGCAAGAATAAAAGTACGGTCAAATGACCTGAACCCCTTATTGCCATTCTCTATAAACTCACCATGCACCGAACAGAATATTACAGCTGTTGAAGGTATCACTCCAGGCATGGTCCAGCAATCAAAAACGAAATTGTTGATATCGCTGATATTATGCGTTGTGCGTGGCAGTAGTTTTTGAGCTTCAATTATCATCTTATTTCCAACCGACAACTTCTGGTTCCTCGTTTCGTTGTTGTAGATCTTGGAACAATTTCTAGATGTCGCTGTTGGTTTATTGTCAATGTAAGGCTTCCACATTATTTTTGGTTTGCCGTCGTATAAATTTTGCCTTCTTGCGCGTGGAGGGGTGTTGGTGTTGACGGAGATACTGAATGTGGCTGTATCAGTGTAGGCAGGGAGTAAAGCACCTCTGTCATTATCAAAGAGACTAAAAAATCTAGTAAGAAATTCGGCAACCAATGGACCAACTTCAGCGTTATCTCTACCGAAACTACCGAGAATGGCAACAGGGAATTGAGATGGCAGGGATTTAGTTGCATCTGATTGAATGCGTTGTTTCTTTGGATCCAATTTGACACCATCACCCAAATCAAATGTTACGGAACGTTGAACAGGTTTCATATCGAGGAGTTCCAATGTAGGGAACTTCTTTATGACTCTCGCTCTCCACGTATCACCAAAGCGGGAAATGGGATTATTTGATAGAATGAGTTCTTTGAGGTTGCGTAGTCTGCGTGAGGAGCATAAAGCGTATAGGTCTTCTACGTGTCTGAAATCGTTATCGCTGAGGCTCAAGTTTTCGAGATTTGGGATGAATTCTGGGAGAGATTTGTAAGAATGTAAATTGCGCAAGTGATTCGAGGCCAGTGAGATAGTCTTGACATCAGGGAAGAGCTCAGCAATGAGTTTAAAGAGGGAGGGACCTGCGAGTGATTTCTGTTTGGAATAACCGGGTGGAATGAAATTTGCAGATTTAAGGATATCGTCGTCGCCCATTTTCTGGTTATTAGAGTTAGATAGGTGAAAAAACGCGTAAAACGGCCGACAAACCTCCAAATTTAGAAAATTGAGATTAGAATCGAAGCGAGTGTTTAAGAAGCGAGTCAATGCGTCGATAACGTTTCTGTCCGACGTGGGTTTTGTCGGAGGGTTATTGAGAGACACCTTCTTAGGGCGTGTGGGGGTGTTCGGACGTGAAGGAGCGCCACTCAGGCGAGATGAAGTAGATGGGCGTGCGAGAGGATTAGATTTGTTACGTATTTGAGATCTTCTTGATGAGGAATCAGCGTCTGACATGGAAGAATCCTCATTTGTGGAACCAACGCCTCTACCGCGTTTACCCTTGTGCTTTAATAAACCGGCAGATTTTAGGAGATTGTTTCCGACGCCGGGAGCATTTGAATTTGAATTTGAATTTTCAACACGATCGGCATACATGGTGGTGGATTGGGGGCAACAAGCACCTTGATTAGAAACGACCAACTTTAAATTAAAATTAAAAATGGGAGATATAAAGAGGCAGAAGATGGATACAGGGAATCCATTAGAAGGACTCACACCGAGAGCTGTGTCTGCTAAACAAGTGGATGGAGTTATGGTGGGTGATATTGACCAGAGAAACACCAATCTTACAATCCGTCCAATAGGAAGGCACGAATAATCCATTTAATGGCCAGGAATTCACCAGCCAATATAAATCCATTCTACAAGGCAGGAAACAACTCCCAGTTTTCAATCAAATGCAGGAATTCTACGATATTTTCAATAAAAATCAAATGATGGTTATGATTGGTGAAACTGGGTCTGGAAAAACCACTCAAATCCCTCAATACGTCGCTTACTCAGATTTTGCACACACCAAAGGTAAAATGATCGCCTGCACTCAACCACGTCGTGTTGCTGCTATGAGTGTGGCTAAGAGAGTGGCTGATGAAATGGATGTCTCCCTTGGTGAACAAGTCGGTTATTCGATTAGATTTGAGGACTTGACAACTCCAGGTACAACTTTCTTAAAGTACATGACTGATGGTATGCTCTTAAGAGAGGCTATGAATGACAACACCCTCTCACGCTACTCAACTATCATTCTCGATGAGGCTCACGAACGTACTCTCGCAACTGATATCCTTATGGGTCTTTTAAAGGAAATTGTTCCTCGCAGACCTGATCTTAAATTGGTTGTCATGTCTGCAACCCTTGACGCTCTCAAATTCCAAAACTATTTCAACAACGCGCCACTTTTAAAGGTCCCTGGTAGAACTTTCCCCGTTGAAACCTATTACACCGAAGAACCTGAAACTGATTACGTTGAATCTGCAATCAGAACTGTTCTCATGATCCATCAAGCTGAGGATCCTGGTGATATTCTTGTTTTCCTGACTGGTTCTGAAGAAATTGAAGACGCTTGCCGTAAAATCAAACTCGAGGGTGACGAATTGGAACGCAACTATAAAGGTGCCGTCGGTCCTCTCCTCGTCGTCCCTCTGTACTCCTCTCTCCCTCCACAACAACAAACAAGAATTTTCAACGACGCCCCTGAACCACGTCAACCAGGTGGTGCTCCTGGACGCAAAGTTGTTGTATCCACAAACATTGCCGAAACATCCCTCACCATCGACGGTATAGTTTATGTCGTAGATCCTGGCTTCTCCAAGCAAAAAGTTTACAATCCTCGCATCAGAGTGGAGTCTCTACTCCCTACCCCTATTTCTAAAGCTTCAGCACAACAGAGAGCTGGTAGAGCAGGGCGTACGCGACCAGGCAAGTGTTTCAGGCTGTACACGGAGAACGATTTTGTGTCTCAGCTGCAAGAGCAGACGTATCCGGAGATCCTGCGGTGCAACCTCGCCAACACGGTGCTAGAATTGAAGAAGCTAGGCATAAACGACCTTGTTCATTTCGACTACATGGATCCACCTGCACCTGAGACAGTAATGCGAGCGCTCGAGCTACTCAATTACCTTGGGGCGTTTGATGACGAGGGCAATCTTACACCACTAGGAGCCATCATGGCTGAGTTCCCACTCGACCCGCAGCTTGCCAAGATGTTGATAGTGAGTCCGGAATTCAAGTGCAGTAACGAGATACTTTCTCTCGCTGCTATGCTCTCCGTTCCTAATGTCTTTCTGCGTCCCGAGAGTCAGCGGAAAGAAGCGGACGACGCCAAAGCGCAGTTCACACATCCAGACGGCGACCATCTCACCTTGCTCAACGTCTTCCACGCCTTTAAGGCGAATAATGGAGATGGAAATTGGGCTTGGAATAACTACTTGTCACACCGTGCGTTGATAAGCGCCGACAATGTCCGCTTGCAATTGAAGCGCACTATGGAACGCTTCAATCTCGATCTCATCTCTACAGCGTTCGAGGATAAGCACTATTACACTAACATACGTAAGGCTGTTGTGTGCGGGTATTTCATGCAGGCAGCTCACAGAGAAGGCGCGAAAGGTAACACCTACCTTACTATTAAGGACCAGCAGGTCGTCAGTCTCCATCCCTCCACCGGCTTAGACACGTCGCCCGAATTTGTCGTATATAATGAGTTCGCTCTTACCACCAAGAACTTCCTAAGAACCGTCTCGGCTGTGAAACCGGAATGGCTGCTCAGCTTGGGCGGTGAATACTTTAACCTGCGCACCTTCCAAGACGGCCCGCTCAAGCGTGCGCTGATGCATGCTGCTGAAAAGAGAGCCGGCAAGAAGGACGACAAGAAAAAGCGTGGTGGTAAGTAAGAGGGTGTGTGATGAGTGAGGAATAGGATTTGTATATGCAGTTATGCAGCTATACAGCTATAATATAATCTATTTATCGTTGTTTTACCAATTTACACTTTATATTTTACCAAACTATCATGTCACCACCTAGAAATCCAAACCCTTGTCGAGATCCTTGCGAATATGATCGAGCATCCCTGGTGCCATCAGGGGTTTCCCTGTACCATCGTTGAGATACCTGTAGGGCATATCGACTGACTCCTGCGGGGTAAAGACGATAGTAGGGTCGTCAACGAAATCCATCTTCTCCATAGGAATATTATCCACAACGACGCGCTTGGTAGTACCTAGAGCTGTATCGGTGGACATCTGGCGAGGACCAAGGTGTCTACCCGGGAAACCAAATTTGCGAAGTTCCTTGGTACGATCGCGTGGAGGATCGTCACCGAGAATACCACCGAAGAGGAAATGGGAGAAGGTTTCCAAATCCTGTGGTTGGATGGGCTGCTCAGCTTTAGGGTCGAGAAGACAGACTTTCTCATGAGGGATGCCCTCGCGCGTGATTATATCCATAATGCCCTCCTTGTAGCACTCCGTGGTTGCCGCTTTGCCTTGGGATGGCGCCAGTGCCTGGTTGAGACTGTCGTAGGATGTCGACGATAGGTTCGTGTATATCACACGGGCATTCTCACCCGCATGCGTAGACGCTGCCATATTGCGATACTCTCTTAAACTCCATTCCGGTATCTTGTAGCCTTCTGGCTCTTCTTCTTCGACGTGCTCAATTACGTAGGTTGGGTACGCGGCTGGCATGGCTGTGGTGGTGGTGGTATGAAGAAGGTGCGGCGAGTTGTTGGCGCTGGCAGCACTCAACACTCAACACTAAGCACTCACCCACTCACCCACTTAAGATTCTTATATTTACTAGGAATATTTAAATATTACTTTGACATGATATCATGCTTGCGAAAATCTGCATACTTTACAAACACTACACATTCCCTCTACACGCACTCCCTCCGCACATCTACAGTGCACTGCGTTCCAGCGGCAGCGAAATGCGCGCGGATGAGCTGAGACGCGGACAGGGTGAGGTTGAAGATATCCACGTCGGAGGTCTCCTTCCCGACGAGCACTTTGAGCGAGACAAAGGAGGAGCCGAGTGAGTGTGCATTTGAGATTCCAGTAGCCGACGAGAAAGAGGAAGAGCACGAGGAATTGCGAGCGAGATCCACACAACTCGCATCATCATCGAGCAGTGTCGTGCTAGCAGCGCCTGGTGTTATCTGGAAGATGCGCGGGAGGTCCAAGTGCTTGACTAGTGGGTGAGTCTCGATCTGTGCGAGTTTGTGAGTGTGCGCCCGCAAATGATAATCAACTCACCTCGCGCAACGCTTCACGCAGTATCGGGATCGTCGTAGACGTCGGCGCCGTCTGCAATAGGATTCGCGAGAGGGTGATCAGAGATGGGTATATCAGGTATCCGATGCATACTGCCATACAGCCCGCTATCACTTGGTCACAGATATGGTGGTGGGGGGGTGGTATGAGCGCGGCTGTGAGCCACATCGCACTTCCGAACAGACTAATTAGGCAGCTATATGGATTGTTGATAAAGCTGGACATCTTGGGAGCGTTGTATAGCAGCGTGCCTGTGATGAGCGCTAGTGAGTGGTGGTTGTGGTAGTACTTGTTGGCAATATATGGTAGTATCGCAGAGAGCAGGATTAGATGAGTGGGGAAGGGAATACCATACTTGTGGTCATATTCATTGTATTCTCGGTAGTCATCTTCAGTGGAAGATATCAGCGCGTGTTCTACCGACTCCTTAGCAAGATAGGTCACGGCAAAGACTAAATAAATGACTTGCGTAAACAATGATAGAGTTTCTAGCCTGCGTATCCCGAACGGCTTCTTGTACGTAGGAGACACCGTCCTGTACCAGTCGAACAGGTTGATGGAGATGAGCGATATGCTGTCGAATGTAATCAAGTAACCCATTCCAGTGGTCGATAGACTCTCAATTCGTTGTCCTGCAAGCCATAACCAGGCGCCGAGGAGTAATTCAACACCAGTGAATGCAAATTTTCTCAAACTAAACGCTCTTCTTTCGAAAGTGGGTGGTGGGGCAGGTTTGCTGTCCTTTGTTTTGGCAAAGTTGGAGGATAACTTGGAAGACACAGCGCTGTTCACAGTCACGGTGGGGTCGTTGAAGCTAAAAAAAGCATGAGATAGTGAACGCTTATGGTGGTGCTTGCGTCGATTAGGCTTATCTGAAGAAGGAGTAGTGTTAAGAGAGGGAGTGAGAATTTGATTGGGTGGAGTGAAATTCAAGCTGTTTGAGCTTGTCTTTGTATTCAACTGTGTGTCTGGGTGCGGATCCTCAAGTAAAGTGCCCATTGAGCCGACAGCGCCGACAGAACTGAACATTCTCTTATGTGAAGGCAGTAAGGGTATTATATTCACATCCTCATTCTCTACGTCGTCTGTGCTGTTCGCAACGGTTGCGCCATCCAAAGGCTCCCAGATTGAATGCTTCTTGATATGGTTAGAATTAGTAGAGCCAGGCTGCCTTGGAGAGCCACTGCCAACATTCCCCTTGTACTCCTGCAATGGCGAATTCATTTAATCAATTTGACAGTGACGGTACACGGTTCAAGTTGCACACCCAGGATATCGTAATTGATAAGAAATTAAATTTAAAATGAGCGCATCAGTGTTATCGCAGCAGGCGCGTGATGAGCGTGATTTACGTGTTCCATCCAGCACACCGCCTCCACTGCCAGAAGAAGAAGAGCCTCCATTGCCAGACGAGGAGGAGCCCGTGTTGGAACAATCAGAGAGCGCAGGGAGCTCAGAAAATCCCCAGCAATCCCACCAACCCCATCCTCAAATCTTACACGGAAAGAACGGCTGGTCAGCCATCTACGAGCCAAATTCATCGCAATACTACTACTACAATCAATCTACGGGCGCAACGACCTGGCAAAATCCATTCTCTAATATAAATCCACAACATGACTCAATCAATACAAACAAACGCGAATTCTATCATGAAGAAGATGACGCGATTGATCCCGAGTTGGCCCATTTGATGCCCTCATCCAGTACTGATCCTGCTGGGTTTGTCCAGGCAAAGTTCAACGCTCGCACCGGTCAGTTCAACAGCAAAAGTTGGCAGACACCCGAGCACGTCTCCGCAATCAACAAGTCCAGGCGGCAACAAGGTGTGTAGACTATATATCAAATCTACCACCCCTTACCCACCTCACAGCTGCTTTCTTTGATCTCGATGCTTTCGAGAGGCAGAGAAACGACGACCATATGGCGAAAAAGGCTAAAATTGATGAGTTGGGTAAGGACAGTGTCAAGCCTAAGCTCTCAAAGGATCAAGTCAAGATGTATAAGGAACAGAAAGCAGCCAAGAGGTACAAAACCAAAACCGACTGGCTTGTGAATGACGATAAGTAGTATAACTAGCTGATTACTTCAATTAGTGGCCAATCTGGTACACCTTGTAGCCTATCAACTCGAGCTGCTTCACATCCACAATCAAATGACCATCTAATACCCATCCCGGGGGGTTTATTTTTTGGTAAATCGCATTCCAATCGATTTGGGTATAAAATTCATCCCAGTTTGTTAGTAAGAGGATGCAATGTGTATTGATTGCTGCTTCATCTATCGACTGACACGGTTCTACTTTTTCACTGGCATCAAACTCATTAATAATTTGCCAAGATGTGACAACGGGGTCGTAGACTGAGAAGTGTATATCGGGAAGCTGTCTGAGCAGCTCCTTAATAACTCTGATAGAAGGACTAAGTCGGAGATCGCCTGTATCTTTTTTGAAAGCGAGTCTGGCGTGGGTGTGAGGTGCAAAAAATAAAGAGTGAAAATCTGGACACCCACCCTAACACAGTGATTTTGACAGATTCGATACCCACCACGATTTCTTTGACGCGTTGTATGAATCTGTGCAACTGATAGTCATTCATCTCAATCACACTGTTCCAGTAGCGAGCTACGTGGTGGAGGTTGAGAGATTCGCAGAGATAGACGAGCATACGCAGGTCCTTCTCCAAACACGAGCCACCGAAGGCGAGGGAGGGAGAGAGGTACTCGCCTCGAATTCTTCGGTCTGTGGATAGCGAGTGGGTGAGTTGAGATATGTTTGCCCCGCTAGCATCGCAAATGGCAGTGAAGGAATTGATAGACGATATTCGCTGCGCTAGGAGAGCGTTGCTTGCCAATTTAGACAGCTCCGTTGAGTAGATGGACTGAGTGAGAATTTTCTCGCGCGGCACCCAGTTGGCATACAGGCCGATAAGAGTGTCGCGCGCCCGCAGGCCACTCTCGCTCCCATCGCAGCCAACAAGCACTCTATCGGGGCAAAGGGCGTCTCGAATGGCACTCCCTTGGCTGAGGAATTCGGGGATGGAGAGGATATCGAAGTGAGTGGGGTGGGCGAGAAGGGCGTGTGTGATTTGCGTGCACGTGTTTAATGGGAATGTGGACTTTTCGACTATTATTTTGCGCTGAGGGGAGCCGCATGTGTTGTGGAACATATCCAGAGTATCCGCGAGGAGAGAGGAGTGACTGAAATTGATGCAGAGGATAATGATGTCTGCAGTGTCTAAGCAGCGTGGCGAGGCTGTGAAGTGCACGTTGCTTTCCCTCAGCAATCCCTCCAAGCCCGGCTCAAAGAACGGTGGATCATGCCGAATCCAGCGATCGACTTTGACCAATTCCTTATCGTAGATGACGACATTTGCGTATTTCGATAAAACCGATCCAACGACCACACCGACCAATCCACTGCCCACGACAACCACGCTGAGCACATGACCGTTCTTCATAAACAGCCATGGCCGCTATCTCAGATGATGAGCAGACGGAGAGCGAGCCACCGCCATACGCGGCTGTGACCGCGGCAGCGACGGCGCCGGCGTACACGAGACACAGAAACAGACAGCGGCAGCCTCAGCCAGCCACCGCCACCAGAAGCAGCACAAACACACCGATTTCACTCACACTCATCTATCAGCTACTCCAGCTAACGTCTCTTCTGCCCGCTCTCACGGGCGTCCTCTACCTTCTCATTAGATTCTCGCTGCACACGCTCCCAGCTCCTAATCCTTCGCGCATCGAGTACCTCGCTTCAACCCCATGGGCGGTGCTTACGGCCGTTTACAGCTTCCAGATTATCAGCAGCATGCTACACAGGTGGAAGCAGTACTACCACCCCATTTCCGTCATTATCCGCCTCCTCTCGATACAGGCTGCGTCGTTTCCGTGGATCAGAGTCACCCTGTGGCTGTGCTCTACGCCTGAGAAACCCCTGCTGGCGTGGATGGTCGTCGCTATCACCACCGCCGTCTCCAGCTCCATCGCCCGGTGGTACATCAGCAATCTCAGCAGCACACAGTCTGCGCGTCATATCGATGTTGCTCGGCTGGTTACTAGGACCATTCTCCCCATCTCCACGCTCTCCCTTTTCAGCCTCTTCCTGCTTCTTTACGATCTCTACTATACCAGAGTCTCGCTTCAAGTGGCAATGGCGCTTTAGCACTGGCAATGGCGCTTTAACACACTGGCAATGGCATTTACTACACGAAAATCCTAATACACTAATCTTTATACTCACCTTTACTTCTCTACTCATACCTTTGCGTTCATATGTCGTCTTTTTTTTTCACTCATGCATTCTCTATTTATACATTGCTAAATAAACTACTGCGCACGCTGCCAACGAGATCCTTAAGCACGGCACTGCTCACTGTCTTCTTCTTGGGCGACGGTGACGGCGACGGCGACCTCACCAACTCGTCCTCCCTCTTGCGCTGTCTGCTGGATTGTTCGTGAGCAACTCTGACGCCCTCGGCCATTCTTTCGAGCTGCAACACCACGCGACGCGTCCTCTTCACTATATCTGTCTGCTCCACCAGCTCTTCTTGGTTGAGGGATACCCCATCGCGCACGACAAACGTTTCGTCTGCCGGGTGGCCAGAGAAGACTATGTCGAGTATGCGAGTCATCACATACACAGTATCGGCGTGGCTGCCATCCCACCCGGCTATCTCTGCGCGCAAGAGGAGCACATCGGGCTCAAAGTCGAAGCGTTCGTCGTCGAGCCACTCAATCAGTGTGGTGGGGAGGGGGATGCTTGTGTGGGTCAGGGTGGTTCTCCAGATGTTAAAAGCGAATAGCTCTTACCTCTCTTTCACGTTCGCATTCAATTTCACACCCACACTCTCCTTGAGCAGAGGTAGTGTGCGTGTCTCCGTCGGCGCCTCATCGCCATCCGCACCCGCACACAGCATCTGCACCGCCTCGTTCGTTGCCCGTATCGCCTCGTTGAGTATCGCGATCGACGAGTCCACCAAGGCGATCGCTATGTGGTGCGCATAGGGCATGTGATGGATGGCAAGTACACTAGCCAACGCGACTGGCGAGAACACCGCCGATACACGCCTAGGTGTGGTTGTTTGGTAGTGTCGCACCCCCACATCCACACTCTCCAAGAGAGTGTGCAGTTGGGAATCGAACGAGTGCGGGGCGATCTGGAGGTATTTCAAATGTAGTGCGGGTGTGTTCAAATTCGAGCTCAAGCACTGCAAAAACCAAGTGAGCTATGGTTTCACTCATCATGGTAGCTTCACTCACCTCGACAGCCTCGCTCTCACACCACGATAGCACCACGATAGTGGGTATAAAGGTGCCGTACGCTAAACGCCCCGCTACACGCTCCATCCTCCTTTTATCATTATTGAGTGTTCGCGCTCTCTCTTTTTCCGACTGCTGTCTCGCCAGCTCGCGCGAGCATTCAAAGAAAACAATAGCGGTAGAGGCGGGTGGCTGGAGTGCGAGTGCGAGTGTGAGTGTGAGTGTGGTTGTGAGTGTTAATCACCCCTTCAATCAGCTACTACCCACCTTCTCGCTATTCGCATACAACGAAAGCTGCGAGTTGGCTTGATTAAAGTCGCCAACATCTGCACCGAAACGCGTGCGCAGCCATGAGCTGGAGGAGGAAGAGTCGTCGTGGGTGTACAGCCCCACATCCACACTCGCAAAGTGTTTCAGGAGTGGGTTGCTGTGTATAAACCCAGCCACGACAGTCAACGCACCACCTCGATTCCACAACTCGCTTCTCTGCTGTACGTGCTGAAGAAGGGAACTCTCTGTCAGAGTTATCGACAAGATAAATAAGCCGCTCACCTGCTGCAACGTGTGCTCCATCTCTGAATCGCTCAGTCTGAGTCTGAGTTGATGGAGAGGTGAATGGTGAAAAGCCACCTCTTCATCCTCGTGATCGAAAAGCTCCTCTGCATCTTGTTTGTCTTCCTCATCCTCTTCATCCGGCAGGGTGAAAGCCGGGGTCGTGCCACCCCTCCCAAAGGAAAGACCCTCGACAGCCATTCTAAACTGCTTGAGACGCTCCTGGTCAACATCGCGCGCAATGACGCGTGCCACTGCAGCCGTCTTCCACAGACGCAGACAACGCAAAATCAGCCTGCGTCGCCTGTACATGGCTGCTACCTCTCGCAGCACGCACGACCGCACAGCCGCAGCCACCGTCTCGTCGAGAATGCGGTCGGTGAGTTTTGTGCATGTCGTGTGAGTGAGCTCGAGCCGTTCTCGTTCTCTACCTCGCTCTTCCTCCCTCGTTTTCTTGCGCTCCTCTTCTTCAGCTCGCAAACGCCCTTGTAGCTTGCGGTTTTCTGATAAACGCCTCCGCGATTGTGCTGCACGTGCTAATTGAGCTGCTTCCGTCGCTTCTGCCGCTTCTGCTGCTTTTTGTTTCTTCTGCCTCTCCCGCTCCTCTTGCTGCTGCTGGCGGTGTTTCTCGTCGAGGTCATTATCAGGTTGAACATCAGGTTGGGCACCTTGTCCTTGTCCCTGTGTGCTGGGTGGGGTGAATGCATTAGCAAACGCACCTGCAGTTTCAGTACCAGTGCCAGTGCCACTCCAGCTGAACGCGTTGGAAGACGGAGCGCCCTGTGTGTGCTGCGTAGTCTGTCTAGGTTGGAAGGAGAAGGCTGTTGCGATGGGTTTGGGAGGAGGGGGCATGAGGGAGGTCGGAGAGCTGTTAGAGTGATTGTGACTGCTAGTGCCCGTATCAGTACCCGCACTAGTTCCATAACCATAGCCTCCACCGCCACTGTCAATATTCGCATTTGTTTTGGTCGATGGCATTGTGAAAACTGGCGCAGATGGTCTAAGCGAGGACAAAGACGCTGGTTGGCTCTTTGGGATATCACCAGCCACAACATCGACACCGATATCAAAATCAATGGCTAGAGGGGTATCTATAACATCCCGCGCACTGAGCCTGCCTCTCTTGGCAGATACGAGACGAGACTTGCAGTGAGGGATAGTCGGACCCGAGTCGTTGACCTGCGACTGTTTGTTTACTCTAACGGCTGTGGGCGGGGCTTCGTCATTTCCATTATCATTATCTTTCTCATTCTCGCCGCCCCTCTCCACATCCAGCCCGAGGTTCTCCGCCTCGCGCGCGACATGCAAACCGTCGTCGCATCCGAGCACACTGACGAGGTCAGCGACGGGATAAGCGCGGTATTTGCTCGGGTAAGCGACGCGCATAGCCTTGAGGGCGCCTCTGCGCACGCTGCTGAAGGAGGGTTCGAGAAGGCACGCCATAAGGAAAGGGGTGCTACTCGAGCGGATAAGTTTGAAGAAGCGCGAGTATCCATTAGGGCTAGACACCGTATTATGGGGGCGTCCTCGTACGTCAGCCTCGTTCGAGCGGCGGGCGAGAGCGTGAAATTTGAGTGCGAGTTGAATGGGCTGCGAGAGGTAGAGTGAGGTGGGGAGGCGTTCTGCAGCAGCAGCAGTGCTAGAGTCGCGCAGATGAATGAGGAGGTGGTAGGCTCTGAACTCTGCTTCGTTCGGGAGTGTTTCGCCCGTGCTGGCCCGCCAGTCGTCGTAGAACTCCGTCAAGCTCAGCAACACCTTGCTCAGCTGCTCCAGCTCCTGCTGGTCAGACCACCCAGTGCGCTCGCATAGCTCGTGCAGGCAGAGGATGTGGTAGCGGGCTATGCGCTCGTGGCACTCGACGGCAACGCGGTCGCGGATGTGCTGCAGAGTGAAATCCTGTCGTATAGAGCGCGTCCTGTCGCGAAGGAAGTGGTGGCTGTCGTGCAGGTCTGCGTCTTCTGCGAGGATCGTGTGGAAGAGATAGTCGAGTGTTTGCTTGAGCACCGGCGCTGGGCGTACATCTGACGGCAGGCTGGCTTCGTCGCCGGCAGCTGGCCTGTGGAATGTCTTCACGGTGCGCGCGGGATTCGCCTGGCGCGGGTGCTCTGCGTATACCTCCCACTTATCCAGATTGAGCTGGTACTCGCGCTCGACGCGTTCAAACAGTGGACACATGGTGGTACACGTTCCTCGCAGCGTTATCGCATCGCTCAGACTCATTCCCCCTTGGCTCGGATCGGGGATTTGGCCATCTCTAATGGCTTCGAGTCGCTCGACTTCTCGGTGCGCGCGCAGCTGGGTAAGCGGGTCAGACGGGATTCGAACGCAGAGCCCTGCACACCTGCTGGTATTGCGTCTTGTCGGCGGTGAATCTGCTGCCTCTGTCGGTGGTGAGATGACCGTCAGCCATTAAGATAACATCAACGACGTAAAAACCTCTTTATTGGCTCAAATACAAATACACTGAATCTTGGGCTGTAGTATAAGCAAGCGAGTATTCTAACTGGGAGAAGTACCTGTGATAGGTCGGGAGTGAGAATTTTCACCTTTTGTGACGACACACACTAACCTTGGTTATCGTGTATGCTGCTATGGCTTCAGAGATGTGTGCTGTGTATCTGCCACTGCCGTCCCACTTGTTCTCCTCATCTTGCCAGAGATTGTAGCGCTGTCTGAATCTGTCGAGACGACGCTCACCCTCCTCGCAAGCAGCACGAGTCCAGCTTCTTATGTCATTGGTGTTATCGCAGCTATCTGCTCCCCACAACCACTCTAGACTACGCTCGCCTACGCCGAACCAGTGCAACCCCCCAAAGATAGCAATCACGGGAAAAATAGCTGTCAGCTCGTGGAGAATGGCGAATGAGGCGCTGAGGCTGATTGGGTCTGTGCCTGTGCGTTGACTGAGGTGTTGCAGGCGTTGAGTGTAGGTGTGAGTGCTCTTGTGGCGTACTTGGTTTGATTTCGGTACTCTGGGTGCTCTAAGTACTCGAGATAGTCCAGATACTCCAAATCCCCGGAATCCAGTCCAAATCAGCATCACTAACGCCGTGAAAGAGAGAGGGAGGAGAGGTAAGGAATTGAATGATCTAATATCCCAAGCATCTTTTATATACGCTCCATATTTTATATTCGATTAAATTAGAAAAATTTCGCCTTCAAATTTAATAGTCTTCCTAACTTCCCTCTTAGCGACCGACGACTCAAATCACGAGTGAGGGAGGGTTTAAATAGCGTTGGGCGTTACTCACACTGCACTCACAGCCAGGATGTCTTCTGCAGCCCACGCCAACCCAGCATTCTCCAAGAAGAACAAAGGTTCCGAAGGTATCAACTCAAAGCTTCAGCTCGTTGTCAAGTCGGGCAAGTACACGCTCGGCTACAAGTCTGCATTGAAGCAATTGAGATCTGGCAAGGGTGAGTTTTGATTATTATAAGAATACTCAGTCGATTATCTGGCATCGCACAGCGTGACTCAAGGTCGCTGCTAGAACTGGAGCCTCTGTTAATCACATTTGGCTGAGAAGGTTCTCTCTTACTCCCCACTAACACTCTCTCTCAGCCAAGCTCGTCCTCATCGCAGGCAACTGCCCACCTTTGCGCAAGTCTGAGCTCGAGTACTTTGCCATGCTTTCAAAGACAGCTGTTCACCACTACTCGGGCTCAAACGTCGCCCTCGGTACCGCTGCTGGTAAGCTTTTCCGCGTCGGTGTCCTCACCATCCAAGACCAAGGTGACTCTGACATTGTGAGTTGAAAATTTTACCCCTTTCTATGTCTTACACACCAACAGCTCTCATCATTCGAATAAGTTTGTTGATTGATTTGTAACTGGAGTCATTTATTGGATTGAGTCGAATACGAAGAGGTGTGTTTTGAGTGTTTATACTCCCGAGTGCCATGTCTTTTAGCTATAATGTCGAATAAATAAATACAAGTGCTTCTAAGAAAACTTCCATCTGTTGTTACACACCGTGCACGTAACAAACGTAGTCATTGGCTCATCCGCCGATCGCGTCTGCATTTGATAGTAGGTACACTTCCTCTGCTTGCATCTACCGCATTTGAATGAATCTGTCTCAGCTTGCTGTGGACCAGCGCCTCTAGCCTTGAATAAGTTATTCAACTCCAAAGCTCTATCCTGCTGTTTACGCTCCTCGGAAGCCATATCGCCTGAGGACATTCTACAGAAGATATCTGCAGGAGTATCACCGGAAATAACTGCAGCTCTAAGGGTAGGATTCTTCTTGTCTTTGAGGTTGAGCATCAGTGAGCGAATCTTTTTTTTATAGTCTTCTGCAGTGGAACCATTGTTATCATCGAGGACAGTGACTTCAATTGCGAGAGCTCTGTCCATAATAAGCTCAGAAGGTGCAGACGAGTCGAACACCATAGCATTGTAAAGCAAAGAGAGACAGGTATCGCGTGTTTTGTCGTTAAGTTTCTCGAAATCGACGTTATCAGTTTTACCTGAGCGTGGTTTGTCGTTTGTGGTGGTATTGGCTGTGGGACTAGACTCAGAAACTTCCTTGGGCTTCTTGGTAACATCATTCTTCCATTTCTTAACAATTTCCTTGGCTAAGTCGCTAATCTGCCTATTTTCATGGGAGCGCAGCTTACCCACAGCCAAACCAACTTTAGTTTCCTGGGATTGGATATAATGAGAACAAGGCGATTGAATACATCAAAACACACCCTTATGATATCCTCTGTAGCCGTTAATTCCTCTTTCAACGCCTTGAGTATCTCTATCATCACCTGCAATTCCATTAGAGGGTACAACAACAACAACGGCCAATACACACGTCACTCTTCCCAGACGCCTGAGAAGCCTGCAATTCAGTTCTCAGCTTGTTCACCGTTTTCACGTCCATTTTCGTGGTGGTGGAAGTCAACGACTCCTCTCTACCTTCACCAAGAAGCCCAATGAGATTAGAAAAATTAGCAAAATTATCTTTCAGGTTTCCAACCAACGTACAGCCATTAGAGAGGCGTTTCCAATCAGGTCTTCTTGACGGCCGTAATCGTCAAAGTGGTTATAACGTTTCATTTTCAGAGGTGTGTTTGGGTTTATAAAGGGTTTAGCACCTCTAATACACCCTAGCGACACACCAGAAGAAGCTGGTATCCAAATATTCAAAATAAGCGTCTATTCTCAGATACTCTACAGGACTTTGTGAAGATGAAAGTATCTACAAAGGCCTTACGTAGTATTGATAGATTTGGTGGTTTAGACAATTACCTCCTCAAAACAAGCGATGACAAACTCGGTTTATATGGTAGAGCATTGCGGAGGTCTATCCTCGACAAGCAGCTTGTTGGAAAACAATAAAAATTATGCATAAAATCATTTCATCTACTTTATCTACTTTACTTGTGCCCTTCTCTTTCCAATTTGCGCTTGGAATCCTGATTTGATTGCTGCAACTGATCTACGCGATCCACAAGACTCACATGTCATGAAGTAGAGTCTATTCTCCTTTGTTAGGTTAGTTTCTGGTGATTTGCATGTCTTGCAAGTGACATATTCAATGATATATCTTCTTAGCACATTCTCAATCTGCTTCTGTTGAAATCTACCTCTAATAACCAATCTTTGTGATCCATCGACGGAACCAGATGTACCCAACTCCGCAAATAGGAATTGTATCAAATGTTCTGGTTGTCTGTGCATCTTTTTACAGATATCTGCTATGTTAGCAAATGCTGTCTTCTTATTACCATCTTTAACAACCTGAGGTGGTGCAATGGTGTATCTCTTTGCACCGGTGACTAAGGCTGGGTTTTGAGAGTGAAGAAGTTTAAAAGTACGTGAAAGGAGTTCTTTGTACGTGTAGTCTCTTTCAGTACCCAACCAAGGTTCACCATTGTCATTTGATGATTCTGAGAGTGGGTCTAAACCATTTCCAGCGGTATCACCAGCTGTTTCACCACTCTCACCTTGGATCTGGGCATTTGAAGAGCTTCCTTGGTCTAATTCCTTATCGAAAGCATCCAAATCAAAAGCTTTCTTCTTGCTGCTGCTCTTCTTTTTCTTTTTCAAGTCTGAGAATTCATCTGGTTGATCTTCTTCTTGAACTGGGGAATGCTCTGGCTGCTCAGATTTCTCAGATATCTCACCCTTTTCACTCTTATCAGACTTCTTTTTAGATTTCTTTTTTAATCCAGAGAATAAATCTGATTCTTCTGCACCTTCTGGGGTGTCTGCTTGTCCAGCCTGAGCGTCTAAATCATCAAAATTTACAGCTTTCTTTTTCTTCTTCTTCAAAGCTGGATCAATTGAAAGATCTTGGTCTTGTTTGGTTGGAACGTGTGCGTCTGTCATGAGGTGGCTTAAAAACAGTGTTGGTCGCTGTGAGCTAAGGAGGGGAGAACGAATAAATTAATATTAACAAATTACTAGAATTAACCAAAATAACAGTACAAATCAATTTAATTTATTTTCATATTTCCATTTTATCGATTTTACAAGTTGGTACAAGTTGTACTCCGACGACGACGACGACACGATGCTTAGAGCGGCAACGACAATCAGACCAGCTTTAAAAACTTCAGTTCAGCCTGCAATGGCAGCGAGAACCTTCTCTTCCACCTCCCCTGCCGCTGAAACTCTCCGTGAAATTGAGCAACGTCTTAAATCCGTAAAGAACATTGAAAAGATCACAAAGTCTATGAAAATGATTGCCTCTACAAAGCTCACAAAGGCTCAAAGGGCTATGAACACTGCCATTCAATACGGCAAGACTAACAGTGAAATATTCGACCAATCACAAGTCCAAGCTCCTGAAAACGCAAAGTCTTTATGGATTGTTGTTTCCTCTGACTCTGGTTTGTGTGGTGGTATCCACTCCTCCGTTTCCAAGTACACAAAGCGTGGTATTATTGAGGAAGGTAGTGAAGAACACCCAATCGTTATCCTTGGTGACAGAGCACGTAACCAACTTCAGCGTTCAAACCCAAGCGACGTCAAACTCTCTTTCAACCAAATTGGTAAACAAATTCCAACTTTCACTGACGCTGCTGCCATCGCAGACACTATCCTCACTTCAGACATTGAATTTGATCAAGTAAACCTCGTCTACAACCAATACACTTCTCAAATTGGTTACGACGCTAACACCATCAAAGCCTACACTGAGAAAATTCTCAGTCAATCTCAAGGTTTCAAGTCTTATGAGCAAGAAGAGGAGGCAACCAAAGACCTCGCTCAATTCTCATTCGCCAACGCTATCTACGCTGCACTCGTTGAAGGTCACGCCTCTGAAATCAACGCCCGTAGAAACGCAATGGACAACGCCTCAAAGAACGCAGGTGAAATGATCAACAACCTCAACCTCAAGTACAACCGTGGTCGTCAAGCCCAAATCACCAACGAGCTTATCGAAGTTATCACTGGTGCTTCTTCACTTTAGACTTGATCACTTTATAGTACTTGTAGAGCGTGTCTATCTAAAATATCTTTCTTCAAATGAATTTAAACTAAATTTCAAATTAAATGGGATTGATTGAAAATTGGCATTTCATTGGCATAACCACGCTGTCTTCCCTCTTACCCACCCAAATACAAAATTCTTATACGCACAGCGTTACGAGCAGCGAGCATAAGAAGAAGAATTTCAATACCACCAATTAGATTTATAGGCAGAATGAATCACCCAGAGCAATCCAATAACTTGGAAGCACAAGTGCAAGCGCAACCACAGCCACAAGCAAACACCCAAAAACAATCTAAAAAGGATAAAAAGGCTTCAAATACCTCAAAGAATCCTATTGAAATGACCCCTCCTCCTGCTTACCTCAAAGAGCGTCTCGATATCTGGGACAGGCTTAAAGAAGCTGCAGACGCTGAATTAGCTTCAAAGCCAAGAGGCCCTATCACTATTACTCTTCCAGATGGCAAGCAGCAGCAAGGAACTTCATATGAAACAACTCCAATGGAACTCGTTAAAGCTATTGCTTCCTCACTTGCAGATAGAACCGTTATTTCTAAGGTGAACGGTGCTCTCTGGGATCTAGAAAGACCTTTCGAACAAGACAGCAACGTTGAATTTTTAGATTTCAACACAGAGGAAGGTCAACAAGTTTTCTGGCACTCCTCAGCTCACGTTCTCGGTGAGGCTTGTGAGAGGCACTATGGCAGTCACTTAGCTGTCGGTCCTCCAACTGACGACGGTTTCTTCTACGAAATGGCCATCCAAGACCGTATGGTGTATCAGGAGGACTACCAGCCACTTGAGCAAATTGCAAATAGCGCAATCAAGGAGAAACAGCCATTTGAAAGACTTATGGTATCTAAGGAGAAGCTCTTGGAGTTGTTTGCTTACAACAAGTACAAGCAGTACATCATCTCTTCAAAAATCCCTGACGGCACCTCCACTACCGTCTACAGATGCGGTCCAATGATCGATTTGTGTAGAGGTCCACACATCCCCCACACTGGAAAGATCAAAGCTTTCAATGTCAACAAGCACTCTGCGTCTTACTTCCTCGGTGATGCTAAGAATGACTCGTTGCAGCGTGTCTATGGTATCGCCTTCCCTGACAAAAAGCAGATGGTTGAATACAAGCACTTTATAGCTGAAGCTTCAAAGCGTGACCACAGAAAGATTGGCAAAGAACAAGAACTTTTCTTCTTCCATGAACTATCTCCAGGTAGTTGCTTCTTCTTGCCAAATGGTACGAGAATCTACAACACCCTGCTCGACTTTTTGAAAAAGGAGTACCATGCGCGCGGATACCAAGAAGTTATCACCCCCAACATGTTCAACACCAAGGTTTGGGAGACTTCCGGTCACTGGCAGAACTATGCCGAAAACATGTTTTCATTAGACATTGAAAAGGAGAAGTTCGCATTGAAGCCTATGAACTGTCCAGGTCATTGTTTATTATTCGACATGCGCGACCGTTCTTACAAAGAACTACCGTTCCGCGTTGCGGACTTTGGTGTCCTCCACCGCAACGAGGCGTCTGGCGCGTTGACTGGGTTGACTAGGGTGAGAAGATTCCAGCAAGACGATGCGCATATATTCTGTCGCAAGGATCAAATAGAGAATGAGTTCTCCGATCTGTTCGATTTCCTCGAGAAAGTCTATGGGATTTGTGGGTTCGACTTCAAGTTGAAATTGTCCACTAGACCCGAGAAGTATCTCGGTAAGGTAGAGGACTGGGATCAGGCCGAAAAGAACCTCTCCAACGCACTTGAGAAGTTTGTACCTGGTAAATGGGAACTCAACCCTGGCGATGGAGCATTCTACGGTCCAAAGATCGATATTACGATCAGTGATGCACTCAGACGTAACCACCAGTGTGCTACTATCCAACTAGACTTCCAACTCCCAGAGAGATTCAAGCTGCGGTACCGCACCGGCAACGACGAAGACTTTATCCAGAACGATGATGGGTCTATTGAGAAGGGCTTTGACAGACCGGTTATTATCCACAGGGCTATTCTCGGCTCGCTAGAGCGTTTCATAGCGATTGTCACTGAACACTTTGGCGGCAAGTGGTGAGTTGTTGACGGCGTGATGGTGTTCACTACCTCTAACAGTTCCAACAGGCCATTCTGGCTGTCGCCAAGACAAGCCATCATTATCCCCGTTGCGCACAAGTACGACGACTACGCTCATTCCCTCCAGAAACAGCTGTGGGATAATGAAATTATTTCCGAGGTGGATGCTGGAGAGAACACGCTGCCCAAGAAGATACGTAATGCTGAAATGGCTCAGCATAACTTCATTTTCGTCGTAGGTCAGGAGGAGGTAGACGGCAAGTCGGTCAACGTTCGCAATCGCGATGATGCTGGCTCTAAAGCTAAAACTCCTACTGTGCCTTTCGCCGAGGTGCTCCAGCAGATGGTGCGTCTTAAGGATGAGAAAAGACTTGAGAATAGGTTGTTTTAGGTGGTGGTAGTAGTATTTTAATTTCATTCATTTCATTTCACTTTATACAATTTACACTTGACAATTTCAATTTCACTTTCGCTTTCTGCGCTACTGATATTGCTATCAGTCACACTTAAACATTGTTCTGTCGCCCCAGCTGGTCACTGTCGAGGCGTGGGTCCGCGGCGATATCGTGCGGGTGTTTGTGGTATTTCTTTCCATCACGACCGAGTGCGTCTTCCATGCGCGCGTCCGTGTGGCGATGTCCCGCTGCTTGTCCCTTGTTTGCGAGGTCATGTTCGAGGGAGTGCATCGCATCGCGAGGTGCCCTGGTCTCATTCAGTGGTGGTCCCTGCTTGATGAGGTCGTCGGCCATGTTGTGCTCTGTCGTTGCTGGCTTGCTTACGACTTGCGATGTTTTTTTGAATTTGTTCTGGTCGTTGGTTGTCGTGTGCATCTGCGGTGTTAGATTGGAAGAAACAGTAAACCAGCGGGCGGAATAGACAAGCCCTCTGTTCTCACGTAACATCATAAATAAACTAACTGACGTAATTAATTGTTCCATCAAATTTTCACCCTTTATCATCCATTCATATATCTTAGGCGCTTTGATTGTCCTGTTGTTTTGTATTAGCATATTCGTGAGCCATCTAGCTAAGGTGACTATCCCTCACGCTGAGACATCTGCACACACCACACCTTGAAAAAACCTCGTAAATCTAAATCTAAATGCAAAAGTATAGTACATAATCAGCAATCCGTGTTGAGTTACATTACGCATGACGCTTTTCACCAGGCTCCTCAAATGCCTGCTCCCTTCTAAACTCATCCTCTTCTTGTTCGCGTGTGATCTGCTTGCATACCCTAGATCTAGCTCTTAGCCAGCCACCAAAAACCAACAAAGTGAATGGGATGGAAGACAGTGCGAGCGCAATGAAACCGATTGTCGATGACGCCCATGGGAAAGACAGGTTATCGAACATAGCGGTTGCGAAGAAAGGAAAAGTTGCACCAAGAAGATTTCTCAGTAATGCTTGTGCAGCTTGTGCAGATGAACTGTATTGCTCGTATGCGTCACCAATGTAGGTGTAGACACCAGCGTAAATAGGGAAAATACCAAAGTTGACACCAATAACTGCAATCATCGATACCCATGGAGTGATCCATGGACGCGCTGTCCACCCGAACATGAACTCGAACGCTCCGAATAACACAGCTCCGAGAGCTGCTTGGTATAGACGTGCTTCAGGTGGTGCAATATGCGTGACTGGATCTTTGCTTCTTTTGTAAAGTGCATTTTGACCAAAGTTGAGAAGCCATGCAAGGAATGCACCGATGAATCCACAAATCAACACGGTCCCGGACTCGCCTGTTGATCAGGTTAGACAGGGAATTTAAGGTAATCCAAACTAAAAAACCCACCCTGGTTGAAACCGTAGTTGACTTCGTATACATGTGGGGTAGCACCTGTGAAAAGGAAAACCATGCCCCAGGCGAAACCAACCCACAGCGCCAAAGCCATAACGATTGGCTCGGTCAAAAGGTAAACAATAGGTCTAGCCAACGACTTTGACATTGCTCCTTTGAATGAATGTGCGGCATCTGTTTTGATCTTGAGGTCTGTACCATATGTCTTGTTGTAGTTGCGAACTTTCTTGTCGAGAATGACGTCATGGCGTGTTTCATCGAGGAGGAACATACACAAGAGGAAGACTGCGCCGTTCATCGCCATCTGCATCCAGTAAATGTTAGGCCAGTCGGTTTTGAATGCCAACCAGTTGCAACACAACGGACCGAGCGCGTTTGCAGTAAAGACGATGAGCGTGAATGTAGCCATGGCAACACCACGACCGTGATCACGATGGAAGAGATCAGTGATAATACCTGCGACGTGAGGACCCTCAATACTTGCAGCCAAACCCTGGAAAAGACGTGTGATGGATAGGGACTCGATGTTAGGAGCGAGCGCTTGCGGAAGGAAGAGGATAACGATGAGAAGAAGCAGACCGACAATCATTGGCCGTCTACCGTAGGACTCGGATAGAGGAGCGAGGAAAAGAGGTCCGAGACCCAAAGCAGCATTGTAGGTGAAACTGGATGTGAGGAAGACGCTGCCGCTGATACCGAACTCTGCTGTGACACCTGCTTTGGCTGCTGAGTTACCTATAGAGAATGTGAGTATGTAAAATAACCTCAACATAGCACATGGACCCACCTGAGAAAAATTTAGCTTTGAAGAATAAGCATGAGTGAAGCGTTACCCACCTGTTGCATTGAAGGCAGAAACAAAGTTGAGAAGAAGTGCCATGATATAACTCTTGGACTTCTTAGGCATTGACCATTCCCAAGGGAGCTCCTGCCCCACAAGCTCCAAGTCGATAGGCGGAGGATCGTCGTGGTTCTTGACTTCAGACATTTGGTCCTTCTTGAACTTGTCGAAAAGCATAACAGCCGATTTAGAAGAGAAGAGTGTAACTGGCGGTATGAATGCGTGGGGATGACGAACAACCTAAATTTGGAAGGTTGTTTGTGGTGATTGTTCAGTGAAAACTTGTAACCGAGAATATATTTGTCTTTATCAGTGCCGCTCACGTGGTTATCATTTTTAGCTGGGCCGTACTCCGAGGACCTTGGCGAATAAGAATTTTTGTGTTGATAAATTATTATGTGCAAAAGTAGCAGTGTTTGACAATAGACAAAGAAATACCAAGACTAATGTTGCCAAGCAGCCAAGCAAACCCAAGCCTTACCCAATTCCATCTACGAAGAATTCGAAGATTTTCCGGACTTCTGAAATCTCTGATCGAGGTGGCGGCGGAAATCGCGGAGTTGCAGGGGCGTATTCATAGCTTTACATGGTAGGCTTTGAGCAGATTTTATCCACCAAGTTCCCTATTACGTGTGCTACCCGCTTAGCCGAAGCGAGGGTATGCGAAGGTGCAGAGAATTGGAGCAACTGTCAGAGGATACAAAAATATCTTCTATAGCAAATCACATGCTTATTGTAGGATTTTGAGTGCAATAGATTTTACACCGCTTGTTCAGGTCTGTCGGGGGCAGTGAACGTGTACCAGACTGTACGAGCGTTACATGATCGACTAAGGCCTCAGGTCGATGAGCACTCCCTAAACATCCATCCAATGCCCGTAATATATCTTAGACCTTGACTATGATCACAGCCGTCGTTTCAACGGCCGTATCTCAGCTATTGGACATAATTCTCAGCGCATATGTCTACAATGGCGAATTTCGGTATCCATTTTTCATCACTTTCACTGAATTTGCTATCTTGGCAGTATTTGCGAGGATTTACACCTCGATTCGCACGAGTAAATGTGCTGGGCGGGAAGCCAAGAACGACGACACACTCTCAGCCTCTCAATATCCTCGAGTGCCCAAAGTTTCGTACCTCTTTACGCTCCTCTTGGCTGTTTCCTGGTTTCTTATGAGGATCTTGTTCAATCTGAGCCACGTCCAGGTCCGAATCGGGCGGGCATCTGAGGTGGGGGTGATGCTGTCAATAGTATTCTACTAACGTAAAAAGGCTGCCATCCCTTTTTTGCTACTACCCGCATGCTCTTATTTTAATTTGATCCACATCGACGCACCGACCGCCGCTGTAAGCAGTACCACGTGAGCATTATTAATTCTAACACCCCTACAGCTTACTATAGCAAGCTCCTTGACTCTTATTGTTAATGGCGCTGTCAACGCTGAATCTATATCTGCCCCTGCCGTGCTCCTCCAAGTTGCTAGAGTTGTCGTACGTCATTGCCCTTATCATCGCGAGGGTGTCTAACGATTCGTTGCAGTCGCAAGCTATATTCTTAACCTGCCTCAATAAAACAATCAAGGACCATCACAGGAATCCTATCTTTGCCCTCAATGCTTATGCTCCCTATGCTGCACTTATCTCTTTGATTGGCTCGGTGGCTTTCGAGGGTGCGCGTTATCTGCGCTTTCTATTCTGTCCGCTGACACTCATTACGTATTTTAGGAATTGTCCCCCTCCACGACCTGCCGATAATTGGTTTGGTGATTCTCTTGGAGAATGTGCTCTTCTTCTTAGCCAACCAGATATCAGTAGCCTTTTTGTTACACGTAAGTTTAGTCCAGTATATTGAAGACATATCTCAAACGACACAGAAATCAAATGTTATTGCCTGGTCTAGCGTTTCTCATCTAATTACGGTGAGCTTAGTTTTAATATCGATGTTCGTAACAAAGCAAGCACTGCCGCTTGGACAAGCAGTCGTTACGACCTGCTCAGCCTTCTTATCTATGTTGCTCCTCCGCACACAATTTCTGAAGCATGAGAAGGCGACTCCACCAACAACAAAGATTCACCTCCACAATCTTGCACCTCATTTGGACATTTCACATGTCACTGGAATCCAACCGCTTAAAACACCACCAAATCTTAGTCGTACAAACAGCTCACAGCGTCTACAACATCCTCAATGAGGAATAATTGATAACTTGTATTTTACACTGTATAACAATTTTAATGGACATATGTTTTTTGCTTCGATCGCTTACGCTGATGAGGGAGGATAAGAAGACAGTGACAGCGACGACAGCGGCAACAGCGGCAACAGCGACGCCAACAGGGTATTGGTACTACGTTGGATTGTATTTGATGTTCAATCTTGCTTTGACGCTGTTCAATAAAGCCGTTCTCGATGACTTACCGTATCCATACACGCTCACTGCCGTACACGCTGCATCTAACGTAATTGGGTGTACGATTGCCAGGCTGTATGGACTATACGTGGGTGTCTGTTTGCAATTTAGACCCGCTGCTCATCCAGCACCTAGACGCCAGCGAAACTCTCAACAACGGAAATTGTGATTTTGATCTTCTTTGTGAGTTGGGGATAGTTTATAGTGCCCAATCTCAACCGCTGAAAGTCCACGCTGTACACCATCAACATTGCTGTGTCCAATCTGTCACTCAGTCTTGTCACAGTACCTGTTCACCAGGTGGGCATTTGATTGTTTATCGGGGTTAATCTTACGTTAGCTCAGATTATAAGGTCACTAGGACCTCTCTTCACCATGGCACTAGCTGTGCCTATCCTCGGATCTAAATTCTCAATACCCAAACTAGTGTCTTTGTTACCAGTAATCGCCGGTATCGCTCTGACGACATATGGCGAGATTAGCTTTACAGCACTCGGTCTGTTCCTCACATTCGCGGGTACAATCTTAGCAGCTTTCAAGACAGTCGTCACCAACTTGATGCAAACTGGTCAGCGATTCCAAATGCATCCTCTCGACTTACTCCATTGGCTGTCTCCATTGGCGTTGGCGCAGTGTATCGCTTATGCCGTCTACACAGGCGAGTACTTTGAAGTATACAAGGATCTCTGGCCGATGCATAACGTCTACAAGACTATCTTGGTGATTGCACTAAATGGTGCCCTTGCTTTCGGATTGAATGTTGTATCTTTCGTGTCGAATAAGAAGGTCGGACCACTTACCATCTCAGTCGCTGCGAATATCAAGCAGGTACTCACTGTTGTTCTGTCTTTCTTCTTTTTTGAGTTGAGCGTTAGTCAAGTGGGCTTTGTGGGCATAGTTTTAGCTTTGCTGGGAGGTGTGTGATGATCGTTTCAGGTGGTTTGCTTACTTGATTAACCTCCAACTACAGGTCTTTGGTATGGCAGAGTGGAGTATAATGACAAAAAACGCGCATTAACTTTGTAGACCGCTTCTTACGCTCATGTACTATTAGTCTGTAGAATACAATAATTTATGTCTATGCTAAGGTGTGGCTACTGTTGAGCCAGCAACCAAGGTCTTTCATTCCAGAAGACGTCTTTGATAATGTCTACGTGCAATGTCTGTATGTCTCCGCGCGTGCCATCTATACCATCCTTGCGTATTTTTTCAATTCTTTTTTTTTCCTTGTAGGCACCATCCGATGGCACTTGAGGCAGTGAAGGAGGATCGCGCACCAGGACAGAACCTTTCTTGTACATTTCATTCAGCTGATTGTAGTTTATGCCGTAATCTTTGAACAGAATGTCATGCTTTTGAGATGAGACAGTGCCTTTCAACAGATTGTGTGCTTCCCTCTCTGTCTTCTTACCCTGCTGGACAATAGCCCAGAAGCAGGTGTTGTATAGGTTGTTTATATGTGCTGGGAGCGCTTTTAGTTTGAATATGTCAATAAACGCGCTTTAAAACCCACTATCGACTTGCCTCCAAGCGAAATAGTCGCGAACGTGTATAGTGAGGGGGTAAGTGATAATTCTACCGTCAAAAATGGGTGGATAAGCGAGTGGAATACTAAAGTGTCTGCTCCAATTGTACATAAAAGCTGAAGAAAACGCAGAAACAACCTGAGTCACTATCTTTGCTTTACGGCGATCATAGATATGTGATTGAGGGCGCAAAAGGAAGCTTTTCGAGTGTGATTGTGAGTTTGGGTGCGAGGATTACTGGCATATTGACCCACCTATATTCATCACTCTCCCCGAAAGCCAAAATTACATCGTGGAGCTGCTGCATAACGAATTGAGCAGCGTCATTCATGCATTCTAAGGCTCGGCTATCATTTGGTTTCCTGAAATTATGTATATCGCTGAATCTAATTGCATTTTAGAGCGAATTGGAGTGCAAGATTGCTGTCACACCTGTGGAAGCTGTGACCATCTATTCTCACAACTGAGAAAGTACTCGGGATCAATCTGTCGTGTTCCTCGAACTCCCGTACGTATCCGAATCTTGAGTTGGCCATGTTGGTTGAAATAAGAAGAACATCCGAGTGGGTTAACATTTTAATCCTTTAAAGGAAAACCCTCAAATCCCCTGAGATTCGTCTAAAAATTAAATTTCTAAATTCAGAAATTAACCGTCATAAGCTTATCTTTCCAACGACGACGGCGAGAAGAACTACGAAGATGGATGATGACCATCCAATTCCACAGGCAGTATCAAATTTGAGGGATACGAATAAACGGTCTTCATCACAGCCTAGCAGCAGATCAGTCACTTTCTCAATTCGAGATAATGACGTTAATAATGTTGATAACGATAACGCTGTGGCAGATACAGACACTGAGGATGATTATGATGATAATCACAGATACAGGCGCAGTCTCCGTTTCGAGGATGACCTTGATACAGGCGATGTTAATCACAATGATACCCCGGATCAGGACGACGCTTGCATGGGAAATCCGGAGAAAGTAAACGCTGATCTTGAAACGCAAGCAAAGGACACAGAACACGCGGAACCGCCACAACCACCATCACCTCGACAACCTAAATGGCACAAATTCATTCAATGGAAGTACATTCGCTGGTTATATACAAATCACTCTTGGCATCACTTCAGACCTGTCATTAGAGCAAGTTTGGCTGCATGGCTTGGTCTTCTCCTTTTCCTCATTCAACCCGTCTTAGTCTTGATGGGCCAGGCTGCTTTCTATATCCTCGTTTGTGGTTTCTTGGCATCTCCACGTGATGCTATTTTACCAGACATTGAGCGTCAGATCATAAACCTAGTCTTTGTGTGCGCAGCCTGGGCTTGGTCAATAATCGGCCTTTCGATCGGTTTTGCAGGACGAGACGAAGCTCAGAACGAAGCTACAATGTCAGCCGTCCTTGAAGAAGCAAGCGCGATGAATAATTCTGATCTACAGCTATACATTCAACAGCAAGCTGTGGAAGGCCGGTTCATCCAAGCATCAACATCAGTCACAGCGGCCATCTTCCTTGCCTTCGGAAGTGGATTTTTCCTCTATCTTAAATCTAAACTATCACCACCACGCTATGGAGTAGCCTGTGTGTTTTCGACAATCTGTCTGATCGTATCGTTGACACAAGGTCATACCGCTTACTCCCCCAATTACAAGATAGGATCGTATTTCGCTCTCCCTCTAGCATTACAGTCAGCAATCAATATTCTTTGCTCTATGTTCGTGCTACCTGTCACTGTCAACCACCAATTCTTGCTTGGATTACAGGCGGTACTCCAACCGCTACAAAAGTTTACTCACGCAGAAACTGATTTGTTGGGCATTCCTGTCACGTCCGAGGATTGGATAGAAAGGGTAAGGTATCTCAAGACGCTCAACTCCCAATCCGTTCAAGCAATGATAGCGGTGCGTAGCAAGGACGCTCACGTCTTCCGTGAATACAGCTTCGGATTGTTGAGAGGCAGGGATTGTCATGAGTTGTTGGAATTGATACGAAATGTCCACCTGCGTAGTGGTGGGTTTATCACTTTTAGCGAAGCTTTGTTGGTCGCGTTTCACAACAAACACATCTTACAAGAAGCTGTAACACTAGCTGAGCCTGAAGATGTAGCGCAGAGTGCGGCATCTATTTACAGCCCCTCGAGAAACCCATCTCCCTTCTCATCTCAGCAAAACACACCTAGGAGCTCAGTCGCTCTGTCGAGATACGATACTGGTGACTCGAGGGATGTTGACAGTCATCATTCAGCTTTGCACATCTTTGGTTCGCATAGTATAGGTACTCTCACAGAACTGCTGCACAAGTCGAAGAGGAAACATGTTGCACCAATTGGTGTCTTTGAATCCCAGAGATACATGGCGCTTGAGGAGCGTATGAAATTCACTGATCAGGAGTTCGTGAGGGCACATTTTGCAATAGTCAGTGAACATTCGAGAGATCTTAACGATACCACGGCTGTTACTCTAGCACACGTCCAGAAGCAAATCGAGAGGGTTGATCGTGTTAGACTAGGATCGTGGCTTTTTCGTCGGCACGATTCTCCAGGCGAGGGTAACGCGATTATTGAGAATATGGAGATTTGCGATAATCTCCGCCGCGCTATCACCAAATTCAAGACTGAGGATAGACTAGCAGTACTGAGAAACTACTCTCAGTTCTTCGATGGCTCGCAGCCACGCGCAAAAATACCTTACAGAGCTTTGTTTTGGAGCTTCAATTATCAGTACTACCTCCTCGGTTTCTCAGGTGCACTCCTAGAACTTGCCGAAAAAATGTCCAATCTCGAAGCTAAGCGAAAAAAGCCTAGACTATGGATTCCTGAAGTGCATCTCTTTGGCTGGTTTGCTAGTAGCACCGAAAAGCATGGCGAAGAGGAAGAAGACGATGACGATCCCGAGCACATGGCAGATGTAATGGAAGTATACCCTCAATCGAGAGATCCCGACGTTCTAGCACCTTCGAATGTTTTTGAAAGATTTGGGTGGGTGTTTGTTTGATGCTAAGCTGATATATACTGAACGGACACCTTAAGATCAGTGTTATGGAAATTGTGGATGTTTGTTATGTCCAAACAGTCTTTGTTTGCGCTCAAAACTGCGCTTCTGGTTGCCCTCGTTACGCTGCCTGCCTTCCTGAAAACCTCGGCAGGGTTTTACTATTACGAACGGGGATTATGGGTCGCAATTATGGCCAATTTGACACACAGTCAACACCGAGTGAGTATTTGAGAGTTTTCACTTAGTTATAATGTCTGACGATTGGGTACAAAGGGTGATACTCTCTTCAATTGGTTCACGCGTCTGGTGTACTCTGTAGTCGGTATTTTCAGTGGTCTGCTGATATGGTAGGTAGTTGTTTGTTCATTTCTCAGTTGTTGACAAAGTGTAATTTTCTCATTAGGACAATAGCAGCTCAAAAAGGAACAGGTAATCCATACGCTGTCGGCGCGACGTGCGCAGTAGCATTCCCGATTATGTTCTACATAGTCATGTATTTCCCCGGTACGAATGTAGGATTGATGGTGTTAATGGTTTCTGTAGCTATGGTTTTGGGCTATAGCTGGCAAGACGCACACAATCCATCGCTTGTGAATGTCGGATGGGGATGGGATCTAGCTTGGAAGAGACTTGTTTTGGTAATCATTGGCGTTACAGCTGCATTCGTTTTCGCATACGTTCCACCAGTCTCCAGTGCCAAGAGACACCAGCGGTATATATACTCGCGCACAATAACAACAACAGCCAATAGCTGGTGTGCTATTGTTGGATATGCACTTAACAGTCATCATAGGGATATCGATGAGCAGGCAATAACCAAAACACTTCTTGCGGTTAAGTCGAAACTTCGGAAAAGTAAAGCTAGACAGGATTTTGCAGCTTTCGAATTCAGCTTAAGGGGTAGATGGCCTAGAGCGAGGTATGAAGCATTGCTTAATGTGCAACTAGATTTAGTAGAGCTGCTGTCGCAATTCATGGCTGTTGCGAAAGAGTTAGACCCGCTGTGGATGCAGTGCGTGATGAGTCGGAGCAGATATAACGATCATAGATTTGTGGGTGGTGATTTACAATTTGAATCTTTAGCTGACAATGATACAATACAGGTCGGCGATGTCTTGGCTTGTTTCGAAATGTGCGCTACGAGTATCAAGACAGGAATGCCCCTTCCTCAGATAACACCTTGTCCGTTGGTAGATCGGGGATATTCAGCAAAATTAGGATTGGATCTTGGCGAGCACGTCCCGGATGGACTACCATCGCATGTTGATTTCAATGTTTTGAAAAGCGAGGAGTATTGGGTGGGTTTGAAGTGGGAAACAAGTCTTTTCTGACAAAATCACACCAGCTTTATTGTGTCGCCTACTCGCTATCGCAGTCTATTTTGATCCGATTGGATAGACTAATGATTTACACCAAATCGCTAGTTGGTGAGCAATTCCATATTATGTTAGATGTTTAGACGGGAGGTTTAATTTAGTCTCGATAGTTGTATTTTTAAGGATTTATGTAAAGCATTGTTAATATCATCTACGTTAGATTGATTGGTTGTGTTTGAGTTTTGCTCACGTTTCATAATTCAGACAATCAAAGAGTAAAATCACAAAAGCAGCAGTAATAGCCCAACGAAAAGGTGTATGGAAACGTTACATGAATCTAGTAAACGTAACCGAGGATCTTACCACCAGTGTGCTTACGTCTGGCCTCCTCGTGGTCGACGATGCCGGAAGAGGTAGTAAGAATGATCTTACCGAATGAACGAGCTGGAAGGAGCATAGCAACCCAGTTCTCGATTTGAGAGAGTTGTACGTTGAATCTTGGGGAGATAACACCGCACTTGTTCAAACGACCGTTGAGTTGAACGACGACCTTTCCAGAACGGTGGTCATCGACTTCTTCAAAGTCGCCAATGTAGCCTGAGAGAGATGTGAGAAGGTGAATGAGGAAGGGAGATGGTTTGATTGGTTGTTAGGCGAATGAAAAAGAGAGTGAAAAAGTGTAATGTAGACACGTTACCGTTTCCAACGTATATGGGTGGATACGCAAGAATGTCTTTGTGTCAGTGAATATATCGACGTCTTAAAGAATGAAGGCGGGAGGAGTAGCCACAACATCAAACAGTTATAACGTCGAAAAGGAAGGATGAAAAAATTCACCTGACAACCAACCAAACCATTTCGAATAAAGCAACTCACCATGCTTTTGCATGACAGACAAGAACTTGACGACGACCTTTGAGGAAGGACGGACGAGGACTTGACGCTTTCCGCGACGCTCAGCGTTGACGATGTTGTTGAGTGCATCGTTGAGGATAGAGACACGGACCATTTTGTCTGATGATGGCTAGAGTCAGTAAAGTGGCTTAACCCGACGAGGTACACTATCAACATGCAATTGACACTCTAGTGTTCTGTCGGGTTTGAAGGGTAATTCACACCAGCCACTAGAGTGTGTTGCATATTTCCATTACTACTAACCTTGTGAGCGTGGGCTGGGAGCGTTAAGAGAAGCCTCGAATATTTTCTTATTTTGAGATTTCGCGCATCTCACAAAATTTAAAAAATGGGCGAGGCGGATATCGAAATTGAGGAAAAATCGAAAGCTTTGAGTTAACCAAGATGGTGAGGAGAGGAAAATAGGTAGATTTGGCTGGTATTTGCAGGGAATGTGGAGGCTAGTAATATTCAAGGGTGTGGCTAGTAATTAAGCTAGTACATATTCCAGTTCAAACAATTCTTCTTCACAACGACTCAACCAGCCAAATCACCTGTACGCAATTACTGGCACTAACACACAACTCTCCAGGGTCGCGTCCGTACAAAGACAGTCAAGCGCGCTTCTCGCGTTCTCATTGAGAAGTACTACCCAAGACTTACGCTTGACTTCCACACCAACAAGAGGATCTCTGACAGTGTAGGTAGCTTATAGATTGTGAATAACCCTCTTATTCGTTGTACAGGTCGCTGTCATTCCCTCAAAGAGACTGCGCAACAAAATTGCTGGATTCACCACCCACCTCATGAAGAGAATCCAGAAGGGTCCTGTCCGTGGTATCTCATTCAAGCTCCAAGAGGAAGAACGTGAGCGTAAGGATCAATACGTTCCAGACGTCTCTGCTCTCGACACCACCGAGAACCCTCTCGAAGTCGACCCAGACACCAAGGACCTCATCAAGTCTCTCGGCTTCGACTCGCTCCCTGTCAACGTCGCCGCTGTCTCCTCTTACCAAGGCCCTGAGCGTCGTCAACGTCGTGCTGTTCCAGGTGCTGCTTAAATTCGGTTTGAGTTTGAGTTTTGAATGTAATCATGTTTTATATGTACACGCATAAACTCCAAAACAGTGTTTGCTATTAGCTTGTTTTTACCTGCTTCTCTAAACTTGATATCCTCGCTTTGAGGTTGTTGATGTGGGTTATCTGCAGTAATTTGAGTACTTACATGCCACAAATTCTCCACCCCCACCTACCGTATCATCCAGCACCGTCAGCTTGAAATCACTCGGCTTAGATTTATCGTTGTTGGTATCGTTGCTGACGAGCTGTCGCAGCTCCTCGAAACGCATATTCACTCTCAACCTACGTCTCTTCTCGAGCTCTGAATGCTGCTGCCTGCGATGTGTTTCCTTCTCCTCCTTTGTCAATTCGTACTTTGTCATCCACGCCTATCCGTGTCCCGTGACAAACGTTGAAAATGTACCATGTCATTGTGTCGATGACAGGCACGTGAGCGGCGTGGGCGGTTTGAGCGGTTTAAGCGGTAGTGAAATGTGCTATAGAAACAGTGTATATACATTATAAAATATCCGTGAATATTACACAAACAACCCCGCATTAGCAACACCTACCGAGAAATCCACCACCATTATCCGCTTGTCATGTGAAGCTGTGACGATTCTCCTACTATCAAAAGCGAGGTCAAATATGAGAGAGGAGTGATGATTGACCGTGTTAGTGTATTGAATATCGCCGTCGACCTTATTAAGATTCCACACCTTAACGCAGCGATCGTAGCTGCCACTAACAATGATACGACGTGCGCTATCGATCTGCAGCGACCTCACCAACCCAGCGTGACCGACGAGGTTACACAGGTGAGTTCCATCAGTAAGCGATAGCTGTATGGTATTATCAGAAGAACCCGACGCAATGACCTCATTGTCAACATCTATACAAGCAATACCTCTACTATGCGTATTCTCAATCCGTCTCACCAACCTACCCTCATCGAGATTCCAGACATTGATAGCCTTATCGCCCCCCGCACTAGCGAGGACGTTAGATTTGGTGATCGAGAGGCTGTTGACGGGCGACGAGTGTGCGTGATCGAGTTGGTAGAGCAAAGTGAGGCTCTTACGTGAGTAGACACAAATACTTGAGTCTTTACTACACGAAGCGATGAAATGGTTGTTGAAGTCTACATCGAGGACTCCCGCCGTGTGGTGTGAGAGTGTACGCGCTACTTTCGCCCGCCCTAGCGTACGTCCACTGCCCAGCTTCCATACATGTACCACCCCATCAGAGCCGGCGGACACTCCAAACGTTTTGCAGAACTTGAGACTTATCACTGAACCGTCGTGCGCATCAGAGTACGTCGCAAGCAGTCGCAGCGTCTGCATGTCCCAGATACGTATCGATCTGTCGCGCGAACCTGACAGAATCTTCTCGTCGTCGAACGCTACTGTGTACACCTGTGTGGTTGTCAATTCACACCTGCTGACACTGCCTACTGCCTTCAACCCACGCTGTCTGTGTGCCCTTGGAGGAAATCAATCTTGGGATCAGCACCACCAAACCACCTGCGCTCTAATTGCATCCTGCATTTGAACAACTCGTACCAGTCGAGTGAGGTTGGTTTGAAAGAGAGTGGAGTGAGTGGTGTGGATGGCGTGTGTGGTGTGTGTGGTGTGTGCACTGTGTGTGCTGGTGAATCAGTTATTGATAGTGGAGTGAATTGAGTGTTTTTGTTTATTCCACTCGCAAATGCACTTCTGTTAACGCTATTTGATCTGCTTAATCCACTTGACCTAGATAAACTACCCACTGAGCTCGATCGAGAGAGTGTAGGTGGTGTGTATGCAGGTGTAGGCGGCGGTGTATCCTTCACTTGATCAGAAAGCTCCCAACCAAATCTGTAGAACAAGTCGCGGTATATGAGATTATCACTGGCTACATCATTCCACGATTTACAAACTAATTGGCAGTTGAGAATGTCCTCAAGGTTTATGTGTACCAGTATGTATATTGATATTTCTAGTGGCAATTCACTTATTATATCCTTGTGTACTCCAGGTATTATAGCCGACAAAATATCCATAAACTTCATCGTCAAGATGAGAATGGCTGTGATAATTACGATATAAAATTGCTATTGCATATGAATAGAGCCGTGATAATTAGAATGAACGGTGGTAATTATATGATAATACAAGTGTCTAGAAGATTCATTTATAATACATTGCTGCTCTTTTTAGCGTGCAAATTATTTGTCGCCTGGCTAATTAGATTATTCTGGCTGCTATGAGGCGATTGGATTGGTGTTTGTAGTGGTGTTGAGCTTGTTGAGGATGTGGCTGGTGATAGTGCAGGTGTATTACTGCTACCATAGTTGAGTCTATTAAGTTTGCTTGATAATATACTTGGTGAAGAAGGTAATACTTCAGCTTCCACGCTTCTCTTCCTCCAGATATTGAATACCTTTGTGAACTTGACTATCTCTTGGGTTGTAACACGCACGTCGCAGCTGAGATATCCAAACAACTCTCTCTCCACTGCATTGACCTCCCTCTGTGAAAATATCTGTTGAGATGCTATGTACCAGCTTTGATTTGTGAATGAATCGTCGTTGAACATTTTGTTCGTGATCATGATAGCTGCTAACCATAGCCTATGTCCTGAACTGCCTTTGGCGTTGGGGTACCTCGCCTTCAACCTCTGCAATAGGATCAACGCTGATAACGCCACCGATATATGTAACCTTGTCCTGTACAGTGCATAGTGGATGAAATCGCCGAGACTGACTATCGACTTTGATTCGGGGCATTCGAACAAACTGCTAACAAAGTTGGCTGCATCTTTTGAAAACTCTTTTCCAGCATTGTACCTCTCCGAAGTCGAGCCAGAAACTGCAGCGGTTGAGCCATAACTAGCGGAGCAGTGTGTGTTGAAGTTATTATTTGAAAACATTTGTTGCTTTGATGGTTCGAGTTTGAGCTTTGGAATCGATTTTGACCTTACTTTAGTCACTCGGTCTCGATGAGTCGAAACTTCCCCACCAATTTGACAGAGATTATTGTGGCTATTTTTCAAATTTTTGCTTCTAATCTGGTAAATTCGGGTGTCTGCATCTTAATTAGCTTCTCCTCTTCTCTCCCCGCTCACTCCTTGTCCTCGCCGACACATTTTCTCTGCGAAAAATTTGAAAATCTCGGAGTATTTCTCGAGGTACGTGCTAGAATGGTCTGTGATGTGACAAGCGGGGATAATTGTGCTGAGGCGGCCATTTCAGTGCACTCAAAGCACGTGCCACCCCACACCCATTTCTCGGCCGTCTCATAAATAACCTCCGACTAATCAGCTTATCCAATATCTTACACTATGCATAAATCCGCAGTTGACAAGCGTTGTAAATAATACATTATAAATCTTATATTTTTTACATTATATCTATTAAATTTATACACGCAGCGCTATAAACGGTGTACTCCGCAATACCATAGACCATTCTACGCGCGACAGACGCACTACGCACTTTTCGCAGTCTAGTCCAATTTAATCTAGTCTACTTGCACAGCTGTGGAGTCTCGAGTCTCGAGCATTCGACGCGCATCTGCATCTGTCTACGTGCATTGCGGTGCTGCTCTAAAATTAATAAATTGGACCGTGGACTACCTACCACCCAAGTACCTCCCAAGTATCAACCTCATGCCACCTCTCGGCTGCATCTTCTCGCCCGCGCATGCCCTCGCATGAACCTCGCATATGCCGAAAAGAGTCTGACGACAAGTTTCACACCCGTTCAACTCCCCGGCACCGCAGCTCTGCATGATGTGTGTAATCTGCGTGACTCATTTTGTCTGCTGACCGTCTCGTTACGTGGCATTACATTGCATTTCTCGCCTGAAACTATCCGATTTGTGCGTCGCGCGTGTCGCATTTCGCCTATCGCCTTCGCATTTCGCATCGCCCTTGGCCCGTCGCGTATCTACCCCGCCTCAGCTGATTTGCTTCTTCGCCTTGCGTCCCCGAGACAATCACAATCACACAATTGATAACTCGGGCAAGGCGATAATGATAGTGATGGCAAGTGGCAGGTGGCTGATGGAAATACCTGGAGCACATATGACCACGTTGATTAGAAATTAAACAGCACAAAACACAACATGTCATTCCATATGCACTATATATATTCTCTTATTTAGCGTGTACACGCTCATCCACTCCCTCACAAAAGCTCCACCGCTCCACCTCCACACCTAGAAATTGAGTGATCGCAGATAATCGGCAAGCTCCTCGACAACCTTAGTCGCTTCGCCTGGGAGTACAGGAGCGTCGTATTCCGTGACGAGGATCGCCTGTACAGTGCGCACGATAACGCATCCATTAGGCTGTAATTGTGTCAATGTGGGCCATGACGTTCATGACGTTGCCACGGCACACTCACCCCCTTCTTCCCATACACCTTCCCCTCGTCAGCCTGAAGAGTGAAGAATTTCTGTCCATTGAGCTTGATGCCTGAAGCCTGCGTGGCTTCAGAGTTGGAGAAAGACCCAATGATCGCTCTCTGCTCTTCCGGAGTGAGCTGGAGGTTGTGTTAGAATGTACATGCACACTAAACTCCCAGCCCCGATCGCTACTCACTTGGTAACCTGCACTTATCGCCCATATCCCGCCGTTCACTCCCATGATCGCGGCTCTGGATACCTTTTGCGTGCCGACAAGATTTCCATCTACGTATTCTGCGCTGCTTCAGTTGGCTCATAAACACTCCCCTTCACACTCACGCTGCCACGACATTTCTACTGTGGTATATGTGGTGGTTCAACCAAACGACGCACTCCAAGTGGGCCAAATGAGTCAAAATTTACTGTAAGCACACGATAGTATTTATGGCTGCTTGTTTTGCTCTATTTGAACCCTTCTTTGTCGCACACATCGTTTTACATGTACGTCACTCACTGCCACTGCAACTGCAACTGCAACTGCAAAATGGACATGTCAATGTAAATTTATAAGCTTATTCGTTGTACGCAACTATTAGCCTGATCTTAACAAATTATCTCCTAGCCTCTTGACTGGGATGTTTGATTCAATCGAGTTTTGGATTTTGTCGTGTACAGCTATGACTATCACATTTTTATAGCGCGTCATTTTACTTCCAATTCTATCCTAAAATTAGTCAGCCTTAACTTTACTGTGTTAACTTCACCTACACGTGTACGTCCGTAAACCGATTTCCCAAAAAAACGAGACAGTTAATTTCGTACACCATTGAGCCTGTCGGTAGTACAATAAAAATCCTTATTCATCGAATAATATCTCAATCGTGAACTAACTACATTCTACTTTCCCAATCCTATAAAAAGACTACCATACTATCCAATATCGCGATGCTGTTACCGGGTTGTTATTGGTTAGACGTATTCCGCTATAACTACAATTGTGTTACAGGTCTTAATCACACACACATCGCGCTATTGATTCGTCAATGATCGATCATCGATCATTCACGGACAAGGATACCCACTCCGTCCCTGCCTAGCACGCTGTCTTCTTCAGCCCTCCTAATTCCGAATTTGCTTCCACTAAGCATGAAACCGTTTTGATATATTTCATCTGGGTTGCGGAATGACTTCAGGGTTTTTTCTGCTCTGTCTCGTTGAACTGAGAAGGCGTTAACGGGTACACGTTGCTTGATCAAACGCCACCATTCGTCTCGAATCCCGGACTTGAATCCAAAGTACCTTCATACTTACTAACAATCGCTGATCTTGCTACATGCCCCGATACAGCAATAATTTGGCCTAAATATGCTAATTTGTGTTAATCGTGTTTAACTATACACTTACACTGCCACGACATGCTTGTTTTGCGAAAATTTTCCTACAATCAAAGCGAAATTCACTTAACATTGAAACTTTACGAGCAGCTGGCTGAACACTTAATTGAAAATTTCATCAGCCTCACACACCAATCTATGTACTATTTATATCGCAAAAATGTAACAAACTTATTCAATAACGCACCAATTTCTCAACCAGATCCGATACATATCCTTCAACTGTACCGATCTTTGCTTCTTCGGTGAAAAATGCGATAATATTCACGTTATCCGACGACGAAATGAGGCAAAATTCATGCTTTCCTTAAAAATAATCAGCGTTGACGTGGTATTGTTAGAAAACCCTACAGTCTGGCAAATTCCGAGCAACGTCAGCTTGAATAGATGAAGTGAAACTTCCTCTCCATTAATCTTGATAGAGCGTAATATATTTGAAAATTGAATCGATGGAAAAGTGCGTAACTAGTTTTTGATCTTCTCCACTTATTTATGCTAGTTATTAACGTATTGAGATTGCTCAAACATCATTAAACACCTCAAATTCCGAACTGGAAGCCAATTGCCTCCATCATACTTAATAATAGTTGCATCTTTTATGAGGGAATACACGAGTTTCTCAACCTTATCCATTCCATCTTAGTCTTCGTACTAAAATCTTCAAGATACACACTAACACTACCAATCAACTCCTTCAGACATGATTGTTATTAATAATCGTCAATGAACCAGTTGCGTGTCTCATGACGGATTAAGTTGAATTGAATAATTCAAGTTTTGAATGTGAAACTAGGTGAAACGCACCATGAATCACTCCAGTTGCATCTCCTCGAACAACTCCTCGTATACGTCAATTGTCACAGCTAAGACAATGAACATAACCTATTCAGAGCGCAATTATACATTCATTTGCACTCTCAAATGAAACAGCGATAACTTTACAGGATATCCAACACCTACACCTCCCCGTCCGTAAAAAATTCATAAATAGATAGGTGTATCACTTTAAGCCATCGAGCCTGATTGTAGATGCCATTGTAAATTCAAAGTTGTCTTTGAATGGGATCATTGTGGATTTTGTTCATTTTCTATCTGATCTGAGAACAGAATCAACTTTAAACTCGATTAATTGAAACAATTTTAACGTTACAAACAGGGCAATTCAAGTAGCTGCTCAAATAGCCCACTAAACACGCATAATCGTATACGTGTCCACATTGCGCTGCATACGAAACTCCGATATCGTTATTACAGCACACAGCACACCGACTAACACCATCGCCGTGCTCTTGCGTTACAGGCAGGGTTCTACGAGGTGTGAGTGTGCTCCTGCTTGTATAAACGCTGTAAACGAATTCCTGTGTTGTAATAATTCAGCATTGCACCTCACCCTGCCTTGTCGAATAGATACGCACAGTCATTACACTCCAGACTAGCTGCCGCTGCGTGAATTCGAGGTTGATGTTGGTGACGCACCCGCTCCCCTCCACTCCCAATCCCAGCATTCTCTCGCTCAGATTCGCATAGCGTCCACCGGCAACAAAGACAAGCCAATTCGCAAGCCCTGCTGCATCGGCCACCCTCTCTGCAACTTCCAGTAGTGACGCTAGACGGCGCTTGACGTGGTATCTAGATAGACTGCTCCAGTCCTCCACTGCCACCTTGTCCTTCAGCTTTCGGTGTGCGTATGGGATTATAACACGAGTCATGACATAGAGAAGACTGGAAATTGTGTTTAAATTAGTGTATTTGAGCAAATGCAGATCCATTCCGTATATGCTCTTGAACGCTCGCAGATATTTCCACATGTAAACACTCCGTATCAACGTCGTTATCTCATCTGCGTTGTTCATCTCGAAACCATTGAGCTGAGTGCTAGCCAATAAAGACACTCACCCCTAACACCCTCAGCGCTTCAACCACAGGTCGACTCAGTCCTCGCACCACCTCCTCGTCTAGCTCCTGTCCATCTAATCGCTGCACCCTCATGACGCAAGTTTGAGAAACGAAATAAATGTATTTACATTAAATTAGATGGAAATTTATTACTAGTCATAATTAAGCTAAATGAATGCCTGTTTATTTCATGCAAACCCGAATCCTGTATTGCCCTCGTGGATTGCCGTCAATATCTGTCTGCGAAGTGCCTCGTACGACGAATATGGTCCTAAATCTAGTTGATTGACTATACCTTTGATTAGTAAAGTAAATGTAGAAATCCAACAAAACTCACAGCATGTGTGTGCAGCAGGCAGTCTATCTTCTGCACCGTACGCCTTGTGAATGTTAAATCTCTGTGTGCCTTGTGATCCCTGTAGTGCACCAAATCCTTCGAGCGGTACACGAGATGAACCAGTTGCAAACTGCAAGAACGATGCTTTCTGTGTTGAGTCGAATGACCTCAGCACCCTCCAGAACCAACCGATCACTGGATCTGAAGGTGTGAATCCATGGTAGTCTGTCTGGTTCTTCCACGCATCGACATCAATATCAGGTAAACCAGAAATTAACAACTCCAATTCGTTCTCAGAGAATATCTTAACCAGGTCTTTCGGTATTATCTCGTGGAATCCTTCCAAGAAGCACTGAATCTGTCTCTCGATCGCTGTCGTGAGGCGGAACTCAGTTACAAGCTTGACATATTCCTTCTTGTTCTGGTCTGTTACCGGTATGTTCCTGCCGTTTGGAATTAAATCTATGATGTTCACTACACCGAACTCATCATCCTCGATCGAGAACGTCAACTCGAGCACACCCTCCAAGCTATTCTCCAACATCCAGACGAGTGAGTTGTAGTAACTCAAATCAACACTCTCCAAATCCTTAAAGTCTACCTGTCTGCCCAGCATATGCTTGTAGAACGACCTCGTAAAGTACGCATCCAACAGTCTACCATCGTAGATAGCTTTACCAATGATACGTCCAACAAACTTGAAGAAGTCCAAATGATGCTCATTTACGTACGACGCTCTATTTGGTTGATACGTCAATCTATCGGCATCACATGGCTGGAATAGTGCGTAATTTGGATTAAACATCTGTTGGGCGAGTACTTGGAACCATTCACGGGCAACTCCACCTGCATCGACACCCTCTTCTCCGTGGAACTTGACTGACAACTTACCATACTTAATCTCATCTCCAGACTTCCTCTGCAGGTACTGGAATGAGTCTGCGAAAACGTGCGAGCGACGGACGTTGACGTGCAGAGTTGGATATGTCTCTCCGCGCTTCCTTGCTCTCAGGCGCTGCATAAAGAAGCTTCTCTTGTTGTCAAACTCGAGAATGCGAGGGTTTTGTACGAGAAGTGAGAATGATCCACTCATAAGTGCTGGATTATTGCGAACCATGATATTGATGATTTTCCTGTGCTCCTCTGTGAAGTCTATGAAAATATCCTCGATGCTCTCATTCGCTGATGGGGATACTGGTGATCCCGTCATGCGCTTTGTTCTGAGTGCTTCTGTTTGTGGATTAACATACTTGCAAACCACCATAAGTGACTCGATGAGAGGTAAGAGAACGGTAGCGATATGTGTCATTTGCTCATTCTCTTCAATGATCTTGAGGTTTTCTGAGAGTTTTTGCCACACAGAACCAAACTAGATGTGTTGTTAGTTAACCACCTCATGCACAAGTCAACACCTACGTTAAATGAATCGTAAATAGCGTTCACCTTCAACTCATTTGTCTTAGCCTCTTCTTGCGTTGCAGCAGGTGGCTCAGCAGTTGTTTGCGGTTGCTGGTTGATATCTTCTCTCATCAAAGAGCCAAGCACTTGACGAAGCGAAGATGGCCTTTCTTCACCAGATTGCTCACTATTTTCGCTCATCTCGCTAGATTGACCGAACATGTAATCCACAGTCTTCAACACTCTAAGCAGACGCGCCTGCAGTGATGAAGCTGGGAGGAACTTCTCCATCGTTCCAGCAGAAACATCGTCGCTCTTTTCTGCATTTCTGAGTGCATCACCGAGCTCAACAAGTTCACCGTTGAGCTGCTGACCAAAGTCTTGCGCTTTCACCTTTAACTCAGCCGCAATAACATCCTTTGCGTCTGGTACAAAGCTCAAGTTCTGGATCAGACTTAGTGTCTGCTGGAACGTTTTGCTGGTGCATTCGCCGATCGTAAGTATGTTGACGACGTATTTGAGAACATGAGTAGGAATCTGAGGAGCAGTCTTTAGTCCCTCATCCTCCTTCTCATCTTCGGTCTTCTTGTTCTCGCCCTCCTTCTCTTTAGGACGAGGTGTAACGTTCGCGTCAGCTGGCTGTTGCTGAGGCTGCTCTTGCTGCTGTTCCTGAGTACCACTAGCTTCTGGTTTCTCGTTCTTGTCATCCTTCCTAAGCGTTGACAGTGGCTTTGTGACCGTCGCCAACAGAGTGGTAAACGTATCCATCATCATCTGCGTTTTGAAAACGGTTGGGCGATCAAGCAAACTCATCAACAGCACGATCGGGAACTTAACTGGTACTGTCTGCTTTTCCTTACCCTTGCTCTTCTTCGATGGTCTCGACCTCATGCTGCTTGAGAGATCGTGTTCAGTGAGGAAGAATGTCGAAGCGGCTGAGTTGCTGGAGACGAGAGTAGTGAGTGTCTCGAAGCAACGTTGGGCAAGCAGGTTTGGAATGGTCTCTGGAGGGATCTGCAGCAATATTGGACTAGCTGGCGTTTCTTGCGTGTGCTTGCGTTTGCTAGACACCTTACTGGTAGGAGTTGAAAGAGGTGTGGAGGCAGATGGCTTAGTTCCTTTCAAAGTCAATTGAGACAAGCTACGATCAACTGCTGGCAAGTCACCCGTACCTTCTTGCAAGATGTTCAGCAACAACAACAACAGGTCGTTTCTAGAGCGAGAGTTTTCGATAAGCTGCGGTAATTGTTAGATGATAGGGAATCTTGTACAGATCTACCCACATTGGCAAGAATCTTGAACAAGACCGATTTCTTGATTAGGTTTGGATAGAAAAGCAAACGTATCAAGATGGCCAATCCGCTCTTGTCGAGAAGCTGTATGGCATCCTTCTGGCGATGCTTCTCAGTGGCCTTCTTTGGTGGTGCCCGTGGTCCAGATGGTCTTCTACCACCAAGTATTTGTTGCAAATCCGCTCTACCCATCGATCTTTCACCGTCATGTTGAGGATCGAGCATTTCGCCGTTCATCAGAATGAATTGTCTCATACTTGGTTCTATGGAGTTGAAGAATGGGCTTGGATCTCCCATTGCACCAACTGCACCAACCTGAGATGAACGGCGCTCGTTACCACCTTCTGGTTGTCTTCCGCGATGGATTGACTCAAAGGCTTCTTGCTGAAGCACCTCGGCGCGAATCTCTGCTGGAAGAGCATTCAAGAACTCCATCGATATTTCGGAATCATCGTTTCCTTCTGCAGCTGGTGGGGCGCCTTCAGTAGTACGATTCTGGGCAGCTGCTGAATTTGCAGCTCTTCTCTGCTCACGAAGATGCTGCGTGAGAACCTCCTCACGCATATCATCTGGCAAGGCCTCCATAAAGCTGTTAAGGGTGTTAGACGAATGACACACTCCTCTAATCAAAATACTCACGATGGATCTATGCCAGTGTTTGTGATATCGACATCACGTCCATTGATCTGAATACTAACACGCTCTTGCGGAGCACTCGAAGAAGCATCTTGTTCTTGTTCTGCTGGTGCATCTTCAGCCATTTCGACATCTTCCTGCTGCTGGGCTTGAGGTTGGCTTTCAGCTTGCGCCTCTGACTGAACTTCTTGAGGACGCTCTGCTTCTCTCATTTCTTCTTCATGAGCTTGCTTTTCACGAGCGTCTTTCTCCTCTTGCTCCTTCTTAGATTTCTCTTCAGCCTCCTTCTGAGCTTTGTCCTCCTCATCTTTCTTGGTCTTTGCTTCGAGTTCCTTCGTCTTCTCAGCTTCCTCGGCACGGGCCTTCGCTGATGCTTCTCTAGCAGCTGGCAACAGCATCAGAATAATATGGTTGGTGATTTTGGATGAACGCTCTTGGGATGTTGAACCATAAAACAGCTTTGCACTATCGTACCACCTGCTAAATGTAGGCAGAGCCGCTAGACCATTGACAGCGCTCAAGATGTTCGCCGAATGAGTTTGAGGAGTTTGTTGGCGTCTTGAGTGCATGTTGGTGAGTTGCTCAATTGGAATAGAGCCGCTTGGTCCATTTGGCGAGTGCAATTCAAGATGCACACGTGCTCCAGCTGGCACCCCTCCTGCTGTTCCACCAGTTTCACGCTGAAGAAGCTGCTCAATGATCTGGAAACCGTTTCTACCGAACATGCTCTCAATGGTCTGCAAGAGTGGATTAGGGGCACCTGAGCGTTGGGAGCTCTGGCGTCTGTTTCCTGTATCTTGAGATGCTGGCGTTGAGCTAGGTGGTGCTTGATCAACGAGCAGTGGTTGTTGAGGGAGCTCGCGGTCACTCTCGAGACGATCGCGATTACCACCGAGGAAGCTTTGTGATCCTCCTTAAAGCTTGTCAGTAGAAAAATTATGGCTGCACCAATAACTCACCTCCAAACATACGTCTTCTTGATGATCCACCGCCGAGTAGAGGGCTTCCAAAGATAGCCGTTGTCTCTCCCATGCCACCACGGCCATCGAGAAGACTGCCTATGCGGGGAGCGCGCTCAACATCCGCCTCATCTCTGAACGCCAGACCTTCTTCCTCCGCGTCCTCATCAGTCTCTGAGAAACCGTCATCAATCAAACCATCATCGTCGAATTCAGGATCAGCAACACTCTCAGCCTCTTCTTCGTCGGGCGTTGGTGCTTCAATGACTGGATCAGCTTCGTCAAAGATAGATGGGTTTTCCTCGATTGGATTAAGCGCTTCCTCCTCGTCATACGCATCTTCGTCAAAATCGACTTCTTCACTGTTACAATGTTAGCATGACGCTTGAAGATCTGTACCAACGCACCCTTCATCCTCCTCATCAATCCAATCGTCAGCTTCTCCCTCCTCTATCTCGTCATGATCTTCCATGTCATCCGAGTCACCGTCACTGGATCCAGAATCATCGTCCGAAGATTCCGAGTGGTTACCAGAACCATGATGATGATGGAAATCAACTTCCATATCGTCGAAGTCTTCTTCTGCAATGGAAATGTCAGCAAATAGCCAATCGCTGGATACCAACTCACCATCCATTTCGCTGTCTTCATCGCCATCGTTTTCTTCGCCGTAATTTTCTCCACTGTACATACCGAGTGCAGAGTTGCGGTACAAATCAGGTGTACCAGCTCTGTCAGCATTACGCATCTCATCAGCACCAATATCATCCTCATCGCTGGAGTTGTCCTCATCGTCATCGTCCTCATCTTCATCCTCATCCTCGTCTTCATTTTGCTCATCCTGGCTGTTGGAGTCCTTCTTGTCCCCATTCTTGGCCATCTTGATCGAAATTTTGGTCAAACGTTCAAGTGGGGAGAGCAAGGCGCCGATGGTGACCTTCGAGTGTGGGAAAGAGATATCTATATCACCAAGTGCGTGCGTAAGGGTAGTGACATAGTTTTTCTCCAACATCACTTTAGCCATGTGGACAGATGACTCTGTTGAAGACTTTCCAGTAACAGGATTAACAGGCCTTGCGTCTATCAATCTGGCAATAATCTCAGACAAAGCTGTCAGTCTAGCGTATCTAACACTGAGATCCTCATCAGTGACACCAGATGTATTGTCCTTGATCAATTTGCTAATTACATCCAAGACGAACTTGCGTGAGAGGACAACCTCGTTTGGAATTTCTTTGCTGTCAGTCCAAGGTGAAGTGTCACTACATGTGCTGACAAAGACTGCAATTGCCCATTCAGCTAGCGCTCTTTGCTTGCGACCGACATTGTCATGGTTCGGTGCGCCGAGCGATGGCATGGAAATGAGCTCGCTGATCAAAAAGTTGAGGAACGACACCTTTGGTTTGAATGGTGTGCCACCGCCCTGCTTCTTCTTATTGGTCATAACTAGATTGACTTTGGAAGATGGATAGCTGGCGCAGATCTCGGTGATAGATTGGAGGATGAAACACGCATAGAAGTACTCTAAGGCTCCATCAGGAGTGCTTTCTTCCTTCTTTTCATCTTTCTTCTCTTGATCGGAAGCAGCTGAAGTGGAGGATTGAGGCTGTTGTGCTGGATCTTCTTGCTGTTGCTCACTTGAGCTGTTCTTCTTTTCCTCACCTTCTTTCTTTTTCTCTTCATCCGTCTTTTCAGCCAATGAAGCGAATTTCCTAGCCGTCTTGCCGACCCTCATGAGCTCAGCAACCAGGAATTGAAGGATAGATTCGAGAACCTCTGATGGCATGGGTGGTGCCTGAGAATTATCGTCCAGCTGCATGTCTTCGCCACGTTGCTGCTGGCCAGAATGCTCACCATCCTTTTTATCACCCAACTTCGATTTGAGCTCTGGGACGACGTCTGGACGCAGCTTGATGTGGAAGACGCCAGCTGCTGGTGAGTCACTCACAAGCATGCAGTTTTCCTTGATCACTTCCATAAACGCCTTCGTATCGCGCAAGGCTAGAGGTGACGCGGTCTTCGTGAAGGTCGATACATCAACGACCTTGCTCCCTGAGCTTGAACCTCTTGTTGGTGAGGAAGCGAAGTACGACAAAAGCTCGTTGTGCATTGTTGACTTGATGAGAGAGTCGTCTTCGATCAAATTTCTCATAATGAAGCTCAAGAAGAGTGTGGAGCCGCGGGCATTGTCAAGAGGACCGTCGAATATACTGCTGAGCATCTGCAATAGAGTTAGTAAATGCTTGTTCAATGTCAGGCCACAACTTACTTGCACACCACCAGCAGAGAAAAGGTCCTTCGAGTAGCGCGTTGAGCGAGTGAGCAAAGTAAGCACCTGCAATACCGCCATCAGATCAGCTTTCTTGAGTTCCCAGTTCTTATCCTTCGAGCGTTTAAATGTTGTCAAGGCAATCTCAAACAAGGCATTCTTCTGCTCTTCGAATGAGCCAGTGTCGACAATCTCCTCAATCTTAACTTCAGGAATGTTTTCGCCGACCTTGGTTGGATCATCTGCAGTCTTGATGACTTCTGAACATCCCAGCATTATAGCACTAGCTAATAAAAATGGAGCCAGCCACTTGGGAGGTGTTTGGCTGTCTATCACAGCTGGTCCAGACTTGTAAGTCAAGTTCAAAAGACGTTCACGCTGGTTGATAACGTTATCCTTCTGAGAAAACTGATGGTCTGATATCATGACTGAGAGTAAGTGCCAACGAACGTAGAGCTTGCCTTCGCACTGACGATCCTTTGCATCTAGCGTCTCAACCTCGTCGAGAAGAGTCTTGACACCGATCTGCTCAGCTGACTTTTCTTTGTCATCCTTAAACATATCTTTCACGTCGAAAACTATCTCGTAATGTGCATCAGCGAGGTTAAGCAAGATACTTGGGATGGTAGAGTAGAGATTCTGGCGAGCTTGATCGAGGGATCTCTTTACAGCATCTATATTATCGTTCATTGGCGTAATTTTACCTTCGGCTAACTTTGTCTCGTAATCCTTCTTTTCCTCGTCTTTTTGGCGTTTCTGACGTAGTTCAAACTCCCTAGCTATATCGACGTAGTCTGGTCTTGCCACTAACCATTCAGCAGCTTGAGCAACGTCGTCACCATTGTACATCAGCGCAACAGCCGAAGCATATTTTGGAAAGTCCATACTCATCATTTCTTGGAGTAACGTTTCGTTTAATCTATCAATTTTCATCACTCCCTCAATGTCTTCCATAACTTTGATTTCAACGTCCGAACGTGATTCAGCAGCTGGATGAGGCGGAGGTGGTAATTCAGGTTGAGACGTTTGTGCCTCAGATGGCTGCGTAGCATCTGATTCACTTTGAGCAGCTTCAGTTGGAGGCTCCTCACCCAAAATTCTGTGTAAAGGTGATGAGCGCATGTTAAAAAGAGCTCTCTCCAAATCCTGCAAATGACCAATACGTTCGGAAGGTGGATTACCTAATCTACCCTGCGGTCCAGCTGGTGGCTCAGCAGCTTCACCCTCGGCCTTGATAATGTTGAGGAAAGTCTGCACAATCAGTCTTGTAGGCTGACCGAGGGGTGCCTTGGATAACCATTCACTTTGGCATACCTTAACAAGAACTGGCATAATGATCGATCTTAATCTGACCAAGAAGTCGTTAGAGTTGAAATACTCTGCCGAGCTCTTGTCAGCTTCCCTCAACTGCAGCGGTCCAGTTTGACTGGATTCGAGGAGTGGTCTGGTGGCAGCAAAAGTATGGAAAAGCGGCATTATGTTCTCCAAAATACGATAGATTCTGAATTGTTGCATCTCAGCCGGAGACTTTGGAATCTCGTTATCGGTAATAGTCTGGTGCGAGAGCTCGTCACTTATTTGATCGAGCCTGTGGGTCAGAAGTTGCACTCCACCGAGTTGAGCGAAAGCGAATACCAGAGGTGTTTGGAGATGATTATGTGATGTGCGATCATCGAAAAAGAGCGCATTGATCGCTTTGAGGATCTGACACATGTATGCGCAGCTTGGGCGTGGATCTCCGTTGCCAGTGAACTGGAGGTGATCAACGAGTATCTGAGCCATAGCCTTAGATGTAATTACAGAGTTCTTCTTATGCGACTGGTCACTCTGACGTCTGTACAAGAACATCTTGACAACAGCTATGGTGGCGTTAGAAGGTACATTTCCAATAATACCATTACCCACCTTGGTAGAACGGAGTAGCAGTCTGAGGAATGTACATCGAGAGATGTGACAAAGATTTGTAATTGAGCTTGGAAGGGGTGCTTTCCTCAGCCTTCTTTTCTTCGTCAGACTTGTTTCCACTCTTTATGTTGACCGTTGGGTCTAAGTTGTTCATCATGATGTTTAGATTCTTCTCATACTTCTCATTTGACGACTTGGAACCTGACTCCAGCTCCTTCCAATCAAATTCAGTTTCTTTGTTCTCCTCAGCATTGAGCAAAAGGTGTTCCCAGGTGAGACTTCTGTCGAGTATGCCAATCATGTTTAACGTTTCTAAATTTCTAGGCTCGTTCAACTTTGGCAGGAAGAAACCATTCGAAACTCTAATATTCAAGAAGCCGATGGATGCGAACATATCAGAAATAAGCTGCACTCTCGAGTACAACTCAATCAAACTCCTGAACGTAGCATTTGCTTCCTCGTAGTCAGATTCATTGAGATCTTTCATCTTGATGAAGAGAGACTTGTTGCGCATTTCAGACCAAATGTGTCTGGTGCTTTCGAGCTTCTCTCTAACTTGCTCCATTGACCACATTAACGTCACTTCAGGCTTGATCTCGATTAACACTCTACCGAGCTGTGCGATAGCTTCAGATGCGCGACTAATGGAGAAGTCGTAAGGTAAGCAAGGCAGACCGAAGAACCTTCCAAGTCTTTCCAATCCACCTGCATCCAAAAATTCTTTTGCGTGTGTACCATTTGTGAAGACGGACTCGAGGAACTGTATTGGGTTAGGGAGATAAACCTGACTTCTAACGAACTCACTCTGGCCATGACATCGATGCATTTCATCGCGAAAGGATCTTCTCTCTTATCGTTTGGCACATTCTCCACCATGGAATGCTCGTCCTGGGTCAGCAGTCTGTATCTCGCCACCTCGCTCAAACCATACTGGCCGACTTCATTGCAGTCGAAAGCACCACCGATCTCTGCAATTCTATCTAGTTGACCGTTGATGGCATTCAATACCTTAGGTTTGAGTGAAGGTTGGTGTCTTATAAGTTCATCGACACTCGATCCAATGTTGACAGCATTCTCCTTTTCGCTCAACACCTTGATATGGGTAGCAGAGGTGAACATTTCGAATATCTTACCAATAATCGTATCAGATCTCTGCATGAATTCGTTCAAGCCGTTCTCATTCAAACAGCAAGCTGAGATGACATTGAAGATAACAGTGAGAATATCGATATGCGGTTCTATATACTCTTCGATACTGTTGTAAAACTTGGCAGGCAACTGTGCCTCCTGTATGATTGAGAGGGATGTAGGCTCGTTGTGTACGAATGTAGCCATGATATTGAGAGCGAATGAGGTGATCGATGCACCGAAGAATCTGCGGTTGTCGAGGATAAGATGAATGTCCTGCAGAAGTGTAGTGTCTATCAGATTGCGTATTCCACCCTCAGTACCTGAGGATGTAAGCAGCCTGTAGATAGAACGTAGCGACGATTTCATTGCTTGTGATTCAGAGACAGGGAGACGGCCAAATGTTGTTGCAACGTCCTCGTCATTGTCACTCTTCGCTTCCAACTCTGCCTTATGCTCTACACTCGCAAGAACTCGGTGGTGGATCTTCTCAACGAGTGTGGTGAGTCCATTGGCGTTGATAAAGATGGGAAGAGCGTTGCGGTATGAGTACAAAAGTGCATCGAGGAGTTGAAGACACTTTGTGATTAGCGTTGAGCTGTCGACTTTGAAGAGATTGATAAGCAATGTAATCAGCCCGGCCCCAACCAGCATCTGGCCACCCGAATTCGAAGTCGAGAGATGGCTGATCATAGAAAAAATGCTGTCCACAAGGTCCACAAGCTGTGGTGATGGTGGTGATGATTGAGACAACTTATTGGTGACATTGCGAATATAGGTGAACAACAAGCCCTGGTTGACACCTGCATTTAAGCAACTAAGAACTTCACTCACGCGCGTCTTGTAGTGCGCCAAAGATTCAAGGCAGATGAGAGAGGTGGATTGGATTGAGATATACTCATCGTCCAATGGAAGTTGAAGGAGGTGGGTGAGCTGCTGCACAAGTGTTGGTTCATAAATAAGCAGATTGTGTTGAGCTTGAGATTCTTTAACGAGCTGTAAATATAAACTCAAAGCTAGGAGTCTAGATTCGATGAAATGACGTCTGGAAGGGCTATCAAAAACCTTGATGGATCTGATGCGATGATATAGATCAAAGTTGTTCGAGTTGCCGTCTTTTGGTATTTTGTACTGATCAACGCACTCCTTGTGTAGGTCGAGGTCGCTAAGTGGATTTTCACCAACTTTTTCCAAGTGAATACTTCTCGACTGGGTGTCAAAGAATTGGAAAGAGACTGTGTCATTGAGGGGAGGAATAGAGGTTGTAATGGAATCAGCGAGACTGGCGCTACTTGGCCAGTTCCACGCCACTGATAGCAGAGCCTTGCTGTTGAGCTGGAGAGCGTTGCGATGGTGAGCTTGAATAGACAGAATAAGTTTGAGATTGTTGGAAAGCACCTCGACATCGTTTGTTAAAATGAGAGCGTCTAAATGCTCCACCGAATTAAATATCTTTCTATTGGAGCAATTATCGATGAGAAGCTTGAGAAATCTAAGGACAGCGTTGATAAGCCTCTTAGAGGATGCGTCAAAGAGCTTATCCTGCACACCGTAGCCAGCAGATTTCAAATTAAAGTCATTTGTAATCTTCTCGAGCGTGCCATCCAATCTATTGAGTACTCCGATGTACGCATAGAGATCTCCCTTGGGCCAAACCCACTCTTTGAAATCTTCGAGATGCGCTGCCATCTCCTCATCGGTGCACTTCTCAACAAGATGTAGCTTGTGACGGAGCGTCGTGGGGATTGTAGCCACTGTCCTTCTTGATGTACGTGGACGTACAGGGGCCATTGTAATTATTATTTATTTATTTTCAACTTGAACTTGATTGTTCTAAACCAAGTGTGGTGCGTCGTGGTCCTTGTGCTTTGTATTACGCAACACTCCAATCAAAATTTACGATGCAATAAATAACTTTTTTACTATATATACAAGCTGTGGTATATCAGTTGATCGCCGTGCTAGCTCTTGCTTTTCTTGAGCGTCGTTGCGTCTGGTGGCTGCTCCTGTCATGTTTGGTGAGAGCAACGCGGGTATTTAAATAACCCACACTCTTCTCCGAGACCATTGTATTCTCTCGCCCTCTTTTTAGTGCTGCTGCTCTTGATTCGGCACCTTTGTTCTGCCACTTCGTTAGCCCACACGGTCGATATCCCCGGTACTCACTTTTTTAGGCGATGAGAATGGTGTTTGTTGTGCTTGTGCATGTGGTTGCGGTTGTGGTAAGTCCTGCTGCTGATGTGGTGGCGATGGCTGCTGTTGATAGCCATTAGGTATAGGCGGCGGAGGCATGAGCAAGCTCCTTTTGTTATTGTGACTAGGAAGACGTCTGAGAATAAAGCTAAAGGCCCAAAGCCAACACCAAACTCACCCATCATTTATGTCATTCAACGAGCCTACGTTGACATTAGCACTGGCATTGGTATTGGTGTTGTCATCTATGACCGACTTGTCATCCACTACCGATACCATACTCGCGTCATTCATTTCGAACCCATCCCAAATCAGATCGTCGTCTTTGGTGGGATGTATTGATGAATGCGCAGAAGTATTGAGACTGCCATTGCTGTTACTGTTGCTCACACCGCTCATCCTCCTTACATTTGCCTCATGATACTCCCTCTCCTTCTCCCTCTCCTTCTCCTGCGCTTGCTGCTGCTGTCTCTGCTGCGTCAGACGCCTTTCCTCCTGCTCACGGACGTGGTTTGGTCTGTAGTCAAATTCTGGTGGTCTGTAGAGCTGATCTGGATCATAACGGTACTGCGGTGGATGATAATGTGAGTTCTACATTCCAAAACCACGCCATACCACTCACTCTATTCTTATCCTTATGTTTGATAATCTCCTTAGAGTAATCCTTATCGTACAGACAGTTACCGGTTGAGTTACCAAAGTAGCGCAAGCACCTCTTTACAGCGTCTGTGACTGACTCCTTGCGGCTCTTCTCGATAGCTGCTCCACGCGTTGGACAGTTAACCATTTCACCGAAACCGAAGTCTTCATGGAAAGCGCCCGTTGTGAATACTGTTACTCTCACGACTGTTGTGATAGCGCAGTTGAATTTGCCGGCAGGAGTAGGCTCAAGCTGTTACGGTGTTATTCGTGTGTACGCGTGCTCTCCAACGTACAAATTCAGTCGTGCTGCTCATGAGCTGAGTGGACCAGCCATCGTGGCCGAATATGCTGTTCGCGAGTGAAATGGCCTGGTTGCCTTCGATATAAGATACCTCTGATCGGCGTGTATGCGTCAGTGCGTCCTCGTTCATCACCCTGCCCCACTTACTGCTTCCGCCGGGCGCTGGTCGCTGGGAGATGCACTCCGGCGCCAGTCTCTTTGCCAGCTTCTCCGCAATCTCTTCTCGCTGTGTGGCGGAGAAAAACCTCTCTGACTGCTGCGAAAGCACTTGCGTTTCGTTGGGTGTAGACATGCCGAGTGCGAAGTTGGACGGTGCCGCGGCGTGATAGTCGTTCCTATCGCTATTGATTCCGATATTCGTGCGTAAAATATCTGGATTTCTGCCGTGGTTGTTACCGTTCATCTGCGCAGATTGAGTTGATTGAGATGGTGGTGTGTTGATAACGGACTAAATTACGTAAATACACGCTAAATGAGTAGTCTATTACAATGCTATCACAACATGACGTCAAAATACATTCTCATTTCCCAGCAGAGAACGGACTCTGCCAGGCGCTCTCAGCTTCATCGTTCACACTGCCATTAACTGACGTCGATCGCGATGCTGGCATTGAATTCCTCGCCTTACCTGCGATATACGCGCCAAAGCCACCAAGAGTGCTCTTAACCGACGCGTTCGGTGTAGTGGGGCTGCTCCCATTTGCACCAGCACTCGCACTCCTCCGATCATGCATATCCGACACTCCCTCACTCAGCCGCAGTCCTAAACCGTTGCCGCTCATGTGTGGATGTCGAGGCTCAATGAGGTCGAATAGTGCGACATCTGTGCGCATATTCCAGTCAATGAACGCAGTGCTCGTCCGCATTACATTCACAAACCCTTCACCAAAAGCCTGTGAAGGGTTTTTCTCGTAACTCATACCAACCAGACTGTCTTTCTTATTGTTACCGGTGCCATACTTGACATAATCGACATACTTGATACTGGCGAGAGCGGAGCAGATGTAGTCTTCAAATTTAGCTCTCAGCCAATCGTCACTGTCGACGAAAGACACGGGTCCACCACCCATGTTTTGGCGATGATGCGTCGCTGTAACGCTCGCGACTACCTCGTCCATCCACTTGCGATCTTGCGATGTCGGAGCGACCAGTTTCTCCAGACCCGGCGAATGCCACTCTAAGGTCCCATTGTCGATGTCGACAACAACATCTAACTTGAGATTCTTTTGCTGTGTGAACACGGCATTCGTAGTGCCGGCGAGGAAAGCATTTGTGCGCGCATCCATCAGCATCTCTATCTGTTGCAGCGGCATGTAGGGCTGGAAGAAGGAGCCTTTGCCAAAGAGGTCAAGCGGCATACCGGCGTATTCGAGAAGACTGTCGCGGTCTGTAGTACGCATGCTGCCAGTTGTGGTATTTCCACTCACTCTGCGCCCTAGTGTCGTGGGTATATCAGGACTAGCAGCATGTGCGAGTGCATGTAGCAGATTAGGAATGAGTGAGATGAGCGAGTATTGGAAGTTGCACAGCCGCTCGACAGGATACTCAGGGTGCTTGGACAGAGGGCGGTAGCCAAAGAATAAGATACGCTTTTGCAAGAGAAGAAGTTTCAGTAGGGTGAGTGTTTTGTGTTTGAACTTTAGCACAAGCTCGTGTAGGTTGGTGCCTGTGTTAAGAACAGCCTGGTTAGTGTAATCGAGCAAGCTGTGTTCAAGCGACTGGTGAAATTGGACAAGCAGCTGTCGTTCGCTGAAGTTGCGCTGGTGAAAAAAGGCACGCGTGATGACGCCGAGCTTGTCCCTGTTGAGCGTGAGCGTGTAAGAAGCGAGCAGTCACCAGCAATGCAACCCACCTTATTGGTCCAAAAACTGGCTTAGTAGTGAGTACCACGATTGCCTTCTGGACAATTGACCTGGTAACATGGCTATCTCTTTCGATCAACTCACTCGCCTTGAGCTGCCGATTGCAACTAATACCGAAGACGGTGGATTTGCCGAGCTTGCCGTCCTCCGGCGGCTTCAAGTGAAAGTAGGAAAAGTCCTCTTGCGTCATATGTGCGCCGTCAGGGAGAGCGAGGAAAGGGAGAAGACGGGCAAATTCGGAGTCAGTGACGGTATTTGGTGGGTGGCAGAACTCAATAATTGGGCCGAGATTGTGATGGAAGTCTATGAGTAGAGTTGCGAGGAGTGGATCGTTCTCGCTACGCTGCGATTGTGCGGCAGAAATATCATCGCTAGTTGAGCGTGTAGAATGAGATGAAGGACCTGGCAGTGGCGACGGCAGTGATGGCAGCGTTGCGTGCTTCGTATGCGGTGTATGCTGGGAATGCTCGTACTCGAATGGATTTACATCTTGGTGAAACGGCGTCGGAGTGAGCTTGGATTGAAGTTCCGATAGAGACGCCCGCGGATCTGATGCCCAGGGATCTTGGTCGAATGAGTTTAGGTGGGACATGGCCGTGTGTGCGCAAGGAGGTACGTGTGCCTCGAGATTTCCTCCAATTACTGCTGGAATGACACGAAATGTATATTTGTCGCATGAAATCTAATTTAAAATGATACAGAATCTAAGAAAGCCGTCGGGAGATGCCATCGTTGACGCCAGCCACGAAATGTCAGCTTCGAGAGGGATAGCTGTGCCGTGAAGAACGGGATAAGCTAGCTGTGGGTATTTGGAGCTGTCTGAGGGGAATAGTAAGGGCAACGATGTCGATAAAGCTTGCTGGAGTGTTAACTTTGGCGGAAGAATGTCTTGAATTACAATCTGATCTGGTAAGATGAATTTGAGCGGGATTGAGCGCGGTTTTGGCGTTTCATTATCATCCATCTCTTTTTCTTTGATTGACAAGGGCAATGGGAGCAATTTGTCCGCAATTTTGAAGTATTCGTCAATGTCATTCGACTGAATTGAGTGCCACAGCTGCTCAGTTTGATTAGTTTTTAACTGAGTTATGCGCTTAACAGTGCCCCAGTATATCAGCTGAGATTCCTTCAAACTACCCATGAAGCTCAGTTTGGTGGATTGCAGGTGAGCAGCAGCACTATCAGCAGAATTGGACAAGTGCAGGATGAGTTTGAGAGGAGGGGCGTGATTTTTAAGTGGATTATAATTAAACGTGTAATAATCATACGATAGACCAATATTCCAATGCAATTTGAGCTTATCGGGGATGTTATTAGCGGTCGTGTTGCTCTCGGGCAAATCAACGACTTCAAACCAAATATCGTCGTCGTTGATACTGTTAAGCTGGTTGGAGCTATGATTTGATTGCAGGAACGCATATTTCAATTGCTGGTATATGAAAAATGGGTAGGAATTTCTATACGCCGTGAAGTAAACGGTATCTAGCACGCTAAGGCCATCTTTTCTAACAGAGAGTTCCAAGGAGACGGTAGAATTCCAATTGAGACTCCTAAAGTAATTCAAGTCAGAGGACATTTGAATCGTCTGCTCGGTATGAAGATTCAAACTAAGTTGAACGGGTAAAAACAAGGCTAGAAGGACTACGATGAAATTATTCAACAAGTTCAACAAGAAGAGGAGTAACAAGAAGACCAAGAAGGGAATATCCAATACAGATATCATTCCGCACCTCTCGCCGTTTGATCCTTTCACATATAATCACGATCCATTTGCAAAACTAGACGACAGTAAGCAAGAACGGAGACAAGTGCAGTACAAGAACAATCACCTCAAGAATCCAATCTATAAGCTACCTTCTATCGACGATATCAGTTTACCAGATTTATCCGACAAAGGAGGCGCTTGAATGGAATTATACCTTAAGTGAAAAGCAAGACACTGGGTATAAAATACGCGAATATCCATGACTCAATATAAATTATATAATGAACCTGTAATATACCGACAAGACAGTCTAACACTCTTTGTACCATACCACCACCAATATGCCACAGCCGAATCATCGTACAATACCTTCACAGTCTCTAAACACACCAAAGCCAGCAAAGAAGGCTAAGAAAGTTGCAGTAAAGCTTCCCAGCCGTGATGGAAGAAGGGTTCTCGACACAGACAATGCCACGGACACGGGCACTGCCACTTCCACGCCACCAGTTATATCCACAATACCCACATCTACTTCACATTTACACCAGTCTCCTGACGATAATGTTATTGATATCTTCCTTCCAGGAAAAGACGCTTGGGACGCTATCAAGCAGCGTGGAATAACCAATCAGCTATACAAGCTGGGAATACACACCCAGCCTACACTATCTGAGCAGAAATATGACTCAAACTTTGATACCCCACCTGAAAATGACTTATTATCCTTTAAAATGGATAGGTTCTTTAATGACTCGCTTGTCGATAGCAAGACACCCAATCCAGACAACTCCACTCTCTCTTTGTCCAATTTCAACACCACAAGCTTATCGCCGGCTTTGTCTTCTCCGTCGGGCTACTTGCAGCACTCCCCACTCTCAAACACAGGCCATTTAAGTATTCCACATACTTCAGCTCCAGCTTCAAACGCCTCACCCAACCCATCCTCACTTGCTGATGTCGAAGAAGTCGAGGAAGTGGAAGAGGTAGAAAACGCGGCGGAAAACTTGGCTTATAACACAGAGGCAGTTGATAACACAGTGTCGACTGATAATACTCAGCAACAAGATAACAAAGACCAATTAGAGGTGGAGAATCATCTCAATAACACCTCTCCAAACACCTCAATCATCCCAGATGAGGCTCCTCAATTGCCCCCACCCTCTTTCCAAGAACTCAGCAGAGGGTTTGGCTATGAGCTTGACTATGAAGACGAACAGGCTCAGCTAGCCCAGCTCGAGAAAGAGGAAAGAAATCACAAAAAGTCCATGTCAGGATTTTCTATCAAGTCCGATAGCCAGCAGTATGATAATGATGAGGATGTCCAAGACGCAGTGGATGAAAAGGACGACGGGGCTACAGAGGATACCGCCACTGCTCAAGACACTGACGCTGAAGCAGTTGAAGACATTTTCAAAGCAGAAAGTTTAGACGGTGAGTGCGAGTGTCTCACTACACCAAACACTCCTAACACTTTTCGCAGATAACAACACCAACACTGATATTGATGAACAAGCCTTCAATTACGAGCTGTATGAGCTGCAGAGAAAGGACACAGAGGCTGACGAACAAGTGCAGCTTCAGCGCGATCAAGAAGAAAACACCAAAATACCATCCGCATATCCCAAAAGCGCTCTCAAACCGACTGTTACAGAGTTTGTCCCCGCAGCTCCTGCAGCTCCTTTCAAAGACAGCACCAACGAGTACAACTCAGCTTTCAAATTCGATCGGTACTCATTACCAGCGCAATACGACGCACCAAAACAACCTATACCCAATCACATGACCAAACGTCAAAGAGCATCATCGCGCGCGACCTCGGGCGAGGGTGATAACTGGTCAGGCTTCGACGTCAACAGTGACGGAGGGGACCTCGACACCTTCTCTAACCCTTCCGATGAAGAGCGGCTGCTACAGCACCGCCTCAATAGCCGCATGATGTCGAATCATGCTTTACAATTCGGGGGTAAGGAGAATGAGCGTGAGCAGGAGCAGGAGCAGGAGCAGGAGCAAGATGATGAACACACACTCTCTGCGCCGCTCAACGCACTCAATAGAAAGACGTCGCTCTCTGCTAATGCACCGGTGTTTGAGCCCGGCAACTTCACTTTCAAGTCTGAGCTGAGTCTGAACCGGAGTGCGCCACCTGAAAGCTCACTGGGGTCGCTTCATAGGACGGAGTCGAAAGAGAGTGAGATGCCTTATAAGCGGGGACGCCCTAACCCAAGTGATACCTCGGATGACTGGAAGATTCCATCCACGATCAAGCAGGAAGAGGTCGAGGGCGATGTGTACGATGTCAATGTCAGTGGTGTGAAGCACTCTGACAGAGAGTGCGAGAGCGTAAACGCTTCGCGCACGAACTTGAGTCTGCAGGATGTGTATCACAAATTGGAGCAGCTATCTATCAACCTCAAAGCACGCGATGTAGTGACGAGGGACGATCTAAAAGAAGCCATTGAACATGACAGAGGCTTAATAATGGAGGTCTTGTTCCGAAACAGCTCGTCTGGTGATGTTTTGGCCGCTCTTAAACCACAAATCGCATCACTGAAGCCTGATGAAGACGCAATTGCTACGAGGTTATCAGATTTTGTTAGACCTGATATACTGTCGTTGATTAATATGGCGGCTTCAGGTGGGTTGATGTCTTGTCTTATTTCACTCAAGCTCACGCTCACGTCACAGACAAAGAGAAGACGGCAGATATTATCACAGAACACCTCACAAATTCAGACATATTCACGTCGATCAAGACTGCACTGAGTGACATGGTCAGCAGACACAGTGAGCTTTATGACTCATTCCACTCAACACAGACAGAGATTTTCACAAATGCATCCTCGCTGCATGCCAAGCTCGGTGATTTGCCTGACGGGATAACGGCGGCGACGGGTGCGCTCCAAACTGCGACGGAGAAGCTGAACGCGTACTCATCTCTTCCCGGAGAGCTAAAGGGTATGAGTGAATACGTGAGCGATAATGCAGCGCTTCGCAACGACATCTCCAAAGCACAATCGCACCATGGCAAGCTGCGCACCGAGAAGGACCGACTGCTTGACAAGCTGCGGGTAGCGGAAGAGGAGCGTGACTCAGCCAAGATAGAGGCGGATCTATCGCGCCAGTCTAGCCGTAAGATTGAGTCCGATCTCGTCAAGATCGAGGCGACGAATGGCAGTCTGATAGAGAGTCTAAACGGAATGGCGAACAAGTGCGCGCAGTTTGAGCACCAGTTGGAGGATCTGTTCGACCAGAAGCAGACATGGTACGCAGCTGACCGCGACTACCAGGTGAGGGTGAAGGAGCTGGAGATGCAGTTGGAGATGCAGAGCAGGGAGCGTGAGAATAAGATGAGAGCGATTTCGGAGGAGCACGAGCGCATTCAGAATCATGCCGAGGAGCTCGCCCGTAGCTTACATTCCTCTCATCTCGAAAACACTCGTTTGCACAGCGAGTACGAGGATATGTCGCGAAGCTCCCTCGCTGTCAACCAGGACCTCGCCGCTAAATGTGGTTTACTTGAGAATCGTAATGCGGAGCTGGAGGATGTGGCTGATGGGGCCAGGGAGTCAGAAGAACAACATCTACAGGCGCATCATGCGGCTAGCCAACACGTACACGAGCTCGAAGAGAAGGGCGTGCAGGATAAGGCTTTGCTGCAGGAGGCTACTAGCACTATCGAGAGACTTTACGAGGAGATGTCCGCGACGACGCACGAGATGGCCCATCTTAGGAGGGAAAATGAGGGATTGAAGGGGGGTGCGGGTGTAGATGTGGATGGCAGACGCACGCCCACTAATAAGAATTACAAGTCACAAGATGTTCACGCCCCCGTACCCGCTTATAACACACCCGTCTCACCGGCTTTCAGCTCGATATCAAAACTCAGCACTAGCACGGCAGCTACCTACCAAGCTGACGATGGATGGTTCTATCCGACGTGATGAATTATGCTTATTTTAACGCATTTTAGTAATCCAAAGTCGTTGAGGCTGTAGATTGTATATGCGCACCATTGCCTGGAAACATAAAGACCATTTATCGTATATTTTATGTGCACATATGTGTCGATGATGTCATTGATGTTATCTGAGACAGGGTCAGCTCCGATAAATTCAGCCTTGATAAATTACGCCAAGCTATATAGAAACAAATATTTAGGAGCAAAGACGTTTTGTTAGCCTCATACGACGATTAGAACGTGACTTATCCAGCCAAGTTGCGCGTATCAGATGAAGGTGTGTGTGAACTCGGAGGCTGTGTTCGATGGCGAAGACGAGCACGAAATCAGATAGTACTCCTAGACGCCACAATCGTCACACACTGTCTCGCTGAAATACTCAGCATCGAGTGAATCTATCATGTCTTCCGGGTCCGCTATATCTGCTGCTAATGACAGCCATGAAAAATTATATATCCCGGTGATGTACACACACTCATACGGCACCGACGCAGTCATACGTGAGGCTATTCGTCTGTAGGCAGCCAACGTAGTAACAACTCAAAACAGAGACACTGCCGCTGCCATTCGCAGGTCGCAGCAAGATTGACCGGTCGAGCGCAATACCCAAGACAATGACGATGGGCGGAACTAGCCAGACGAGCACAGAGGCTAGAGATAGCAAGAGGAGTGAGGATGCCACGGAGAGGGAGCTAGTGCCACGGCTGGCAGTGAACCAGACGAGCTCGAACAAGGCTAGTGCAGGATGTGCAGGAGTTTTGCAAGGTGAGTGTAGATAGATGTCTGTGTGAGTGGATACGACGCGGACTGAGCTGCTAAACGCAGGCGACACAGGACTGGATTTTGAATTTAATAGTTAAATGTAAATGCTATTGATACACTGGAGTTACTAATGTTGTTGGATATATAAGACTCAAACGGCGTCGACTAGCTTTGGACCTTCTCTATTGGGATGCTGCTGATGCTGCTGATGCTGCTGTCGTTGAGGTGCTGGTTCAGCCCTTGCTTCGTGCCTCTGATTACGCTCATTATTTAGGCCAGAGAGGAGATTATTGATGAGCTTATAGCGCTGCTCAACCAGGTCATGCTCTACATCATTATCGTCCATTCTTCGAGTGCGTTTGCTTGTGCTGGTTGCTTGGCTGTCGCTGGGCTTGCACACATCACTACTCCCATCACTCCCAGACCTTTTTCGGTTCATAATATTTGACCTTTGATATTTTGGATGAAGATCACTCCTTTTAACCAAATACACTGCTAAAATTGAATGGAAATCAAAGAATTAATAGAAGGTATGCATGTTTTATATCTTCTGAATATAAGTAACGCTTTCATAGCCACAGAGGGCTTCAACTTGCTTTTCAATGATAAGATTGAGGAGTCGACACGCGAGCTATCCAAACACAATAATGCGTTTGGTAAAACTGGATTAGGAATTATTCTCTTCTTACAAGCTGCGTTGGGTATGGAGGATGGCATGATGGAAAGGGCACAGGATCAACTTCTCCAGGCCGAGAAAGCTGCCGACTCTGCCAAGAGAGAGTGCAGCAATGCAAAGCACAATAAGACTAGATTCGCTAGCGCTGCTCCTTATGTGTGACTGATCACTCGTACAAAACAGCAACCTAACAGCTCCTCACAGGAGCTACTTGTAGCTGCGAATGTAATTGGGCAATCTATGACTCAGATTTTAACGGAATCCTCTGTTGAAATGATCAAAGCCATTTACAAAGTTGGTTGATTACTCATACACGCCCACCCGCACTAATTTTAGAACAGCTCAACAGATCCTATAAGCTGTACAACAACTCGTTCCTCACAGTCTTCCCTGGTGGCGCTGCGTCTCTGCCAGACACTCCAATAGCTTCTCCTTCGCTATCGAGACAACAATCCACCCAAACACTCAACAAACCAGCCCCACCAAAGCCACAGAAAAGCTTCCTCGCAAAGAAGTTTGGTAGCTTCTTAGGCGGGGCTGGTGGTGGCACAAATACCGCTCAAATCACCACTCCTCAACCGCCATCCGATGAAGTTGAGGAATTTGTCATGTCTGGTGCTTGTTTCGGATTCGGATTGTTCGGTTTGGTATTCTCGCTTATGCCGCCAAAGCTGTAGGTTATTTGTGTAATAGCTCCACTGTATACTCACTCCATTAAGGAAGAAGCTAATTAACGTTTTTGGGTTCAAGAGCGATAGGAAGGAGGCCCTCAAGGCGTTAAGTCTGAGTGCTAGCTACAAAGATGTTCACTCATCCTTCGCTGCACTCACCCTCCTCTTCTACACCTCATCCACACTACTTCTTGCTGGTTGGAATGCTGATTCAGAAAATGACATGCGCATGTTCGAGAAAATTTTGAAAAGGTGCGTCTCATTTTGAACTACAGTCACTATTGAGACGATTTATCAGTTGTGAAGAAAGGTGAGCGTCGACGGGATACAAAGATGTATATTCACATCCACAGATATCCAGACGGCACCCTATGGACGCTCAACAGAGCCAAACTGGAGCGTATAAATGGAAATGCTGACAAGGCCCTTGAAATTTTGGGTAGTACGCTCAACAAAGATGGCGGCTTCCCTCAGGCTGAGGTAATTATAGTTTTTGAATACGCTTGGCTCCTGCTCGCCGAGAATAGGTGGGTTGCTTTTGTGTTCTAGGATACGCTAACAAACCAACTAGATACCAAGATTCTGCACAATACTTCCTTCATCTGATGAAACTCAATTCGTGGTCACACGCCACATACACTCTCTTGGCAGCTGGCTGTCATTTGTCCCATGCGCAGGAGGTAGACACAGAGGAGAACCACGCCAAAGCGCACGAGGAGTTTATGAAGGCAAGTCTGCGTGGTGTGGATAGAGAGGGTATATGAGCTGACATGATCTCTAGGTGCCCAGTCTCCTCAACGCGAAGAAACTCGGTGGACGTAATATGCCAATGGAGGATGTGAGAAGGGGTTTGAATTGTGACTGATCAACTAACCAAATCGCCCACACAGTTTGCACAGCGCAAAATAGCATTCTGGAAGCGTAAGCATGAGCGCCGTGTCGGTGCATGCGCGAAACAGGGCATTAGTGTCGATCCTGAGCGATGGGATTTGGCCATTAAGGTAATTTGGGATGTTGGTAGGAATACACACACACATACTCACACATACTCCAGATTAGTCCGGCAGATGTGAGTGGAGTTTGTATGGCTGGTCTTCACTTGCAGCTGACGCACGTGGTAGGAAATGGCATGTTTCTGGAACAGCTATGGGAAGATAACACGTCACGCTGCTATCAAGCACATGGAATCTTTGTGTCAACTCACACCTGCACCTCTGATCGAGACTCACCTAGTCGACATGACCAAGGCGGAGGGCAGCGCAGGTGCAGGTGCAGGCACAATGGAAGATCTGGACACACTCGACGAGAAGGCTGTAAGATGTCTTCTTCTCGGAATTCTCCATCGCGCTATCGGAGAGCTGGCCTTGTCTCGCAGATACCTCGACGAGTGTGTGTCTTACAGAGGGCAGATCACTGACGATACTTGGGCGCCTGCATTTGCGGCTTACGAGTTAGCGGTGTTGGAGCTGAACGAATGCGACAGACTGACAGCTAAGAGTAGGTCGGACAGCGGTACACCAGATTCCTCAGCTGCGTCCTTCTCCACGGCGAGGGAGGGCGAAGATGCAGAGGGTGAGAAGGCTGAGAAGGCTGAGACGGATGAAAAGACAGTCGAACCATCCACCGCAAAGACGTCCAAGGATATCTGGAAGAGGGGTATCGACGCTAGTGAGAAACACCTCGCTCTGGTTGCCTCAGGAGAGTTTGGGACTACGTACGATCTCGAAGGTCGTCAAGGCACAAGAATGTATTTACTAAAGGATGAGATACAGACCAAAAAGGCACAGATGGAGTTGTGAGGGTGGTAAAACTGCTTTTTTTTGTTGCTCTTGTACACAGTTACGTTTCTTTGCTACTCTCAGAAAATACTCCCGCTCTGTTTGTATTTGCTAAACCAAAGAGTGAAAATTGTGAGACACAAGACGAGGATGATGGAGTTGAGGGATTTGTAGAGCTGCTGGTACGCAGGATTGTGGATTGGGTAGGATTTGTATATTACATGCCATTGTCTGAGCGAGTAGCCGATGGAGAGCGCTGCGAAGATGTACACGGTGCCCATGTTGGGTGTTTGGATGCGAGTGGGGGTGTGGGTTTGTGGATTTATATACACAAAATGCAAATTTTAGCAGCGAGAAATGCAATTCATTTAAATTATAGAGTACTCTAGCTAATCTATAGAGACAAAAAAAAAGTGAGTCAGACATATCACAGCGCAACATCAGCCAAGCGCGCAACCTCAATAACGCCACCGACGAGATGGAGTGAGCCGCAGACGAGGATGTGTGTGTGTGAGTGTGGATTATTGGTACTATTCACACTCAGGCTCTCACTCCTATCGATATAATCCACAGCAGCCTCGATCGACGGTAGTACTTCAACGCAGCCTTTGAATTGGGGGAGGAGGGAGTTCCACGCCGCTTTGAGCTCATGTTGAACCTCTAATTCCTGTATAGTGAGTACGTCTACATTCCTAGCCGTGAGATCGCTGGCAAACTCGCCCGACGTGTAGGTCAGATTGGTGCAGAAAATGACCGAGGTGAAGAGTGTTTCCATGTTCGCGCCCGCTGCGGTGAGGTAGGCAGCGACCACGCCGAGCAGCTCGGTCGGTGACCTGCCCTTAGTGCAGTTAAAGATGAGGTGAGTGCGAGTGTGTTGTTGTGGCTGCTCCACCTCCAGCTCCCGTTCCCGCCGCGCTCTCACAACCCCGCCGAACCACTGCATGCATGCAGTGAGGCTGTCAGCGGTATGGCTGCCATCAAGAAACCACGTCGTGCTTGGCCGTCTTGGATCTACCACCGTCTGGCACCTTCCTGGCCACCTAGCCTTTGTGAGACCGTCGACGAACACCTGCGGAAGACCATTTCTCCAATCGTGCCCCTCTAGCTCACCTTTCCAGCTAGCGAACTTGTTGCTCTTTCCCGCATTCACAAAAGCACGCACGACATCGACGGCCAGTCGCGCATTAAGCGCCTGGTGCACACCGGGCAGGCCGAGGGGGAGTGAGAGGGTGTGATTAGCGGGAGCATCGCGTGTGTCGACTACGCCGAAAGGGGCATTGACGCGCTGAGCACACTCCGCCAGAACGGCCTCGCCATCTTCGGGCTGAGGGACGGTGAGTGCCGCGGCGCCTGCTTTGTATATCCCCCCTTTATTGAGGGCTATCGCGCGAATAGTCCCGCCTAGCAAAGCCGTGTGGTCGAGACCAAGACTGCTCACAGCTGCTACTGCCGGCGCGGGGACTATGTTGGTGCAGTCGAGCGACCCCCCAATACCGACTTCGAGGACGGTCGCGTCTACGTCTTCGGCGAGGAACGTGTGGAAAGCTACGAGCGTCATGAAGCGGAAGTAAGCGGGTTTGGGGAGAGTGGACGTGGAGTGTGTGTTGTTGACGCTGTCCACGTCGCTCACCTCATCCTCGCCCACGCCATCCAAAGCCATCCACACGTCAAAAAAGTACTTGGCGAAACGCTCTTCGCTGAGTGGGTGGCCATTGATGCGTATACGCTCGCGGACGGCTACGAGGTGCGGGGAGGTGTACAGACCCACGCTGGCGTGTGGATTGAGGGACTGGAGGAGGGACGAGACAAAGGCGGCAGTGGAGCCCTTGCCCTTTGTGCCGGTGATGTGAAGGACGTTGAGTCTGTTGAGATCGCTTGGCGTGTATCCCATCCGGCGTAGATAGACCTCCATGTCGCGGAGCGTGTGTCCACGACGAGCCTCGCGTGCGCAAGTGGAAGCGGCGATAGTAGCAGCATTGCTCTGTAGGCTGTTGAGGCATTCGATGGCGTGTTGGTAAGTCTTCTTCATGGAGTGATATTGATGGTGCTGGACGAACAAGTCAACAACTAACAACCATCAACCAATCAACTAAATAACCAATCAACCATCAGAATGGCCCCCCACTCAATGCCGCAGCCACCCGCTTCTCTCTCCGGCAGCAATCTCAAGATCGGCATCGTGCACACCCGCTGGAATTCGGAGGTTGTCGATGCACTCGTCCAAGGCACACGCAATCGTCTTCTCTCACTCGGAGTTAAGCCTGAGAATGTAATTATCCAGCAGATCGCTGGTAGCTGGGAATTACCGATTGCGACCAAGAAGATGATTCTCGCTGGTAGAGTTCAGCAAGGGCATTCACAGAACCTGCTCTCGGGTTTAGATCCACTCAGCTCTCCAGAGGCTCCGGGCGCATCAACAGACACAGCTTCAGCTACTAAAGTCGGCGAGTTCGACGCTGTAGTATCTATCGGTGTCCTCGTGAAAGGCAGCACACAACACTTTGAATACATCGCTGGAGCTGCGACTGACGGCCTCATGCGCGTCAGTCTCGATGAGAACACCCCCGTCGTATTCGGCGTGCTCACTTGCAATAACGAGGAACAGGCTAGAAGCAGAGCGGGTTTGGTGCCAGGTGGCCTCGAAAATCACGGTCCTAGTTGGGCAGACTCGGCTGTTGAACTCGCTGGTCTATCGGCAAAGTGGAGTAAAGGGGTGTTTGAATGAGTAGTTAGTTTGATAAAGTATACACGCTTAATGAATGTGGATATTACAATGGATCGATCCCGTCGAGTTGTCGAATTCGTATAAAGTGGTTCAATGAGTGAATATGCTGCTATCTGGTAGCGCTGTGGTTTTCCATGACTTTCTATTCTTCTTGATTGTCTATTCTGCTTCTTCTGACCTCTCTAGCCTCTAACTATGCGCCCTTCTAGGGAGGTGGAAGAGAAGTGAAGGTGGACGGTGGAGTGTTTTTACGGGACTGGTGAGGCGTGGGGAGTGGTCGTTGAGTGGAACGCAGAAAGACTGCTGCTTGGTCAAATAACCGTCAAACTCAAAAGAATTGCTCTGTGAGGTTGAAGAGGACGTTGAGCAAGTTGAAGCAGACGAAGTCGATGAGACTGATGAGGATGATCTCGATCTTTTCTGTCTTTTGGAGTGTCAGTGCCGTTCCTGCTACTCAAGCCTTGACTTACACTACAGGACGCCCAGGACGCCCAGCTTTGAAAGGGTCAAGGTCTTGGAAAAGACTGTCCGTCTTGGCTTCCGTAAGCTTCATCTGGGCTGATTATCTAACACTCCACGTCGACGTCGGTAGGGAGCAAGTCTTGTCGATCGAGTTGTCCAGACTGCGCACGGATGTCAGGCGGGGGCGAGACAACTCTAATTAAGAATATTTTTTAGGGTAAATGGGGATGGGCCATGTTTGACTAGGTGCATTGAAATCGTTCAACGGAATTTATGCGTTTGTTGTACATGTGTTATTTATATCGATGTGAAAATTTGTCAGTCCTGACTGTGCAAAGTGGGAAATGAGAGTAGAATAAGTGGGAGATTGCTAGTATTGCCAAGTGAGTCAATTAAGACAAATGAGCCAGCCATTTGAGTTGAAAGTGTATGCCAGAGTGGAGATATAAACCAATGGAGCCAATGAGCTGGGTTATAAGCCATATTTGATATTTGGTAAATCAATAGGACCACTGTGAGCCTGCAGAGTGATCGCTATCGAATGAACTTGTGCTTGTTGTGCTTAATGTGGACGATGTACTTGTAAGTGAGCTGCTTCGTTGTCTGTTTGAAGCGGCTGAAGCGATACAAGACAATGAATCAGTCCTGCTGAAGGTGCTGAGCGTGTCGATATTACTATCACTCCCCCTCAAAACAGCAATTGGCAACGGCTTTGGCAGCGTGTACTTGGATGAACTACGGGAGGGTAAGGGAATGTTATTTGGGATCAGCTTCAGTGGCGTTGGTGGTTGTCTACGTGGCATTTCAGCGAGTTTAACGACCTGCGTTTTGTTTATCTTTATATCCTGTTGGTGGTTTCGCTTCTCCAATGACTTGCACAATCCCAACAAAGGAAATTTTAAAAGAAATTATTTCAAGTTATGAATCTGGGGAGAGTGGAGACGAGAATATATTGGATAAAGTCAACTCCATCTTGTTTAGACTATCTGCAACTGCGAATACTTCCGATACACACGAGCATCACAGCGAACTCAGTTTAAATAGGTTGAGATATCTTATAGTCTATTATCTTCATCCAGAATTCATCTACAGTTCTAAATTTGGCAGTGTGGATTTCAGACAATCGAATCTATCGAAATGCCTCAATCTATACACTCAATTCACAGAATTGTTAGATTCAATTGGTTTTGATGGTATCACTATACACGGTGACTCCAAAGATCCTTCCACTCAGCGTGATTTAAAGATTCAGCGTTTTAAACAGCACAAACGGTTGGAATCTGAGGTTTTGGAGTATAAAGAGTTGTTAGAAGATAAGCCTGATAGTGGCTTGTTTCATACCACCTTTAATTCATCTTCTCCCGCTCAGTCCACCAACCACAAGGACAGTGACGACGACGACGATGACGACGACGATATCCTCCGCGAATACCTCATCAGACTCCTTAAATACCTCTATTCGCTATCGCAATCTCAAATCCATTCTATCCATGCTGAATTAGACCTCCTCAGCAACGTCAACAGCAACAGCACAACCGACACACGCACACGCACACAAACCCCTGCAAACGATTCGACATGGAGATTGGACAGTGCAGTTAATGCACCCGCCAACAACCTCCTCGACAAAGAAGGCAGACCTACGCGACCATTCACGATAATGCCGCGCGGTACACACACTACACGACAGCAGATGGCAGATGGCGTGTTTCAACCCAGCCACCGTCTTCCTACAATGACCATTGACGAGTATCTCCAAGACGAGCAGGCTCGGGGGAATGTTATACAGGGGGGTGGACCTGCGAGTGAGAATCAACCAACTAGCAAGGAACAGCTCCAGCTAGACACTGAGCTCGATGGCACTCTCTTTGCTCAGCGTGCTCAGGATCAGCAGCGCGCTGACACGGAGAATTGGGCAAGGTATACCGAGGAGGTGGAGAAGGGAAGTGGCAATACTATGGCCAATAATGGGTAGAAGAAGTTATTTATAATGGACAATCGATCATCGATCATTAGTGTATCGTTTGTGTGCTTTGTGCAATTGAAAATCTTTCATCGAGTTGAGTGCAGTGCAGTATGAGTTGGCACTCAGTCTCAGTCTCAGTCTCAGTCTCAGTTTTTATCTGTATGTTGTAGACTTGCTGCTCAAAATGCCTCGCAAATGGTAAAATCCACTCTATTCTCTGTCTCAAACGATTCATATGTCAGAAACGCTGCACAACGAACTGTTACTTGCATTGAGTGAACAGTATAACCAGTCTCTAATATCCTCCTACACACCGATCGATACATGCACAGCGACAGTCGAGCTACTCGAGGGTGTCCAAGTGCGTGTACACATAACCCAATTTGGATATAGCCTGGGGGGCGGTGGTAGTAGTATTGGCAGTGATAGCAGCAGAAGCAGTAACACCAACACTACCAATCAATCAGAAGACTTAGAAGGCCTCTTACGCGGATGCAGTCCAGCATTCAACCAACGCACCACAGCAATTCTGTTGGATAAACTCGATAAATTGGCTAAAGTACAACATAAATAAAAAGCTTTCAAGTCATCACGTTATCAGGTCAAAATCCACCCAGCTCCCTCTCTAGCTCTGCCAATGCTTCGTTCTCCAGTGCATCCCTGTCTGCGTCCATCCCGCCCAGTTCATCATCTGGCGGTATGTCGTCTGGAATGTCATCGTGCGTGTCAGCCTTGTTACGCGGTGGCGGTGGCGGTGGTGATCGCGGTGGCGATGGCGATCTAAATAGGGCATCTTGTTGGTGCTTCTCTGATGCATTCTCATTGTCGTGTACCTTGTCGTGATCGTTCTCTCCCTCCCGCTCCAGCTCCACACCATCCACACCACCGACACCACCGACACCACCGACACCCATTTCACCCCTTCTCAAAGCATCCTTCCACCCCTTTAAAGCAGCCTCCATACGACGCTGATGGCAAATCTTCTCCGTGCGTTCTACGACATCGCCGAACTGCAATTTAGGGAAAAGTTTATGTGTCCAAAGGTGGTATCTGGCGAGCAGCCTACGCAAATCGGCCCATTCGTGCCCCTTACCTGCGAATTTCCAGTGAGCGCTATCGTGCATGAGCGCAGGTAAACCGTGTGTGCCGAGGAGTCTGTTCGTTGGTGAGTGAGTCACTCAGACAGTACTCCCACTCCCACTCACCTCTCTGCATCTATCTTGGCCACCACGCGTCTAGGTTTGCCTTGAACCGCGCCGTCGTCGTCGTCTTCTCCCCCGGCCGGCTGCTTGGCTGTGGCGAGGTCGTCGCCTATCGACTCGAATATATCGTCGACTGTTTGCTTGTGTGCGCTGTGGTCGTCGTGTGCTCTTTCATCCTCTCGATCGTTATCCACCTGTGTATGCGTGCGCTTACGCGTGCTCGCCGGCGCAACAACGCGCTCCTCGGACATTTCGCGTGCAGGTCTGCGAGTCAGGTTAGGCGGTGCGTCAAAGTCGATGAAAGACATGATCGTGTGTGTAGTGTGTAGTGTGTTGGGAGTGAACGGTGAACACACCACGCACACCAATGAACACGGCGAAACTCAAGCAATTCGGTGAAGAGCAGTGGCGCGGGAAGGGCGACAAGATAAATGCGGAGCTTTTCGTGATGACTTATGGGGCACTGGTGAAGCAGCTGTGGGAGGACTACGAGGATATTGGCGCGGTTAATAGCGCACTGGATCGAATGGGATATGGAATTGGTGTGCGTCTGATTGAGGAGTTTCTCGCAAAACATAGCCCGGGTTTGGCTAAATGTAGGGTCTTCGCTGAGACAGCTGACGTTGTGGCTAGCGTGGGGTTCAAGGTCTTCCTGAATGCTAGCGTTGGAGTGTCGCATATCACCCACGATGAATACTCGCTCACTCTTCTCGATAATCCGCTTAATCAGTTCGTTGCCCTCCCCGATTCAGCTGTCGAGAAAGGCCTCCTTTACAGCAACATACTCGCAGGTTGCGTTCGAGGTGCGCTTGAAATGGTTAATATGCACACCGCTGTTACTTTCACAGAGGATGAACTACTCGGCCACCAACACACCACTATCAACGTTAAATTACTCAATTATATCGATGAACATGTACCAGATGATGAATAAATGAATAAATGAATAAATGAATATAGAAATGAATTTATACCTTGGATATAAGATTGGATATATGGTTTGCATTTAAACAACCACACAACATCCACCGCCTTGTGGTGCGTATGGGTCTTCTTTCTTATCGACAGGGCCCCAGACAGAGGGGATCTGAGGGGAGTGTGTTAGTGTGACTGTCATGAACTACAGCCTCCATAACTTACCAAATAATCCTTGGTGGAATTACAAAACCTAATTAATCCCTGACTCGCTTCGCTGACATTGATCCGTGGACGCGCATAATCATCTTTAAGTCTCTGGTTGTGTTCGTTGAGGCGTCTAAGCTTTAATTCGCTCATACTTTGCTTGTGAGGTCTGCCTGTCATGACTTGATCACTCGAGTATTTAGGTGGCTCGTGGTGGCTGTTGTAATGAAACCAACGTGTATTCGAATACATTTGTCTAGACGCTTACATCTTCTTATAAGCCTTGTAGAGCATGCCACTCAACTCGGTCTGCTCAACTTCTTTCACTTTGCGCTCTCTCTTGAGCAACGCCTTTACCTCAGCCAACTCATCACGTAGACTAGCAATGGTATTGTGCAACGAGGCTATTTCATTAACCTGTTTGCTGAAATGGTCAACGAGTATTTCTTCGCTGCTGTTGCGTCTGCGAGTGGGTTGAGCGGGTTTAGTGGGTTTTGTTGGGGTATTGATAGCATCAAAGAAATCTGATGAGTTTGATGGATTAGGAGAGTGCCTTAAGTGCCTTGATTGGTGTGTTTTTCTTGCCTTCTTTGGTGGCTGTGGCTGTAGCTGTGGCTGTGATGTGGACTGGCTATTGAGACATTTGGTGGGTGTGGCTGGAATATCCCACTCGCTTTGATGTTTTCTTTTGTTTGTGCGTTGACCACCATCTACAATACTACCTCCCCCACTCGGGATATCAAACTCGGCGAGAACGTCGTCGTTGGTGTTAGTTGACCAGCTGCCCTTATTGTATTGATCATTTGCCATGATACAAGCTTGAATTATGTGTCTGCGGTTTGTTGTGCTCTGTACCTCGTCCAAGTGGCTATCAACGCATTTCTCGAAATCAGCGAGCCAAAAGAAATACTGGCAATTGTCACTATCGCCAATTGAGCACCTATAAAACAACTCCTGTGGATGCCTTTGTGTATTGGCTCTAAGGAGAAGTACACGCTTATCGTGATTACAGAGCGGCCAACCGAGTTTATCTGTATGATTTATAGCCTGTAGCAATTTAATAGCCATGAATGAATATTTTAAGTATCCCGGTTATCATCGCTGTTGGCTGCCAACCACCAGCACCAACACCACCATGGAAGCAGCCAGCCATACACGCAAGCAGCGTCTGGAAGCCTTGAATAATAGAACACACGGCACCGGCGAGCACATAGTTAAATTCAGAAACTACGATCCAACGAGTAGAGAGGTAAAGAAGGGCGATAACAGCCAGACCTCCGTCGACACAGTCGAATCCGCTGTCACTGGTTTAGTTGATTCTATCCTCGATAAAGATGAGGAGCTGCGTAATGAGGATTTGGATATCTTCAATATCGCACCAAAGAGACCAAACTGGGATATGAGGAGGCAATTGACCAATAAGATGTCTCTATTGAATAAGGCTGATCAGCTAGCTATCAATACACTGTTACGCAATAGACTTTCTAATCCCAACGACAATAACGTAAACAACGGTGCTGCTTTAGCCAGTGCCTCAAACAAACTCATCCATTACTCAGACCAAGATGATTGATACGCGCATTCTAACAATTCTAGCAATATATTTATTCTTTACTTACATAGCCTGTCGACGTGACGTCATTTCTATCGACTGTATCACATCACCTGCTTTCATATCCTGAAAGTTTTCAAATCCCAATCCACACTCTAATCCTTTACCTGCGTGGTTGATATCCTTCTTGTGATGTTTGAAAGTATCCAATCTACCCGTATACACTGTCTCACCACCTCTGATCACTCTCACACTCCCCTGTCTTGTGATATTTCCATTCCCTACTCTGACTCCAGCCACCCGCTTGAATGTACGACCTTTGACGTTGATATCGAACAACTCCACCACGCTAGCCTCACCCAGTACTCTCATTTCCGTTATCGGTGGGAGTAGTTCACTGACGCGTACCTTCATTTGATCTAGCAATCGGTATATTACCCCATCCACCGTCAGCTGTACATTCGACATGGCTGCTGTGTTCATTATACTGCGTGTGGCTTTAACGTTGAATCCTACGATAGATGCTGATGTGTGTGTTAACATTTCTACCTCGTTTCAATGACGCTAGCGATAACAATAACGCTAACACTCCAACCCACCTTCACCTGCCACTGCTCGCGTTATATCCGAATCACTTATATCACCCACCCCACTCGCAACGACTTTGACACGCGCGTGTTCGTTGCCGATATCTTCCAACGCCGCTACGAATGCCTCCACTGTGCCGCTGACGTCACCCTTGACAACGACATTGAGGTATTTAGTGGGTGTTTGTGCAGTATCTTGGGCGTTCTCCGCGTTATCATCGTGGCTAATTCCATGGGTGGTTTCGTTAGCATTCTCTCTCAGCTCACGATGAGCGAGGCGCTTATCGTTGATAACCTCGAGCTCGGCCATAGTTTTGAGGCGGTGCATAGCATCCACACGATTAGATACAGCCCGTTTAGCCTCATCTTCGCCGGTAGCTTCGAGGACCTCATCGCCCGCTTTAGGCAGGTCCTTCCACCCAGCGACGACAACGGGAAGGCCAACCTGAGCGCTCTTGACAGTTTCCCTCTTATCGCTCTCCATCTGTCTCACTTTACACCACGTCGCGCCACCCACAACGCACGCGCCTGCTTGGAGTACGCCACGCGTGACGAGCACAGTAGCGAGATTACCCCGCCCTTTATCGACGCGGCTCTCCAACACCACACCGTGAGCGCGGCCCGTCATCTCCGAACGCAAATCCTGCATTTCGCTCAGTGCGGCAATCGTATCAGTCAGCTCGGCCATTCCACGCCCACTGCGAGCTGATACTAACACGGCTGGCGTCTCGCCACCGAACTCCTCCAGCGTGACTCCATTCGCGAGGAGATCATACTTGATCGCTGTCGTATCTACACCTGCCTTGTCGCATTTGGTGATGGCTACGATCACACCGAGGTTGGAGCGCGTGCATAACTCAATCACCTCCTTTGTCTGCGGCATCACTCCGTCGTCCGCGGCTACCACAACCACCGCTATGTCCGTCACACTCGCACCGCGTGCGCGCATGTTTGTAAAAGCTGCATGGCCAGGTGTATCGAGGAAAGTGATGCTGTTGGGTGAGTCTGTTGTCGGTGTGGTGGTGCTGCCACTACTGCCGCTGCTGTTCGTGTTGGTGCTCAAGCTCGACACAGCCACGGAAAAGGCACCTATGTGCTGGGTAATGCCACCCGCTTCCGAGGGTGCAACAGCTGCAGATCTGAGCCTATCGAGCAGGGTAGTCTTGCCGTGATCTACGTGACCCATAATAGTGACGACGGGTGGACGCAGAGGGAGAGAGTCGGGTTCAGAATGTGGTGGGGAAGGGTACAGGTCGAATGCCCTCTCCTCATTCTGCACAGGTTCCAAACCACACTCCATAGCGAGGAGAGACGCGTCTTCAGATACGAGCACCCTGTCGTATTGCATATTGTCCAGCCCGGAATGTATCATTATCCGCTGTAGCTTGTCGAGGCGCATGTTGAATAGCCTGCTTAGGTTCGCTACGGATATGAATGCTGGGATGAATACTTGACGTTTGGCGGGTGCTGGTGCTTTATTGGGTGGTTTGGATGTGTTCTTCTTCTCCTTGGACTTGGTCGGCGCGTGTGCTGCCTGCTTCGACTTTGTCTTCTTCCAAGCCGATGGGTCTACATCGCCACTCAGCAGCGAACTCCTGCCGGATTTCTTCTTGTTCGCTGGTATTGGTTGGGTTTTGGTTTGTGGAGAGGTGGTATTGGGATTGCTAGTGGGATTACTAGTAGGATTACTAGTAGCCTTGCGAGTGTCCTTGCCATTGGCCTTGCTTGTAACCTCAGGAACTTTGAAATCAACCGGCCTAGCCCATTTATTGTGGAAAATAGAAGCTGTGTTTATATTTCTATGGCTATTTACCAGCACTCTCCTTCGCAGCACCCACATGACGGTCACAGACAAAGAGATTAAATTTACACTTAAGACATTGTAACATCTACAATTATCGTAGCCAAACCGAGTATTATCTCAACCACTATCAGCCATATCACGATCCTCTCGAGTCCTTCTGAGTGTCTGCTATACACGCTCTCTTTGAGCAGCCTGAGCAGATCCTGGAGAACTACAACACGCGTTATTTTGGTTATACTTGTTGATATATATATTCACCCACCTTCCACTCGCGCATTCAACAGATCTATCCTCTGCCTCACCTCCAGATACTGCCTGAACGCAAGGTACAGCGGCTCTAGATCGGGATATGTCCAGAACAGCTCTGGACTATCCAAAACTGATCCAACCACGTTGATATTCATCCGCAGTATGAATAATTGTCCCTGTATTCTCACTTAGTATTCCCTCATGAAAATATTCAAAACACCCTCACTATCTGCATCATTATCACTTTCCTAGGCATACCTATCTTTCCCGACGCTGCAATGTCCTGTGGTATATCCTTTGTCTGTTCAATTGTCGCCGATATCAGTTCCTCGAAGAGTGATATTTTCACGCTCTGTGCTAGTGCATGAGACAGTGCCAATTTGGTCCTACAGATTGTTAAAAGGTTTATTTAGCAACTTGAGACCCACATAAATGATGATCCACGTAGCAAGGCAATCACATCATGGAAAATACGCGTATAATCGGCGTAGTAGAAGTTGAGATCCTCCATCTCGACATCCTCAGCAGCCAGTTTATCCACCTCGAAGCGTTTCAGCATAGAAAGTACTCGCCTCTCCATCGCCTCCTCCATGCCCCACATGACGACGACGCCCGTCTCGGAAAAGAAGAAGACGTCTGGGGTGTGTGCGCCGAGTTGGAAGCGCTGATAACGCGATGTTTTCCGATCGACGAGTTCTGGCACGCCGAGCAAGTCGGCTTCTGCGTCAGTGTGTGAGTGTGAGTGCGTGCTTGCGTTTGCGTGGGTGTGAGGCACGTAAGGCGTGTAAATCACGTCATCGAACACTCTGGGATCGGTAGCGTGAGTGTATCGTCTAGATTCGAGATGTTTGAGTAGTTCTGGCTGACGATATGAGCTAGCAGTGCAATAAGCCGTGACGCCTGCATTGGGATATTGTGAGCAAAGATGCGCAACTCTCTCCACCATATTCTACGTACGCGGCAACCTCTCTTTCTCCTTCTTGGTGAGCAGTCTCGCGTCTTTGCGCGGTGCACCTGCAGGTATCCTCGCTATCTGCTGGTAGACCTCGGGGGCAGGCGTGGCCAAGTCGTCGTCATCGTAGTTGTCCTCCTCCTCGTCATCCTCCTCATCGTCGTCGTCGTTGTCCTCCGAGTGCCTCTCGCCGTGTCCTGCCCCGCCCAGCTTCAACGACGGCTCCTCGGGCAGCACTTTAAGCTTCTGCGACGCTTTCGTCGTCCGCTTCGCCCGCGCTTCCTGGGTCTTGGCGCCAGAGAAATGCTGGGGAAGACTTAGCTTGCGTGTGTTTGTCGGTGCCATTTTGCGTTGGTGGTGATGGTGGTTGCGTCAGAACAACGATGAGCGGATTATCGAGGATTCCACTGGAAAATCAACCACACGACTGCGTATTCTCGCCCAACTCGGATAACGTCTACGTCGGTCTCCTCACTGGGGAAATCAAGGGGTTCAGCTATACGGAACAAGGTTACGAGAGGAAACTGCGAGTGAGGCCGAGCAAGAAAAGCTGTCGTGGATTGGATGTGAGTGGAGACGGGAACACGCTCTACGCAGTCTCTAAGGATGGGTCGATGAGGTGGGTGTGTGTCGGTGGAAGCGAGAAGACACGACTTACACCGGCATTTCAGTCACATAGACGCAATCACCGGACAGACAGCCGCACACACGCAGAAGGCACACGGCGAGCCCATCAGTAGGGTCAAACTGACCATGCCAAACCTCCTCGCTACTGGCGACGACGAAGGCGTAGTGAAGCTATGGGACACGCGCAAACCCGAGCCACTGCGAGCATACACGCACCACTTCGACTATATCTCAGATTTCCACTATGAAGATGCTGATAGAAAACTACTCTCTTCTTCAGCTGATGGAACACTGAGCGTTATTGACGTGCGCAATAACAAACCAGAGCCTGTGGGGCATAGCGAGGATCAGGAGGATGAGCTGCTCTCTATTGCCCCACTCGCAGGTACATCCAAGTACGCCGTCGGTACACAGCTGGGTGTCCTCTCCATATTTAATAGCAAGCAGGGCTGGGGAGACTGTGTGGATCGGATACCAGGTCATCCTCAGTCTATTGACGCTCTCGTTAGCTTGGGCCAGTCTATTCTTGCTACTGGCTCGTCTGATGGTCTAATTCGCGTCATGAGCGTCTTGCCAACCAAATTCATGGGCGTTATTGGCGATCATGGAGAGTTTCCAATCGAGAGAATGAAACTTAGCGGCGATGGCAAGTGGCTCGCGTCCATGTCGCATAATGAAGAACTCATGATGACTAGAGTCGATGATATGTTTGAGGATAGCGATGGTGAGGATGACAAGGAGGATATGGAGGGAGTAGAGGGTGTTCAGAGTGGTGAAGATGCTGAAGATGCTGAGGATGCTGAGAACACAGCCACCGCTACAGCCACCGCACCAGACTCAGACTCAGATTCAGACTCAGACACCCCACAACAACCACAGCCGATCAAGAAGAGCAAGAAGAGCAAGCAGAATAAGCAATTTATACAAGATGAAGACTTTTTCGATGGATTGTAAATTTTCACTCTGTATCAGATGTATTATTGAGAAATACGCGTAGAAATGGACATATAAATGCACATACACATAGTACATGGAGTGACGCGTCTTTAATACAGATTCTTTTGATAGCTCATCTCACCACGCGTCTCGCGAATACCATCATCATCACCGATAACGCCATGGCAACGAACCAGCCACAGATAAACATAAGCTATGATGATGAACAGAGTGAGTATGGCGTGTGTGTTATATCCCCTCTTATCACTGTCCCCAGATAAGGCAGAGGATTTCCTTGGGAAGCACAAAGCAAATGAGCGCGAGCAATCTGACGCGACGCTATTGGCTGGGATGGAAGATGTGAACATGTATGGTTCAAGCACAGCCAATCCGGGCAATCCACCCAGCGGTCTCAAATACATGGATCAGCTCGTGCGTCTTGGGCGTACACGCGCACCACTCTAACACACCCACAGCAACGGATTTCAAACAGACTACAAGAGGAGCTCGTCATTGATCTTGAGGACGTGGCTAGTGTGAGTATTCGCCTTTCACCGCCCGCTCCACTCACTCTCAGCAGCACCAAGGCGGCCCCAGCCTCGTACATAGCATCACAAACAACACGCGCCGCTACATTGACATTTTCAGTAAAGCGGTCGACAAGCTTATGCCGCAGCCTACGCTCGACATTTCCAGCAAAGACGACGTTCTCGACACTATCGCCCACCAGCGTCGCCAGAAGCAGTCGGAGAATGAAGAATCTGGCATGCAGGGTTTCCCTGAGCAGATTATGCGTCGCTACAACCTCTACTTCAAGCCACGCAACGCTGCCCCTCTTCTCGCCGTGCGCACCATCCGCGGTGCAGACGTCGGTAAATTGGTAACCGTTAAGGCGATAGTGACGCGCGTATCGGAAGTGAAGCCATGCCTCAAGTTCAACGCATACACCTGCGACGCGTGTGGACATGAGATTTTCCAAGAAATCACCTCGAGACAATTCACTCCGATCACCGACTGTGTGTCTTCTGACTGCCAGATCAACCAGACGAAGGGATCGCTACATCAACAAACACGTGCATGTCGCTTCATGGCGTTCCAAGAAGTCAAGGTGCAGGAAATGGCAGAACAGGTCCCTGTCGGACATATACCGCGCACAATGACCATTCATATGTATGGGAATCTCGCTCGCACCGTTAATCCAGGTGACGTTTGCCATATCGCTGGTATTTTCCTTCCTCAGCCTTACACAGGCTTTAGGGCTATACGCGCTGGTCTCCTCCAAGACACTTACCTCGAGGCGCAGTATGTCCACCAGCTCAAAAAGCAGTACGACGAAATGGAATTGACCCCCGAGATCGAGGAAAAGATTGCTGAACTCACCCAGGATCCTTCCCTCTATTCCAAGCTTGCCAATTCGATAGCTCCAGAAATATACGGCCACGACGACGTAAAAAAAGCTCTGCTCTTGCTGCTCGTTGGTGGTGTAACTAAGGGGATGGGAGACGGGATGAAAATACGTGGAGACATTAATGTGTGTCTGATGGGTGATCCAGGTGTAGCCAAGTCGCAGCTCCTCAAGTACATATCCAAGATAGCACCTCGCGGGGTGTACACAACGGGACGCGGTTCCTCTGGAGTAGGATTGACAGCGGCGGTGATGCGCGACCCCGTCACCGACGAGATGGTTCTTGAAGGCGGTGCACTCGTCCTAGCCGACAATGGTATCTGCTGCATCGATGAGTTCGACAAGATGGAAGAGATGGATCGTACAGCCATCCACGAAGTGATGGAGCAACAAACTATATCTATCTCAAAAGCAGGCATCACGACTACCCTTAACGCCCGCACATCAATCCTCGCAGCTGCCAACCCACTCCTCGGACGTTACAACCCCAAGATATCCCCCGTAGACAACATCAACTTGCCCGCTGCACTGCTATCGCGTTTCGACATACTCTTCCTCATGCTCGACTCACCCAGTCGCGAGGCGGACGAGCGACTCGCGCAGCATGTCACCTACGTGCACATGCACAACCAGCATCCACAAATAGAACATGAGCCTGTAGATCCGGTGATAATGAGGCATTACATCGCTCTCGCTCGTCAGAAACGTCCTGTCGTACCCCAGGCGGTGGCTGAGTATCTCACCGGCACTTACGTTCAGTTGCGCAAGGCGCAGAAGGAGGATGAGTCCGGTTTTACTTACACCTCAGCACGTACCCTCCTTGGCGTTCTTCGTCTCTCACAGGCCCTCGCTAGGTTGCGCTTTGCTGACGTCGTTGAGCCCGCTGATGTGGACGAGGCGCTTCGTTTACTAGACGTTTCCAAAGCCTCCCTTTACGATAGTAAGGATGGAAATCGTGCAGAGAATGATATGTCGGCTACTTCTAAAATCTGGCGCATTATTCGCGATCTTAGACGCATTAATGCCGCTGGTAGAGAGGGCGATGGTGACGATGACCTCCTTCAACTTAATCTCCGCCAGGTTAGAGATAGAGTGCTAGCTAAGGGCTTTACAGAGGATGCGCTTATGGATACTATCAACGAGTATGAACGTCTCGATATCATTCAAAGAGTCGCTGGCGGTACTCAGATACGCTTCGTCGATGAATTGTAGGAGCGCTTTGCTTCGGTGTTGTTGTAGTCATAGTTCTTGTCACAGTCACTCTGATTCGTCCAATGTAATATAAGTTATATAAATTAATCAAATTAATCTTATGTCTATAGAGATGACTGTGTTGAATTTTTTTGGTGTGTCAGATGGGCCACTACGATGGCATTCTTGGCAGCAGATGACGGCAATTTCTCCCATCTACCCATGCGAGGTTCTTGAGCTGTAGCGGCAACGAGGACGAGCTGATCCTTCTCCTGCTCTTCCTGAACGAGCTGAATGGAGTTGACGAATCCTTTAGCGTCGATTTCTGCGAGTTTAGAGAAAGCCTTAAGATTCGCATCTATCCTCCATAGCCTAATATAGCCATCGCTGGACCCACTAGCAAAGAGATCCGAGTAGGGAAATGCAGCGAGCGCAGTGATTCCTCTGGGCTGCTTGATGACGCCCTCAGTCTCCGAGTGGTGGTGGTGCACGCCGTGTGCGAGATAGCTAGTGTAGATAGCTTTCTTCTTACCAATGTTCCACAAACTGATGAATCCTGAGTCACCACCAGTCAGGAAATGTTGCTCGTCGATCATGGCACACACGTCGAGACTGCCCTCCACGAAACCGGCTTGCTTGCCACGACGAATGGGCTCGCCGTCAACATCCATGCCCTGAGCATCGAAGTCAAGAGCACCGTCTATCATGTCGCGTATCTTAGATCTGCCACCACCTCTAAAGACTAATTGAGACTCGTCTACTACTTTCCAGTAACGCGCAGATTTGTCGCGACATCCAACACTCAGCGCCAGGTCAGACCTGAGTACGTCGACTGAGTAGATGGAGTCTTGGTGTCCGAAGAGTGTCTCTACGTAGGATGGAGGGTCTGGTGGGCTAGGAGGGAAAGAGTAAATTTTGATGGATCTGTCTAAACTGGCAGCGAAGAGCGCAGTGGGGGTTGATTTTCTAAAGGATAACGAGGTAATCGAGTCTTTGAAGCCAGGAATAGTGGTAATTAGGGAGAAAGGGGATGTTTGGGTGTTGTAAATGTCGATAGTGTTGATTGAGGTACCAACAGCGAGCCAATTGAAATCAGGGGAAGTTGCTAAGCATAAGGGGTGCCTAGTGGGTAATCTGTGCCTGTCCTTTGAGTTTAAGGGCTGCGTGTATAGATTATTATCCTTTGCGCTGAATACTAGGATTGGTGTGGTAGAAGTAAATGAAATGATAGCGTGAGTGAGTGGTGATTTGTGCTTAATAGATCTAACTGTCTTAATATTTAAATTGGCTGATATAAATTTATTCATTTTGTTGCTCTTTTCGAGTAAATTGGATTCCAACGTCGTCTCGACATCCTCGCCGTCTAAACCACTCAAATACTCCTTTGCGAGCTTAATTCTCTTATTCTGTACATCTCCCTCATCTTCGCTACTCGACGAGTACACTTCTTCTTCTCTCTCTCTCTCGCTTTCACTCCCACTCGATACGGAAGACATGATGGATTGCGTCCTAGATGCGTATAAACGTGAAATATCAATCGAGTTGAATGAAATTAAAAATAATTTTATATTCAAAATAAACGTTGATCTAGCCAGCTACTCGCTGTCGTACTCTTCTAAGCTGCTCATCTCGCTATCCACCACCCACAAACACGTTTTTAAGTACGCTTTTCCTCCTTGATCCTATACTCCCATCATTTAACATGAATTAATCAGAAATGGCGATCTCGCTGCTATCGTCGACACAAAGAACGCCGAGCTATTTCGAGGTGTTGTTTACTCTTCCACAACTGACAATATTACCATCTCCATCGACAGAGATGAGCTCGATCTCCCTTCTCCAATCTACCTCGTAAAGCTTCAAGATGAATCCACCTATAACAGGCTGCTACACACTATTTCCATCTACCAGAAAATCTTCACTTCAAACACCCAATCTCCCTTAATCAACACTATCTTTGGCCTGTCCAAGCCTACATTTTGCCAGACTCCACCTGCGCTCTACCTCGACAAGTCACTCAACGATTCTCAAAAGCGCGCCGTCGATCGGTGCATCTCTGCCGATCATCTATCCCTTATCCACGGCCCGCCAGGAACTGGAAAGTCGTACACGCTAATCGAAATTATTCGTCAGCTAATAACTCAAAATAAGCGCATTTTAGTTTGCGGTGCTTCCAATTTGGCTGTAGACAACATCCTCGAGCGCCTCTCCGCACACAACATCCCCGTCACCAGACTCGGTCACCCCGCACGCATCCTGCACTCTCTCCAACCACACACCCTCGAGTATCAGACCTCCCACTCGCACCAGAATGATATCGTCAATGACGTCAAGAAGGAGCTCGAGGACTTGATGAAAGACTTAAAAGACGGCCGTATTAAAGGCAAGCTCAAGCGGAAGAATGCGTGGAATGAAGTTAGGGAATTGAGGAAGGAGCATCGCAAGCGATCTGCTGGGGTGCTCAACAACCTCATCACTCGCGCTCAAGTAGTACTGTGTACCCTGCACGGCGCAGGCGGACGTCAGCTGCACAACAAACATTTTGATGTGTGTATCATAGACGAGTCCACACAGGCACTTGAACCTAGCTGTCTTATCCCTGTCCTCAAAGCCAATAAACTGATTCTAGTGAGTTTAAAACACTTTGCGGATGAGTTGAAATTTGACCTTGCTATTTAGGCAGGCGACCCCCTCCAGCTACCACCCACCGTACTCGCCCAGCCGGGCAAGAAGAAGAAGGAGGTACCCAAGATAATACCCAAAGATGGCGCGAAGAAGGCAGAGGAGGGTGCCAATGGGGGAAAAGATACACAAGAAGCAACTGCAGCACTCTCCAAAACATCAATCAGTAGCCATTCTCCACCCACCCAACCTACCCTTAAACCACTAGCCTCGCTCAACCAAACCCTCTTCGAACGGTTAGTCGGAATACACGGCAACAGGATCAAGACGCTACTCAGCGAGCAATACCGCATGAACGATCTTATAATGCGCTACCCGTCCGAATCAATGTATGGGGGAGCGTTGACTGCACACTCGTCAGTATCGCACCATACGTTGCTCGATCTGCCCAGTGTACAAGCGCACGAAGGAGCGCATGACGAAATAGAGCTCAATTCACCCCTCGTCCTTTTAGACACCGATGGTCTAGACTACATGGAGCGCGTCGACTCGGAGGAGATGAAGAAGGGCGAGGAGGAGGGCAGCAAGTACAACGAAAATGAGGTCGAAGTGGTGCGCGAAAAGGTTGGACAGCTCGTCAGTCAAGGTGTCCTCGATACCCAGATCGCCATCATCACCCCTTATCAAGCTCAAGTGGGACATCTCAAAAACGCTCTGAGAGGTACATACCCCGGTTGCGAGATCGGCAGTGTCGATGGCGTACAGGGACGCGAGGAGGAAGTAGTGATCATGTCGCTTGTGCGCTCGAATGATGCAGTGGGTGTCTAACGCTTTGTGCTTTTAGTTAGTTGATCACCGCTCACTACTCTCTTTTTTCTTTTAGGGCGAAGTAGGCTTTTTGAAGGAGGAACGCAGGTTGAATGTGGCTATGACCAGAGCTAAAAGGCAGCTGGTGGGTGTTTTGATTTTTTTTTTCATTTGGCCGGGTGCTGATTTTGCATTGCAGATTGTCGTCGGGAATAGCGCAACTATCAGACGCGGGAGCACATACCTGAAGAAGTGAGTTTGTTGAGGTTTTGATTTGTGTTTAGCTTATCACACGCGCAGGTGGATGGACTTTTTGGAAGAGCACGCTGATATTCAGGTGCCTGAGTAATTTTTCTTTGTAGATGACGAGATAAGCAAATGAGTAGATAAATAGACTTTTTTGCGTGCTCCTATCTGATTGGCTGAGAGTGTGATGATTTGAAAGAAGATGAATTGGATGCAATTGTTTACATGGGTGTTTTAAGCGTACCCGCGTGTGCTACTTTCCTCTTACGCCGCAACCGCAGATCTGGATAGGTGCACACCACCGCGCACACAAATAAAGACGCGTAATTTCAGAGCTAAGGAGCCTTTAAATGCTTCAGCCCCACTTCAGCATCGTATTTACACCTCAAACGCCAACGAAAAAGAAATAAATTCCTCATCAAGCTGATTTTGACGCGCCTGGGATCTCTCACCCGAACGACGACGACGATCGATTAAGCGGGATATTAAAGGATTTCTAAAGCATACAGCACAGCGAAAACGTCATGAAAACTCCGCCACGCCCAAAATCGACAAAGCTCTCCGAGACGTGCGCACCACCGCCGGAGACGATTAGAGATAAGAAGAGGAATAAGAAATATTCGCGGCATGGGCTCTTAGGGGAGGTGAGAAATGACAGCGACGGGGATGAAAACGAATCTGACACTCGAGTAGGGCGGATTCGCACGAGTGTACGAAGTCGAGGATGACCACGGCGGGTTGCTTGCCATTAAGACAATATCTAAAACAGCGCTGCAGTCCAAGAAAAACAGGACTAAGGTGTGTCTTGAATTCTGATAATATTGTGACGCACACACTGACACACTCACAGCTCTATGCTGAAATCAAACTGCATAAAGCATTATCACACCCGAATATAGTCGGCTTTGAGGAATGCTTCGAGGATGAAGAAAACGTTTACATGCTGATGGAATTGTGCAAGGCAGGCAATATGATGGATCTTCTTCGCGCGAGAAAGAGATACACAGCTCCAGAAACACGCTTCTTCCTCGTACAGCTTATAGGCGCGTGTCAGTACATGCACGAGCATTCAGTTATTCACCGTGACCTTAAACTGGGCAACTTGTTTTTGGACGAGTCGATGAATGTCAAAGTGGGTGACTTTGGCTTGGCCGCTTTGATTGAGCGCGAGGGCGAGCGGAAGAAAACAATATGCGGTACTCCAAATTATATCGCTCCAGAAGTTCTATTTGATACATCGAATGGACACAGCTTTGAAGTCGACGTGTGGTCTATTGGCGTAATCATGTACACTCTTCTAGTAGGGAAACCACCGTTTCAGACCAAAGATGTCAAGGAAATTTACAAGTGGGTTTGAGACACTGCTGAGACATGCGCACTTAACACTCACCCTTCAGACGGATAAAAGACAATTTGTACGAATTCCCAGTGGATGATCCAATCCCGACTGAAGCTGAGGATCTCATTTCGTGCATCCTGACACCAGATCCTAGTGGGTTTGAGTTACTTAATAACTTGATTTTTCAGCTAACAACAAACTCCAGACGACAGACCGACTCTTCACGAAATTTTAGACCATCCTTTCTTTAGTGGGATTACGCCGCCATCTATCCCGTCAACAGCGCGCATGTCTAAACCTGACTTCAGCAACGTGACAAACGCAATGTCTAAACATAACATGCGCAGGCTGCGTCAGCAAGTAGAGCTCGACATTTCACGCCCAATAGCGGCCAAGAATGGCGAAGAGAAGACGGAGAGTGTGTCTGTCGCAGAGCAGGAGAGGGAGTTCAACAAGGCAGTACAACCATCATCGCCAATCTCCACACTGCTCAGCTCGGCCAGGCAGCCACTGATTGTTGCCAACAGTCTCCCATCGCAGCCGCTGCTTAGACAGGCGACAACTGCAGCACTTGCTGAGAAAGAGAAGAAACAGAAAATGGAAATACACGCATCGAACAAGAAATACATGGAGAATTTGGAAAAGAAAGATGGCGAGGACGAGGAAATTGCTGATCAGAAGCTGAGAATAGTTAGTGAAATGGTCAACAACGATGAGAAAAATAAAGGAAAAGCGAGAGCATTGGATGAGAATAATCAACTTCCACCACCTAAAAGCAAAAGCAAGAGCAGTTGTTTTGTGGAAATGCACACTAATCTTCACAACGCATTCACTGCCAAACGTGAAGCAAAGCGTTTCGAGATACCATCACAATACCGCGACACAGATTCGGACAAAGCATCCAAAGTTTTCATAGTTAGTTGGTTAGATTACTGCAATAAATATGGAATGGGATATGCATTAACTGATGGCACCGTTGGCGTGTATTTCAACGATTCAACATCCATGGTGCTATCACCTGCAAAGGAAACGGTTGACTATATAGCGTCTCGTGGTAAATCGAGCACAGCGGTAAGGAAAAATTTCAACATAGATAAGGAGATACCGAAGGATTTAGAAAGTAAGATGTTGTTGTTGAGACATTTCGAGGATTATATGCTCGAGAGGCTCTATGGAGCACGTTCATACACATACGTAGATGAAGAAAGGCGGAAGGGGATGACTTTTGTGCAGAGATACTATCGGATGAAAAATCTGATAGTGTTCAAGCTGTCAAATGATGTCGTGCAATTCAACTTTTATGATCACACCAAGATGATACTCAGTCAGGGAGGGTGTTTGGTTACATACATCGATAAGGATTACGCGTTATCGAGATGGACACTGGATGAGATATTGGAAAAGCAAAGCAAGGATGAAAGGGAGAAGAAAAAGATGGAAGGGATATTAGTCAAGCTCAAGTACTGTAAGGATGTATTTGCAACAGGGAGGTAGTGGCAAGTGTAAGAACATGACGATTAATAAAGTATGTGTACATGATGTGAGGTGTGTTTATAGCTTAAGCGATGTTACGGAGGACAAGAATGACGGAATCGCCGCTAATTTGGGTGTGGTTAGGAGGGTGTTTCAGTTAAAGACATAGCACTCACCGCAGGAACATTTTGCTAATGAATCTATCCTTATTGATTGGTTGCTTCCCTTTTCCTTTTGGAACTTCTGTCCACATTTCCTTTACATTTTCAAGCACCTAGGTGAAACGAATGAGAAGACAAGTAAAATGAGAGCAATTATAGTACCATATTTGAATGCCTATCGAAAGCTTTAACTCTTGCTAGCAATTTCCTGTTATTTCTCAAACTGACTAATATTTGAGTGTTATTCTTCACGCTCTGCTGGAGCACCGATAAAGGACCTTGGCTGAGTTCAAACTCCTCCAGTTGTCTAATTTGATCCTCATTCAACTCAGATTTTGGCGTATTTACGAATTCAGACATGTAGCTTTACGTTGGCTTGTGATGGTCAAGAGGAAACGAAGTGAGCCATTCGTATGCAATCATTGCGGAAAGTCTTTTGAAAAATTATCAAAGTATACAGAGCATACACGCAAGCACACCGGGGAGGTGCGTTTGGCTTGTCCAATTGATTTACCTACTAAACCACCCATAGAGACCATTGAAGTGCTCAAAATGCAATGCTGTGTTTAGAAAAGATAGCCACTTAAAAGCACACGAGCGAACGCACGAATCAGAATCGAGTAAACCATTCAGCTGCACTCACTGTGATAAACAATTCTGGACGAATCAACACCTAAAAAGGCATTTAAAAACACACGAATCAAGCTTCATTTGCAACTACTGCGATAAATCATTCTCAAAACAATATCAACTTAGAAATCACGTCGCTGGTGAGCATAATCCAGTTGGTACTCTACCACACATATGTGCACACCCGGGCTGCACGAAATCATTCCCTACAAACGCGAAGCTCAGAAGACATGCTCAAGTTCATCAGTCTGATAGATATAGCTGTGGACACGATCAATGTACTCACCTCTCTTTTAACAAATGGACCGAACTTCAGGCGCATATCAGACAAGAACATAAACCAACTTGTCCTTACGAGTCTTGTCACAAGGTTTTTAGTAATAGGACCAACCTCAACCAGCATTTGCTTCTCCATGACCAGAAAGAGGTGGAGAGGGAATTGGGTTTAGAGGAGCAGGCAAAAAACGTAAAAGGTGGTTTGGTTGCTAGAGATTTTCATTGTCAGGTGCAGGGCTGTGACAAGAGCTTCAAATCTCACCGTGCTCTCACCGTCCACATCAACACCACTCATCTCAACATACGTCCCTTCGTTTGTCTCCAATGCGATAAGAGCTATGGCTACAAACATCTGCTACAGAGACACTTACAAACGCACAAAAAACAAAAGGATGTTAAGAAGCCAAAGAAGACCACTATCGAGAAGTTCACCGGTGTTGATTACATGAAAAGAAACATCGAATGCCCATATAAGGATATACTTGAGTTAGATACTCTCCCGGACTGCTCTTTTAGATATACTAGACGCTACGATCTACGTCGACACCTCGCCTCCAAGCATCACATTCACTTCACTAAAGAAGAGCTGGATTATTGGTTGGACGGAGGCATAGACGAGCAAGAAAGTGTCAGTGCGAATGAAGAAGAGCTGAACAAGGAGCATAAAAGCCAACATGAGAGCTTGACTGAGGATGAGGAGCTGGATCAATCAATAGAAGCGCAGGATTGATGCAGCTAACATTTATATATTTATTTGTACTTAAATTGTAATGTTTGTAATATATGTATCATTTTGTAGCTATTGACTTTGTGAAAACTTCTCAGCGTCGAGCAGCGCTTTGTAAACATCCACTTATTTTTGACATGCTACAGGGATGATGATTTGTTTTGAAAATGCAAATTCATACTATAGAATCTAGAAGATTCCAACACAATCTTCCTTGTCCCCATACCCCAACTATTTGTTTTTTTAGGAATGCACCAGTCGATCCAAACCCCCTTCCCTCGGGATTCAGAGTTGAGCTGACCCCCACTTTGATTTACAATACATCATTTTCGATAAGTATTCATTGAATAATAGTGACCTTGATCCTCCCCTATAGCCAGGTTTTAAAAGGCCTCAAATCGAAAAATGTACTATGTTTTACAATGCTGTTACTGGCATTATTTAAACAAGACGGTCTGTATCAGCTCAAAATCACAATAAGAATCGATTGGGCGCGTGTAATACTCCTTGTTAATACTATGGCGTACTATAGAGCGATTTCGAACCATGACTCTCGATCAGCATGCAGAGCATGATTAGGAGCGCCAGAGATCTAAATCTGGCAAAGCATATTTGTACCAGCCATAGCTATCAATCAAGCATTTTTATTTGGAGATCATCAAAAGTTGTAAATCATCATCCGAGATGAGTTAAGTATGGCACGCGAAAAATCAATTCGATGGATAGTGAGTGAACAAAGAATACAAAGGTATAGTTGGAGTGCTCGAGAGCTACTGAGAAGAAAGGTGTTGTAAGTTTATACAGAATGTCTGAACACGAATCTGCTGTGCTCATCTTCATGTTCACTTGGTCATTTGCAAGGCCAATTGCATTGAAATAATGACCCCGACTATCTGAAAGCTGCTTTTAATAGTGGACCTTCATCCCCTCGGCTATCTCGTTGAATCGTACTGAGACCATCATAGTCGCAGCTCTTACTACCTATTCTTGCATCATTTTAAAATAAATTAACAACTACATGCGTATATGCATTTCTTTAAAAATAACAATAAGAGATCATGTTAAGAATTGTTCACAAAGTAGTAGAGTGTTCGCTGAAGAGTGGAGGAATTTGTAGCGTTTGTTGTTAAATAAATAAATCGTCCATGCAAATATACGCCTCTAAAGTAAGCCTATTATTCTAGATAGATGTGAGAATATCGTCGATTATGGCGTTAATCTCAGTTCTACGATCGTTGATAGCGTCGTTTCCATACTTGTCAGCAAGATCCTGTCTGATTGACTTCTTGGTTATATTGTCCAGATCTGCCTTGCCAATTATGCCCCTGACGTCCATCTCGATTTCATTCCACGATATCGATTGACTCCCTCCACTGCCGTTGCTGTGTTGATTGTATTCAGGTAGGGGTGTGACGGAGTGCGACTGCGGCTGTGGTGGCATGAATTGCTGTTGGGAAAAGTTCGTCGACATTCTCGGATCGTAGCCTCCGTAGAATGAGTTGGACCAGTTTTGAGATTGCGGATATGGATGGTGTTGTGGTGGTGCCAAAGAATACATTGATGTGGTGTTTGGATAACCGTTGAAAGCGTATTGGGATGGGTATGCTGATTGGCGGTAGATGCTCTGATTCGCGGACATTGAGCGCGGCACACCGCTCTGGTCCAATCCACCATACATAGATCGAGGGCCATAGATACTGGCTGTGTTAGCTGGTGATGGCGGCCTTGATGCTTTCTCAAATTCGTAAACTTCATCTCTGTAACCCGATTAGCTAGTGCGTTACTTCTCAGGAGTCTAACTCACCCTTGCTCCCACAGCTCAGCTTCATACTCAGCCCATGTCTTTAGTGGTATCACCTTTGGATCAAAGTGACCTTCATCATGTATCATCATTTTTCTGCCCTTTTCTCCTGTGATCGTGTGCGTCGAGCCCCATGAGAAATCATCAAAGTGCCAGAATGAATATAGCGGCAAGAAGAACGAGAAGAGCGGGATAGCGCAAATATAAACTATCATCCAGCCAATCTGTTCCCATTTACGATGCATAAGGAAGATTAGCGCTTGGAAACCATATATAGCGCAAAGCATAATGATAGACGTTGTCGGTATGGTCTTTCCTTCAGCTGCTGCCAAGTAAATCAAGTAGACAATATAAACGACGGTGACTGGAGCGATAATTGTTGATAGCAGATCAATGAAAACTATGAACCTCATCGAGAAGCAGCAGAAACCACAAAGCTTATCCAAGAATAACAGTTCGGCCAGGTTATGCACAGTGGAGTTAATCCATCTACGTCTTTGAGAGAGCAAAACCTTGATATCATCCGGTGCGACAGTCTGGGCTCTTGCATCGGCTGTAAATTTGGTCTTGAAGAGTGGGAAATGCTTGAGCAGAATAGTAGTAAGATACCGATCTTCACCGAGATGCAAAAGATTCTTCAAGTGAAGCGTATTAACAACATTTTGACTATACTCGTCAATTACCTCAGAAGCGACGAAAAGTGGACGATGAGTATCACTCGTGCGCAATCTATACATCGAAAAACATCCTGGTAAACATGTGATAGAGCCAAACAGAGACTCAAATGCTTTGGTGAGGTAGTGAGAGATATAGTACTCGTAAACCTGAGCCATAGTTACGATAGATTGCTTAGAATTAGCTAGAGAAGTTTCTCCACATAATGCCAAGATCTTTTTATCTCGCATGAACGATGATATAAACATAGAAAGACAGTCAGGATCGACCATAGTATCAGCATCGACGGCCAGCATATACTCGTAAAAATTGGGGTTAACACCAATAACATTCTTGATTTGGTGGTATATCTCCAACTCAAGGGGGTTCATTGGTGCGTCGAAATGAACTTTGTTCAGGAACCACATCAATGCCAATTGTGAGTCACGCTTACCTCTATTACCAGGCCTGCTACGTTCTGTTGGTTTACCGACTTTAGCCAGTACAATGTACGGTACGACGTGACCACGGTGCTCATAAAGACCACTATAGATTTTGCCCATATTGTGCTGCTTGTTACCCTCACCGATCGACTTAAAGCTGAGCGGTTCTGGATCGTAATTAGGATCAGCGCCTAGGATATCGAGGGCAATACGTGGTGTTGTACGGTCATTACCACTATAAAAAGTTAGTAATTCACGAAAATTCAATCAACACTCACCCTCCAATAATGTTACCATCACAGATAACAAAAATGAGCTTGCGTTTATCATCGTAACGCGTAGCGGCGAGCGAGTCAATCGTCCGTCGCAGTGACTCTTCACCCTCAGTATAAGCAGGTACCTGTAATTGTCAGCCAAAGCCTCGTTTCTATCAATCCACCTACTTGGAAAATGAGAAACTTGTCGTGCTCCTCCGGTTTCCGTCGTGTACCAAAGTTGATAGCAGCCAAGAACTTGAAACCAATAATGACAATCATGAAAATTGATAGCGCGAGAAGGATGTAGTTTGAGAATTGACATGCCGTTGAGTTTCTTCTATCCACTTTACCAATAAAGAAGAGATTCCGTAAACAGCTCATTTGACGAGCAAGGACGGTAGGATCTATAGCCAAGTCTTGAACATACTTAGTAACATCTTCCCCTGAATTTTGTTCAAATATTTGAACAATCGCTTCATGCATAAAGTGAGTGTCAATGTCAGTTGGAGCTGCCTCGTCTTCGCTAGATCCAACAAAACCACCATCAAATGAGATGTACGGAGTCATATCGTAAACGCTGCCATTGATCACAGCTACATTGTTATTATCGTCCGCCATCTTTGAAATATCCTTGTCGGTTAAACCGACATGACCGACTCTGTAATTGTAGCGCATAATGACCATCTGCTCGTAATACCAATCTGGTCTTGAGTCATTAGTCCATGCTCTAAAGTCGTGGTAGTGGGCATTAGGTTCTGTAGATGTAGTGTTTGAGGCGTCAAGACCGACTAGCGGATTAACCGCTCCATCAACACCATTGCACAATGCCGATACTTGAACAGGAAGAAGATTAGAAACATCCTGACCACCATAATTCCAAAAGAGCCTGTCGTCGATAACTGATACAGCACCGCGGTGTGCATCGTGCATCTTAGTGAGGTCCATAACTTCGCCTCGAATACTGACAAATGTGTGATCAGGTTGAGATTCATGTGTATGAGCAGATATTTCATTCTGAGAGTAAACCCGCTGAGTGGGACATATCACGGGTCCAAGGATAGCGATAACGAAGATAGCGCAAGCACAAACAAACCAGATGATGATGTTAATAGCCAACTTTTCCCTCCATGCTTGTCTGACATCTTGTCTTTTCATTCTACCGAACCACTTGAGGAACGGAGAAGGAACGTACCAGGTCAATAACCAACAGAAAGCAACCCATCTTTTTCTAACACCAGATTCTCTCACTTCCTCTTGCGTTTCACTATCATCATACATATCCTTTTCGTCCATCGCAGCTTTATCGGCGTCCTTGAGATTCATGTTTGAGAACATGTTTTGAGATGGTGCGTACATTTCAGTGCCGATTTGACTGTTAGTTTCATTTTCATACTTTGATTGGGGATATATATCACTACCTTCGTACCCGAAAGACTTGTGGTCGTCGCTGTACATATCGTCGTGATCTTCGTCACGCTGAACGTTGGAAACGAGTGGGAGTGCGACACTAGAGCCATCGTGGTCACGAGTGGCGAAAGGATCTGTCATGAGCTCTGAAGCTGGTGTAGTTGGTCCCTCTTCTCCAAGTGGTGCGTATGGACCGAATGGATCTGGAGTTGCGATATAATCCGCTTCTGATTTCTGATACTTGTTGAATTGACGTTGTTCCTGCTCGTCATAAGAGCGAATGTGATCTTCGAGATGTCGGAAGACGTTGTGAGTTATGAATACCTGTGGGTTTACGTTAAGATGAACACTTTGTTTTTTTCTATTAAAAATCACTTACCTTATATGTACCAACGGCTAGCTCGCGCTCTGTCCATGACATCTTTTCGCGCATGTTAAGGATCTTATGCACAGTATCTCCCTGCATAATATCCATCTCGTTGAGTTCATCACCGTAACTCTCCACGAATTCATCATGCGTCATATTGATTGCCCATTCGGCTACAGCAGACCGTCTTGCCACGGCTGGTATACCCGATGAACGAATTTGCGCCTTGACATGACGTGCCTCGAGCTGATTAGGCAGCTGGGTATCGTTGGGTGACAGGCAGAAGACGTACCATGGATAACAGTCCTCAAGCGTATCAAACAGAACATCAGCAGCATTCCTAAACTCTGTTGCTACACATGTGTTTGTTTCAGTTGAAGATTGGTGATCGACGACTTGGTCTTCTGGCATGTCTGGCAATTCAGGTTCATTATTTCCACGTCTCAAAGAAGGACCAGTCCGTCTTGTCGATGGTCTACGCCTTGGACCTACTGACTGTTGAGCGGCAACGAGAGTAGCTTCTGACTTTGGATGGAATTGCGTACTGATTGCATTGGATGTGAAAAGAGACTTGACGAATGGATTTTCCGATCCGTTTGTTGTCTTGTCATTGGTGACTCCACCTTTGAAAAGCGAAACGAAATCAGGATTAAGATTGTCGGTGTTCTTCTCAATCCAATTCTCGGCTGAGTAGGTGACGGTACCAGCGTAGTGGTTGATGGAGAATGTAGGATAACCAGACCGATCTGGTGGCGCCGTCTTGAATTTATTATTGTTACCCCAGCGTTTATTAAATGCTTCAACCATCGTATTGTCATTCTTCTTTGGCGCACGCTTAGCTTGGTCGTCCATTATATGAATTAAGCCACCCTGCTTTGCACCAAGTAGACGCAAAACATCCGAATTGTCGTATTCTGAGAATGACACAGGTGGACTAATCTTACTCAATCCCTCGTGCTTGTGCTCCTCATAAGGACGAGTGAAAACATGCTGGAAAATCCAGTTTTGTAAGCGTTCATTGAGATAATTTACGCAAAATTGGTCGACAGAATTACCGCGATGACCGGTACTTGGATTGTTTTGAAAACCAGGTAGATCGAGAAAAGCAATGTAAGTTGAAAAGTCCTCTTTGCAGAGGTGTTGATTGATGTGTTCGATGATCCAGCTGAAGAGGAGAGAATAGAGGGAGCGAGCAAGGTCATCACGATTGGTAGCTGCACCGTCAACATCGAGAAAGACGGTACATACATCTTTCTTAACAAGTTTAGTGCGATATGAAAGAACACTTTCAAGTGCGTCTGGATGTACACCGAGGAACTCCGCAACAATGTCGAGTGTCTCTGTATTTCTAACTACAGCAGCATCTGGATTCCTTGCGTGGTCGATCGTGAATTCAAGGTTACCAAGGTGCAAGATTGCAGTGACGAGCTGGCAAATTTGAGCGACGTGACGCTTTGAAAATCCAGCAGCCTTGAAAGCGTTTTTGAGTTGACTGAATCTTGCAGCGTCCTCGCCATTACTAGCGCCTATCAAAGGACCGCTGCGTCTTCTGATTGCGCCTGAGGTGTAGCGATAGGCACCAAGATCCTGAAGTTTAAGATATTGGCGCTCCTCTTCACTGGCTCCAGCAGTAAGATAGTAGAAGATGTGATAGTTGCGCTCTCCTGGAGGAGGGTTTACAACTCTTGAGCGTTCAAAGTAATACTCAAGAGTTTTTGCACCGTAAAGTCTGCCACGGTCGTTGAATTGAAGTTCAGTATATTTGCCGAATCTCGAAGCATTTGCGTTGTGCAGGGTTTTTGCATTGCCAAAAGCCTCGAGGACAAACTCGGCAGAGGGAATCTGATCGCCAAGCTTGTGGCCTTTCTTGCCTGGTGGTGGGAGAGACAAATCAATAATAGTCCTTGTTGCCAGTCTTCTAAGTTCGGACTTTCCAGAGCCCGTTTCACCGCTTTTATAGGGTTAGACGGGCAAGCGGGGAGACAGCAACTCACTTTAAAATGATATTATTATCTTTCGAGCTTCTGCGCATGTAATAGTAAGCGTCTGCAGCGATTTGGAAGATGTGAGGTGGTAGTCTTGTGCTATTATCAGTCTGCCTGTACTCGAGTGCGTAGTCGTGCAGGACTTTATCAGAATTAGCGGGGAGGTATTTAAGAGGGTTCAAGGCGACGAGCGAGGACGTTCCCAGTCGCGTATAGATCTGGTCTTCGAGGAAGCGATCTCGCAAATAGCTGAGCACAGCTTCGTCAGACGTATCCCGTAGCTTTGATATATCGTCCATGGTCGTGGACATGGTCGTCTTATCGATAAAAGCGCTTTTGCTAATCTGGCACTTGCGTCTTTGGCTGAAATCAAGAGGCTGTTCGAAGCCAAAAGGTTACGTAGGACATTCCAGTTGGAAATTTTTTTAGATTAGATTAAGTACAGGTATATAGGCGGAGGTGTATTATTCATTTGGTCACGTGCTGGAGCTGGCTCTGCCTCCAAATGCAGGATTCGGTTCGTCCTTTGTCTTGGTAAGCGACGCAGGCAGAAAGATAGCTTACGACGCACCTTCCTTATGGAGATTTTGATTCCCTGAGCGGCAAAGCACTGCAGCATGTGAGAGGAAGCCTGAATGGTATAAATTGATTACCTTTGACAGCGCAGTGCTGGACGTCATCCCCGGGAACCTGACACATGTAAGTGACGTGAAATTGAGCAATGAAACGCACTTCTTGGGCGAATAGACATGGAATTCGTTTGACATTGTTTGGGCTACGATTGTCCTATTTTTATGTCCCACTATCAGCCTGGATTTGTGAGAAGATAAGACAGCGACAATATCCAACTCACGCTGCGATGTCCACAAGGCTAAACTGCAACCTGAAGCTGTGTAAAGTCAACTTTGTGATTATATAATGCTCAGTACACAGCACTCACACGCCCTCCACGCGCACCGACAAATCCTAAGTTGAGTTAGAAATGCACTAGCAGCTGACATGGACTGCACCTGGAAACAAAAAAAGATGCCGGGGTTGTTGTTGGTGTCCCTGAGCCTCATTCCCTCGGCTGTGAGGCTGCCGAGGAGATTCCGAATCGGAGTCTCTGAAGAGGTGTTTTGGTGGTGCGTGTTGGCGACTTGAGTGGCTGTGGATGAATTGAATACGTATGCACAAGATCGTAAGCCTTCAGAATCGAATATCTTGACCTGCACGAGCAAATGTTGTGGCGTGATGTCCCTGTCTGGCGTTAACTCGGAATCAAAGGAGGAGCTACGCACTGATCAGGTATCTCAACCTCTGTGCCGCTCTCTAAAGTCTCGAAAGCCCGAACTTGGAGTACAGGCGGCGGATCTATCGGTCTCCTGTCCTTTTCGCCAAAGCCACACAATCTAGAGCGTATAGGCTGCTGTAAGATGTCTAGTGTGAATCTGATTGCATTGTTAGGCTTTAAATCTACTGGGTGCCCTGCTTACCGCACAGATTTGCCTGCGAATTGACCATGACTGAAATTGTGCGTCATCGTCGACTTGAAAGCTTTAACAGCCACCGGATAAATGCATTTAAAATTATTTGCGTGGGAGATATTGTTTGCTGTTTGTATCGCCCTCCTCGCTGTCTTTAGATCTGCAGATCTTACTCGGAAGCATATACATTTCCTCAATCTGAAGATGAATAAAATCTAATTTACATATTTGGGCCATTCTTGTCATCAGAGAAATTCCATTTTATGCCCTGTACATCTTACTTTATCCCTTAACAACTCCCATCGAGGTTGACACAGCGCACTCCCACACGCTGAGCATTGCGGAAGAACGGAGCACCGAAGATGTGGATTATCGGGAACTATCGCCTATCGAGTCATTAGCCTTCTCGGAACGATTAGGAAATGGCATCATCACACATACACAGCTGATCACTCGGCATTTCTCTTTCTCTAACAGCGAACATGACAGCAAAAGAAGATAATGAATTTAATAAAGAAGTAAAGGAGTTGGAATCCTTCTTCAGCGTGTGTTATTTCTTTGATATCCCTGATTGGATTCCTAACGTCACACGCAGCTTCCACGCTTCAAAAATACAGTCAGGCCGTACGCGGCAGCGCAGGTGGTCAGCAAGCGCGGCACAATCACCCACCACTACCCTTCTGATCTTCTCGCAAAGAAGCTGTGGACAATCCTCGAGCAGAAAGCTAAGAGGGGCGATACGAGCCACACGTACGGTGCACTCGATCCAGTCCAAGTCACTCAAATGGCGAAATACCTCGAAACAGTTTATGTTAGTGGCTGGCAGTCCTCGTCCACTGCTTCCTCGACCAATGAGCCCGGTCCCGATCTCGCCGATGTGGGTGGCAGCTTTCTTAATACTCCCTCTTTACTAACCCATATAGTACCCGTACGACACCGTTCCTCGCAAGGTTGAGCACCTCTTCCAAGCGCAGCTCTTCCACGACAGGAAACAGAGACACCAGCGCAGCTTAACCTCAGCCAGCGAGCGCGGTCCGGCTGTTGACTATCTACGCCCTATAGTTGCAGACGCAGACACTGGCCACGGTGGTCTTTCAGCGACTATGAAATTGGCAAAGCTTTTTGTTGAGAAGGGTGCAGCTGGTATTCACATCGAAGACCAGGCTCCTGGAACCAAGAAATGTGGCCACATGGCAGGTAAAGTTTTGGTGTCAATCCAGGAACAGATAAATCGTCTTATCGCCATCAGATTCCAGTTTGACATTATGGGCGTAACAAACCTCATCGTCTCGCGCACAGACTCTGAAGCTGCGACTTTGATTACCACCAATGTAGATGATCGTGATCACGCATTTATCCTTGGTGCCACCAATCCAAGTATCGGCTCCCTCGTAGATGTCATGCGTCAGGCCGAGCTGGCAGGTGCCATTGGTCCTGCTCTCGAGAAAGTCGAGAGTGATTGGGCTGCTCAAGCTGGATTAAAGAAGTACAGCGAGGCGCTTGCTGACGCACTTCGCCAGAACAACATTAACGAGAGAGTCATTAAAAATTTCTTGAACGAAGCACATTTCGCAAGTCGTCATAAAACCACTCAGCTCGCTCAAAAGGCAGGTCTTCCAACTACGGTTAGCGTCTTCTGGGATTGGGATGCTCCGCGTACACGTGAAGGCTACTACCGCTACCAGGGCGGCACACAGTGTGCGGTGAACAGAGCCATAGCGTTTGCACCTTACTGCGATTTAATATGGATGGAGGTGAGTTAATTGGTTAGCAAAGAAGCCTTGCTAACGCTATACTCTAGACGAAAGACCCTAAGCTCGCACGGGCAAAAGAGTTCGCATCTGGCGTTAAAGCCGCTTATCCAGATCAATGGCTGGCTTATAACCTCTCTCCATCGTTCAATTGGGATGCCGCTGGTCTGAGCCCACGTGAAATGCAGGCCTTTGTTTGGGAGTTGGGTAAATTAGGTTACGTTTGGCAGTTTATCACTCTCGGCGGTCTTCATTCAAATGCTTACATTTCAGACAACTTTGCAAAGCACTTTGCTACAGAGGGTATGAAAGCCTATGTAGAACAGATCCAAAGAAAGGAGCGTGAAATAGGGTGTGACGTTCTTACTCACCAGAAGTGGTCAGGTGCTGAATATGTGAGTTTTGTTTCACGCAATGAGGTGTCCTTACAATTTCAACTCAGATCGACGACCTTCTCTCGACTATTCAGGGTGGTGTTTCATCAACTGCTAGTATGGGCAAGGGTAACACTGAAGCACAGTGAGTAGTGTTAATCCTCACTTGTCAGCGAAGCAGCTAATATGACGCAGATTCGCATTACCAGCTAAATTGTAGCTGCTGACCAAGGGCTGACTGTAACGAAATGACTTATTCCTATTCTTTCATTATATATCTTTGTAAAAAAAAGTACATGATTCTTAGTTTGTCAGAGGAAATGTAGTTGTCATTGTGGCAAATAACCTGCAAGCTCAGTCTGCAACCACTCCTCAAGATCTTTGTTTAGAGATGGATCGGAAGTACGCTTATCAGCTATACCATGGCGTGCCCAAGGAATACCATACTGAATGAATCGTTAGGGAGTAAATCTTTTTAAAGCAGCTCAAAGCTTACTAAACCTTCTGTGTCTTTTTCCACAGTGCCAAGATACAGCTGAGTGAGCGAGCCTAGGCTGCTTGGATAGAGTATAAAGCTAGAGAAGAAGGCCTTCCAACCAGGTATACGCGTGTGTCTCCATAGCTCTGTTTGCAGTATACCGGGATGACAGCTGCTATGACTGACATTTACTTGCTGCTTGTTTAAGATATTGCTTATGACGGTATTACCAATTTTAGAATAACCGTACAAATCCCAAGTATTGATATTTGTGCTCCGTCTCAGATGGCCATCCTTAAGCAGATGGAAATCGATACCTGTTTCATGTATGAAAAATGATTGCATAGCCGAAGAAGTGTGCACGACGCGCGCTTTTTCATTACGATAGTTGTTCTTGCTATAGTTGTCTAACGCAGGGTGGAGAAGAGTAGCGAGGAGATAGTGGGACATGACGTTAGTCTGAAACTGAATATCATAGCCTTGTTTGCTGAGCAGCTCGACTGGGGCAGCCATGATTCCAGCATTGCAGAACAAAGCAGCTAGTTGAGTTTCTTTGTGCAAAAATTCGTGAGCTGCATTATTAACGGAATCGAAATCCGAAAGGTCAACAAGAAAGGGTTGGGCTGTCTTGCCAGTTTCATTGCGCAATTCATCAATCACGCTTTCGATCTTGGATTTATTCCTGCCACCGATGTAAACGTCGGCGTTATGGTGGAGTAGCGCGCGTGCAGTATCCTTGCCTATACCTGAAGAAGCGCCTGTTACTGTATATTGTAAAATTAGTAGTACTCATGGTTTAATACGCGCTAGACTGACCGATGATAGTCTTGTCGGTGAGATCGGGGATATCAGCATCTGTCCAAGTGGGCGATGGCGGGAATGTTTGTGTGTATAGATTGAATAAACCGCGTGGTAGCGTCGATGAGAGTATCCAGTCAAGCATCCTGCCAATTGCGTCTGATGATCGTTGGTAAGGACAAATAGAGAATCTATTAAAGCGTGAGCGTGTGAATTACTCATATATCACTGATATTTATACACATCTCAATAAAAATTTACACTTCACGGAAATCTGAAGTCAAGAAGACAGATCTCATCAAGATACGCTCAACATGTCCACATTAGAGTTATACTGGCCTCTAGCGTCTAATAAAACATCAGAGCGACTTCAAGCCAGCTCAGACCTGATAAATTTATTGAACAAATTCCAACAAGATTTTAAGCCTGCAGATGAAGATAGGGATGGCGAGGAGAGCGATCACAGCGAGCCCAGCGATCAAGAAGAAGACACTGTTGATAAAAACCAGAAATCTGTTATCAAACGTATTGAAAAGTGGATTGAGAAGCATCACGCTCCAGATGTTTCATATGCAATCAAACGATTGATTAGAGGTTTGGCTTCACCAAGGGAATCATCTAGATTGGGATTCGCTGTGACACTTACGCAGGTGAGAATTCTTTCATTTCCCCGAATAATCCTATTCACCCTCCTCAGCTTCTCTCAAATCTGCCTTTGCTCACCGTCGCGCATGTACTTCCGTTGATTAAGCACCACACTACCCCAGTTGGAAACGTTAAAGGCTCAGAAGAGAGAGACCTCATCTTTGGTAGATTGTTTGGTATACAGGCAATCATCGAATCTGGTTTGATTAGCAGATCGACAACGACGCCGGATGATTTCAAGGAAACGATTAGAAATGTGACAGACCTTGGTAAGAATAAGGTCTGGTTGAAGGAGGCTACAGGATGGACTACCCTTAATGGCTTAAAAGAAGTCACCGAGAAGAATGTCAGCTGGTTGAACCAAGCAATCACCAATTCACTCGATATTCTTTTTACTGGTGACGAGAAAGAAATTTGGGGTCCTGAGAAAGTTGGTATTCTTCTCTGGTTACAGTCAACGCATAGCGTAAGTTTGTCTGTTTCATTTGTTTCATGTTAACATGAGTCTAGGATATCGATTATTCTGAATACGTACAACCTATCTTCAAAAACCCTTTGCCTCTTGCTCCTCAAAATCTATCTGTTCTCGCTCGTATTCTTAGAGAAACTTCTATCGATGCAGAGAAGGCTACTTCCGGTTCAGGCGTATGGAAACCACAATTACACTGGGTCTGGCCTCAAATTCTCGACATATACTTCACTAGTGATAACCAAGCTTTCAAACCGCGCGCTTCATTCCAAGACTTCTATAGAATATGCATTGACGAATCATTATTCCAAACCAACGCATCACCTCAGCGCAAATACTGGGGCTTTTCAGTCTTCGCTTTGGCCTTGCCACGCCTCACCAATGAGGACCTTGGTGCATTATTCACTCCCAACTTCATGCGTACATGGATCAACAACCTTCGCGGTGAAGACAGAGTGTTGCACAAGGCTGCACTGAGAATAGCACAAGATCTGCAACCACTCATCGCTCAGAATCCAAAGCTGGGATTACCTCTGATCTTGCAGCTCCTTGGCAAGCATGGCAGTGCAAACTTTGACAAATTGACGGGAACCAAGACTGTAGCCAACATTTTGTCATCCATGACTACTGACGGTGTCAGTGAGTATGTTGGATACTTGCGCTCATTTATTCAAGGCGAAACGAGCGATGTTAAGCAGCGCAAATGGGCTTTAGATCAATTACTTTCCCTTATTCGAAACTCTCAAATACCGCATGACGACGAGTGGGTTTGGAGTGCATTGGAGTGCTTCGTACTCAATGGTATCTTTGTTCCTCGCAAGCCGTCATCTAAATCAAAGCATGACGTACTCAAAAACCCACCACAACCTCCACTTTCAGACACGGATAGAGCTGCTGCTCGTTCACACCTTTTATCATCTCTTGCAGAACTCTCAAAAACACCAGACAGCAAGAAGCAACTGGGTGTAGACAAGAATGGTGATTTATGGGTGAAAAGAGTATATGACTTTATTCAAAGTATTGAAAGCGAAAAGAACGTCATTACTGCTGTTCAATATGAGGAGGAAGTTTTAATAGCACGTAAAACCGCACTTGACAGTTTCAGCAATGTTAACAAGAAAGGCAAAGCACCTGAAACTCGTCACCACGCCTTTAGTCTATTGTTACTCAGTGTAGTACTCCAATCATACGATAACATGGAAGGTATATCGGATGTCCTTGACGAGTTGGCCAGTGCATCTTCCATGCTCTTCACCGTCAAGTCACCAAAGAAGAACAATAGTAAGCAACAAGAAAATGAAGATGGCGAGGAACCATCAGCAATGGCTGTTCTTGTCGATGTGCTTGTCTCTTTGCTTGAACGCTCATCATCATTTTTGCGCACAATGGCTATCAACGCATTCACTGCATTCACACCAGAAGTCGACGAAGAGGCTTTGGATATGATTATCGCTCAGCTCTCCTCACAACCTGATGGTGAAGGTGAAGGTGAAGACGGTGAAGAGGAGAATGAAGAGATGGGAGACGATGAAAAAGGGGAGGAAGGGGAAGAAAGTGACTCTGAAAACGCTAAAGATGCTCAAGATGAAGTGGCTTCGGATGTGAGTGACGACGATAAAGAGGACGACATCAACGAAGCTGTTGATCCAGAATTCGAACGCAAGTTGGCCAAAGCACTAGGTCAGCCAGTGTCAGACGATGAGGATGAAGAGATGGTTGATGAAGATGAAGATGGTGACGCTGTTGACAATGTTGACAACATGACGGATGAGCAGATGATGATGTTGGATGAGCAGCTGGCTGAGATATTTAAATCTAGAGTCGGCGATAAGAAGGCGAAGGAAGGGGCACAACGTGAAGCTCAACATACCAAGAACAGGCTCATAGATTTATTGGATGTTTACGCCAAGAAGCAGTCTTCAAATGCGTTGGTATTGAAGTTGATTATTCCGCTGGTAGAGATAATTGTCAATTCTGGTGCAACTGAGCAGCAGTTATCGTCCAAGTCCTCGGCTATTCTGAGACAACGTCTCACTAAATCGAAGGATATTCCAACAACAAACATCAACGAAGATGACTTGCTGGTCATATTCGAAGAAATGCACAACGTCGCAAAGAAGTCAAGGACGAATGAGATTCTATCACTATGCAACCAATTGTCGCTGTACTTGTTCAGGATCATCACTTTCAATTATAGTGGCGCAGTTGCTGAATCGAAAGCCAAAGAAGTTTACATCTCAAGCTGGCAAGATTTCAGTAATAGAAAACACACAAAATTGAATCCAAGCGTGTTCACTGATTATATACGCCGCTATCCAACCCAGTCGCTTAGTCTGCTTGATGAACTAGTTCAGACTGTCGTCGATGGCAAAGCTACAAATGCATATAGACAAATCCAAGCGTTGACGATGCTTCAAACCCTCTTTGGTCAACATAAGCAGTTGGTAAGTATTTTAATCAACGCTACTACTTTACTAACAGCTTCTTAAGATGGATGCTGGTAAGAAAGACGACATACTCGCATCAATTCCAAAGATCAGACAGGGCATATACTCATTCATCGCCACATCTTGCGAGTCAAAGGATAAGACAAACGCAAGCAAGCTGAAGGATGTCCTCAAGTCTGCACTGGCTTTGGTAAGGGTACACAAGAAGATAACGGATGAAAAAATAGAAGACGAATGGGATTTGACGACATTGCAGTCAATCGTCACCACCTTGGGCTCAATTGATAAGTTCAAGGGCGTGCAATCTCTAGCACAGCAACTGAGTGCTTTGATAACTCAATCAACATCCACCTCCAAAACTTCATCCAAGAAACGTAAGTCAAGCGGTAATGGCACGACTGAGCCGGAGCAGTCTGTCAAGAAGAACAAACAGAAACAGTAAAAGTTTCATAATAGAGAACCTGTTGGTATAAAGATATAAAATTATTAAAGTCGTAAAAAAATGTACAACTAATATTCATTATTTATCCGAGTGTCGCAATGCTGCATCAGGTGAATGGATTAGGATGTACTCGTTCCTTGGCGAGTTGGTCGAGTTGTCGTCTATACTCCCTGTCCTCTTCCTCTTGTCGTTGCTGAGCGAATATTAGTAAACTATAATGGTATTCAAGACGACACTAACCAATCGTTCAGCAGCTTGTTGTTCTCTGTGTTGCTCACGCAGCCTTTCGCGCTCGTCTATATAAGTAAGAAACCCAGTCTTAGATCTTGACTCAGTCGTGAGATGTATGTCAGTTGGTTGAGTTTCCGTGTATTGCTCTCTTGCCGCTTTCTTCCGTCTCTCAAACTGCTCTTTAGACTCTGCGTGCAACTCCTTAAAGTTTGGCATCTCAGTACTGCGAAACTCTTTCTGATCCTTCTCGAACTGTCGCCATTGTTTGACTCTACTTTGAAATCGTTCAGAATGTAACTGATGCCTATGATCTGAGTGAAGACCAATTGTGTTTTGCTCAATGTTAGTTATAAGATTGGGCGTCATAGATCGTCTCTTTTTCTCCCGCTGCTCTTCTAGTCGTCTTATAGACTCTAGACGATGTGTCTTGTTGGGTGATGGGAAGACGTGATTGCGTTTGCGACGCTTGCTGGGTGAGAGAAGAGATGCAGATGTAGATGGAGCAGCACGTTTTAACGTCGAAGCATATTCTTGTTGCCGCTCTCGCGCAGTCTTGCCATCTACTTTGAGAGGACTGTTACTTGACATAGTGGGTATAATACGCCGAGAGCGTGTATTCCTGTTAATGAACGGCGAAGACTGATGTGATTTCTGAGCGACTGTTAGTGTGATGTGTAGTGTAGAGTATTGCTTACTTTGATTGGTGATTTAGTCTTACGTGCACGTGGACCACCTGTAGCGAAATTGAATGCAACTGGTACAGTTGTCTTGTTTTGGCTTCTTTGAGCGTCTCGTTGGCGTCTGGCGAAGAGATCGTCTTTGTTGGTAGGAGATGGTGGCCGAGGCGCATCTGTAGCCTTTCGCTTCCCTTTGTTGGAAGATATGGATTTTGTGTCATTTGGTGCGGATCGTGAATTATTCTTGCTTTTAGTAGCTTGACGTGATTCTCTGTCTATGCGTGTCGCTCTCCGATTCCCGTTACTGGAACTAGCGCCATTCTCCTCCGCCTCGTCGATAAGTATACCAAGCTGGGCCATGACTTCTTCGCGCTCTATATGCTCCTTAGAAAGTCTATACTCCTCTTCACGAGTAGATTTCTCCAACTCTTCCGCTCTCTCACGCGCGAGCTCAACGCCTCTCGCCTTTTGCTTTGCTACCTTAGCCTCGCGTTTTTTGCCAGCATCGCCGCGCTCGTGCGTTTGCTGCTGCTGTTGATTTCTCCGGAGCTGCTCACGTCGATTCTTTTGTTCTTCCTCGACAGTCACTGCTTCCCTCTGTGAGCGATTTTCTTCACGTTTCTTCACCAGCTCTTCGCGCTCCAATTTAGTTTTCTCTTCCTGCCTCTTCCTCCTCTCCTGCTCGCGTGTGGCACGCTCTTTGGAAAGCCTAGCAGCCTCTTCTTCACGCTTTTTGGAGAGCACAGCCTCCTCTCTTTCTTTGCGCTCCTGCCTTTGTCTTATGCCGTGTTGCTTAGCTGCGCGTATAGCCTCTTCTTGGCGATGCTTGGCGGCCTTTGTAGCCTGTTCGCGCTCATTTGCAAGTCTAGCAAAATGCCGTTCTTTTTCTAACCGTGCTTCTTCCTCTGCCTTCTGTTTGGTGATTCTGGCTTCTTTGTCGGCTTTCTCTTTAGCCAATATGGCGAGATGGCGATCTTTTTCGTCGCGTGCCTTTTTATCTGCTATTTCTGTAGCGATTCGAGCCTCTTCATCGGATTTTTCTTTCGCTAGTCTTGCAAGATGACGTTCTCTCTCAATGCGTGCTTCCTCTTCTGCTTTTTGTTCGGCAATTTGTGCAAGTCTGGCCTGTTCGTCTCTTTCTTTCTCTAGTCTGGCGAGATGACGTTCTCTTTCAATGCGTGCTTCTTCTTCGGCTCTTTCTTGGGCGATTTGCGCTAGCCTAACTTGTTCATCTCTTTCTTTCGCTAGCCTCGCAAGATGAAGTTCTCTTTCAACGCGTGCATCTTCGTCAGCTTTCTCTTTCGCTAGTCTCGCAAGATGACGTTCTCTCTCAATGCGTGATTCCTCTTCTGCCTTTTGTTTGGCGATTTGCGCTAGTCTGGCTTCTTCGTCAACCTTTTCTTTCGCCAATCTGGCGAGATGTCGTTCTTTCTCAAGGTATGCTTCTTTCTCTGCAATTTCTTTAGCGATTCTTGCCTCAAGTTGCTCTTTTTCCTTTCTTTCTTGATCACGCTGTTTTTTTTCCCTAGCCTCTATCTCACGTTCTTCTTTCTCCTTAGCTTCAGTTTCTCTCTTACGTCTGGTGTCCTCTTTCTTGCGTTCCTCATTTGCGACTTTCTCAGCTTCGACTTTAGCAGCTTCGACTTTAGCAGCGTGTTCCAATTTAGCTGATCTAGCTTGACGAATTTCTTCTCTCTTTTTAGCCGCCTCTTCGCGTTTTCTAGCAGCTTCGCGCTGATTAGCGATTCGCTCAGCATCCAAGCGTTGAGCAAGTTCTTTATCTGCCAACTCTTTCTCAGCTTTAGCATCAGCTTCGATTCTCTCACGATCGATACGTTCAGTTTCGCGACGTTGAGCAGCTTCGACGCGTCTACGCGCTGCGTTATCTCTCTCCTCCTTCTCCTGTCTTTTACGTTCATTTTCTATACGCTCAGCCTCAGCTCTAGCTGCCATTTCTCGTGCTAGACGTGCCTCTTCACGTCGTCTGTTCGATTCAGCACGCTCAAGACGGAATTTCTCCTGCTCGGCGCGTGCCGCGTGAGCCTTTTCAGTGGCTATTCGTTGTAGACGGGCTTGTTCAGCAGATGCGTTTGCTTCTTGTTCTTTTTCTTTCTCGTCTGCCTGCCTCTGTCGGACTGCTTCTGCATCTGCTTCGGCCTCTTCTGCTGCTAAACGCGCCATATGCTCCTCTTTGGCTTTGCGGATAGCGTCTTCTTTGTGTCGAGCTGCAGGTGGGGATTCATTTTCAGACTGCTGATTGATACGCGCTTTGGCAGCGTCGAGTACCAAATCGACGCGACTGGGGGTGTGTTTGGAGGGAGAAAGGCGTGTAGAGTGGCGCGTGGAAGAAGGTCTATTGACTGGTTGAAAGACATCTGGTCTCTTAACAGGGGATGCATTATTCCTCAGTCTGTGTTGACGCTTTGGTGATCTTGTAGAGACAGTTGGGCTGTTTAAGAGGTTATTATTCAAGCCATTGAAGGTGGTATCTAAAAGATTATCCTCATTATTATTCAACTCGAGGTTAATCGATTGATCCATATGATTGTTGGTGATAAACAGAACAATTTAATAGAGACGACCCTTGAATATTATAAGTGTAGCTCACTATTATTCTTAATCACCGCCCATCATGACCGACTCCAGTAAATACCGCTCCTTCTCAATCAACGCCGATCTACTAACCCAGTACAGCGTACGCCTATATAAATCCACATCAGTCATTCGGTATGTCTGATTATAAGCCTAGCAATGTAAAATGTTAGTTAGTTACGCCCTTTCCAACTACCCTGACAACCCGCAGCGTTTCGAAAGAGACAGAGAGGTGGCCTAATCAGAGGGACGATCATTGGATTGATATTCAGATGGATCTTCTGTGTGCTAATACTCGGGATAGTCATCGCTAGTGTGTTATAGTCTGATTACACAGTCACTCCTCTTACCCTCCTCAGTCGGCATAATCGCCACAATCGTTCTTTACGTAAAGCCACCAAATTTAGCCTTCTTGGGCGTTGAGGAGCCAAATAATGGCAGTACCGTATCCGCTATCAACAACGCATTGAGCATAAACTTCGATTTGCAGATTCAAGTCGATAACCCAAACACCTTCGACATCACATTCAACGAACTCTACGCACAGCTCTTCTGGGGTGCTACTAACATCTCTATTGGCTATGGCAGAGTTGAGAATATCGATATTCGCAGTGAGAACACCACAAATTTCAGATACCCGTTCCATATCGTCTATAAGGCTAGCTATGATCCTAATAGACAAGTCCTTGGTGGTTTACTTGACTCATGCGGTCTCACAGATCCTAACAGCAAGCCTCCAATCGACATCCAATACGATCTCGATATCGACGTAAAAGCTCTTTCCGTAAATATCAAACAGACCATCAGCAATTCCATGTCTGTCACCTGCCCTGGCTTCAGTGAAAGCATGCTACAGGATGCTGTTGGCGATACTATCTCGGTAGATGTTTTGGTGGATGAGTTGACTAGAAATCAACGCTAGCTTTGTTAGCTCTTACTTGATTTATTTATTTCTATTAATAATGATAATGCATACGTCTAATTTCTTAGCAATGACAAAGCGTACTCCTCATCGTCATCTATATCTCGTGTCTCACTTTCCTTCTTCTGCTTCTTCTGGCTCGATTCTTTGTCGTTGCTTTCACCATCACTACCACTCTCACCCTCAATCTCATCCTCATCACCCAAATCGAACTCCGGTGACACATAACCATCATCCTCGCCATCTCCAATAACAGCTTCAGCTGCATCATCGCTGTCGTCGCCCTCAACCTCCCTATCCTTCCTCTTACGCTTCTTTTCATCACGTTTCTCCTTTGCAACTCTCTTATTCTCAACGTCAGCCAATTTGAGCTGTTTATTTTGTTCATCGATAAACCGCTTCTTCTCATTATCGACGTCGACATCTTCCCCTTTCTGTAATTCGTACAGTTCATGCGCTTGTCCGTCCTCGTCGAAGCGCAATTTATGACCAGGCTCGCTCTTCCCTGCGATCGCCTTCTTCGACTGACCCGCTCTAAGTTTCCGTTTTGAGAGGTTACCCGCAGCGTCATCTTCCTCTCCATCGCTACCACCGCTCTCCAGCTCGTGATCGCGACGAGTGATTGTCATCAGCTCCTCATCCGACTCTCCCTCTCCCTCTCTATTCCTGTCTACAAGTGCATTGTAGTGCTCCGATAGCTGTCCTTGGTTCTTACGCTCGAAAAGTTTGTCATACTTGGTGCGCACCCCAGGTTTACTTTGTGATTCCTTTTGCGTTTGTTTCTGCAGCACGTCAGTTTAAATCTACAAACTGCCAACACTTTTCAATCTCACCGCTAAATCAGTATCCTCACTATCATCTCCACTTTCCTGATTCTGCTCCTGCTCTTGCTCACTCTCACTCACCTCCTTCTTATCCTCCGCTCTCGCTCTTGCTTTCTCCGCCGCCATGAACTTAACCTTGGGCACACCAGGCAGACCGAGACTACCCGCGTATTCGCTGAGTGGGTAGCGCGTAACATCAAAGACCTCTTTATCCTTCATGAGATGCAGTGAGCGGACATAGCTAACGAAAGCCTTCTGAGCGAGGTATTTGATTTCAGTATCTTGGAAAGCATGTGCTTGTAACGCATTCCCAATAGGTTGCATAAGTTTCTCCTTAATCTTAGTTCCTTTTGGCGTAATGTGTTTTTCTTCGAGTCTCTTTAACAATGCTTTCTCAGCAGGCTCGACTAGCATCAGCGCACATCCCTTGCTGTTGTAACGTGCTGTGCGTCCGACACGGTGTATATAAGTGTCTGCATCTTCAGGCGCATCGAGTTGTACCACCCAGTCCACTGCAGGTATGTCCAACCCACGCGCTGCGATATCCGTCGCAAACAACACCGCATGCGAAGCTCGACTGAACTGCGCAAGAGTCGCGTGCCGTTTCGCTTGCTTCAATTTACCGTGCAGCTGCATCAAACTTATACCAGGACGCAGGTGCGAGAACGTCTCATATATGTGTCGTACTTGCTTACATGAGCTAGCGAATACGAGCACTTTGTTCTGTTTGTGACTCTTCACGAACCCGAATAAAACATCCAGTTTGCGGTGGAGAGGAACGAGTGAATAGAATTGCGCCAAATTCTTTGGTGTCGGATCTTCCCCATTATCCGTGTTTTTCAGCTCGACATAAGCTGGATCATTGAGACTCATCTTGGCAAGTGAGGCGACTGATGCGGATATAGTAGCCGAGAATAGCAAATTCTGACGCGTATGCGTTGGTGGTAGCTGGTCAATGATCGCGTGAACCGTCTTAGCGAATCCCAAATCAAGTATACGATCAGCTTCATCTAGGATCAGCATCTTGAGGTTATCGGCGCTAAAACCGTAAGTTTCGTCCATATGTTGTAGGAGACGACCAGGGGTGGCGATGAGAATGTTCATCTTATTCAGTCGCGTCTTCTCCTGCGCAACGTTCTTCCCTCCAATGAGCAGACCAGCAGAGAAAGTGTGATTGGTGCCTATAGCGTGGAGAACCTTGAATATTTGCAGCGCAAGCTCACGCGTTGGGGCTACGACGAGAGCACCTAGTCCATCAGTGCTCGACCACTTTTCCTTGTACAACAGCTCGAGCATCGGCAGGAGATAGCTGAGCGTCTTACCACTGCCGGTGCGCGCTGAACCGACGAGATCCTTGCCTTTGAGCGCCAAATGCGTTGTCGCTGCTTGGATTTCCGTCATCTTAACGAATCCATTGCGCTTCATCCCCTTCTTGGTCTGCTGGGAGATAGGCAGCTCGTCGAACAGCTCAGTCTTCTCGCTCAGCTCCTTCTGGAGAGCGTGCATATCCCTGAGATTATTATCATCTGCCACACGCTTCTGATTTATGCGCTTGTAGGGTTTTGTCTGCTGCTTGGATTTCATCGTCGCGGCCAAAATGCAAGAGCAATACATCAACATACAAATAACCAATTCAAGTCAAAATCTTAATGTCCTTATCCATCCCGCTCAAATACTCCAGTATAACCTCCCTCCTCTTATCCCAACCTTGTAATATTCTGTACCTGCTATCGTTGGATAAAATTTTCTCCATCTCGTCAATATTCACCTGCTGAGCCAGCTGCTTGAGATCCTTATTCCCACCGCCGAACACGCCCTCGTCTGTCTCATCATCATCATCTTCCTCTGCTTTGAAGACCTTTTCTGCATCCTTTGTCGCATCTTCCTCCCCTTTCTTTACGCGGCCCCAGTATCCGACAAAGGAAGACTCTTTCAGAAGCTCCTTGAATTCCTTAACCGCGTTTCTAAACTTGGCTGCCTGCCACTCGACGTAGATTCTTTCTAGTTCTGCCACCGACGCGTCTAACACCTTCACCGCCACCTCGTCCTTGATCTTGTCGTGCACATCTTCAAATGCATCATCGAGAGTCTTGAATTCCCTCTCAAAGAGCTCCTTCACCCCATTCACCCGCTTGTTGTAGATCCCATCGGCGTGCTCTTCGAAAAGGTCCCTCTTTCTTCTTACGCTGAGATCGACGTTGAATCTGCTGTCCTTGGCCAGCTCTCCTTCCAGCTCTCTCCACCTGATCTACATTTCCGTCAGTCAAATCAAAATTCCAGAACACCACCCACCTTGTGATTCCTCACCGTGTCTATCAACAAAGTCCGGTATTCTCTTTCAGCTTCATTGCCGGCTAGAGCAGTTTTGGACGCTTGCGTCTTCTTATCAAGACTTTCTCTTTCCTTATTGAAATTCTCTTGGCGTGCCTTAAGTGAGGCTTCAGCCCTGGCAGCTTTGTCTAGCTTTTTGGGCTCGTCTTCTATAGGCGCAGGTATTACGTTTTCTTCAGCTTTGGGTAATTCCTCTGGTTGCTCACCCGCCAATTCTTTCTTGTATGCGTTAAAGAGCGCTTCCTTGGTACTTCCCGACTGCAGCTTCTTATACGCAGAATGAGAAGAGAGTAGCGGTTTTAACTATTGAACTTTGTTAGCTTGGCAATGTGCATACACTCACACCGACCTCCTTGTAATCAGACTGAGCTGTAATATCGCTAGTGTCTCTCAGCAGCCTCTTGAATCCCTCCTCCACCTTCTGAGCTTCTTGGCGTTTAGCTGTCAAGTATAAAGTCAGCAATCACCAAAAGCAAAAGTCACTCTCACCTTCTCCCAACTCCCTTAACCACGATTTGAACACCTTTTCTCTCTCTTTGTCATCTCTACCGAATCCAAAGAAGCGTCTATCCTTCTTGAATGTCTTCCTGAATTCTTCGAAGCGCGCACGCGTGCTTGTAACCTCCGATCGAAGCAGCTCCCTGTAGCTGATGGCTGGGTCAACACTGACAGTACTCCTTTTCGCCGACTGCGCTTTATCCCTGCAATACTCATCGAATGCATCCTGCCTATCCTCGGTATTCCTCAGACTAGTATACCGGCTATCATTAACGAAAGTGGTAAGAGCCATATCCCAAGGCATGAGTGGATTGATATCATACTCCTCCAGCATGCTCTTGAACAGCGCGACGGCCTCTTCATGGTTATAGTTAGCTTCGATCTCTGCGGCTTTCTTCTCTTGGTATTCTCTCATACGTTCATTCTCCATCTCGCGCTGCTCAGCCAGCTCGGCATCGAGTATATTCTTATTGTGGTTGCGTTCTGCGTCCATTGCCGCCCGCGCTGCTGCTGCGTAGTCTGCGTCGTCTCCACCGTCACCGCTGCCGTCTTCATTTTCTCCATCCTCTCTGGCTTTCTTCGGCTCAACGTCTATCCAGCCGCTATCACCGGGCTCCTTCTGCTCACGCTTCCGCTTCTTCTCTGCAGCAGCAGCATTCCCATTCTGCTCGTCCTCTTCTAGCTGCGACACCTGCGATGCTATCTCAGCAGGCACCTCCCACACACTTTCCTTGCGCTCAGTGTGGAGGTAGAAGGTATTTCCGAGATTTGTCGTTATCCTCATCCACGCTGTACCTTCTATCGATGTCTTTTTCGCTGGTTTTTCTTTCTTGGTCTTCTTCGTCTGGCTTGGCTGTGCTGCAGGCGCAGCTGGCGCTTGCATCGGTGCTGGCGGCGGTGCCATTTGCATTTGCATTTGCATTCCAGCAGGTGGCACAGGTAGCGGTCTCTTGTATGTGGATTTCTTTGTACTGGCGTTGTAGTAGTAAGGTGTACCCGACGGAGCTGAGCGATTTGCCTGTTAAATCACCTTATTGCACTCTAGCATCTCACCCACCCTTATGCTCTGTCCATCCTTCCGGCAGCGGTGGTGGTGGTATTCCATTCATTTTGATAGTATCGGTGAGAGAATTAACACGCTTAAAACAAGGAAAGTAAACGTAAATGAAATAAATAGTCTATATTGCTTTTACTCTTGCAACAGATGCGCGTAATCGTCTGCACTAGCAAACATAGGTAACGCCTTCTTAGCTTTCTTGGCCGCTCTAGCTTCCTTGTTGTTACGTTTGCGCTTTCCGCTGACTTCTTCCTCCTCCTCTGGTTCACTACCGTCCTCCTCATCCTCATCTGCGCCAGGAACCTCCATGTCCTCATCAATAGACAACAGGTCATCCTCTTCGTCATCGAGACCACCAACACCTCCTTCGTTGTCCTCATCATCCTTGTCCTCGTTATCCTCACCATCCTCATCATCCTCATCGGATTCTGAATCTGCTTTAGCTGCTTTGTCTTCCTCACCTTCAGCTTCGGCATCACTGTCCTCCAACATGGCAGGATCGACGTGGTCTTCATCACTCTCTTCGAGGTCGTCATTCTCCTGTCCTGGCATCGTAGCTTGCATAGCCTAAAGAGTGGTTAGAATTTACCATAAAACCAATTCAGACGATGCGCACCTTCCAGATCTCATCCTCGTCGAACTCTTCCTTATCATCAGATGCAGCATCGTTATCGCCATCCTCCTTCTCATCCTTCTGCTCATCCTCATCATCGAGATTGACATCTTGACCTTGGTCAGTATCATCGTCACTCTCGCCCACACCTTCATCGTCAGAAGCCTTCTTGCGCTTATCCCTCTTAGATGCTTTATCTTCCAACCTCTTGTTACGCTGATTGAAGAATTTATGGAAGAAAAGCTGATCAGGAGCTACATTTGCCTCCTTCTTCCTCATAAACTCGTTGCTGTTCATCATCAACTCTCTAGTAGCACCCTTGACATTAGAGACAGTTTGTGATCGGTCAGACGCAGCAATAGGTTGCATGAGCGATGCACCCTTTGGCTTGATGTCTTTCTTTGGATTCTTGTAGACGAATCTGTCGAGGAAATGCATGAGTGTGTTGAGGTTGAGATCCGATGAAGTTTTCACCACTTCTCCATTCAGTAGCTGCTTAGCCTGAATAGATACAGAGGGGTGATAGTGCTTTGTGAATGGTATCAACTCCCACAGACAACTGTGCTGAGCATTGCTATATTGAGGATCGCGCTTGAACTTGTCGTAAGACGTCGAAGCTACTCCACCACTCTCATTCTCTTCCTCCTCATCCAACATCGCTCTCAATGAGGGATGGCTAGCGAATATGCCGTTGAGATGGTAGAATGCACCGCAAATGAATGAAGGTGATTGTCCGAGTAGCATTTGCAATATACGCTTCACAAACGCTGCTACTCGGGCATTCGATGGATCTCTCTTCATAGCCGAGAACAACAAGTTGAGGTACATGGACTGCTTTGACGAGCCTCCCAGTCTTGGATCCAGCAGCGACTCATACAATGCACGGTAAAATCTGTCTGAGACTGTGTCCTTTATAATCGTTATTTGGTAGATTAGTTGTAATGCTTGAATAGCTATGTTGAAGGTACCAGTGTGGGTGATTCTAAACAGAGTATTCATGTAATTATCGAAACTGAATTTGTCAGTACTGCGAATGTAAAGTCATTGGACTCACATTTTTTCATCAATATCAGCGTATGGCATGGCACGGTGTACGCCGGCCAAAATACCGGCAACCATCTTAGACTTTTTCTCCTCAAGAGCCTCAGGATCATCTTCGACATCTTCCTTCTTGTCTTTCTTAACATTCTTACCTTGGTTTTTCTTACCCTTCTTAGCATTCTTAGCATCCTCCTTGGATTTCTTCACCAATGTTTCCTCCTCCCTGAGGAAATCTTTGAAGCAGTTAAAGTATATTTCTATCAGTTTGTTTGCAACGCCAGTGTCAGCCTTTGTGAACATGATCTGATTTAATGTAATAATCGCGTAGTACTTGGCAGAGTCTGACATGTTTGGACGGAAGATGAGATCACCGACTTCGCGACTGATAATGCCTTTCATTGCAGGGTGAGCTTGCAAGACAACAAGCAGCTGATTAGAAGCTTTTGATGCTACTTGACGAGAAGGATCACCCTATCCTTGATTTAGTTTTGTTATTGAGAAAAAGAAAATACCTACCAACTTGTTTACTAGTAGTCTAAGCAGATTATGCTCCTGCTCTGGCTTGTTTTTCAAAAGCTGGAAGATGAGCATGACAGCTTGCTGCCTTACAAAGACGAGATTGTCATGAGTGATCGACTGAAGTATGTCAGCATACTATAAGCCCCAAAGAAAGCTCAACTCACCTCAAGTAGCTGCAAAACCTCAAAGAAATATCCCTTGAACCAATTTTCAAAGGCCCAGAAAGTGAGATGCTTATCGGTTGCACCCTGATGGGTGAGGTTGGGCTGATCGGCGATATAAACCAGCTTTCTGTTAGAAGGTAGACCGTGTGGACCAGCCAACCAATCAACTAGGGCCTTCATTGCCCTGAGTGCCTCTTCACGCTTAGGTTTTGCAGCCATATTCTTGAGAGATTCGAGACTGGAAATGTTATGGATAGGCGACTCAGCAACCAAGAGGGCGAGTGCGGAGACTCTATCATTAAGAGTACCAGACTTAAGCATCTGATCCAAGAATTTCTTATCAGAAGCAGAGACGGCTGAGCTTGAAGAGGCGATCTTTGGTAGATCTTCGAGTAGCTTCTGTGCGTGTGATATCTGCCCATCAGAAGTCAACGATTTGCTAGTGTTAGCCTTGGATTTTGAGAGTTGAGGGAGAGGCTGAAGGAACCATTGAGGAATTTGGACGAACGGACCGTTTGGATCGATTTCACTGAGCGGGTCTGCGTCTGCGTCTTGCTCAAATTGATTATCACCTTCTTGACTAGAATCTTCTTGCTCGCTGTCGTCGTGATTTTCATCATCGCTAGCAGAAGCAGCCTTCACGTCAGTCTCGCTACCGTTGGCATCGACATGATCATCGTTATCGTCATCTTCCTCTTCCTCTTCCTGAGGCTTAGCAGAGTTGAAGTCGAGAGATTTGTATAAATCCTTCAAATCTTTCAATAAAGCTGGGTCATTCTGCTCGCCGCTATTAAACACGTGCTCGTCATCACTGTCGACGCCTTGGAACAGCTTCAAATCGTCTTCATCGCCGCCGAGAGCGAGAACTTCCTTCTTGAGGTCGTTGTGGGGAGCATGTTGAGGATGTTGTGGCTGCTGCTGCTGCAATTTACCACGCTTATCCTGCGTGCTCTTCTTATCCCCCTTCTTATTCCCGTTTCCTTTCTGTTTGAATTTATTAGGCGCCATAGATGGTCGAACGAGATGAAGAGATTGTTGATTCGAAACGGTCAAGACAAAAATGCCGAAAGCCGAAGCGGGATCATCGAAAGCAGTTGGAAATGCCATGAAGGCTAAAGGTGAGTTGTGATTGTATAGCCACCGCCAACTCTCATGCTCACGAATCCCAGGCCTCGGGAGATTAAGATGGTATTGTCAAGTATGTGAGAAGCAGTGCAGAGACGAGAACGGCTACAAGTGCCACACGCAATCTGAGAGTCACCTGAGAGCGATGCTTCACGTCGGCGAGAATGCAGGCAAGTTTATATCCGACGCTTCCCAACAATTCCAGCGTGAATTCGTTATTCTTCTTTCAAGAAGGTGAGTTTGAGCGTGTTATCTGGAATGCAGCGATTGTAACCAACACGCAACAGACACGGCACTAATCGCGTTGCTGTCAACACCGTTTACCAGGAGTTCATCGCCGATAAGCACCACCTCCACATGAACGCCACTCGCTGGGTAACGCTGACGGAATTCACAAAGTACCTTGGCAGAGCTGGTATTGTTCGTGTCGATGAAACTGAACAGGGTTTGTACGTCAGCTGGATCGATAACTCCCCTCAAGCTCTCGCACGCCAGGAGGCAAGTCTTAAGAAGGACAGACAGCATATGGATGATGAGCAGCGTGAGCGTAAGATGATTGCTGAGCAAATCGAAAGAGCAAAGCTTCAAGGTGACGGTGTTCCTAAAGAGCATAAACCTAGTGTCCTCAACAAGGGTGACGCTCCTATTAAACTCTCTTTGAATTCAAACTCATCTGGTCAGAGTAGTGCTCCTAAGATTTCACTCAAGCCGACTGCTGCTGCTGCACCCGCATCCACGCAGAAACCAGCTAACGTCTTCAAAGCTGCTAAACAATCTAAAGCAACACCCGTTACACAGACTCCACACCAAACCAAACCAAAGTCGGCTATGGAGTCGCTCATGATTGGTAACGAGGAACGCAAGAAGCGTCTAGCTGAGCGTGAGCAAGGCCAGAATAAGAAGGTGAAGCTTTAGCGTGTCACCGCGTCATCACCTCAACTCCACACTGTACTTTTCTATCAATGTAATAATATATGCATATACGGTTGAATGTCTAGAATACAGTTGAATGTTATGCAAATACGGTCGTTAGGTGTTGAACAATGGCAATGACTTGATGAGAGTGATTGAAACATAGAATAACCAGGGAGTGAAAATCATGAAACTGTTGAGGTTCATAGTCTGTAAGCTGCCTTGCGAGCTATACCATCTACTCCGCCATTTCCTCTACACTTGGACAGCTACAGGTAAGGTTACGATCACCATATGCTATCACACTATCAGTAAACTACCATCACGCCCATAAATTCACTCACCATCATCCACTCTCCCCACAGAAGGCCAGAACTTGTTATTGGCGAGGTAAGCGAGAGGATAAACGGCCTTTTGGCGTGAGTATGGTCGTGTAGCAGCCCACTTGTCATCTGACCAAGCGAGAGATGAGAGAGTATGAGGGGCATTCTTGATAACGTTAAGCACGCGATCCGCTTTTCCATTTGCCACCTCATCAGCCTCCCCCTTGATATGAATGAGTGCATCAATAAACCTATCGAGCGTCTCCTTGTTTTCTGACTCAGTAGGCTCTATTAGCATAGCAGATGTGATTGGCCAGGAACAGGTTGGTGGATGAACGCCAAAGTCCTGTGAAGAGGTGGAAAGGGTCAGTAAGTGTCATTACATCCATACGCATCACAAACTCACCTGCAACCGCTTGGCGAAATCCATCACCTTTAATCCACTTTCTTCGAAATTAGCCAAATCTAAAAGCAGCTCATGCGCCACAGCCCCTTTTGAGTTAACGAAACGGACATTGAAATGCCCTTCTAGCCTTTTCTTGATATAGTTGGCATTGAGGAGGGCAATTTTAGACGACTCAGTGAGGCCACTCCCGCCCAGCATTTTAATATACGCCCAGCTGATGGTGAGGATGCTAGCGCTGCCTTGCGCAGCAGCACTGACAGGTGTGAGTGACGAATCTGTACCGTGCGGCGAGAGAGGATGACCAGGTAAAAATGGTACGAGATGTTCAGCAACGCATATAGGTCCTACACCCGGTCCACCACCACCATGTGGAATCGAAAACGTTTTGTGCAAATTCAAGTGACAAACATCTCCACCACAGGTGTATGGGTTAGTCAAACCAACTTGTGCATTCAGATTGGCTCCATCGAGATAAACTTGCCCTCCCTTATCGTGGACTAGCTTGCATGCCTCTTGCACACCTTCCTCGAATACTCCAAATGTTGATGGATAGGTGACCATGAAAGCTGCGAGATTCTCACTGTATTCTTCACACTTTCCGCGCAGGTCTTCCATATCTAACCGTCCATCCTTGAGCGTCTTGATTGGGACTACTTTCATCCCTGCCATCACCGCCGAGGCGGGATTTGTGCCGTGAGCTGAGAGAGGAATGAGACATATGTTTCGTTTTCCGCCATCCCCTTTGCTTTCATGATACGCTTTGATTACTGACAGGCCTGCGAATTCACCCTGCGCACCACTGTTTGGTTGCAGCGATGTCGCACTAAACCCTGTGATAGCAGCCAAGTCATCCTCCAATTCCCTTATCATCTTAGCATACCCTTGAGCTTGGTCTATTGGCACGAACGGGTGAACACTCGACCACTCAGGCTGGGTGAATGGAATCATTGAGCTTGTTGAATTCAACTTCATAGTGCAGCTACCAAGTGGAATCATGTTGTGAACAAGCGAAAGATCCTTGCCCTGTAGGTAGTAGATATACCTCAAAAGCTCAGTCTCTGATTGATACCTGTTGAAAGTCTCGTGTTGGAGATAGGATGATTGTCTCTGAAGTTTTTCATCTGCAGCTACTTGCAGTGTAGGCAGAGTGTGACGGGTGAGGTTAAGATCGAGCGCAATTTCCTCCAAAGCTTGCGGACGTGTGAGGTCTTTAGCAGCTTGGGATGCTTCTATGCCGCGGGCTGTTCTGGCCTGGGAGAAAACATCCAATAGCGTAAGTATGTCCTTCTCGGTGACACTCTCATCGAGCGTGATCCCGACTGTGTGGTCGTCCACGCGACGCAAGTTTATGCCATTCGCTATAGCGGCAGCGTGCGTCGACTCAGCTGATGCGACATGAACAGTGAGCGTATCGAAGTAACTGTCTCGATTCTTGACCGTGAATCCCTCTTTTTCGATACCCAGCTTAAGCACTTTTGTGAGAGCGTGAACTTTGGCTGCTATCTGACGCAAGCCCTGGGGACCATGATAAACAGCATACATAGCAGCCATGTTTGCAAGCAATGCCTGTGCTGTGCAGATGTTCGAAGTAGCTTTATCGCGTCTGATGTGCTGCTCTCTCGTTTGAAGAGCAAGTCTATAGGCTATTTTGCCGTCGGAATCTTTTGATACACCAATCAACCTTCCTGGCATCCTACGCTTGAGGGCGTCTGAGCAGGCGAAGAATGCTGCATGAGGACCACCCTGGTTGGAAATGTTAGAAGATTTTCGACGACGGTAATGTAAACCTCACGTATCCCAATGGAACACCGAATCTAGCAGAGTTGCCAACGCAGATATCAGCACCAAACTCGCCTGGTGGCTTGAGCAGAGTGAGAGCCAAGAGATCAGTTGCGCAGACAGCAAGACCACTAAGGCTGTGAACTTGGCTGATTAGGTTGGAGTAGTCTTGGATGGCGCCGTCAATATTTGGCTGAACACGGTGTCAGAAGAGCAATGAAAAAGAGTATCGACACTCACATACTGGAACAAAGCACCAACAAGGTCAGAACGTATATTGTCCTTCTGTAAAAGATCATTAATGTCGCCGTGGACAACGTTGATACCAAGACCACGAGCGCGAGTGTGAAGAACAGCGAGAGTCTGAGGCAAGACACCAGAATCGACGATGAAAGTGCGCTTGCTACCTTTTGCGGTACCGAAAGCAATAACCATAGCCTCTGCAGCAGCAGTAGCCTCATCGAGCAAAGAAGCATTAGCGATGTCCATTCCGGTGAGAGAAGACACCATAGTCTGGTAATTAAGCAAGGACTCGAGTCTGCCCTGAGAAATTTCAGGCTGATAGGGCGTATAGCTGGTATACCAAGCAGGATTTTCAGTGATGTTGCGGAGAATGATTGGTGGAGTGACAGCGTTGTGATAGCCCATGCCTATGTACGATTTAAAGAGTTTGTTCTGGCTGCCGAGCTGCTTGGCGCGAGCAAGAAGCTCCGATTCGGAGAGTGGGGGAATGGAAGAGTCGTTGATGGAGTCGTGGATGCGTATATTCGCAGGCACAGCGTCATTGATGAAGTGGTCAAATGACGTGTAGCCGAGTGAATCGAGCATTTGGTCGACATGGGCAGAGCGTGGGCCAACGTGGCGGCGGGTGAAGGAGTCAAGTGGAGCGAATATGCTGTTCGCCGTGGTTGGTGGCGCGTCAGCCACCTCGAAAGTAGCCAATGAGCGTAGGCATTGGCTGGTCGTGCTTGTGCGGCATCTGAGAGATCTGAGAGACCTAAGAGACGTGAGAGCCCCAGATCTTAACATTTTGAATTGAATTTAGCTGATATTTGGGCGTTTCAGACAAGATGATAAAACCAATTAACCAAATTAACCAACGGGATCCCGGAAATACTGATAAAACTGATCGATAGACACATGCTCATCTCGCTTAGACTGCGGCAGCTATACTGGCTGGCTCAGCTGGTGTAATCAATTGAGCTGTAAATTCCAGTCACGCGGCTTATCTGGATACCCTGTTAGCCCTGGATGCCCCATCACAGCGATCCATGTAAGCGTGTTGATTGAAATATAAAAATATAAAAACATCAGCGCTATCATGTGTTTTCGTATGCCATTTTCTATCGGACACGACCGGAGACTTGTTAGACTGGAAACACGTCATCTCTCTCACCTCTTACACTCGCAAAATGGCAGAAGAAGTGAAGGACGCAAAAGCAGCGACTAAATCATCATTGAAATCGTTTCTCTCTGGTGGATTTGGTGGTTCAATGGCTGTCCTCGTTGGACACCCGTTCGATCTCACCAAAGTGCGATTGCAGACAGCCGAAACGGGCGTCTACAACGGCGCAATTGACGTAGTGAAGCAGTCCATAGCCAAAGATGGCGCTAGAGGTTTGTACAAGGGCGTTCTTCCACCGCTCGTTGGCGTTACCCCCATTTTCGCACTTAGCTTCTGGTCTTATGATCTCGGCAAGAAAATTGTCTTTGGTTGCAGATCAGAACAGGCTAATAGGGAGAAGGGCACCTCTCTTTCTACGTCTGAACTCGCTTTCGCCGGCTTCTTTAGTGCTGTTCCTACAACGCTGATTACATCACCCGTCGAACGCGTCAAAGTGCTCCAGCAGACTGAGTCGAAGAAGGCTGGGATGGGTAGTGTCATCAGTAGAATGTATAAAGAGGGTGGATTGAAGAGCGTCTACAGAGGCACGGGCGCTACTTTGGCTAGAGATGGTCCTGGCTCCATTGCTTACTTTGTCAGTTACGAGCAGATCAAGAAAATGCTTACCCCAGCCGACTCAACCGGTGAACTCAACCTCGGCGCTGTTCTCACTGCAGGTGGTTTGGCTGGCGTTACTATGTGGTCATTCGCTATACCGCCTGATGTTATCAAGTCACGCATCCAATCTGCTCCTGAAGGTGTGTACAAGGGTTTTGTAGATTGCGCTGTGAAGACTGTCAAGGCTGATGGCATGGGTGCATTGTTTAAGGGTTTCGGACCTGCAATGGCTAGAGCATTCCCAGCCAACGCAGCCACCTTTGTGAGTTGAATAACAGCATTAACGATAAAGCTTCTCACATATATTCACAGCTCGGCGTCGAAATATCAGCAAAAGCACTCGAAAAAGTGTTGTAGAGGAGGATGACGAGTCTTGTAATTTCAACGCGATTCATGAATGATAAAGTATGGAAATTGAAAAAACGTTTAAAGGTCAGCGTCATCCTCATCTGGGAGTGGAGCAGCAGCTGCTTGTTCTAATTCTTGTTTGTATTGAGCCATCAGAGAAGGATCGACCGCAGCTTCTGGAGGAGCAAGAGCAGGAGCAGCAACGAACTCGAGACTTTGGTTACCAGCGAGCTTCCTAGCCAACCACAAGAAAGGCTTTTCAAAGTTGTAGTTTGACTTTGCGGAAATTTCAAAGTACTGGAGGTTCTTCTTCCTGTGGAAGGTGACAGCACCGGTCTTGACCTTGCGCTCCTTGACATCGACCTTGTTACCGCAGAGGACGATCGGAATGTTCTCACAGACTCTCTCCAAGTCTCTGTGCCAGTTTGGAACGTTCTTGTAGGTAATTCTAGAGGTAACATCGAACATGATGATACCGCATTGGCCTTGGATGTAATAGCCATCACGCAATCCACCAAACTTCTCTTGACCGGCCGTATCCCAGACGTTGAAGCAAATTCTACCAAAGTTTGTATCAAAGGAGAGTGGGTGGACCTCTACACCAAGCGTGGCAATGTACTTCTTCTCGAATTCTATGACGCATTATTTAAACGTGGATTCACCGCCATTACGATATCAAACTCACCACCAGTCATGTGACGTCTAACAAAGGTTGTCTACGCGTCACGTTAGTTGATTGTACGCTGGCTTGGACCATTTCTCACTTTACCAGTACCACCGTCACCGACTGGATACACGTTAGTTGAGTAGCCCACGCCGCGCACGCTCACTCACCGAGAACGAGCTTGAATGTTGGAGGTGCTGCTGCTTCTGCTGACATCTGCAATTCCTGTTAATTTCTTCTTTTTTGTGTTTCTGCGTCTCCTCACCTTTACTAGTCGTGGTGAAAAGCGAGTTTTGAGCGAGTTTTCTGTCTTGGGAAAATATAAAAAAAATTTATAAGTCGTGTGTTTAGGGGTGCTGTGTGTGAGTACACAATTGTAAATCCCTTCCTCCCTTTTCTGCGTTTAAATCAAGAGAAAACATGCATTGGTTATTATTATCTATCAATGTAAAGTAGGCGAAAGTGTATTGTCCGTTTCATATGAGAAGAAATCGTTACTTGGCTGATTGCTTGCGCCCTGCGACGTGCCCTACCGACACCGGTCTTCCAGCCACCCACGACGCCCTGCCGCCTTCTGAGGGCGATTGGAACGCTGATTTGAAGCTCGACTGTCTCGAGTTGACCGACGACGACCGGACTGACGGCGCTTTTGGCGTCGACCCGTGTATCGATGTCGCTGCGCCTTCCGCAACTGTGACGCACACAAGCGGGAACGCTCCCTCTCTGAAGGACGATCCTAGGATCTGGCCAGCAGCCCATGCATCGTCGTAGATCCGCGTCACTCTGATTGTCTGGTCAGGCATTATTGTCAGCTCATCTGGGAGCGCTGCGTTGTAAGGATAGAGAACGAATACGTTTGATCTGCAATTCCGTTAATCTGAGCTCTCGTTTTCAATGTCGCCGCCTCACCCGGGATAAATGAATGTGTCCTGCGATTGGTTGGTGTCTTTGTAGCTGTCCATCAGGTTCGGCTGGCTTTCTTCTGCGGCTCCCCCGCTAGAAGTCTGTACAGACTGCTGGATCGAGTTCCTGAAGTTGTCGTCGGCGTTTGAGCCCGGCTTCTCCAAACCGTGGTCGTAGTGGTGGTCGTGATCGTGATCGTGGTCGTTGCTCAGCGGCTGCGGAGGTGGCTGGCCGTAGTTGTTGCCATTCTCCGCGCTGTTGATCTTCTCAATGTTGTTCGACCTCGTCTTCTCCACTGCGTTGCTGCGTTTCTTCAGAAGGTACAGCAGCACAAATATAATGGCTATCAAAACTACTCCAACGACTACTCCTACTACGACGCCTGCAATGGCTCCTCCTGATAATCCCATTCTGCGTTTCGAATATGACGGTTACTTGTTATGATCTGTTTGCGACGGCCTGTGCGTGGTAAGTCTTAACGAACGAATATTTTTAGTGAGTGGGTGGAGGTGGAACAATTATCGGTGACTTGTACCGCTTTATAGCCGCTTTGATAGTCTATGGTATTGTGGATGCTCTATTCTTTCCCATAGTCGTCCTCCTGCACGTCGGCAACGCAGGTCAAATTTTTCTGCACAGACGGCTATTGCGAGAATACATTGTTGGTGCTCCTGAATGAATGGCTCTATGCGTCGCTCCTCTTCTCTCTCCTCTACGTCCTCTCATTTCCGCTGAAACTCGCTTCGGGGGCTATTCCCGGCGAACCACACACATTATTCATCGGCCAGGGCATTATGTTAGGGTGGTCATTCGCCGCCCTAATTGCCCGCCGTAACCCATGCGCTCGCACGGATCATCAAAGTTGTTTCACCATCCAAGCTGTCACTCGGCATTGTGGAGGTGCGTTCGATCTACAGCGATAAGGATCGCAGGCTTTGTAGTGCTACGTTTCAGCTCGTGCGTAATCTCATGTACCTCTACGATCACTTCTCTCTAATCATGGGAATCAATTTTTTGACATCTTCTAATCACACAATGCGTAACTGATTATACATCTGTTTATGATTCTATACAATACATTAAATTTGCTCTATTTCAATGCACGCGGTTTTTCTAAACGACTCTTAAGCTTTCGAGAGTGGTGGAGTGCCTTCCTGGGCAGTGTCTTAATAGCCTTGACTAAGCCCAGTGGATCGTGAATATTCGACAGCGAGGCCATGAATGCCATAACTATGCTGATCCCGACAAGCACATCAATGCCGAAATCCTCAACGATGAACGACACAGCGAGCGGTCCGACGATGACGCCTGTGGTGGACGTCGCCAACGCGAGCGACACAGTAGTCTCGATAAACGGCGGGTTGATATCACGCGACATATTGCCCCACATATTGGGCATTGTCGGAGCGAGTGTTGCGCCTATGAATGCGTTGAGAACGCTCACTGGCGCTATACCGCGCACTTTATCAATCGATACGAGGAAAATGCACGTCAGCCAGAGTAACATTAGGTTCGAGCGCTTGTACCCCACTCTGCAATACAAATGCGAGAAGCATAGCATGCTCACCGTCGCACCGGAGCGGTACACCGCTAGCTCGAATGCACCAATGGAAAGTATTTTGAAGTGCAGATCCTTTACTTCCTTAACATACGTCGACATCCAATGCGCCCACCTTTTTGAATCGATTAGCGCCGCGTCTCCAAGCAGAGCTCTACTCACGTTTCGGTGATGAGCTGACTCAGTGTGAGTGAGAGTATCCTCTTCCATAGCTTCTTGTCTGCCACCACATCCCTCCACTTCTGCTTTAACGGCAGCACGTCTCCTTTACTCCCTGCAAGGATGAAATTTCTAAAGACAAAGAACTGGACAATACCCAGAAATCCAAAATACGCAAGGAATATCCAGAAGAAATGCTTCCATGTTGTGAAATGCTGTATCAGACGTAGCAGAAATGGTGCCGTAGTCTGGCCGACGGAACCAAAACCGTAGATAACGCCGATCATCGCGCTTTCCCTGCACTGCATCAGCACCGATATAGCCATACTCCTGCCCATTGCAATCCCGATGCCGAGAGTAGCCATACCAAAGACGAAGACCTGCATCGGTGGGCCGAGTGCGAGCGAGAAGGCGCCGATGCCAATGATGAATGACGAGAAGAGCGTAGTGACTCTGACGCTAAGATATTGCGACATGAGGCAGCCAATTAGAGGACCAAGAACGGATCCTGCGCCGTACAAACGAACTGAGATAATCAGATAATTGCTCTTGATCTTATCGTTGATATCGAGCGATGATGTTAGCGTGTCGACAAAGGAGTCACTACACCCAAAGCCTACAAACAGCAGCAAGACGACTCCGTATATTAGCCACTTGTCTACCGCTTTCATCGATTTGGTGAAGAGTTTGCCGAATATCCATACTCGTCTGATAGCGCCATCGCCTTTGGAATGCTTTGAATTCGCCAAGTCATCGATTCTAGATCCACTCTTGATCTAAGACGTAATTCATTGCTTTTACTCGATCTTTTTTATTACATTTTCGATCAAATAGAATACTTGTCGTCGAAGCGGTATTCGTCCGGCATTCGAGCGCCGTGGAAGTGAGCGTATTGAGGTCGATGTGCAAGGAGAGAAGATCGGATTGTTCGGAGCGGCTTGGAGCACGCGGAACATTGCCAAATATTATTCTCACAAGCACGTTATACCCTGCGGAGTCCACTATTCATTTGTACCTAAGTATCATTTGACTTAAGGGTGCATTCTCTTGCATGACCACGTGAATGTTCTTGGTACTTAAATAGTGGGCTTATTTACCTTTCATCCTCAACAATGAAGCTCAAACTCGCAACAGCCGCGTTTGTCTCAGCCGCGGTGGCACTTACTCCACTATCGTCTGAAGACTACACAAGTAAAATTAAAGACTGTCCCGGATATGCGGTCGACAGTGCTCAAACTGAACATACTACAAACGGTCTCAAGGCGCACCTCCAGCTGGCCGGTGACGCATGCAACGCTTTTGGTGAAGATGTACAGAACCTCACCTTAGAGGCGACATATGAGACTAAAGAGCGTCTACACGTCAAGATATACGATCAGGTGAGAATGGTTTCTGACACGACGGCGAATACCAATCTAACATCTGAGACAGGAAGAGAAACATTTCCAAGTCCCTGAAGATATCTTTGAGCGTCCTCAATTTGAGGAAAATGAGGCGCTGAAGAACAGCTCTGATTTGCAGTTCGACTACACAGAAGCACCATTCGCTTTCTGGATCACTAGGAGATCTAACGGCCAAGTATTGTTCGATACACGCTTATCAGAAATTCCATCCTACAGCGAACCTTTCGACGCAAATGATACATCGGCAAGCGTCTCGGTGATGCCTAACCACAATCTTATCTTCGAGCCACAATACATACAACTGTCATCGGCACTCCCTCAACAGGCCAACATTTATGGTCTTGGTGAGGCTGTGACACCACACTACCGTCGCAACAGCTCCTACACCCGCCAAACCAACTGGTCAAACGACGAGGGCACACCTAGGAACACCAACATTTATGGAAGTCATCCATTCTACATTGAAAATAGAGTGAAAGATGGCAAGTCTTTCAATCACGGTGTATTACTACTCTCTTCGAATGGTCTTGAGACCTGGCTTAGGGATGGAGTATTTCAACAGAGAATCATTGGCGGTGTTTTAGATTACTACTTCCTTTCAGGTGGTGAAGGTGAAAACAAACCAGCAGACGTTATTCGCAACTACTCTGAAGTTGTAGGCAAGCCATATCTCCCACCATACTGGACATTAGGATTTCACATGACGCGTTGGGGATACGAGAATGACAGCGACTTTGAATCAATCTTGAACGATATGCGCGATGCAGGGATCCCGCAAGAGTCAGCATTCATGGATATTGACTTCATGCTCGCTTACCGTGATTGGACAGTCGATCAAAATCGATTCAGCAGACTGAGAGAGATTGTCGACAAATTGCACGAGCGTGGTCAGAAATTCGTACCGATCCACGACAACGCTATTCCTATCACGAGAAACGAGTCAGATGCATATGATTTCTACACAAGCGGCCACGAGCAGGATGTCTTTATTAAGAACCAGAATGGCACTGAGTACATTGGACAAGTTTGGCCAGGTGAGTTGCAATTTTTTCGTACAGACAAAGCTAATGTTGGTTGAGGTTACACTGTTTTCCCTGATCCATATGCCGAAAATGCTACCAAATGGTGGACAGAGTCGTTCCAGAAGTTCCACGATGAAATTCCTTTCGACTCTATCTGGCTTGATATGACAGAGCCTGCATCTTTCAACTCTGGGTCTCTCAATGGGATGGGTCCTCTCGCTCAATACCAACCTTCGGAAGTCACGTCGTGGCCAGAGGGTTATAATAACACTATAAGTGGAAACAGCGGAAATATTACTATCGATGGGGATCTCACATACAAGCAACAATCACAGCAATCACCATCGCGTCGCCAGATGCTCAGTAGACGGATGGGAACGCTTGAAACGGTGGATAATGATCTGGAGAAGCTCACGTTCCCACCCTACCAAATCCACCTTGGAACGCCGGAAGAGTTTTTCACGTTGGGACACGATACGGTATCTGCTAATGCAACGCACGAGAATGGGTTTGACGAGTATGATGTGCACAACCTGAACGGTCATATGGTGGCGAAGATGACACGTGATGCACTCGATACTATCTACGGGGGGAACAGATCGATGATTATAGCGAGAAGCAACTTTGTTGGAATGGGTACCTTCTCGCAGCACTGGCTTGGAGATAATTACTCAACGTGGATGTCTATGCGCGACTCAATCAAAGGATTGTTCCAGTTCAGTGCTTTCCAGATGCCATTTGTGGGTGCAGACGCGTGTGGATTCGGCGGCAACACGGACGAAGAGCTGTGCACGAGATGGATGATGCTCGCATCGTTAACGCCGTTCTACAGGAACCACAATACACATGGCGCGATACCGCAGGAGCCATATAGATGGGACTCTACAGCGAATGCTACAAAGACTGCAATCAACACGCGCTACCAATTACTACCATATATGTACAGCACCTTGTACAAACAGTCAGTCGATGGAACGCCAGTGATGAGACCGCTTTTCTATGAATTCCCAACTCACTCTGAGCTACTCGATTGGGATGATCAATTCTTGGTCGGCGATCATCTTCTCGTGTCGCCAGCGCTCTTCCCTAACGTTACACAAGTCGACGCTTACTTCCCGGGAGATGAACCATATTACGACTGGTACAGCCACCAGAAAGTGAATGTAACTGATGAGCACTCTTCAGTTACACTCGATGCTGGTTTGACTGATCTCAATGTACACTTGCGCGGAGGCGCTTTCATGCTGTTGCATAGCGAGCCTGGAATGACCGTCACGGAAACTACAGAGACGCCATTCAACGCATTGGTCACACTGAGCAAGGACAAGAAAGCGGAAGGACAGTACTACTTTGACGACGGATTCAGTCAATTCAACGAGACAGTCACATGTGTCATGTTCAATGTGAGTGCAGAGGGAATGCAATCGCGCGTCGAGATGAACAACTACGATATCGGTCAGCCACTGAACAGGGTGGATATTATAGGCTGGGATGGAGAGCCACCAAAGAGCGTGATGAATGGGGATGCTCAAGTGGAGTTCAATTACGATGCTGATAGTCAAACACTCTCACTTCACAGCTTGAATCACATGCTGAACGAGTCGATGGACATTACTTTCGATTAATCTTCTCAATGCGATTGATTAGATGATTTGATGACTAACGTGTATAAAAGGATATGAATGCAATGCCTTAACCTGTGATTTGATTAATGACGTGTGCTTGATAGTGTCATTGTGCGATTATGCGCTGATTGCAGGAGATAGTGCGTTAATGAGATTTCGATGAGGCTGCGCACATATAGAAAGAAAGCCACAGTACGTGTACACATGTCATGCATGCCATATCGATGTAATATTACAATTGCTAAAATTTTCATGCGTCCGAATAAGAAACAGAGAGAAGAGCGATGAAATGATAAGACCCAAGAAACAAGAGCTCATTTAAACGAGATAACTCTCCAAGACAGTTGCAGATTTGCCTAATGGGTGTTAGATGGGTGTTGAAGAAATCAAGGAATCAGAAACTCACGACGTTGCAAGTGCTCCCTTGGAGTACGCTCAACTGGCTGTGGATTGAGTTGCAATTTGCTTTGTGCGGCTGTGTCGGTTGCGGATGGCCTGCGGTGGGCGATAGGTGATTGTGGAGAAGCGGTGGAGAGGGATTGAGCTGCCAATGTCATTTTAGATGAAGAAGAAGTATCAAGGAAGATATGCGCCCCTTAAATCCACCGGCATGCGTGGCTCGATTTGAGACTAGAAGCGAGGCTAGGCCAGCTGAGATTATGAGGCGGAGACAGGTGATCTAGCGGTAATTAAAACAACTGTGTAAATATGATTATTTTACAGGATAATTTATTTAATTATCATTTTGGCGTGCATCGTGCATCTCCACGCTTAGTTCAATACATCCACTATGTCGAGCAGCAGCGGCAATAGCTCCATCGTCGCTGTACATTACCGAGTTGGCAAGAAAATAGGAGAAGGCAGCTTTGGTGTGATATTTGAGGGTGAGTCGATTGATTGGTTTAGTTGGTTGATTCACTGACGTGGTTTCATAGGCACAAACCTCCTTAACTCACAGACTGTGGCTATTAAATTCGTGCGTTTATTAGGAATTTTGAAGCAACCGCTAATAACCAATAGGAACCACGTAAATCAGATGCACCACAACTCCGCGATGAATACAGATCCTACAAAATACTCGCAAATTCACCGGGAATCCCTCAAGTCTACTACTTTGGTCAAGAAGGCTTGCACAATATCCTTGTCATCGACTTACTTGGCCCTTCGCTTGAAGATTTATTCGATATGTGTAGCAGGAAATTTAGCATAAAAACGGTCGTAATGACAGCCAAGCAAATGATTTCTAGAGTTCAATCCATTCATGAGCGTAACCTCATCTATCGTGATATTAAACCTGATAATTTTCTCATTGGTCGTCCGAATACCAAGAATGGCTCCACTGTTCATGTTATTGACTTTGGTATGGCCAAGCAATACAGAGATCCAAAGACTAAGCAGCACATTCCTTATAGAGAGAGAAAATCCCTTTCTGGCACTGCTAGGTACATGTCCATCAATACTCACTTGGGTAGAGAACAATCTAGACGCGACGACTTGGAATCATTGGGTCATGTCTTCATGTATTTCCTTCGTGGTGGACTTCCTTGGCAAGGCTTGAAAGCTGCTACCAATAAGCAGAAGTATGAGAAGATTGGTGAAAAGAAGCAACTCACTCCCATCAAAGAGCTCTGTGAGGGCTACCCGGAGGAGTTTGGCATCTACCTTAACTATGTTAGGAAACTTGGATTCGAAGAAACCCCCGATTATGATTTCTTGAGAGATTTGTTCACTAAAGTGTTGAAGAACTCTGGTCAAGTTGAAGACGGTGTCTACGATTGGATGTTGATTAATAACGGAAAGGGTTGGGAAGCTGCTCAATCATCTGCACACCGTGATCATCATCACAGACATCGTGAGAGAGAAAGAGAGAGAGCAGACTATAGAAGATCTCAAGCCGCTGCTGCTGCTGCTGCTGCTGCAGGTGGAAATGGACAAAGTGGTAACACAGCAGGTGGCGTTTTACCACCATCTCCCGCTTTAGTCAGACATGGATCGAAACGTGGTCGCAATACAGGGAATTTGAACACGTCGTCACAGATGCTCACACCGGCATCACCCGCTAATGGTCAGCAACCACCGAATTCACGCAGACAGTCACAGCAAAACCAAATGAATAATCAACATCCATACGCCTCCACTACAGGTGCTGTTATGTCTCCTTCAGATGCTGGTGACGGAAATGCAGGATCTCCTTCGCCTGGAAGAGAAGGTAATCGCGGGAAAGGATATTTTAACAATCAACAAGAAAATCAAGGTATATCAAATCAAAATGTTGATCAAGCTGGTGGAATCAATCAAACTAACTCACAGGACAAGTCTAAGAAAGGTTCAAGTAATAAATTAATGGACATACTAACTTGCCGTTGTATATGAGGTGATAGAAAAGAAGAGAACAAGATACCAAAGTCGATATAGTAAAATTCAAAGATTGAAAAATTTCACTTAGGCTCCCTTTCCACTAATCATCACTTTCATACCCCGTGAAGCTTAAATAGCAAAGCTGAGATGGCACAGCTGAATTGGCACATGAATCAATAAGAAGAATAACTGAATAAAACACTCATTTCGCTTAATATTTACACTCTTTTAATACATTGTTTAGTTTACTATGAAGATGGTTTTTCAAATTGCTCCCATTTTGATGCGGGGAATATGTGTTTGTTGTTGTGATACCAGGTGCGTTGTACAACCTTAGCGGGTGAGTCAGCGTCTGTAAAATTAAACAGCTCGCCTTGTTTTGAACGTGTTTGATTTACTTGAAAGTCGTAGAAAGAGTAATGCGGGGGTAAAATGAGGTCGTTCTTTATAAGCATAAGGTTATCCACATGATTTGACCTTAGTTGAGTGAAATTCTGTCTAGATTTGTCTAAAAATCGAGTGAAAGTGTCGCCTTTGTTGCAAGTAAGGGATGAAGGATGACTAGTACCATCAAAGAAAGCGAAATGAATTGTCAACTCCTCAGATTTAATCTGTTCCTGCTTTTCAAGGAACTCAATACGAAGAATTTCACGCTGAGAAGTCTCACTGATGTCTCTATCCCTATCAGGTAAGAAGGAAGTGTCTACCTGAGGATTTTTAGACAATTTCTTGATATTTAGATTGCCATGGCGTATATCATCGCCATGATGAATATCATCACCATCCTCAACATCACCATCGGCGAAGGACAACTTGGATGAGGATTTTTTAGTTTTAGATTTCTTTTTGGGGCGTGCAGCATGTGAGGAAGTACCAGCAGCGTCTCTCGCAGCCTGCTCTTCAATTTGCTTACGTTTGAGTTTGAAGTCATCGAGGTGAACCAAACCTATGGTATTCTTCTTTAAGGATTCCTCAACGGATTCCTTATTTTCCGCCCTTTTTGTTGAAAATTCCTTTGACATTTACGTGTGTTCTCTCTTCGCAGTGAATGCTCAAGCGCACAGCGAGGAATTTGTGGCATAAAATGGAAACAACGAATACGTGGAATATACCAATGAAGGCGACTCAAGAGCCCGTGCTACACGTCTATAATTCACTCAGTCGATCCAAAGTGGGTGGTGTGGTGTACAACCACTAAATACTCAAGTTACACAGGTCCCTTTCATTCCTACGCACGGTAGATCCGTCACTTGGTATAACTGCGGTCCGACCGTTTACGATTCTTCCCATATGGGCCACGCTCGCAACTACCTCACTCAGGACATCATACGCAGAATCCTACGCGACTATTTCAGCTACGACGTTAAATTTGTCATGAACATTACAGACGTCGATGATAAGATCATCTTGAAAGCCAGGCACAGCTATTTGTTCAACAAGTACAAGCAAGACAATGGCGTGGCTAACGATACCGTCAAACGCGATTTAGTTGCTTCATTTGAGGCATTCGTTGAGAAAGTGAAACCATCATTTAGTTCTATACCACCAAATTCATCCTCCCCCCAAGAATACGCGGCGGCTGTTATCGATCACTCTCACTCTCTCCTTCCTTCTTGGCTTGAACACGAACCTAAGGCGGGAATGTACGTGCAAACTCTCAAGGACTCCCTCGAAGCACTCCAGACACTCTCACTCGACAAGGCTTACGATATTCTCTCTCCATACCTCGACAAGCACCACGGAGAGAGTGTAACCGATCCTGCTATTTTCAGATCCTTAGCTGCTTACTGGGAGGCTGCTTTCTTCAAAGACATGGCCGCACTTAATGTCGAAAAACCTGATACACTCACCCGAGTGAGCGAGTATGTGCCTGAAATCATCCACTTTGTCGAGAAGATTATCAGTAATGGATACGCATATGCCGTTGAAGATGGGAGTGTGTATTTCGATACGAAAGCATTCGACCATTCTAAGTCGCGCAAAGGGTTTGAGCACGTGTACGCCAAATTACAGCCATGGTCGAAAGGTAGCAAGGAGTTGATCGACGAGGGTGAAGGGAGTCTAAGTAGTGGGGGAACGGGAAAGAAGGGCAATTCAGATTTCGCGCTATGGAAGGCGTCTAAACCGGGTGAGCCATCGTGGCAGTCTCCTTGGGGCGCAGGCAGACCAGGATGGCACATCGAGTGCAGTGTTATGGCGTCCGAAGTTCTCGGTCATAACATAGACATACATTCAGGCGGTGTAGATCTGAAATTTCCTCACCATGACAACGAAATTGCCCAGAGCGAGGCGTGTCATGACTGTCCAGCGTGGATTAACTACTTCCTTCACACAGGCCACCTTCACATCGAAGGGCAGAAGATGTCCAAATCTTTGAAAAACTTCATCACCATCGACGACGCTCTCGCTAGGTACTCACCCAGACAGCTGCGCCTAGCGTTTATGCTGCAGCTGTGGAACACGCCGATGGACTTCAAGGAGAGTGCGATGGCGGAAGTGCGCAACTACGAGAGCATGCTGAGCAACTACTTCAGCAATATCCGCGCACTGCTGCGCGACAGGCGCGATAGAGAGGTAGGAGAAACTGAGAGAGAGTTGGAGTGGGACGGCAGACACCACTACGATGCGCGCGAAAAGGAGCTGGATGGGAAGCTGACGGCGGCGAAAGAAGGAGTGCGCGTAGCGCTTTGCGACAGCTTCAATACGCCTTCCGCACTGCAGGTCATGGGCAGTCTGGTGAGTGACGCTAATGTTTACATGGCGCAACAGCGCGCGGCGAACACGGTCATGAATGTAGATGTACTAGAGAATATAGCCAAGTACGTCACGCGTATGCTGTCGATATATGGCGTCATACCCACATCGCAGCTGCTCGAGATCGGCTGGGCTGATGCGCAGGGCGAGCAGAACAGGAGCAGAGAGGAGGACGTCATGCCTTACGTTAAGGCCCTGTCCTCTTTCAGAGACAGCGTCCGTCAGATCAGCATCGAAAATAAGGATGATGGCCTCGCGCAGATTCTTAGACTCTGCGATCGCATGCGCGATGAGGACTGCGTCGATCTCGGCATCGCACTTGATGACCAAAACAGCGGTAAGGCACTCGCTAAGCTGGTCAACCCCGATGAGCTACGCGCGGCAAGGTCCGAGAAAGAACGCCAAATAACCGCTAAAGCTGAGAGATCGAGGTTGGTAAAAGAACAGGCTGAGCTGAAGCGCGTCGAGAAACTCAAGAAGAGCAGCATCAACCCGGCGGAAATGTTCAAGGGGCTGCAGGAGTATTCGAAGCTCGATCAAGATGGGATACCTACCCACGACAGCCACGGTGAAGAGTTATCTAAGAAACGCCGCAAGAATGTCATCAAAGAATACGAAATACAGGCTAAGGCGTATAGAGAATACTTAGACGCTGGTAGTCCTTCCGTCTGAAGATGAGTGAAGAAGTTTTAAGAAGATATTCATAATGCATGTATATTATAGTTGCTGTGACTCCTCTTATGCTCCGCGTGCTCTCAGTCCACCACCACCAAAATGGCGTCACTGAGAAATAATTTAGGCGTGCTGAATAAAATATTACGGGTTGATAATATAACAGTGCAAGAACGGATATCACTACTGTCACTCAAAGTTGGTCTTGTGGGCGATAGAGAGAAGATGGAGATACATGTGGAATTATCACAGCTATACAGCTCACTCAATCAGCTAGAATTGGCTTATGTGGAATTAGATCAGGCAGGCGTGGCTGTACAAAACGACAAAGCGAAAGTAATACAGATACTTGGTATGAAAGTTGATATCGAGCATAGGAGACAGAGGTTGAACAGGGCACAGCAGCTGCTCAACCAGATCGAGAAGCTGGAGAAGCTGGAGAAGTTGGAGTAGCTCGAGTAGCTGTAAACTCCAATCAAATGGCATTCCTAATCGATTCAGCGACCGGGGAGAGTGGTTGACTGGTAAAATTTTGTTGGTAGGCTTGTTGATGGTGGTGTGGTTGGTGTTGTGGTTGATATTGTTGCTGGTGTTGTTGCTGGTGATTTTGCTGCTGCTGCCCACTCTGCCCACTCGTTACACTCGGATCAAGCGTAATTAACTCATCTTTAATCGCCTGTCTTGCAATCTCGTTGAGGTCTTTGGTCAGTGTCATGAGAATTTTCTTCAGTTTACCCTCAGCCTTCCAAATTAGATCGAGTGAGTGTATTGGGAGATCTGACTTGAGTGTAGATGTGCTGTTATTGCGTTTAATGCTCTGCGGATGAGTATCTGAGAAAGACATGGACATTGACATGGACATGGGTGCTGTGAGGCTGTTGTGCTGAGATGTTTGCGCAGAAGCCTGACTTTGCAGTGATGCTGATGATGGCTGTGTTGATAGTTGGGGGAGTTGAGGTGGAGGCGATGAGGCTGTATTCGTTGGTGATAGACTGAATGTGTTTGCTGTGTTAGGACCATGACTATGACTATTCACCGTCGATAATGGCGATAGTGGACTTGACATTGCAGGACTTGTTGAGTAGGGATTGCTGCTATTGTTCACCACATTCGACCCTAGTGTTGAAGATATTTTGCAATAGATCTGTACCAAGATATCACACAGTGAGTAAATGACTTCAAAGTAAGACAGCTGGAAGGGTATATTAGGGTTAGTGAGGTATGTAATATCAGAGGTATCGCTATTTGCTGTTGGACGTTTAGAGTGCTTTGTCTTGAACAAATTTTTGATCTTTGGTTTATAATTGTCATCGTCTAGATTATCATATTCAGAGAGAGTAGCTGCGAGACTCTTGATAAAGTCAGCTGGCTGGTTGTTATCAAGGTGGTAGCTGAGTGAGAGGCCAAGAACGAGAAATTTGTGTGTTCTGTGGATGTATTTAAGAAATGTAACCTAATAAAAAGATAAACGCACCTCTTTGACATTTTGTAGTCGTCCAAAGATGGTTCTAGGTCTGATCTAGAGAGTAATACCGTATTAAACCAGTGTAAACGGCTGTATAAGCTATTAAACCAAGAGCACTTCATCTAGCACACCAAACTTACCCCTCATACGCCATTCTCATCAGCTTAAACGACTTGATACGCTTAACCATCGTATCATTGAGCAAATCAATGCCATCTGCATCTGAGGAACTGATAGCGATATTCTCCACTGGATCGCTGTTCTGCCTGGAGCGAGAAGAAGATGCGGATGTGCCGAGTGTAGATAGCAAATTGGATGCAGAAGACTTTCTCCGGATACCTTCACGTCTGCTAATTGGAGTTGAGTCGTTGTGAAAGAGTGTTTCCATTATTTAGAGATTTTATGATTTTACTTGAAATTAAAAGAGTTGCTTGAAATTTACTAGAGTTGGTTTGAATTAATAGAGTTTAGCCGTTGGTGGTCTTGGTCGATGAGTAATTCCCATGACGGAGTTTTCGAGTAAATGGAGTGAGCTATCGAATCAGTTGAAGGAGTTAGACGGTGTATTTGGCTGTGAGTGGAGTTTTATGCTACAGACACAGCACCTCACCTCACTCACCCAGCACCTACAGCACACGCCAATTCACCGACGACAAGCTACCTAAATGAATCTGAAATGGATATATTTGGCTCATTCCCTCTTTCATCCATCAACGATGATGATGATGCGCTTAAAGTGGTTAATTGCACTGAATGTGCGAGACCAGTCCAGAAGTCTGCGTTACAAGTACATTTGATTAACTGTGCTCAAATGAAACAAATATCGCAGCAAAACACAGCTATAAACACAACTACGAAGAGATCTAAAATTAAGAAGGAAGATACACCAACTCGGACACCTACACCTTCTGCAGAGAGCACACACAGCACAAACAACAGAAAGAGAAGACTGAGTGATGTCTCACAGCAATCCACAACTTTGTCCGCATCCCCTCAAAAGAAGAGTCGCAAATTAGACGTCGATAAGCCGAAGAATAAGGCAGCCAACAACAAAGACAAAGAGAAGGACAAGGAGAAAGAGAAAGGCAAGAAGGACAAGGATGAGGGGCCAATAGACTTAGACAGTCAATGTGGCGTGATCAACGCCAAAGGTACGCCTTGTTCACGTAGCTTGACTTGCAAAACCCACCCTATGGGCGCTAAAAGGGCGGTTGAGGGGCGTACTAAGCCATATGACGTGCTTACGTATGAGTTTGAACTAAAGCGTAAACCTGAATTGGCTGAGAAGCCATTACCCAAGGCTGTCACGCAGTTTGAGGCGGATAGGGCGGCGAATGGGAGGAAGAAAACTGGACAATCGGAGCACACAGCGCAAACAACCACGTCCGCTCACGCTCCTATTACGCCCACAATCACACCTCGCTTACAACCACCTCACCCACCACCTATGCCTCCCAAACCAACAATAGTGGAGAAGCCAGTTGGCGTTACATCGTGGGATGATTTCAGCAAATATGATGAACCGTTGCTGCCCGCTTCAGGAATTGAGCTCGAGTTGGAAGTCACCAAGATACGCGCTGCCACGACTAGCCACCGCGCGCGTCCACTCGCAGCACCTGCTAATAGAATGGCGGGACTGGTGAAGAAAAGAGCGACACTCGGAAGATGTCTGATGAAATGTTGAAATAGAAAATATTTAAAACAGTGTACTTTTACTTGTAATCTAACGTCATCTACCACCTAATGCAGCAAAAGAGGCATAAGAATGACGATGGAGAGGAATTGAGGCCGCAGAAGCGTAAAAGGGAGGGAATGCTAGAAAGATCGCTTTCTAATTTGCAGTTGGAGAATGTTGGAGAGAATGAGAACAAGGATATTGAAATGACAAAATCCGGGAGCTATGAGGCGGATAAGAATAGAATAGTAGTCTACGATATTGATGAATATCAAAGTGACAATGAGGGCGTGGGTGATGATAATCATGCTGATAATCAACCCAAATACAAGCTACCGAAGCTTTTATCCAATACTCACGATATTATGTACAAAAGCATGTGGCAGCAGAGAAAACAAGGGGAAGGAGAGAAGCAACTTGTTTTGTATAAGCCATTGCACATACCCACGCAAGGCACGCAAGAGACGCAAGGGACTGCGACTGATACAGATGCAGTGGCCATGGAACAATGAGTATCTGAGTATCTGAATATATTCAAATGCATCTATATATTTACCTGCTCATATCAAAATTCCTAATATCACAAACTTTACCAAATGTGTCTAGCTCTTGACGGAGAATATCCGTGATTTGTTTACGTGTTTCAATTTCATCGCCTTGTCCATTTCTAAGACTATTTAGGAGAGGATCTACCGTGTACTGAATAGGATCGCCCACATCCACCGTAATATCAGCGTTGAATGACGGAATAGCCGTATAAGGTCTACCATCGACAAACACGTCATTGAACCCGGTGAGATGTATAGGGAGGATGGTGGGTGTATGCTCTGTGAGCGTGAGTACTCTACCCACGCCCCACCTGAATGGCCGCAGCGGTGAGGGTGTTATGTGTGGATTGAAATTGGGTGGAGGAACGTTAATCCTGCCTTCGGGGAACATGGACACCTGGTGAAACTCAATCAAGATATGCAACAGAGGCAGTCTATCCACCCACCCACTTGGCTTCATCGAGCAACTGGGCCGCATGAGACACGGCAGATTGATCCACACCACTCCCTCTATACGTTTCAAGCACCTGTCCAGCTTGGAAGAAGGTCCGGAAGAGAGCATTGGTGAATATTACATCGGACGCGCCTAAAGTCCACCGCCTCCATTTCGGTTTGACGAGTGTGGATAGTGGAAGTATAGCTGGCCATAGTGGATCTTCTCCGCTGTCAAGTAGTTATTAGAGGCAATTAGGAGCACACTTGGCACCCACACTGCTCTGTGATTCGTTATCGTCAATACACCGCGATCACTCGATAGCGCTGCGTTGAGCTTGTCTGCCCCTCGCACACGCAGCGATCTAGTGCCATAGCGGTAGAAGAGCTTGGCTAGGCTGCTCACTGTGAGCATTATTGGGAGTGTTAGTCTGCTGCTCGGTGGTTTTGTTGCGTATTTCATCATTCTATACGACGTCTTCCTTGTTCAGGACAAGCATGGCTACACACACGCAGACTGAAAATAGACAGCCTACGTCTATCATATTGCTGGGAATGGCTGGCAGTGGCAAATCCACCGTTCTCCAACGCCTCAACAGCTACCTTCACGCACAGAACGATGCACCATACGTAATAAACCTTGATCCAGCAGTGCGAGAACTTAACTACTCGGCGAATATCGATATAAGAGATACAGTAGACTACTCTAAAGTTATGAAGCAGTATAATTTGGGTCCCAATGGCGGTATCATCACGTCACTCAATCTATTCACAACAAAGTTTGATCAGGTGCTGGGATTGATAGAGAAGCGTAAAAACAGCGTCAACAACATTCTCATTGATACGCCTGGTCAGATTGAAATATTTACCTGGTCTGCATCCGGTGCGATAATCACAGACGCTATAGCTTCAGAGGTGCCGACGGTGATTGGGTTTGTTGTGGACACCCCACGCACAATGGCGCCAGCGACTTTCATGTCTAACATGCTTTACGCTTGTTCAATTCTTTACAAAACTCGCCTTCCACTGCTTCTGATATTCAACAAGACAGATGTACAGGATTGCTCGTTTGCGAATGAGTGGATGACTGACTTTGAGTCATTCCAGGCTGCGTTGAGCAGTAGGAGCGCTACCTCCACCCACGCCTCCACCAACCAGAACGAAGAACCTAGCTATATGAACTCGCTGATGAACTCGATGAGCTTGGTGTTGGAAGAGTTTTACGCTAATATTCGATCTGTTGGCGTCAGCGCTATGACGGGAGATGGTATGCCTGAATTCTTTGACGCTGTGGACAAGTGCAGAGGTGATTACTACAGCGACTATAAACCAGAACTCGACAGATTGCGCAAGGAGAGAGAGGAGAAGAGCGAGGCTAGCAAGCAGGATAGCATAGATAGGCTGATGAAAGATATGAAGACGGGTGGTGAGGAAGAGCAACCCATCGAATCTGATGCCAGTGAGGAAGAAGGCGAAACGTTAGATGCACAGGATATGAAAGAGAGAAGGGGTATGAATGCTACAGCTAACGACGTAGCTAATGATGATGGTACAAGCTGGCCTACAAACCGATAATTGAAATGCATTTGCTATTTATTCTCGATATCCCTCTCACGTCAGCTGCGATTAGCCTATTGATATTGTACGATTGCGTGGTGTAGATTGAGTGCGCAATATCCAACTTGTCGTTGTCGACAAGATATTGCAATAATTGGGGCAATTTAACTATCTGCTCTAGCAACACGGATTGCTTCAAATTGGTGGTGTCCTCAACATTCCCAATCAGTGCTAGTCGATCGCGTAAAGAGCTGGTAATTGGACTGAGCTCCTCTAAAGACGTCTTCATCACGGTCATATTATCAGAGGACTGTATCAGCTCGTAGTGATGATCGAAAATGAGCTGCTGGCGGGAATTCTCGAGCTGACGAATTGATTTATTAAGGCTATTCGATAGGCTGATGAGATCTTTTAAATTTAATTCTGACTTGTCGTTCACGGACATTTGGAGGTTTCCTGTATCAAACAAGGACAACCATGGTGTGTATTTACATTGAATATTCAGTGGATTCATTAAAATTCTTATTCTTATCAACAGCTCCCACTCACTCTACTCAACGCTGCACAGAATAAGCCACTGCTGGTTGAGTTGAAATCAGGCGAAACTTTCAACGGCCATTTGATAGCCTGTGACAACTACATGAATCTCACACTCAAGCAAGTCTTTCAAACCAGTCCAGATGGCGATGTTTTCTACAAAATTCCTGAGTGTTACATACGCGGTAATACCATCAAGTACATTAGAGTGGCCGACGAGCTCCTTGATCAGATAAAGGCGACACAGGACAGGGACAGAGAGCAGTTCAAGAGTCAGAGAGGTTCCAACGACAGAAGCGATAGAGGTAGGGGTAGAGGCGGTAGAGGCGGTAGAGGCAGAGGCAGAGCTAGAGGTAGAGGATCACATAACAATAACCAGTAACAGCACTAACAAAGTCATTTATATTCTACCCTACCATACTCTTCTTGCGCCCACGAAGCCTGACATCATGTAACTTGATATTCACCTTGTTCCACTCGGCATCACCTACTCTGCGTGCATAGCTGTTGAGCAGCGTTGTGTACTCTGCTTCAAACGCCGGGTGTGTGCTTCCAAACGCCCTCTCGAGAACATAGAGATCAACAGCCCTATCTTCTGCGCTGGTGTAGTGCGTGATAGGTTTGAGGGATGACAATCCAAAGTCTATGATATACACAGCATTCGGATGGTGTTTAAGGATGAGGTTCGATGTGCTATTCATGTGCATTAGCTGGTTACTTAATTGTTCAAACCACCCACGTTAAATCACCGTGTATAATCCCCGACAGATGCAATACAGCTATCTGTTCACCGACAAGCTGCATAAGCGTGTCTCTGTCAATACCTACACTCTTCATATCCAGTCTCATCCCGTCATCAGCTTTCACTTGGCCTTCGGCTTTACTCCCCAGCCACTCCCGCACACTGTATCCATCCAGCCACTCCATAGCCACCATTCCATCACGACTATCTGTGAACACCACTCGCGGCACCTGCACACCCAGCGATTCTGCTCTGTTCAGCGCCTTCACCTCCGATTGTATCCTTTGCTTATTTAAACTTCTATCCAGTGTCGCATGTCGGTATTTCTTCGGGAAGCGCCACTTGAGTATCATTGAACGCTCCTGCGATTGGCTCAAATACACCCTCTGCCGAACTGCTTAGATTGTCGCTCTATTTATACACTCCAACTAACCGCCTCCGCTCCTTGCTTTATCAGCTGCGATTCGCCCCGAAGCTCCTCGCTCGTCCTCGTATTCGCCATCACCGTTTCTATCAAGGAGTATATTAGTCGAGAGTTATTCCTCACGCTGATAAACTACACGCGAATATACTCTTTATCTGTCTCAAATATCCTTGTGATAGTGTTCTGCAACCTTCTACACTCGCATGGCCAATTGTGGCATGACGCAGGGTATGTGTATCGATTATAGGGCAAGCCCTGAGTTACAAAAGCCATTGAAAACCATTGCCTCCTCAAAACATCTTTATGATTGCTTGGATCTTTAGATGTCCATCACATTACGATACTATTCCTTGAGATGCTAGGATTAATCTCAGCGACCGTTTTATAGGGTTTTGTCAGCCCAGCTGTTTTGTCGTGGCTTTAAACCTAAGCACAGCAAACGCTCCCAAACTTGTGTGTTGCACAAATAATAAATCAACACTGATTCACAGTACTCACTACTATACTCTTTTTGAGGCCATGGTAAAGAAGCAAATGTGTTGAATGGAGCGTGTTTATTTGACTGGAAAATTTTCAAGTTTCACCATGACCGTTCCACGTGGTCCACATGTTTGTGTCACCAAACATACATACTATCTTCAGCTCTGCAGCTCTAACTAATTTTCAATTACTCTTTCAACCCCATTATTTTAAACTTTGAAATGCACCTTGTCTACCCAAACCCCCGATTTCACAGTTTTGATGACCCCCACTTCTCTATAGCTAGTTCTCTTCTTCAAATTATAAAGTGAGGCGAAATCGCAATAACAGTTCCCTTGTGCCATGTTCGAGTCCTGTAGACGCCACGCATGTAAACCGTTTGTCGCAGATATTGAGCCGAATAACTGATATTTTTAGGTATTTGTAGTATCCAAAATGCATAATGCTTTGGATTCATCTATTAAGCGCGTTAAATCCTCTGTATCTATCATACAGGTGCTTCAGAGTGATTTCGGACCATTGCTTCCGACCAGCGTGTAGGGCGCAAGTCGGAGCTCCAGGGATCTAACTCTGACAAAATCATACTCATCTAATCCAGAGCAACCAAGGAACCTCTTTTATTTGGAGATCGTCAAAAGTCGTAAATCACCATCTAAGATGGTGGATATTGAGCGTAGGGTTGAGATGAGGACTTACTTGAAATGCTGAAATTGTCATACTAATGATGGTCTTGCTAGACTGTTCAAATTGGCAATAAATGGTATCCTTGCGTTCACCTTCTCACTTTATTGGCTATTTGTAGGTTGAGCTGAGCATATTCAATGAAATGGATAGAGCTGCACTATCTATAAAATTCTAAAGAGCTGTAGCACACATTCAAACCCGTCTGCTATCCTTTGAAATCGGTGATTTAAGTCGCAGATAAAGTATTTCCGCATCACAAAGAGGGCAGAGTTGTTGAAATGAGTTCATACATTTGAAGATAACTCGTTAAAGCAAATAAACATGAGACATTAAAAAACTGGTTAGACAGTACATGTAAGTCACACATATCTTCTCCCTTCTTGCAGCTTGCTAATGATGGTGGGATGTTCATATTTCCAATATGATCCATCTGGGTAAGTATATTTTTCGATCGATTCCTGATGCATTTCGATGCTATTGTGGGAATGTGAGACTAGCAATGGGAATCCAAAACAACCCACCTATATCCACAACTTTTGTCCAGAGGTGCATTATATCTGCCATGTGAATTGACGCTTACCGGATACTTGAAGTGTTCGTGTAGATGGTCGACCCACTCGACAACGTTGCGATCGAATGTGGGTGCTATGGAAATGAAATCGATCATGGACAAGTGAACAACGTATTCACACAACCCGACACCACCAGCATGAGGACATACTTGAGAGTATTGAGTGTTAGTGAAGTGCGAGATTGAGGCTGAAACGATTTTGCCTACCTGGTACACCGAACTTGGCAGCCAACAGCATCACTGCTAGGCATTCATTAACTCCAGCGAGACGACATGCATCTATTTGGAGAACATCTATAGCTCCTGCTTGAAGAAGCTGCTTGAATAGAACCCTGTTTGCGCAGTGTTCTCCAGTAGCTACTCCGATTCCGATATCTTTCAACCCTTTGCGTATTCTAGCATGACCCAAGACATCATCAGGCATTGTGGGTTCTTCAATGAACCATGGTTTACATTGCTCGAGTTTCTTGACGTACGCTATAGCCTCTTCGACATCCCAAACTTGGTTTGCATCAATCATTAAGACGTTGCCTGTGAATCAACGTGAGCAGGATAGACCAATTGCTTCTCAACTCACCAGTGGGACCTGCATTCTTCCCTTCAATAGTCTTAGCGTGTACCCGCTTATCCTTGTTCTGATACTGAGGATCGTCGATGATATCTCTGATCACCTTGGCTCGAGCCAAGTCATCATCCACTGAAACGCCGACTTTAAGTTTAAAATGGTTGAAGCCAAGATCGAGTGCCTCTTTTGTGAGTCTCTGAACCTTGTCGGTGGTGTAACCCATCCAACCGACACTAGTAGAATAAGCTCTTAAACCTTCTTGTAAAGCTCTTTTCTCGCGCTCAGTTTTGGTTGACTGCCTCTCGTGCAGCATTTGGACAGCTTCTTCAGGTGTAAGAGCATCGCTGAGGTATTTGAGAGAGCTACACTTGACAATCTCTTCAGGAGTCATGTCAACGATAAGCTTCCACAGAGGCTTATTGCGAGATCTAGCGTACATATCCCAAACAGCATTGGCTACAGCCCCAGTCGCAAGATGAATAACACCCTTTTCTGGACCAATCCATCGAAGTTGACTGTCTGAGGTCAGAAGCTCCCACATAGCACCCATGTCAGAGAAAAGGCTCTCTATAGGCATACCGACGAGCTTATCTGAGAGCTGTTTGATAGCTTCGATGACTATATCGTTTCCTTTACCGATAGTGAAAGTCATTCCAAATCCTTTGAGGGTATCAGAGGCAGCAGCATTAGAATCAGCATTGGGAGTAGTATTGAGGATGACATAAGCAGCAGAGTAATTGCAATCAGTGTTCATTGCGTCAGTGCCATCGCTGAGACGCGGTTGAGATAAGAGGGAGATGTGTAGGAACAACGCACCCAGAGAGAGAGGTGGGAAAGCGAATATCGTGAGTAGAATAGCCAGTAATAATAGACATGCTTGTGATAATGATGGTTGAGGTTCCTGTCGATTGCGCTTAAATAGGCGGTGCTTCGTGGCATCATTCGACCGAGAGATAATCGGGGTTGATTAAGGGCTGAATTGAATTATAATCTTGATTTTGCGAACGATAGGATTTAATTTGATATTTAATAGCAGATGATATCTGCTGGAGTCGGTTGAATGATGGGACGAAGAGGTAGCAGCCAGTAAGGAGTAATCTATGACATTGAAATGACGCAGTACTACTCAATGAGCACGATAAGAATTTGAATAATCGTACGACATCGTTGCTCTCTTGAACATAACACATCACAGTGAATTAGAATTATGAAATTTATTTTGGTAGCTATAGCCGCGTTAATCGCTAATACCGTGGCTACTATCGACTTAGTCAAAACACGTATCCACGGTGTGGATGAATTGGGTTCGGATGTCCATCACTCGTCTTTTGGCAGCAGCGTGCAGTTGGAGCGAGACGCGAATGTGCAATACACCTTCTACACAGCTGCAGATGGAGACACAGTCACACCACACAAATCCATCATCAGCTTCATCGATTACGCAACTGGGCAGTACTGGGAAGACGTCGTTAGTATTCGAGATTCTGATGGCAGGGGTAGATACACGTTGAGAACAGTCAAATTCCCACTCAAAGCGAGCAACTGTCTTGTTAGGTTGTTCGTCGCAGCCAATGGCGAAAGCAGCGCATTTGATATTGGCACGCTTTCTTTTTCTGAAGACGCAGCAGCGGAAACAACAACCGAAAGCAAGACACCAGAAAAATCTATCCTTGCACCACTCCCTGAGATAACACACACATTCAAAACTGAACCAAAACATACACCTCTAGCTATCAGTGGGTTGGCTGCTATATTCATCAATGGATTACCTTTGCTTGTGCTTCTAGGAGCTGTAAGTTAAGCGTGTGATGTTTAATCTCAACTAACGTAACACCCCCTCAGATATCATACATCCCGCTCAACCTCAGACAATCTCACAGCAATCTCGCTTTCATTGGCACTATAATAGCCTTTGAAGGTCTCCTGCTTACATACTGGGTCAAGCTGACACTATTTCAATTCATACCATTCGCTGTGCTCAACGGTCTTGCTCTCTTCGTATCGGGAAATCGAGCTTTAAGAGTATTAAAGAAGAGGCGCGAGGTAGCGTAAAACATTTGTATTTCATTTACTCAAAATGCATTGATACTCTTCTCACCGCACTTTCAATGTCCACTTGGAGAACAATCGCAGCGCTGCCGGAGCATCTGCAGCCAGTCGGCAGTGAAACTATAGACAGACTGCGATTCATGCATCTCATCGAATATGCCAAAACACAAAAGAGAACTGGCTGGCTGAGAAGTGGCGTGAATGGTGCAGAGAGTATCAGCGACCATATGTGGAGAATGTCGATAATGAGTTTGGTGTGTGCTGACGAACGCATCGATCACATCAAGTAGGCTGCTATCATTACACTTAGGCCATTTCTAATGCCCCCTTAGAGCTTCGCAGATGGCCATAGTCCACGATATAGCTGAATGCATGTGAGGATGGCCTGATTAGCAAAAAATATTGGCCTCGCTTACTCTTCCTCTTTATAGTGTCGGTGACATAGCCCCTTCTGATAACATAACAAAACCAGTGAAGAATAATCTTGAAAGGGTGCGTTACATTTACGTCGTGCCATAATCTCACCAGCCTCATAGCAAGCTATGAATGACATAGTGCATAAATATCTCCATGGAAGTTATCAGGCGAGATACTTGATGGCTATTTGGGAGGTGAGTGTTCAAAACACTCATTGCGTCATTCACATTACGCAGGAATACGAGCAGCAGTCTTCCGCTGAATCCACCTTTGTCAAAGATCTCGACAGACTTGAAATGTGTCTGCAGGCATTCGAATACGAAAGGATACAAAACATCAATCTAAACGGTTTTTATACATCACTAGAAAGCATTAAAAACGATCAAGTAAGAATATATGCGGAGCTGCTGATCCAAGAAAGGAAACATTTGTTCAATATTACTTGATAGCATCTACTTATCATTCCCGTCGACTTGATTGGCGTCATCGATTGCCTCCTCTATAATAGCCCCAGCTTCCCGTGTGGCTAACCATGCCTCTTCTGTCTTTGTGAGATTTTCTGCAGCTGCTACACCCTTTAATATACTAAGTTCACGTTTCTTGTGTTCTGTGCGACGAAGTTGACGGAGCATAAAGTCCTTGATGGAGATGAGTGGTGTGTCATTGGGAATTCTCGGTAGAGTCTGCTACTGTTAGCTCAACAAGTGCCGTCAATATTCAGCCTACCTCTAAGAAATTGAGATGCAAAGCTTGTGATCCTAGTAATGATGCTATCTCAGCAGAAAACACATCTCCATCAGCCATATAAACGTCCAATAAGATCCGCAAGAGGTGGCTTCGTAAAGGCGGCGCCACTGCCACCATTGAAGTGCGTGCCAGAGCAACGAGCCAACAGTTGGAGAGGTGCGAATTGTCTATGCACTTTCTCGCCAAGCTACCGCTCAATATATAACCAGGAAAGGCGCAATAATGCTGCGATGTAAATGTGTCTCTCAAGTTCCTTGCTAGTATATTTAAAGCTGCACTATGTTGCTCGAGCTGTGAATGGGCGTTAGCATGAGGTTGTCACACTTGCATGCTAAACACTTACCTTTCCAAGAATTACAGCCTTCTCGAATAACAACGTGCTCTCAGTGAAAGGGTGTAAAGCTGTTTCAATAGAATTCCAGTCAAGGTCGCTGGCCATCTGTAAAAAAAGGAGTAATTTGAGACGAGAGATGATAGCATTCTTGGTCATTGGAGAGATTTCAGTGGTATCCAAAACTGCTGTGACATATTGAGCGTATGACTGATCGTGCTTCTGCAACTTGTACTCCTCAATCAATCTCCACATATCCCCACTTATGTTACTGTCCTTCAATGCTTCGACGACATTCCCAATGAGCATGTCAAGAAGAGCCTGTCGCATTCCCGTATCTTCTCTGTTGCGCGCCAAGACGAGAATCTCAAGGTACTCCTGCTCAGCCACCTTGTCAGTCCGCCCAAGGGCTTCAAGTAATATTCCTTCGTCGATCGAAGTTCGCGGATGAGACGACAGCACTTGCAGACCAGCATTCCTGTCATACAAAATGAGCCATAAGCCGTACTCAAGTAATAGATCCGCCTCTTCGACTCTGTTCAACAGCCGTATGATATCCCTAAGTGGATCAACCACGTCCTTATCAACGATTGTTTGTTCAATAAATCTTTTGTGTATTTTGATAGCCTCTTTGATGTCTCCATGAGATTCATAGAGGCGGGATAGTGCAGCGTATCTGCCATATCTGGTGAACCAAGGCTCAGCAATGGGTAGCAAGATGTTGTTGGAATTGTTTATAAACACGTTCAAAGCATTCCTATCTTTATCCGACCTCTCAGCAAATATAATAGCCAAGCACGTATCTAAAATCATGTCTGTATATGACTCTGATTCATGATAAGTCGCCTGCCTTGCTCGCCTCCTCCGTCTATGCTCCTTGCTGAGACATTCAAGTAGCATGCTTCTTGCATTTTCCATCAATGAGTCGTAAAGTTGTCGAACTGGCTCGTCGCTCTCAACGTTTAAATACGGCGAGTAGTTTTTTTCAAGATTGCCAACGATAAGGTCTTTTATTGTACGAGGTATATTTTCAATAAGATTGGCAATCCCCAAAGGAATCTTGACAAACTCATCCGGGTCGAATAAACCAGCGGTGAGGTCAGGAAACCAGCTGAGGATGAGGCGAATGTCACATTGGGATTTAGAGAATAGAGCAGAGGCATCACTGAAGGATGTCGATCTAAATAGCTGGAGGGCTGCGTAAAGGTGAATGTAGTAACTTTCGAGTGAATCTGTAGGCAGACTGTTGGCGAGAGATAACGCCTGCTGTCTGGCGTTGTCGTTCTCCATATCCAGGAGGTATATTGATTGGTCGAAGATTGAGGGAGGAATGAAAGCGTGTATGCTGCCAGTGTCAGTTGCCAAGATGACTTGGGTCGATTCAAGCTGGGAAGAGGAGTTTGAAGGGCGGTTTGAAGCGTTTGAGTAGTCTACAGAGGTATTCAACAAAGGAAAAGAAACAAAGTGTAGCTGATTGGGTATTGATTGAGGAATGCTTAGACCGAGTGGAGTGGATTGGAGGAACATGGGATGTAAATGAGATAGGGATAGAGAATGAATAAGAGAATGTGTAATTGTGGAGTGGATCTGCAGAGTGTTGTTGCTCAGAAGGGTGAATAAGTGAGGGGATTGGTGCACAATGGATTTTATGGTTGAAGGGAATTGAAGAGGGCCGTGTTTGGGTTCACCAGAGTACGAGTCGATGAAGACACCAACAGCACCCAAATCGTTATGCGTAATCATTAAAAACTCGTCAGCGTCATCGATAGAGGTGATGGACGGAGAGCCTTCAAAGGGCAATAAGGGGAGGAGTACGGAGTTAGTGAGGTTGAGGAGGCTATACGTGTTTGCAGTATCAGCCAAGCAAATGACGTCATTGTTTATAGCTGAGTCTAAGTGAAGAGAAGGCAAAGGTAGTTCGTTGATGACGGTGAGTCTTGGACTGAGTTTGAGACGACCGATGCTGGACTGTCTGATGACTACGATTGAGTTGCTAGATTGAAGGAGTTTAATAACGTTTCTGATATTTGATTTCTGTGGGTTGTAGCCGTTCAAGTGGTATAAGACACCATCTGTATCGAGCATAACGAGCGAATTGTTGAATTGTAGAATCTGTTTAGGCGTAAAATCGAGGTTGATGTTATTGTACGTGTTATGCCTATAAGACTGGAATTGAAGCTGATTGGTCGATCCAACAATCAGCGAATCATCTGCAAGCTGGGTCAGGGATGCAGAGGATGTAGCAATAGAACCGACTAAAATGGTACAAGATATTTATTGGTTTCGTTGTGTTTGTGAAATTATTCAGCTTGAATGGCTTGAGCATCTGATGGTCGTTGGTTGTTAAGCCATACGCTATATTGCTGCCTATGTAACGCTTGAATTACATCTTGGTGCTTTATAGACTCTCTAAACTTAGGTTCCATCAGTAAATCCAAGTTGTGTAAGCAGTGCGGGTATGTTATGAATTTGATGTATTCGGGACTATTTATAAAGATCAGCTGGTTTATCTAAAACACCTTAAATTACCCACTCCCTCCAATAATTCAGGTACTTAATATATTTTATAAACTCCGGCTTATCAAAGTACCCTTGCTGGGCTAATGCGTGGAGATAGAATGGATGGGCCAGTGACTGCACAAACTCAAGCTCAATCTCAAATTTATTTCTATTTTCTGTTTTCTGTTTGTCTTGTGTATCATGTGTCTCTTTCTCCCCTTCCATTTGTTGTTCCCCAGTGATGGTGATGGTTCAATCAATACATGTACGTTTACATCTTTATTCTTCTCCCTCTGCTTCCAAATCTAGTCCTACCAACTTGGGCGATGGCGGGAGTGGTTTACTCCACCTCTCCTCACTCGATACCTTGGGTGTTTCTCCTTCCGTCATCCCGAGCATCTCCTCCAGCTCTTTCTGTGCTTGATCCCACCTTCTCAACGAATCTTCTACAGGCGACCTCTCCTGTACAACTGTCTCTTGTGTTTTGTCATCACTCGACCTTCCTTCCCTCTCCTCGTTGTACTCTCCCCCTTTCACCTCTTTCTCATTTTGCTCCAAATCCACTTCCGTCTCTACCCGCCTCAATCCCTCTACCCCATTTGATTCTCCACTGTCTTCATCTTCATCCGATGAGCTAACGTCATCTACGTTGTACCCAAACGCAAGACTTGATCCCCTTGGTGCGATTATTGGTGCAGTTCTCTCGGGCTGTTTTTCTGATAACTGTGTATTTACCGTCGGTGTAATACCTGTGCTAACATATCCAACCGTCTCTGTCGGTGAGCGCAGCGTATCCAGCCACTCATCTTCACTGTCCTTTTGTGTAGCCTCTCGCCCAAGCGCTGCTTCATACATCCCGCTCCCTCCGTCGTCGAGATGATCATCTGTGCTTGAAGCATTCGCATTAGTTTTCTTCCTTATCCACCCCCTCCTATCTCGTCTCTTGTTTAATAACTTTTCTGTAAAGGGTGAGATACTCGATGTTCTTTGTGTTGATCTGAAAAGCAAACTTGTTCCTGAACTTGATGTCGATTGTTCATTTTGTACATCCCCAATATAGCTTCGACGTATTATCCTACCTAACCTCTCAACCCGGTCCTGACTTGTGTCAGATGCACGTATTGATGATACTACCAGTGACATCTGCTGCAGCCGCGGTATTGGACTAAAGGCACTTGTTTTGGGTTGCGTAGAGCTAGCCGCTATTGCTGCTGCTGTTGACGGTAGTGAATCTGGTATACTTTGGTAAGCAGACTTTAACGAACTAAGTGACTGCTTCGACTGTGGTCCCGATGTAGGTGTTACAGGTACAGCCTCATCGCATAAATCCATAAATAACCTCTCTAATTTTCCAAATAGTGGTATAATCAACTGATCTCTGAAACCCTTTATCACTGACTTGCGCACATTCATCACTGACGGTAATAACGCCACCTTGCTCGTTGATTCGTCGTTATACGACAGATTATGACTCGATCCATCCCCCGTTTTCGCAGAGTTTGCTGTTGATGATTTTGCTAGTGCCTGAATATGTGTATCTGTGCTATACGGTAGAAATACTCCTTCAAGAAGAGGTAAAACCTGACCGAAGAAGAATGTCCTGTTGTGAGCCCACTCAGTTGAGGTATTCTGATATGAAATTTAAGTCACCCTACCAAATTTCAACGGTACGTGTCGCAAAACGATCAGTACTCTCATCGACATGTTGAACAAGCTTGGCTCGAAGCGTAAGCATGCCAATACTGATCAGGTTGTTAAAATCAGTGGAAAGGCTTTCAATCACGCGCGATGGTTTTGAGCGAGCGATAGTGTCTCTGATATGAATAATGACCAACGCGTTTAAATCTTCCAAAGATGTTATCTGCGTATGCGTCAATACGTCGACGTCGAGTGATAGAGAAAATGGATTATAAAAGAACCATCAAACTCACCATGTTCTCGCCATTGAACAATGGCAGTACTTTGACGCATATCGCCTGCCAGGAATCGCCGTGGAGCTCAATGGCACTAGCTATATCCTTACCCAAGCCGCCCTTGGCAGTGCTAGAGCTATTGCCACTACCACCAAACGCAGCGCTGTTGGAGGTTGCTGGAGCGTGCGAGAAAGAGGGTGACGTTTGATTGTACTTGCTGGAATTTCCTGGCTTTGATGACGCCAATTTGTGGAAAGTGCGATGAACTCTGGGTGAATGATGGATAGTGTGTGAGTGAGTTGAAGGATTTGGGGAACTGGGATTTGTTATTGGAGCTGAAATGCTGTTTGGATCGAGCTTCCGGCTGCTCGATGGGCTGGCAGGCGGCACATTCAGCAGCTGCGATCTCGATGGCGTTGAAGATGGAAATAGAGATGGTGAGATATTTGCAGATGAGTTTGGTATATTAAGCCGCAAATCACTCGGCTTGGTCGGCATAGTGGCGGGGAGATGGCTGTGGTAAAGGAGGAAAGAGGACCAGCCAAGGAAATAATTATTATTTACAATTTTGGTATTCTACGCTCAAATCCTTTTTATCTTCTTGATCCACTCCATCGATGGCTGATCAACTCGAGTCTTTCATTGACAGACTCACCGGTGCTGTAGCGCTGCAGGATAGCCCGCTACCATCTATTGTCGCCGAGGATTCCTCCGTGTGGGTGAAGCGCTTTCTTCACCTCCGATCTCCGATCTTAACGCCTAGGCTTTGCAGAACACTCCCAGTTGAATCGCAATATCCAACAGACAAAGACAGCTCAACAACAGTCACGCGCTTGATCAACGACAGAAAAGCTGCCTTGTCTCTTCAGGCGTCTACCGCTCAAGGCGGTCCCTCTGGCTCCACCGCCACGACAGACGCACTCAACAATCTACTCAAGTTTGTCGCTTGCTTTGTTTTTTAGTGGATTTTAATGGCTCACTGTTTCCAGCTTCATCGGTTCTACCTTTGGCGATGCTGATATGCACGATAAGATTGTGTTTGAGGTGTCTTCGCTGCTCAATTCCCCACGTTCCACGGACGATATCTCTTCTGCTCTAGTCGACACGCTTGGCTTCGATGCTCTTGATCTTATCGCCCAAGTTCTCTCCAATAGGGCTGAAATCGGTCTTGGATTGAATGACGTCGTGAGTTTATCCGGTGTGTTACCTCACCCCTGCTCATCCCAATAGATGTCCTTGAACGCTCGCAACGCCGAGCAGCACTCTAAATCTCACAAGCGTGAGAAAGCACGCCACAATGACTTGGAGGGTGCGTTTCGTGGTCTCTATCGCCAATGTCTCACCTTCCTCAGAATCCTACCTCACAATCAGCCCCGAAGAAGCTCGCAGGAGAAAGGAGGAAGAGCGCCAGCTAAACTCAAAGCGTCCATTATTCTCAAATGAAGGAGGCGTATGTGTCTGCATTTATCACCCATCATCAGCTGACACACTACAAGTCGATCGAAGAGCCAAACTATCCACATGTCTACAAGAATTCGGCCAATGGTGGTAATATCCTCTCCACTATGGGTTCTCGCTATATGCTACCCTTAGGCACAACGAAAGACCATTTCGACGTGGGTTGCATTTTATTACTAGCTATACTATCTAATATTACATCAAGAACTACGACGAAATCACTATACCTCCCTCAAAACCTATTCCACCAAAGATTCATGAACGCATCGTCGAAATTGGAGAAATGGACGCTCTCTGTCAACGATCTTTTAAGGTGTGCATCGCTTGCAATCGACTACAACTGCAACTCTAATCTTCTGTCAGGGTTACGAAAAGCTCAATAGAGTTCAGTCTGTGGTCTACCCTACCGCTTACACAACTAATGAGAATATGCTCGTCTGTGGTGTGTATTAAAAGCGCTTAAACGACACCCACTAACATATCATAAAGCACCCACCGGAGCTGGTAAAACAGACGTTGCTATGCTCACAATTTTGAGGGTTGTCTCACAGTTTGCGGATGAGAACAAACTTACTTTTGGTCCTGGAAAGGGCAAAGGGTCTGCAAGTTTTGGTGTTAGGCTGGATGACTTCAAAATTATCTATGTCGCACCAATGAAAGCACTGGCCGCTGAAATCACAGCCAAACTCGGCAAACGTCTAAGTTGGCTCGACATCAAAGTGAGAGAGCTAACAGGTGACACACAATTAACAAAAGCGGAAGTCAATGCAACTCAGATTATTGTCACCACGCCAGAAAAATGGGACGTTGTTACACGGAAACCAACTGGCGAGGGTGATCTCGCCTCAAAGGTCAAGCTGCTTATTATCGATGAAGTTCACCTGCTCAATGAAGACAGAGGTGCAGTTATTGAAACTATAGTTGCCAGAACTTTGCGCCAGGTTGAAGCTACCCAGTCTCTTATTAGAATTGTCGGTCTCAGTGCTACTTTGCCCAATTATGTCGATGTAGCCGATTTCCTTAGAGTGTCACGATACAAGGGACTGTTCTATTTTGATGGCTCCTTCAGGCCAATCCCGTTAGAGCAACACTTTATTGGCGTCAAAGGCAAGCCGGGAAGCTCCCAATCTAAGAAAAATCTTGACCAAGCAGCCTATGAAAAAGCTGTCGAGCTAGCTGAGCAGGGTCATTCAGTTATGGTGTTTGTTCATGCTCGTAAAGAGACAGTCAAGACTGCTGAAACGTTGCTCGAGTATGCTAAAAAAGACAACCAGTTGGAAGCATTCGACTGCTCTGAGCACCCCCGTTATCATATACACAAGCGTGACATTGCACAGTCGAGAAACAAAGAGATGAGGCAGCTATTTGAAAAGGGCTTCGGTATACATCACGCTGGTATGCTTCGTTCGGATCGTAATATGATGGAAAGAATGTTCGAAGATGGTGCTCTCAAGATATTGTGTTGCACCTCTACACTTGCTTGGGGTGTTAATTTGCCGGCCCACGCTGTCATCATTAAGGGAACTCAAGTTTACGATAGCAGTAAGGGTGCTTTCTCTGATCTTTCCATTCTCGATGTACTACAAATATTTGGTAGGAGTGGTCGACCTGGCTACTCGACGAGTGGTGTGGCATGGCTGTGTACATCTTATGAAAAGCTCGATGATTATATTCAAGCTGTTCTGTCCTCCCATGCAATTGAATCCAAATTCCATACCGGAATCGTCGACGCTTTAAATGCTGAAATATCTCTAGGCTCTGTCTCTAATGTAAGTGAAGCTGTTCAGTGGTTATCGTTCACATATATGTTCGTGCGCATGAGGAAAAATCCACTAATGTACGGCATGGATCACGATGAACCACTCAATGACCCGCTTCTTGGGAACAAGCGCAACATGCTGATAATGTCAGCTGCGCGTCAACTAGCACTAGCAAAGATGATCAAGTTTGATGAAAATGACATGATGTTCGAGTCGGACGATATGGGTAGAATTGCTTCAAGGTTCTACATATGTCATGAATCCATCAATATCTACAATAAAGAGCTCAACCCAACTATGTCGGAGGCTGATATTATGAGTGTCTTGTGTCAATCAGTGGAGTTTGACCAGATACAGATGCGTGATTCTGAGGTGCCTGAGCTTAAGCATCTCATGGAAGACATCTGTCCGTGTCAAGTCAAAGGTGGCACAGATACCAGTCAGGGCAAATGTAACATTCTCCTGCAAGCTTACATTAGTAGAGCCTATATTGATGACTTTGCGTTGGTGTCTGACTCCAACTATGTTGCACAGAATGGCGCAAGACTGATACGAGCCCTACTCGACATTGGTCTCAGTAAAAAGTGGGCGGTGACGACATCTGGAGTTATCTCAATGAGCAAAGCCCTAGAGCAACGTTTGTGGCCGTATGAGCATCCTATGAAACAGCAATTCGGTCTCAGAAACGAAGTCATTTACAATATTACTCGCTGGGCAGATGAAACTACGATACAAGAGTTAGCTGAGCTCAGTCCAGCGGAGCTAGGTAGTTTGATTCATCTCAATGAATCACATGGAGCAGCTCTGCATAGGATTGTTAAGAGTTTCCCTACCCTTTCTCTCAGTGTATACTTGAAGCCGCTTAGCCATGAGGTCCTCAAGCTGCAAATACACGCAAAGCCAAAATTCGCCTGGAATGAAAGAATAAGTGGCACGATGGAAAATTTCTTCTTAATTGCTGAGAGCGAAGACGAGCTCGATATCTTGCAGTGGACCAACGTTCAAATCAGGCCCACTACGGAGGAAACTAGTATTGACTTCATTTTGCGTATAGAAAACGATAAGAAGCCAGACTTTATCACCTTGAGATCGGCTTCTGAGAGATGGCTAGGATCTGAAGATCTTGTGTCGGTGTCATTTGAGGATCTGATCATGCCGGCTTCACCTAGTCCTCCAACGGAGATTATTGATTTGCCATTCTTACCAGTGTCGGGACTCAGCAATTTAAAGCTTGAGCAAGCCTTGAACAGTATAGGTATCCGTAATTTCAATCCAATTCAGACTCAGTGCTTTGAGCCATTCTATGTCTACTCAGACAATGTGCTGCTATGCGCTCCTGTTTACGCAGGCAAGTCAATTCTTTCTCAATTATCGATTTGGTGCGTAGTGCGCGTTATATGAGTGCATCTTTTGCTAAACGAAGCATTCAGGAAAGCATTCACATTACAGCGCAACACACGTGCACTTATAGTTACGCCAACAGCTACTTTGGCCCGTGAGACTGCCCACGTGCTTACTACAAAGTTTTCCAAAGCGATGAGTGTCAATGTCCTCAACCTGCATTCAAAGGCAGAGCAGCGGGAGTCACAGCTGAAGCAAAATAGGGTTGTGTTTGTTGCGAGTGCGAATGTGCTCCAAGATCTACTCTGCAGTGGACAGAAAGATCAGCTTCTGGATGACCTGTCGATATTAGTTGCAGACGATTTGCATCTTATGGGCTCCGCTTATGAAATAGCTCTGTCAGTAGTGAAGCAATCTGTCTCAGATACACGCTTTATCGGGATCAGCGCATCTCTCGATAACATTGAAGACCTGAGGAAGTGGCTGCGCGTTGATCCTGCGCTTACATACAATTTTGCACCAAAACATCGTACGCTGCCGATAAGCACTAATGTTCAATCGCACTCAGTCGTGCCAACGTCTGCTTTCATGAAAGCTCTTATTAAGCCAACGTACGCGCTCATCAAAATAGCTCCCAAAGGAGCAATAATATTTGTCCCTACACGCACTCAATGCAGAAGTGTTGCGTCAGATTTGATTACGCTCTCGGCAACGGATTCAGATTATATTGGACTGGCGACCGAAGAATCTGTAGCGCTGGAACCCTACCTCGATAGATTATCTGACAAGACTTTGGTGGGATATCTTGTCAATGGCATAGGAATTTACTACACTGGCTTGCCTTTAGAGGATCTAGCATTGATCTTGGAGCTTTTTTTGACGGGTGTGCTACGCGCATTGATCGTTCCCAGAGATATGTGCTGGTCGTTGCCGGTACGCGCTTCAACAGTGTGTGTGATGAACACCCAGTACCTGTCTACAAAGAATGTCAAGGACAGCAGTGGACAGGAGAAGGCTGACAAACAGGTGCAAGAGTATTCACTTTCGGAGGTCGCTCATATGCAGGCATTCGCGAGCGCAGACGTTGAAGGCGATAGCGAGGCTACACGTACTTGTGTATTGATGGCGCAGGAAAATGGGAACAAGGAGCTTTATTCGTACTTCCTCAATGCGGGTCTTCCACTTGAATCACGTTTGAGTGAGGATGATGAACTGCTCTATTATGTCAAGCACGAGAGGAATTACGGCAGGATAAAGGATGTTGGGCAAGTCGACAAGCTACTCAAGCAGACGTATTACGTCAGAAGATCTAAGACAAACCCAACTTATTACGATGCCAAAGGCGATGGCGTTAGGGCATTGGCGAATAAGATATGGAATGCATCAAGTGATGTGTAAATGCATTATTAGACAATTTTCTTATCTTAATTGAGACAAATTGACAAGACAGAGGATATTGCGTGTTCGTCGAAATGAGTATTGGGCGCAGAGCTTTTGCTGTAAGCTATACGTATACATTGTGATTTCGTTTGAAACATTCTTCCTTTATAACCATCAACGGAGAATGCGCAGGCTAGGTTTCTTTCTGACAGCTTGCTTGGCTTATGTAAACGCTGATCTACACACGCCGCCCCCGGTACACGTAGACGTGCAAGCTAGTTGGAGCCAGCCGCCTTACTGCGAGATAGCGATGTGAGCAATGAAGCTGCAGTGCGATGCGTCTAACAAGACGAAGGGAAGCAGCCTACAGACTACAACCAGGAATGTTTGGCAGGCTATTGGATACCATTGATTGCACAAACACGCCAGAGAAGATATATACCCAAGTAAGAAGTGAAATCACTAAGTCGAAGCAGTCACTGTTCGATCTTCATATGGCCCTGGAATCAAGCTCACCGGCAATAATAGCCTCCAGAAGCATATTAGAGAGCGAAGGATTTTCATTTGATCCGGAATGCCCGAATTTTATCAGCTATCAAGGCCGCAAGATATGTGACGTAGACGAGGTTAGTACACTCGACCAACAAGCTTGGCCTGAATCAACGTGAGTTGCATTCACTGTCAAATTACTCCAACTAAAGGCATCAGCGCGATCGTTGATACCGCGATCGACCATATTCTCTCAGAGCCTTCATCTGCAGCCCCGCCAACTATCATCCACTACGCAGACCCAACTGCGCACAATTTCAAAAGTTTCTATGACTTCTTTAAGAAGCGCACGAAAGTCTTGAAGTACGTCATACGATGGGCACCCACCAACGCCTCGTCTCAGCCTCAAAAATTGGCGGGATGGGGTGTCAAGTTGGATCTTAAGAAGCGCGAGTATCTCTCACTCGACGATAGAACTGTTTCAAAGAGGGCTGATGATATCAAGACAAACGTAATATCCAGTGAGGACTACAATTTCCTGCCACGCAAGCTGCAAGAGGCTTTTGGCCAGTCTCTCGTCAATTTTGAAGGAAATGACAATATCAAGACATTGTCCAGCAACTTAATCGCTCTCTTGCAGCAATCAGACAATCAATTAGAGTTACTGAACACAATTTCCCAGAATCTCCCTCTGTTAGCCCCTGCTCTTGCTGATGGCGCTTTTGAAGGAGCAGAAAATGTGCTTAACGAGCTTTCATTCAATCAGGACAAGTACCTCAAAGCCGGACAGAATGCTATCTGGCTGAACGGACGTAGGATGTATGATAAAGACCTTGAGCCATTCACGTAAGTCTGAATCAACAAAGACCACAACTCTAATAGTACCAGGCTTTTACGTCAACTGGAATCAGAGAATTTGCTCATTGGCGCTATCACAGATTTGGGTTTTTCTAGATCTGATGCGATCAAAGTACTCAGTCATCGCGCTCTGTATGCATCTCAAATTATCAGACCAGATTCAGTAGCTGATGGCCTGGTTGATGCTTCAGATAGAATCGAAGAGGGTGGTGTAATTAGGTGGATGAACGATTTGGAGGATCACAAACAGTACAATGGAAAATTTTGGTCTCCCTATATGCGCAACCTGCTTAATCCTCTTGGAAAAGTAGCGAGAAACTATCTCAATGGGGTTCTCGTGATTGACTTATCAAACAAACAAGCAATTGAAATGTTATCAACAAACGTGAGAGCGTTCATCGATCGCGGCATCCCTGTGCGCTGGGGCGTTGTTCCTTACATTAATCCTCTCAATCATGACAGTAAGTCAGTTTGAGGTGCGGATTTGACTCACATACTGTTAGGTTTGATGGCTGCAAAGCTGTTTTATGGCTTGATTGATAGCAGAGGAGTTGATACATGCCTAAACTACTTTGCTGAGGCTGTCGCTTACACAGGCACTTTTGCTGAAAGAGCAGAAGCTGCTTACTCTAATCTTCCAAGTGTGAATGGCACATTGTCTCAAGACGAGTTCGACACGACTGTGAAAAGCAAAGCAGTGAAAAATGATTTAAAGAAAGCTCAAAGCTATACCAGACGTCTCGGCGTTAGTCCCGGTGAACATGAAGAGAGTTTTGCTGGTGAAATTTTTATCAACGGCCAACCTGTGCAGTTTGATGATGTGAGAGGCGCTTAGCATTCTCAAGCTCTACTGATAAGCTCCAGAAAACGATACTTACTCTTCAAGAACATATTACCTCGCAGACTGAAGCAATCACAAAGGCCGTTCGCAATGCTGAAATCGACGAGCGCAGTGATGTTTCTGTATTCTACTACGACAAGTCATCCACATTGAAACGCCGCAACAAGTATTTGCAACCCTCAAAAAAAAAAGCACACTATATCCAAACATATCCAAAATTGCTGGATGGTCCGTATGTTACTCCGGAGACACAAGATAGAACGGATGTAACGATATGGCTTGTTTCTGATTTCAACAAACCAGAAAGCCTTGAACTGATCAAACACGCACTATCAGGCATGATTATAAGTCCAACATTTAGGCTTGGCTTTGTGCACAATCCATCTGAATGTGAAACTGCTACTGGGACTATAAGTCAAATGTTAAGGATGCTGCCAGACAGAAGCTCGCCATTGGAATTTATCGATGCGTTACAGAATCGTGGCGAGATTAGAGAAGATGCCGATGGGATAGTAAATGCTGGCGCTTGGATAAGCGAGACAGGAATCAACCCAGGTGATTCTGGACTCATCGTAAATGGTCGCGTCATCGGTCCTATACCACCTAATGGCCTTGTCGAAGAAGATTATGTGTACTTATTCCAACGTGATTATGCGGAACGAGTGCTGCCGGTTGTCAAAGCCTTAGATGAGACATGCCCGCACCTACTCCAGGATGATCCAGACACTGTCGCTACTCTGCTGTCTAGGCTTGGCTCACTACTATGGAAAACCAATCAAAATGAGCAGCCAGAAGGAATTTACGAGCCTCCTTATACACCTAGAGCGCGCGTTTGGAATCGATTGCATACTAAATACACGTCTATACAAGTAGGCAAAGAGCTGTCGTCCCAGTATTCGTTTGATGTGGTTTTGGATCCAATGAGCGAGCAAGGCCAAAAGCTGACAAAGATATTGATCGCTTTAGCTGAAACTGGAGATGCGCATATAAGAATAGCGTTCAATCCAGACATCAGCATTGAAAATCTTCCCACCAATCGCTTCTACAGATTTGCCATGAATTCAAAGCCGCACTTTAATCAATATGGCCAGAGCATAAATCAAGCCGTTCAATTCGTACAGATGCCAGCTGATGCATTGTTCACACTGGAACTCGACCCTCCACAATCCTGGATCGCTAGACCTGTGTATGCACCAGTAGATCTAGACAATCTCAATCTTGTTACAGCGCCGTACAAAGACCTGAATGTAATCTTTCAGCTGGACAAGATAGTTGTTGATGGGCATGCCAGAGACTCAAAGACAAGTTTGCCTCCGAGGGGCCTTCAGGTTGCTTTGAAACACGGCCAAATTGATACACAAATAGTTGCAAATCTTGGTTATCTGCAACTAGCAGTGACGCCCGGTCAGTGGTCTCTCGAAATCAGAGAAGGTTATGGCAGGCAAGTATACGAAATCGAGAGTTTAGGAAGCCTAGGTTGGAATAGCCCCACAGTCGATGAAGGCTTCGAGACATTCATGTTGGATAGCTTTGAAGGCGTCAAGCTTTACCCAAGGTTTAAGAAAAAGCCAGGTATGGAGGGAGTTGACGTGCTTTCCGAGCAGCGCGAGACAGGTTTGGTACCTTATGCGAAGGCAGCTATTTCAACGTGAGTTTTTACGAATTTTGAAGCTTTTTCTTAGACGGTGACAGACTTAAATCGTTCTTGGGCTTCACATATGAGTCTGATCATGCGGATATCAATATTTTTACTGTAGCTTCCGGTCTGCTGTACGAGGTGAGCTCAGAAATTAGATGACCAAACGATTCTTACACAAACAGCGATTTGCTTCTATCATGATACTTTCGGTGCTAAAGCACACGAATCATTCCGTCAAGTTTTGGTTCATCGAGAACTTTTTGTCGCCCTCGTTCATAGAGTTTTTACCACACCTGGCTAAGGAGTATGGCTTCAAGTATGAGCTTGTTACTTACAAATGGCCGAGCTGGCTACGTCCACAAAAGGAAAGACAAAGAATGTTGTGGGCATACAAAATTCTCTTCCTCGACGTCCTCTTTCCAATGAGTCTCGACAAGGTGATTTTTGTAGATGCTGATAACATAGTAAGAACAGATCTCAAACAGCTAATCGATGTAGACTTGCACGGTCGTGCTTATGGCTATCCGCCGATCGGGATGGATAGGGAGGAGATGGATGGCTACCGTTTTTGGACAGAAGGGTATTGGAAGGACTATTTGCGCGGTCGCAAGTACCATATCAGCGCGTTGTACGTGGTGGATCTGAAGAGATTCAGACAGATTGCCGCGGGAGATCGTTTAAGGGGGCAATATCAAGGTCTTTCTGCTGACCCTGGCTCACTTGCAAACCTGGATCAAGATTTACCCAACAATTTCCAAACAGAAGTGCCTATCTGGACGCTTGACGGGTCTTGGCTGTGGTGTGAAACTTGGAACTCAGAGGAGAGCATAACACAGGCAAAGACGATTGATCTTTGCAACAACCCAAAGACAGTGAGTGTCTCATCCGCTATATTCAAATATTCACAACGCACAGAAAGAACCCAAGCTAGAAAGAGCGCGCAAGATTCCCGAATGGACAGAATATGATGATGATATCCGACAATTTAGTGACAAGCTCGCAAAAGAAAAGCTAATTAAGTCATTGCTCGTTACAGAAACTGAAGAGCTGGCGCAAGGCCCGAAGGCAGCAGCAGAGGAAGCGCCGACAGCACCAGATTATTTCAAAGATAACCACAGAAAAGACGAATTGTAGATAAAAATTAATTTGAAGCCGATCAGTTGACGCCATGTGCGTATACGCAGCAAGATCCTTATCGTGAGGTTGTGGGTGGTAGAGGAAATAAGCGAATCAAGGCAGCTACCAGCGTTGGAGTACTGTATGATACTCCAAGTGACTGCTGGCTGACTGCTGGGGATTGCCTCTCTCACCTCAACCACCATCACTTGCGACTGATGAGTGCAATCGTGGTCCTTCCCAACGGCTCCACGCTTGATGTGTTACATACCAGCGCATCAGACGCCCTGCACGAGCTGTCGACTGTCCAAATTTCGCTGACTTGGATACATGTAATTAGGAAGTACTGGCTCCTCGGAAAGCTGCGAGATGCCGAGACTATTTGCACTAGGGCTGCTGAATGTGAGTCCGCTGTCTTGGACCACCTGTTTCTCACAGCTCGCAGTATTCCAGCGCGACGCTCTTAGTATCTCCAAGCTGTCGACTCTCAAGGGAAATCTCTATTTGGACATTGCAAGGGAATCCCCAAAGATTTTGCTATCAAATCCCAGTGAGGATGTCCACGCCGGTGACACCAAATGCCGCAAGGATTACATGCTCGCTGCCGCCGCTCAATTTGTTAGTGCCGATAAGTCGCTCCAAAGCATCGGTGAAGTCTCTCAGATCAATTCACCACTCTATCTGGGCAAGGCGTCCTTGCAATTGGCGCAGGGAAACCTTGATGAAGCCTTTAAAACGTTTAACGCCATTCTCAAGAACCATACTCGCAATGTCTTTGCTTTGATGGGCAAAGCAAGAATATTGCACGTCAAGCGTCATTACGCTGAGGCTTTGCGCGTCTATCAGGATATTCTTAGGATATCTCCTCGCGTAAAACCAGATCCAAGGATCGGCATTGGTTTATGCTTTTGGCAACTCAAATGCCCCCTTGAAGCAAAGGCTGCATGGGAAAGAAGCGCTGCTCTTGTGAGTCTATTCACACCCTTCTCAACGTCGCTTATTTGATTTAGAACCCCAATTTGTACGCTCCACAGCTTCTGTTGGGTCTTCTGAACATCAACGACGCTAAAAAGCCTGATGAGCAAGATCACTACCGTGTTAAGGCGTACAACAGGGGTATCAGATACGTACATACTGCATATAAACTCAACGAAAAAAACTCCAACGCCGCAAATGTTCTATCGTACTACTTCTTGGGTAAACGGAAGCTTCCAGTGGCAATAAAGTATGCTGAACGCGCAATTCAATATGCTGATGCTATACCCGTTCTTGTCGATGCTTACAACAATTTAGCACGCGTACACCACCTTAGCGGAAATACTGATGAAGCTCTTCGCTGCTACAAAGTCGCATTGGAGCGCTCTCCAAATAATATTGTGGCGCAGCTTGGTCGAGGACAGCTGCTTCTGAACGATGAATCATTAACGCAGGCTGTTCACCATTTTGATAAGCTGGTTCAATCTCAGAGTCAAAAAGGATTGGCAAATCCAGAGGCTTTGTTAGTTCTCGCAACTTTGCGCTCAAAAGTTTTGCCTGGTATATCTACGAATGAGCTACAAAAGAACAAAGAATCCGCTCGCGAGTTGTTCGATAAGTTTTTGAAAACGGTGTCGAAAGCATCCTCACCACATGAAACAGTCAGAGGTCTCGGTAACGAAGCTGAAACTTACGTTGAACTGGCTAGGCTTTGGGAGAAAGACAATATAAAGAAATCCAGTGAGGCTTACGAGCGGGCATGTAATGTACGAAAAGAGCAAAATCTTTCTATGCCGATCGAGCTTTTGAACAATGTTGCAGTGCTTACAGCAAAGATTGGCAATGTGGATAATGCAGTATCTTACCTCCAAGAGGCAGTTACTCGACTTGATAATGGTGAATCTAATACAAGAGACTTTTGCATTAGGAATATAGATATCAAGCAACATATTTGTACTATGAAATACAACTTGGCGCGGATTCTTGAAGACGGAAAAGATGTTCAACATGCCAAGAAACTTTACATGCAAGTCCTCGAAATTCATCCAGAGTACTTTGAATGTAAAGTGCGACTCGCTTCACTTTATATGGATGAAAACATGCCAGATGAAGCTCACACATTACTCAAGGAGGTGCTCACAACGTGGAATGACCACAAGAACTTAAGAGCATTCTACACAAACTTCTTGATGCGATATGATATGTCGTCAGCCAAACGGTTCTGCGATGATACACTGAAGAAGGTCGCACCGAATGATATCTATGCACTTTGCGTGTCGGGCTGGGTTACTTATGTAAAATCAAGGGATATGCGCCCAAAAGTTGGAACCTCAGAAGTGAAAGACCGGGAAAGACAGTTCAGAGAGGCTATAATTTACTGGGAGAAGGCTTTGAGGTATGATCCAAAATGTGTTTATGCCGCTCAAGGACTTGCTATCGCTATAGCAGAGAACGTTGTTCCAGATCCATCACGTCGAGATGGTCAAGAGCCAAGTGAAGAAGAAAATACTAAGGCCAGACGCGATGCGCTTGGAGTATTTGCCAAAATAAGAGACTGTCTGGATGAGGCATCAGTTTATATCAACATGGGACATTGCTTCTACGCTCAGGATGAATTTGATAAGGCGGTTGAAGTCTACGAGCACAGCTTAGCTAGACATGAGGAGGTATCGTCGCTGTTACATGCTTGCAGGGCTAATTACAGCAAGGGAGTCCAAAAGTCGGATTTCAAATTTCTCGAGAAGGCACTGGCTTATGCTCAAACTGCAACAAAGAAGTCACCTAAGGACAAGTCTGTCAAGTACAATATAGCTATGATTGAGCAGAAAATGCTACAAGTAGTGCTGGATACACCAATCGAGAAGAGGGCTCTTAGGGATTTGGAGAGAGCTATAGAATTATCACCAGAATCACAGGAGTTATTCGGTCAGTTAGCTGCTGAGGAACCTGCAACAGTGCCATTTAGCATAGACCTTGCCGAGCAGCGTCAGGCGTTTGGTGAGGGACTCGCCGTGCGTGGGCCTGGTGAAATCGAAAAGCAGCAGGCGTATGAGGCAGAGAAGGTGGAGAAGAGTGAAAAGTACAAACTGGAGAAGGAGGCAGCTCAACAGAAAGCGAAGGAAGATGAGGCACACAGATTAGATATGATCAAAAAGCGCAGCGAGGAGTTGGCGGAGAAACGCAAGCAGGCGCAAGAGGACATAAAGAATTTACGAGAAACACTTAAGGCAGAAGAAGAAGCCGAGGAGAGGAGTAAGAGCGAGAAGAAAAACAAGACCAAGAGGAAAGGCTCTGAGGATGGCCAAAGTGGTGATGAAGAAGCGCCAAAGAAACCTAAGCGCAAGACGAACAAGAAGAAGAAGCTTCGCAAGAAAGCGGGGTCAGACGGCGAAGAGAATGGAGCTGCACAGGACGAGAATGGCGCTAAGCAGGAGAATAGCGCTAAACAGGAGAATCAATCAGCGTCTGAGGGCGAAGATGGGAACGATGGAGAGGAGAATGAGAAAGCAAAGCCATCCAAGCCAATGAGCCGGAAAAGACCGAGCTCAGTTTCAGAAGATGCTGAGAGGAAGAAAGCTAAAACGTCGTGAGTGCTAACTGATAACAGCGGAGACACAATTGACAGAAATACAGGCAGCTTTCCAAAGAGGTAATCTCAGATTCTGGAGAAGAATAATTTTGTAAAGTTAAATATTTTATCTAACGCTTGACTTGACTTTGTGTAGATACGCTGATGACAACTGAATACGCGGGATCGTCAAACGAGGCAGTGGAAATTAGATTGCGTGGGTGCTTAATATGGAATCCTTGCTCTACTAAAATATTGCAGGTAGAAGCGAGGCTGATGAACGCCAGCTGGAATCCGAGGAAGAGTTGAGGCTGACGCGACCATGGAATCCAACATTCACGTATCCAATATTTGGTACAGAGGAGCAAATTTATGGCTATAAGAATCTGAAAGTTACTGTGAGTCAACGCGCACACAGTCTTACACTGGCTTAAACGTCGTCCAGGTTGATATGGCTTCTGGCTCATTGAAATCTCAACTCAACGTAAATTACGGCGATAAGAAAGAGGATGCTGATAACGTTGTCGACAGTATCAAGGAATATTTACCATTAGGTGGGTTCTTTAGCCACGGGGAACGTCTTGAGTAACTCGGCGCAGAGGAAGGAGACTTTGAAGAGCTTTTGGACAGAGACGCGCGGGAATTCAAACCTTGCGGTGATCTTATTAAAACATACACACGCGCGTCCGCAAAATCTCAAGGCAAAGGTAAAGGAAAGAGAAGGAAGGTCGAAACGTCATCAGGATCAGTCGCGGGCGAGGAAGGCGATGTTGTGTACGAGATATACAGAGCTAAGTGGGATACTCCCGGCTGGAAAGCTTTTAATAAGCGGATGCAATTCTTTTTGTTGTTGGTAGGTGCTTTTGTCTCAGATAGAATCAAAGCGTATTGACGTAAAAAGTTTATCGAAGCAGCAAACTATCTCGAAGAAGATGACGACAACTGGGAATTCTTCACTTTGTTCGAGAAGAGGAGCAGAGATAACGGAGAAAACACATATCACTTCGTTGGATATTCATCTCTTTACTCCTTCTATCACTTCCCTACTGGTCGTAGGCAACGTTTATCGTATGTTCTTCTTGTTTGATTGAGCATCATTTCTCATTCGCATTCGCTGCAGACAATTCTTCATCTTGCCTCCATATCAAAGACAAAGCCATGCATCTGAACTGTATAACGCTATTCGCAGTGATGTGCTGTCTAGACAGGAGATTATTGAATTAGGTGTGGAGGATCCTTCAGAGTCATTTGACGTCCTTCGTGACGTGAATGATCTTCGTTGGTTGAGCGATGAGCACCTTCTAGACAATAAAACGGCTGCAGACATGAACAGGAATTGGATAGAACAAGAAAGACAAAAGCTTAAAGTGCCCAAGCGCCAGTTTCTGCGTTTGATCGAGATGCTTCTGCTTCACAAGCTGGATCCAAAGAATCAAGAGCAGTCCAAGAGGTTCAGACTTTTGGTGAGCTTTAAGTTAACTTGTTCAAAACATTTTAACAGACTCAATAGGTTAAAGATCGTCTTTACAGGTTCAACTACGTAGGTAACTCAGAAAATAGTCAATATATCTCACAGTATACAGGAACAATTAATTGGTTTGACGCCAGAAGAGAGGAAAGCTGCTTTACAGCTGACTTATGAAGGTGTTGTTGACAACTACCGTGATGTACTTCTCAAAAGTCATATCTGATGGTTGTGAGAACGAATTACATCTTGCTATACATTACATGAGAAAAGAAATGCAACCGAATTCTAAGAAATTTCCTTATGTCGCAAAATCCTCACTGGCACTTTCATAATCCGACACATTTGCCTCGTGGACTTCACTGGCAGGTTTGCTATTGGCTGCGTTGGCTGCTACTGAAGCGTCCAAGGAACGATCAGAACTGAAGTCGAATTTCTTGAAGTCTTGAGAATCTTGAGAGACAATAGAGCCATTCTGCGCATCGGAATTTTCTTGAGCTCTTTCAGAAGCGTTTTGACCCAGCTTGCTAAATCTAGACATGGCCGTAACTGCTCTAATAGCGCTTCTCCATCTAAGATACCAGTCAGACGAGCTTTGGATCACAAAGATCTGCATACTTCTCGCGACTGTTGAATGCATCCCGCAAACCTTCACTCACATCGTGTTCAGAGAGATTTTGATCTTTGAACCACTGGAAATGTTAGATGGATCAGGAAGGAAGGAATGTAAATACCTGGTGGTTGAGCGCTTGCTCAGCTGTGAGTCTTTTGGATGGGTCGGGTTGCAACAGAGCTTTAACAAAGTCCTTTGCTGGAGTGGAGTTAGAGTGCACGGAGATGAGGTTGTGACTCACCATGATCGCTGACTTTAGACCAGTATCTTTCGTGGAACTCAATCTTTCCTCTGTTAGTTTCTTTAATCAACTCACTCAGTTCTTCAGAACGGAAGGGAGAGTAACCACATAATAAGACATAAGTGACGACACCGATGGCCCAGAGGTCAACAGGCTTACTGTGAGCATCGTTGTTGAGTATCTCTGGAGCAGCATAACCGACAGAGCCAGCAAGTGAGGTAATTTGAGCGTTATGACTGTCTAAACGCTGAGAAATACCAAAATCGGCAATAACAACGCCAGAGCCAGCATCTTTACTTTTGTAGAGAATATTTTCAGGTTTTATATCGCGATGCACGACATTATTTGAGTGCATATATGCAGTAGCATCGACAATAGACATGATAACGGTCGCAGCGTTTTTCTCCTGGGATGGAGAGTTAGGGGAATTGAAAGACAAGTCAAATAAAGCAATACTCACGGTAAACCTTCCCTTACGAGCGATTCTATCAAATAGCTCACCGCCAGTGGCAAGTTGGAAACTGAGGTACCAAGTGTCTCTCGATTCATACCACTCGTAGAAAGAAACGATATTGGGATGATTAAGATGTTTGAGTAGATTAGTCTCATCAAATATGGCACTCTCATTCCCCTGAGCCTTTTTCTTGGAAATCACTTTAACGGCAACGTCCTGCTTTCCATCTGGATGGTTATCCCACTCGGCTCGTACGACCTATAACGATTAGATAGACAGATATAAAAACACCAGCCCCACCTTTCCAAATGCACCTTCTCCTAACTGTGCGTGTGTGTGTCTGTGTAAGCTGTGTTTCGGTGGCAGCGTATTTCCTCACAACTTCACCAAAATTGTAGCTCTTCTTCTTGTAATAAGATTCTGGTTGTGGCAGCAATGTGTCCCTTAAAAAACCCATAAATCCAAGACCGTGATAAGCGTGATGGCCGTGTGTGTTGAACCTTGGCTGCGCTACATCATCATCTTATGAGCAGCGACAGCGACAATAGCGCAAACGATTTTGTTGGGAAACGTAAATCACCACCAGTGGATTCTCAGGAAATCCAAAACTCAGCAAAACGCCCAAACGATTCTGTTGGGAAGCGTAAATCACCACCCGTGGATTCTCAGGAAATCCAAAACTCAGCAAAACGCCCAAGAGTAGAACCTATGGATACCATTAAGATGGAGAAGAACATGTTTGGTCTTGATCCGAGCGATGAATTCATTAAAGAGATTTCCGATTGGATTTGGTTAAAGACCAAGAATTGCAAGCATAAAGTTGAGGTTGGTGGGCTTAGAATCACGTAGATATAGCTGAGACGGCTTGATTAGGTGGAGGCCAAAGTTGGACGATTTTTAGATCAAAGTGCGCAGAGAGCAGGATTGCCTGTCGCAGTAGAGACCATTCTCTCTAATACAGACGGTTTAAAGTTTGAGTCGAATATGACAGAGGTGTGTTTATCTCACATGCTATATTCCATTCAATTGCACTCCTCACACAGAATCAGGCTCAACATAAGCATTACAATGGAATTCTCAATAAACGCGCATCGCAACTAAATCAAAACTTGCGTAGTAAAATAGACTGTGTCCACAATAAAGAGATAGACTCATTTCATTCGTCCGGTCGTGGCTCAGGTAAGGTTCGTGTAACTAGAGATCAGGGCAAGACGGATATCAAAGAAATGATTGAAAAGGTGCGCGTAGCAGATTTGGCTATTTACTCACCCAAGAGGCTCTTCGATTGGAGGTTAAGCATAAACATGGAAGTGCCGCGTATGTTTAACCTAATTAATCCTCTGAGGAAGCCATGACACCATGTTTAGATAACGACCTGCCGAAACAAGACCCTTATTATCAACGGAAAAAAGATAGAATGAGCTACACACAGCAGGAGATGCAAGTCGACCTAACGCAAGTATTTGCGAGGCCCGGTGAAGTGAGTCGGAGTTGTTTGTACAATGCTCTCGCTGACGCTGATTACAGCCACCGACGCACGAGCTCGAGCTTGAGATACGTAGGCCTAAATTTCTCATGGAAGAAGGCAAAAAACGCGAGCGAGGATTACCAAACATGTGTAAGCTCTATCGCACGCGTTTGTAATGACGTAAACTAAGAAAAATCCAAGACGACGAGTTAATCAAAGTATTTGTGAGCAACATAAGGATGCTTGTTAGGAATGGGATTTGAATTTATCTTGATGTAGCAAATATATTTTCTAACTCACGTAAAAAATTCACATTATTAAGTTGAGAACGCGTCTCAAAACCATCTTCATCATTATCAATCAACGGCATTTATCCAAGATAAAATAAATGTGAGTGAATTGATATATTCACGCGTATAATTACTCACAGTATCTTACCAGCTAATTTCATATCGCCACGATGTCCGGAATGACAGTACGTCGATTGACGCGTCCAGCGTTCTTGACTAACATATGCACAAGGTTTTTAAGCGCGACGGCCGTAAAGAAAGCGTAGCCTTTGATAAGTGGGTTTTTCTAACACGCGTAACCGTCTCTAAACGTGATTTTCAGAATCACAGCGAGAATCAATAAGCTTTGCTATGGACTTGATTCAAATCACGTAGACCCAATTGAGATTACAAAGAAGGTCGTACAAGGTGTTCACCAGGGCATCACCACCGTCGAGCTCGACAATTTAGCTGCCGAAACGGCTGCATACCTCACTGTAAAAGTAGGTTGGTCACTGTACAATCATATACCCACGAATCTCACATCCATCACTAGCACCCTGATTACGCTGTACTCGCAGCTAGAATAGCCATTTCAAACTTACACAAGGAAACCAAGAAGGCTTTTTCGGCTGTTATCGAAGATCTCTACAAATATGTAAATCCAAGAAATGGCAAGCCAGGTCCACTTATTAGCGACGAGACGTATGATATAATAATGAAAAACCGCGGCGTACTTGACTCTGCTATCCTCTACGATCGCGATTTTAACTACAATTTGTGAGTTGGGTTTTGTGCATACTAGCATCCTAACATTCTCATAGCTTTGGTTTTAAGACTCTTGAAAGATCATACCTTCTTCGTATAAATGGCAAGGTCGCAGAGCGTCCACAGCACATGTTGATGCGTGTAGCAGTTGGAATCCACGGTGCAGACATCGAGCGCGTTATCGAAACTTATAACCTTATGTCAATCAAGGCATTTACGCACGCCAGTCCAACCCTCTTCAATGCTGGTACACCACAGCCTCAAATGTCCTCGTGCTTCTTGGTTACTATGCAAGACGACTCCATTGAAGGCATTTACGATACTCTCAAGTCTTGTGCCCTTATTTCAAAGACTGCAGGTGGTATCGGTTTAAACATACACTGCATTCGTGCAACCGGATCTTACATTTCTGGTACTAATGGTTCTTCAAATGGTATCGTACCAATGCTCAGAGCATTTGATGCAACAGCACGTTACGTTGATCAAGGTGGTAATAAGAGACCTGGTGCTTTTGCCATCTACCTTGAGCCATGGCACCCTGACGTCTTTGAGTTCTTGGATTTGCGTAAAAACCACGGTAAGGAAGAAGTCAGAGCCCGTGATTTATTCTATGCTTTATGGATACCAGACTTGTTCATGCAACGTGTTCAAGAGAACGGTGACTGGCCTTTGTTCTGCCCACACGAAGCACCTGGCTTACATGAGGTTTGGGGTAAAGAATTTGAGCAACTCTTCTTCAAGTACGAGAGAGAAGGTAGATCAAAGAAGGTGGTCAAAGCACAAAAGCTTTGGTACTCTATTCTCGACTCACAAGTCGAGACTGGTGGTCCATTCATGTTATACAAAGATCACGCAAATGCCAAGTCTAACCAACAAAACCTTGGTACAATCAAGAACTCAAACTTGTGCACAGAGATTATTGAATACTCTGCGCCTGACGAAGTTGCCGTGTGTAACCTCGCTTCGATCGCTTTACCATCATACATCAAAGATCGCAGGTTCGACTTTAAGGAATTGCATAAGGTTACAAAAGTACTTACTCGCAACCTCAACCGTATCATTGATGTGAATTACTATCCAGTAAAGGAGGCTCGTAACTCTAACATGCGCCATCGTCCAATTGGTTTGGGTGTTCAAGGTCTTGCGGATGCATTCCAACTGTTAAGATTTCCTTTCAGCTCAGAAGAAGCAAGGTTACTCAACAAGCAAATATTTGAAACCATCTACCACGCTGCCGTTGAATCATCCACAGAACTTGCTACCGAATTCGGTCCATATGAGACTTATCAAGGCAGTCCAGCTAGCAAGGGACAGTTGCAATATGATTTATGGAATGTTCAACCCACTAATTTATGGGACTGGAATGATTTGAAGCAGAAGGTGGCTCGTTGTGGTTTGAGAAATTCACTTTTAGTCGCACCAATGCCAACAGCTTCAACATCACAAATATTAGGATTCAATGAGTGCTTTGAACCTTATACATCAAATATTTACACAAGAAGAGTTTTATCTGGAGAATTCCAGATAGTAAACCCATGGCTGTTGAAGGACTTGTGTGAGTTGGGATTATGGAATGATGGTATGAAGAACAAGATTATTGCGCACGGTGGATCAATTCAGAATATCTCAGAAATTCCATATGAGATCAAGGAACTGTACAAGACGGTTTGGGAAATAAGTCAGAAGGTTGTCATAGATTTGGCTGCTGATAGAGGGGCGTTCATTGATCAAAGTCAGAGTTTGAATGTTCATTTGGCGTCACCAACCCATGCACAGCTAACATCTATGCATTTCTATGCTCACAAGAGAGGATTGAAGACTGGTATGTACTACTTGCGCACACGTCCACAATCAGCAGCTATTCAATTCACTGTCGACAAGGAAGCATTAGATGAGGCGAAGAGTGCACAAAGTGGCAAGTCAACACCAACAAGTGCACCAACACCACCCAATATACTCAATGGAGTTGAAAGAATGAAGTTGGAGGATAAGAATAGTAGCACGCGCTCGAATGCAGCGAGAAATGTTTCAACGCCAGTAAGAGCAGCCACCATTTCAAGAGCAGTGAGTGGAATTGAGAATACGTCATCAATCAAGCGCACGCTGTCTTCTCACATTGACATTGAGAATGATGAGAACAACCAACCAAGAGGAGAAGAAATAGTGGCTGGTGAAGAAACGGAAGATGAAGATGAAATTGATTTTGAGACAGCCAAAGCGAGAATGGAAGCTAAGCAACTCGAGCAAGAGAAGCTTATTTGTAGCATTGAGAACAAGGAAGCGTGTGTGATGTGTAGCGGATGAAATTATATATTTTAACGAACTTGAATGTTAATATTTATATTTTACATTTTGTGTCTAGTATTTCCAATACGCCGGTTTAAACGTTGATCTGTTTCAACCAAACAATGCAATCGCCGCAATGGAAAATTCATGAGTGAGTTAAATTTACGGCTTTGGATGGTGATTTGATAGTACATTTGTATTTCCAGCGCCTTGGTTCAAGCCTCCTCGTCACAGCTAACGTAATACAGTTCAACATTGGCTGGCGGTGCAGCGGGCGTGGTGGCAAGCGTGCTTACATGTCCATTAGACGTAATAAAAACTAGACTACAAGCTCAAAAGAAGTCCAAAGGACACACGCTGGATGGTGTAATTGGTTGGTTCACCAATTTTGTCGTCGGATTGCGGTATTTGGCGCTAACATTACGATTTATAGATACGGTAAAGAAAATATCTCATGAACAAGGATACAAAGGTTATTACAAAGGATTGGGTCCGACGATACTTGGCTATCTTCCAACTTGGGCCATTTACTTTACAGTTTATGACGAGGTCAAGGCTATTCTTTCAAGCAAGCGAGGTGTGTAGACTTTTATATGCTACAATGCTATTTCTTACTTAGGAATCAAGGTGACCCCGATGGAGTAGATTGGTCAACTCATATGATTGCATCTGCTAGTGCGGGCGCTACAGGCGCAACTCTCACCAACCCATTGTGGGTGGTAAAAACAAGATTCATGGTGAGATTCTTTGGTTATTTGCGGATTCATTGCTTATTCCTTGCCTAGACTCAGGAGAAGGGAACGATACCATATAGACATACTTTACACGCTTTGGAATCCATTTATAAGAATGAAGGGATGAAAGGTTTCTATAAAGGATTGATACCGTCACTGGTCGGAGTGACGCACGTAGTAATTCAATTCCCGGTGTACGAAAGACTCAAGTTGAAAATGAAGAAGGCTGATAATGGTGAATTATCTACTATTTCACTTCTCGCCTGCTCTTCAATATCCAAAATGATGGCATCAGTTTCGACTTATCCACACGAAGTAGTCAGGACGCGACTCCAGGTGGAGAGGAGGTATCACCACGGACTTAATAATAGAAAGATACTTACAGTCATTAATGACATTTTATCGGAATCAGGATTTAAAGGTTTGTACAAAGGACTATCGGTGACGTTACTTCGAACGGTCCCAAATAGTGCGATGACATTGTTAGCGTACGAAATGATTATGTCAGAGTTAAGCAAATCAAGGCGAAAGTAATTTATACCACTTGTATTCTAATCTGTTAAATTTTATCTGGCACATGACATAGCCCTGTGCCTAAGGATGCGGTGCACCAAACATTTTATTAACCGACAGCGATGAACTTACTCAAAACACTTAGTGTAATTGGATTGATCGTAGCAGCTAGCGCTGCTCCAGCCGGCTCAGTGAGTATTGCTCGATAAAATGCGGATTGGCCACTGACATGATACAACCCAGTCAGCACAGAATGAACATGCAGCTACCGTAGATAAGGTTAGTGGGCACCTATCAAGTGAGGTAGAGCTAAGGCTTATAAAACAATCCTCGCAGAGAGACTTTGGAGACTTTATTCAAGGCGCTGAAGATACTGGCGAAGATATAAAGGATTTCTTCACCGGAGAAAAGCGTGATTGGATGGATAAAACTTCAGACTTTTTCGACAATATTGGAGACGCCTTCACCGGCGATGACGATAAGCAAAAGCGCGATTGGGTTGAGGACGCTTCAAATTTCTTCGATAACATTGGAGACGCCTTCACCGGCGATGACGACAAGCAAAAGCGCGATTGGATCGACGATATCGGACAATTCAGTGAGAACGTCAAGGATATGTTCGATGGTGATGATAAGTAGAACACAACGGCGGCTTAGCGGCTTGTAAATAAATTGCACTGTAAAATCATGGGATATGACAATGCTTGGATTTGTATAATTCTTCTGGTTGAACCATCTACACGGTGCTGAGATAGATGGAAAATACTGTGACAAGCCATTTCAATGTCGATAAGGAGGAATATATTAGACTTGTACTACAATCACTCAAAGACCTTGATTTATCGTGAGCACAGAATTCCTCCTATTCTGCTATCACTGACGACCTCATTAGCAGCAGCTTCAATTGCCTATCACAAGAATCCGGCGTGGAGTTGGAATCTGATACCGTCACTCAATTACGCTCTTCTATTTTACAAGGCAATTGGTCCACTGCCGTTCATTTAATCGATAAACTCAATGTGGACCACTATGAAGCACTGAATTCAAAGATTATTCTTAATAAGCAGCATTATCTTGAATCTTTGGAATGCGGCGATGATAAATCCGCTATTAATATCCTCCGACATTCTTTGGTTCCACTAATTCAGTCTGATCCATGTCAAGTTCAGTTATTGTCGAGGTTGGTTTGGCTGTTTGATTTGAGCGCCATTTAACTTAGATTCTCAGTTGGCTCATGTGTAGCTCACCCGCAGAATTACGTCAAAGAGCCCATTGGGATGGTTCAAATATGACATCACGATCAAAGCTACTCGATAGCTTACAATCTTACATAAAACCTTCAATTATGCTACCACAAAGCAGACTTTTCAATCTACTCAACCAAGCAAAGCTTTATCAATCACGTAATAACCGTTATAGCAGCATACATGACGAAAATCTAAACTTCTCTCTCTTAAATGATTACCATCAGGACAACTCAACGTTCCCAAATTTCAACTCTCTCACTGTCAAAGCACACTTTGATGAAATCTGGCATTGTTGCTTTAGTCACAACGGTAATTATCTTGCAACGTCATCTCGTGATAAATCTGTTGTCATTTGGGAGGTTGATGTTGTTCGGCAGATCTTCAGAAAGTCTTTGACTATCTTAAATCATGACGAAGATATAAGTGCTATCTCTTGGTCTAATGATGATACTATACTCCTCACTGCTGCGGAGGAGACTATATACATTCATCATACTGTAACTGGCAATAGTATCAACAGCTATCAAGGCGCTCATGAGCATGATGAGACTATCTCAAGCCTATTGTGGGTAAACGATGACTCTAAATTCTACTCAACCGGGCTTGATCAGAAGGTTATTGAATGGAGTCACAACGGCGCAGTGCTGCACAAGTGGAATGACCTACCCATACGCATAATGGACGCTGCTCTTACACCAGATCAGACAAAGCTTGTAGTCGCTGGTCCTGACGGTCCTCAGCCGACTGTTGGACAAGATGGCACGTTAAGTTACAATGAGGAGATGCGTCATCTAATGGTGTATGACACTGAATCAAGAACTTGTTTGTGGTAAGAATGTCTTGGTCTTTTGCTTCATGTCTTGCTTACTTTGATATATTAGGCAAGTCGAGATGAAGAATGAAATATCGTCTCTCAAAGTATCTTCTGACTCCACCAAAGTAATTGTCAACTACGCGCCTGATGAGATACAAATATGGAGTCTGACAGACCAATGTCTGCTCAAGAAGCTCTTCGGCCACAAGCAATCTAAACATGTAATTAAGTCGTCTTTTGGAGGGTTGGACGAGGGCTTTGTTTTGAGCGGTAGCGAGGGTTAGAAAGCTGCATTTGAACTGTCTTTTACTGACTCTATTTCAGATGCTGCCATCTATGTATGGCATCTTCAATCAGGAGAACTCATGGAGATACTCAAAGGACACGAGAAAGGTTGCGTAAACTCAGTAGCGTGGTCACCGACAATGCCGTTGATATGTTCTGTCGGCGATGATCGCACAATACGTATGTGGTCAACAAGGACATCTTCCAGCAAGCATACAGAGCTCAACCTGCTAGAAAACGAAGGCGATGAGGGCTCCATGCATGGTATCGAAGGTGGCGTGGAAGTTGACGATGAGGAGGTAGACGAAGCTATCGATGAGGTCGATTATCACATAGCTGATCAGTAGCAACTATCATCAGTTTGATTATATCCATAAATTACTTATATGCATTTGGTTTGTTGATAAATTAGATGGCCTTGTGTTCGTTACTCGTAACTTTGAGAATAAAGTCTGCTTTCAATAGTTACCCTTACTCAGTCATAAAAGTACCAAAAATTCAAAGCGATGATAAAACTCTGTCAAAGCATTGTTAAATTTCTGAGAGCTTGAATATTACTTAACAGCTGTATCCCTTGGATCCTTAAATACTGGATCTGAGACTCATCTCTGTATATGATAGGGTGATTTGAATGTTAATTTAATACTATCTAAAGCGTTTTGAAGAAATCTATTGAGCTAAATACGCTCAAGGCACCTTGCAAATGACCAAGTAAGTGAGAAGTCGAATGCAAATAGGATTACTATGAACGATGTCACGCGCTTCATATATAAATAAACAAATATGTCTAGCTGATGAAGACAAGTAGCACCCAATCAGCTCAGAATTTCGGCTGTATAAACGTGATTTACGTTCTCCGACAATTAGCGTCCACAGGATTTCATGCTGGCTCCAAGGAGACTTTATTTTTATGACCAGTAGTGCATTTCGAAATTTCAAACAATAGGGTTTGACAGGTATTATAGACTGGATTGGAATCTTAGATGTTATGATTTTAGGAACAAATATTTTTAGATCTTAAATCACACTCACTGCATTATGTCAAATTTAGCTGGACGAGTGTAGAGCAAATTACTTAAGTTATTCATGATAAGGGCATTTGAATTCTTCTCACACAGGTACTCTGCACATAATGATATCTAAATCTCCCCACTTTGTACTACCGATGATGCTGTAAAAAATACGTCATTGAGCATGGTATTTTCGACTGTGAGAGGGGAAGCATGGTAAAAAATAATCCTGAGTGTATTAGAGCTACATTTAAGCTATCTAAGAATCTAATAGCACTCTTCAGCCTTCAAACGACGGTATGTCCACGAAAGGAAGACGTGATATTGACGCGCTTAACTATAAGTTCAGCGTTGTAATTTGAAGGCGTACTTTTCTTTCGCTTATCAGTCACCAAAAATGCTGTCAATAATTCCAAACTCCACCTGTTCTTCCCTCCCTAACTGCCTCAATACCCGTATCTGCTGGTACCACTCCTCAGTAGTCATCGCAACTCAATAAGCTGAAACAATAATTCCTCAATAATACACTAGGAAAGCTCGCTGTCTTGTTGTATGCAAGATACGCTAGGAATTCAAGTTGCGTGATCCTCTTGTTTAGGCAGCGCAAGAATATACGTCGTCCAAATTTCAGAGACTAATGATGTCAACTCATCAAACGATACCAAGAGAACATACGATATATATCTTATTCTCTTTCCTTCTGTCAAAGTGTCATATCGCTGACTTTTCTCGTCAACGCTTTCGGTTGTGTGGTCGGATAGTCACTGGTCGCCGGACATTCATTCTGAATCGATAGTGAGTCATCGTCGGAAAACTTCATGTTCACTTTATTCCATCTGCTCATTCGCTGTACAAACCGTTCCTCAACCCAGCAGTCGAAAACTTAAAAGAATTGCAGTCTTGTTAATTACGAGATGCCACGAGCCACGCTAATTTTTAACTGTATCTTAACATCATAACTAATATAATTATAATATCTGACATTGCTTAAGTCACTAGTCTGAATCTGTTAGGTGACAAACCCAATATTAATCCCAAGCCCTTTTTATCGTCACGCTCTCTCTTCGCCGTCTCGTAAACGTCTTTTACCTTCTCCTCGTAGCCTTATCGGATAAACCTCCAGGACAGATTTCAAGCAGAACACTTTAAAGGTCACGCTATTTTTATATTACATTCTAATTAATTATTATAATGGATGTTAAATTTACTGTACAAGTCATTTCTCAAGTACAACTCTGAACCTTAACAGTGCCTTAACAAACTTTGTGATGGAATTAAATTGCTAAGATGAGTTATCGATGTGAAACAAAAACTTTTATAGAAAAGGGGTAATGGTTGCAATGGCCGGAGTCGTCAAAATCCACGTCATGGCTGTATCTTAATTAACAGAATTACCGAACCCTGCACGCTTCGAAAAAGAAGAATAAAATTGCTTAAAACGATATGCATTATCAAAATACAAAGATAATTATGCAAATATCAGAATGTAATTGGATCCGCTAGTCCAAATAATTGCGTAAGGTTAAGACAAATTGAACACAGTCCCAAAAAGGTATCCATTTGTCATTGAGTTTTCTAAGATATCTCTGATTAATACGCACTCACTATTTATAATAGCAATTTGGTCACGATTCATAAAAACACTGGCACTGAGGAAAGGATAAGATTGAGGAGAAAAGAAAAGTGAACCAAACAGACAGCCGTTCAGCCATTTGTATGTTAAAAGTCCAGAAATCATGACATAATATTCTAAATCGCAATATCCTTGAAAAACGATAATGTACATGCTCTAGCTACGATGAAGAGTAAATAGACGTAAAAAGTAAGCCTGATAATTATTTCTGGGCATTTCCATTGCTGGAAAGCAGGTAACGTCTATGTGTTTATCGAAATCGCATTTAACCTCCATTTGACATATGAAATGTTCACATTGATTTGATTCAAAATCATAGAGATCCGTGGGTCTGACAATTTATTCGGTTCACTTGAATGCTCAATTTTTATGTTTAAAGCTTCCATTATAATTCAACTTGTGCACTTCAAAAATTGCTTAAATATTCAGTCGAATTGTGGAACAAGCCATGAATGAATAAATTTTACACATTAATTCCCAAAAAGGTTGTGAAATTCGATGAGTGACAGATAATTCTGGACATCTGTTTATCGAGAAAAACTGGATCAATCAATTTAAAAATTAAATCACCACCCAGTTGAATTAACCGTTACAATATAGAGACATGGCGATCAGTCTTGAGTGATATACAAAGCCTAAATTAGCTTTGAAGAAGTCATATATTTAGACAATTTTTGAAGTCAATTTCCAAGACTGCAAAGTTGAAGATTTGTTGATCTAGTACAAAATAGATGTTCTGCAAGAAGCTTCTTTTTCTTGTCAAAGATCATTCTAACTGTATGAGCGTGATTAATAATTATGCTTATTGTCAATCTTAGTTAGTACTTTAAACCCGGAAAATTGTCAGTTTGAAGTGACCGTATCTTGATTAGATCCGTGTCAGAAGCTCGATTTCGACAAAATAACTTCGAAATCTAACTTGCGCCAAATCATGATAAAAAAAACACATCAATCAATGGCAGATAAATTTTTTTAGTCCATATAGATTTCCCTACACATTATATATCACTATAAAACAAAATAGCGCTAGCTTTATTAACCTAAAGTTTTCGATGGCTTATTATATATATTATACAACGATTTACTCTTACAAGTGTCAGTTTTGTGAAGTTTTTTTAAAGTTAGATCAATACTCGTTAGAATAATATTTTAATCGAACATGTTTTAGTTAGCTTAAGCGTAAGGAGAAGTAACTTCAAGAATAGACACATCAGTAAATGATGACAGCCGATAAAATGAACGAAGCTTGAAAAACTTCAACGTGATACTGTTTCATAAGATGGAGAGAATGTGCCGATTAATACCCTATTGGTTTTTCTAACATTTTTTATTGTTACGTTTTTGATCTAATTAATAATATATATCTTTTAATGGTCGGGTGCAAAATAATCTCTTAAATGAAAGGTCTCCACCTCTATCAATTCATGGCTTCGTCTCAAATTCCATGTTTTATTATCTATGAATATTTTTCGGAATAAATGCAGTCATTGTTACCTGCATTCTTTAATCTAAATCAATTATTCAGGAAGTTGGAACATCTGTAGTTCTAACATCCGTAAATAAACCCATAGTCGTGGCTAGTTTGTGGATGGCATAAAATCTTCGACTAATCCGAAGTACTTAAAAAGCGAAATTGGAAAAAATTTAACATTCACACACAATTTGCTAAAATGCTAATCATTTTGTCAAATATACTCATTTTGTCCATCCGTTTTATGCAATTATTTGAAGCATGTCCATGTTAAAAATAGTGAGCTGTTGATCGTAAGTCGATGTTTGGTTATAATCTAGGATGACCTTTTTATAAAACGATGAATGGGCTACAACAAAATAGTATTCTTTTTTAGTTCACAAGTACTACATTGACTTTCGTAAACATTAGCCTTTGACTTTTTATAACAATTTTTAGCTTCATGATCTTCATAGTGCGCTTTTATTTTCAAATAACATTGTGTTGACATGAACTTGAGTTAATAATTTCCCCGTGACTCAATCCCTCAGATCTCTTGTTGTGAGATTACACTGTTTCGCTGAGTTTAAAACACATAACATTTTAATCCAAGTGAACCGAATAAATTGTCAGACCCACGGATCTCTATGATTTTGAATCAAATCAATGTGAACATTTCATATGTCAAATGGAGGTTAAATGCGATTTCGATAAACACATAGACGTTACCTGCTTTCCAGCAATGGAAATGCCCAGAAATAATTATCAGGCTTACTTTTTACGTCTATTTACTCTTCATCGTAGCTAGAGCATGTACATTATCGTTTTTCAAGGATATTGCGATTTAGAATATTATGTCATGATTTCTGGACTTTTAACATACAAATGGCTGAACGGCTGTCTGTTTGGTTCACTTTTCTTTTCTCCTCAATCTTATCCTTTCCTCAGTGCCAGTGTTTTTATGAATCGTGACCAAATTGCTATTATAAATAGTGAGTGCGTATTAATCAGAGATATCTTAGAAAACTCAATGACAAATGGATACCTTTTTGGGACTGTGTTCAATTTGTCTTAACCTTACGCAATTATTTGGACTAGCGGATCCAATTACATTCTGATATTTGCATAATTATCTTTGTATTTTGATAATGCATATCGTTTTAAGCAATTTTATTCTTCTTTTTCGAAGCGTGCAGGGTTCGGTAATTCTGTTAATTAAGATACAGCCATGACGTGGATTTTGACGACTCCGGCCATTGCAACCATTACCCCTTTTCTATAAAAGTTTTTGTTTCACATCGATAACTCATCTTAGCAATTTAATTCCATCACAAAGTTTGTTAAGGCACTGTTAAGGTTCAGAGTTGTACTTGAGAAATGACTTGTACAGTAAATTTAACATCCATTATAATAATTAATTAGAATGTAATATAAAAATAGCGTGACCTTTAAAGTGTTCTGCTTGAAATCTGTCCTGGAGGTTTATCCGATAAGGCTACGAGGAGAAGGTAAAAGACGTTTACGAGACGGCGAAGAGAGAGCGTGACGATAAAAAGGGCTTGGGATTAATATTGGGTTTGTCACCTAACAGATTCAGACTAGTGACTTAAGCAATGTCAGATATTATAATTATATTAGTTATGATGTTAAGATACAGTTAAAAATTAGCGTGGCTCGTGACATCTCGTAATTAACAAGTCTGCAATTCTTTTAAGTTTTAGACTGCTGGGTTGAGGAACGGTTTGTACAGCGAATGAGCAGATGGAATAAAGTGAACATGAAGTTTTCCGACGATGACTCACTATCGATTCAGAATGAATGTCCGGCGACCAGTGACTATCCGACCACACAACCGAAAGCGTTGACGAGAAAAGTCAGCGATATGACACTTTGACAGAAGGAAAGAGAATAAGATATATATCGTATGTTCTCTTGGTATCGTTTGATGAGTTGACATCATTAGTCTCTGAAATTTGGACGACGTATATTCTTGCGCTGCCTAAACAAGAGGATCACGCAACTTGAATTCCTAGCGTATCTTGCATACAACAAGACAGCGAGCTTTCCTAGTGTATTATTGAGGAATTATTGTTTCAGCTTATTGAGTTGCGATGACTACTGAGGAGTGGTACCAGCAGATACGGGTATTGAGGCAGTTAGGGAGGGAAGAACAGGTGGAGTTTGGAATTATTGACAGCATTTTTGGTGACTGATAAGCGAAAGAAAAGTACGCCTTCAAATTACAACGCTGAACTTATAGTTAAGCGCGTCAATATCACGTCTTCCTTTCGTGGACATACCGTCGTTTGAAGGCTGAAGAGTGCTATTAGATTCTTAGATAGCTTAAATGTAGCTCTAATACACTCAGGATTATTTTTTACCATGCTTCCCCTCTCACAGTCGAAAATACCATGCTCAATGACGTATTTTTTACAGCATCATCGGTAGTACAAAGTGGGGAGATTTAGATATCATTATGTGCAGAGTACCTGTGTGAGAAGAATTCAAATGCCCTTATCATGAATAACTTAAGTAATTTGCTCTACACTCGTCCAGCTAAATTTGACATAATGCAGTGAGTGTGATTTAAGATCTAAAAATATTTGTTCCTAAAATCATAACATCTAAGATTCCAATCCAGTCTATAATACCTGTCAAACCCTATTGTTTGAAATTTCGAAATGCACTACTGGTCATAAAAATAAAGTCTCCTTGGAGCCAGCATGAAATCCTGTGGACGCTAATTGTCGGAGAACGTAAATCACGTTTATACAGCCGAAATTCTGAGCTGATTGGGTGCTACTTGTCTTCATCAGCTAGACATATTTGTTTATTTATATATGAAGCGCGTGACATCGTTCATAGTAATCCTATTTGCATTCGACTTCTCACTTACTTGGTCATTTGCAAGGTGCCTTGAGCGTATTTAGCTCAATAGATTTCTTCAAAACGCTTTAGATAGTATTAAATTAACATTCAAATCACCCTATCATATACAGAGATGAGTCTCAGATCCAGTATTTAAGGATCCAAGGGATACAACTGTTAAGCAATATTGAAACCCTTAGAAGTAATCAATTCGTGCATTTTTCTTCTGTATGCATTACTTGCATTAGTGAATGTGTGACTCAACCAGGAACGAGAAAGCGAAGGAATGATATATATTACATCAATCCGGTATATACCATTAAGAGACTACATCTATTATAATGTGCAAAGTATAAAATACAGTTAACTTTCAATCAGACCGAGTCTCTCCTTCGATCTCTTGCTAGCGCGATATAGCTCATGAAGAGCTTTCCTAACTCCATTAAAGTCACAAGCCTCTATACAGCTGTTGTAAACATTTAGTAAACGCTAGTAGCCTATAAAAATCTAACTCACGACGTATACTTGTCAATGAAAAAGCTCTGATCCGCCATACCCACATTGACCAGCTTGGATTGCTGAATAATAGCAGGTATGACGTTTTTCATCAGCGCAGCATCGAACTCTGAAAGCTGTCTTAGGAGAGTGATAACCGTACTGGTGCAGTCTTCCGGGAAGGTGTTGAGTAAACCTTGTAATAGTACTTTTGTTAAATTGGCGATATTAGTATGATTCGAGAGGGTGTTCTTGATTGTATTTTTGTCCACTTCAACGTTGTCACCACTAGTTAAGTATCCAACTAATGATCTTATGAAATCCAATGAGATCAAGATTGTGTCAACACTAAACAACGTTAATGCAGTGAGGGATAATTCGAAAATAGGCTGAATCACGCTTCCATTGATAACGAGTGCAGGTCTGAGATCAATGATCTGTAGTAATAAATGCAAATAATCTTCAACTAAGTCAGGTATTTTGGTTGCATCAGTTGATTGTAAAATTGAGAATAATTTATTAGATATTTTGTTGAACGATTGACTTATAAGCTGTTTATCGTTAGCAGCATAGTTAAAAGCCTTGGTCAGCAACCAAATATACACTGATAGAGGATTTAAGTCGAATGAATTGGTCAGTAATTCAATTAACTTTGGTATAACTGTAACGACAGCCTGCTCATCGAAGAATCTTAATCCCTTTCTAAACAATCCACAGACTCTTTCGATCAAAGTCGCTGATGACCTATTATGATGGACAATAATACTTGCGAATACGTCATACAACTCATAAAAAGTCACCTGGCATTGGATTGGTAAGGGTGCGATTGGACCTGTGAAGGCAATGTAGCATTCAATTTGCTCTATATTGATAATCAAGATCTTGATATCATCATGAGATAAAGTGCTCTTCGTGATAACCCCCTTGACATTATTCAAGTATGGTTGAGTGAACTTCTGTATGAGAGCCAACTGATCGTTCTTATCGCTGATGGACTCAATGACCAAAGAGATGGATTCGGAGATAGATCTGTGATCATCTTCTTGTAAACCAGACTGAATTAGTTGATTGTTGAACTCCAATAGTTGAGGTAAATAAGGTATCAATTGCTTGTTGCAGTCTTCGCATAAGAACTTTAAAGCTTGCGAAGAAGCAGCAGGGATGTCAACATCCTTACAACTGAGATCGAAACCTGTTGTGATAAACGACATATAGAATGGAATGTGGTCAGGCTTTAAATTGATCCACTCAGTAAACCTAGAAGCAACCAATATACCTGCATACTTGATTCTAGGATGTTGAGGAAGGTTTGGCAGCAAATTGAAGATGTTCTCTAAAATTTCATTGTCGCTCTGGTAATCGACTTTGGAGCCCATAGACCTAATTGAAAAGAGAGGCGCTTCAACTGATTGCCATTCATTTGAATTAATTGCAGTAAGAATCAAGGAATACGACCTAGACAAGCAGTAGCTTGATCCTATCACAGTGCAACAATCTTTTAAGGTGTCACCAATGTAATGCCTAAATGATCTGAAGTCATCATACTCTTGAGCAGTGATAGTGGATTCATCGAGAGGAAATTTTAAATGATTGATGAAAATGTCAAGCAAAGACGAGTAGATTGGTACGAAATGCGGCTTTAAATCACTCTTTATGTCCAGAGAATGAGCCAGCTTGTACCAGAAGTTGAAGGTGATCTGGGCTATGTCTAAATCGTGATAGGATGATGATGAAATAATGGCTTGAATGACATGGCTGAATGACGAAGGTGATGATAACATGAGCGGCAAGTAAGTTTCACCGACTTGGCAGTACAGTCTGGTGAAAAGTCTAACAGCGTCGTTATCTTCTTGGTCAATGTTGAGTGGCTTTGATAACTCTAATAAGATGACAGTGATTAGCTCGTTATTATCTTGTAGCTCTTGAGACTCATTGATAAGGACTATAAGAGTTTCAATACCAGACTCGACCAAACTTTCGTCTTGAAGTGAGTTTAAAAGGGAGGACAAAATGTTGGAATTAAGCAAAGAAGATGGAAAAATTTCGCCAGAGACTAGCCAAGATTTCAAGCAATTAAAGACTAAAGCATTGTCTGTGTTGCTATTGGCAATATACGAGTCCAAAAGCTGTAAGACTTTATTGGAGTTGTTGGTAAGGAGAGTGGATGAACGGTGAGAGAGCTGGTCGTAAGAAAGCTGAATTCTTTGATTATTGACTTCTTCAGGTAAAATGGTCAAAAAGTCAAGTAGAATGTCATTATTTGCCGAGTAGAAGGACTCAACGTAATCAGTCACGGGATCTGACCAATCAAAGTACTGAATGGCCAAATCAGCTAACGATAAATTCAAATAAGTCTTCAAAACGCGTGGATGATTAGATTTAACTAAAGAGGAAAGCAAAGTGTCTTTAAGTGAGGATAGTGATTGATATGGCAACTGGTCGAAATCGTAGATAATTTTTGATCTAAACGTCTGCACTGCGAATAGTTTTAATTCCAAAGGTAAATTATCCTCGACTAAGAGGTCGTTGGATATTTGCCATGCATCTTGCTACGCGAGTGGTTAGAAACGCAGGCCAAGCACGTGTAACTCACAGTCTGTTGAAACGATTGCAGATATTCATTGGCTAGTGATTTTTTGCTGTTATCTGCATCATAGTATAAAATATTCAACGCCTCTATAACTTGAGCCATCACAAACGAGAAACAAGAATAATGTCAAATATCAAGTTAGACGATATTCAATTTAAAAGATTTAACAAGCCATTGCCACCGAGATCTTCTCCTTTTAAATCTTTATCCTTACTTCTTGGCCTTTCTCTTTCATCGTGGGCCGTCTTCCTCACTTATTCAAACAACGCCGAGAGGCTTTCTTCTTCCGTGGTGAAAGAGCTCATTAGGCAGAGCAAATTTCATCCTCTCACCAGAGATGTACTCGGTGCACCGATAAGACCCGCTTCAGATAACTGGTTTCTGTTGGGTGGTCTCTTAGGATCAACTTGGGTTAACGGCTCAGTTTCAATGATGCAAGGCAAGGTAGATATTAGTTTGAGGCTTAAAGGGTCTTTAGATTCAGGTACCGTGTACTTTACTTCAATTAGGAACTCAAATAAAGACAAGTTCAACATTCTGAGATACAAGTTGATCGACGATAACGGTACTCATCATAATCTATTGAATCAATCATCGATACAAGACTTTGAAAGCATTGAATAGCTTTTTACTTGGCATTTACATACCCCAACTCATTCAATCCCTCTTTCACCACTTGTAACACTCTGTCCACATCTTGTCTCTTCTCATTCACTACACTTTCACCCATGTGTCCCACTCTCATGTATTGATCCTTGCAATCCTTATGCAATCCACCTGCAGCGACGACACCTCTCTTAACAATACACTTGAGTAAGTCTGCACCTTTTACACCGCTTGGATAGACAATAGTTGTCATTCCATTGGCTTGATATCCCTCATCACAGGCAAGCTGTTTCAATCCCCAGCTGTGGATAACTTTCTTGAAATTGTTTGAAACTTCCTTGTGCTTTCTGAAGCGATGTTCCAAGCTACAATGGCTATTCTCAACTATAGCCTTGAGTGTTGTGTTAAGTGCATATATCAGTTGTACTGGTGGTGTAGCAAAGTAGGCTGGTTGATTACTCTCGTATGCTCTCATTACGGGCAGCCAGCGAGACCAGTTAGCATAGTAGCTTGATGCTGGTGATTTTCTAGATTGCTGTACTTTAATAGCTCTTTCAGACGCCCAAACTAGCGATAAACCAGGTGGAGCACCGATTCCTTTCTGAGATGCGCTGACAATTACCTGTGCATTAACGTTAGAAGCAGGCCATATGTTAGCTTTCACCCACATCGATGCTCCAGTCATCGAATCTGATCAACTCCGATCCAACGCTACACACACCATCGAGTACAACTAAACAGTGAGGTTGCAATTGTTTGACGACCTTTGCAACTGTTTCAATATCACTCAAAACACCAGTAGAAGTGTCTACGTGAGTTAAAGTGACTAACTTGTATTGCTTTTGCTTTAAAGTGTCTTGCAATTGATCAATCGAGACGGATCTACCGATTTGGCACTTTAGATGATCAACGTTGCCACCATAGACACTGAGGCAATTCCCAAACTCATCGCCAAAGTAGCCTGTGTTGATGACTAAGGCGTTATCGCCTGACTCTATAAGATTGCTGCCAACTTGATCCCAACCTAGTGTACCGCTGCCGGAGACGATAAATGGCTGGGCTGAGTCGCTGTAGACCAAGCTCCTGAGCATCTTGATACAGTGCCCAAACACAGGTATAAAGTTGGGTGACACGTGGGATACTGAGGGATGGGCATTTGCGTAAAGTACCTTAGATTATTAGGATTAGATTAATGTACTTGATGGGCTAGCAGAATAACAGCGCAACCCACTTCATCGGAAACTTCTATTGGTCCTCTACATCAAGTCAGCCAACACAGGCAATGCACGTGTCACCTACGGTATAACCAGCAGCGAGTGGTCCTCTTGCTTAAACATTGGTGTAATTATATGTTGACTGATTTGGTTCAACCGCTCCACTGCGTGCCCCGTCATTCTATACTATCTCCGTTTTCCTGTCACACGCCGATAAACGGGACTCCTTCGCGACACCGTGCAAATGTCATTAAAAATTAAATAATTTACTCAAATCTGTACAGATGCAGTTTGCTATCCAATTTTATTCAATCGATACCTTTATTCTTCCTCGCCGGCGTAAGAAACATTTGCCTCAGCTGACTCGGCAATTTCATTTGTCTCATTTGTCTCATTTGTCTCACTCTTCAGCTGCTCCTCCGCATCCACTCTAGCTTTCCCTCCGATGCTCCTGTTCGTGCGCTTCCTATAAAACAACAAGTACGCTGCTCGTGTTTTCACACTGTCTTTGTCCACCTTGGACACGAACGAGTCGTCGAAATGGTAGAACTCTTTAGAATCATGGTTGCGTGCGTAAGAAGTGTAGTGTCCACCACCGAGCCCACCGCTGTTAGTCGTTAGATAGTCAATCGTATCATCAACCACTCCACCCACTAATGATTGTCGATGGCATACAGATCATACACTGCATCCTCTTCACTGTTCTCAATTCCAACGTCTGCTGGGTTGCCGCCGTTCAATCTAATCTCTTTAGCCACTTGCTTCTCCCCAATCCTGTCATCGATATTGAATTCTTCCACAGGGAAGTCAACAAGCTGATCTAATTTATCGCGATTGTATCTCGAACTTGCGAATCTTTTGAGGTGAACAACCAACACATCAGGTACTTTCCAGAGATCGAACTTCTTTGTTGCCTGTTGATGCTTTTTACATTTGGAACAATACCAAAGGTCTTCTTCACCCAGCTTCTCTTCCTTTGTGAATTCGTCCAAGCAATCCTCAATTGTTATGTTCTTGCTTGGGTTCTTCACCGTCTCTCTCGACTGCACCATCTCTGGATCTTGGATTATCTCAAATTCTTCCCACTTTTCTGAACTGAGATCATTACCGAACACCTTCTCAGCTACTTCTTGATTCCATTCCACTACAATAGCTTCGCCGAATTTTATTAATGAGATACTTTTCTGACGATCACTATCCACTGTCGAATACATTTCTTCGACGCTCTGTGAAGGAGTTGATTGTACATCACCACCTTCTTTCATCTTGGAATCACCCTCCTCATCAATTTCCTTCACATCTTCAATATGCTCAATGTGCTCGATGTTTTGAGCGGCTTGTGCTGATAAAGATGTAGATTGTAATAACTTCTCAGCGATTCCAGCCCTGACCTTGAGATCTGACTTTTTGTTACGTTCATATTGTGAGTTTCTTCCAGTGTTAACATCTGATGATCTAGAGAGGTAGCTAGAGCTGGATGGGGCTTCTAAATGTCTAAGTGTAACACTATCTCTATTGTCTTTGATCTGATTAAAGGTCCCTTTATCTACGACAAAGTGTGCATACCTCTCCATGATAGCTTGGTAAATCTTGTCGAAATTCTGTGCATCAACTATAGGCAAAGCAATCATCATAGGTTTACCAAAAACATCACCGCTTGAATAAGTCGAAGAGTTGTCTTGGAATGCTGATGAGTATACAGGACATATCACCCAATCAGTTTCAAACACTCTGTTAACTTTATCCTTTCTATCTTGTGGTATGTGTATTGGTAACTCATAAACGAAGCATATATCACCTGTTTGCATTTCACTGACCAATTCATCGTCTAAGAATGTTTTGAAAATATTTCCTTTGTACTCTTCAGCGACCCATAAGTTGGTTGATTCAACACCAGTAAGTGACGACACCTTATTCTTCAAACCTTTGAAAGATGAATTTGTAGAAAGCTCCAAGTCAATTCTTAACCTCTTTTTGTTATAATCAAATGGAATAAAGTAAACACTTCCATACCATTTTGACTTAATTGGCAGCGGTAACGTCAAATACATGAATGGATCAAAAGTTATTGAAACCCTGTCACATTCAGGACAATTGACGGTAGATTTGAATTGACCTTGGAACAAATCAACAATAATACTATCGTTCCTTTGCTTATATAAGTCCCAGCAAACTTTGCCCAATTTTGCTACATCAACGGCACTACCGCCCTCCCAGTCAGGTATCTCAGTGTATGGCTTTTTCTTAATTCTGTTGAGATCTTCATGCAAGCCATCTAGAAGAAAAGCCAGAAACTCTTGCGTATCTTGCTGACCATAGCCTGCAAATGATGGTGCAAACTTAGACAAGGTGTACTTGAATTCACGGGGTGCAACCGAGGATGAGACGCCGTACCAAAGTTTGTTAATCAATTGACCGAAGGATTCAGCTACTTGGCCTGACATACCCAGTGGATTATCTGGGTTTAACTCTTTCTCGAAAAGTCCACTCAAGAAGTAAATACTCAGCTCTGACGTGTTACTCAAGCATTGTAAGGCTGAGTTCATAAAGCAAGTGTTGCCCAAATTCTGCAATCCTACCAAACCTTTGGTTTTGACCTTTTGTTGAGATGTTTGTGAACGTGTCATCACTTTAGAGTCTTGAGAAGGATACTGCTGTTGTTGCTGCGATTCAAGTCTATCAATGAGGCCAGGTTTTCCGAATGGTTGACTCAGCATCTTTTGTTCGTAGTCGTCGTAAACCCAATTGCCTAGTTTATCACAGACTTCTAAACAGAATGTCCCACCATCTTCGAGCATTGCTTCATTTATTTTCATGTTACCGTTTGACGTTTCAATGGCCTCTCTTTCCGAGTTGGGGAGGTAGTATAATGTATCAATCTTGATTGGCGATGAGATGTTGTACGGTACGCGCCAAAGACGTGCTCTATAGGAGATATCTGATGAGTCGTTGACCATGTCAGGATAGAGCGTTGCGATTGACATGTTGAGTAGCGTTGACAGTGGTGATTCGATTGAAAGGTTAAACTTTATCTCCTGCTCGGATACAACCAACGTAGATGACGATTGCGATTGTGATTCAATAGCTATAATTCTGAATGTAGGCGGGTAAAGTTCAACTCTCTCTGAATTTGCCATTTCCGATGTCTTAACGACTACACGCTGGATGAGAGGACCATTGTAGCCAAAGCTGATAATTTTATTAACTTGTTGAATCGATATTGATATTCAAAAGCACGTACCATTCGTCCAACTTCTTGTTAACGTGTTCCGGAACCATTTCAATATGCTCACCGAGTTGTAGATTTGGTAATAAATAGCAATCATCGGTAATAATTTCAGTTGGAATTGGACCAATTTCATCAGATATCTCGCCTTTTACGCGTTTTTCTAATAGATCGAGCCAATTTTTAGGGATAACATACCAAATGTCACCTTGCTCTAGAGGATAGGACAAAGCAGTGTAAATGAGATTCCAAATTTGAGATAAATCTTGAGAAATAGAGAGATCCTGAACGTTGTCTTGGATTGAAGGAGTTGTTGGCTGCTCAATTTCAATTTGAGCGTCGTCAGCGATTTCACCTTCGCGCTCTTCTGAGTTGTTGCGCTTCGAAGGGCTCTCAGAGTGATGTACACCTTCTAAATCTCTAAAGCTGCGCTTATTCGATACCATCTCTGCGCGCGCGGATGATGATCGTTACGAAGAATTGAGCGGAGTACTCGCGTTTCTCCTAACAGTCATTTAATATGGAAGATATAAAGCAATTTTATTTTGAGGGTGAGAATTGCTGTATTCTGATTGGCCGAAGTAAATTTACATGCATTCCAGGCTCACATGAGCAAGTTATCGACTCAGTTGATAGTTCAGCACTGGACACGCTCCAAGATCGCATTAATCTCATTTACTCTGTGAGATCTCATATCGCTCTTCAGAAAACTTTGCCATATATCCACCCTGAAGCCATTGAATCACACATAGAATTGCGGGTTTTGGACGCATATACCAACTACATCACCGCTAAAGAACAGACAGAATCTTTGGATATCCTCAGGGACTGCTTGATAGAGCTTGAGTCTGAGGAGCATCCGTTTAAAGGTCTTCTCAGTGTTTTGGCTGCCTCAGTCTTCTGGCAGGGTGGTGAAATCGAAGAGGCGCTCTCAACTTTAGGCGCAGGCCAAGGTGTAAAAGATGTAGAATGCGTAGCTCTTCTTATACAGATCTATATCACCATGAACAGACTCGATTTGGCGAAGAACGAGTACCAGCACGCTCGTACATGGGCTGATGATAATTACCTCATTCAGCTGTCTGAAGCTTGGTTGGGCCTTGCTGGTGCATCCACATCCGCGAATATTGGTTATGAACATGCTTACTACATTCTCGAAGAACTCCCAGATAGAGAGAAGCCATACAATAAATTACTCAGAGCGATAGCTCACGCAGCACTCAGTCACTTTGATGAGGCGCAGGTTGAGCTTGACGCTCTCAGTCTAGATGACGAAAACACGCTGACTAACACCATTGTCATTTCCACACACTTGAACAAAGATACCAAGACGCTGATTGATAAACTGCGCTCTATTAACTCAAACAACCCTCTTATAAAAGGATTAGATGCAAAGAGCAACGAATTTGACAGTCTATCAAAGCAATTTATGTAAAAGCATCACCAATGACTCAAAAATTTTCATGAATTCAGTTTCTAAAGATTAAAATAGTTTACGCGATACCAGCGGCCTTAGCTGATTTGAGAATAGCAGCACCAATTTCACCTGGGGACTCAACAACAACTGCACCTGCGTTTCTGAGAGCGTTAATCTTAGTCTCAGCCTTACCGACACCACCACCAGAGATGACAGCACCAGCGTGACCCATTCTACGGCCAGGTGGAGCTGAAACACCAGCGATGAAACCGACAATTGGCTTGTTGTGAATATTGTTTTGCTTGATGTATTCTGCAGCTTCTTCTTCAGATGAACCACCAATCTCACCAATCAAAACGACAGCCTCAGTCTTTGGATCGTGAAGCAAGAGTTTAAGGGCATCGACGTGGGTGGTACCTGGGAAAGGATCACCACCAATACCCAAACAGATAGATTGACCCAAACCGACTTCAGAGGTTTGTTGGACAGCTTCATAAGTGAGAGTACCAGATCTAGACACGATACCGACCTTTCCTGGTGAGTGGATGTACCCAGGCATGATACCAATCTTGCAGCCGTCAGGATTTATGACACCAGGGCAGTTTGGACCAAGAAGACGAGATTTAGTTTGTTGGCGGAGTACGTGAGCAACCTTGATTTCATCAGCTTGAGGGATACCTTCAGTAATAGCGACGATCAAGCCGATTTCATTCTCGATGGCTTCGATTATAGCATTGGCAGCGAAAGGAGGAGGAACGTAGAGGACGGTAGCATCAGGTTTAGCTTCACGGGCAGCTTCCTTGACAGATCCGAAGACAGGTAAACCCAAGTGCTCAGTGCCTGCCTTTGAAGGACTGACACCGCCAACCATGTTGGTACCGTACGAAATGGCTTCTCTGCAGTGGAAGGTAGCAGTTTTACCTGTGAATCCTTGACAGAGAACTCTAGTGTCCTTATTTACAGCGAGGTTTGGGATGGATTGGTCGTAGAGGTTGTTCGTGCGTCTAGCAGAGGTGCTAAGAGAGCGGCGACCTTTAAGAATGTCAGCGTATGCTTAAAAAGCCTGTTAATCCACTCACCGACGCTGTTTACAAGATTTTTAAACATGATCGTTTTGGTGTAAGCGTCTATAGGAGCGGATGGGTTCACTTGCCGTGATTAACCGCAAATTTAACGAGCAGCGTGAGAGTGGATGTACAATAATTTGCACCAAGCCAAATAGCGCTATTTGTACTTGAATATACAGCGCTGTGCCTTGTGTACTGTGTGCCCATCAACAATTCGTATAAACCGTATAAATGGGTTTGAGTATGAGCAAATACTACGCCAATCAAATATCGCTTGCAACTGTATCCCCCACATTCCCCTCGTACCTTCTCACGAATACCATCGCTTTTGAACATTTACACCCAGGATGGCCGAAAACGAGACGAACGCCAACGACGGCAAAGTAAATCTCAAAGTCGCTTACAGCCAGGGTATGTCTATAAGATATTCAAATACGCGCATATTCTTATTCCACTCTTCTTCTCCCAGGCGGTAGTGAAGATGAAATACAATTCTCGGTAAAGCCAACAACAAAGCTTGGTAAAATATTTGCTGCTTTCTGCCAAAGAACTGGTCAAGATCAATGTGCGTTTCCTTTGCCCTTTTGCACCTCCTCTCACTCCACCACAGCCACTGTTAGATTCACATTCAACGGCGACAGATTGGATCCAGACGATACCGTCAAGCAATATGAAATGGAAGACGACGACCAATTACAGGCCCACGTCTCCCAAATTGGCGGCCTTTAAATTCCTCACACCATCGATGTCCTCACGCCTAGTGAAAAGTTTCACCGAACGATTGAAGCATTGTGTATAATTAATAAATCTACCATTCCAGCACTCGCCGCTGTACATAAATTGTCCTATTTATCATTTTCCTTGTATGTCTGCTAGCAGCGCAACATAAACTTAAAGTTGTGCACATAAATTCATTCAAGTCGTGCGGTGGTGCTTAATTAGCACAATCATAAATACGCCTCTACATCGCGACGCGTCATCAGATATTTCAACCGTGATTGTGTTGTAAAGTAATAAGTTATGACAAAAAAATACAAAATCAATCCTTCTACGCCTGTAAACTAGTCCAGTATGCATCTTGACTTGGGATCGACGATAGCCCAGTCGTATAAGCCAACTCAATCCCCCTATCGTGTATATAGTGATCGCTGATTCTGGTCCATGGTCCAGGTATACTGCCCTTGGTTGCATGGTGCGCCTCATAGAAGAGCTTTATCCCAGGCGCAATCGATGACTTGCTCTCGTTGGACGTATCCATAATCATCACAGCTTGAACTACATCGAGTATCACCTGGCGCACTCGTCAGAGGTTTAAAGCTGTTAGAGGAAAACTCACCTCCGTTAGTCCGATATTATGATTGTTGGTCTCCCAAAGTAATCTTGGTAGGTTGTTGAACCAACCTGTCAACATCTTATCCTGCTCTGAGTTGTTGATCAATTTGAATTGCCCCTTATAATCCATTTCATATTGAGTCAGATAGACCCTGGCGATAAATTCCACAGACAACAACTTAGTCTCGGATTTAATACCCGCTTGAGTGCAGTGGGTGAGTAATGCTTCTAGAATTAATTTCGAAGCGTCGACTGAGTTTGGAAGATTCAATAAAGCCCAGAATGATGATACAAGACACCTGTATGTGTCCGCAGTCACTGTTAATCCCATTGGTTGAGCAGCTGTTGTCATCTAGAGGATCATCAGCAAGAGATGATAGATAAGAGAAAAACTGACGTTTCCACTTAACATACTGCTAAGCCACTCGCAAACATTATTCATCTGTACTTGAATGTTTTTGTCTAATTTTTGCTCACGCTTGCTAGCACCACTCGAAACTCCCTCTCTGGATGACTGCGACAACAACAAAGACGAGACTAATTCGCAGTATAGAACATTCAGCTGGAGCATGTACTGATCGACTTCCATTGCTTGCTTTTGAAGGAAGTCACCGCCAAATGGGAAGTACTTTGACATGTGAGTGAGAATTATACTCAACTCCTTCTCTATTATGTGTCTTTCTGAACAATTACGTAGCAAGTAGCCGTAAGTTTCCCTACATATTTCCACTACAGCCGTTATTGACTCCAGGTGGATCGAATCCGGGGGTGTATTGGACATGGTAAAGACCGAGGGTGCCGATTCAAGAAATACCGAGACGATGACACTAAATAATGACTGAGTCAATGACTATATTATCGTCAGCTACCTATATGTCACTATATGAGACTTACCAAGACGTCAGCTTCAGCTGGTGTGAAATTCGAAGCTGATTGGGTGGATTCGAGCAACCCAATAGCATTGTTGAGCTCATCGGACGTCAAGCTACCACCAGCTTCCATAATTTCAGACTTGTAACCGCTCATACATCCTTTCCAGGCATCATGACTACTATGCCATTGTACAGTTTCTTTACCAGTATCACAGTAAGCAGATCTCCGTATACGTTTAACAAAAACGTCGAAAGCCGGCTGAGAAGCAAAAGCGGATGCAAATGGCCAAAGAGGTAGTTTGTCTGAGGCGTCGTTGGAAGAGAGGGCGGTCTTGAGGAACTTTGAGAGTGACTTGAGAACAACCAATCTAGACTGATGGTGTGTTAGAGTTGTATGTATCGAATGAAATAGCTCACCTTGACACTAAGCGTGAACATAGCATTGGCGGTAGTGGTGACGGTTGAGCCAGCAGCAGGACCCTTATCGTCGCCCTTTGCGCTAAGCAAAGCCAAGTAGCATTCAATAATCTGCCTGCCGCCTATAGACGTAGGATTGGTGGAAGAAGAAGCAACTGCCCAGCCATTTATGACGAATTGGGGAATGAAATCGATGAGAATGTCAAGGAACTTAATGCTGTCCAATCTAACCTCTGGGAAAATGTGAGAGAGACCAGAAGCAGTGAATAAAAGAAGGATAGAGGAGTAAGGGGTCCAACTTGGCTTAGGGATTCTAGGAAACAAATCTGAAGCCAGGGAATGGAGAGCTCTACGAACGGCAGCATCTTCATCAACGATAAGCTTAGTGATACCATCGAATATAGATGTTAGATTTGGGTTTATTGTGCTTGGGTAGCTTGTTATCAATTCGCGAAGACCCAAAACGCCGTCTGGTGGGAGTTGGTAAATGGATTATTGGCTAAAGGATAGAAAGCCCACCTCTTCTCATATTTGGAGAATAATGCTTCAAATGAACCAACAAGTCTTTCAACGTTAAATTACGCTTTGTGTGTGGTTCATTCTCATCAACGTCCTTGAGAATACTCTGTCCAGGCAAAGCAACGGCTAATGTGGGTTAGATACACACACTATCAGTACACCCAACTGACATCTTGCTTTAAATGAAGTATTCGTCGAATTCGTTGCCGCCTGCTTCCCTTTACCAAGCTTTGTTTTCTGCTTCTATTTTACTTGTTAAATTATTCAAAATCTCAGGCAATCACAAACTCTGAAATCTGGCGCCTGCTTTGGCATCTTGGTGGTTAACACTCAACCATCATCTCCCACGCGTATACCCAATTCTCATTTATCAAAATATGAATTCGACTCAGCCACAGAGGTTAGCTTTTTATTCATTCTGGCCAATCAAATCTCATTTTCCCCTAGAGATGCTCTATCTGGTACTGCCCATGTAGAGCTGCTCGGCAAGTCACTCAATATAAATCAGCGCATGGGCGTTTTTGGTGGGTTTTATCGGTTCATATGGCAATTCTAATTTCAATTTCAGTTACCAGCAATCCCGGTGAGCCACTCTCCATTGCATTCCTCTCCTCTCTAACCGCGTACAGGTTACGCCGGTCGCAGTAATTTACCAGACAATCTCAAGAAATTATTCAGATCTCAGGCTATGACTCACCCTGATAGAGAATCTATCGCCCAAGTCATGCTTTTCTCGCAAGGTTTCAGATCCGCCGAAAAGCTCGCCTCTAAGATTGTCCCCTTTTTCGTTCTCTGCGCCGAGCAGCTCTCTCCTCAGCCTCACTATGATTTTGGCCTTCGTGCTCTCAAGGCTGTCCTCATTTCCGCCGGTAATCTCAAGCGTGATCGTATCTTATCCTCTGTTGACACCCCCAACCAAGGCGAGAACAGCCTTATCGAACAAGAAATACTTATTCAAAGCGTTACTGAAACTATCGTCCCAAAACTCGTCGCTGAGGATGTCCCCTTACTCACTAACCTCTTATCAGACGTTTTTCCAGGTGTTGAATACGTACCCGTCGATTTGTCTGCTTTGAAAGAAAAAATTGCTCTTGTTTGCTCCGAGAGGAAGCTCGTTAAAGGTGACTTATGGCTCACCAAGGTTTTGCAACTTTACCAGATTCAACGCATTCAGCACGGTTTGATGATGGTTGGTCCCGCTGGTACTGGTAAAACTCAAGCTTGGCAGGTATTATCTCAAGCTTTAGAAAGACTTGACGGCGTTGAAAGCGTTTCTTACGTCATTGATCCCAAAGCAATGTCCAAAGAAGCGCTTTACGGTACCCTTGATCAAACCACACGTGAATGGAACGACGGCCTTTTCACCCATATCTTGCGCAAAATCGTCGATAATGTTCGCGGTGAAAGCTCAAAAAGACATTGGATCATCTTTGATGGTGATGTTGATCCTGAATGGGTTGAGAACCTCAACAGTGTTCTCGATGACAACAAGCTTCTCACTCTCCCCAACGGTGAGCGTCTCAATCTGCCATCCAACGTTAAGATTATGTTTGAAGTCGAGCATCTAAAGTATGCAACTCCTGCAACTGTCAGTAGATGTGGTATGATTTGGTTTAGCGGTGATGCTGTCACACAGGAAATGTACTGTACAAACTATCTTGATACCCTTGCAAACATGCCTCTCGATGGTGATGAAGAGACTGGCATCGATATGACAGTGCGGCGTGGCGAGGTTATTTCAAACAAAAACCACCAGACTTCTCCTTCACTTCAACTTCAAAGAAATGTGGTGGACATTCTCAAGCCTTCTTTTCAGCCAGGCATGATAGTAGACAGTGCACTAAAACATGCTGCTACTTACGAGCACATAATGGACTTCACCTTCATGCGCGCACTCACTACGCTCTTCTCACTTATCAATAAATCTATAAGAAATGTTATTGATCACAATCTCCAACATTCAGATTTCCCCCTTTCAATTCAACACGTTGAGCAATACATCAACAAGCGCCTTTTAGTAGCTATTGTTTGGGCTTTTACAGGCGACACAAAATTAGACCTCCGTCTTGAAATGGGTGACTATTTACGGGGTCTCACGACAATTGAGTTACCAATAATTGGTGATGGTATGTCCTTAATAGACTTCGATGTAAACGTGGCTACTTCAGACTGGTTCAATTGGACAGAGAAAGTTCCTACAATCGAACTAGAGACTCATGCTGTTACTGTTGCTGATGTGGTCGTTCCTACCGTTGATACGATCAGACATGAGGAGGTTCTCTATTCTTGGCTGTCTGAACACAAACCTCTGATGCTCTGTGGGCCACCAGGATCTGGTAAAGTAAGTATTTTCACCTATGTCAAGATTTATACTAATGTTCAATTTAGACAATGACACTCTTCTCTGCATTACGTAAATTACCAGATATGGAAATTGTTGGACTTAACTTCTCATCTGCTACCACGCCAGAGCTCATTTTGAAAACATTCGAACAATACTGTGAACTTCGTAAAACACCAAATGGAAATGTATTGGCTCCATCTCAAATCGGTCGTTGGTTGGTGGTTTTCTGTGATGAGATCAATTTGCCGGCCTTAGACAAGTATGGTACACAAAAGGTTATCTCTTTCCTGCGTCAATTAGTGGAATCGAACGGTTACTGGCGCACATCTGATATGACATGGGTGCAGCTGGAACGAATTCAATTTGTTGGTGCATGTAACCCACCTACTGATCCTGGACGTGTTCCACTGACCCAAAGATTCCTTAGACACGCACCACTTGTCATGGTCGACTATCCCGGTGAAATATCTCTCAACCAAATTTACGGCACATTTAATCGCGCTTTACTCAAGTCGGTCCCTCAATTGCGCGGCTATGCTGAGGCTTTGACTGGTGCAATGGTTGAACTTTATCTTGAGTCACAGAGAAGGTTTACGGCTGATATTCAAGCTCACTATATCTATTCACCACGTGAATTGACTCGTTGGGCTAGAGGCATCTTTGATGCGATAAAACCATTAGATACGCTTACAGTTGAAGGTCTTGTCAGAATATGGGCACATGAGGCTCTTCGTCTCTTCCAAGACAGGCTTGTTGGCGCAGATGAGAGAAAGTGGACAGATGAACGCGTTGATTCTATTGCTTTAAAGCACTTCCAGAATATCGAGAGCGAAAGTGCGCTTTCCAGGCCAATTCTTTTCTCCAATTGGTTGTCTAAGAATTACGTCTCTGTTGATCGTGAGGAATTGAGAGAATTCGTTAAGTCCCGTTTACACATATTCGAAGAGGAAGAGCTTGATGTTCAGCTTGTTTTGTTCGACGATGTTCTTGACAATGTCTTACGTATTGATAAAGTTCTCCGACAAGTACAAGGTCATGCTTTATTGATTGGTGTCAGTGGTAGTGGCAAAACAACGCTTTCACGCTTTGTCGCTTGGATGAATGGTCTCAGTATTTTCCAAATCAAAGTTTCGAATAGCTATACAGGTGAAGATTTCGACGAAGACCTCAAAACAGTACTGCGCAGAGCAGGCACGAAAGATGAGAAAATTTGCTTCATTATGGACGAATCAAATGTTCTTGACTCAGGCTTTTTGGAGCGTATGAATACCTTGCTCGCCAATGCCGAGGTTCCAGGATTGTTTGAAGGAGATGAGCATTCTTCACTTATGACAGCTTGTAAAGAAGGGGCAGCCAGAAACGGCATGATGTTAGACTCGCACGACGAATTATACAGGTGGTTCACTAGTCAAGTCTCAAGAAACTTACATGTTGTTTTCACCATGAATCCACCAGAAAATGGCTTGGCTTCAAGAGCTGCTACGTCCCCTGCACTTTTCAACCGCTGTGTTGTTACATGGATGGGTGATTGGGCACCTGCCTCCCTTGCAACCGTAGCTTCCGAGCTTACTGATCCTCTTGATGTGAGTACTTCCTAATTGGTTTGCGTTTCTAACCCTTGCATAGATCGATACGCGTGTTTACAACCCGCCTGCTCCATTTCCCACTGCTCATCATACTCTTCAAGCAGATCTTACTTACAGAGGTGCCGTTGTAAACGCCTTCGTTTACGTGCACCTATCTTTACATGAGATCAGCAAGCGCTTGAGTAAACGACAAGGTCGTTATAAGTGAGTGTCTTTCACGTTTTGAGATTATTGCTCATGTGATTCAGCTATGTCACTCCTCGACACTACTTGGATTTTATTGACCAATACGTTAAGTTGTTCAATGAAAAGCGTAATGAACTGGAAGAGCAACAGCGTCATTTGAATGTTGGTTTAGATAAACTACGCGATACGGTAGTTCAAGTTGATGAACTTCAAAAAAGCTTAGCCGTAAAAGACACTCAATTGAAAGCCAAAGTTGCCGAGGGAGATGAAAAATTAGCCAAAATGCTTGAAGAGCAGAAACAGGCCGAGAGCAACAAAGCTACCTCAATCCAAATTCAAAGTCAGCTTCAAGAACAGAACAAAAACATAGCGCAGAGGAAAGAGGTTGTTATGACTGATCTTGCTGATGCTGAACCAGCTGTTAAAAGTGCACAGGAGTCCGTTAGTAATATCAAGAAGCAACATCTCACAGAAGTCAGATCTATGGGTAACCCTCCAGAAGGTGTCAAGCTCGCTATGGAATCCGTTTGCACCGTACTGGGACATAAACTTGATGGTTGGAAGACCGTTCAGGGTATCATCAGAAGAGATGATTTTATCCATTCAATCGTTAACTTCGACACTACCAAGCAAATGTCTAAGAGCCTCAGCGATCGTATTAAAAATGAGTTCATGTCGAGACCTAAGTACAACTTCGAAGACATTAATCGTGCATCGAAAGCATGTGGACCTTTAGTTAAATGGGTTATTGCTCAAGTACACTTTGCGGAGATACTCGACAGGGTCGGTCCACTTAGGAACGAGGTGCACTATCTCGAAGAAAAGAGTTTGCACACACAGAAGCAAGCCAGCACTATAATTGACATGATCAAAGAGCTCGAAGACAGCATAGGAAAGTACAAGGACGAGTATGCAGGCCTAATTTCGGAACAGCAAGCTATTAAGAGTGAGACTGAGCGCGTACAGAAAAAAGTCGAAAGAAGTAAAACATTGTTGAGTTCACTTTCAGCCGAGCAAGATCGTTGGGAGACAAGCTCAAAGACATTCGAGTCTCAAATGAGTACGATTGTTGGAGACGTACTTCTATCAGCTGCTTTCCTCGCATATGCTGGCTTCTTTGACCAACAGTACAGAGAAGCAATGTGGAATGGCTGGGTTACATATATGAATGATGCTGGTATTAAATTCAAACAGGAGCTCTCGTTCGCCGACTATCTCTCGACTGCCGATGACAGACTTAGCTGGCAATCTAAATCTCTTCCAGCAGATACTCTCTGTACAGAGAATGCCATCATGATGAGTCGTTTTAACAGGTTCCCACTCATCATTGATCCATCTGGTCAAGCATCTAATTTCCTTATCAACGAGTATAAAGGTTCGAACAGAAAATTGAGTGTGACCAGCTTTTCGGACAACTCATTCCTAAAGCAGCTGGAATCAGCAATGAGATTCGGTAATCCAATACTCGTTCAGGATGTAGAGTTTTTGGATCCGATCATTAACCCAATATTAAACAAGGAGATTCGAAGAAGTGGTGGTCGTGTACTTATTCGTGTTGGTAATCAAGACATCGACTACTCGCCTGCCTTCAACATGTTCCTAATGACACGTGATCCAAGTGTCGAATTCAGTCCAGATGTTTGCAGTAGAGTAACGTTCGTAAACTTTACCATGACGAGAAGCTCTCTCCAATCTCAATCTCTAGACCAAGTGCTCAAATCAGAAAGACCAGACGTAGATGCAAAGAGAACAAATCTTCTCAAACTACAGGGCGAGTTCAGACTGCGGTTGCACTTCTTGGAAAAAGGTCTGCTACAGGCGCTGAATGAGTCAACTGGTAACATTCTTGATGATGACAAAGTCATTGAAACTCTCGAAACACTGAAGAAAGAGGCTGCTGATGTTACGGTTCAAGTTGAGGATACTGATACAACTATGGCGGAGGTAGATCATGTGACTTCTGAGTACCAGCCGCTTGCATCTGCTTGCTCATCTGTGTTCTTTGTTATGGATCAATTGAATCTCATCAACCACTTTTATCAATTTTCTTTGAGGTTCTTTTCAGATATTTTTGATTTCATCATACGTCAAAATCCTCATTTGAGCGGAATTACAGACCATAAAGAGAGACTAGACGTCCTCACTAATGACCTCTTTCTGGTCACATTTCAACGCACCTCTAGATCGTTGTTACACGTTGACCATGCTATGTTAGCAGTCTTACTTGCTCAAGTTAAGTTAAGAACTTTAGCCGGAGCCTACGATGAGGATGAGTTCGATTTTCTTATTGAAGGTGGCGACTCTTTAGCTGGCAAGACTTCGGCCGCAAATGAGTTCGAGAGCGTCTTCAATGATGAGCAGGCTGCGAAAATAGAGTTACTTACTACTCGCATACCATCATTAACTGACTTGAAGGCCGATATCAGGAACAATTTGAAAGAATGGGAGAGTTTCCTTGAAGCCAATCAACCCGAACTTAAGACACCTCTCGTTCATAGTGAAGGTTTGCCAGGTAGGTCAGCAGTCTGCTCAAAGATGATCATTGACAATAATTGACAGCACCAATTCGTGAAGTGAGGGATCTGCTCATTATAAAGTGTCTCCGTCCAGACAGAATTATACAAGCAACGTCACTCTTTGTCAATAGTGTCTTCCACTCCGACTTAGCTAACTTGGCATCGTACAACTTCCAGAATCTGGTCCAAAAAGAGGTTGGACCCCAAACTCCGGTTGCACTATGCTCCGTACCCGGTTATGATGCATCTTATCGAGTGGATAACCTTGTCAGCGGTTTGGGTATCAAGTGTACATCAGTAGCGATGGGTTCGCCAGAGGGTTTTAAGCAGGCAGAGCAAGCAATATCTCAATCGTCTAGAGCTGGTCACTGGGTGTTGCTAAAAAATGTACATTTAGCTCCTGGATGGCTCACTCAAGTCGAGAAAAAACTCCAAACGCTCAACCCTACGCCAAACTTTAGGCTTTTCTTGACTATGGAGACAAACCCACTGGTACCTATCAATATACTCCGTCAGTCGAGGATTGTTATGAATGAACCCCCTCCCGGTATTAGAGCAAACATCTTAGAGACACTGAGAAATATACCATCTCTGAGTATACAGAACGGACCAGTTGAAAAGATGAGACTGTACTTTTTACTAGCATGGTTCCATGCAGTGATTCAGGAGCGACTAAGATACTGTCCTCTTGGTTGGAGTAAATTGTATGAGTTCAATGACTCAGACCAGGCTAGTGCTCTGAAAATGATAGACACTTGGACCAACAGAGTGGCCAAAGGAAGGTCAAACGTAGATCCTAACACCTTCCCGTGGGAGGCGATCAGAACTTTGTTAAAAGAATCTGTCTATGGTGGGAGAATTGATAGAGAATTTGATCAGGAGCTACTCAACACGTTTGTTGACAAGATATTCACGCCTGAAGCATATGAGCTTGATTTCCAACTTGCACCAGCGGTAGACGGTCAACCCGATTTAGTTATACCTGAAGGAACTAAATTGGAACAATTTATAAGGTGGGCTGAAAGATTGCCAGAAAGAGAGCCAATCACCTGGCTCAACTTGCCAATCACAGCTGAGAAAGTAATTGCTATTGCTCATGGCACTGCTCTATTTGGGAAGTTACGTAAGATGAAGAGTTTGTCCGATGATGATGAAACTGTTATTGTTAGTACAAGTGAAGAGAGTACTCAACAGCCCGTCTGGATGCGTAATTTGATGACTAAGTGCCAAGAGTGGTTGGGTTTGTTGCCAAGTGTGAGTACTTGTCAATTAATTTTGGAAATGCTAACAAGAGCTCAGGAAATCGCACAATTTGATTCTGACGCTTCACGAGCACAAGACCCAATTTTCAGATTCTTTAAGAGGGAGTCAGATCTCGGTAGAAAGCTTTACAGTGCTGTTAGAGGCGATCTTGAAGACTTGACTGGTGTTTGTAAAGGTGAACTCAAGCAGACTAATCACCTTCGCACTCTTATGAGTGACCTGACTAAGGGTGAGTTTTATTGATGGTGATTTTGTCATTAGCTAATCACCAAACTAGGCACTGTGCCAAGTAATTGGAAAGCCTATAAAGTTCCTAGCAGTTGGACTATTACACAATGGCTGCCTGATTTCGCGTTACGTTTACAGCAAATTCAAAGGTTATCCAACGAGCAAAACTCACTTTCACAATCAACGATTTGGTTCGGTGGTCTTTTCTTCCCAGGCTCATTCCTTACCGCGACACGTCAAGACAGTGCGCACAGAACGCGAGTCTCTTTAGAAGAGCTGCATTTAGAGCTGTATATCAATGACACAAACAAGGGCGGATTTGCAGTTGAAGGACTATACCTTGAGGGTGCTGTTTACGTGGATGATAAACTTTGCGCGACTAATATTGATCCTGTGAGATTGCGTACGTGCAAGCTGAAGTGGACAGCAATACAGAATCAAGTGCTACAAAATCCCGTTACCATACCTGTATACCTCAACCACAAAGACAGAGAGGTGGTGTTGTTCAGTGTAAAACTGAGCGCTGAAGATACTTTGTCTCAAGCAAAAGCTACTCAACGGTCGATATGTTTGACAGCAAGTGTGTAGAGTGTTGGGCTCAGTTGTTTGCTAGGTATGAAAGCGATAGAAGAGGAAGTCATGCAACCGAATGTTTTTATTTAAACTAGTTTGATTCAATTCTGATACATCATATTTATACGCACTAGAAATAATTATGCTCGTGTTTTAACAGAAACGTATCTTGCAGATTTCAACAGCAAAGCGCGATAGTATCTGAACGCACCCAAGATCAAACTTAAAAAACATGATCATATTTTGGTAACGCCTTTCTCATCTAAAAAATACTCAATAACCTACAAAGCAACCAGATGAGTGAAGACTCGAACTTGCTTTAAGCGTCTCGTGCTTATTAAATTGTAGCGCTATTAATCATCAATCTGGATTCCCCCTGGCTTGCATCAATGATGTCACCGGTGTCGTATATCAGTGCGGTTTCGTGGAGATTCGGGCCATGCTAATACTGAATAAGAGCCCAACCTTTCAAATAGTCACTTTGCTTGAATAGACATTTCTTCCCATGCGCGTTTGTTGAATGGGCTGTAATTTTAAGGTGAGTAAGAAAAAAGACTTGAGCGGCTTCAAGACGGTTAAAGACGGTTTGAAGCGTAATAGTGTAACTGATTTCATCTGAATAAACACATTTAAAGTCCATATGCTTCATAACTTCTCATTAATCTCACTTTACAGTATTACAATTGATCGTCGCAGAGCAGCAATAGCTCAAATACGGTCAATTACTCGCAAACTCAAAACGGGACAACTACTAAGTCATATATATGCATAAATTACTCGAGAAAGCTAGTTGTTCCCCTAAATATCAGAACATCGCAAAGTAAAGCATGTCATCTCCGAATCGAGAATGGCCTGCTCAATGACGTGTTGGTGATAGCACTGTGAGTAATGGAAGCTTGATAAAGTTTGTTAGAATTCTGGAGCTATCAATTTTGCGATCAATTCGAGATTGAGTTTATCGTACATATCATACCGATGTCTTTTATACTAATCCAGCTAGATATGGCATGTTTCAGGGAGGATAACCTGGTCTAAAAATTATGAATTATACTCTTATGCCTTCTGCAATTCCAACGCAGCCTTAATCGCCTTCACATTTCCATGATTTAAAATCTTGAAATCCACCTGGTGAAGCTAAAAGTCGTGATTTCAGAGTTGGGCTGACCCTCCCTTTTTTCTTTTAATAAATTCCGTATAATTGGCTTGCAATGATCCGAGATGATATTGAAATTACTTTTCCCCCGAAGCCAGCATTAAGCTCGGTGGAAGCTAATCTTTGTAAAAGTAAATCGCGCTCATAGAGCCGAATAATTCAAATTTTTGGATGCTTGAGGTCTCAAAACGCCAGTTTAACTTGTATTTATCGATGAAGCACGTATAATCTTCCATGTATATCCTACAGCGTGCTCCAGAGCGATGTCGGATTACAACTTCCGAACAGCCTAAAGGGCACAATTGAAGGCTCAGGGATATAATTCTGCAAATTCTTGTTAAGCTCAACCAGCGCTATTCATGAAGCTTTTTTATTCGGAGATCATCAAAACTCGTAAATCAGCCATCTGAGATAAGATAGGGGTCGAGAAATGCAACTCGGTGGATGTTGAGCGTAGGGCTGATACGGGAATAAATCTAGCATGCTGAATATAATAGAACAAAATCTTGGTATCGCTAAGTTGCTCAAATTGTCAGTGTACGGTTTCTCTGTGTTCTTTTTCCCATTTACTTGGTCATTTGCATGGTGCCTCGAGCATACTTAATTTGCGAGAGTTCCTAGTAATGTTTATAGTTTCCAAACATATCATATTGCACCTTCAAATTCTTCTGCCGTCCCAAAAACTCCTCCAGACTTTGTCATTGATTGTCGCAGATTGTATTGATGTGGGTCGCGGCAGAGTATATATCTATCAAAATATGTGCAAGTATTTAAATGTTTATAATATCAAACGATAAGTTTTCAATGCTATTAATTCTGTGATTGAGTGGAGAGCACAAACAAGAAGACCTGTTATAGGCAAAGTGAATCATTACCTAAAGCGGCGAAACAGGTAAGATATGATTCCAATCAAGACTTGTGAATCTCGACCGGGCTCTTTTCCAGGTTTTACATTTGGATATAATCGAAAGTCATGAATGCACGACCTGAGATGACATCTGTGGCTTGAGGGAGAAATCAAGTCATTAGAACTTAAGGAGATGGGAGTATATTTGGAATACTGAAAATACTAAGAGACCGTTGGTTTTAAGAATGCGACTTAAACGTGCTCACTTCTCACTTGTAGTTCATTTGTGGGGTGATCTGAGCATTTATAAATTACTGGAGCGACAGCTATAACCTATTGTATTAATGTCATTACACCTCCAAGCCCTTCTGCCAACTCATAAGTAAACCTGAATCGCAGGTTGGGCTTTGAAGGTCGTAACCGGAGAAACACCTGCCAGAATATATTTGAGAATTCAGTGTATCAGAATTGTATGTCAAGCTGCTCTACGTATTCATCTTGCTGGTAATTTGTGGCAGAGCAGAACGAAGAAGACAGCTCAAGGCAGGAACCGATGAAAAAGACAGCAAATTAGGGTAAAATTAATAGCGTCTGCTTGCAGAATCGCTTTCTGTTTGTCTTAATTTTCCAAGTGCGAGTCTGATAATCTCAATCCACCCATTCCACCCATTCCACCATCAATGGACGTTTTCAAAAGGTTTCAACAGCGGATCCACGAGAATATTGCTGAGTCTACGAGGTGATTATATAGCAAGTCAAAGCGCATCAAAGCTCATTACCAACAGAGATTTCGATTTCGGCTCAACCGTTCGCATAGCAGATGCACCCAACGATAAGCTCTCAGACATAATCCCAAAGCTTTCATCAAAAGAAGAGCACGAAATCAAGCATGCTTTGAAGCGTGTCTTGGTCCTTTTATCTCACAATAGGGATTTGTCTTCCTTGTTTCCGTCAATTGTCAAGCTGGTATCTTCAAGGGATCTGCACATAAAGATATTGGCGTACGTTTATCTGACGAGATATGCCCGACTATGTCCAGATCTTGCGATGCTCAGTGTTAATTCATTCCAAAAAGACTCAAGTCATCAGTCACCCCTAGTGAGAGCTCAGTCGATAAGAGTTTTATCGAGTATAAGCTCCGAGGAAGTTGCGCCTATTTGCATGCTATGTGTCAAGCGTGCTGCAACTGATTCCAATCCTTACGTCCGCAAAGCAGCTGCGCTGGCAATAGCCAAGTGTTACGAGTAAGGATCTTCACAAGATGTATCTTTGAAATACTCATAAATCACAGACTGGATGACTCTTCATACGATGAGCAGAAAGAATTGTCTTTGAAGCTGATGAGATGTGCATCGTCGATCCCGATCGGTGCCGCTGCTTACGCTTTTATCAAAATACACCCCGATATTGATGATCTCAACGATAACTTATCGGCATTACATTCATTGTTTAGGCACTTGGTCAGACAGCTAGTGGACTGCGAAGAATGGTCTCAATTAATCGTTTTGGATTTGCTGGCCAGATACAGCAGAGTGTTTTTGCCTCGACCATTAGAGGAGGATTCTGTAGACAAAGATATGAAGGATCTACTCATGGGATGTGAGTATCTCTTAAGCAGTCCTAATCCAGCCGTGAGTGACATTAACGCTATCTTCCCTTACTGACATGATCCAGGTCGCAGCCACTGCTTCCAAAACACTTCTTACGCTTGGATCTACCACCTACCGAAGCAAGGCTCTCAAGTGCTTGATGCGCTTGAGGAAGGAATCGCCTGAAATGTCGGCATACGTCATGTTAACTTTACAGCTGATATCAGAGAAACAACCGGTGCGTATTGAGAGATATCTGAACATACCTAACAAACTTCAGGAATCGGTCACTCCGTTTTTTCAATCTCTTTTCATCGTTAAAAGTGACACAGATTATACCAAGATAATCAAACTAAACATACTACAAAATTTAATGAAAGTCTTGGATGACTCTCAGCTCACAATGCTAGCGAAGGAGCTCTCAGTAAGTTAAATCCTGTTTTTTTTTCACCTAACCCCTGTTAGAATCATACCCTTGATCCTGATACAAAATTTGCAGCTGAGGTGATTGAGACGATCGGCAGCTTGTCATGTGCATCAAAAAGAGCGTCAGAAGTTGCCTTCAAGACGCTCACAGATTGTTCAACTGCAACAAACAAGTTACTAAGTCATCAATCCATCATACAATTGAGTAATTTTGTCCCTGATCTCTTGCAAGGATCATGGAATCTACGTAGACTATTAAAGCGGATGTTCAATGGAAGAGTAGTAGACGATGATGCCCGTGCGACTTTAGTTTGGGTTGTCAGTGAAGTAGTACAGAAGCCGCCCCAAAATGAACTGAACGAGCTGGATGGTATGTCAGTCTGGAAGTATGGTCCTGATGTACTGCGTAGCTGCGTAAAGGGATTCTCCGAAGAAGGCAGCAAGACACAGACCCAAATTCTCAATCTAGCGGCCAAAATGATGGCGATCTTACCTGATATAAGAAGTGTACAGGCAATGGCCCGCAAAGTTTTCATAGATTCGGCTGATTTTGACCATGTAAAGTCCATGGACATCGAATCACTTGATGGACTTAATAGGAGACATTCGATTATGAATACGGTGGCGGGATTGTATGGAGAAGTGCCTGAGCAAGGCGATCAAGCACCTAGAGTACTTTTACGTCGCAACCAAGCTAATGCTATACTCACAAATATGGCCACAAACTCGAGTGTGATGCACAAAATGACAAGTTCCATCAAAAACAACAACATGGTGCGGATTCAGACAGATACTTACTTGAATAGCCTACCAGAATGGTCAACTGAAGGTTTGCCTGGTCCTGAAGTGAGAGAAGTAAAGCAGAGTGAGGCTAATCAAGCCGATGAGGCTTTAACGATGCCGGTAATGAGTAATGAGATTGCAGCGTACAATGCAGAGGTAGAAACCATACTCGCACAAAATGCGGATTACGAAGATGATGAACCTGTAGATACCACAGATAAAGCGGCAGATGACGACCTAGAGAGGTTTTTGGAGAGTGATGGAAATCTCACGAGCGATGTAGATGATTAATTGGTAAACTTGTATACAATAAATAGTTTAAAACGAGTAAAGATGAGTTAGAGTCTTTTTAATCCTTTCTTCTTTGCGTTTGCCTCCTTGGACTTCAAAGGTTGCTTTGCAGGTTGGTTTTCTTGTTTGGTTGAAGGCTCGATCGGAGCATTTGAGAGGGGCTGATTCTCGATTTGGGAAGGAGAAGAGTCGAACTCGATAGGGCGGCTTCTTGCGTGAATAGAAGTCATCATTTTCGCGTGATTGAAGTAGTCTTGATAACTCTCCTGAAGTAACTTTCCCGCTTCTTCATCGAGAGCAGAATCAGGGCCTGGGTAGATCAAGAGACACTTGATTGTAACAAGGATGTGCTCTATACCGAATTCAGGTCTCCAGTCCTTCTTGAGGGTGGAAACGCAGATCTCACCGGTCTTGCTGATATTTGGGTGGAATATCTTGGTTAGCATCCTGCCTAGATAACTGTAAGCGTGGGTTTACATAATCAATTATCCGCGTACAATTTGGTGGACTGTTTGGGAAGTCAGCACCAAAGTTGAACTTGACTTTGAAGAAGCCGTCCTCGTATGGGGTGCCTTCCGGTCCTTGGACGTAGCCGACAACATCAAACACGTCCGAATCGCTGAAGGATATCCTGATATTGTCTGGTGGGTTTTGTTTGAGCTGTATACATTCCTTTGCGATCCGACGTGCGATGGACATATTGTTATGAATTAAAGATACAAACCGCGTTAGGAAATGCTCAAAAATAATAATTAAAATCTCCCATGTATATTGTAATGGCTTTGAATTTACCAGACATCCAGTTTTCCTCTACTTCGACTGCGTCGTCCAGCTGGCTGATGTCTTGTAGCGTTGTGTTTCTCGGCAGAAACATACAGACATTCGGTGTGATTGCCTTGGCTCTGCGAACGAGCTCCGCGCCGGTCACAGGCATTAGGCTATCCAGCGTGAAGGTATCCATGTAGTTTATCCCACCCCAGGGCGGCGAGTAGAAGATAACGTCAATATTGTAATCAAACTTGTACTCGTTAACCCAACTAATATAATCTTGCTGTATAAACTCTATCCTGTCTTCAACGCCGTAGATTCTCGCGTTATGCCTCGCCAATTCAATTTTAACCGGATCAATGTCTATAGCTATCACCCGCTCGCAGGTGAAGGCAAAGGAGATGGCATTACCGCCAACTCCGCAGAAAGCGTCAACGATCGTTCCGCATCGGCATCGTTCAGCCGTTTGCATCGCGATTAGCTCTGGTGTGACCGAGTACCACGACTCTTCATCGAGAATGATGCCCTGGTCATATTGGCTAAATAGCCTGTTCCTTTGGTAATAATATTTAAGCAGATGCTCGGGCACCTGCGACTTGTCCGTGTAAATAAGCTCTTTGTACTTGTCTTCCATCGGGCGATGAAGAGATCAAGAGATAGCGCGTTCAAATCACCGGCGATAAATATAAATTCAAATAAATTTGCAGATAACAGCCACCCGCTCCAGTTCTGGTCTGTCCAATGGCGTAATCCTCAGTTCAAGAAACACAAGACGTGGGATGGTGATGGCACGCTGATTGTCAATAGCGGACAAATGATTCTCAAAGATACCAACAGCAGCGTCATTGGTAGATCTTTCGATAAGAAGAACAGCGTGTTTGAGCCAGGTGCCCACTTTGTTATCGCCGGCAAAGACGTCGAGCTCGATCAACTGCTTAAACAAGACGCGGCAAAAGAAAACTCACCAAGCAAGCCCAAAGGTATACCAGCTGCTTCTTTTTATACTTCCGCTCCTTCTGCCGCGAAGCCATACAAACCGCCATCATTCAGTAAGCCTATGATACCGAGTAAACCTCTGGCAGCAACCAATATTGAGAGCTCCTCGACTTCTGAACCATCTTCACTCGAGCAAAGTGCTTTTCAGAAACACCCTCCACTCGTTTCTCAAAGCATTTCTCACTCTAATACGCATACCGCACATCCGCCAGCCCCCAAATACGATCCAAACGCCCCAGACGCATTCGTGATGCCTCAGCTTCCACAAAATATCTTAAATGAACTTAACTACAAGCAGCACCCAGTAGTTGATGTCGTTCTCGATCCACACATCTCATCGAAACTGCGTCCTCATCAACAGGAAGGTGTTAAGTTTATGTATGAAGCTGTTATGGGTATGCGAGGACATAAGGGCAAAGGTTGCATACTCGCTGATGAGATGGGTCTCGGTAAGACGCTTCAAGTAATCGCCTTGGTATGGACTCTGTTGAAGCAGAACCCAATCACAAACTCGGGACCCGTCATTGGTAAAGCTATGATAGTCTGTCCGGTGTCGCTTGTTAATAATTGGCGCAAGGAATTCAGCAAATGGATTGGTCAGTCAAAAATTGGTATCTTCCTTGGCGATAAGGATGTGTCCGAGATCAAAAAGTTTCAACAGTCGCGTATTCACCAGGTTCTGATTATAGGTTATGAGAAGCTAAGAACAGCAGTCGATGTGCTGAAGTTCTGTCAACCTCAGATAGGTCTTATCGTATGTGATGAAGGTAAGTGGAATGCAATCAAGAGAAGCATCCTAATAGTACTCTAAGGACATCGTCTAAAGGCGTCAAACAAGACATCACAAGTGTTTGAAGCGTTCCCTACGCGGCGACGCGTCATTCTGTCTGGTACTCCGATTCAGAATGATTTAGGAGAGTACTACTGTATGGTCAGTAAAAGTTCAATACGTACCTGAGCAGACTGACATTCCAAGACTGATTTCTGTAACCCTGGCTTACTCGATAGCTACGCTTCATTTAAGAAGAAGTACGAAACGCCTATTATGAGAAGTAGGGCTCCAAATTGTAACAGAAGTGATCTTGAGTTGGGAAGACAACGATCCGAAGCACTCTCAGCCCTCACGAACCAGTTTGTGTTGAGAAGAACAGCTGAAATACTTGACAACGTTCTACCAACCAAGTCAGAGGTGGGTAGACGTTACAAAGACGATTCAGGCTGACATAATGCTAGTTCGTTGTATGCATTGCTCCGACAAAACTTCAATTAGCAATATATAAGCAGTTAGTGCAAGCATCAATCATTCAGAGCGTGTTGGAAAGACTGGGTGGTCAACACTTGAATTTAATAGGTGTATTGAGGAACTTGTGCAACTCTCCTGGAATTATATACAAGATGATTGAGAATAAACAATCTGAAAGCTACAAAGATTTCAAACTAGATAATGTCAAAAACATGTTTCCAAGTAGCGTAAACGCGAATGATATCAATCTTAGTGGGAAGTTGAAAGCATTAGGGAGGTTATTGAAGACACTTAAGACTGAAACAGAAGAGAAGATTATTGTTGTTTCAAGTTTTACAGCTACATTAGATGTTATAGAGGTGAGAGTCCCTTTTTTTGGGGGGCTTTATTGACTAAATGTTATAGTCTCACTGTCGTCTATGTAAATACAAATTTTGCAGACTCGATGGCTCTACGCCGCAAGCCAAGCGTCAAGAAATAGTAGATGGTTTTAACCGTTCTCCACAAGCAGGAAAATTTGTGTTCCTTTTATCAACGAAATCAGGCGGGGTGGGACTCAATCTCATTGGCGCATCACGACTCGTTCTATTTGAGAGTGATTGGAACCCATCTAACGATTTGCAAGCCATGGCTAGGATTCACAGAGATGGTCAGACGAAACCTGTGTTTATATACCGCTTTCTGACAACGGGAACGATTGATGAGAAGATATTCCAGAGGCAGTTGACCAAAATCGGACTGTCTAACTCTTTGATGGGGAATACTGTTGAGAAAAAGAACGATACGGATTCTTTCACGGTAGAAGAACTTCGAGCGTTGTTCAGGATCGATGATGACACAGCTTGCGGGACACACGATTTGCTCGACTGCACTTGTAATCATGGTAGGGTACTTACAGAAGCTGAGAAAGGTGCTGAGGATGCACAACAAGACGATGAAGAAGAGCCGCAAGGGTTTATCAGCGCCAGTCAACACCAACCCGGAACATCATTAAAGTCAAAGAGAGACAAACAGGCCAAGATTGCGGCATTGGATGGATGGGATCACGTGGATTGTCTACAGGAGAATCATATGGGGAATTTGGCTGATGATGTGTTGAGAAAGCTTACAATACACGCTGAGTCACCATTAGTTGCCCAACACAAAGATGATTTCGTTGAAGATACCACAGCTAAGACATCAGACCATCAATTCGAATCATTGAATGACTATTGCCCGGCCAGTGACGAAGAAGAAGAGCCTGAAGAGGAAAGAAAGGAAGGGGATGTGGAAATCATCGAGCCAGAGCGTAAAGTACAGAAAATAGAGCAACAGGAAGATCCATTCGACATGAACGGATTTCTGCAGGATCAAAATAATGAAGGCAGATTAACATTTGTATTCAAGAAAGTGTCTGGAAGTGTTGTATAATAGTACAAATTGCATTACAATAATAATTGCTTAGGTGGCATCTACAATTATTAGTGGGAGGAAGGGTTAGAAAAACGACTTACATCGGTTCCAAGTGCCCTGGGTCATCCACTCAGAGTCTGTCCGTCTGCCTGACTTTGGAATATCCTTAGGACCAACTTAGAAAATGTCAGTGAAAATGTATGGTGCGACAGTCGAATCTCACAGATAGACTTGACGGCGTCGCTTTGGTTTGCATTCTTAGACGTGTTGGACAGCGCATCCGATACTGCCTTTCTAGCGCCTTTTACAACATCAGAGACAGGTGGATCATCGATATTGTCAGCCTTCTTGGCCTTAGGTGTATGTTCAGGCTGATCGGCGGCAGCCTTGCGCTTCTTGCTCTTCTTGCTGTCAGCCTGCTTCAACCTTGTGGCGTAGAGTTGCTCTTTCATGGCTTCTTCTTCTTCGGGGGGAGGATTAAGCGTGATAAGCTCATCGACATGGTACTCAATGCCAGATTCAGGGCACTGACCCGTCTTTGAGCCCTTGTTCATCGACTTCAAACCGCTATCAGAGGCAACAATGCCAGTTTTGGGGAGGTAGACGAATCTTTGCTTTCCATTCATTTCCTTGAGCGTGATTGGACAAATGAAAGGGGCGTTACTTAGCATAGAATCGCTGTCACGACTGAGGACTTGGTTGAATGAAGGATTTGAAGTAAGTTTGAGTTGTTGGACATCTTTTAGAGAGCGTATATGACCACAGATCTTCTGTCCATCGCCGTAGACTGATTTATCGAGGAGAAACTCGACAATGGCTTCCTTATTGTAAAGCTTGCCAAGTTGACAGGAAACGACTGGCTGTTTAAGGAGTTTCTTAGACAGAGCACAATAAAACCAGGCTGCTATCCTAGATATCTCATCGTTCTTCACTTCCGGTTTCTTCTTAGTCTTGACCAATTCTGATCGATAGACAAATGAGCCTCCATCGGCACCCTATCGAGGGCAATTAAAATTGAGTACAATCAATACTAAAATCCTAGCGTACCATTTTTATATTTCTTTATTTGTTGATGGTGGCTACTGTGAAAGGAAACCCCTTTATCACGGCCAGCCATGTCAACCGCGCACAGGTGATTATAAAGAAAAGCACTGAGCCGAGCAACTCTTACATTCCACCGCGCAGACCAACATGGGACCCAGCAGTCGGACGAGCAGACACCAAAGCGTACTCGAAGCAGTACTCTGCCAGGGATGCACCAGCGCAGACGAAACTCAAGTTCCGGTGGGTGTGCGAGGTGTATATTACAGCGTAGGGCATTGTAGTTTACACCACTCTAGTAAGCCCGGTCAGGGAGGTATCGGCGACCAAGATAAGCGCAGAGACTTGCGCCTCGAATTGAACAAGGCAGAGGAGGAAGCTAATGAAAAGAAACGTAAAGCGCAAGGTTTGTCGTTGGAAGATATTGGCCAGGGTACGGATGACAGCCAGCAGAAAATACCGAAACTTATAGACAATCCCGGTGAGGGAGACGCGCATGCTGAGCCATCGACTAGAACACACGAGTCGCAGGCAAGTGAAGACAAGCCTCAGACTTTAGATAAGGATGAAGAAGCTGATGACGACGAGAGGTGGGTTGCTCACCTTAGCGTTCTATACCGCCTAACATAGCCAAGTGATGACGACTCAGAGGATGATGAGGCTGAGTTGCTGCGGGAGCTCGACAAAATCAAGCGCGAAAGAGCTGAAGAAAAAGCCAGAAAGGTGAGAAAGTGTTGCTGTTTGTGGTCATCAACTTTCTAACAATTACACCACCTAGGACGAGGAGCAAAACAGCGCTAAAGCTGCATCTAGAGAAGAGGAAGTGGCTAGCGGAAATCCTCTACTTAACCTACAGAACGCGTTGGGCGCTTCTCCATCTTCTACACAGGATACAGGGTTTACTGTGAAACGCAGATGGGATGACGATCTTATCTTCAAGAATCAGGCACTGAATACTTCCGACAAACCAAAGAAGGAATTCGTTAATGACTTATTGAGGACAGACTGTGAGTATCGCGTGTTTAGTATCCTAACAAAGCTAAAAATATATCCTAGTCCATCGCAAATTCATGTACAGATTTATTAAGTGATTTACATACATTCATAATTAATCTATGTTTGTCGGACACTTGTCAAGCTTGAAGCCAACTGTGGTGGATAAATCAAGCCAGAGAAATCAAGTTCCTGTTTGGTATACGAGCCAAGTAGAAGAAAAACATGTTGAGCATAGCTTAAAGCTGACATGAATCCATCAAACGCTTGAGCTCGACATTTTTGCACATACTCAAAAAAGTAATATAAATATCATTCATTCAAAATCTTCAACTAAAGGGTGATTAGAATTGCTAGATAGTTGAGGGACTACTTACAACCACACATAAATGCCTTGTGAATACTAGTATCATCCAGGTCAGCGTACAAACTTAGAAATGGACACAGTCTCACCTCATAACCTTGGCGATAAAGGCCTCAAGATGGAAAATCTGCTTAGAGCCTTTCCTCATTCGATGCTCCTGAGGTGGATAAGATTAAGTCGTGTTTGTTAAATTCTACTCACATAAAATGCTGCCCAATAGATAAGGTCTGCACGAATGGAATCGTCGACCATTGTAAGAATGACGTCAAGAAGTGTCTGAAGTAGTTGTTAGGAGATTATCAACTCCGGCAAAGGAAATTCACTTTGAGAATGAGAGTAGGTGGTATGCAATGTGTGATGAGCTCATAAATTTTTCCTCTTACTTTGAGCAAACCGTCTGGAGAAGGATCGCTTGTAATTTCCTTAGCGACTTGGATGGTATAAGATTGCCAATCAGGCTTGGCAATTTGAACATTTGAATCAAACGACGGAGATTGCATTCTCATTGCTTCAAGAACCAGCAAAGCTTTGCGAAGATTACCTGTTGATTCTTTGCCGATCTGTTTGGCGACATCCTCAGGCAGCTGGAACTTCTCTTTTTTAGCTACTTGGGTCAATACGGTTGACATCTGCAAATTTCATTGAGTATGCTTTGTTACTGAATAAATAACTCACCTGTGGAGGTAAGGGAGCGGGGATTCTAACCAACAAGCATCGAGATCGAATTGGAGCTATAATCTTGCTCGTTGTTTGAGCACAGAGAATGATACGAAGGTTAGACATGTACTTCTCCATAGTTCTTCTCAAAGCAGCTTGAGCATCTCTAGAAAGCTGATCAGCTTCGTTAATGATAACGACTAGGCAATCTGTGAGCTAAAACTAGATTTTTTTAGGTAACCAGCTAACCTTTGAATCTTTGTTTCGCATTAGCGTCAACTTGCTGTGTTTGGGCAATTTCTTTGAGGATATCCTGTATAATCAGTCTATCATACTGACCAACGTCGGAAGGTGTAATTTCAATGTGATAGTTGCTTTGGACGATGTTCACGTCGAGCTTTCTGTTTGAAGGCGTGAGGAAGACGCGCTGATCGATTTTGAGCTTCTCAACACCTGGACCAAACAGCTCTCTTAAAGTGGCCATAATGCGTGTCTTTCTACCTGCGCCGGTGGGTCCATAGAAAAGCGTGTGGGGAAAATCGCCGGAGCCAGCCAGGGATCTGATTCTATTTGTAATATCATGATGATAGTCGAGTTCATCAAGCGACTTTGGCCTATACTGAGCAGAATGAGATAAACCAGGCTAATAAACAAGAACTATACTTTATCTACGTATAGAGACTGTAAATATTATTAATTTTATATTTTATATTCCATTTTACTTACCATTGAGGAGATGACCGTTGCTGTTTACGCGCTTACGCCCAAGATATGGCTCATGCACTGGATGAGTTTTCGTATAAGCAATTCATACCTGAGTACGAAATTGGGAATTTAAAGCTCAAAGTGAACCACAAGTCCAATAGACCGCTTATTCCGATGGTACGTGCGTTTCTCCTGTCCTCCGCTGCTTACCGGTGTGCAGATGTCTAAACTCCGGAGATCTTCTGCGAAATCGGGAGCAATGGGAGTGGGATGGAAGCAGATATCTCTAAAGCTCGATTCCATTGGTGGTCTATTTATTCTCGCTGAGGTGAGTGTCAATAGCTCATGGTTGAGCCTTTAAACTTAAATTCAAAAGGAGGGAACTCCGATTCACTATATTGGCCTTAGTAGCCTGAAAATGACTGATATACGACCTGTCGATTATTCCGTATTCACAGTTCCCAACTTAATCGTCATACACACTCATTCTCTCTCTCCAACGCTCCTGATTGGGCAGAATTCTTCCAATCACTCTAACTCTAGCAACTCTACATTCGGCCTTCTCAATAACCTCAGGCCCATATCGCCCAAATCCACTCAGCGATCGAGCCCCTCTCCAAACCATCCTCCAAGCCCAAATCCAGACGATCCACTTTTTATCGCCTTCCCCACTCGACGGCATATGATAGCTTGGTTGACTCTATTGCGATCATGCACCAAAGCTGACGTTTATCATGCCGGTAAAGACCCTCACAAAGGTTACTTTCGAATGTCAAGACAAATGTCTCTCTCAATTGTGGAGCTGCGATCCCCGCAGAAAGATGTTCAATCTAACCTTAATGATTATGTCGAGGACAGCCCGAGTGTTAATGGTAACTCATCCAAAATTAACTCTCTCAATTCGCTGTCTTCATCAAGCTCAGCTGGGCTTACTCCGCCATTACAGCGAAGAACATCTACCCAATTCACTGAACCTTACAACGATACCTACGAGTGGCACTGTGAGATTTGGGATCCCACAGGACTAGCTTTTAGATCCTCTGCCAAGGTCGCTTACCATCCATTTTGGAAAGAAGATTGTCTTCTGGTTGATCTACCGAATCTCAACTCTATAACGGTCAAGATATTCAGATCAGTTTCATCATATGCTTTATCAAAAGGACATTTCACATTGTTTGGTACAGTATTCATACCTCTAAAGGCATATCCAAGATTATCAGAGGTAGACAAATGGTTCAACGTGATTGGCATAAACGAAAACACTCTCGAAACTTCTGTCAGGGGAGAATTGAGACTGAAATTGAGGGTTGATGAGGATGTAATCCTGCCCAAAAGCCGTTATGATGAATTGTTTAGCGTGAGTATAGGTGATTTGTGATTAGTATTATCTCACACCGTCAATTTAGATTATGCAAGGTCAACATAGAGTGAGAGTCATACATGACATCTCTTCAATATACCCATCTTTGGTGAGTGTATGTGTATATCAATCATCTAGACCAACTGAAACCTTTGCTAGGAACAACTTTCTGATACACTAATCAAAATATACTCAATAGATTGCAATTTAATGGTATCTGTAATGAATGATCTTGCTTACAAAGAAATATGGTCATCAAGAGCTGGTAGGTCTGACTCAAAATTCTAATCCTGGCTAACAACTAGTAGATGAGAATACAATATTTCGGCCAAATACAATATTAACTAAATTAATGGATCGCTATATGAACTTCATGAGTAGACTGACTGGATGGTTGGAGGATAGTCTGGGACACCCTATCCGCGAAATGATAGACAAGAAGGTAGAATGTGAATTAGATACAGATAGAAAAGGTGGACCAGCAGACAAAGATGAATTGCTTCACTGGGCTGATGTAATTCTCAATAGCATCATAGAATCAAGAGTTGGATGTCCAATTGAGCTTCGAAAGATATTTCATAACATAAGGAAACAATGTCATGCAAGATGGAACAAGGCTCAATTAGTAAACTCATTTATCTTTTTAAGACTTTTCGTACCTGCGATTATCAACCCAAATTTATTTGGTTTGACCAATGTGTCACCATCACCTGGAGTTTCGCGTACATTAACACTGATTGCGAAAATAATTCAAGCTCTTGCTAATAATAAAGAGGAGATGGGAGATAAGGAGCACTTTATGGGAGTCGTTTCACCATTTTTACAAGATCATAATAGGAGGTTTGCATTTATTGATTACGTTGCATATGTTGGTAATGAGGATTCAGCTGCTTCTTACAAGACGAGTGAAGAAATATCAATAAACGAGTTGGCGACTTCTGTTGAGAAAACATCGGATAGGAGATTCAATGATTGCAGTCATGATATATATAGGCAGTCTCTACCAAGTTCATACACAGGGATTGATAACTCGAGAGAGTTGGCGTCGTTCACCAACGATCTCAACAAGATATATAACAAAGTGCAGCTAAATGAATTGCAAAATAGGGATCATTATTTTAGGAGAAAGTCATTAAATTACGCCACGCTTGAATTGTTTGAAGCAAGTATGGATATACAAGAAGATGCCAGACAGATGTGGGAGTCTCGGCAAAGACATAGGAGAAAGGCCAATTCGGCATATGAGTCGTCGAAACCCAACAGAAGCGAATGGTTAAGTGATCAGCAAGACTTACGCAGTAGTAGAAAAGTAAGCGTGTCCAGTTCTAGCGCTAGCTTAGAACCGCAAATGAAGCAATCATCGTCGCAGCGCCGTAGAGGATTTACAATCACAGGATTGAGTAATGGCAGCAATAATTGGATTCATGATAGTAAACGTAAGAATATTGGCAGTGATAATAAGACAAGTAACAGCAAAAGTAGCGCGACTAATAAGAACAATAGTACGGGTAATAATAATACAAGTAATAGTAACACAAGTAATAATAAGAGCAATGGCGCTCATGCTAAGAACAAAGTTGGTAATCGTAATCAAAACAGGGACAAGAAGGATTACGTCAATAATGATCCATCGAGATATATGGACCTAGGTAGGGGATTTAATGACTATCAATTCATGCAATACGACAAGGAGAAGAGGGAGAAGAAGGGGAAAAAGGAGATGGAGGTGGAGAAGAAGGAGATGGCAAAGAAGGAAGAAAAGGCAAGCCCGCCTAATACACCGGAGTCGATGAAGAATTTGAAAATAACACTGGAGAAGTACAGACTTACCCAGGAGGCGGTGGATGATGCACCGTTACCGAAATATCCGTTACCTGTGAGTGACAGTGTGAGTAGCAATGTGAGCAGCAACGTAAACAGTCACAGCTACGATAACAACGATCGTTCAAAGTCAAGGGCGAGTGTTCGAAACTCAGCGACAAAAGGAGAAGAGGAGCACAGCAAGGATGACATAAACATTGACAATAAAAAGAAGACAGTCTTCTTCAAATGGACCAAAGGAATAATTGATTAGGTATAGAGGATATTGAACACTTTTTAATCAGCACAGCTTAATAATAAATTTAAGAATGAAAGTATATTTTGTATTATATTAATGTTCTACGCATTTAATTCTTCTCTAGTTGGAATGCCTGTGGGTGATGATAAGTGATGAGATGTGAGCAGTTTCATTAGTAAGTAGACACACCAAGTTCTTCTCTGAGTGGCTTGAGAGCATCAAGGTATTGCTCATATTGGCCTTGATTTTCGACCTTCTCCTTTATGCCTTCCTGTATAGTAAAGAATCAGCCAATCAGGTTGTCGGAAAAGAGAAAATGAAAAAACGGACAAAGATTCTGACAGCAGTGCTAAAGTCGTTAACACGTCTAGAAGCTCTGATTGCAGATTCGCATATTTCAGGAGCAGGTACTAAATCGTAAGCGAAACAGTTGTTCAATCCTCTTTGCAATTCGAAAAGGTCTTCAACTTGATCGAAGAATGCGGTGTATCTCTTTGTGAAGTCTTCAAAGCTTTCCTCTTCATGTCCAGCGCTATATTGACGAACTAGGTGTAGAGTCAGCGCTTTGTGGTAAGTGTGCACACGAATAAACACCTTGGGTGATTGGAATTGAAGGCGTTAAGCTAACTCTCGATAAAGCTCTCGCATTTACTGCTGTTCTAAGTACACCGAACATTTTTTTAAACAGTTGGTTGGATACAAGAGAGAGAGGTGGGCGTCTTTCGAACGATTGAGCGATTGAGTGGTTAGATTAGTATGATTGAATGCGTTGTAACTAAAGCTGGTAAAATGAGTAACTACATTCAAGTCATTTTGGGTGGTTTGGAGGTGTGTTCGTTGGTGTATATTCACACTGACTCACACCCGTACAAAGAAGAAGGAAGTTGTAAAAGTAACAGCTTTGAAAGAAGGTGTAAACCTCGATACATCTAGTGCACTCGCAGCGAAAGTCATCAGCGTGGTCGAAGTCGCCAAGAGGCAGTCATCGGACGTTTATCAGTATACACGCCTAGTTGAGCATCAAGAGGTTAGGTTGAACTTGTCAGCAAGTGATATTATAAATGGGAAGAGGTTGGTTGGTTGATTTGGTGTACTTGTACCACTTCTAACCTCAATACAGCCAGACATCGATACCACCACCGACAATTGAAGTCATTCTAAGCAAGCAAGCGTTAGATATCGATAGTGATTATGTGTTAGTGGCTTACTTAGCGTGAAACACTTGACATTAACACCACACACAGACTTCAAAAAGACTAAGATCTATAACAGCAAGTTATTTACAGCTTTCTCATCATTCAAGTTTTCATCAAAATCGTAAGGTAGAAGCGATGCAACTGTTGTCGTGTCAGCATGTTTAGCAGATATCACTTAACACAACACTTACAAGTCAAGTACGACGTGTGACCTCTTGTATCCATGAAAGGACGACTGAGCAGTGTGCTTCTGTCATCGATATTACTACTGGTTTCGTCTAGTTTGCGTTTGCTCGTTTGTTCGCTTTCAACACTGATATTGACGGGCTGGTTGAGAGATTCATCGCCAGCCTCACCGCCAGCCTCATTAAGTTTCAATTCAAGCTTTTTCTGGGCTGCAGCAATCTGTTGCTGCCTTCTAAACTCCTTTTTCTTTAGTATGGCTTTCAACTTATTCGTGACGTCGTTTATATTTGGAAGATGAGTGTAAGAGGTGTCGTAATTTCTAGAGAGAACTTCAAACATGGTAACGTTGGTAAAGCCATTCGAGTTGAGAGTGGTTGTAGTTTTAAGTACCTGTTCAATACACGGACTGAAGCAGCAAATTCTGCTAATTTTGTCATTACGGAGGGATTTCTTTGCATGCGGGATAGCTAGCCAAGGCATGGGTAGGTCTAGAAAGATGGAGTCTATAGAGTTGTTAAGGTGTGAAGGGAAGCCGTCTTTGCAGCTATCTCTGTGATAGACGTTGATGATATCAGATAAACCGTGTTGATTGAACTCTGATTGAGCCTTCTGGCATCTAGATTGATGATATTCGAAGGAGTGGAGCTGGCCACGGGTACCAATAGATCTAGCAACTGAATGACTGAAACTACCTGAACCAGTACCTGATTCGATGACTTTTGAACCCGGTTTAATGTTTAAAGTGAGAAGAATGAAGCTAATATCCGTGTTGTATAGGATCTGAGTTCTATGAGGGAGAGCTAGAGTCCATAACTCCGGAGAAGGCTTGAGTAAGTGAATAAAGCCTCTGTTGTTATTTGAACTAAGTTTATCACCAAAGCATCTACCAATGATATCTTTATGCTTAAAATTACCAAATTTATTTTGAAATATTTTATCCTCCTCAACTCGAATAAGTGATAATTGATCTCTAGTTAACCAAATGATAACCAAATCATTCTCTTTAATTACCGATTCCTTATTATTTATCATTGAATTGCTCTGGTGTTAATGTTTTTTGTGTAAATGCGTGCAATTTGCTTATCTCCTCTTTAAGTATATCGTTGACTGGTGAGGGGTTATTAGTTTGGTGATCTAGATAAAATTTTCCGAACCAACCCAATCGATGTCTCTTTAGAGTTATTAGACCATTAAATATTTTACTAACGATTACGACTTCAAAGCTCTGTCCACAACCACCGCTAACATCTTTAACGGACTATGTGATTTGACTTAGACTGCTCATCCAATCAAATCACTCCAAATACCCACAACATGCTCAACCTCTGGTACTTTGATTTCTATTTGCTGTTTAAATTTTTCCTGATCCATTTCCAATTCCAGTGGCTATTCAAGCGAGCTGTTGCGTTCGAATATTAGAATTATAAATTACAAATTAAAATGCAAAGGTCTTTAGTACTCAACTCTACCAACAACTTCAAAACAGCGTTCAAGCCCTCCCTCGCTAGCTCCATTAACCTCGTTTTTAACGCTGGAACAAGATTCGAAGACACTCAAGGTGTGGCTAACGTTTTAAAGAACTTTGCTTTTAGGGTGAGTTGATTGGTTTATACTAAGGTACACCCTCTAATCCCCCAAAGGACACACAAAACCGCTCCAGCCTACGTCAAGTTAGAGAAGCTGAAGCTGCTGGTGGTGTTCTCTACTCTTCCCTTACAAGAGACAATCTCACTCTCTCTGCTGACTTCATCCCCGGCCATGAAGACCTTTTCCTCTCTCTTCTCGCTGATGTCGTTAAGTCGACCAAGTTCGCCCCTCATGAATACAAAGAGGTCGTTAAGCCTGCTATCGATTCTGAAGTAAACGCTGCTCAGCGTAATCCTCTCATTCAAGCCATCGACGCTGCTCACACTATCGCCTTCAGAAGAGGTTTGGGTAACTCTCTCTTCTCCGCATCCGAGCAACCCGTAGACCTCCAAGACGTCAAAAAGTTCGCCAGTAAAGTCTACTCTGCCGACAACGTCGCCTTTTTAACTACCGGGCAATCTGACTTTTCATCCAACTTATCATCCTACTTCAACGACTTAACCGCAACTGGTCAAGTTAGCTCACAACCATCCAAATACTTTGGTGGTGAACAGCGCTATAGCCTCTCGCACGATGGTCACTCCCACCCATCTGCATTCATCGCCTGGGGCTCAACCTCTCCATCACCTGCTCACAACGTTTTAGCTGAATTGTTGGGTGGTCAATCTAACATCAAATGGTCGAGAGGTCTTTCACCTTTGTCTGCAATCGAAGAGGGCAATGTTAACGCTCTCAACTTTGATTACTCTGATGCTAACCTCTTTGGTTTCACTGTCGAATCATCAACCGACCTCAACGTCAAGACTGCTTCACAGAAAGCTGTTGCAGCTCTCAAGGCAGTTGCTCAAAATGGTGTCGAATCCGCTCAGTTACAACCTGCTATCGCTAAATCTAAATTCAACTACACCCTCTACGCTGACTCAGCTCAAGGATGGAAGCAACTTAACGGCGAAGGTCTCATCAACAACAACCTCAAATCACTCGATCAAGTTCTCGGTGAATTCGATGGCGTATCTACTACATCCATTCAACAAGTCAGTCCAGCTTATAAAGTTCCTGACTGCTTTTCTAATTTTTCCTTTAGGCAGCTGCTCATCTTCTCGACAACAAGGTCACTCTTGTCACTGTCGGTGGTAGAGACGCTCCATACGCCGATGAATTGCATCTCTAAAATTCATGCTATAATTCATGTAAATACACCCTATAAAAATATTTCAATTATTTTAAATACCAACTACTCGTCAAAGAAGTCATCCTCGATTGTCCTTTCCAATAACTCCCAATCGATATCTTGTTTGTCAAGAACATTATTATACGTCACACTACTCAACGCCCGGTAAAATGGTGATAAATCTCCCATCTGACTTATCTTTCTTACGTTGGTCAGTAATGGTTGTCTTTTTTCACTATTGATTTGTAGCTTGAATGATTTTTCAGACGCTCCCATTAATCCTTCTTGTCCAAACAATCCCGACAACTTATCAATAATACCGTATTGTTTACCATCGCAGCTGGCATCCACAGTATCTGTAATGAATAGTGACTGATATGCTTGGAAATCTTCATTTTGCAGTAGCAACAGGGTATCCAATAGCTTGCAAGCGCTTAAGAGTAATGGAAGTAGATCTAGATGTTCAGCAGAAGGCGATGTAGTAAATATGTCAAATAACCTTAGCAATTCTGTATTTACTATTGGCCAAAATGTTGTTAAGTCGTCGCTTTTAAATCGCACTAGCAACACTCTGAGACAGAGATAGATTTCAGATTGTGATACTGGTGTAATTGCATTGTTGCGCACTACCTCCACCAGCTTTTCTTTCACTAGTGGTAATTGCGATGTGTAACTTTCCGGATTACCTGCGAATATTGCGTAGCTAAGTCTGCGCAAGTTGAGAGCTCTTGACAAAGATTCGTATTCCCTATTAGCAAATATATTTGTAGACGGTGCACTAGACACTTTGCTGACGAGATCTTTAAACTTATCTTTCTCAGCCGACATGAGCGCGTTGACGAGGTACTTCCATTGATGAGTTTTGGAAGCGTTGAAAAACCTGTTGTCATAGAAGACATCACTAACCAGTCCCTTCCAAGATTTTGAGCAGTGCGGTAAGCGTGTTAAACCCACCAGCACATCCACACTTGCGCTGTGTGGTTGAATCCCATTCGTGCCTTTTGAAGTTGATTTCAGTGCAGGAGCGACCACGCAATATGAAATATTCGCAGCAATGCTTTGTAATTTTTCCGTTGAGGATATTAAATTAGGTAGGTCCACCAATAGCTCATTCGCCATGTACAGATAGATCTTTGAACTGTCACCGTCTAATTTCTCAGCAAGTGAATTGACAGACACGCTATCGCGATCAGAGTCTTCATTAGTACCGGTAACATTCGCTACATCCAACCCAGCCAACGCTTTCTTGAGCGCCCATGGACCTGTGTCTGAGCCACCGGTGCTGATGAGGATGGAGGAATCAATAAATCGATGCAAGATATCCTGCAACAAATGTCAATAGAGTGCTCTAGTTGAAGCGCTGAGCACTTACCTGGTAATCCATCTTGACTTTCTTTTCGACGATCTCCGTCGTCTCACCATTGAAAATGCGAAGACCGACTATATGAATGCATCTATCTAGCGTTATTGTAGAGTCCATGAAAAAAAACTAAACTCACCTTAACGTTGGATAAACGCATAGTTTTCGCTGTGCACTAGTCGTAGATACTATCACATCACGCGCAAATGGCTGTAGAGCAACCCAAGATTGCAAAGCATCCTTAACACTAAGCTCACCAAGATACACCTCCAAGCTCTCAAACAACATTGACGAGCTAATTGCATCACTTTGCCACAACGAGCGTGGCTTTTCATCCCCAGCAAAACTTCTCATTCCTATGTTCTTGCATATATAATGAACGAGTATTCGAGAGGGGTCTGAAAATAGCTTGAATATTTTTAGCAAAGTCACTTTGTTCAATGTTTCTTGATAATACTCCATAGCAAGGTCCAGCATCTCATAAGGTCTTTTTTCAAACAAATTGTGGATGTACCCTTCACATTGCGTAGTCAGATAGTCGAAAGTTCCACTTTGTTTATTTTTAAGTGTAAAGTATAAACTCGTGAGAAGCTTGAACGATACTCCCATCAACGACATTGTCTGCTCGACGATATTAGGACTACCGTGAATCATCGAAGTGTGTAGATCATCTAGATTGATGACCAAGATGGCATTCAACGATGACAACACTGAAGACAAGTTTTTGTGGTCGCTGAAGGATACGCTCAGGTTGTTCGTGTGTAACATGTCGCTTAATTTGCTATAGATGATGTTTCCCATATCGAGTTTGTGATCACGAATCAACATTGAGTACTTATCTAAGATCATACTTGTAAAGTTGATCCAGTATTTTAAAAGTGACTGACAGCCTGCATTTGATATAGCGTTGCGGAGCAGTTTGACTACAGTTTGACCTAACTCGTTACTGCTGTGTACGTTGTTCAAATCGCAATGCTGCAGTGCACATGTAACAAGCTTGATGGCTCTTGGCTGGACATCGAGATTGACTAGTTGAACATGATAATTTAGATAGTTGCTAATGACGAAAGCCGCCGTAGTAAATACATCTGAATCTTTCCGACTATAGATGAACATTTCCTCTAGCAACTCCATAGTAGCCATCTGTAAATACTCATTACCTGGTTGTATAGAAGAAGCGATACCTTGGTTCGGTTCAGATTGCAATATCCTGACAGCTCGTAAGCAACTATTATTACTCCTCACAAAAATCTCACCTGAGACTCAGTTGTAATAAGGATAGTTCACTCTCACTCTCATCCAAGCGACCAAGTTGCTCCCAAAAGGATTGTCCAATGTGTTTACTGAGCTTGGTAAGCTGTTGCAGACTGTAAATAGCAATCTCCTGGTCCCAATTAAGGAAATACTCGTAGGCACTCGTGTTGAACAGATATTGCCTTTCCACGGTTCTTGAAGCTTGTGTGACTTTTGAAATTTTCGCAATTAGTGATCTAGTCACCATACCAGAGTTATCGAAATACTTCTTCAACCAAAGTGCATTTGTTTGACTATCTTCTGCAGCTGTAGTATCACTCGAGTTGACAGTAAAGAATCTCGATACCGGTATTGTGAGATCGAAGTGTGTTGGACTAAACCTCGATGCTATACTGTAGATGATACCACATTGATGAATGACTTGCAGTCGCGCTGGTTGGTCATTGTCATTATTTAGTCTTTGTGCGAGAATTGAAGTGATATGTTCTTGAGCCGTTGTATTTTCTATCTCTACAATCAATTTCACGCAACGAAAGTGATAATCAAAATACTGTGGAGCTAAATAGGGAAGCAATGCATTGAGGAGTGTTTCATGTGCTTCTCTATCCATCCATTGCAGATATACACTGTCATCTGAAAAACAAGTCTGCCTCAATGTCAGAAGACATTTTATTAGTAACTCTGTTGTTTCAAATTGGTTTGATATTGATACTAGCTTGAGCAATGCGGTAAACAACTGCGCAATCATATCCCCAAAAGATTCATTCAGTTGTTTGCGTGGGTATCGTAGAGTGAGCAATGTGTATAACGTAGAAAAGCTGCTTTTTACCATCATTGAGTCAGCAACATCTTCAGACCAGGACAAATTAATTTCAATAAGACGTTTCAGTAATGCTTCATAGAATGTGTCAGGGGTCTCGACCTCGGGTATATCGATGCTATCGGTGTATTCTGCATCAGCGACGTAATCCCAACTAGAGACAACTTTTTGACTGTCTTTAATTATCCAAGGAGTTTCGTTCATTACCTTTTCTGGAATGTGATTAATTAGCATTTGGGCAAGGATAAAAGCACGTTCGGTCAAGACGGACTTCCTGTTAGCCTGTCGATTAACGGATATAAGTTTGAGTATGTTGAGTAATTGAATCGGAAAATGCAAGCATGTGTGCGCTTCCTCTTCGAATGATATATTGTCCACAATCATTGTGATGAGCTCGATCGAACGACAAGTGTCATCTTGATTGGTGAAATCTGATTGAAGCTGATGATTCATTGCTTTCCACAATAAATATATGTCTATTGATTCCAATACCATGCTGGTGATGATCTTAACGTCTGCATTTCTGTCAACATCCTCCTTCAACCGACACTCGAGACAGCTGATGATTTCTGAGACTATACATTTCGTCAAATTGTGACCAATCTCCCATTTGTCCAATAGAGAAATGAATATTTTGTAAGGTCGACTATCAAAGGACTTGGTTGTATCCATATCTGCTAACATCCATGAGCTGATTAGGGGTAAACCAAAAGTATTGAAATAGGAAGATAGCGATTCTTTGTCATCGGATGTACCGAGTAACCAAGTAAACAGGCGCCTGTTTAATGATATGTCTTTACGCAAGACTACATTGCATGCATTCCTGCACAAATCAACCCTGAAATCTGATCTAGAGAATTTCTGAAGCGCAGGTCCACCAGTAGGTAGGCTTGAGATGAGCAAATCAAGTGCTGAGCGCCGCACAAGCATATTATTGTCCATCAAAGAAGCTGATACTCCGCGAATCAACAAATTAGCGTCAGATGAAAGAAACATGATAATTTCTGTTGCAAGGTTAGATATTATAGAGTCTCAAACGTTTGTCTTACGATCATCAGTGTCAAGGGGCGGCATTTTGCGCAATAGATAATTTAAAGTTGAAATGCGAGAAGCGGGGGACGTTATTAGTATTAGACAGAGGTTTTGTAGGAAGAAATGAAGTGCTGTGGTAGAACTGAGGTAATCTAGCATCGATAAAGCCTGGATTGTTTCATCTTGTTAGCTAATAGAAATCGAACTGAAAGAGGAAAGCACACATCGTCGAAATGTTCACCGTTCTCCTCTTCAAGGCCAGGTAATAGCGATAACGTCATTGATTTTATGATGGGTCGTAGATGTGAGCGTAGGGGGAAGTAATGCGATTTGTAAAGTTCAAGAACGAGGGGCTATTATTGGCAATGAGAAGGGTATTTCAGGGAAGAGATGCGCTCACTCGAACAGAAATGGCAGCATATTGAAAGAAAGGAAATAAGCTGGTAGACCACATTTGTAAATCACGCTTTAAACCGTCTGTCTATATAGCCAATGAGAAGGAGATAGTGGAAGGAAGACAGCTTACACCCATAATAGCAAACAACTTGTCATAAACCTCTAAAGCCTTTTGATGAACACCAGTAGGCAAAGCAGGATTCAAGCATTGAGATAAACGCTTGGATACGATAAGCTTGTGAGGAATATCGTTGAACTGTGGATAAGACTGGATAGCTTTGAGCAGCTTGGCGAGAAATGCGATGAAATCAGCCCATTCTTGGACGTCAAGGAAGGAGTTTAAGCTGCGATCAACAGCTTGAGAGTATTTCTTGTACGTAGGGTTAGAACTGAGGGAGATATCTGCATCCCTGGGAGCTAAACGTTGATCATCACCGGAACGAGAACTGGGCAGCCAGCTAGAGAAGGCGGATGAGTTTGTGGGGGTGGTTGGATTGGATAGAGATGGGAATATTTGGTTATCTGACATATAAAAAACTCAAATAATTCTCAGAGATGCTCGTCGTCACCAACAACGATATGGCCAAAGACAGATCGAATAGATTCAACGCAAAAGGCCGTCAATCTGGTTTGAATAAATTAAAAGAAGATGAAAAGATTAAGCAGCGTAAAAGAAGTAAAGTTGTGGAGGACCGTGAGAGTACAGATGCGAATACAAACGCCGATTTGATTCTTCCAAAGTCCAAGGAGCAGAAAGAACAAGATCAACTAAGAAAACTCGAGCTCAGGAAAGAGGTTTGTGCGTTTGAGAAGCTCGTACCCCTCTCACACACAATATCCAGTTGGAATCCCAGCAGGATGGAAAGGTTTCCAGCAAGAAGCGCAAGAGACTTGATGCTTACATTGTGTGTCTCTATACGCGTCATTGGCCCACGCTTATCATCCTCTCTCAGACTCGTCAACTCAAGAAGGAAGAACGCAAGGAGTTGATTGACAAACTTTCGTGAGTCTTCTGTCAACTACAGCGACGCGTAATGACTGTTACAGCAAATCACAAACTCCCACTGATGCTTCGTATCTGAAGTCATCCGCTAACCTTGGCTCGAGGCAGCAGCACTCTGCTCAAGATAAGCTCGATGTCTCAGAGCATATCCAAGTCAAATCTGCACTTAGAAATGCTGGTAGAAGAGTCCAGCATCCTGACACTAATCAAGACTCTGATTCTCTCTCTGAACACTCGAGTGCCTCGGATGATGATGATGTCAATGTTCCTATCGATAAGCCTCAGCAACCAGCAAGCACGGTATCCGCATCTCAAACGTCTACAAAAGAGCACATCAGTCCTCCACAGAAACCACCTATAGGAAATGCACTTGGAAGTGCCCTTGGAGCAAGTGGTGTTAAACCAATCGTCAGACCTAGAAAAAAGAAGGCTAAAACTGTCTCTGTGAGGGTATAATTTTATGCTCTTCCCCGCCGCTTACCAATCAAAGACTTTGACTCGTGGCTGGAAACTGTCAGCAAACTCTGGAGCAGCTGAACAATCAGAGCATGATTCGCAATCTTCGTTTGACTCTTCAGCTGAGGAATCGCAATCAGATAACGAACATTCTGCCTCGGATGGCGAAAGCTCAGAAGAGGTCCTTGACAATAACCAAAGTAATCGCGCGATGGCTTTCAAGGAATGGGCACAAAATCAAATGAATAAAGACTCTGAGCCAGCATCTGAATTTAATGCCACTCAGATACCCAGAGATTATGTGAAATCAAAAGGTCCAGGTAGAGCATTAGCTGGTAAAGTGGAATTACCTTCCAACTCAATATTCCAAGATTCCTCGGACCCTAAAATAAAGCGTACAGTTAAAATTGACAGGAGTCAAGACTTGCAAACTTCGAGAATGCTTTTACCAGTAACTGAACTCGAGCAAGAGATAGTTGAAACGGTACTGCTCAATCCAATTACAGTTATTTGTGGTGAAACTGGTTCAGGTAAAACAACACAACTTCCGCAGTTCCTTTATGAGCGTGCATTTGGATCAAAAGGCAGCTGTAAGTGTTAAATTCATATTTAATAACGCAAACTAATTTTGAGCATCCAGTGAATCCTGGTATGGTCGCAATTACACAGCCACGAAGAGTTGCTGCAGTTTCTATGGCAAATCGTGTTGGTTCAGAGTTAGGCATAGGTTCACCAAAAGTTGCATACAAAATACGATACGATGGAAATACGAGTCCTGAAACTGCTATCAAGTTCATGACAGATGGTGTTTTGCTCCGCGAGCTTGCCAATGACTTTTTGTTGACAAAGTATTCAGTTATCATTGTGGATGAAGCTCACGAGAGAAGCGTGAACACGGATATTTTAATTGGTGTTTTGTCGAGAGTAGTAGGATTGCGTAATAAGCGTTGGAAGGAGAATTCAGAGAGTATGACACCGTTGCGGTTGGTGATCATGTCTGCCACACTTCGAGTTTCTGATTTTACCGAGAACAAGTCACTGTTTCAACAACAGCCACCTGTTGTTAACGTTGCAGCACGTCAACACCCTGTCACGATACACTTTGCAAGAAGAACCTCCCCTGACTATCTCGAAGAAGCCATGGCTAAGACTATAAAGATTCACAAGAAGCTTCCTCCTGGTGGTATACTAGTCTTCCTCACGGGTCAAGGCGAGATAGATTCAATGGTCAAGAAGCTTAAACAGAGGTTTGGCAGGAAGCATCAGTCCAAAGCACAAGTCACGTTGGATAGTTCACGCTTGTCTAAGTCAAATGCTGCAACTGGCGATGTCGAGATCGAGGATGTAGATTTTGGTAAAAGTGATGACCCTGCATTAGAATTAGATGATTACGACATTGAAGATGAAGAGGAAGACCTTGGAGAAGAATCTGGGTTTGAAGAAGCAAGAGAAGATGAGAGCACCAGTGAGTATTTAGTTGTCAAAACACGTCAATCGCAACTTACACGACCAGGTCCAATGCACGTTTTGCCACTCTACTCGCTTTTGCCTTCAGAGAAGCAAATGCAAGTGTTTGAACCTCCACCAGATGGATCAAGACTAGTTGTGATTGCGACAAATGTTGCAGAAACATCGCTCACGATTCCTGGTATTAGATATGTTGTGGATTCAGGCAGAGCGAAAGAGCGTTCGTACAACGAGCAGAATGGAATGCAAAGTTTCGATGTTTCGTGGATTTCAAAAGCTTCAGCTGCTCAAAGAGCTGGTAGAGCTGGACGTACTGGACCTGGACATACATATAGGCTATACTCTTCACCAGTATTCGAAAATCATTTCGAGCAATTTGCTAAACCAGAGATCTTGCGTATGCCAATTGAAGGAGTGGTACTTCAAATGAAGAGTATGAATTTGGATGTAGTCGATAATTTCCCCTTCCCAACTCCTCCGAATGCAGTTGGTTTGAGTAAGGCGGAGAAGATGCTTACTAACCTAGGTGCATTGACAAGCACATCGTTGACACAAGCCCAGAGTAGGTTCAAGATAACGGAATTGGGTCGTAGTATGAGTCTTTTCCCTGTCACTCCAAGATTTGCCAAGATGCTGGTAACTGGATTCCAGCATGGATGTTTGCCATATATCGTAGCAATAGTTTCAGCACTCTCGGTTGGAGATCCATTCCTACACGAAGAGGCATTGAAAGCAGGTCTGAATGATGATGACAGTGAAGATGCGCGTCAGGCAGTTAGAAAGGCCTACTTCAAAACGCAACAGAAGTTTGCATCTCTAGGCAAAAACACTAGCGATCTGTTTAAAGTGTTATCTGCAGTTGGTGCGTACGAATATGCAGGTGGTGGAGAAGCATTCTGTCGAGCAAACTTCCTGCGCCCCAAGGCGATGGAAGAGATACGCAAACTGAGAGCGCAAATCAGCTATCTAATTCAAAGCACTTATCCGAGCATAGACGCGAAATTTATTCCGAAACTCGACCCCCCTTCGCAGACTCAGGTGAAGGTTATACGCCAGTTGATAACGGCGGGGTTTATTGAACAGGTTGCAATACGCAAAGACTTGGTCGAAGAGAGTGAAAACTCTGGTAAGAAGTTCCAGTCGTGCCGTGGTATTGCATATAAGGCAGTAGGAATTGAGCAGGATGTATACATACACCCATCTTCAACTATATTTACAGAAGAGCCGCCAGGATATATTACATATACAGAAATAGTGTCAACATCTCAAGCGTATATGAAGGGAATCACATCGATAGACGTGAGCTGGTTGCACAAGCTGGGCAGGAGTATGTGTAGATTCTCGAAACCAATCGATGTACCAGCGAATGCCAAGCTACAAACAAGCAATACGAAGAAGGATGTGATCGTCGAGCCGTTCTTTGGTCCAGGCAGAGGAATTAAGTTGCCTGCAGTAAAGATGGAACAGGTGAAAGATAGTCACGGACGATGGGTGTTGTGTTGAAGCAAATGTACTATGATAATTTATAACATATAGAGATATTATTATATTGGAATTCGTAATGGACGCGTTGATATCAACGTCGATGACGGAATTTGATTCAGCCTTCAATGACGCGCAAAATCAAGTGATGCATCTGGTCGACGACTACAAGAGTTTGTCAGACGTGAGTTGGTGATATGCCTTGTCGATAACTCGCTCAAGTGATTTGATAGTCTTGGGAAGCAGTGACTGGATATTTGGAGCCAGTGTCGTTAGATAGCGCGCGAGCAGGTGTGTAGGACGTATTGTGGTCGCGATAGCTCACCTGGCTATCGACAGAAAAACCTCTGCACGCTTTCGAGCACATTGCAAATGCGAAACTTGGTCGAGATCTTCTCAAACACTATTACGAGCGGATAGAAAGCAAATTTGAGATAGTGACGAATGAGATTCAGTTGGGTTTGAGTGGATTTAGTAGTGGCCAGGTGGGTTCTGCACCACAAGCAGCACACAGACTGGTAGACTATTATCTCGAGTGGAAGAAGCCGATTGAATACATAGAGTCATGGATACACGACATGGACTTGGATTTCGAAAGCGAGGGTGAGAAGTATACCAAAATATACCACGATCAGCTCTTCTCATCACTTCCGACCAATTTATCAAGCAGTCTACGTCAGCACCTATCAGATATATTCAGCTTGAAGAATGACAGGAATGACAAGAATGAAGTAAACAAGAGTATACCGTCGTTGGACATTATTGGAGCACAGTCATTGATTGAGATACTCTCTGCTGAGATTCTTTACAGTGAGATAAGGCAGGAAGTTGACAATAACAGGGGACAATGGGATACACCTATCCTAGACAACCTACGCAAATGGATAGCATTCGGTGATATATCGACTAGAATGCTCTCGGTTATACCTACCGAGTCTCAAGAAAGATGGAATGAGACTTGGTTGCAGAGGTTTGACTTTTACGCGTGCGAATACTTTGCAGAAATGAGGTATTACGAGGTCTTTGTAGGTTGAGGCAGTAATTGACATGGATGTTGCAGGAGTGAAGAGCTGTTCGATATAATCGTCGATTATCCAGACTCGTCGGCGGCTGTGGATGATATCAGAGTGAGTTATTTGCTTGGAATAGACGGAGTGGCTCAATCACCATTGCTAGATGTGTTTGGAGCGTGTACAGTACAAATCACAGCTGATAAGAAAGTTGAAGTCATTGAATGATTTGAGATTATTACACGCAGGTGCATCAACAAACTTAATTCTAACACAATATATATCAACCATCAAATCACTTTTGATCGTTGATCCATCGGGCGTGCTGCTTTCGTCAGTCGCAGAGCCGATAAGGAAGTACCTTCGAGAGAGACCAGATACGATACGATCGATAGTTGCAAATTTTGTCGACGAAGAGAGTGAATTGGTTGATGATGATATGGATCGCGATGGAGACAATCACCTTATCATGCTAGACAATGACTATGTACCGGATTGGGATGATAGTAATTGGGAGCCTGAGCCAATTGACGCAGGACCAAACTTTAAGAATGATGGGCGTAAAGATTTGATCTCTACGCTCGTGAGTATATACGACAGCAAGGAGGTATTTGTGGAAGAGTTGCAAGTCATGCTGGCACAACGATTGATGTCACTGAAAGATTACAATTTGGAGAAAGAGGTGGGTTGGTTGAGTGTGTTAGCTGGTGATATTTACATTAACACCGTCATTCTGTTTAGATACGGAATATCGAAATACTCAAGCTGAAATTTGGAGAGAATACGCTGCATTCTTGCGAAGTGATGCTGAAGGATGTCGCAGATTCTAAGCGTATAGATCAGAATATCAGATCGCAAATAGAGGTGAGGATTTGCGAGTTTGCAGGAATTTAATCTGACCAAGATAACATCACAGACATTAATCCGACCAATAATAGTCTCGCGACAGTTCTGGCCAGAAATTGAGGATTACTCGTTCAAGTTGACAGATAAAATGAAGCAGTACGTTTAGTTTATTGGAATTAAGATTATTCTAACAAGTTTACAGATTTAGAGAGAGTTATGAAGACGCGTATGCCCTATTGAAGCCAGATAAGCGATTGCATTGGATACCGCAGATAGGGAACATATCGATAACGATAGAGTTGGAAGACCGTAGACTGGAATTGGATGTGACGCCATTCCAAGCAGCGACGATAGATTTGTTCGGAAGTAATGGTGAGTGACGTGACCAATTCTTGGCATTGAGTTGAGTGAGTGGCGTAGGTGGACGAATGACAGCCTCAGACGTGGAGGAAGCGTTGGATGCGCCGAATGAGGTGATAGTGCAAGAAACGCTTAAATTTTGGGTGAAGAAAGGGGTATTGAAGGAGGAGAAGAGCAAGGATGAGGGGATGTGTAGGTATCGCGTGATGGAAGTGTATGAGGCGACGTCACCAAAGACAAAGCCAAGAACTTCATTGTAGCTGTGAATTCTTTACATTGAGGCTGTGCCAAGCACCTTCCTGAATTGGAACAATGATGTCAACTTTAATGAAAATGAATGTAGTGCTGGTGGGATTGAGCCTGATTAACGTGGCAAGTGCTAGAAATTGTTATTACGTTAGAGGTCGGTAAGTTGCATACACAGCCACACAACAAATAAGCTAAATAGCGCAGTTATCGTTGCTCTGGGTTGAGCAGAGGAGGGAGAATTGGGATTGGAGTCGCCGTCGCAGTCGCAGTCGTTGTACTGATAGGGCTGATATCATTGCTATTCTTCTGCAGGCGTAGAAAGAGGCTCAATCAGCAGGGACATGTTTACGAGCAGCAGATGTATGCGCCAAATCAGCAGAATTATCCAGTCCCACAGATGCCATACAATCAAGGCGGGTATGGATATAATCCGCCACCAGGGCCACCACCGGGAATGGACGATCACCAGCCACCGCCGTGAGTAGAGGACTAAGTGGATGTACAATTAACTAAATAATGGCTGCAGATACCCGCCACCAACACACAAAGAAGTTTAAATAATTTTAATTTATATTTTAACCCATGTTGGAATGTGATTTACATATTTGGTAAACAACGTCATTCCATCTCGGCTTAAATTCCAACAGCCAGGACAAAGGGAATGGCTGCGATTGCTAGGAGAAGGATAGAGAGGCGGGATGCGAAGAAAACAGCGCCGATAGTGATTATCATATTACTCATCGTAATCGTCGTTGTGGCGTGGTTAGTCGGGGTCGAGAGGAAGAGAAGGCGGAAGAAGAGAGAATATGAAGCGTTCGTTAAGAGCCTTCCAGTGCTAGAGCAGCCCAATGTCGCAACTGGGATTGACGTCGGTAACACACACGGCCAATCCCCTTTAGATTTTATCAACGAAAGGTACTTTGGCAGGGATAATCACTTTTCTTCTGCTCAGAGGCATTTTGACGACTTTGACGATGAAATTAGTCCTGGGGATGCTGTACAAGGGTCTACACAATCACCACCAGTACATCCACCACCTGCTCACACCAATCAACCACCAACGCCTACAAACGAACAAGCAGCTGCAGCAGTTCCGCCACCACCTTCTTATACGGATTCTAATAACAATCTAAACATCCCACCACCTTCATATAATCGATAGCCCAGCTACAGCGTTACGCCGATAAATTATATTAATCTTACATTTAATACAATTCATGCTTTCTCAATCTCTTGGATATAATTGATAGATTCATCACTCTGATTGGCTTTGAGGATTTCTAACAAAGCTTCAACGTACTTGTTGGCTGCTTCTTCCTTGGACATGCCCTCAACAGACTTGTAAGCATCCCACTTTGCACGTCCAGTGAAGTCCATTAAACCTGGGCGACTTGTCTTTACGTCGCCTTCATTTGCTGTGTTGTGTTGTGAGTATTTAGCGTACGCTTGGTTGTTCACGAACCCTGCTTAAAAAGCGCGTAAAACTGTATAAATTTAAAATCAAATGGAATATACGTTAAGTGGATTCAACACTCACTCTCAACTTCTGATCTGTTGTTGTTTGTACAGGTCCCTCCTTTGGAAGTGAATTTACGATTGAGACAGCCTGTGTTTTTATGTAAGCTAGGATTGGATAAATACAGTCTACAATTTTAATCCACCTTCTCGAATTTTGTAGTCATGATTGTTCTCGCTGAGAAACTGCTTGCGCTGCTAACGTCATCAACACACACGCCTATTTAAAATGGCCTGTCTACCTGCGATTCCCCTGCTAGGCATAGCTAGCCCTATTATTTCTAGCTGCATTGGTGCTTTAGCTTTTTGCTGCACTTCCACTGCACTCTCCGCTATGTTCAAGTGCGTGCAACCAATCAACATCTTAGCGCTGTTCAATTAAACTACATTCAGATCTTGCAACTGCAACTCCTCCGTAGCTACCAGAGTTGGCTACAGCGTGCGTTACTCGCTCCCAATCCCTCTCACTCCCTCACACCTCCGCACAGATCATTTTCACTATAAACTCTTTACTCGCGTGGCTGATGCGAACTCGATGGGCTATACACGCCCTAGAGAAACTCACTTACGACTACCTCAAAATGGACTGCCCTTCCGGTAAATGCTACGGCGTCTTAGCCGTACATAGATTCTCTTTCGCCTTATCTCTCTTTCACGCCATTCTAGCTTTATCCTTAATTGGCGTAAAGGATACGCGTACTAATAGAGCTTCGATACAAAATGGGTGCGTTTTCTTTCCTCTTGATTTGGCTAATCTGACTTATTCCGTGTTTGTTTAGTTGGTGGGGTCCAAAGTATGTTATCCGCTTTAATACAAACTACAAACCTAACTCTCGTTTCTATAGATTCCTCCTCTGGATTTCCCTCATCTTTGTCTCATTTGCAATCCCCAACGAATTTTTCATTTTCTGGTCAAACTATATCTCCTTGATTGGCGGCTCTATCTTTATCCTGGTTGGATTAGTGCTGCTCGTCGACTTTGCTCACACCTGGTCTGAAACTTGTCTCGACAGGTGGGAGGCTTCACAGTCCAACACATGGAAGTACATTCTCCTAGCTTCCACTTTAGGTATGTACATTGCCTCAATCACTTTCACAGTCCTGCTTTTAGTTTTCTTTACTGGATCGAAATGCGTACTAAACAATGTGTTCCTTTCAATCCACTCTGTCTTAGTCGTTGCTATAACCGTCCTCTGCATTTCGCCATCAGTCCAAGACGCCAACCCCAAGTCTGGCCTAGCACAGGCTTCAATGGTAGCTGCATACTGTACATACTTGACAGCATCTGCAATCATCAATAAGGATGATGAAAATGGGGAGTGTAACGCAATCTCAGGTGGTTACCTAGCTTCACACACTTCAACGATTGTTCTCGGTGCGCTATTCACCCTCCTGGCAATTGCATACTCGACAACACGTGCTGCAACCCAATCTAAAGCTCTCGTTGGCAAGAATAAAAGCAAGATTGAAATATCAGGTGGTGAATTCCATGCATTGGAAAATGACACAAATGACGCAAATGAGAATGTAATTTCAAATCAACCCAAGAGCTCCGACAACATTCGCACGCAAGCTCTTCTGGCAGCTGTTGAAGCTGGTTCATTACCTGCATCTGCATTGCAAGATGCTCAAGATGAAGCTGAAAATGAAAATGAAAATGATCACGATGAGGACGTTATCAATAGTGAAGCTAACGACGATGAAAAGTCAGGCACTAAATATAATTATAGCTGGTTCCACATCGTCTTCATTCTCGCTTCTATGTATGTCGCTATGCTGTTGACTGATTGGAATAAAATTCAATCTGGTTCTGATAACGAAAATGGCGATCAGCTTGTTAGGATTGGTCGATCACCTGCTGCAATGTGGGTCAGAATGATAAGCGCTTGGTTGTGCTACTTTATCTACATATGGAGTAGGTTTAATTGTCTCATACTTCTGACTGTCACTTCTAACATGCACACAGCACTTGTTGCGCCAGTCTTCTTCCCAGATAGATTTGAAGGACTTCATTAATTACAATATCACAATTATCGCTGTAAATTAGTATATCATTTATGTTTCTTCTTTCTCATTCGCAATCCTAAAGGTGTCTCCCAGTTGGGAAAAACACAGGCACCTTTTCCTTGTACTCTTTCCAAGCATTCAAGGTGTTTTCATCAGCTTTCGCGAACTTTTCATCACTGATTTTCTCCTGCATTGAGACACCGCTAACGTATCGAATGAGAAGATATTCGAATAGGGGACTAGCGAAAGCGACAGCGCCGAAATAAGCTGGATAGACGGAAGGTACGCTAGCCAGAGTTCTCATAGTGAGAAGCGAGACGCCAATCCAAGTTGATACTTCTGCAGCATAATTTGGGTGTCTTGAGTAAGCCCACAAACCACTTTTGATGAAAGGTTCCTTATGTTTTCCGTCGGTCTTCTCATTCCTCCAGCGCGTTTTCTGCGCATCTGCAACATGCTCCATGTAGAGAGAAGACAACATCACAGCTACGCCTGCCATCTCTACCACACCCATGGCTGGGATAGCTACGTGTGCAGGAATAGCATTAATGGCATACACAGGCCATGCTGCTGCTATATTCCACATAGCTTGCCCAGCGAATGCAACTGCAAATTTACCTGGATATGGAGTGATATTCTCGAACCTCGAGTCTGTTCCCGATTGGAATGAACGCTTGCAGAGGAATATACCCAGTCTGGCTGACCAGAAGGCTACAAATGTGGTAGCGATCAGCGATTGCGCTGAGAGGTGGAGTGGGTTGGGCAGTGCAACGGGTGGCAGGCCGAGCAATTTGGCTCTGATAGCTGGATAGCAGAGGGAGACGCCCAATGAACTAAGGAATCCTACAACTACGTCAGATGATTGCTACCGAACGCATGTGGGGTATTACCAATTGATCTAAGTAAAATGAGTGAGGCACTTGTGGAGAATCATGCACTAAACTCACCCTACTAAATCACTTCACGGCCTCGACGTTAGCATTGCCTGGGTTGCCACTCAAGTCACTCACTACAGCCTGTCCTCCTTTTTCGGAATGCAGTAGCTTGCCGCTAGTGCATTCACCGCTACCGCCGTGGCGCTCACAGCCTTCAAGCTCGTCGCAGGTAATATTTTCGACAACAAAACCATGATGTGTGTGATGTGAGATGATACGAAATTAATCTATATTTATGTCATTACATTACGTCACATCACAGATCCTTGTTGACGCGCTTTTCTTCTAAATATTTTAGGTAGCGCTGCACATCTGTCCCTGTACCTCTTTTGTCCGGATCTACCGGCGCGAATTTGAGCGATGAGTGTGGTGTAAATTTCGCGAGTTTGAAAGGATGTGCTTCCGTTGAGAGTACATAATCATCGAGTGAGATTTCCTTTGGATCTGAGAATATCAGGTAGTAGTATTTCAGTGTCTCGGCTAGTACGAATGACTCCATATTATCCACTTTGTGTACGCGATCTGAGTCCACATCTTCGATGGCAGAAAACCCATACTTGGAATATGTGTGTCTCGTCCACGACGTAAACAACCTCCAGGCTCTCTCTCTCCATATGTCCTCCCCTGTCAATCTGTACATGACAAAAATGCTCTCAATGATCTCGGGCCTGCCAAGGTGTACGCTCGACATAGATATGTATCTGTAGGGTCGAGGCCACGTAGGTGGGATTGTTCTAACTACTTTCGTCACCTCTCTCTCACTCAGATCAAATATTGCTGATTCTGGTGCAAGTCCTGTTATCGTACTGTTGGCCATTTCGAAGCAGCTTTTTGTTAGTTTGCTTGCCAGACTCATGTCTTGCGGTCTGTTTAGTATTTTAGATCCCAATGCAACCATTCCGCCAGAGAAGCATGACAGGTGCTCCCATTTAGGCAAAATCTCATCATCATCGTCGTGTTTTCCGATAGAGAGCGAGGTCAGCTCACCTGATATTGTTAAATCTGCGAACCTTTCTATGTTTGACGGTATCTCGATTATCAACTTATCATTTATCGAGTCTAAAGCTTTGATGTATTGTTTTCCGTACCGAGACAACTGTGCATTGATCAACCTATACATCTTTATGAGGTATTCATAGTAGCTGTCACTCAAACCACCCAACGTGAACACGCCAGATCTTGGTGTCTGCGTTATCTCCTCATCCAATCTGACGTGTGTTGGCAATAATCCTGAAATCGTTGACCTCAAACTGAATAGTACATCTTGCGCTTTATTTGCAACATTCAAATACTTGTGATTACCTGTTATCATTGATAATTTTGCAAATTCGAGTATCATACTGCCAGATTCCGCTAAGATAGTGTAGTCTTCTTCACGAGATGGTTGGTTGGGATTTAGTACGCTCAACGGCATAGCAGAGGTTGTGTTGTATGCAATAACTAGGATATCCGCCAGCTCTATTGCGCGTGAAAGCATCAATCCATCACCACTTAAATCATAAGCGGACACTAAGCCACCAAGGTACCTAATATTAGTTTCAAATGTATGCAGTTCACCTATTGGGTTGTGCGAGTAGTTGAAATCGATCTGATTAACATCTAGAGTCTCTCGTTAGACTGTTGACAAAGACTATAAACATTAAAATGAACACTCACGCTGTCTAGCCTCCTCATACTCATCTAGCAGACCCATTATAAGTAGCGTGTCCAAATTATCCACAATGGTAGCTCCCCATCCGTTAAAAGGTGACTTCCTGAATTTACTCGAATGGCTAGTGAAAGGTCTGCCTGATATTGGGTGTATCTCATCGAAGCCGTACGCATTGGCTTTATAACCATTCCAAGCATGTAAGAAGGCATTTTTTACCACGTTTTGTCGATAAATTGTTTCATCATTGTTGGTATCACGACTAAATTTAGTCTGTACTTTTGGTATCGTCATATAGAATAAAGAGCTCAAGTCGGCAGTTGCTTTTGCGTTATCGTAGAATACATCAGCTACCACGCCGAATGGCTTTGAGGGTGCTGGTTTCCAGTCTTTCGGCGTAGGATACTGCTTGGATGGATTTAGCGCCTTAATATTTGTGTTTGGTGGTGTTTCGAGTTGAGTAATAGCAGTTGGAGGATTTCTTGCTCTGAATATCATCCACCTCGGATCAAGTTCCTCTATTGAGAGCTTGTCATAAGAAATGCGTTGATCAACGGGAATAGTAGCCGTCCTCTTACTCCGCTTGAAGGTGACAAAATAGCCAAAGAACACGGCTAGTATAAGAATTGCAGCCAGAAACTGCAACACCCTCATTCGCGCTTTGCTTCTAGTCATTTTAGTCACCCTTGTCATCCTCGTCATACCCATGATGACGTTTGTCTGGAAAGAAGAATAAAATAAGATTATTTACACTTTACATTTGGTAACCGAGTTGCACGTTTAATTCTCACGCTTAATTTTGTACGCGTCCTCTGAAGTTGGTAATGTGCTTGAAACCTCTTTGATCAACTTTGCGTAGATTTCGTCAGAATCGACGTGATTAAAGTGCTGTAGTGGGCCTGTTAGCTGAAAGTACCTATCACATACCTATCACACTCACCTTCAACTCATGCTTCTTGTTTTCAGCCGCTTCATCCTTACGCTTAGCACGTTGATCATTTTCAATCGCTGATTTAGCCTTGCCAGCTTTATCGTAGTTGCCACTACGTATGCCATCTGCAACGTCTTTCCACACTAATCTAGATTCAGGAATTTGTTGCTCTTCAAGTGGCTTAACAGTAACTTCTTCCTTTGGAATTTGAGCATCAATGTTCAAATCACCCTTTGTGTCTTTGGTAGTGCCAGTCCATTGACCTTCAAGGTTTGCAATTGATGTTGAGTCCTTTGTGAGGGAGGCTTTGTAAGAATGGGCTTTACCAGATAGCCAGCCTTTACCCTTATAATCTATGGTTACACAAGTACCATTAGATCCAACGATATAACTGAGTTCTGTTAGTTCAATGTAAGGCTTCCCGTATAAGATACCATCAATTTTCAGTCTTGGTAATGTGATCAAGTAATCTTCGACTGAGCCATCTTCAAGCTTAACAGACAAGACTGAGTGACCAACTTGCTTAACTATGATTGAAGGTGCGCTGAATGATGTCTTTTGGCCTGAGTGTCCTTCTAATGAGACCCCTGCTTTTTCATTGTTAATGTAGAAAGCAGTAATTGGAGGATGGTCTTTGGTGGTAGTGTTAGAATCCGTTGAATGTTCTTATAAAACTCACGCGAAACTTGCTCAACAGTCAAATCAGTCTTGCCCCGTCCATTGGTATCTGGCCAAGAACCGTAAAAGGTCTCACCAAGAATTGGGTTTAGAGGTTTCTTCTCGGAGCCCATTTTCTCGTTCCTGGTAGCGTATTGACATTTGAGTGTGAGGATAAACCAGCGTAACACAAGTTTAGCACGCTCTTCAGGGGTTTTACCTGAGGAAATAGCGGCAAATTCACTGTAAGGTTAGTATTAGGGCGTGCATATACGCGACAATAGCTCAAATTACTCAGGATGCTCACACCAGTATGCTAATTAGTGCTACGTCAGTGATTGTGGAGATACCGAGGTGAGGAAACACACCAGGGAACTCAGTGAGTGATGTAGGCGAGAGAATGAAACTAATTACGCGTTAGAAAGGTATAAGCCACCAAATAAGGCTCACGATGGGGCAGTTAGGCTAGAGAGGTCACCTGACCAGGATGCTAATCCCTTTACGAAGCTGGACCAGCTGGATTGCTGTGAGCCACGTGAGATAGGAATAATATAAATCATGAGCAATTCCCACTTGATGCGCAGGTACTTGAGATTCCGCCGAAGACATAGTGATCGTTGTAAATGTAAACGCCCCAAAGATCCCAGGCTGATCAACGCAATCATCATCAAACTATTGAAAATATAAAGTTAAAATGAATAGACCAATGACACTATCAGAGAATGATTTTGATAGTGAATTACCCCCTCTGGGTTCTACGCGCTGTTATTGGGTCCTGTTGGATCGCAGCTTCAACTTTGTATATCTCGATCCTGTGCTGTCTTCGCATGTCAGTGGCTTATAATATGTGTAGGCCCATCTCACTCTAACCCGCAGATGAAATCGCAATCAAATTCCCTCATCGGAACCAGTTTCTATGACTATTTACATCCAGCTGAATCAAACGAAGCAAAGCAAGATATTCAGTCAATAGTTCAGTCCGAGAATATCCACGGCTCTATTATTAGAGTTAGATTTGTGCGCCTTCCTTTCATACGCGTTCATTTGGGCAGTAAAAGTCCGGTTCCATACCACGTTTCTCAAATGTGCGCAGACAAATCTGATAGCACTTATATCCCCTTAGACTTGGTCATTAGCTCGATCCACGATGGTCTTTACCTCTGCTTCTTTCACGCCGTTTTAGATAAGAATCCTCATTTCAACAACAACGCCGACTCTATTTGGACTAACTGGTGTCATACGCCTATATTCACTGAAAGGCACACTCAAATTCTCGAGCAATCCCTTCTCAATTGGTCCCGATATCAGCCACCTACGCCTCAAAAGTTTACTATTCCGACGCGTATCTTCCAACTAATCCGACAATCTTCAAACGAGAATACCAATATCGGCCTCAATCACGTCATCTACTCGTGGCCACCATCAGACGGCAGCACCGGTGAGGGTCCTTACAATCCTTCGTCATTCGCATCACTTATGAGCGAGATATCAATCAATCAAAGCGCAGCTAGTCAGTTGACTGGTGCTGCCACAAGCTGTTCGCGGAGATTCAAAGCTAGACATCAAGCAAAGTGCAACGAAAATTACTACACTGTAGAGTCAATGTTTATTCCGTACGGTGCTATCATTTTTGCATGTTTCAAGATCGAGTTCGAATACCCAGTCGCAGCTACAAAAAGAACAGCAATATCACCGAGTGAAAATTCTCATCAAACTACCACATTGTTCGATAGTACTTCATACGATCAATCTTTATACCTGCATCCCCAGCCATTCTATCAACAAGCAGCCGCACCTGGGCCTCAATTCAGTTTGGTAAACGATTGGACTGGTTATTCTGCATCACCATCCACATCTGAAGCTCCAATCAAAGATGAAATCGCTCAACAACAATTGCCATCACCGGTTGCACCAATTAAAGATGAGTTCAGCCAATCACATCAGCTACCTCCACCGCCACCTCCACCAGCAGCAATCCCGGTAAAAGCACCGCTCAATCTTCCGGAAGCAAACACATCTGGTAGCAGCAACATCAGCAACAAGAGTAACAATAACTACAACCACAACTACAACCAAGTCAAGCCAAATACGGACAAAGTAGGTTGCACGAGTTGCGGGAAGGAGAAAAGTCCAGAGTGGCGCAGAGGTCCATCAGGAAAGAAAGACCTCTGCAATGCTTGTGGTTTGAGATATGCTCGTGCAATAAGTAAATCAGAGACTAGTGGTGCTACTCTCAGTGGTAGGCGTAAAAAAAGTGATAGCAAAAATAACACAAAGAAAAATAAAAAAGCTTCACTGTCGCCAAATCCTTCAAGTAGCAATCTTACGGGAAATGCCCCACTTAACTTAACTAAATCAACACACTCATCTCCAAATCTCAATGTAGATGCACCTACACTTGAAAAGCCAATGTTCTTAGCACCAAAAGATAATGATATACCATTCAACTTTAATGGATTCATTCCAAAATCACCCCAACAATCTTCAAATCTTGATTCATACGATAGTAGTCATTCATATCCAAAGCTTTACAACCAAGAAATAAATGATCAGTACCAGATGTCCCCCCAATTACCACTTCAATTACCCCCTCAGCAGCGGAATCTTGCATACATTAACCCAACACTATATAGCAATGATAATAGCAACGCAAATCAATTTCAATTCAATAACGCCTCAACTAATGCTAATCAGACACCTTCTTTTTTACCGTGAAGTTTTTATTTGTAATTATAATTTTCACTCTTACTTGAAGCATAATCGAAAGATGCAAAAAACGATTTATTACAAAGTAGAACAGACATTATAGTATAATTATTTACCTGTATAAGATTAAAGGGATTATTTTGCTTCACCAATACCACCACTGCCTTCTTCATCCGAATTATCATCCTTTCTATAGTGTTTTGGTTGATGATTCTTATTTTGTTCGCCAAACACCTCAACAACAGCACTGAATGATCTAGTCCGTGCTCGCTTTGAAGTGTCAAGTGTATCTTCTGAATGCACACTATACATTTCATTATTCTGTGATGACTGTAATGTGTCGTTATTGGTGATGAAAGAGCTGTTTGGTAGAGATGGAGGAACAATTGGCGTGGTGGCTCTAACGTCTTGATTTAGGGATTGACGAGGTGTCTTTTCTTCGTAATGATTGTCATCGCTTTCACTCTCACTATCATCATCCACAACTCTTTGAAGGTAGTTGCCGTGAGTTTCGTCGCTGCTGTTGCTGTCCTCAAAGGCTGTAGTAGGTCTCCAGGCAGACATGATGTAATCATCATCCTGCTCACGCATTGGTGATATAGCCGTGTTAAACGACATACTATAATCGCTTGATCCTCCTTTGAAGCTCTTCCTTCTATTTCTTCTAGGCGCCTCAATGTCTGACTGTCTATCTAGTATTCCTTGTCTTGATGTAGTGCGTGAAACTGCACTGTTAGTGCCTTCCTGAGGGTTCTTGCCTTTGCTGCCGATTGAGGATATCGCACCCATTAATCCAGACTCATTTGTAGGCGCGTCTTCTATGAATGGCAAACCAGCAAATAGTCTCAGCAGGCCCTCTAGGATCTTTGTCAAGACTATGATCAAAGCGACAGCGAAAACTATGCCTTGTATCACGAATATGACGTAAGTCACCCATCCCGCTGCAACGTAGTTGATGTTCACCTAGGCTATGGTTAGTATGAATAAAAAATACGACAACAAACTACCCACAGCTGGACACAGAACAATAAGCAAAGCACTCGTAATCACTCTGGCAACTGAATTGAGGAAAGTGAGCAGTCCCATCTGGGCGCCGTAGCCCCAGGGTGACCATATGGTTATCATCAGCAAGCCAGCCAGTTCAACTAAAAGTAAAACTACAGATTGAGCAGTACCTGAGACTTGAACAGCGCCGATAATGATACCCTCAATGAGATTCTGCATAAAAAAGAAACCCCAGAATAAATGACTACCAGGTCTAAAGACATTGTAAAGCGGACCTAGAGCGAGAATTGTTCTTGTTGCATCGTATAGTTTTACTGTTGGAGTCCTGCTCACTCTAATAAGGATATAAATTGGGAAAGCCAAACCGATGAAGACGAGAGAAAGAACAGCAAATGCAATACTGACTTTGGTAGCGCCATCGTTGCTTAATGACAGCTGGTATACCGACAAGATGGTGATAGGGAAGTGGAAGAGTAGAAGCAACCTGAGTAAATTGCCTTGTAACAATTTCCAGTGAAACCCACCACTTGCACCACCCAACCTCATCTCCCAAATAGCACGACGGAAACCAGAGCGGGCATTGTTGTGATTGTTGGAAGTAGTTGTTTGGAATCTTTTGAAAGCGGATGAGTCGTTAGTTTGCGGGAGTGTCAGTTCCTGAACAGACTTTTGTCTGTCGTCTACACTGCCATCGGAACCATTGTTAGATATAGAAAGTCTCTTGACCAGACTGCGATCTTCACGACCTTTATTTGCGTGTCTTCTCCATATAATGATACCCAGGGAATCCAAAGTCCATAACAAGAGACTTGCAGCAATCAATACAGCAGCAATTGCCAAAGCTAAAGCGATACAGCAACCGTACAAGTCATCTTTATGTAGACCGATAACTTGAGATAAACTATCCAAACCTGCAGCATGGCTGACGTTTCCATCATCGAGTAGGTTGTTTGGACTATCTCTATTCAAATATAACGGAGAAGTGTTATTCTCGAATAGTAAGGTATCGAATGGAGACGGTATGGACAATGGTTGGGTTGATAGTGGATCGACATGATCTGAAGTTGTCAACGAGATGTTATATAACAGCGAAGACCACACAACTTGGTTAAAGAATGGGTAGGAGAAAGAGGGCCAATTTACAGCCACCATACCCAAAGCAGCGCACCATTGAGTGTGCAGAATGATATTGCCGACTGAAGGAGTAACGAATCGCAGTAAACCAGGGGTATTGCTAAACATCTGACCGGAAATGCCACCAACAAGACTAGTTTCAAGTCTCTGTCTGCTGGCCCAAGTTCTGACAAATTTTGTGGTCTTGGCTTTGCGATACGCAGCACCGATACTTGCAATAGACTGTACGACAAGGAAAGAGATGCAAGTAGAGACGGTGATCCAAAAGATGAGCTTGTAGAACCAGCCATTGGGGTAGTAGGGGGTGAGAGGAACATCGATACAAGCCATTTCGCGCGCGGGATCGGATGCATCAAGGAGGCGGAGAGTGTTTACGAGGGTAGTGAGAGCGTACGGGTGAGATGCAAAAGCTGCGGGTTCAGGGAGTGGAGTGTGTACACCGATAGCAACTTGACCTTGCGGAGCGGGACAAGCGGGGTGGTTTGAAGTAGAATTGGAGCCGAGGACGTGGTCGCAGAGGCTGACTGGGTTATCGTATAGCTCAAAAGAGAGAGCACGGGAGTGAACTAGTAAAGTAGCTAATCTGTCCGTTGAGCTATTCCGCTCGCTGAGAGTGTCTTGCATATCACCAATCAGCACAGTTCTAAGTATATTTTGGCCAATTTGAATATTATCCGTGGCAGATTCCGCTTTATCTAGCTGAGTGTACACGCTGGTTATATTGATTCTGTTATCATCTGGAGCAGTTTGGTATCCAGACTGGCAACTCGAGAACGGCGCCAACTGAGGCTGCGCTAGAGTAAAAGTATACGTGGATATTGATATTGATATTAGAATTCTTTTTAAATTCATTTTTGGTATCTTTACATTTAATCTTGACCGTTAGAAATCAAGGTGCATTCCTCGTGAATGTCGAGAGATGCGAGCGCAGTTTGAAAGATGCAGAGAGGTTATTTGGTTTTTGTGGGAGCTGATGATCAGGCGCTCTCAACGATGTTGCTCTTCTTCCTTGCAAATATTGCCCTGTGTTTTGCACAGCGAACAGGCACAGCGAGCATGCTCTACTGCGACGTACCCAATAAAATTGTTTTGGTTGTTGAGAAAATATTCAAATCTCTCAGCGCGTGACAGTTGCTCCTTGGACACAAACGTCAATGGCACAGCTGCTAGATCTCAACTCGATTAGATCAGTTCTGGTTAGATTGGAGGACACTATAATATTCAGCTTGATAGAGAGGGCGCAGTTCAGCTGCAATGCTCGCACTTATCAGCCATGCGCGTTTTCCAACGAGTTACCAGGCTGGCAGGGCAGCTGGCTTGATTGGATTCTTCTCGGTACCGAGGAGTTTCAAGGTGGGCGTTTTTTGTGTTAAATTCAGCTTTTCTGACAGTTCACAGCGAAAGCCAGACGCTACCAAAGCCCAGACGAATACCCATTCAGTAATCCATCCGACTTGCCTGATCCGGTACTTCCCCCGCTCGAATATGAGCCAGTGCTGCACGAGCCAGCGGTAACCAACGTAAATGACAAAATAATGCAATTTTATACCCAAGAAATAGTACCGTCAATCACCAAACCGGGCGATGATCTTAACTACGGCTCAACCGCTACGAGGGACGTGGAGACGCTGCAGGCTGTATCGAGGAGGGTACACTATGGAATGTTCGTATCTGAGAGCAAGTACAGAGCGGACGTGGATACGTTCAACACGGCGATCAAGGCGAATGATGTTAAGACACTGGAATCACTCATCACAAAACCCCAAGTTGAAGCAGCTCTGCTTAAACGGTTGGAAAGGAAGGCGAGGCATTACGGACAAGACGAGAGCCAAGGAGGGAGCATGCATGATATGAAGGTAGATCCGGAAGTGGTCGTGAGAATGTACAAAGACCATGTCATTCCACTAACCAAGGTAGTCGAAGTGAGTAGAGACCTCTTTAACGTTCAATCTGACGCGTTTTACAGGTCGAGTATCTTCTGAAGCGCATTTGAAGACGATTTGATTGTAAATGAAATTTATACTTAATTCGGTATTCTTGACTTGACAACTTGACCTAAGTCAGTCATGAGCGTGATTGGTAGAATTACACATACATTCCCATTAAGAGCACAAGTTCAGGCCAGATTTGTTAGCCGATCAGCTCCAGTATTTTGTAGGCTTGGAAATCGTCGTTAATGGCCGCGCTTACACCGATCCAGCGACCAAGACACAGGACGCAGAGAAAGAGAAGGCGAGAAAGCAGCTGGAGAAGGAAAAGGAAAAGGCTAAGAAGGCTAAGGATGCTGTAAAGACGAAGCTTAGCCCACCAAAGCAAGCGCCAACCGCATGGCAGCTATTCTTCATTGAGGAGTTAGATAAGGCGAGACAACAAGGTAAAATAGAGATTGGCGTTATTAGCCACTCAGCTTCTGAGCTCTACAAGAAACTGACAGATGCCGAGAAAATGCCCTACGTTGAACATTCCAAGGAACTTCGTGCAAAGCAGGCAAAGGAGTTCGCTGAGTATATTAAGTCGCTCCCATACGATGTTCTCAAGAAGGAGAACTCTTTACGCACCAAGCTTCGTAAGCAGGGCAAGAAGGGCGTTCAGAAGATCAGGGACCCAAATGCGCCAAAGAGACCTCTTACAGCGTACTTTGCGTATTTGAAGGATTTGAGGGATAAAGAGGATTTCAGGCAAAGCATTTTCGGCAATGATGCCACTGGCTGGCTCCAGTCTTCCATTATCGACCAGTCAAGAGCTGCGTCAGACAAGTGGAAAGCGCTTTCAGAGGACGTCAAGCAGACATACAAGGACAAAGCTACAGAGGCTAAGAAGAAGTACGAAGATGCTAAAATTGAATATCAAAACTCCTTCTTGTAATCCATCATGAACTTGCTTGAGTCTTCGCAGACTCAGAAATCGCGATGGCGGTCGCATGAGTTTAAACTTTATTACGTCGTTTTCATCGTTATGATACCAATCATATTCTACATTCCTTTCCAAATATCTACGCAACAGCACATAAACTATGCGCGTTATAGCTCCAGACTAACGGATGGTTGGCTATTTGGAAGGAAAATAGACCTCACGGATCAGCAGTACAAGTCGTTCAGGAACAATCTCAGCCATCTTGCTTTTATTTCTGCAACACACGTTGTTATTTCACGCGTTTTGAAGAAGATACACAAACTGACTCAGATGAATTGCAATTGGATTCTCTGCATTGCGGTGCTCCTCGGACTGCATTCGTATCAGTTTGTCTTCCCAATCGCTGTCAGTCTGCTGTCGTACATTCTATCAAAGTGCTTGGCAGGCTACAAACACTTTTACGCGCTGATATGGATGTTCAATATTATCACGCTGGTTGCTATAGAGTATTACAACGGCATCTCATTTAGTCTGATTCACCCTGCGCTCGCTCACCTCAATAATAGTCGCGGTCTGGTAAGATGGTACGTCTTTTACAAAATGACAATGCTCAGAAACATCTCTTTCGCTCTCGACTTGCACTGGATGAGAAGAGATCGCAAAGCGTACAAAGCTATACCAATCAATGGTCTCTCCTACTCTGAGAGGAAGAATGTGCCCCTTTCCGAGCAAGATTACAGCGTAAACAACTTTATATACTACTCCTTCTACCCCCCTCTCTACTTGGCGGGACCGATAATCACATACAATGACTTTGCACATCAAACATACCTACACTTCAAACCACCTACGCTAGAATACATAGCAAAATACGCACTGCGATGCTTGTCTTCATTCTTGACACTGGAATTCACTTTGCATTATATCTACGTCGTTGCGATCAAGAATACTGGTGCATGGAGGAACGATACCCCTGCGCAAATAGCATTGATAGGATTCTGGAACTTGATAGTAGTGTGGCTGAAGCTACTAATACCGTGGCGTTTCTTCAGGCTGTGGAGTTTGATAGATGGTGTTGATTGTCCAGAGAACATGATACGCTGCGTCGCGAACAATTACTCAACAACCGGTTTCTGGAGATCTTGGCACAGGAGTTTCAACCTGTGGATAATACGCTATATCTACATACCACTGGGCGGCACGAGGTATGTATGGGTGATAACGCCTGTCATATTCGTTTTTGTTGCGCTATGGCATGATCTACACTGGCGATTGCTGGTATGGGGAGGGCTAGCGAGTGTGATAATCGTGCCAGAGTTGCTAGCATCGCATTTCTTGCCGGCGCAGAAGGTGTGTAGTGCTCGTGCGACTTTACCTACAAGTTATTCGGCTGACAAAAAAACCCCATAGTACAGTCACCGGTGGTGGTACAGGCATGCATGCGCAGCGGGCGGCGTTCTTAACATTGTTGCACTAATGGCGGCGAATCTCGTAGGATTCGTACTAGGTATAAGAAACACTAGGAACTTTCTCACAGATCTAGTCTTCTCCGTCGAAGGCTGGCAGTTCCTCGCCATTGCCCTCCCGTCTCTCTTTGTCGGCGTGCAAGTGATGTTTGAGCTGAGGGAGTCAGAGAAAAGACACGGGGTGAATCTGCGTTGTTGAGGTGGTGTATTATATACATTTTACACATTCAATATCCGCATTTTGCCATAAAATTTTCAGTTTATCTCCCCTTATATAAAGGCTGTGGGATAGAGCTTCTCAATTATTCACGACGATCAACGCAAAATGGCTTGTCAAAACGATTGCAAGTGCGTTTATTTGTTCAAAGCCCACACACTCACACAGACACACACTCACCACCACACAGATCCTGCGGCGCGAGAGACGAACCAACTACGAAATGCCAATGCAAGCCAGGCGAATGCACCTGCATAGGGTGCTGGAAGAGTGCGCACCACAAAGATGTAAGTGGTGTAGATTGCTCAAGTGACGTAGCTGAAGTAATAAAGTGCACTTGCTCGGGCAGTGGAAGTGACTGTGGCTGTCTCAAAGAGGGCCGCGCGTGTACCTGCTGAAGACGGCTGAGCACAGGGTGCAAATATTTCTTGTAACATTAAGCATGTATTGTATAGTCTTTATTCGAAGATGATGTGCCGGATTGTGTTACTGCTGAGTATTCTCGCCGTTCAAATCAATAAATTAGCTTATCGATCGGCTTATCGAGTGCCGTCGGGAGTAGTCGGAGCCAGTGTCTTCTTGTTTCAGGGCAGAAGCGGCAGAGGATTACGGGTCAATGGGGTAAGTTGAAAGATGCTAAATATGCCCATAGAAATCCCCCGAATATAGAAATCACTCAGCCTACCCGCAGCCCAAACAAACAAACACCCCAACAGTTCGAATGGAAAGGGCGACGGGCGGTGTACTTTCCCAGCCAGCCACAGAACCACACAAACCCCTCGCCACACTCGCCAGCCTCTGTTTATGCGCCCATTTTAGATTTTCCCCAACCGATTCAATCACAAAATCACGGTCATTTTCTTGAAGCTCTTCAACCAATTCGAATAAAATTAAATTAAAATTTCTGGGCTCATGTCTATTCTAAACGCAGCCAAATCACTCGTAGGAATTGAGGAGCAAAGAACACTCACCGTGCAATCTTCACAAACACGTATCGGTATCCCGGTTTCGCGCAATGTGTGGTGGAAAGCTGAGATACTGCGTGAGAATTTCCTCCAATCAGCCTACTCCCTGGTAGAGCAGGACGAGAGCGCTGAAGATGATTTCGCTCAATTGGAGCTTCTTAGCAAGTTTTTGAAGTGGGTTTCTGTCTTGTCTGGCTGTTTACTTGGCTTATTGGTTGCACAGATTCGTTGCTACAAGCCAACTTGATGAGCAATCCCTCTACGTTCTCCAGGCTTCTCTCGTCCATTTCCACCAAGTCCACCTCTCACATGTCGACGTACACAACTTAACCGCAAAGCTTGACGCTGAATTACGCAAGCTCGTCTTATCCGCTTTCTTCAAGTCGAGAGCCGCGTTGGAAGCTGCGGGCTTAGAAACTCCTCAATCCCCACCATCAGCTCTGATCCAGCAATCTATTCAAGGAAATGCTAACGTCTACGCTCTCTTTGGTGGCCAGGGCGCTAACGAAGTCTACTTTGATGAGTTACAGAACCTTTTCGATATATATCAGCCATACGTTGAAGACTTCTTGACCGAATCATCAAAAACTCTGATCGATTTGGCTAAGAATGCATCAAATAACGGTTCCGTCTACTACAGTCAATCCATCGATCCTGTTGGCTGGCTCAAAAACTCGTCTTCCCGCCCCTCAGTAGCTTACTTAGCATCTATTCCACTTTCACTTCCACTCATCGGTCTAACTCAACTTGTACAATACCTCGCATTCGCCTCTGCTTGCTCTCTTACCCCTGCTCAACTAAGAGAAAACATTCACGGTGCAACAGGTCATTCTCAAGGTGTAATCTCCGCCGTTGTTGCCGCTGCTTCTGATTCTTATCAAGATTTCACTTTAAATGCAGTTAAAGCTCTCAAACTTCTTTTCTACATTGGTTTGCGTGGTCAAGAGACTTTCCCAACCCTTTCAATTGAACCTGCTCTCGTTGAGGATTCTATTGAAGGCGGTGAAGGCGAACCAACTCCTATGCTTTCTGTTTCTGGTTTATCTTTATCTGTTTTGGAGTCATTCGTCAATAAGACCAACGCTCATTTGGCTGATTCTTCAAAGATCGATATCAGACTTTTGAATGGCCCAAAGAACTTTATTGTCACTGGTCCTCCTCGTAGTCTCTACGGTTTAGTCACTAATCTTCGCAAAGTCAGAGCCCCAACTGGCTTGGATCAATCAAAGGTTCCTTACTCAAAGAGAAAAGCCGTTTTCAATGCTAGATTTTTGGTCGTCGGTGTCCCTTACCATTCTCCTTATCTCGCCGATGCCATTCCAAAAGTTTTCGACGAGGATTTGGCAAAGGAAGAACTGTGGTCTCCTTCAGATTTGAAATTGGCCGTATACCACACCGAAACTGGTCAAGATTTACGTGAATTGTCTAGCGGCTTAACGAAATCACTTCTCATCCAAATCTTCACTCAACCAATATACTGGACAAAGGCAACCAATTTCCCTGAATCTGCCACTCACGCAATCGACTTTGGTCCAGGTGGTATGTCTGGTATTGGTCCACTCACTCAACGTAACTGGGAAGGTCGCGGTATTAGAGTTCTTATTCCAGGCGCCAACGGTAAGCTTGGCTCAGAAATCTACGGCTCTTCTCTCATCAAGGAGGAGAAGTGGAGTGAAAAGTTCCAACCCGCTCTCGTCAAGACTAAGGATGGAAAGATTCACCTAGACACTCCATTCTCAAGAATGCTCGGTAAGCCTCCACTCATGGTTGCTGGTATGACTCCATGCACTGTCAAGGGTGGCTTCGTTTCTTCGGTCCTCAACGCTGGCTACCACATCGAGTTGGCTGGTGGTGGTCACTATAATGCAAAGATGCTTCGCGCGAAGGTGGAAGAAATCCAGCAAAACATTCAACCTGGTAACGGTATCACTTTAAACGCGCTTTACATCAATCAACGTCAATTCACCTTCCAATTACCGCTTTGGCAACAGATGCGTCAAGAGTGAGTACCTTTGCCTCGAGTCTTACTAACGCTAATGTGACATCAGGGGTCTTCCTATCGAAGGTTTCTGTGTTGCTGCTGGTATTCCATCTTCAGAGAAGGCTACCGAGATGATCAATTCCCTTAAGGAGTCTGGCATTAAGCATGTTTCCTTCAAACCAGGTTCAGTTGAAGGTATTCGCCAAGTCGTCAACATTGCTGCCGCAAACCCATCTTTCCCAATCATTATGCAATGGACAGGTGGTCGTGCTGGTGGCCACCACTCATGCGAAGATGTTCATCAACCAATCATTCAGACATACGCCTCTATCAGACAGCACTCAAATATCTCGCTCGTTGCTGGATCTGGATTTGGTGCAGCTGATGACTTCTGGCCTTACTTGACAGGTGACTGGTCGTTGGAATTCGGTCTTCAACCAATGCCATTCGACGGGTCCCTTTTCGCTTCACGCGTCATGGTAGCCAAGGAGGCTCACACCTCTGAGTCTGTCAAGCAACTTATCGTTGATGCACCTGGTGTTGATGACAAGGACTGGGAGCAGACTTACGATAAGGTGACTGGTGGTATCTTGACTGTTCGTTCCGAGTTGGGTGAGCCAATTCATAAGATCGCTACTCGTGGTGTTAAACTGTGGAGAGAGTTCGACGATACCGTCTTCAACCTTCCTCGCGAGAAGCGTGGTCCCTGGTTAGAAGGAAAGCGCGACTACGTCATCGGCAGACTCAACAAGGACTTCCAGAAGCCATGGTTTGGCGAAAAGGCAGACGGTGTTGTTGTGTCTGACATTGGCGACATGACATACGAGGAAGTAACTAGACGTATGGTCAAACTTCTCTACGTTGCCCACCAGTCCCGTTGGATTGACGTATCTCTCCGCAACCTCGTCGGTGATTGGTTGAGACGTGTCGAAGAGCGTTTCTCTGCTGTTGATGGTACTGATAAGATCTCCATCTTGCAGAACTACTCTTCCCTCAACTCCCCAAGTGATTTCATTAACAATTTCTTCACTGAATACACTGGCGCTACTGAGCAACTCCTTGCCGCTGAGGATAAGGCATACTTCCTTAATATTACTCAACGCCCTGGACAAAAGCCAGTTCCGTTTATCCCTGTTCTTGACAACTCATTCGAAGTCTGGTTTAAGAAGGATTCGTTGTGGCAAGCTGAGGATATGGATGCAGTCGTCGATCAAGGTGGGTTGCGGTGCAATTTATTTTTTACTAACTTTGCTAACTTTTCTTTTAGACCCACAACGTGTCTGTATTCTTCAAGGACCTGTTGCTGCCAAACACTCTACTAAGGTTAACGAACCAATTAAGGAATTGCTCGGTAAAATCGAGGAGCAACTCGTCAAGAAGCTTCTTGACCGCCGCTACAATGGCGATGCTTCTAAGGTCCCTGAAGTCGACTATATCGGCGCTCAGCTTGCCATTACGTCAGCCAGCCAAGCTGGTCTCATTGAATCCCACAAGATCATCTCAACGACTGAACAAGATAAGCAAATCTACCAGATCTCTGACAGTCTTCCATCAGCCGGTGAATGGCTGGAGAATCTCGCTGGTCGTCAAACTGGATGGTTCAGAGCGTTGCTTACCTCTCCAATCCTCGTCCAAGGCAAGGGTTACGCTACCAACCCAATGAAGAAGTTGTTAGCTCCTCGTGTTGGCCAGAAAGTTGTTATTGCCATGAAGAATGGTGAGCCTGCCGGTGCTGAGCTGTATGGTGGCATTCGTTCAGCTGGTGATTCGGATCCAAACTTCCAAGCTATCAAGATCTCTTACGACGAGTCCATTAAGCGTATTACTCTCGTTCTCTCCGAAGAGCGTCGTGGCGAGAGCGTACCGCTTACCTTCATATACGACTACAAGCCAGCAATAGGGTACGCACCAATCCACGAAGTCATGGAGGGTCGCAACCAGCGTATCAAGGAATTCTATTGGAAACTCTGGGAGCTCGGCACACCAACTGAACTCAACGTTCGCGACACTTTCACTGGCCCACCTTTCACCATCGATACTGCCACCGTAGAGAAGTTCTGCGCTATCATCGGCAACGACGGCGAGGCATTCAAGTCGAACAGATCGGATGAAGTTCAAGCACCAATGGATTTCGCTATCGTTACAGGCTGGCAAGCTATCATGAAGTCCATCTTCCCTAAGGAGATCGACGGTGATTTACTCAAGCTTGTCCACTTGTCAAACGGATTCAAGATGGTTGATGGTGCACGTCCTATCGCTGTCGGTGATGTTTGCTCGGCGGAGTGCAAGATCGTCTCCATTGTCAACTCGGACTCCGGCAAGACTGTCGTGGTTAAGGGACACGTCGTCAGAGATGGGAATCCAGCCATTGAGGTCTCATCTTCATTCCTCTATCGCGGTAAATTTGATGACTACGAAAATACCTTTGAGATTACAGATGATGCTCAATACAGAGTTACTCTTAAGAGCGACTCTGATGTTGCCCTTCTCAGATCTAAGGAGTGGTTCCAATGGGAAGACGAGAGAATACCTCTTACTGTCGGTACCACATTGATCTTTGATACTCAGTCTGAGATTCATCACGGAAACGCCACCTCATACAAATCTTTGAGCGTCAGCGGCCGTGCCAATATTCGCAACCAGCTCAAGGAACTCGTTCCTGTGGGTTCTATTGGATTGGAAACTGGTATGACTAAGGGTAACCCAGTCAATGAATACCTTAGACGCAACGGCGAGGTCATTAATGGCAGAACACTATTCGAAAATGATGGCTACTCAATCACTAAGTCTGCAAACCCATCATTGTACGTCTCGCCATTCTCCAACGAGTCATACTCGAAAATCTCTGGTGATTACAATCCAATCCACATCAACCCGTACTTCGCGGATCTCGGCAACTTGCCTGGAACCATCGCTCATGGTATGTACGGCTCAGCAGCCACTCGTAAGTACGTCGAGACAGTTGCTGCCGACAATGTTCCATCGCGTGTGCTGTCTTACCAAGTCACTTTTGTCGGCATGGTTCTTCCTGGAGACACCTTAGAAGTGAAACTCCGTCACATCGGTATGGATGCCGGTTCGAAACTTATTTCCGTCGAAACTTTCAACCAAGATGGTGAGAAGGTGATAAGTGGACAAGCGCTTGTTGCACAACCTACAACGACATATGTCTTCACCGGTCAGGGTTCACAGGAACAGGGTATGGGTATGGCACTCTATGAGTCCTCAGCCGCTGCTCGCAACGTGTGGGACGCAGCTGATGACCACTTGGGTGAGGTGTACGGTTTCTCCATTATCGACATTGTCAAGAACAACCCTAAGGCGAAAACGATCCACTTTGGTGGATTGAAGGGACAAGCCATCCGTCAACGCTACATGGATCTTCGTTACGATACTACTGATAAGGATGGTAATGTGAAAACACTCCCACTCTTCCCAGACATCACCGTTCGCACCAGTGACTACACTTTCCAAGCACCAAATGGTTTGTTATTTGCCACTCAATTCGCTCAAATCGCTTTGGTCGTCACTGAGAAGGCAGCATTTGAAGATATGCGTTCTAAGGGATTGATTCAAGCCAACTGTGCATTTGCTGGTCACTCTCTTGGTGAATATGCTTCTTTGGCTTCGATAGCAGACGTCTTGCCAATCTCTTCGCTTACTGATGTCGTTTTCTACCGTGGTCTGACCATGCAACGTGCTGTCGAACGCGATGCTCATGGTCGTTCGCAATTTAGGATGATGGCTGTTAATCCATCTCGTATTGGCAAGACCTTTGATGAGACTATCTTGAGGGAGATCGTTGACTCCGTTTCTAGACGCACGCAGTTGCTCCTTCAGATCGTCAACTACAATGTTGATGGTCAACAATACGTTTGTGCTGGTCATCTCCAAGCTCTCGAGACTTTGACCAACACTCTCAACTTCATGAAGGTTAACAAGGTGAGCAGTTTGCTTTTTGTTTTACCTTACTAACATGGTACAGATCGACATCGCATCTCTTCTCAAGCAGCTCTCAGTTGAGCAAGTCAAGGCGCACTTGGACGAAATTATTGACGAATGCTTCGGTAAATCCAAGGCTAAGGCTGAGTCTGAAGGCGGCTTCCTCACACTCGAGCGTGGATTCGCCACCATACCACTCCCTGGTATCGATGTTCCGTTCCACTCCCGCTACTTGTGGGCAGGTGTTATGCCTTTCCGTACATACTTGTCGAAGAAGATCGACGCCAAAGGTGAGTTTTGTCTTGGGCTGCGCAATCGTCTTCTGACTACTAGCAGATCTCAACCCTGACATGCTCATTGGCAAGTACATTCCAAACTTGGTTGCCAAGCCTTTCGAGATCTCTAAGCCATACATTGAGATGATCCACAACCAGACCAGCTCCCCACGTCTTGAGAAGGTTCTCAGCGGCTGGGATGCAGATAAGTGGGCAGCTACCGAAAACAGACAAGTGTTGGCCTACACTGTTCTTGTTGAGTTGTTGGCCTATCAATTCGCCTCTCCAGTCAGATGGATTGAGACTCAAGACCTCTTCTTCACTCACTACAACTTCGAGCGTTTAGTTGAGGTCGGTCCATCACCTACTCTTTCCGGTATGGCCAACCGCACTCAAAGACTCAAGTATGAGAGTCTCGACACTGCACAAGCCATTCAGCGCGCAATCTTCTGTCACGCCAAGAATCAAAAGGAGATTTACTACGAGATGGAGGATGAAGAAGAGGAAGCGCCTGCTGCTGCTCCTGCTGAGGAGTCTGCTCCTGCTCAAGCTGCTCCTTCTGCGCCTGCTGCTGCTCCTGCCGCAGCAGCTCCAGCTCCAGCTGCTGGCGGTGGTGCACCTGCGGAAATTCCTGACGAACCTCTCAAGGCCACCGACATACTGCGTATCATCATCGCCCAGAAGCTCAAGAAGACTGTCGGTGAAATCACACTCAGCAAGTCTATTAAGGACCTGGTCGGCGGTAAATCAACTCTCCAAAATGAAATTCTTGGTGACCTTCAAACTGAGTTTGGTAATGCTCCAGAGAAGGGTGAAGAACTCCCATTGGACGAGCTGGGAAGCGCCCTCAACGTTGGTTACTCAGGCTCACTTGGAAAGTTCACCACCGGTTTAGTATCGCGTATGGTCGGCAGCAAGATGCCCGGTGGATTCAACCTCTCGTCTGTCAAGACTCACTTGTCGAAGAGTTGGGGTCTTGGTCCACAACGTCAAGAGGCTGTACTCTTATTTGGTATTACCATGGAGCCTGCCAAACGTCTTGGCTCAGAGCCTGAAGCCAAGCAGTGGGCTGACTCTGTCGCGCAAGCGTACGCCAGTCAAGCTGGAATCACCCTCTCTACTGCAAGTGCTGGTGGTGGTGGCGGTGGCGCAACTGCTGGTGTCACTATCTCAAGCGAGGAGCTTGACAAGTTCCGTGCCGAGCAAAACGACTTCGCTGCCCACCAGATCGATGCTTACATGCGCTACCTCAACCGCGATCCACGTGCAGGTCATCGCCTTCATGAACAAGAGAAGCAGAATGGCACAGAGTTGCAAGACCGCCTTGACGCTATCTCAAGAGAGCATGGCGATGCTTACATAAACGGCGTCATGCCTTCCTTCGAGCCACTCAAAGCTCGTACTTTCGATTCGTCTTGGAATTGGGCTCGTCAGGATGCTCTGGCGATGTTCTACGATATCATCTTTGGTCGTCTTACCGCTGTTGATCGCGATAGTGAGTTTTGCGCTGAGGTTATCCTTCTCACTAACCTGTCCTTTCAGTCACTTCTCGCTGTCTCAACATTATCTCTCGCGCGGACCCTACTCTCGTCGATTACATGAGCTACTACCTCAACAACGTCAACATCGAGCTCGGTCCAACGTACAAGCTTGCCAAAGAGCTCGGTAACCAGCTCCTAGAGAACTGTCGTGAGGCTGTGCAACTGGGCGAGGGTCCAAAGTACAAAGATGTAACATTCCCTACCGCCCCTCACACTGAGATTTCTGGAAGTGGTGACATCAAGTACTCTGAGATCAACAGAGAGGATGTGCGTAAGCTTGAGCACTACGTCAAGGAGATGGCTGCCGGTGGCAAGATTTCAACACAAAACATTAACCTCGACAAGGTTCAAACAGATGTTGAGAAGCTGTACGAGCTTGTCAAGTCTCAGCCACAGATCTCTGAAGCTCACAAGACATCCATCAAGTCACTTTACGATGAGGTTCTTCGCTCTCTTGGTCGCCCAGAGAAGCACACGGCTGTGCCACGCACTCGTCGTTCTTCTTCTCAATTCTTGCGTCCGGACGTTTCTGAGAACGCTACTGTTAACGACGACAAGATTCCGTTCCTTCACCTTAAGCGTAAGGTTGGAACGAACTGGTCTTACAGTACCAAGTTGACTGAGATCTGTAAGTGTACTGTAGCGTCTTACGCCTTTCTAACGTATTTTAGATCTCGACATCCTCACTGAAATCGCTACCTCTGGCACTACATTCAAGGATAAGAACGCTCTTCTCACTGGTGTCAGTAAAGGATCTATCGGTGTCGAGATTGTCAAGGGATTGATTGCCGGTGGTGCACGTGTTGTCATTACCACATCCCGTTACAGCCGCGCCACCGTTGAGTACTACCAAGCAGTCTACCACGAATGCGGTTCGCGTGGCTCTTCTCTTACGGTTGTTCCATTCAACCAAGGCTCCAAGCAAGATGTGGAGCAGCTTGTTGAGTACATTTACTCAACTCTTGGTATGGATCTCGACTACGTTCTTCCATTCGCTGCTCTTCCAGAGAACGGTCGTGAGATTGACGGTCTCGATGAGAAGTCTGAACTTGCCCACAGGATCATGTTGGTCAACGTTCTTCGCCTGCTTGGTGCTGTGAAGGCTAAGAAGGCTGCTCGTAACTTTGTCACCCGTCCAACTCAAGTCGTTCTTCCACTCTCACCAAACCACGGTCTTTTCGGTAACGATGGTCTCTACTCGGAGTCAAAGATCTCCCTTGAGACACTCTTCAACCGCTGGAGCTCAGAGAGCTGGGGTGAATACCTCTGTCTCGCCGGTGCTGTTATTGGTTGGACTCGTGGTACTGGATTGATGAGTGCCACCAACATTGTCGCTGAGGGCGTAGAAAAGCATGGTGTCCGCACTTTCTCATCAAAGGAAATGGCCTTCAACATTCTTGGATTGATGCACCCTCTTCTCTTCGACATCACCCAAGTCGAGCCAATCTGGGCCGATCTCAACGGTGGTATGGACAGATTACCAGACCTTGCACAGATTTCATCCAAGCTGCGTACCGATCTTCAAGCTGATGCGGCTCGTCGTCGCGCAATCTCTGCTGACAACGCAGCTGACTTTGCTACCGTTAACGGCGTCGAAGCTGAGGGTCTTTACAAAGAAGTCAAGGTCGCACCACGTGCTAACTTTAAGTATGGGTTCCCAGATATCGCCAAGCCAAAGGCTTTGGGTGATCTCAGCAAGCTTGAAGGTATGATGGACCTTGATAAGGTGGTCGTTGTTACTGGTTTCGCTGAAGTTAGTCCATGGGGTTCAGCTCGTACACGTTGGGAGATGGAAGCTCGTGGTGAGTTTACCATCGAAGGATGTATCGAAATGGCCTGGATGATGGGCTTCATCAAGCACTTTGACGGTCGTCTCAAGTCCGGTCAACTACACGTCGGTTGGGTTGACAGCAAATCTGAAGATCCAGTCGATGACAAGGATGTTAAGCCAAGATACGAGAAGTCAATTCTTGAACACTCTGGTATTCGTTTGATTGGTAGGCTTTGATTGTCGTGATTGAATTTAACTAACGTTAAACAGAACCAGAACTCTTTAGAGGATACGATCCAAAGAAGAAGGGCTTTAACCAGGAGATTGAGTTGAACCACGATTTGGAAGCTATCGAGGTGTCTGACGCTGACGCTGAACAATTCAAACGTGAACACGGCGATAAGGTTGATATCTGGCAATCAGAGTCAGGTGAATGGGCAGCGAAGCTCAAGCGTGGTGCACGTGTTCTCGTACCAAAGTCATTCCGCTTTAACCGTCTTGTCGCTGGTCAACTTCCTTCTGGATGGGATGCCGGTCGTTACGGTATTCCAGGTGATATTGCAGCTCAAACGGATCGTACTGCACTTTGGTCACTGGCGTCAGTATCAGAAGCGCTGATTAATTCTGGTATCACTGATCCATACGAACTGTACAAGCACGTTCATCCATCTGAGGTTGGTACGTCGCTCGGATCTGGTATGGGTGGTATGGAATCGCTCTCGGCTATGTTCAAGGACCGTCGCGAGGAGAAGGACGTACAGATGGACATCCTTCAAGAAACTTTCATCAACACTGTCGCAGGATGGGTTAACCTCTTATTGTTGTCTTCGTCAGGTCCAATTAAGATTCCAGTTGGTGCTTGTGCAACCGCGCTTCAGTCTATTGAGATTGCATGCGACACTATTATCTCTGGTAAAGCCAAGGTTATGGTGTCTGGTGGATTTGACGATTTCTCTGAGGAGGGATCATATGAGTTTGCCAACATGAAGGCAACCTCAAACACAGACGCGGAATTTGCTAATGGACGTGAGCCAAATGAGATGTCAAGACCAACTACAACAAGTCGTGCCGGATTCATGGAGGCTCAAGGTACAGGTGTACAGGTGCTTATGTCAGCGTCAACTGCTATTGAGATAGGAGCACCTATTCGTGGTATTGTTGGATTCACATCGACATCAACTGATAAGGCTGGTCGCTCAATTCCAGCACCGGGCAAGGGTGTTCTGAGTGTTGGTAGGGAGTTGCACACGGAGACACCAATCCCAACACTTGATCTCAACTACCGCTCGAGACAGATGGCATTCCGTCGCAAGCAGATTTCAGAATGGCTTGATAACGAGCTGGAGATAATGTCAGAAGAGTTAGCTGCTGTAGAGAAGAATGGCGAAAAGGTAGATGAAGCAACGATGCAAACCAAGGTGTCGTTCTTAGAAGAGGAGGCAGAGCGTCAAGAAAAGCAGGCATTGGGATCGTTCGGTATGCTTGAGGGATCAGATTCGCGTATTGCACCACTTCGTCGTGCACTTGCAGTGTGGGGATTGAAGGTTGATGATATCGGATTCTGTTCATTCCACGGTACGTCAACAAAGGCGAACGACAAGAACGAGTCGGAGACGTATAACGCCTTATTTGAGCATCTCGGCAGGAGTGAAGGCAATGCCTGTCCGGTGATTGCTCAGAAGTGGCTCACCGGTCATCCTAAGGGAGGTGCAGCAGCGTGGATGTTTAATGGAGCGATGCAAGCAATCAACGATGCGATTATCCCCGGTAATCGAAACGCTGATAACATTTCAGCTGAGCTGCAAGCATACAAATATCTCGTGTATCTGTCCAAGTCGATCAAGGTGGATGCGATCAAGTGTGGTATTCTGACATCGTTTGGTGGGTTCATTTGGAGTATTTGATGTGTTGCTTTGTTGCTAACGTGCTGTGTTCAGGTTTCGGTCAAGTCGGTGGATCATGTTTGATCATTCACCCAGCATACCTCTACGCATCACTGGGTGATGACGCACTGGCTGCCTATGGCAAGGTCAGAGCGGAACGTGAGCGTGATAGTTACAAGAAGATGAATGCGCATATGATCCACAACAACCTTGTGGAAATTAAAGAGACGCCGCCATTCACGCAAGAGAATGAGATGCCCGTTCTACTCAATCCACTCGCACGTACTTCAGGTGACAAGCCGGGTAGTTATTCGTGGGTGATGTTTTAGGGTGGTGTGTGGTCTACTAACAAAAATTGAAGGTTCCCAAAGAAATTGAATGAAAAGATTGCATTCAAGAAGGGTAATGCAGGTGTGGCTAGTGAGATGTTGAAAGGAGTTGATGGAGTGCAAGGGGTGGGTACTGACGCGGTGCTCATCTCTGCTGTGCCTACAAGTGAGACATTCATTGAGCGCAACTTCACCAACGCGGAAAAGAGTTACTGCGAAAAACAACCCGACCCGAAGGCTTCGTTCGCCGCTAGATGGGCTGCTAAGGAAGCAGTGTTCAAAGCTCTCAACACTAAGGGTAAAGGCGCAGCGGCGGGTATGAAGGAAATCGAAGTCGTCGCTGGAGATGTCGGACCAGCCGTTGTATTGCATGGAGATGCTCTCGCGGCTGCCCATCAACGTAGAGTTAAGGAATTCAAATTGTCTCTGTCACATTCAGAGGATGTTGCAATTGCAGTTGCTTTTGCGCAGTAGGTGGATTAAAAAGGTAGTTCCACTGTTTTAGATAGTTTTTTTGGGTTATTTATTTTCATATTTTTTTCACATAATTTTCATTGTTAATGCCTTTACAATTAATTATCTAAGTACAATTGGGTATAAATCTAACGAAGCTTGATATCGTCGCCAGCAACGAAAGAGGATCTGTTGTGTTGAGTGTAGGAGAGAATTTTGGATCTTCTGTCGATGAAGCGCTGAGCAGCAGAGTCGTCTTGGGTGGTGGCTAAAGGAGCGTTCTCGTCGATGACAGGGGAAGGAGAAAGAGGTCTAACAGAGGTAGGAAGACCAGTGAGGGTGAAGTTGTTGGAAGAAGGCAGGTTAAGTGGGTAGAAGGAAGGAGGTCTGGGGGAAGAGGGCAAGCCGCGTAGTTTCGAGGAGTGGGTGGTTGGGTGAGTGTGCTTAGGGTTGCAGATTTCAATCCAGCTTGAACGGATATTGTGGGGGTTATTGTTGTTGGCTGATTTAGGGATATTGGATAATGGACGCATATTAAGTGTCTCAGAGTGATCAGTGTGGGTAACTTGTATCCCGCTATCCATCCACCCATCGTCATCATCGTTTACAACAATTTCATCGTCCTCAGAAGGTGCAACGATGATAGACGCTGGTTGCAGTGGAGGAGCGTCGTATTTGAATAGATATAGAGTGACTAGGATTATAATAAGTGCACCGACTATTGTAAGGACTGTGGTTAAAATTATATTCAATTGACTAGCCATGCTTGTTAATAACAACGATGACTTCAAATTCAATAGACCAGCGTCGTATTGTTAGGTTGGATAAAGAGAGAACTCATAATGTGAATTATCATTCAAATTTACAAGCCTCGTCTTCTAATAAGCACTTTAGATCCACTCAACTGACTTCCCTGGCAATTATCCAGGCGAGAACTTGGAATGGAATTTGGATTCCTTTAAACAGGCTTGTTCTATTGATATCAACTCTGTCACAAACGAAGACTGCGAATTCGATCTCATCGGCGTCGATCCTTCCATCGCGAATGCCCTACGAAGAGTCATGATAGCAGAGGTTCCTGCCATAGCCGTTGAGAATGTATTCGTATTCAACAACACTTCTGTTATGCACGACGAGGTTATGGCTCACAGACTAGGTCTCGTCCCCATCCTCTTCGACGCCAACAGACTCGAGCATTTCGAGAAGGGCGACAACCCCAATGACCAGAATACGATTGTGTTTACGCTGCAGGTGGAGTGCAAGCGCAAGTCCAACGTTGCTCCCGGTGAGACGAACCCCGACAAGCTCTACGAGAATCACAAGGTGTACGCGCGACACTTCAGTTGGGTGCCCCAGGGTGCGCAGGAGTCTGATCCTATCTTCACCCAGAACCCACCACGCGTTGCTTATCCGGATATTCTCATCACAAAGTTGAGACCGGGGCAGGCATTGGATCTGGAGTTGCATTGCGTTAAGGGCGTAGGACAGGATCATGCGAAATTCTCGCCAGCTGCTACGGCTACATATAGATTGCTGCCGACAGTGAAATTGCACAAGCCAATCAAGTCAGAACACGCTGAGCTGTTCAGAAGCTGTTTCGCAGATGGCGTGGTGGATGTAAGAGAGGATGAGAACGGTAACAAACAGCCTTACTACGTCAATCCTCGTAAGGATACGGTGTCGAGGGAGGTACTCCGTCACGCAGAATTTGATGGTATTGTCGAGCTGGGCAGAATTAGAGATCACTTTATCTTCAACGTCGAAACTACTGGATCAGTGCAGCCCGTTGATATGCTCCCGAGATCGTGTGCAGTGATGAAAAACAAGATAGCGGCTATTAGAGACGGCTTGAATGTCATTGTCCATGGCAAGCAGGATGAGGAGGAGGAGGGGCAGGAAGGGCAGGATGAAGACATGCAGGAATAGACTGGACTTGATTAGGCTTTCTATGATTTTCAAAAATACTCAATTCCTTCTTCCCTTGTACCATGAATATTTATACTAATCTAAGGGGATGGTGTGGTGGGATTAGTCGAGGCTATAAAACTAATAGTGGATTTGGATTCAAGTGTGGGTCGATGGATGCACTGCGCACACACCTAACAGCCGGATACAGCCAATGAGCCGACAGTGCGTACGAGCAAGCACCAGACCAAGGAAGCGTTATTTAATATGGGCGGTGGAAGACGTAGGAGCAACAAGAACAACGAGGAAGCCACAGACGCCACGCAGAAATTACCGTCATTCAACAAGAACTATGTCCAGTTTACAGACGCTGTTAAGCACTTCTCCACGGTGGACGTTGTAGACGGGCTGATGGAGCGTGTACGTGGAGAGATTGGGGGGAAGACGCTGCCCACGTCGATACAGTCACTGGCCATGATGACTTTGTTGGGCGATGCACACGGCAAACAGGGCAAACAGGGAAAGCAAACACTTCTCGCTGCTGAAACGGGCAGTGGGAAGACTTATGCGTTTCTTATACCGATGATTGACGCGCTTAAGAGGAGTGAAGTGGGTGCTGCACCAGCACACAAGGCGATCCGCAAACCACGCGCACTTATTATGGCACCCACACGCGAGTTGTGTAGACAGCTCACCGGACAAGTAAAGGCGCTCACACATATATGCAAGCTGAAGAGCACGTATGTATGGAGTGCGGGGGAGTATCAGGATGAGAATAAAGACAAGCTGGAGAAATGTAACGATGATGTCCTGATTGGTAGCCCCGAGCAGCTCAACAAGCTCCATGAAAAAGGGGTTTCCTTCGATGGCGTTGAGTGGGTCGTGCTTGACGAAGCTGATGCGCTATTCGACGATGATTTCGTAGATTCGACTGAGAAATTGGTTCGAATGGTAGAAAAGGCACGTGTAGATGGCAATTTAAGTGATAATAGAAGTGGCAACCTCAATCTCAATTTGGTCATGAGCACTGCCACGGTAAATGAGAAATTCTCTTCATACCTCCACACACACTATCCACGGATCAATAGACTTGTGAGCCCCAAAACACACACGCTGCCACGCGCACTCAAGCTCAGTTACGCACCGTACCACTCGGGCAACAAGCTGGCTGATTTGCGTGGAGTGGTTAATGATTTGATTAGTGGGTCTGGCAAATCCAGCAACTCAAGTAAACAAGCTAAAACACTCGTCTTTGTTAATACAAACGAGCGCGCGGAGAAAGTTGCCAAGTATTTCAACGAAAAAGGTACACCGGCTGTAAGTATGACGAGTGCATCGCAAGGCAGATCGCGCGTGTCGAACAGACCAATCCGACCTTTTTTGCGAGGAGGTGTTGACATTAGTAGTAGTAGTGGTGGCAGCAATGGTAGCGGTGATAATAGCAACAATATTTCTCCTGCCTCCGCTAACACCCTCGTCACAACCTCCCTTTTAGCGCGTGGATTGGATTTCGGGACACACGTCCAGAATGTCGTCATCGCAGAGGAATCGGGTAGTGCTGTTGACTTTATACATGTGAGTTGGAGTGAGAGTTAGCACACACCAGCTGACACACTTATTCAAAGCGCGCTGGAAGGACCGGCAGAGCAGGTGCGCAAGGACACGTCACGGTGATGGTGCCTTTGAAGAAATATCAACATCTGAGTAGAAGGGGACGCTAGAGCGGGAATTTGGATGTATTTGATTTATTTATTTATTACTTGCGTTTAAACATGACGTATGCCAACTCCACCAGGTTAAATATCGGAGTCGGATGACTTCCGCTGGTTTGAACACAGACCACCAAGAAGAAAAGAATGCCAGCAACACTCGACTTATCAGGAACCGTAATCGTCTCAGGTGGGTAGTATTATGGTTGCTGTCTACACCCACTCACGCTGCTACAGGCGGAAACAGAGGTATTGGATATGAGCTCAGCCGCGGGGCAGCAGAAGCAGGCGCCAACGTAGCCATTCTTTACAGGTCAGCTAAGGATGCCGACCAAGTAGCAGCCAAGATTGGTGCCGAGTTCAATGTCCCCGTCAAGGCGTTCCAATGTGACGTCACAGAGCAAGAGAGCGTCAAGAGCACCGTGAGCAAGATAGACAAAGAGTTCGGTCCAGTAACTGGGCTTATTGCGAATGCTGGAGTGGCAGAGTTGAGACCAGCACTCGAACTCACCCGCGCAGACTTTGACAAGATCTACAATGTGAATGTGTACGGTGTTTTTAACACATGCCAAGCAGTAGCGCAGCTTTGGATCGACAGGAAATTCACCAAGGGCGCCATTGTTATTATTTCATCCATGTCGGGTGAAATATACAACACTTCAGCACCTAACAAGGCACTTACCCAGGTGTTTTATAACTCAAGCAAGGCAGCTGTGACACACTTGGGCAAGTGTCTCGCAGGCGAGTGGGCACCTCATGGAATTCGTGTTAACGTCGTCGCCCCCGGTTACGTCAACACGGATCAAACTAAAGATCATCCAGAGGAAATTAAGAGCTACCAGGCTAACAACACTCCGTTGGGCAGATTCTGTCACCCAGCTGAACAAGCACCTAGTGCTGTCTTCCTCCTTTCTGAGAAAGCGTCGTTTATCACGGGAGCAACGCTGCTCAACGATGGTGGCTATACAGTGTGGTAGATTAGAGAATAAAAAGAAATGTATAAAATGTACACAATTGATTATTTGCTTACTTTGATGACGTCGTTTGCCTTGTTTACTTACCATACTTCTGCAACGCCCACTCACGATTATCGAGTGGACAGACGTGCCTCGTTTTAAGCCAACGAGATATGCAATGAAAGTGGAAAGCGTGGTTGCAGATTCCCCAGGCAACGACACACTCATTTGTCGTTGCAGAAGCTTGATTGGCTTGGCATTCAATACAAAGATCCATTATCTGGTTTCTACAGATAGCACAGTTGTCTACTGCGATATCCCAGTTCCACAGGGCAACGGCATTCCACTTGGTGTTGTTAGTTGGCAAGAAGTCTGGCTGGGTATCAGCGACAAACCTTTTTTACTTGAAAACGTGGCTTCTTTGGTGGGGCCTTGTCGATATCCATCGATTGATGTGTTTGGTGAGTATCCTCGGTCATGATGGGCGTGATGACGGTCCAGGTTCAACCAAAACGATCATCATGATGAAATTGATATCACTGGGATTAATTTATACGCTGATTTGTCTATTTACTCCGATAAACTCATCCGCACTCACAACAACTATCGACGCTGCTCAACGTAGCTGCTTCTACGCTAATGTTGATAAGAGAGTGGGTTTTTATTATTCAAGCAGGTTGATATACTCAAATCTATTCACAGGGTGAAAAGATTGGCTTTTACTTTGCAGTTCAATCTGGCGGTGATTTCAATTTGGACTGGGAAGTACTCGATCCAGAGGGACTAGGTGTCATCCACGGCGAGAAGGATAGACAGGGTGATTTCATTTTCACAGGTAATAAGATTGGAGAGTATAAGTTTTGTTTCTACAATAGACTTAGCTCGATCGAAGAGAAGCTCGTTGACTTTGATATCCTGGTTGAATCTGAACCCAGACATCAACTTCCAAAGCACAGCAACGAGCTAAAGGAACACACTCATAGCTTAGAAGATAGCATTTATAAGATCCAAGGTCAAATATCCACTCTCCAACGTAATCAGAGGTACTTTAGGACAAGGGAGAATAGGAATAACGCCACAGTCAGTTCAACCAGGCGTAGACTCAAAACATACGCTTTCTTGGAAGCACTGGCTGTTATTTTCATGTCTGCTGCTCAAGTCTGGATAGTTAAAAACTTCTTTGCGACGAGTTCTGCGAGGTATAAAGTGTGATATTGTAAACTATATTAACAATGTAATAGCCATAATTATTGCTGATAATGCTACGTATGGTGATAATCTTTCTCCTGTTGAACGGCTCATTAGACATATTAGATAAAAACATGGGGACACTGACCAATTCTTGCAAACTTATAAAACATTCCAAGTAATCCATGCTTGTTCCTATCGATTAAACCTGGAAATGTTGCTCTAATATAAGCACAAGTGCAGATCAGCAGTATAATCACAAGCAGCAGCGACTGGAAGTTGAATAGGGCTGACTATAAGCGATTATAAGCAATTCCATCAAACATCTCACACTACACTCACCATTTAAATTTTAACTTTGATTTTATTCAACTTGTGCCACAGTTGAATGCTCCAGTGAATGCTCAAGACGGGCTTGAATAACTTACTCAAAATGTCCACTGAGCAGCCAAAAGAAGCTACAAAATCTGCAAGTTAGTTGGGTACTTTCATTTGGTAGATATTTCTTACAGAAATTACAGTCAAGAAGGCTCAAAAGGCTGCTGAATATGAAGCTAAGAAGGCTGCCAAACAACAGCAGCAAGCACAAGCTCCAGCTCAAACACAATCTAAAAAGGAACGTTCAAAACCAGTCAAAGAAGCTGCTGCCGAAGAGGAATACATCAATAAAACTCCTCCTGGTGAGAAGAAGGACACTTCAAAACCTATGGCTAGCGGTTACAACCCTGTTGCGATTGAATCAGCTTGGTATGACTGGTGGGAGAAGAAAGGCTTCTTCAAGCCCTCCCTTGACTCTCAAGGAAATCCAAAGGGTGAAGTCTTCGTCGTTCCTGCTCCTCCACCAAACGTAACAGGCAGCCTGCACATCGGCCACGCACTCACAATCTCCATTCAAGATGCCCTCGTCAGGTGGAACAGAATGCACGGCAAGACTGTCCTCTGGAATCCTGGCTACGACCACGCAGGTATTTCCACCCAATCCGTCGTTGAGAAACGTCTTTGGAAGCAGTCTGGTCAGACACGCCACGATCTAGGCAGAGAGAAGTTCCTCGGAAAAGTCTGGGACTGGAAGGAGGAATACCAGGTGCGCATCTCCAATCAGCTCAGAAGACTTGGTGCTTCTTATGATTGGGAGAGAGTTAGGTTTACAATGGACGATACTCTCTCCGCTGCTGTCATTGAAGCTTTCTGCCAGTTGCGCGAGAGAGGCACTATCTATCGCTCTAACAGACTCGTCAACTGGTGCGTAAGGATGAATACTGCCCTCTCCAACCTCGAATTAGATACAAAGGAGATTTCTGGCAGGACACTTATGAATGTTCCAGGATATGACGATAAGGAGAGATTTGAGTTTGGTGTACTCACCTCATTTGCTTATCAGGTTAAAGATTCTGATGAAAGAATCGTCGTGGCTACTACTCGTCCTGAAACTATGCTAGGTGATTCTGCAGTCGCTGTACACTCATCTGACGCACGCTGTAAACACTTACACGGAAAAACACTGATTCATCCATTCGTCGACAGAGAAATTCCAATCATTACCGACGATATTTGTGTCGATCCAGAGTTCGGTACCGGTGCTGTTAAAATCACACCTGCACACGATTTCAACGATTATGAAGTGGGTAAGCGCCACAATCTGCCTTTCATAAACCTCCTCAATGATGATGGTACGTTTAACACTAATGCCGGTGGTGACTTTAAGGGTATGAAGAGATTCCACGCTCGTAGAATCATAATAGATAAGCTCAAGGAGTTGGGCTTATATGTCGACACCAAAGATAACGCAATGGTTATACCCATTTGCGCAAAGTCTGGAGATGTCATTGAACCGATTATGAAACCACAGTGGTATGTCAACTGCCAAGACATGTCTAGAGAAGCCATCGAGAGGACAAAAGCTGGTGAGATGCACATACAACCAAAACACTCTGAAGCAGATTGGTACAGATGGTTGGAAAATCAACAAGACTGGTGTATCTCTAGACAACTGTGGTGGGGTCACAGATGTCCCGCTTACTTTGTCAACATTCACGGTGAGACGCAAGAATCGTCCGACGATAAGAATTGGGTGGTTGGTCGTTCACTCGAACAAGCAAATGAGCGTGCTGAGAAAGTGGCTGGTGGTAAAGCATACACCCTTGAACAAGACGAAGACGTTCTCGACACGTGGTTCAGCTCCGGTTTATGGCCATTCTCTATCATGGGTTGGCCAAACAAAACGCAAGACCTCGTAAACTTCTACCCTAACTCACTCCTCGAGACTGGTTGGGATATCCTCTTCTTCTGGGTAGCGAGGATGGTCTTCTTTGGTATCTCACTAACTGGGCAGATGCCATTCAAGGAAGTTTTTACTCACGCCATGATCAGAGATGCGTACGGACGTAAGATGTCCAAGTCTCTTGGTAATGTGATTGACCCTGTTGATGTAATTGAAGGATGTCAATTGGAGACACTCCACCAGCAGCTCTACGAGAGCAACCTGGACGCGAAAGAAATTAAGAAGGCGCTGGATGGGCAGAAGAAGGATTATCCAAAGGGTATGCCACAATGCGGTACTGATGCGCTCAGATTCACGCTTTGTGCGTACACGGCATCTAACCGTGACATTAACCTGGAGATCAGCAAGGTAGAGGGAATGAGAAAGTTCTGCAACAAGTTGTTCAACGCTACTAAATTCGCCATGTTGAAATTCCCACAAGGCTTCGTACCCGAGGAGAGTGCTCAACCAACAGGGAACGAGAGCTTGGTGGAGCGTTGGATACTGTCTAAGATGAACACATGCGCGGCTCAAATCAACAGCGATCTTGCCAACCGCAATTTCATGAGCGCTACTCAAGCTATTTACAACTACTGGCTGTATGAACTCTGTGATGTATTCATCGAGGCTGTCAAACCGCTTACTGGGGAAGATGTGGATGAGGTGACTAGGAGGAGTGCTCAGAACACCCTCTATTCCGCACTCGATGGAGGACTTAGAATGATGCACGTCTTCATGCCTTATGTTACGGAGGAGCTGTGGCAATATCTCCCTCGCAGACCAAACGAGACTGCTGAGTCTATATCTTTGACGCAGTATCCAGTTGCCGTGAGTGGGGTATTTCATGGTATGCATCTGTACAATTGCTGACTGGATATCTCTTGCAGAACCCCGCATTCGAATTTGTCCAGGAAGCTAAGGACTTTGAGACATCATTCGGCGCGATCAAAGCAACCAGATCACTCGCAACGGCGTACAACGTACAGGGCAACAATATACAAGCATACATCGAGACGACCGCAGAGAAGGCGGCCATGTTCGAATCACAGCTGCCTATACTCAAGACGCTGATCAAGGGATGTAAAGTGCTGGAGGTGGTCACACACTCTAAAGACATACCTCTCGGTTGCGCCGTGCAGTCGATCAACGTCGACGCTAATCTTCACGTGCTCGTCAGGGGTCTGGTCGATATTGATGCGGAGATATCCAAATTGCAGAAGAAGGAGCACGTAGCTAGATTGACGCTCGAGAAAACAGTCAAGGCTACGCAAATTGACGGCTATCACACCAAGGTCGCCCCAGCTGTCCAGCAGACTAATCAGGATAAGATTAACAACTACAATAAGGAAGTCGACGCCCTCGCTGCTGCCATGAAGACTTTCGCGTCATTGAAGTAGCCTCTTTGTATTAAATTACTGGCGCATAAATTTTCATTTTCATTTTCATTTTCGCGTGTGGGGGTGTGTAGCGGGAAGAGGTGATGGTTAGTTGAGGAAATGTGCGGTGATAGGAGAGCTATTGCAGCGTGAACAGCCTGCCGCCTGAGGAAAGAGGTGCTCAAACTCCGGACTTGATCCACCACGTTCATCACGACTAACCCAACCATGTGAGTGGATATAGCGAAGCACTGACCGGAAACACAATGGCTTACATAGCTACAGGGTCTCTCCAGTCGCACCATATGTTCACGTAGGCAACGCACCACGCCCACAGCCACCCGTACACAGGCTAACTGCTAATCACAACAGATGGCCAAAGCCTGGGCACCTTCTTTAGCCACTTGGGGCGTCGGTGTCGGCGCATTCGGCTCCTTCTTTTTATCACCAGTGCCAAAGGTGGGTTGAGCTGGAGTGTGCAGAGTGTGCGCAGTTTACTCACTGTACCCCAACAGTTCAAGCAAGACGTACTCCAAAAAGTACCTTTCGTTAGTAGCCACTCGAGCTTATTTACCTTGGCTGACTGCTACTCTTACTCGTTCAGATCGCTGGCTTCTACAACCAGGAAATCCCAGAAACTGACTTGGCTTTCTAATTTATGTCTCCTTATACACTTGAAACTGTTTCATTTGTCTAGTTTGCCTGCTTTGTCTTATTTGAACTAAAGTCCTAACACGGGGATCTGTATAAACGCTTGCGATTCAATGGAATATACTAGCTAATACGGTATGCAACTACGTTTTTACAGGCACGCGTAAATCGTTGGTCTAGCTTTATTCTACCTCTAATTAACACTGTATATTCACACAAACATCACATGCTCAGCAGCTGATCAGCAGCTCGTAGCGCCGGCAAGACCGACAGCGTCAAAATACTTATTCCTTAAGAGCCACCAAGTGAAATATGACAGGCGGTATCAGCAAAGTAAGCATGACTATCAACAACTTTGTTCAAGGCCCAACTGATTCCTCTAGGTAGACCAACAATGGGGCAAGACCGACAACAGATTGCCAGACCACTCCCACAGACAGCCAGGCGTTGCCTACGAAACAGGCCAAGCGCACTCACACAAGACTGGTGACTCCCACGATCAGCAATCAATCGCAAACAAGCTCGCCGGTACTTCTCACTTAGAACAGGCAGAGCGCAAGGCTGAGAAGGAAGGCGGTAAGCCACCAACTGCTCCAGCCGTTTTCCACGGCAACGAACCCTCAAAGGGTGCCAAGGTCGATGAGGATCTCGGCAAGGAAGACGAGAAGGTCTTGCACAAGAAAGGCTTAGCTTAAATGAATTTACGATGTTTAACGTCTCACGATGTTATTAATATAAATGTTTACTCAGTTCTCCTTGTTTCATTCTTGCCATCGTCACCTAACTGCTTAACAACTACGCGTTCTTGCTTTATGTTGCAAACAATGAATAGAACAACGCACTTGAATATTGATAGCAACTCTGTTGACCATCAGGAGTTAACAAAGTCACTACTGATCAAGTGTATTTCCCCTGCTGTGGTTCAATTAGTAATGTTTCATTGGAGTTTTGCCGCTTGTTATCTTATTCAAAGCCTTATAACATTATCCCAGCCTCGTGGATGAATAAAAAGGTATCAGTAGCCGACTTTCCCTCCATTTACTTGTGCAACCTCTTGAAAATGTCTCAAGCTACTATCAACCGGAAGTTTCCGAGTAGCGCTCCCAGAATCTTAAAAACCAGAAGTTAGAGGGGCTACGGACACATTTGAAGAAATAGATACCTTTCTTTTACTGGAGATTTCCGTATGGCCTTTGTATCTCTATTTGTAACTTTTACCTTGTCTTGTTCTCTTCTTATACGTCAGATGATGCAGTTGCGAGAAGGCGTGGTAAGATTGCTAGTTGAGTAGCTTTCACGTCAAACTATGACTGTATTTTCAGAATCTTATCCAATTTTGTTCATCATTGTGTTTAAACAAATCAATTAGCCGTGCATGGCGTAACTTAATTCGTCTGGTTGTTTACTCAAGGGCTAACGTTGTGAAACGGGAATTGATTTTTTGTGTCACCCTGAGTGCTGTAGTCTATTTAAGCGGTGCTAAAGTTTCCGCTTAGACCATCAACAGATGTGAGTAGAAAACATTTGCGAAATTGAAAAATAGCAGCTCACTTTGCATAAGATGTAAGTGAACAGATTTCCAATCTTGCAAAATTACATGCTAATCTCGCTCCTAGCACTATGTTTACTGTGAAATTCATCCTCATCGCACTCGTCGGGCTTATTTCCAAAGTCGCGGCAATGACAATCGACACTCCCAGGAACGTCGTCCGCTGCGAGAATGTCACTCTCACTTTCGACGGCGGTGAACCTCCAGTATGTCTTTTGCGTGTCTCAGTTTCTACACACTCACACAAACCAGTACTCTCTCGAAGTCACCAATGGTCTCAGAGCAGCCTTCCCAGTAGTTGTAGAAAAGATCAATGGCATTGAAAGCAGCCCATTCGAGTACAAGGTTAATGGCTCCGAAGTGAGAATTGGCTTTATTCTCCATTCTGACGATGAGAAGACGGCATACTCAGGTGAATCAGGGTTTTGATGGTATTACGCTGACTTATTCAATTACACAGGCAACGTCATTATCGCAGAAAATGACGAGCTTACTTGTAAATAAGTATTTTCGTGTGCTCAGTGTAACTTGTTTCGAGTTATTAATACATCGGAACTTTCAATTTAGTAGGATGTGTAGGCTGTGTGACTCTTCAAACTGGAATCCGTGATCAATTGTTTTTGGTTGCGAAGACATCATTCCTTCTACGGTATTATGCGTGTCTGTTCAATGTGCTATCTGCACCAATTCAGTAAGTAGAAAGACTCAGACGGCTTTGGGACAGGTCGAGACAGGTTAAAATGCGAAAATGAAGCTGATAGCATCTATACATAAGCTTAGCTGTTTTAGCAGGATTATTCCCTATTTCTCACCGATTCACAAAAGTAAAACACGTCATCTCCAAATCGAATGGCAGGCATACTCAATGACATGTTCGTTACTGCACCGCAATTGCTGAAGTTGATATATTTGCAACATTCTGTAATAATTGGTTATGCAATAAATGTGTAAGTGGGGGTTTTAGAACATATCGTAGTGATATGCTCTGTACTAGTCCAGCTAGATTTAGCATGTTTCAAGGAAGGTAGAATGGTGTTTGAAACTATGAATACCTTTTGTGATGCTTTTTGCGATTCCAACCCAGCCTCAATCACCTCCACAACCTCATAATTCAACATCTTGAAATGCACCAGGTGAAGTCAAAGTCACTATTTCAGAGTAGGACTGACCCCCGTTACTTTACATGATACTTTGTATGAGTTCCATTTAATAGACGTGTAATTATCCAAAATAGCATTAATTTCCTGGAGCCATTATTAAGTCTATTAGACGCTAAGTGTTCCAAAAAAAAAAAGTAAATCGCGTTTATAGAGATTAATTATAAAATATCTTTAGGTGCACGTGGCCCCCAAGAATCATAATTGTTTGTTTTCACCACTAGAGATTGTGAATTGCTCCGTAATGATCCTGTAGCGTGCCTCAGAGTGATTTCAGACTATTGCTTCCAAGCAGCTCGCAGGGCGAGATTTCGAACTCCAAGAATCTAAATCTGACAAATTCACATTCCCATCAACCAGAGCTACCAATCAATATATTCTATTTGGAGATCATCAAAAGTCGTAAATCAACAATTTGAGATGAAGTGAGTGGTAGTCGAGAATTCCAACTCAATGGAAATTGAGCGTATTGCTGAAATTAACGTAGACTTGAAGTGCTCAGAAATCCATCAAAATAACGGTTATGCTAGATTATTCATTTGTCGTTTACATCTTGGCTGTCTTCGCGCTCATTTAGCCATTTGCAAGATGAGCAGAGCAGCTTTAAGTCGATTAACCGATTTATATTGATACTGGTATGTACAAGTACAGGAATGAGAACGTGAATGACCTGTGGGTATCTCGTAAATTCTTTCTAAGATCATCGGTGATAAGCAGCCGAGTTGTAGATTGGGCTATCAGCGGGAGTGAGAAGAAAATAGACAGGGTAGATGTTGTGGGTGTTCCTAGTAGATATATCAATGAAATTCGATTGTTCCTTGTACCTGCTCTGTCTACTTTCGCAACGAGTACTCCGACCTGAGGAACAAAAAGATCAGCTGTTGTGAGTCTATCACTTGAAGGCTTGACACGACAGCAGGGATCACATCTCCCAATCCAACAACAGCACGATGATCGGCTTTTAGTAGCGAAAATTCTTTAACACCACAACTTCAACTAAAATGCAAAAATATAAGGCCATTGATATATGACATATATATATAAAGGAAAATGTACAAAAGAGATTTATAAGATGAGAGGAAGTGGAGATATAATATAGGTATAACATAGCAGTAAATAAAGAGCCGAAATATCCAGGAAGCCGAAATACACTAGCCCATAGTAATCTGCTTCTTCTGAGACTGTTTAGGCTGATTGAAATTTGAGCCTGGTCTCGACATTATGAGGGCCTGAGTTGAAGTCCTCTCTCTGACGACCTTGGCAATAGTCAAAAGCAGGTCTGATTTTTTCAGAGGCTTTGTGACATATTCGTCCATGCCAGCATTGATACATCTTTCTCTATCACCCATCATAGCGTGTGCAGTGAGGGCGATGATAGGAGTTCTCTCAAACCCGGATTCTCGTTCGAGCTGTCGGATAACTGTTGTTGCCTCTATACCACCCATAACAGGCATGGAAACATCCATTAGAATCAAATCATAAGCTCTGTCTGTCGCAGCTCTGGATTTCAGTGCCTCGACTGCTAAAGCACCATTTCCGACAATTTCGCATTTATGACCAGATTGCTCAAGGTACTTGGTCGCCAGTTTCTGATTGACCACGTTGTCCTCAGCTAGCAGTATGTCATAGTGTTCTTTAGGATCCGTGTCTGCTGACTGGAATGCGAGAGTTTCGAGGGCAGCAAGAAGGGCATTACCTAGATCCTGCACATTCGTCGGTGTGGCAACATAAGACGTTATACCCATATCCAAGCACCACTTGAGGTTCAAACGCGGTATGAAAGGTGCGCATAGTATTATAGGTATGTACCTCAAATGATCGACTTCTCTGAGTCTTTCAGCCACTTGGAAAGAATCAACAACTACCGTGTCTATAATTGGGGCGTGCGGGTGTCTGATTGATGCTTCCTCTACGGATTGGACCTTGATCAAATGTACTCCAACCTCCTTGAAAACACTCTCGACTCCGGTTTGGTCCTTGTTGCAGTCAACAAAGAGCAAGCAACGATTCTGCACAGGTGCGAGCTTAGCTTTGATTGACGTTATTGGAAGGTGCTCGACTTGTAATAGCACGGTGAAGTAGAACTGAGAGCCTTGGTCGTATTTACTCTCAACCCACATTTCACCACCCATTAAGTTGACTAGACGCTTCGAAATCGATAAACCTAAACCTGTACCACCATATTTCTGACAGGGTTGTCAACGAATGTAGGAAAACGACAACTGACTCACTCTAGTTGTAGACCCATCAGCTTGTGCGAAAGTCTCGAAGATAACCTCCAGTTTATCAGACTCAATACCGATACCCGTATCAGCTACGCAGAACTGCAACATTATAGCCCCTTCATTAACATTAGGGGGAACGTCGACCATCTCCACAGACAACGCGATATAACCTTGCTGAGTGAATTTGACAGCGTTACCGATCAAATTAGTAATAATCTGCTTAACTCTGAGCGGATCACCGACGACTTGATCAGGGATGTGTGGCTCAATGTCATAAATCAAATCTAGCTTGTTTTGAGCTGCTTTAGTTGCCAATGTCTTGAGCACAGTGAATATTACCGATCTCAATGAGTACGGTACAGTCTCAACAGACATTCTACCAGCTTCTATCTTTGATATATCAAGGATATCGTCAATGATAGCCAGCAGAGATGAAGCCAAGTTAGCAACGATCATCAAATTCTCTCGTTGAGTTCTCGTCAACTCAGTCTCTAGTGTCAAACCTGTTAGACCAATAATACCATTCATAGGAGTCCTGATTTCGTGCGAGGTATTGGCTAAGAATTCAGACTTGGATCTGTTTGCCAACTCTGCAGCTTCTCTAGCAGCTGTGTTTCTCTGAATACTCTCACGCAAGTTGTATACCATTTGATTAATCTTAGTCTTGAGACTGTCCATTTCACCAGAAGCCTCGACCGTAATAAATCGAGTGACATCACCACCAACGGCGGCGGCAGAGATTTGAGCGAAACCTCTGACTTGAGAGGTGAGGTTGGAAGCCATAGTATTGACAGATTGGGTAATTTCTTGCCATGTACCATCAACATTATCGACTTGAGCCTGTACACCCAATTTACCTTCGGTACCGACCTCTCTGGCGACTCTGGTGACTTCTGTAGCAAACACTGCCAATCTATCAATCATGGAGTTGATAGTCTGAACGAGTTCGTGGATTTCACCTGATGATTGGATAGAAACCTTTTTCGCCAAATCACCTCGAGCTACTGCATTTGTTGCTTCAGCGATAGATCTGACTTGTAGGGTTAAGTTTGCAGCCATTGTGTTAACACTGTCGGTAAGAGACTTCCAAGTACCGTCGACACCTTCAACTCTAGCCTGTCCACCCAATTTACCATCGGTACCGACCTCACGAGCGACTCTGGTTACTTCATCGGAGAACGTTCTCAATGAACCAACCATACCATTAACCGTTTGTTTCAATTTGAGTATCTCACCCTTGACGTCAACATCAATCTTCTTTGACAAATCACCCCTAGCAACAGCAGTAGTGACCTCTGCGATAGATCTGACTTGCGTTGTCAAGTTCAAAGCCATGTGATTAACAGATTCGGTCAACTGTCTCCAAGTTCCTTCAACATTTGGCACAACAGCTTGTCCACCGAGATTACCATCTGTACCGACCTCACGCGCCACACGTTCGACTTCTGCAGCGAATGTACGAAGTTGGGCAACCTGTAAAATGTGTGAGGAATGTAGATTCAGGGAAATACACCAACTCACCATGTTATTGACAGTTAATTTCAGTTCGAGAATTTCACCCTGGACATCAACATCAACAGTCTTGGTAAGGTCACCTTTGGCAACTGATTTTGTGACTTGAGCGATCTCTCTTACTTGTGATGTAAGGTTTGCAGCCATCTTGTTGACGTTGTGGGTTAGTTCCGCCCACGTACCTTCAACACCTTCGACAACAGCCTGTCCACCAAGTTTACCCTGTGTACCTACTTCGAGAGACACCCTAGAGATCTCTCTAGCAAATATACGTAATTGACCAACCATACCATTGACGGTATCTTTAAGCAGGGCCATTTCACCTTCAGCCAAGATATTAATAGTCTGCGAAAGATCACCGCGGGCGACAGCCGTTGTTACCGAACCAATAGATCTTACTTGATTGGTCAAGTTGGTACACATTCGATTGACGTTAATTGTCAAATCTTTCCATACACCCTCGAGATCTTTATCTTCAGCTTGACCACCTAATTTACCTTGAGAACCGACTTCAAGAGAAACACGAGTGACTTCCGCCGCAAGATGATTCAACTGTACAACCATACCATTTATCGTCATTTTCAATTCGAGAATTTCACCATTGGCTTCAACTTCAATAGTTTTTGTTAGATCACCTTTAGCGACAGCCTTTGTAACTTCAGCGATAGATCTGACCTGATTTGTAAGATTTGCAGCTAGACTGTTTACCGTATCTGTAAGTTCTCGCCAAGTCCCGTCAACACCTTCGACGACGGCCTGACCACCGAGTTTACCTTGGGAGCCGACTTCAAGGGAAACACGAGTAACTTCAGTAGCGAAAGTACGTAATCTGTCAACCATAGAATTGATAATATCCTTCAATTCGACCATAACATGACCTTGAACGGGAACAACGATTTTCTGAGACAAGTCACCATTAGCAACAGCCTTACAGACTCTTGCGACATCCTGTACCTGAGCCTTGAGTAATCTTAACTCCTCAGAGGGATCAATAGGGTTTTCGTGTGGATCGATGGGATTTGCGAGGAACATGAGTGGATTTGGAAGGGGTAAGTGAGCCAATTGAGATTTATCGAGAGTAACATTTTCATTATTTGAAGAAGCCGTTGAAAGAGCGTTGGCGGCAGCGCCAGCTAAGTCCGTGAGAGGGTTGTTAGGATCGAGGGGGAGAGGCTGAGGGCGAAGCTGCGGAGTCTGGTGTTCGTTTGAATCGGAAGGAGCTTTGTTTGAGTTTTCGCTTGTGTCTGAAGTGTGAGACGATGTAGTGTCCTTATCCTTGTCCTTGTTAGGATTCTGAGTTTGAGCCTGTACGGCTAAGAAGGCGGCAGAGATAGTTTCAGCTTTTCTCAAGCGCTCCGCTAGTCTTGAGATATGGTCCTCAATTGCACCCATAAGTTCATCCTGGAGTGGATAATCAGCGGAATTCCAAACAGAAAGCACAACGCACCTTCTGAGGGCCTTCCCAAGGATCGAATGACCACGGAGGGAGAGAAACATTTGACGGTAACTTGCCTGCTTTGATTGCGGGTGCGAGTGGAATGGGCGAAGGAGACGCAGATAGGCTATTGAGAACCGTGTGCAAATGGCCCAAGAACATGGCGGATTTGTTTGAGTAGCGCGAGTGGTTTGGCAGTGTACCTGCTGATGTCCCTGACGACGGTTGCCTGTCCATCGCAGTCGTTGGCTCAACTCGCAATTTCTTCGATGGCCTGTCTGTGGGAGATAAACTGGGCCTTAAATCCTGGCCTTGATTGTTGTTAAGTGACACTTTCTTTGGTTTTAAAGGGAGACTCGTTTCCGCTCTCCCGATGTTCAGTGTTTAGATTGAGCCGACTGAGATAAACAACAAAGTTGGATCAAATTACAAAACTTTTTTTTATTCTTTCAAGCCAGTCCAGCAGCAAGATATGATGTGAGCGATACTACTTCGTCGTAGCCTATCTTGAGTAGTATCCGCACCATTTCCCGCTGCACTTCTCCCCGATTGCGTTCCAACCTCTGCAGGCTAAGATGCGATAAGTTCCATAGCCGTGCGTCGGTTTCTGCGACCACTGTGCAATTCCTTTTTGAGCCTGAGATTCCTGATATTTCACCCGCCACCGTCCCCGTCAGCATTGTTTCATCTACTGGTGAACTGTGTCCATCGAACATGTAAGTAGCCCTGAGAATACCCCTCTCAATGAGATAATAGCTGTGTTTTCTAGTCAGCCTTTATCTGCTTCATTCAATCCATTCCTACCCGTTTGGCTCTTCATTCTGTCTCCAAAGAATATCACCCGCCTTGAGATCCACTGGGGTGAAATATGGTGCGAGTTGTCTATAAAAGTCGATATGAGCATCAGTGTATGTCTTGAATGTACCAATGATAAGCGATAGAGGTTGAGGATGTTTTTGGTGATTATCCTCACTCTCACCCTCACTCTCCTCCTCGCTGTCGAACACGTTAAGATTCTTTGATATACTACCAACTCTAGGAGTCTGGCCACCGTCAACCTCCTCTTCCTCCTCAAGGGGCGAGCAATTAAGCGCCAAGTTCTGAGTATGGACGTGTCCTTGATGAGCGTCTTCAGTAAAGTTGGCAGCGTCTTGAATGAGATTGTTACGCGGACTAGTTGACATACTTTCCGATATCCTAAACGCCATTTTATTATTATGTTTCTTCGGAAACTCCACCCCACCCGTCAGCGCGAGTGTCTGATATTTCTTATGCGACGCTGGATGTGAGTAGAGTCCTCTAAGATAAGAATTCTCGACGTATTCGAGTGCATCGTTGAGATCCTTCGCGACCTCTAGTCTGAATTCCTCCATATCAGACCAACACCCAACACTACGCAGTGCGATCCCAATGTTAGACTCTGGCGACTCGATCCCACAGAGCACGAGCGTCACATGTCGCGCGACGAGCAGCCGCGCGATACGAACAAACGATTCGGCTGCGGAGAAATCGACACCACTGACCAGCCTTAAATCTAGAATTAGGAAGCGCAGTGGGTTTTTGTCCCACTGAGCCGCATCGAGCATCTCCCTTGTCATCTCCTCCACTACGCTGATAGTACCAAAGAAAAGGAAACCTTGCAATCGCATCACCTGCGTCTGCTTACCGACACGATGCAGGAAGGAGCGTTGGATGGCGTGTCGCCTCACTGTAGACTTGAGCGACTGTCCATTAAACACCGCTCGAACGGGCCGACGACGGGCGTTTTGCACTACGAAGAAGAGACATGCGAGGATTATCCCAATAATAACACCGAACACAAAATCGAACAGTGTCATACTAACAATGATAGCCCACATTGTAAAATACTCAAGCTTGTTCACCTTCCCGAAGGTGTCCCAAACGGCTTCCTTGACGAGATCGATCCCGAGGACAAAAATGAGCGTACCAACAGCCATAACAGGTATGAACGAGATGGCGCCTGGTCCAACGAGGGCTATTCCGACTGTTGCGAGTGTTAGCATATACCCAGACAGCTTACTCCCCCCGCCCGTTCTGTAGAAGAGTACAGAATTTGAGTAGACGAGGTAGTTGGGGAAGGTGCCAAGCAAGCCAGCCAAAGTGTTGGAGTAGCCATGCGCCACTAGCTCTTTATCGAGATCCACATTATCGACATCTAAACTGACACCTGGTAATTTGGTTTAGTAAAACCCACTGCTGAAGACGAAATTCTTACTCAGAGCCGGAACGTTAAGAGGTACGTGCAGTACGCTAAAAAATACAAGCGCAAGCTGGGTCGGTAGGGTCTCAAGTATACCCTTCCAGCTTACCGCTTTGAAATCAAAGTAGGAGTAGAATCTGTAAAAGGGCGCATTGGCACCGTCACCGACGTCAAAAATCCAATTGAGTTGACGAAGTTTGTCAAGTGGTATGTGAGCAGAGAGGACGACAATGTAGAAGATAATGGGAACGAAGATGAGGAAGACGGGTGTGATGAGTGGGTTGGAGAAGAAGTATGTGAGGATCCGCAGTACTACTGCCAGACACAGAGCGGGAAACCACTGCGAGAAAACTCTAAGATTGGTGAAGAGAAAAGAGATAGTAGACCAGCTATAAGTGAAACCTTCATTGTTAAGCCCAGCGGTGATCTCCAGTCCCGTTTCGAGGAGAAATACACCGACGCCGCCAATAGATCCAACGAGAATATGACGCGGGAAAAACCCTATGAAAGCACCGAGTCTCATCTTTCCGAGGAGAAAGAAAGTGAGACCTACGAGCAAGCTGGAGAGAGCGAAGGTGACCATAGTAGTAGAAATGATTTCGTGTTTATTGGATGTGCTCTTCTCGATGATATCGACAAGGATATGGAAAAAAGGGACAGTCTCGATGATCATGGAGCCATTTCCACCAGAGAAGACGCTGCCGCCTGAGCTAAAGACGAGCTGACTAACAATGCAAGTGACGAGGAACATGGAGACGCCATCACCGCCAAAACCGGTAAAGGTTCTGCCTGGGGGAAAGGCGATCATGCCATAACTGACACCGTCGAGAATGTTGAGCATAAGGCCGAGCATTGTGGCAGGAATGACCTCCGAGACGGATTTGGCGGAGTATTTGAGGCTGTTTAAGATAAGCCTTGGTTTTGAGAGTTTTGATTGGCTGTTTTGATTGGATATATGGTCTGGGTGGTGGTATAGCAGAGGCGTAGAGTCGTTTGGGGGAGTTGGAGGGGTGACTTCGATGTGAGAAGTGCTTTGTGGGTTTTGAGAGTTTCTATGTCTAATTGAGGCCAAGTCCAAGTGTTTGTCTGAATCTCTTCTGGCTTCACCGATAACATCTAAAGAGTTATCCAGAGGGTTCTCGTCGTCGTGAACATTGTCATCCTCATCATCACGCTCATCGATTGGATTTTCATGTTCAAAGCTGAAATCGAATTCGTCGTGGCTACCCGATTCGTTCTCGGACATGGCCAAATTGGCTAAGTGAGCCGTCTTTGCTCTGTTTTCTGGACCAACTGAGAAATCCTGGGATCTGTGATTTGTGGGGTGAGCGGGTGCAATGCCTACAAACAAACCCACGCACTCTTCATCATTATTTGAAATGAAGCTATTTCTAGTCCTCCTCACTGAAGAATATGACGCCATCCAGTTCTATTTCCTTATTTCCAATTTCTCACTTGATGACAGCAACTGCTGATAAGAGCAGGATCGGCGAGAAAATCCTGATAAGGAGAGAATTTTCTCCCCTGAGCTGAATAATTGCACAAGGACAACCAGATAAGTATTAAAAGTAAAAGAGGTATATAAGGTATACAATTGATATTTACGTGTAAAAATCCACCACCACCTAAGCTTTAGTTAGTACTTAATTTTAATAGCACCCAATCACAGCCCAAATAAGTCTCAGGCATTTACTTTTACTCTTATTGGTTGACATCAAAAGTTATCAGGCCTATCATACGGACATCATCGACGTTGTGGGCTGTTGAGGCTGTATAGATAACTTACAGTAATTATATTCGGAGTGGATTTTACTGTGGTAATATCCACACTTGCACATCCACTCCATCCTCAACGTCCATTTCCAACCCGCGTCATGTGCTTTTTGAGAGCCGAGAAATTTTAATTTCAAAATGGAAAATGGAAAATTTTGAGCACTCACTGAGCAGCAAATGGTGACTAAGGGGGGAGGGGGGTGTAAAAGATTTTATACAACACACACGCTCAACTTCAACAAACACGTGCTAGTATGTGATAATAAGACATACCCCTACACCCCTCTAAACGTGTGTATGAGTTTAGGTGGCAGTTCATCGCTCCTCGCTGACCAAGATTCCCAGAATGCTTGCTCGTTAGTTTCGTTCAAATGGTGAAGCTGGTTGATCCGGCATTCTGCCTCTGTGCGCACGCGATCGATTTCCTTGACGAGGGAAGCCTGACGATCGAATTCGTTTCTCAGGGAGAGATTAGAGCGAACATACGCGGCGTACACCTCCAAGATGTGATCAGCCTGTTGGTGCAGCGCATGTATCTCACCCTGAAGCGTGTCGACATATTTCTCTATATCCGACTGTAGGGTGTGAGATTGAGCAAGAGATTCCCTTACCTCCCCTTTATCCTCCAACGCCTCCACTCTGGCCTGCAGACTGCGCATGCACTCTTCGTAGCGCGCGCGCAGACTGTCCGACCTCGAGCGCACACCTTCAGCATCGCCTAGCGCACTCTCACTTTCGCTCACAATACTCGCCAGCTCGTCTACGTCACCATTCAGGATACTCATCTCGTCCGCTGTCAAGTTGTGGTCGGCATCCGCATCGATCAGCTGCGTCCAATGCACATGCACCGATGCGAGATGTGCGTTGAGAGTTGGGTGTATGTTCTGCCTAAACGCATCTAACCATGCTTCTACTCCCCGGAACTCATCTAGCAGTGCATATCGACTTGGGAGTGGTCCTGCGTTGAGGAGCATTGTGAGACATCGCAGCAAATTTTTCGACGAGTACCCTGCCTGTGTGAGCGATTGCTGGTACTGGTGCAGCGAGGTGATTATTGTGTTGAATACGTCTGTATCAACATACTCGGAGAAGGTGGAAGGGGTGTTGTGGTAGAAGGGAGAGTCTGAGGAATGTGTGGTATGTGTAGTGTGTGTAGGCAGCTGTATAGCGTCTAGCTGCAGAGCAGATTCTTTAAGCTTGGCCAGGTAGCTGCTTGTGATGCTTTTCAAGTGCTGGGCGGGTGTGTGAGATGACGTCATGTACACAAACCACACTGACTACGTCGATAGAGTTTATTTTAACGTATCGGGTGTGTAGCTGGTGAATCTGTAGCTGATTTGACTATTGTAGATTAGAAATATCACCAGTGCGCCACCCTCCACGCACTTGAAGGAGCTGATTACACCTTGTGATAACACAATCAAGGTGACTATCCAACTGAGAGCATCTAGATTGATTAGATTTGACCACATCATGCGCTTGAATCATCAGCTTTTCAATTTTATTGAGATTTTGTATGTATTTCTTCGATTTGATCACAGCTTCAATCATGGCGGGTGAGAATGAAGCGATTACGCTGGACGAAATCCTGCCTATAGACGATAGCATGATAGAATATACCGAGAAGAGGGATAGATTTGCTGATATGTTCGAGCGCAGTGTGAGCAGCTTCGAGGGGAATGTGATGATTCTCGACAAGTACTGGTACAGCGACGATAAAAAGCTGGATAAAGTTACGCAATTTCTCCCGCACGCTGCAGAATTCAAGCTGAACGGATTGTATTATAATAGCCAATTTGAAGGCTGCTTGAAGGCATGTTTAGAGTTGCTGGGAAAACACAGCGAGTTGAGCGATAACAAGGAGATAAGGGATATCGTGATGAGGTCATTGAATAGATTAGAGGGGAGTGTAAAAGATGGCTATGTGGATTGGCTGTGTAGTAGGTACCCTTCTATACTGGCTAATGAAGCTGGCGTAGAAGACTCCAAGTTGTATAGAAGTGTAAAAGAGTTGTAATTTAAATTCATTTCCTCGTTGTTCTCCTACTTCCATTATGGCCGATAACAGCGTAATCGATACCCTCACGGATAATCTAATCAATGAGATTCTATTTGAAATTGTCTTGGAAGCTAAGACGACGAGTACCAAGATGGATCTTCAGCGACAACAGTTGCAGTCCTCGTCGCTGCCTTCGTTGCAGCAGCAGCAGCAGCAAACCCACTTGCAATCCAACAACCCACGCGCATCCGGCGTTTCAAAAGGTCAAGGCGATCCACTAAACCCCAATTTCGAATGCTTGATATGCAATAGGTGGATTTCGTGCAACCGATACGCACCGCACTTGAACAATTGTCTAGGGTTGAGGGGATCTAGGGGATCTACGAGAGCGGCAGCGAGTGTGGCAAGTGGGGCAAGTCAGGCGAGCTCAACACACTCCAACACAACAAACAACACAGCAGCCACCCACAAGCCGCCTACCAAACACACCAACTCGCACAGCAACTCAAGTAAGTTTGACTACTTGGACTTGAGCAGCGTTAACCGATTTACCATGTAGTGGTGAATGTGAGTGGGAGTTTTTTCATTTGAATGTGAGTGGGAGTAACACACAGCTAACACACTACAGACACTCAAGCACACCAACAAACCACGCCAGTCGTCGCCGTTATCAAATACACCAACTCACACACAAGATTACCTCTTCAGCGATCTGCATAACATGTCCAAAGACCTCTTCTCTCCGAGTAACTCTGAAAGCTCAGCTTTGAGTTCACCGCCTAAGGGTGGGTCTAACACTGACACTTTGAGGCAGAGTGCGCAGAGTGCTGATAGTGCTGATATAGATTCATCCGGTTCAGAGGAAGAGTCTTTGTGATGCGTTTGAAAATGTGGAATGCACGAATGAAATCATACGTACACATACTCATACTCATACACATACTCATACACATACTCGCACTCAAATAAATAATGATACTCAAACTCATATTCTTACTGTAACATTACATCATACGACATCCTAGTTCAATTTTCCTTCTTCTGGTAGCGATAATCACCTGCTTTCTCGATAGCCTTGACGTATGAGGGGTGTTGATGGAGACGCTGAGCATAAGACTGCAAACCCGGGCCGAGGTTGTCAGCTCTACCGCCATAAACGAGTACATCTACCGAGAAAGCGAGCATAAAGTCGCTGATGGTAGGATTGCCGCGTGAGTCGCCATCGACGAGCCAACCCTGCTTGTTGCTGAGCTGATTCTCGACGACATTGATAGCGCTTGCGAGATTAGGCTCAACCCACTGGCTCAAGATCATACGCGGAACGACGGCCATAACCGGACGAAGAAGAACGGGGATCTTCTCGATGGAAATGGACAGAACGAGTTTGAAGACGCAGAAACTCATTAGACTGCCCTCGATGTAGTGTTTCCAGAAAACATCATCAGGGGAAGTGTAGTTGCCAGCGCCATATTTAGACACAAGGTACTCGATTATAGCGCCAGATTCAGAAAGGCTGGTGGATCCATCGACGAGAATTGGCGCATGACCTAGTTTGTCGACCTGCTTCAACTCAGGTGGAGCTAAACCGGAGGGAAGGCGCTTGTAGGTCTTGAGATCGTACTCTATGCCGAGCTCCTCAAGGACCCAGATGATGCGTATTGAGCGGGAGTTTTCGAGGTGGTGGAGTGTGATCATAGCAATTGTGATTTGTGATGGTGGTTGGTGGCCAAGTGGAGGGTGCGAATGGATACGTGATTAGGGGAGTGAGTTGAGTACATTATTCATGGCGGGTATTGCCGGCGTTGCCGGCGTTGATTTGTTCACTGCATGCATCCTTGGCCCGGAAATACTTGGTTCGTTTGTCACCGTAAAAATTGAGTTTTAGGGGAGTGATATGATAGGGAAATGGGAGAATGAGACTGGTATTACCCATTTATAGCCATTTATACAAACTCATGATGAAAATACCCCCCGATAAACCCAATCAGCCAATCAGAAGAGCAGTAATAGAAATAGGGGAGAGTTTTTAGCAGGTATTTTACCCCATCGAACGTGGAAACGGCGGGAGATTTATATTCGCTCAGGTACACCAAATAAAGTTGTTTCAGTTGGGCCTGGAATTGGCCTGATCGGTGGTGCCTTGGGAAGCTGGACAGAAAAATGGTTATCTTGGACCGCAACACCAGAAAAATAAGAAATGGAGAATAGAAATAGACTTGTACAGAAGAGAACATCGACAGATACAATAAAGGCTGGAATAGGGATGCTGGGCAACCTACGCAGCAAGTCGTCGATGAGTAATGTGTCTATTGGCAGTGGCAGTGGGAGTAGTGGTAGCAGCAACTCCAGTCACTCCAGCCACCCGTATACTCACCGAACTCGAACACACTCACACTCCCCTTCAATCATTTCATTCAAATCATTCTCAGCGAGTTCCCAGCCAACCACTCCAACGACTCCAACGACTCCAAATATCCCAGTGTCAGCGATATCACCAATAGACTATCCAAATAGACCTCCACGCCGCTCCTCTAAAGCCCACTCAACCTCCACAACGCCAGATCCATTCAGCGCTACGAGCCAAAGCAGCTGGTTTAGTCCAGAGTTTAATCTCTAAATGGATTACAAGCATTTATATACCCAAAGCATAACCACAGCATATATTTATATTATTTATTTGTAAACGCCTTCCTTATCGACGTTGACATTTATGTCCCTGAGTTTCCGAGTTAGTTGGCGTGTAAAGTAATGGTTGTGGCTTTGGCTTATTTGCATACTAGGAAAATGATCCTGGCAGTGTTGAGGCCCTGCTGAATGCCTTGAAACCGAGCTTGGATACGATTAACAGCGGCGATGGTGCGAGTAGCAGCACAAATACCACACAAGCCACACAGGATTCTCATAAAATACAATCCACCCCTCCCCCACAGCGAAACCTCGAAATTGACTCGTTGCTCGACTTACTAGGTACGTCTCCAGGAAGGCAGACGCAGACGCAGCAGAACCACGACAATATCGAAACTCGGCGGCACTCTTACGCGTCTGCGCCAATGCCAATGCCAATGCCAATTTCAGCTCCAGTGTCGGCGTCTGCGCCTGCACCTGCACCACAACCTCAGCAACACCATCAACCTGAACAAACTAACCCTATCAGTATCGAAGAAGCCACCCAGCTCCGTTCAATGACATTTCCGCAAGCACTCATGCTCATACCCACCCTACCCGCTGAGAAAACGGAGAAATTGAAAAAGATACAGGCGCAGCAACACAGGATAGAGAAGAGTCTGCATTCAGAGTGGAGCGTGATGAATAGCAAACATGTCAATGCGCGTAAAGAGCTCGACCAGAAGATGGCACTTGCTCGTATCGACTTGAGCAGAGATGTGAGTAGACTAGATAGCGATTTCAAACGCAGAGAGGACGCTTTTAAGGCCAAGGCACAGGCAAGGTGGTATGATTTGGTGAGTGAGAATCTTTGTGGATGAAATTAGTCTCACCTCGTCACAGCGCCAGTCTCAACAATCTCAACTAGAAGCACTACATATTCCCTGCTTTTACCAAACTGATGACAGCGGTGTGCTGTCTACGCAGGCTAAGATATTGAACGCTATTTTGTCGCAGCATGGATAACCACGTACAAGCTATAAACTACTTTTTCATGAAGAAGGAATTGAGACTGCTCTGTCCTTTTGATGTGGACTTTGATGGTGGTGGTGGTTTCGAAGGTGGTTTTGGGGCTGTTTTTGGTTTCGATTTGGAATTTGAATTGGGATTGGGATTGGAATTGGGCTCAGATGGTGCAGCGTCAATAGATGCACCCTCCTCACCATCCTCACCCCCACTCACCCACTCATCCACATCCTCAGTCACCATGTAACCCTTTTCGTTCATCCGCGTCAAGCTCTTTGTCAGCTTGCGCTTTTTTGTCTTGTTGGTGTTGCTTTGTGTGGTGTGTTTTGACTGCGTGTCTGACTGGACATTTGTCTGCGCTGGCGGTGGTGCTTCTGGAGGTGATGAAATGATAAGGTCTTCCTCTTCGTCTGATTCGATAACACGGCGCTTGTTGGTAGCTTTCTTGGGGGGATTTGAGGGTGGAGCTGGTTGTGGTGGTTTGTTTTGTTTAGTGGGTTGTTTAGTGGGTTGTTTAGTAGGTTGTTTAACCTCCTGCTGCTTAACTGGCTTGGATTGCTTCTCCTGCTTGCTGTCTCTCTGTTTCACCTTCTCGCGCGCGTTAATCACGTCACCAAAGTACTCCAACTCGTAGTTGAGTATAGGAGTAAGATCAGCCAGCTTGAATGGTGATAACGCGTGAACGTAGATGGAGTGTTCTTCGTCATACCTCGAGCGAGAGGCTGGAGAGGTGAGGTTATATAAGGCGATGAGCACGCAACCAGTACTCACACTGCACAGTACTCAAGTCAGCGATTAGCTGCGATTGAATACCACTGCCCACTCTACCCGTAATTGCAATCACTGGGTGTAAAGAGGTGTTGTTGCGGTAGTAGTGTAGGAGATGGCTGGTGGGCGTCTTAAATGCAATCGATAATATTCATTACGTCACTTACTTTTTGGCTGCATTGATATGCTCACCAGTTGCATGACTCAGTATACGTGCTGTGACCTGGGGGAAGTGAGCATAAGCAAGAGGAACGAGAGAATACAAACCACGCTGCTATCATCTTTGAGCCATTTATCGAGTAATTTGTTTTGTATAACGCTCATGGTGGTAGCTAACCAGCCGTTGTAATGGACGATCACGGCAATCACGGCAATCACGCTAATCACGCCAATCACACTGGACAACGACGCTCACGCAGAATAAGCCTGTCTGCTCCGCCAGCCACTCCCAGCAGGACTGAGCGGAGTAGAGGCAGAAGTATTGGGTTTTATGTGGTGCAAGTGCTGCTGATACTCCCACTGCAATTTGTTAGCGTGTACAGCGTTGTCTACGTGATTGCTATGTGTTTTCCATCGATGGCTCCCCAGCGCAGTCTATTGATGGACATATACGCCCCACTAGAGGTGAGCGTATCAAGACGCATTGAGCAATCCGCTCACTCCTCTCTAAGCTCTTATTCTACGCTTGGATGTTCCTCTCCCACCGCCACATCCAGCGCATTTCTCTCCCGCCGCCCCACTTCACTCCCACTTTTGCCAAAGACGTCTTTATACGGATTCTCACCGATTTCAAAGCAGCAGACACGCGCCGCATCTCTGAGTGGGAGGAATGTGATGGTGTTACAGACACGGCAGATCCTGCAGATCCTGCAGATCCTCTATCCGACGCCGCTGCCGACATGTCACGTCACCGAAGCCAAGACCACGACCAAGACCGTGACGAGCATGCGCACCTCGAGCACCACCTGCCCAATTTGCCCTACGACGACCCCAAAGCCTTCGACTTCCGCGAGAAGGTGCGCACATGGTTCAGCATGGCAGAATGGGGTGCTATCACGCACACGGACATGCTCACATGGCTGAGCTGGTCGATGCTAGGTGTGCCACTATCACACCGCAACGTGCCCTTTCTGGAGGAATGCGCGAGGCTGGTGGAGCGACGCACCGGGCACGCGTTCCCGCTTGAGAGAACCCCAGGCTTGGCGCGTCCCACTATCATCAGACTTAATATCGACCCCGTGCGCACTAGGCACCGCCCACTCGCTTTCTATATCCTCCTCGCTGCGGCTCACTACCTCACTATCGCTCTCCTCCGCTGGCGATACCACGCGGGTGTGTGGATCGAGCGCGGCGTGGAGTATGTTGTGCGCGAGGGCAGAGTGAGCGTGGACAAGAAGGATGAGGACGGAGGCGGTCGCAACGACGCTGAAATCAACAGCAACGAAACACCCATCACTCTCATGCACGGGCTGGGATTCGGGCTGCCGCACTATGCGCGCACATTCGCATATCTCGCCGACAAGTTCCCTCAGCGGACGGTAGTCATGCCGCTGAACCCGTCTACGTCAATGCGAGTGTTCAGTGGGCGTTACTTGCGACCTATAACGCGAGAGGAGGCTAGTGAGGGGTTAAATGGGGTGTTGCGACGTGTTGGAGCGACCAGTACGGATATAGTATCGCATTCGTTCGGCACAATAGCACACACGCATATACTCAAAGACGCGCCGGGGCTCGTGCGCAAGAGCGTCTTACTCGACCCAGTCACTTTCTGCCTGTGGGAGGGCGACCTCTGCTACCGCTTCCTGTACAGAGTGCCGCAGACAGCGATGGAGCTGCTAATGCACTACTTCGTCGCTACTGAGACGGGGCTCGCTAATACCCTCCAACGAAGTTTCAGTTGGTCTTGTAACCTCCTCTGGCCGCACGAGTTGGAGCGTGGCGCTACTAAGATCTTTCTTGGCGGGGAAGACGCCGTTTTCGACAGCGCAAGAGTCTATGCTTATCTTAAAAGACACGGCTTGCAGGATGGACGCAGCCTGCATTTTTTAGACGGCTATAGACACGGTGAATGCCTTCTCAGACAAAATGGCACGCTTGATGTCGTTTGCGAGTTTTTGAAGGGCGCGTAGGGGTGTGGAGTGGAAATTTAGATTTGTAAATGGATGTATTTTGCGCAATTTGTAAATTTTTAATGCCTTCTTTGTCTTGTCTGTTGCGATGGATAGATTTACGGATTTGGAAGCGGGGAGTGGACGAGTAGTGCAAGTAGAGCGTATTGTATACGCCGACTCAGCCAGCCACTTAACCACAGCCAGCTACCACGAAAATGAGGTCATTGGCAATTTCCACAATTCCACAAAATGCCCCGCTTCCTCGTTGCTCCTCACCGTCACACAGGGCACAGAAGAAAATGCAAGGATCTTCAGCGATAAAGCTGCTGAGTGGTGTGTAGACAGCCAGAGCGAGTACCAATATTCACGACAACAGGCACATCCCACCACCAGCTATCACAGCTCATAGCGAAGCGGTGGGTGGAGAGCGAGGCGAAAAGAGAAGACTGCTTACACACCCGCCAGCCTCGGGCTTCCACTCTGCAGTGTAAAAGTAGAGCTCAATTCCGCCGGCGAGACCAACGTCGCCCTCCAGGAGAGTGTGCGCGACGACGATGTCTACATAGTCAACACGGGCTGCGGTAATGTAAACCAGCACCTAATGGAGACAATGATAATGATCCACGCTTGCAAAATAGCTTCCGCATCGCGTATCACCGCCGTTATCCCCCACTTCCCTTACGCGCGCCAGGATAAAAAGGACAAGAGCCGTGCGCCAATTACGGCGAAACTTATAGCCAACATGCTGCAGAAAGCAGGCTGCGATCACGTTATCACGATGGATTTGCACGCTTCTCAGATCCAGGGCTTCTTTGACGTGCCTGTGGATAACCTCTACGCTGAACCTTCTACCCTGCAGTATCTGCGCGAGGAGTGCGATCTCGCCAATACTGTTATCGTCAGCCCTGATGCGGGTGGAGCTAAACGCGCAACTAGCATGGCGGATAAACTCGATCTCGATTTCGCTCTCTTTCATAAGGAACGCAAGAAGGCTAATGAGGTGTCGCGTATGATTCTCGTCGGTGATTGTAAAGGCAAGACGGCTATCCTCGTAGACGATATGGCAGACACGTGCGGTACACTAGGCAGAGCTGCTAAACATCTCGTAGAGGCTGGCGCTGAGAGAGTACTCGCCGTCGTCACTCACGGTATTCTCACAGGACCTGCCCTTGACGTTATCAGCGATAGCTGTTTAGAGAAAGTTGTCGTCACTAACACTATGCCTCAGGAACAGAACCAGCTCGGGTGTGAAAAGATTCAGGTCATCGATATCTCACAAGTCCTTGCGGAAACTATCAGAAGAAGTCACTACGGTGAGAGTATCAGTGTGCTCTTCAGCAACCTCCCTTACACTGTCGGCGTCAATTGAATGAACCAACAAATAAATGGATTCTCCTTCTTTCCTTGCTCTTTAAAAGATGATAATATGCATATTACACTTTGTGATAGAATGTCATGGGTGGGGTGGGTGAAAGGGGTGAGATGGTTAGATGGCAAGAGAATATGAGAGTGATGGGATGACAGAGTGGCAGAGGATATACCAGGATATCACAGTCAGTAGCGCGTAAAGCCCTGCTAACTCGGTTTGGTGTTCAGAAGCGATAGAAGAGGATTGGAAGCCTGGTGGTGTGAGGGCGAGGCAGTCTGAGTAGCCTCTGCAGCCTGTTGGGGAGAGAGAAGAGAGAGAAGGCTTTGTTTGTGGTTGGGATCGTTTTTATGGAGGTAGGAGGGGTGTGAGTGGGTGTTATTCACGCTATTCACGTTGTTAACATTTCGAGCACCATTCATACCTTGCAAGGGCTGCAAACTCTCCAACAAAGTCTGCTGCAAGTTTTGTGGTGGCTGAGTGTTGGTTATTCCCGAAGGAGGATGCATGATGGTAGACAGTTGGGAGTGGGAGTGCATCTTGGTCAAGTCGTGTGAGAGATGTGAGGACAAGTTGTTGACATTGTGTTGAATGTTGTGATGTGAGGGTGTGTTGGGTGTGTTGCCCGTGTTGCCCCGATGATCCAAACCCATCTGCCTCTGCATGTCCATATCACCGACATGATCACCTTCACCCAAAACAAAATTGATTGGTACATTTGTGCTGGCGTTGGAGGGAAGTGAGGGGAGTGGAGGATTGCTCTGTACTGGAGGCATCTTGGGTGGCATGAGTGGGGGTGGGAAGGGTTGAAGGTTGGGTAAGGGAGCAGTGGAAGGAGTGGAGTTGGAGTTGTGGGTGGATTTGGGAGAATGCTGTAGAATCTGTAGTGGAGAGGAACCATTGTGTGCGTGTATGTCACCAGGTGCGGGCGTGCATTGAGAGAATAACCTGTCTACATGGGATAGTGAGACATTTGAAGTGGATAGTTTTGAGAAGAGGGAGTCGATGGGGTTGGACGTGGGCTCGTTGTCAGGGGAGAGTAAGGCGTTTGAATTTGGTTTATGTCGCTTGATGAAAGATTTCAATCGACCGATAAAAGGGGTAATGAGGTAGAATTTAGATGAGGAGAGCTGTTTTGAATTCCTCTTCCAAGACGGCAGATCAGTAAGTTTAAACCACTCGATTTTAGAAATTTCCTTCCTTGTTTGAGTTTTGAAGGGGGTGTCCATAGGTACGTTTTGGATGATATACAGTCTGATTTTCTGGTCTTTGATGGCTACGTCAATGTAGTCAGTGTGTACGAGGCGAGTGGAGCAATCGAAGCCAGTTTCCTCGAGCACCTCCCTCACAGCACATAGGTGGTGTGCTTCATCGAGGTTGATCTTACCCTTAGGGAAAGACCAGGCGGAGGATTGTTTCCAGCCCTTGACGAGGAGGCAGTGGGAGAGTTGTTGGTTGAGAATGATGGCCCCACACACGGGTACTCGTGTCTTGTAGCGGATGAAATCGGCGAAAGCTTTCTCGTGTCGATGGGATTGCTTGGAGAGGATTGGGCAGTGTTTGAAGAATTGCTGAGAGAATTGTTTGAGGTGGAAAGAGGGAAGTGAGGGCTCTAGCTCCCTAATGAAGTCCTCGTAATACCAATGGGCAGCTTCGACTTGGAAGCATAGCCGTTCAAGCGATTGCTGCTCTTGGACCGGCAGATTTATAATAAATTTTGTACTCAAATTGAGAAATATTTCATCCATCTTGGTTGTCATTTACACACCACCGACCATGTCGAGCCTAACGCGTATAAGGAAGAATTATTTGAACAGTCTCTATAAAAATTTATTATCCAATCAAAACCTCTTGTTCTACCAGTTTAATAATTTCAATGTTTCTCAGTTGAGTGGGTTGAGGGGGGTTATAGACAGCGAGACGAATGGGAAGGCTTCGTTGACCGTAATCAGATCGGGTGTATTTAGAGGATTATCCAGCGACCCGAACCTTAAGCAGCTCCTCACTGGCAACTGCTGCGTTGTGTCTTTCACCCATATAGACCCTCCAACCATCAAATCCATTTTGCAGAAAACAGATTCAATCAAGTCCAATAGCAGGTTTAGACCGCTTCCCTTGTCCATCCAAAACACAGACACCATCCCCGCCAACCCAAAGATGCTCCTTCTTGGCGGTCACATCGGCAACGCCACCGTTGACCCATTCCACATCAGACACCTCGCTAACCTCCCTTCTTTGCCTCAAATACACTCCCAAATCCATTCCATCATATCAAACCCATCCGCCTCTATCCACTCACACATCTCCAACCCCTCCTCCCGCTTACACTCCCTCTTAAAATCCCATTCTCAGCAATAGATGTCTCATAAAATTTTCATCTTCGTTATTTCCTTATTTGTGCGGCGTGCGTGTGTGTTGTTGTGTGTGTCTGTGTAAGCGCCCACTCTCACCTCCTTCTACTCACCCATCTCTATTCCATCTCCTCCCTCTTCTCAACCACCATCATCAATGACAACGCCTTCCAATCAAATTACTGAGTTTGTTGAGAGATACAACGCTGCACAAGGCCAGGAACACTCACAAACACAATCCCATCCGCCCCACCAATCCCCCGCCATCAATCTCGCTCAACAACTCAAATCCCACTCCACGCAGCACCCACTAACAGATGCAGACGTTGCCTATCTATCCGCACAGCTCCACCCACTCCACCATCCTGGCGTATTCATGTACACCACCACCCTCTACACGCGACAGCTATTGAGTGACCTAGCAAACACACAAGGCACAAACACACATACCAACACTTCAATCGCCAGCCAATACCATTCCTCGCAGCACCACGCCCACAACACTCCCACCGCCCATCTGCGAGTATGGGCTGAGGTAGTCGTAGAGCTATCTGAGCAGCTGCATGCACTGGCCAAGTTAATCGGCAGTGTAAAGTCGTCTCTACCCGCCCTCCACTCTCTCCTGTACTCCCTAACCGGTGGTGCGGTTAACGAGCTAACGGGTGTACACCGCGTATTTACGCAGGCGTGCATCGATGCACATATGCCGACGTACGCGATAGGAGTGGTGGAAGGTGCTTTGGCGCTGAGTAGCAGCAGCAGCAGCAGCAATTGCAGTCTCGAGATACCCTCATACACCCCTCTCACTTGCAACGACGCACTAGCGTTCCTCGCCAACGCTGCAACGGCGCTGCTCATGCTGGGGCGATTCGAACAGGCCCTGTTTGCTCTACAAATGGTCCTCGCTATGCCATTATCAACGTCATCGTCTTCAGCTGCCCCTTCTACTTGCTCTTCCTCTTGCATCCCGCCAGCCTTGCTCGACGCTGCCAAGCGCTCCCTCCTCACACAGCTCATTGTATACGGTACCATCACCCCCTTCCCCAAACACTGCGGTGGGGTTGAGCGCGCACTCAAGAAAACTGCACCCGCTTTTCACTCCCTCCTCGAAATCAGCATTGGCGAGAGAGACAAAGAGAGAGATTCCTTGGCGCAATCGCAGTCGCAATTGCAGTCGCAGTCGCAGTCACTCTCGCAGCCACACACGCTCTCGTTCAACTCCCGCTCTCACACTACCATGCTGTATCTGGAGGTATTACGCAAGAACAGCACGGCTTTTGCGTCGGAGGGGGGTGTGAGTGAGGCTGCGAACGAGACTGAAGCGGCGCACCTCGCCAGACTCGCCCAAGATAGCCTGTGGGCGTCACTCGTCGCCTGCTACGCGGACGTGTACTCGTCTATCCCCGTCGCCCATCTCGCAGCTGAGCTGGGTGAGTACGGTGAGCACGCGCACATCAGAGAAGACACGCACACGGACACACACCCACACTCACACACGTCCTCCCTCTCCCCCTTCCTCCAACGCATCGCGTCCGCCATCGCCCTCGGCAGGGTGCAGGCGCGCATCGACGGCGTTGCCCAGGTTGTGCATTTCGACGTGGGCGAGAAGAGTGAGACAAATACAAAGTCAGACGAGAAACTTGTCGGATCTCGCCTCGAATCAGCCATCAAACACTCTCTTATTGCCCAGCAACACGTGCTTGCGCTCGACCGCCACCTCGCTCTCCACCCTCTCTTTGTCAAGCATCACATAGCCAAGACTGAGCAGGGCGAGCGGCGAAGGAGGGACAAGGAGGGCGACGAGGATGGCGAGCAGGAAAACGAAAAGGACAAAGATAGCGACGAAATGGTGCTGAGTGAAGGCGATGAGTAGAATGCACAATACACGGTCGACGGTCGTACAAGTACACAACTTTATATTCATACATGTTTAATCAAGTCTCCAACGCCAGCCTAGCCATGCTGTCGAGGACGCCGTCCACATTGAGCAGCGCCTCGCCCTTGGCCCTCCAATGTGCGTATACGTGGGGGATGTCGAACCAGGGCGTGGCAGTGTCAGCGTGTGGATCTACGCTGCGCACGTGTGTGTATGTCGACAGATAGTGGCTGACGTTATTGCTCCCTCGTATATCGTCGAGCACGCCGAGAAGCGCGACGAGCATGCTGTCGGTGCTGCTCCCATCCCATGTCGACACCTGCAGCAAGTTCCACGGCTGGAACGCTGCCTTCTCGGCACTGTCGTCGACGAGGATGGTGTTGTACTGCGAGTACTGAGGGTGCTCTGCGTCTGCGTCTGAGCCATCTGCCTCACTCCCATGCCACACCAACTCGAGATCCTTATACGTCTGCACCTTATTCTTGTAGTCGCGCGCGGACATGGACATATCCTCGCGTGTGTAGACGGCCTTGAGGTGTTGTCTGTGGGTTGCGTTGAATGCACTGTCGACATACCGCGCCACGTTATGGCGCATCGCCGAGCTATAAACCATCACGTCAAACTGCCCGCGATGGTGGTCGAATAGCATTTTCTGGAGCTGGGCGAGGTGTGGGCGCTGCTTGTCGTTGCGCGATTTAGTCGCTATCAATGTGCCATTAAGATCGAATACGATGAGCTGCCTGCGTTTTTTCACTTGTGTCACTTGCGTGCGGGCCACGCGCTCTATGTAGCCGCTGCTGGGGCGCGGTGGTGGGAGCATCTCTGCGAGAACGACAAGTAGAAGGAGAAAAGAAATATCGCGATTAATGGACAAAGGCGCTAAAGTTGGTATAGGGCTGGGCGTGGGTGCGGGAGTGCTCGTCGTGCTCTCCACCCTCCTCTACTTGGCTTGGAAGAGAGACATCTATGCGAGAGCTACAGCTCACCGCGCAGAACATCTGGATGCAGTGGGGTTCTAGAACTACCGCTTTCTTGGATTTTCTTGGATTTTCTTGGATTTTACTTGAATTCACCGCCCAAGATGAGCCCATTTGTTAACGCCCTGACAACCCCACGGCTAACCCCTGTCACAGACGTCACAACTGTCAAAACGTCGTACACATTCCCCGTCACAGTCACATCGGCGTTCCTTTAATTTAACTCTATTTTCTCTACATTTTTGCTGGAAAATCCCCCGACAGCCGTCAATTACATCAATATCTTTGGCCGGGCTAGACAGATGCAGTGGAATATAAAATGCAGTCTGAGTGTCTTCTTGCTTCAGTACCCAGCAAATCACACAACTGCTCACAAATCGCCATGATAAACCCTCGCAACTTTATCTCAAACCATGCAAGACATTCCTCCAAACTCGACGACCTCCTCGACGAGGATCCATTCTCGAGCTTCGCAGAATTCCCGTCTCCGCCTCCTCGCGACGATGGACCACTGCGCCGCCAACTAAGCAAAGCCATCAGACAGTCACTCCAGATCAGCAACTCACCGAGGACACCTGCAATGACATATAGCGAGAGTGAGGTGGGCGAGTGTGAGAGTGAGAGCGAGGAGAGCGATAATCAGGTTATACACTCGCGCACATGCAGTCCTACAGACTCAGAATTCAGTATGGATACTAGCAGCAGCAGTAGCTCATACTCATATTCGCTCAACGACCACCGCGATTATCGCCCTATGACACCACCTCGCATCTCTAGTCTTGATTTCAACGCAAACACCAAGACATCGAAACCTCAGAAGCAACTGCTCAGCCCACTGAATATAACGTCGGATACTCGCAGGCCGGTTAGTCCGACCAAGGAGAAACTATCGCATGTCTCCAAGTCGCTCTTGTCCTTTATGGGAATGTTGTAGGGCATTTGCGCACTTGCTCACTCATTCACCTTGTACTCTGGTCTTTTACTCGCAATACTCACCACGTTGATCGCATATCGCTAGCACTTTCTATGTTATTATATCGCTTATCGCTTATCGCTCATATAAATTGAATCAAAATGTATTTATATTTTATGTTTTGCTTTTCCTTTTGCTTTCTTTAATTACAATCATCAGATGAGGTACTCGGCTATCACCAGCGCAGCAAACACACTAAAGAGAACACCGCTATTCGACTGGCACGTTAGCATAGGTGGTCAGATGGTTCCATTTGCAGGCTGGGCGATGCCATTGCAGTACAAGGGTGTTGGACAAGGTAGGTTAAGTTGTATGTGTTAGTTGTACCTCTAAACTCCATAATCCAAATCAGTCGATGCGCACCACCACACGCGTAACCACGCTGGTCTGTTCGATGTATCCCACATGCAGTGAGTTGGCAGGTTATCAGATGACGATGATGTCATGACGATTTATGCGAACCTAACCCTTTTCAGGCAGATAGTTATCAAACAATCACCACACACGCACTCTTCTTTCATCCACTCTATCCTCCCTATCGCCCACACGCAGCCACTGCACACTTCCGCCTACAGCCTCATCCTCACTGACACTGGCGCGATAATCGACGACTGCATACTCACTAAATGGCGCGACGACGAGTATTACCTGGTTACCAACGCCTCCCGCGCCCACTGTGTGCGTGAGTGGCTCGAGGGGCACAAAATGGCGTACGAGAAGCGTGAAAGCACCTCGAGCAACTCGAGTAACTCTGTCGTCCTCAAATACCTCGAGTCTCACTCGCAGGCTCTGCTCGCACTGCAGGGTCCCAGCGCCGCTGCCGTACTCGAGAACCACTCCGATGTCTCACTCAAGGATCTCCATTTCGGCAGGGTGAAGCAACATCTCAGACTCAGCGGCGGTGCTGTTGTACATCTCGCTCGCAGCGGATACACGGGCGAGGATGGTTTTGAGGTGTCGGTCGAGCAGAGAGATGCGGTGCAGGTGGCAGATATGCTTGCTGACACGGCCCCTACTATGCCCATAGGATTGGGCGCACGTGATAGTTTGCGTCTCGAGGCCGGTATGTGTCTCTATGGTAATGATCTGTGGGAGGGTGAAAGTGAGGGTGCTACCACTCCTACCACTCCTGCTGCCCCTCATCCTCTCTCCGTCGGCGAGGCGGGCTTGGCGTGGACAATTGCTAAAGACAGACGAACACGCGAGCAGGAAACACTCTTCCCAGGCTGGGATAAAGTCGTACCATCGCTCAAAGTGGCTAATATGCAAATACGCCGCGTCGGTCTGGTGATTGAAAAGGGCGCGGCTGCTCGTAGCAACTCGATCATTGAAGATGCTCATTCAGGTGCGTCCGTCGGCTGGGTGACTTCGGGCGCTCCTTCGCCAACTCTCAACCAGAATATCGCCATGGGATACGTATCCAAGGAGCTCTCCGCAGTGGGCACACCACTCGTCGTCAACGTCAGAGGCAGACAGCGCCGAGCGGAGGTGGTAAAAATGCCTTTCGTGGCTAGTAACTATTATCGTGGAAGTGAGTAGGGTATATAATATGATAAGATATGTACAATTCGAGCGAAATCTATTCCAAACCTTAGCCACATCATCCCCATGCGACTGATGTACTGTAATTAACTATGACGTGACCATCTGTACCGTAACATTTATAGAGATTTCCGATGCTGTCGTCTGGTGAAGGAGCAAAAGCTGAGTTGACGTAGCAGAAGACGGGACAATTAGAATTAGACAGTCCGCATTCTTTCCTGAGGAACTGAATAACTGTAGAAAACTTATTTGAGTCTGATATCTTATAGAAATTCTGCTTCATTATCGGCGCTGCACCTATAGCTTTGAATCGTACAACCACCTTCCTGCCTTCTTTACGGCGATAAGCTTCTAATGCACGATGAGATGCTCCGATAACTCCATGCTCGTTATAGGCTGCCTCAATATCAGCGATATCATCAACGGCGCTGCGTTGGTTCTGCGTCGATGCAATTGACCGCGGCTGTGGACTTCCTATTGTGTCCAAGTTGGGTGAATTCTTAGGTGAGAATAAGGCCTCTGATGTTGGCAATGGTGGCAGTGTTGGTGGCTCTCCGCCGCTCATTAAGCTCTTGGTCGTTGGTGGAAGAGACGCAATTGAGGTAATCAGCACAATCAATAAACAAATAAGTCAAGACATTCAAATATTTACAAACAAGCTCCTGTTTAAATCGTTACTGTAACACAAGATGGTATGATACAACCATTCTGCTTCAATACAGCAATCAGCGTCAATGAGTTATCCACCAACTCGCCATCAATATCTCTCAGATTCGGTAATCCCACTATCAACTCCTCGTTCGAGATATAGTTGACGTATGCAGACCTCCACACGGCCACCTCCTCATCATGCATACTCGTCTTGCCTTCCTCACCAAGATCCAGCCCCAGTCCTACTCCACGAGCTTTGCGTATCTTGCCCCCTAAATAAATATCTGCAGTGTCATTCGAGAAGACGTCAAAATTCTTGCCTATTACTTTGACAATGTCTACCATTTCACCCTCAATCTCCTCACCAGAGTAGCGACGCTTCGTGCGCACGTCGCAGTGCACCCAACTATCCAGATATGGTATCGCTATAGCTATAGCTCCATCCAGGTTCGTTCTCTTATTGAGTGTGTCGAGCGGAAGATTCGCGCCAGGCGTGAATTCTGGTGTGTATATGTGGTGATTATGCACTTCTGTGTGGAATATTAGTGAATCTATTCAAATAATCGAAACAACTCAAATCACCCACCTGCACATGACAACGTCCACAGAGCAATCTCGCCAACATCCAGTGACCAGGTCATGCCATCTTCAGCAAAGGCATCGAGATTGTTAGCATCATAATGACTCGAACGCCTTTTGTTACGTCCACCTGACTCATTTGAGATAGACGAACGCCTTACACTCGTCCTTCTCGATCGAGGTTTGTATGAGACATCAGCCCCGCTCTCCTCATACATATCGTGCATGTCTGACTGGTAGCTAGTCCTCCTCGACTTGCTTGCTCCTTCCTGGTTATACTTGTAGTTGGAGTTGGAATTCTGGTTTTTATGTGGGAACTCAACAGGTCCTTCGTGTGCTTTAGGTGGAGTGATGAGACGGATTAGCTCGTCTACGCAGGTGAGATACATTCCTGAAGCCTCGAGATCGTTCCCATCTGTCTGACTAGGCGTCTGCGTCTGCGCTGCTAACTCCAACCCCACCTTGTTCAGCTGCACAGTGGGTTCTCCCAACACACTCCCCTTGATGCACCCCACTTGGCGATGCTGGTTCGCGTTACTGTCGAGACTAGAGCGACGACGCTGTTGCTCTACATTGCCGCCTCCCGTCACTGAGCTCCCTTTTCCTCCTCTCCTGACGATCAGTGGCGGCGACACTACACCGTGAGCGAGTGACTGGAGCACCACTACAGAGTTGGCGCGAATAGCTGTAGTGTACATCCCAGTCGGCAGCGCTCCCACAGGCGGCGTTGGCCAGTCTGATGGAACGTTTGGTAGTCTATCCTGGGCATACTCCGTGTCATACATCCAGATAATGAACGGATCCCAGTAATTGGCATCTGGAGTAAACGTAGCATTTCTCAGGTCAATACCCTCCTCATTGTTTATCTGATAATCACTACCTAATGGCCAGACAGCCGGTGTGCCAGTCACAGTGAGGTAGCGTGTCGACGATGTTTGAGACTTGGCTCTGTTATATAAGCTAACGAGACTACCGTGAAAAACGCAAATATCTTCATTTCGCTTTGGCTTTCTCTGCTTGGATGCTTTCGATATTATGTTCATATTTGGAAGTGAAAAACTGCCTTTGAAAGGGTTGCTCGATAGAAGCGATGGAATTATCACTTGAGCATTGCAATTAGTTATTCTACGATCATCTGAGACTTCGCTGATGTGCAAATGCTTAGCTACCGCTTTCCCATGCATCATTCTGTTATTCGAGTTGTTGTCTGAAATGTCTGAGGTGTCGTCGTGTGAGTCTGATTTGTTAGAGTTTGGGGAAGAGGAGGGTGGCGTAAGCGGCATATTACCCGTTTGCGTTGCCTGGGTTACCTGGGAGGCCTGTGCTGGGTGTGATTGGAACTCTGTCCATTTCAAATCGCAATGGTGAGCTTCCCTGCTATTTCCAAGCTTCACTTCCACAGATGGAGACAATTGTCCTAATGCATGAGATTGTCCGCTCTTCTTGTTGTTCATGTCGCTGTTCCAATTCTTGCCAATCAAACAAACTTGAGGAGGTGGAGCGATGAATCTGTCATGTCAGCGCCTTCACCACACCAAACCACACCACACCTACCTCTTCTCATTCCCGTAACTCTTCTGTGCAGTCTGTGGTGTTGTAATTGAAATAATCTGCTCGCCAAAGTTCATGCGATGCGGTGCGTTGAGGAAGTTCTTTAGGGTGATAACGATGCGCGCACTAAGCTTTTCATCTTCTTGGTCGTTGTGACGGCTGACCTGTGCAGGGTGGTGTACCTGCTGCAAGTGCTGTTCCTGCTGCTCGTGCTGCGGTGGCAGTGGAGGAATAACGTTGGCAGGCTTAATGAAAGTATCTGAGGGTGCAACGACGCTAATGGAATGTCTGTTGGCGTTGCTCAGGCTGGCGAATGGGTGGCCAAAGTAACCAGATGGCGTCACCGGGGATTGTTGATCGACTGTGAAAGAGCTAAACGCTGAGCTTAAGGAAGGTACACTGCCACGATGCTTATTATACTTGTATTGTAGTGGCTGCTGAATATCCTCCGCCTCCACTTTAACTTCAGCCTCGGTTGCGCCTTCACCTGGACTAATTGATAAGGGATCATAGCCGTCGTACGACGTCGGTGGCTGTGCGTGATCTTCAATACTGTAATTGCTGAAATTAAAGTCCATCGTCGTTGTTGCTCAACCCGCCAATTAGTTTATTACTTCGTTTCCATCTTTCGGCGAGACGATTCTGAAACATTAATCTAGGCAATACAATAACTTAAGCCTTTTTTGATGGTGGATTTTATAAAGTATTTTGTTTTTTATATTTCTATATTCTACACTTGACTGCTTCTATCTGTGTTTCCTGGATATGTGTCACTCCCAGCAGCGTACCATTCCTAGCTACTTCTATTGCCCTAGCTGTCACCTTGATTATAAACCCTTCCAAGCCTACTCAAAGCCACCTAATCACTTGGTCAGATGAGCCTGTCTTAGATATTGATACTCACGTCATATGCCTCCATCAATGGTTCCACTTCCTTTGTCGTTGGCCTCACTTTCTTCACTTGATGCTTAGCATTCTTCGTGTATCCCTTAAAGTATTTGGCTTCTTGCACTTCTACCAGCGTCCATGCTGTGCCAACCAATCCAGCTCGCGCTGTTCTACCGACCCTGTGGACATACTTGGGCATGTCAAGTGGTATGTCATAATTGATCACATTTTCAATACCCTGAACATCTATTCCTCTTGCAATTACATCCGTTGACACCAACCTATTCATTTCATACGTCAGCATACGTCATTCTCTCTCAAAACACTCACATATCAACCTCGCCATCCTTAAACTTGGTAAGCATCTTTTGCCTCTCTTGCGGTGAGAGATCACTGCTAAATGATGCCACTGTCGGTCCATTCCCCACTTGATCATTGAACAGTCGCAGAAGATGCATCAACCTCGTAGCACTCTCAACAGATTTCGTGAAACACAACGCCCTCTTTACACCCCTCTGGTAAAGCAAGTGCAGCAACATCAATGGTTTGTACGCCGTTTCGGAAACTATCATACGTTCCTAGAAAGGAAATTGAGATTAGATTGACCTAAATTAATGTACTCCCAATATAGCATCTATAACTCACCTCTAATGTGGATGGAATCGCATAATCTTCCACCTTCTCGTTGCGAACAACGACGAACTTAGGATCGTTGAGATGCAAAGAGCGAATTTTTGATGGATCTGTTGTGAGTGTGGCTGAGAAAAGCATTTTTTGCACCTATTCTCAGTGAGCAGTGAAACGACAGAAAATTAAAATAAACTAACTCCTCGTTGTGGTCTTTCAAATGTCTCCATCAAATCGTGTTTGTTTGTACCACCCAATGCATCATGTGCATCTGTCCTTGGTGGTATTTTAATTGGTGTTGTTAATGCAATCTGAACTCTGTCTATCCACGATTGGAAAGACTGATTCATCAACCTGTCCGCTTCATCTATGACCTTGGAGGTATGTTGGCGGAGGGGTTATTTAAAAAGCACCAACTCACCAAAAACCTGAGATGCTGGACTGTGAAATTTGGGGTAGAGTTGATGTGATCGATAAGTCTACCCGGGGTTGCTATAAGTATGTCGACTTTAGAGCTGCCACCAGCAAAGCTTGAGGAGGTATTAGCTTGCGTACGAACTAATGAGATTTACCAACATTGTATCAGTTTGGCCAACGAGTTTGGCTTGTTCTTGTTGAAATGATTGCTGTCCAGTTATCGTACCAATCTAGAGTATAGTGAGTAAATGTGTATAACAAAATCTCGCCAACTCGAATCCCACCTTGAGATCAGTGCCTTTTGCGAAAAGCTCAAATGTTTCTCGGACTTGAGAAACGAGATCGCGAGTGGGAAGAACGATAAGAGCTCTCAGACGTGTGACGATACGTCTTGAAAGAACTTCTACAATTGGTAGAGTGTACCCTAAAGTCTTTCCAGAGCCAGTTGGTGCAGATACGCAGATATCTCTTGGACTCTCAGCGGGATAAAGAGGGTGTCGTATACCATCATTCATGTCACCTATGAGAAGTGGAATGGCAGCTAGTTGAACGGCAAAAAGGCTTTCAAAGCCGATTTGGATGAGACGATTGCTGAGTCTGCCACCTAAACCTAGAGTGTGGGCCTGGGTTGAAGGAAATGACTGATTTGCGTCTATCGAAATTTCATTTGCAAAGACATCAGGCAGACCGAGTTTCTTGAGATCTTCAGTTGAAGCTACGTTGAGATTCTGAGGTTCTGGGAAGGACAGCAACGGCAATTGAGGGGGTTGTTGAGGGATTTCCTGGGAAATCTCAGGGATATTGGGGATCTCAGGGTTTTCTGAGATTTCAGGCTTCTCAGGCTTTTCGATCTTCTCGTCGCGATCGCTGTCGCTACTATCACTGCTACTGCTTTCACTGCTGTCACTGCTATCACTATTACTACTGCTGCTACTAATACCACGATCACCACCGCCAGATACCTTTGCATCCTGCTCACCGGGCTCAACTCTCCTTTTCTTCTTCTTAGGCGCAGCTGCTTGGTTTGCTTTCCTTCGTATCTTTTTCTTATTAAGATAGCGGAGTTTTGCGGCTGTTTTCTCCTTTTTGAGTGTGGGTGCGGGTGCTGCAGTGGTCATCGGTGTAGAAGATGGAGGTGGAGATGAAGAAGAATAAGGGTGATGGATATCAATCTGAGTGTTCTTTGCTTTGCGAACTATGCGCTGTGTGTATCTGCTCAGGTTCTAGGTTCTGTTCAGCATACCAAATTAAGTAATTAAATTCAGGGCGTAGAAGCTTTAGAAGCTTGTGAAACTTGTAGAACATTTAAATCTAAGACATTAATTGAATAATTTTAATTTTAAAGAAGAGATCGTGATTATCATTTCAGGAACTGATCCCGGCAATATCCCCGCGGAGTGGATTGGTGCTGCAATGTGATAATGTGAGTATATTTTAGTTTGGATGTAAATTTAATCGTTGATTATCGAATGAACGTAAGCGAATTTGACTCCGAATTAATTAATGCAACTCAGGGATCACGCTACCTGAGACTATAAATATCAGCGCACAGCCGACCTCTTATCCATCGACATCCAACTTGAATTATGAAATTTTCTGCTTTAACCACTATCGCCACTGCTATTACCGCTGCCACAGCTGCTCCCGTTAAGAGAGTCGTTGGCACCGTTTCGTTCACAGATGCTATATCCAACATGAAGTTGAACTTGGTGACTAACGACGCCTCCATCCCAGTTGGACTCAGTAACGGTGTTCTCACTGCAGATCAAGATCCTATCACTGTCGATTTTCTCCTAGGTGATTCTCAATTCATGAATTTTGAGAACACAGACAACACTAAGTTTGGTCGGTACAAATAGGCATCTTCAAACAACCACTAATCATTCCATAGGTCACATCGTTAACTCTGGAACACAACAGGCTCTCACAGTAAACTCACCTGGCGCTGCTCAAGGTCAAAACATCTACTTCTCTGAGAGCAGCATTTCCGATGACTCAAGTCAGATGCTTCAATACTGGGAACTGAATGCAGACATGCAAGTTAGATTCCTCGGTGCGCCAAAAGGTGCTGAATTCGGTCAAGGTCCATTCACTCCAGAGTCACAAAATGAAGGTGATGGCTTGGCAATTGCACTCAACACTAATACCGCAGCAAGTTTCGTCCTTGAGCAACAATAAACCTTACATGAAACTCGCATTGAAATTTTTCAAACAACCCAACTAAGTTAATCATCGGGACGATCTCTTTTTAATCAACATCTCTTTTTAATCAATATCAATTATCACAATCAAGATTACGAGATATCAACTCAACTTAACCTTGTTGATATCAATTTTTCACGATTTCCATGGAATTTCTTTATAAATAACTTTAATTTGTAACAAAGTATAATGCATTGTAGTGTGCTCAAGTTAAACTAATTCAATAGAGGTTCTATGAGTAATCTCAACTTCAATATGAACAAAATCAATATACTTTTATTTCTTATCAGTCAACTCCTCAACGCATTTCAAACCATCTAGCGCCTCTTTATTCAAATAGCCATGCTTAATGTTTTCTGAGAATCCTTCTGGAATATAGTTTCCTGCTGCATCTGGTACATTGAGATGCTCAGCCATCATAGCAGCGATTGTAAACCTTGCATTCTTCTTACTGCTACTGCTAGCTTCCGCGATCTTTTGCCCATCCATATGCAATATCGCAAACCAACTAGCAACACCGTCGAGATTGCGATCTGTCTCACCAAATTCCCAATTCAACTTGTTACCGAATATCTTATTTATAGCTGTAGACCAATGTCCTTGCACTTCTCCTCTATTGCGCTCTTCGAATTCCCTTTGTACTGCTGTGAGATGGCACTTTACGAATGGTCCCAAGAGCTCTATAAGCCACGATCGACTGATTCCAGGCTCTCTGTCACGAAACACCGCTCCTATATATGCTTCCATCGCATCTGCTTTCGTTTTCATTGAGTGATGCTGTACCTGTGAATCTTGATTCTTCAATTGCGTCGACACACGCAGCTTTGACGGCAGGCCGTACATTTCCGCAAAGTATGATAGTATATTACCATTAACAAGCCTGTTACGCAAGCTCACCATTCCACCCGGTCTCAGCTGCGGGTGCTGTACAAAGATTGCCTCAGTCGTATGCACTTCTAGCACTGCATCTCCTAGGAACTCTAGACGCTCGTTATCGAATGATGTGTAACCCTGATGTGTTTCATTGTTAGCTAGTTTGTATAACGACGTGTAAAAAACCACTCACTTCTGGATCTTGCATGACGTTGAGTGGTGGATTAAGAGATCTATGAGTGAGTACCTCAAACAGCGACACCTCAGTCAAAGCTGGTAACGGTGGTGGGTATGATGATGGAAACTCAGGCTGTACCTCAGTCTTCATTTCGTCGGATATAGGCAGGAGTTTACCGTGATCTAGATCGTACCTCGACATAGGTCTGTTTGGATTGAATTTGCCTTCATTCAACAATCCCTCTATAAACTCTGTTTTGGCATCAATCGAGTGACTTGACTGCCAGCGCAAATTCTTGAGTGGTGGGCCTGCTTCTTCCTCCCTCTTTCTCTTCCGTGAGAGCTCTTCAGCCTCCCTCTTTCTTGCAGCTTCATCTTCCTTGTCCATGATCATTTTAGCCTCTCCAATCTCCCTTAACTCCTTGAGCTCCTTTTTCAAACCCTCTTCGCGTTCCTTGTATGTCATAGCCTGTTGTTGCATCTCTGAGTCAGCTCTCTCATACTTCCTTTTGTACTTGTCAACTTTCTTGAGCGTATCAGCTTTCGCCTTCTCAGCCTGTTGTAACTTCTGCTTGTACTCCCACTCAGCTTTCTCAGCCTGTTTCTTGTATGTTTCAAGCTCGAGATGTACCTCATTTTTATGCTTTTCAGAATGAACTGTTTGATGTCCTTGCTCCGTCTCTGCTTTCTCAGTCTGCTTTCTTCCACGTTTTTGAAGTGCTTCAGTTTTGAACTCTTCAGATCTGGAGATGCTTCCATTCCTGCCTCGATGCGAGACTCCCTCAGACGAAGTATCAGGTTCCCCCGTTGAGTTATTATAATACGTTTTGATACTATCTGCAGCGGTGTTTTGCTCCTTTTGACTGCTTTTGGCTGCTTCTGCAGCTTGTGCTTCCAGGTCTGCAACGTTCGGCTTCATCTCGGGTTGCGCTGTTCCTTGAGATTCGACAATGGCGGTGATGTTCGGAGTGATCACATCATAAAGCCATCCTTTGAGCTTATCGAATCCCATTTCCTTGTAGATAGCACCAATGAATCTGCATGTACATTAGACAGATATCTTGCACCCCTAAACAACGCACGCTAGAAGTATATTCGCCTTGTCGCGTATTTCGGGCAATGCTTTCAGTTGAGTTATCTTCAGATCCTCGGATATTGACGCAAGCTTAGGCTCAGAGATAATACTATGCAAAACGCTATTGAGATCTGCTTGCGCGTTCTTCGTTAATACGTAGTCCACCTGCATTCTATCAGACCATTCTACGCATAGAAACCCACACTCACCACAAAAGACTGCAGGAGCGATCTACCGAGTGTGATCAGGCCCTGGTCGATTGCCAAGCACTGTATCACTATTACGGGCGATAGTGGAGGCAGTGACATCCTTAATGCTTCGCCGGTGGTGGTGGTGATGGTAGGTTCGAAGAGAAGGTCTGTTTTGTATAGAGCTGAGATTGGCGAAATCAAAATTATTTATATATTTAAGAACTTCAGTTTAATTTAGAATAGAAAAGGGACGTTTTTCTATTTAAAAAAATAAAAATTGAACCCCTGACGGGAATTGCACCCGCGACCCTCTGCTATCCTGACCGGAGGCAGATACGCTAACTTCTACGCCACAAGGGTATAACCGTTAGACTATTTCAGTCAAGTGTGTTTGCTTTCTCAGCTACAAATAACATACGTCTATAAAACGCTCAAAGGCAAAAATTTTCATCAGATGAAAGGCCTGGCAAGCTCTTTACGAGTTCTTCAAACCGCAATTAACTACGCATCAAAGATACTCCAGTGGTTCAACGTAATTGAGAACCACCAACAATTTACACATTACGACGCTAGTCAAGAAACCCTTCCAGTAAATTCAGTACCCCCTTTGACTCCTCATGCTTTAAGAAGTATTGATGCACGCAGTTTACAACATGTATCGTCTTAACAATATAATCAGATTTCATCATCATCATCAACGAAAGGCGTGGCTGAGCGAGTAACTCACACCTCATAATTCCATTAATTCCCTGCGACTAACGATATAATCTAGGAACCCCTCAAATCTTACAAAACAATTTAAAATTTCGTTCATTAAGTAAATCAATTACAACAGGAAGCAATCCTTTCAAATCTATGTGAGAGTGTTCCTTATGGAATCTTTCTGCTGTTGATTGAGTGTCTTCGGTAGCTCGACATCCCAAACGACCCTCAAATCACCCTTCTTCTTTGCAGCATCCTTCTTGGAGATTGGCATGCCTTCACCATACTTCTTGGTGACAGAGCCAGGTTGTATTATACCGGAAGGTGGGTTGATTTCAATCAAACGACCATCGAGATGTCTTATCTTGAATGTCTTGCTACCGGTACCGCACATGGCATCGACCAAGCTGACCTTTTGGTGCACTTCCACGTCGTCGCCATCACGTTTGAATGTAGAGTGAGGTTTCTCTTCCACGACAAAGACTATATCCTGGAATTTACCTTGACTAACTTCATTTCCTGAGGTGTTGAAACGAATTTTAGTACCCGCTTTCCATCCTGGCTTAACACTGAACTCCAGTATCTTATCCTCGCTCCTGCCTGAGAGATGCTTGCGTTGTATCTTGAGTTTCTTGTGCACGCCTGCGTAAAGGTCTTCTAAGGATATAGGCACGTTCTTGGTCCATTCTGAAGGACCCTCATCTTTAGGAGGAGCTTTGGAGCGAGTGGAACGTGTGCTACCGCCCATACCAGGCATTCCACCGCCCATTCCACCACCACCCATGCCACCAGGCATGCCACCGAATGAAGAGAATCCGCCAAAGTCATCGTCCATGGAAGAGCCAAAGCCGCTTCCCATACCACCCATTCCTCCCATTCCGCCTCCCATGCCACCTTTACCGCCAAAGAGCATTTCAAAGATGTCCATTGGGTCACTGGCTTGGAAGCCACCTGGTCTACCGCCGCTGCTGGAGAAGTTGAATGATCCACCAGGGAAGGCACCACCAGCATCGCCGAATCCTTCGAAGCCGGCGCCAGGTGATGGACCACCGCCACCTTTCAAGCCTTCTTCACCATCTGAAGGATGACGTTAGATTGGTTGATAGAGATGGAAGCAGACTCACATTGGTCGTAAATTGTTCTCTTGTTGGAGTCTGTCAATACCTCTGCAGCTTCAGACGCCTGCTTGAATTTTTCAGCAGCTTCGTCGGAGCCCTTGTTTCTGTGGAGGAGTATAATGAGTATACGCTGTTGGAGCGGGACTATAGCCACTCACCTATCTGGGTGGTACTTGAGAGCTGCCTTCTTGTAAGCCTTCTTTATTTCGTCTTCGCTAGCACTTTTGTCTACGCCTAGTAGTTTGTAGTAGTCTGCACCCATTTCTGCCTTGCGTTTCTGTCCAATCTTGGGCGAGTTTGTGGATTAAAGTTGATCGTTTTAGTTGAGAAGAGAATCTTATGATGTCAGCGTTTTTTGCTGGAAATTTCGGGAATACGTCAGAGACTTGAAGTGGACGAATTAGGTAATTCAAAAGATTTGTTTATTGTTCAAAGCGTATAATGTATTTACATTGTAAGCTACAAATTAATAGTTAATTACAGAAAGAGAGAAGTCTTGTAAATTTGATAAAAAAAAAATATGCTTTAGAAGATTGTGAGAGTGTTTATATAATAGTGTTCATGTAAGAATAATCATTGAAGAGATTTTCCAGAGCTTAGAGGATTTTATTTGCGTTTTTGTCATTTTTTGAAACGAATTGTCTCTGTCGCCACGACAGTCTACTTCTGTTCCAGAACGAGTTTCGCGTCGGTGTCCTTGTTCAGTGCAATTGCCAAATTATCACCCTCGTTCTGTGACTGTGGAGTGAGTGGACCTTCACCGTAATTGCCATCCTTTGGTTTGCCAAGAAATTTCACTTCCATGCTCTCGACATCCATTTGCCAGAATTGAAGCAGTTGGCTTGAGTTATCTGAGGTGCTGCTCGTTGAAAAGTAGACGGTCTGACCTAGGGCTACGCCTGGGGAGCTGGCCGTGAGTGCTTGTTGTGTCTCAGTGTTGCGAATATGACCTTGGTGTGTTAAAAAAAAAGTTTTCAAAATGCGCACAAAAACCCACCAAACTTTGTGTCGTCGGTGTTTTCATATCCCATATATTCAGAGTCGACCGGTAAAAAGTCGACGGTAACTGGATCGATATCTCTAGACACCGTAGCGAGAACGCTATTGGCCAATCCGACTTTCATTGAAACGTCCGAAGTGACGAGGTTGAGATTGAGGTTAGTTGCAGCTGCAGATTTGATATCGAGTGTCTCTTGTCTCTTGTCAAACGCGGCAGCGGTGGCTACAGAGGCGAAGGTGGAGATGATAGCGATTGTTGAAAACTTCATGTTGAATTCTGTGATGATTGCGATGGTTCAAGAGGAAAGTTCGAGGCTGAATTTATAGCCATAGCTGTAGCGCTAGCCCTTGTGATCTACCTCAAATACGTCGCCCGTCAACATCTGTACCTGATTCAAATTTATTAAACGCGGGCGCTGCCTGCGTTTTCTTAATAAGTTGGGCGGAATGGGTTGCTTATTAATAAGCTTTTCTTTATCAGGCTGAGCGTGTGTGGTTCGCTGCGATCGAAGATTTTGGAGAATCTAGTAAGGCAAGCGTGACGCAAACATCATACTTGTCCAGCCACTCAACAAATTCTGCTTTGTTATTAATCAGAAGCTTATACATGATCACAAATGGATCCAAGAAGTCGTGAAAATTAAATAGACAATGAAATGACGTGAGAAATTGTTCGTAAAGTTAAAATTTTTTGTTATTTGATATTTCTGAGAGAAAAGATTCTTTACCAGTGCTGCTTTATTCTTGCTGCTCCTGTAAAACGAATACAGCGTCAGTGTCCTCGTAAAGTCCAATGGCATTGCCATCGCCCTCGTTTTGAGACTGAGGGGTGAGTGGCCCTTCACCAAAGTCTGCGTCATCAGGTCTACCGAGGAATTCGACTTCCATGCTTTCTGTGTTGAGCTTCCAGAACTGAAGCATCTGGCTGGAGTTGTCTGCGGTCATGCTCTCCATCAAATAGACGTTCTGTCCCAGAGAGACGCCAGGTGATTGGACGGTCATGGACTCTTGAGTCTCACTGTTAACAAGGTGACCTAGAAGATGTCAGAGATTATCAAATTTACGAACACATACCACCCACCGAACTTTTCATTGTCGTCGTTATCGTTGTCGTATTCCATATATTGAGAGTTCACGGGTAGGAAGTTGACTGTGATAGGATCTTGCCCAGTGGTGAGAACGCCGTTGTTGAGGCCAATTGGGATTGAAGTGTCGTCACTGGTGACCAAATTCATCGTCATGTTTGATGCGACGGCATCTTGGATTTCAATTGAGCCGACTTCTTGCTGCCTCTTGACGGCAGCGGCAGCGGCGATGGCTGTAACAGAGGCAATCGAGGAAAGTGAGAAGTACATTGTGTAGTTGATGGTTGTTTACAAACAAGATAATAGGCTCAATTTATAGGGCCAGCTTGGCATAATCACCCAGGTCAAACTCCCTTGGAAGTAGTCCGCTTACGATCATTCATTTCATGTTTATCTTCCCGTATAGTAAGCTAATTTATAAATATTAGCCACAGCCACAATCCCACGCCGCTCATAAGATCTGCCAAGAGTGTTTCAAGATCCCAAATAAATGAAAAAGAAGTGAGGCAATGCAAAATTCAGAATTTAATAAATGCTACACAATGAACTCCAACGACGTTATTCAATCAGACTTTTTCAGCCACTGTGCAAAAGTCAACAAACCCGGAAATTCTTCGCGCAGAGCAGGAATATTAGCTTTGTAACCATCCGATCTGAACCAGTAGAACATTTTAGAAAAGTCATTTGACAGCAGAGATGGCGTGAAGCTAGGTAAATAAGCCTTCCAAGCTGGAGCGCCGTGTGCTGTATTATAAGCGTTCTGTATATCCGAGATAGACAACTCCTCTCCCGCCAGAGGAATAGATCTACCATTGTAGCGCTCCGGATGTTTGAGAGCGGTAGCTGCTACCCTACCTATATCGTCTACAGCGACAAGTTGAATTTTCTTGTCCAGAATAGCCGCACTGAAAAGACCAATGGTGAGGAATGATTGCAGACCAGACTTCTTTGGGAAGTTGTCCATAAATGCTACTGGCTTGACTATTGTGTGGGGCAAATTTGAATCTCTTATCATCTGCTCCACTTCGGCTTTGCTTTCGAAGTGTGGAACGTTGCTGCCTTTTGCGCTATCGACGCTCGTATAAACGACACGAATATTGCGCTTCTTGGCCGCATCGATGAAGGCCTTCCCTTGGATGACTTCGTCGCTAGGTCCATTAGGGGCCATTGTAGTGACGAGGAAAGCAGCTTTGCAGCCTTCCATGGCATTGTATATTGTAAGACTATCCGTCAGGTCACCTTTGGCTATGTCGACACCCTCACCTTCCAGCTTCTTGGCTGCTTCTGAGGCTGGGTTCCTCACGAGAGCTCTCGTCTTCTCTCCTTTCAAGTGCTGGATAGTTGCATTTCCTTGCTGTCCAGTTGCGCCAGTGATTAAGTACATTCTTGTATTTACTGATAGTGTGAACTGGAAAGTGATGTGCGGGGGTGGTTACCGAACTCGGAATTCGATATTCGGCGCAAACAGCGCATCCATAGCGCTAAGTTATTCTGACTTGCACACACACAAACACCAACCCATAACAAGTACTGACTGGGAGATGTTTGCGTAAACTCTCACGGTGAATTGATCAAATTGGTCAATCATTCTGACTATTCAGGTCAAAATTCAGGTCATAAAATGAATACAAGAAAAGAATAGGCAGAATCAGCAAACTAAAACTTAGCTTGAGCAAGTCATTGATGGGATAGTCTTGTTGATTTGCCTAAATGATGCAACTATTACGATCTACTCGTTAGTGTAGACATCGCGATCACCCTCCCAAGATTGATCGAAGCCAGGTTTTTCATAACTCCACTGAGAGCCCTGATTAAAAGCGGCTATGAGCTGCTGGGCGACTCTGCTCCAGATAGTGTCGTCGAAGCCCAGAGTGAGCAATTCAGGTGGGGTGTACTGGCAGAAATTGCAACCGTAGAAGGCGAGCGTGCGCACGGCCTTGGTCACATGTTCGTCATTCTGCTTGAGGGCATCATCTACCACTTGCAGCCAGATATTTGAGACATCCTCTGGCAGAGGTCTGTTATTGATCACCCTACTATTGGGTACAGATGGTCTGCCGCGGGCAACATATACCAACAGTGTAGCCCTGAGGTAGGCAGCTACGAAGAGACGCTTGTTGCGTGGATCTGGTGTGTGGGAGAGGACGTACGGAATGAAGTGGGAGGAATTGAGGATGTGAACCAAGCTGAAAAAGAGAAGAAAGAGTCAGCTAAGGCCACTAATTGCCACTGACGTCTTCCAAACTCACATAAATTCAGGCTTGAATTGTTTGCGCGCTTTGTAGCATCCATTCGCGTACATAAACAGGGCAGCGAAAGCAAGCTCGCGAATGATATCATGTTCCTTCCCAGGAATTTCTGTAGCTGGCAAGTCAAAGTTGGCAGCCTCCTCTGCTATGATTCCGCCAGCGAGTTTGTTCGTTGTAGAGAGAGCGCTATTATCTTCTCTGACTGGAGTGTGAGGGCTACTTGGAGACAAGTCTTCATTCTTGAGGACATCCAACAAAACCTGCAATGCCGTCTTGCGTTGTGCGTTTGGCTTCTCTGGCTCATTCCAAAGATCAGCAGGTAAGACATTATTGTAGTCGGAATTGTGCGTCGCTGTCCAAGCGAATGCCTGAGCGAGAACCTCGCGCTTGTTGTCGAGGTGCTCAAATTCAAGCGCGTATCCCAGGTGTATAATCGGGTGTATAAGGCCAGAGAACAATCTCGAGAGCATCTGAGTGAGTTAGCAGGGTGTGGGACAATCGTCGACGGGGATACCTACAGACACGCCGCCATCGTTAGCTTCACGACTGTAAAGATATTTCTCGAGGAGAGTTGCAATGTCTTTGTTATCGCTATCCTTCACCGCCTCACGGAAATAGGAGAGGTAAGTGGTGTAGTTATCGCGGTTACCGAGCAGCTCCACGTTATTCCAATTATCGTGGGTGATGCGCGTGCCTTTCTCGGCTGGACGAATAGGTTTCTGGTAGCCACTGGCAGCGGCAGCTACGCGGTTGAGAGCGTGTGGTTGTGCACCCATAGCATACGCGGCAAAGACGACGTGGGTGAAGTGGCTATGAGGCTGTGAGCGCTGGAGGAGTCGCCATATGCCACGACGCACTTGTGGAAACCCATTTCGTTGAAGTAGGCATCATTTTTGCTTATGTCGGTGTTGACGAGTGTCTGTGCGAGCTTCTTCGATGTCGTTGTCGTGCCCGGCCACAGATTAGAGCGGAGGAGCGTGTTGATTGATGATGTCATGATGAACGTAGCGGAGAGGATTGCGAGAGAGGATTCTTATAGCTGTGAGCTGTGTGTTCACTGTAGTCTGCGAATAATGATGTCACTAGATCCACATGACTTGTACATTCTTGCACTTTACGACCACGATATGTTGAACAGCACCAATCCGTTTGCTAGGCTGGTAGCGCAGGAGGGAGAAGAGCAGCGGCAGGCACAGCACCAGCATCACGCTCCCCCAGATACCCCAGATCATCCGCCTAAAGCAACACCCACAGCACCAGCACCATCACCGACACCACCACCGCTGCCCAACAGGCCGCACTCGCCGCCACAGCCACCGCGACCGAGCGAGCCACGCCCACGCCCACCAGCGACCGCTCTCGAGCAGCGATACGAGGAGGAAGAGCCACCGCCATATGAGGAGGTGATGAGTGACAGAGTGCTCGAGCAGGGCCCGCGTCGCCCCTACCCTGCAGCACCCGTGCAGTCTACCCAGCACACGCCTCTCAATTCCTACCACACTAATAGTCCCGCTACACCCGTGCATACCAGACCAGTAGGCGGTGGTTATGGCGGTAACTATGGCAACAGCAGTCAGTCTCACCAACCCTACCAACCTTATTCTTATCGGCCGAGTGCGTGTCTTGGTTTTGGTTCGATGACGTACTAACAGACGCACACACGCAGATTACTCCGGTTATCACAATTCAAGTACACACACAAACACGAACACTCATCGCAGTGCTCCTCACATTAGCGGCATTATTCGTTCAGGTAGACCACCACCCGGTGCTGTAGTTTACCAGTCAGGCGATCCAAGGAGTGAGTGTGTTTTAAGGCTTTTTTGCAGACTCTGATAACACCACCCATCAGTCGGCGGATCCTTCTGCTACAAGTGCGACGGCACCGGCAAGCGCACTGACTGGCTCTTCGGCTTCTCCGAGACGTGCTACAAGTGTGGTGGGATTGGCAGGCGGTTCCATTGAACAATACATGGCACACCACATTCACCATCTAGATAAAGAAAATGATATATTAAACTTGATAGTTCCATGTTTGGTTGGTGTATTAGTATTACGTGTATAACTAATGCTTTTTGACGAGTTTGGGTGCAGTTGGTCAGTTGCACATTTGCCTACACTTACACCTCCACACACCTCCACTCCTCTACACACTCCCACACACGCTCAGCTTTTCCTTGAGAGCGCGCCACGCCGCGGTGCTATCGCTGAAGCGGAGAACATGAGTCTCGGTGAGTGTAGAGACGACGTTGTTGATGAGAGGAGTTTCTGTAGCCTGTAGCTGAATGAGTTCCGACCAAATACAAAAGCGCGCGAACTGGCGCTTAGTGAGAGCATGTTGAATCTGCGATTGCGCCGAGTCGATGATGGTATTTTGCGAGTGAATTTCGTCCTCAAACGATCTTCTCTGCTTGAGGTCGTTGACTGAGTCTAAGGCCATGGCAAGTGTGTGCACTTTACGTTGAGAGCGTTCCATATTTCTCTTGAGTTTATCCACCGAATGTGGGGTGAGGCGGTCGTAGCGAGCGAGGAGGGCGAGATAGGCCATGTAGAGGTCGCGAACGTAGCGGGCCGCTTCGAGTGCTTGAAGAGACATATCTAGTGTGCGGTCGTATGCGACGGCAGCATACTCCTCGAGTCCCCCGCGCGTGCGCTGCAGCTGCTCACTCTCCCCACGTCCCCACGCTTGACTGTCGCTGTCGATAACCGTACCGAGCGTGTTGCTAAGCGTGACGTAGTCGCGCGCATCCGTCTCGTTGCGCTTAATGATTCGCTCTAGTTGCCCACATAACTCTGCCCAGTGCTCGATGAGAGCTGGGAGACGCACGCGTAGCTTGTCGATGCGCTCATCGAGGTCGGTAGGGATTGACATGGCTTTCACTCGGCTAAGCACTTGTGACTCCTCCTCCAAAGACACCTTGGTGCTCTTGCGCCAGCTTTCCAGGCTCGGCGTCTCAAGGAAGGTCAGTACTAGCCCGTCTTTCTGCAGGATGGGATGGTTTATGGTAAAATTCATAAAACGCTGTAAACCGCGACGACGCGTCTCGAGGAAATTGGCATCGGTCGACAGACTGTGCCCGCCCAAGGTTAAGCGCTTCGGAGGGAGGTTGGGCACGAGGCGGAAGGGGTAGCGCGTCATGAGACAGTCGTGCAGCCAGACAAAGTCAGAGAAACGACGACTGACGCTGCCATTGTCGGACTTGTCGATGGTATAGTTGTGGTGGGTGAAGAAGAAGCCCTCCTTCTCGCCCTCGAGGCGTACGGAGACGGTGTCACTCATTTCTTGCGCACTCACCGCCCAGCCGTCTTCGTGGAGCTGAGGAGACTCGTTGGCCAAGTGGGGAAAGGGAATCGGTGGCTTGGACATGGTGACCACGTCGATGAGCAGTTCCTGGCCCTGCTGCGCATATGCAGCCAGCGCCAAAGCGAACTGGAACTCAGATTTCTGGACAACACGGCCGCGGACAGTGAGGCCGAGGATCTGTAGGAGTGGGTGAGCGAGTGTGTCGGGAGCGTGCACCCACGCACCTTCTCGGTACTCCTCGCCGGGAGCTCAGTCCTGAAAAGCAATTGCTGGAGATGGGCAATAGAGAGATCGCCATTCGCAGTCAAATCAATCCAAAATTGCTCATATTCGTCTGCGAAATAATCATCTGGTACGAGGTTATCGAGGTATGACGACGGCGTCTGCATCGGTGCTGAGTACGCGTTCCAAGGACTCCAGGGATTTGATGCGCTTTCGTGCGGTGATTCTGGAGTGCCAGCAACGTGCTCAACCTGCGTCACTGATTTCGCTGATGCGCTCTCCATTCTTCGCTCGTCTTGAAGAATCACTTAAAAACTGGAACAATTAATTATCTGTCGACGTGCAAAATTTATATCTATACATCTACTTCTTAGCATTACGCTTAGATAACGCCTTATCTGAAGGTGTCCTCTTGTTCTTCTTCCCCGGCTTCTTCTCACTCACCTTCCTCCTCGGCTTGTTGAGTGTCATCTTCTGATCCCCCTGCTTCTTAGACAACGCTTGCTGCTTCTTCGCTGTGCGTCGTGCTTGCCTTACTCCATCCGCCGCTTTGATCGTCTTTCGCGTCTCTTTCGTCATTTCTGACAGCTTCTCCCCGAGCGCAGGGTCGCCCCTGACAATCTTGCCCGCTTTAGCCGATATACCCGACGCTTTCTTTGACTCCTTGGCTTCCTTCTTGTCGTCTCGCTTAAGATCCTCCTGTGGCTTCTGCTTTCCAGATGCTTTCGATTTTGCGAATCGCAGCGTGCGCTTGTTCAGCCGTCTGCGCTCATCGGGCAGCAGAAGCAGCTCTTGGACGCAATCATTATCCGCTAGATGCACATACCCGAACCCTTTTCCGAGCTGTGTGTCTGGATCGCGCACTATCCTCACACCTCTAACCCACGACTTGGCTTTATCGTCCTTATCTACTCCAACATACTCGCCCTTCTCCTCTTTGAGCAGCTTTTCTATAAACTCACCCAACTCTGTCTCCTTCTGTGCGAAATCCAATCTGCCAACGTAGAGAGTGCGCTTAGCCATGTCTTTGTCAATATGCCAGCTAGTGCCCTTCTTGTCGAGATTGAGTACGCGATCAACGCGCAAGACTCTTCCTTCAAACGTTGTACCATTACCACGCTCAACGACCTTCTGAGCTACTTGTGAAGGTGGCACATCTTTGTCTTTGTTGTTGAGCAGAGTGACATCATTCGGTCTCCTAAACCCAAAGACAACGTATGCGTTGACGGAAGCAGCGTCTGGATGGAGGTCATGCTTTATGAATGCCACTTTGCGCTTCTGTTTTGGTGTTTGATAGCGATTGTTATCAGCTTCTGATTTTGCAGATGCTGATGTGGGCACACTAAAAGCAACGGATCTAAAGCGCGTGCTGTCGTGTTTAGCTGTCGGTGGTAGTTCAGAGACTTGCATGAGGTGTTGAACGAGTCTCTTGGACAGTGACTGGATTTCTGGTTAGCTGGGAGTGTAAAAAGCCTCAAACTCACTTTATTCTTGGCTGCTTCGGCTGGAACATTACCGACAAAGATTGTTCTGTTGTTCTTCTGCTCGGGTGTCTCGTCTTCAATCTTGTACACCCGCGGAGCTTGCTTCTTTTTCGTGTCCTTCTTCTTGTCGTGGATGTCGTCGTTGTCGTCGTTGTCGTCTTCCCACTCGTTGTCATCGGCTTTGAGATCGTCATCGTCTCTTCCCATCTCTTTAGCGAATTCCGCGAGAGTTTCGTCATCAATGTCTTCTTGGTTGTTAATGTTGTTGTCGCTGTGATGGCCGTCGTTATCCTTCTTGTTATCGCCGTCGCTATCACCGTCGCTGTTGCTGTTGCTTCCACCACCACCATCACCACGACCAGTTGATGGCTTTGACTTATTAAGAGAGCTAACAGCATCCTTAACCTTCTTCACCTGGGCTTTGTGATCAACCTTTCTAGATTTCACAGTGGACGGACCAGCGCTGGATGTAAACAAGCTATCCAGTTCCTTATCAAAGTTATCTTCTTTATCTCCCTTATCTCCCTTACGATGTTCCTCGGGTGATTTGCGTTTAACCATAATGGATGTATCCTGCGAAGAAGAAATTTTACATGAGAAGCGAGATGAAATGGAGATAGGCAATGTAAGTGGAGATGTCAGTGGTATCTCGACATACGATTCAATCTAAAGTCGTTAGCTGCACCTCGAGTGACAGCGAACAATCTTTGTAGATTTTCAAGTGGAGCGCTACAAAATAATCTTATAACATGCATACACTGCTCAAGTTATACTCTATTTTACTCATCTCCCCTCCTTCCACTCGCCTTTAGAATTTTTTATTCAACAGAATCTTCGCATTTCAAATCAGCATCAGCTTTTTGTCCTACCACCACTTTGGTTAATTAGTTATGTGAGTTTGAAAGGCGCACGCAGCGTAACACTCACATTTTATAGGTCAACTGAGCAGCAACCAACACAACCACAAACTGCTGTCCCAGCAATTGGTATCGATCTTGTGAGTTTCATTGCTGGAGTGGCCTTTTTATTTCAGAATCTTGTGCGGATCGGCTTGGAGATTATGAGCCTTTATTTCTCGGCTTTTTTTCTTCATTTCTCCCCTTTTCAGGCTGATATGAAATTTTGCCATCTTCTCAGCAAATCCCCAAGATTCTGATACAGCCACCACGCTCCCCACTCCATTTCTAACGCCTTCTCCAGGGTACCACCTACTCTTGTGCTGGTGTCTGGCAAAACGACAGAGTCGAAATCATCGCCAACGACCAAGGTAACCGTACCACCCCATCTTACGTTGCCTTCAACGACGCTGAACGTCTCATCGGTGATGCTGCCAAGAACCAATCTGCTATGAACCCAAAGAACACCGTCTTCGACGTTAAGCGTCTCATCGGTCGCCGCACCGACGACGACGAGGTCAAGAAGGACCAAAAGGCCTGGCCTTTCCAAATTGTCGACAAGGATGGTTCCCCTGTCGTCAAGGTTTCTTTCAAGGGCGAAGACAAGCAATTCTCCCCACAAGAAATCTCCGCCATGGTTCTCACCAAGATGAAGGAAATTGCTGAAGCTAAGCTCGACTCTGAAGTCACCAAGGCTGTCATTACCGTCCCAGCTTACTTCAACGACTCCCAACGTCTTGCCACCAAGGACGCTGGTGTTATCGCCGGTCTCGAAGTCCTCCGTATCATCAACGAGCCAACTGCCGCCGCTATTGCTTACGGTCTTGACTCAAAGTCTTCTGAGGAGAAGAACGTCCTCATTTTCGACTTGGGTGGTGGTACTTTCGATGTTTCCCTCCTCAACATCACTGGTGGTGTTTTCGCTGTCAAGGCTACCGCTGGTGACACTCACTTGGGTGGTGAGGACTTTGACAACACCCTCCTTGAACACTTCAAGGCTGAGTTCCAACGTAAGAACAAGGTCGACATTAGCGATGATGCTCGTGCTATGCGTCGTCTCCGCTCTGCTTGTGAGCGTGCTAAGCGTACCCTCTCATCTGTCACTCAAACCACCGTCGAGGTTGACTCTCTTTTCAACGGTATCGACTTCCAAGCAAACATCACCCGTGCACGTTTCGAGGAGATCAACGCTGACAAGTTCAAGTCAACCATCGACCCAGTCGCCCGTGTCCTTAAGGATGCTAAGATTTCAACCACAAAGGTTGACGAGATTGTTCTCGTTGGTGGTTCAACCCGTATTCCAAAGGTTCAATCTCTTGTTTCCGACCACTTTGGCGGTAAGCAATTGAACAAGTCCATCAACCCAGATGAGGCTGTTGCATACGGTGCTGCTGTTCAAGCTGCTGTCCTCACTGGTCACACCTCGGACAAGACAGCTGACCTTCTCCTCTTGGATGTTGCCCCACTTTCCCTCGGTGTTGCTATGCAAGGTGATGTCTTCGGTAGCGTTGTCCCACGTAACACTCCAATCCCATGCAACAAGTCACGTACTTTCACCACGGTTGAAGACAACCAAACTCAAGTTACTTTCCCAGTCTACGAGGGTGAGCGTACTCAATGTCGTGACAACAGACTTCTCGGTGAATTTGAACTCACTGGTATTCCACCAATGCCAAGAGGTCAAGCTGAGCTCCACTGTACCTTTGAAGTTGACGCCAACGGTTTGTTGAAGGTTTCTGCTCAAGACAAGGCATCTGGCAGACAAGCTAACATCACCATCACCAACTCAGTTGGTAGACTCTCATCAACTGAGATTGACCAAATGATTAAGGATGCTGAGCAATTCAAGCAATCTGACAAGGAATTCACCGCTAAGCACGAAGCCAAGTCAGAGTTAGAGGCTCAAATCTCTCAAGTGGAGTCTACCATCACCTCACCAGAATTCGGTATGAAGCTCAAGAGGAACCAAAAGGCAGCAGTTGAGTCTGAACTCGCAAAGGCCCTTGAGAAGCTCGAAGTTGAAGACAGCACAGCAGATGAACTTAGAAAGAGCCAATTGCTCATCAAGCGTTCAATGCAAAAAGCAGTCGGAGGTGGTCGTTAAATTACGTAGTCGCTCTATTACTACCGGTGTAAAATTTATTCATTTTTCTTCTTCTCTAGTGATAGACTGTTTGTACTGTATGTTGATTGCCGTGGAACAACGTCGAGGAAGAAGATTTTACATGACGTAGATCGACTTGAAAGTTAGAAGGTAATTAAAGCGAGTTGGAGGAGAGGTTCACAATCACAAACCACAAATCAGCTCGATAAAATATTACAATCTGCCAATTCCGTCAAACAATTTTCACCAATCTCAGAACGCTCCAATCAACGACTAAATAAAGAAACACAAAAAGTTTTTGACACATCAAAGAGTCTTTAAGGCTACAGACATATGAGCAACGACGATATAGATAATGATGACGGTGGCGGCGATGAAGCTTTGAGTAAGAGAGCGTCCACAAAGCTATCATGGATTTCAAGCAAGCTGATTGGTTCACTCAACTTCTATAGAATCCATATGATCGTATTCACTATCGCACCACTCATCATTGGCGCTATCCTTTACGCAGGGGATGATCACCACGATTACGCCTTCATTGATACGCTATTCGTCGCGACTTCAGCATTCACAGTGACTGGATTGTCCACAATTGAACTAAGCCACTTTAATGGATTCCAACAAGGCGTTGTTTTCTTCTGTATGTGCGTTGGATCAGTTTCTACTGTATCGATTATTATGGTAATCATTAGGCGGTAAGTTTAATTGATCTAGAAGGTCTTTCCCACTCACACTATCCTCAGATTCTACTTCAGGAAGCGTTTCATGCATGTCATTATGACTGACAAGCAAAAGAAAGCTCAGCGTCGTCCTTCTTGGTACGCAGCCGCGACTTCTTCCGCTAGAGAAACGGCATCTGGTATTAGATCACGCATTAGAAGCACCGTGCATCGTTCATCTGAAATTTCTCCGTCGTTTTCCCGATCCCAGTCGAGTGGACCACCCAATCCACCAACTGCACCTTCAAATGCTCAACGTCCATCATCCTCGGACCAAGAATCATCGTCGTCTTCCGACTTTAAAACTCCAATCAAGCCTGCGGGAGGTACGAAACTGAATAAAGTTGTCAGATCTCTCGGCATCGGCACATCCAACAATACTCAGTCAGACAACGTACCTCAGCATGGAAGCAGCGATCAGAAGAAAAAGCGCAGATTTACACCGTCAATGATTCGCAGAGTTGATGGACCTGCTCTGATCAACAGGATGGCTCCTGGTGGTTGGATCTCCGACAAGGCATCTGCCAAGTCAGTATCTCCACCATCTTCCCCAGTGCAGTCGCAAAATGACATGAGGAGTCGTTATAGAGATGCTGACAATGAGCACGCCCTCGATACAGACTCGGAGTCTGATGAAGAGAACGCTGCGACAGTCCGTCAACCACCTCGCAATAGATCATCTGTCACTATAGCCAGACCTCCTTGGGTACATTCACAGAGCAGAAGCAGGGACTCTCAGGGATCCAAGTCGTTAGAGAGACCATCGCAGGATCAACAACCACAGCCTATAATAGTTGATCATGGAAATGCTCAACAGGACGAAGAAAAATTCCCCCGCAGCGCTACTATTGGCTTCAGAGAGCCTGAATTTTCGATGAACAGGCAGCGTACAATGGGAACAAACTTTGACAGAAGCAACACCTATCAATCTGGCAGATCGCGCTCGATCGCTCCATCCGGTTACCTCCCACGTACCACCACAAAACCATATTCCACACGCGATAGAGACTTTGGTGGGTTTCCAACCCCAATCACGCTCGTATCACGCCTAGTTGATAGGTTCTTTCCCAACTTGAGATCCAAGCTCGACAAATCTGTTACTATACCGCATACACACACCTTCACATCGCAGGCCGGAGGTACGGTTGGTGGGCCGGGTAGTCGGGGAAAGTACGCCCCATATATTTCATTCGATGCTATCGTCGGACGGAATTCGGTTTTCAAGGATCTCAGTGATGACCAAATTGATGAGTTGGGTGGTGCTGAGTATCTCGCTTTGAAGATTCTCACTGTTGTTCTCATTTTCTACTACCTCTTTTTCCAGCTCGCTGGCTTGACCATTATCGCACCATACATCAACGAGATACCTCGATTCGAAAGAATAGTTGATGAGGAGTCACCCGGCTTGGACACTGTGTGGTTCACCGCATTCAACACCATCAGTGCATACAGTAACACGGGTATGAGTCTAGTCGACAGCTCGCTGCAGAGGTTCCAGCAAGCGTACGGGATGTATCTTCCAATGTCATTCCTGATTCTTATTGGGAATACGTGTTTCCCAATTGTACTCAGATTCATCATCTGGCTAGGCACCAAAGTTGTCAAGAAGGATTCGCATGAGTATCAGGGCTTGCATTTCTTGCTAGATCACCCCAGACGCAGTTTTCTCTACCTGTTCCCATCCCACCAGACATACTTCCTGTTGTCGATGGTAGTGATTATGGTCGTTACTGATTGGGTGTGCTTCCTGTTGCTGGACATTGGCACACCTTCAATAGAACAGATTCCAATCGGCACCAGATTCGCTTGTGGGTTCATGCAGTCCACCGCCGTCAGAGCTGCTGGATTCAACATTGTCAATCTCGCAGATTTGTCGCCGTCTGTGCAAATACTCTACATGATAATGATGTTCGTTTCTGTGTACCCCATTGCTCTCTCGGTGAGAGGTACAAATGTATACGAAGAAATGAGTCTGGGCGTATATAACAACGACGACCAGAGCTCTGAGGAACCCAACGAGAATAACGTCGAACCAACAGTTTCAGAGTCGAGGGGAAAATTATGGGGCAGTTACTTTGGTTGGCACGTTAAAAAGCAGCTGTCTTTCGATATTTGGTGGCTCGCTTTCGTCTTGTTCCTCTGTTGCATACTTGAGAGGGGGAAGATATTGGATACAACCAAGCCGTACTTTAGTATATTTAGTATACTGTTCGAAATAGTCAGTGCATATGCGACCTGTGGATTGAGTTTGGGGGTCAATGAAAGAAGTTACTCCCTATCTGGAGAGATGCGCACACTGTCGAAACTGTTACTGATAGTAGTCATGATCCGCGGTCGCCATCGCGGTCTACCTAATGCTATTGATAGAGCTGTGAGTGAGGGTTTACTAAATGAATTTACATTCTCACACTATTCAAGGTACTTCTACCATCAGATGTACAAGAAACTGATCAACAAATGGCTGATCAGCAATCGCAAGCTGAAGATTTGCGCAGGACGCGCTCCCAAACTACGAGTTTTTCAGCAGCACGTAATAACACTTTTTACCGCGAACTTGAGAACAATTACCGCGATGGTGATGAAGGTCTAGCTACAATCAACGAGCAGACTCATCATCCTACCCTTTCCCCGGAGTCTACCAGGCTCAGCTCGCCGTCTGAGTTGTCGCCAAAACATGAATCTCCACCTCATATCACAAGTAATGATCAAGATTCTCAAAACACACAAGTTAACAAGGAGGAGTAGCTTTATTTTTTCTCATCTGCTCCATTCTCATTTCTCATTTCAATCTCTATTAATAGTTTACTCGCATTAGATTGATCATGTTAAGGATGATAATTTTCAATTCCCACATACTGTAGTTATTTGCATTAAATAATCTTTATTACAAGAAATAGTACATTAAATCCATCAAGTGTTTGATTCTTGTTTAACTTTCTCACTGCCGTCGCTAGAAAACTTTTTTGATTTAGGTAATTCTGTTGCCTGCTCATCAGGTTGCTGTTGGTCTGTCACACCACGCACCCAAACTTTGTGTTTTGGTGCATCGTCGGTCAGGGGTTTGTCCAGGGATGCTTTGTTTTGGTTACTGAACGTGGCACTCTGTGATACTGTTAAAAATGAGGAGAATAGAAAGAGGAAGAACCAACCTTATTAGCAAAGCCACCTCTGGCACCACCACGTGATGCACCTCTTGAGCCACCTCTTCCTCTCATACCACCTCTTGTTGGAGTACCAGTCATTCTCTGTGCAGCCTTCTCCTCTGCATCTTGTTGCATCTTTTCAAACTGCTGCTGCATGACCTTTGCAGTCTGCATTGTCATGAAGTGCTGCTGGAGTAATTGTCTCTCGAAGTTAGTCCTATCGGTGAAATTGTAAGACTCGTACTGCTTCTTCAGTTGTGGATTAGATTCGAGGAAATTTGTTGTGAGATCTTTTGATAATTTATAAGTCTCTGGATCTAAACGTGGATGACGATGGTTTTGATTTCTGCGTTTATTGTCTCTCTGGTTATCTCTCTGGTTGTCTCTATAATTGCTTTGTTGCTTGTTGCCAAAGATGATATCGTCGAGTGAAGCATCAGCAGCAGAGCGCTTTGAGGATGTTGGTTGAGGTGGGTGTTGTGGGTGTTGTGGTGATTTCTGTGGTTGCTGTGGCTGCAGTTGTATCTGCTCTTGTGGCTGTGACTGTTGGAGTTGCTGATAATCCTGCTGCTGCTGCTGCTGCTGTGCGTCTCCTGTATCTGCTCCTTCTTCCACACCTTGAGCACCACCAAAGTGATCAAATATCTGATGCGTTATCTTTGCAGTATAACGATCACCGATCAAATCACACATTTCTGAAGTAACTTGATTTTGGCTCTTCTGGTTGGTAATCATAACAACTTTCAACTTTGTCAGACCAGCCAATTAAATCAATCCATATCCAACCCACCAATATATTCAGAAATTAAATTCAAATCCTCATCGCCTAGTCCATTCTCTATTAACACGCTCTCCACATATTTCTGTATATCGGACATGATGGTGGTGGTGGTAGGGGTGACAGATACCACTATCAGTGTTACTCCTTCTTTTTTCCATTATATGTTGGGTATAACTACAGCCTTTGAGTATTTATCATGTTGCTCAGCAGTTGCAACTCGATTTCACTCTGGGCACGCAATTGAGCGTTTTGGAGGTGGCAACGGACTCCATCAATCTGCCCATACATTATCGACTACAGAAATCGCATCACCCAAATATCTCAGTTTTCCATTCTTCTAGACGCGTACTGCATTTTTCAACGCGTAGCGCCCACAGTATTGGCTTTTGGGTGAAAGCAGGCCAGCTGAATACATCAAACACCCAGCAAGAAGGATTAATGTATCAAAAAGGAAGGGTCAGATCAACTCTGGAAATCATATACATGCTTAAATGGGATTGTTGAATGAGCACAGTAGCACAGTAGAACCACGCATATCGATATCCTAGTCATATTTTCTATTAGCCCGGCTTGTTTTGCTTCTTGTGCTTCTCGTGCTTTTGGTTTCATAGATTCATTTGGTCAGTCTAGATCTTAGTAGTTGCCTCCGCCCACTCACAGGATTACTTTATAATGGATTAGTAAAGGATATCAATACACTTGTTTATTACATTAATTATTGCTTGGATATATACTAAGTTCAACTCGCTCACCACGCCCCGAAAATGCTCAATCTGGACTCATCTCTGCATCTCTGATAACTTCAGGATGTGTTCATAGGATGACAGGAAGTTTTGAATATTCTTTTAACTACTAACCAAAGCGTTCAAAATTCAAGGATAAATCTATTCAACTAAATTTGCTCAAGGCACCCTGCAAATAACCAAATAAGTGAAAAGACGAATGCAAGGATGTCATACACTGACAATTTGAACAATGTAGCAATACTATAATTCTCATGGAATCTCCCGTTTTTAAATTTATTCTCATCTCAACCCTACTCTGGATATTAACATAGTTGGATTCCTCGACTACCACCTATCTCAATTCAAGTAGCTGATTTACGAGTTTCGATGATATCCAAATAACAAAGCTTTAGAAATAGCCCTGATTGAGCTACACAAAAAATCTAACTCGAATTATATCCCTGAGCCTCCAATTGTGCCCTGAAAGCTGTTCGAAAGTTGCAGTCCAACATCGCTCTACAGCACGTTATAGGATATATATAGAGAATTTAACGCGCTAAATGATAGAAACAAATTATTTTGATTTATTAATACCATAAGCACCCAAAAATCTCAGTTATTCGGCTTTATAACCGTGAATTATATTTACAGACACTTAGTGCCCATATGACTGAATGCTGGCTCCAAGGAAAAAGTAATGTCGTTTCAGATCATTTCACCCTTATTGAATTCAATTCATTCAAACAAAAGTGGCGGTCAGCCTAACTCCGAAATCAGGTGTTTGGCTTGTGATCAGTGAATTTTCAATATTCAGATACTGGAGGTGGTGGGGCGATGAAGGCTGCGTCCGAATCGCAGAGATCTGAATAGTACAAATGCCCATTTAAATATGTTAAAGAACCGTCCCTCCGATTAGTAGATCACTGGCACTTCACACAGAATGATATTATTATTTCACCGACAAGCAGAAAAAAGTAGCGCATAGAGAAAAATCACACAACTAATACATCCCATATAGTAAAAGCTCTGATGTATTCATTATTCGAAACAAGCTACAAATAAAGAGCATCATCAGCTAACACTCGCCATCATCATCGACACTGTTATTCTCTGCGATCTTGACGTTGCCTGTTGCAATATAATCAGTCAGCGTACCCCGATCATTACCATTACACACCTGTGTACGCCGTCTTCTCGTCATCAGAGTGGAGAATAAATCCAATTTTCTCTTGAGTGCCGTTGACGGTGTAGTTGTATGGGCTTTCTTCAATGTCTTTGATCTCCACTACAATCTCTGGGAAATCAGCTTCAGTTCCATTGGTGACTTCGATAGAATACTGGTGTGGGTGTAAGTTTGGAAACTCTTGACACTTTCCCAACTCACTGGCGCTTTTCCACCTTCAAATTCAAGAGTAACGTTCTTGCAGCGTTCAACATTCTTGGGCGTGTTGATGGACATTGATGTGACGTTGGAAATCAATGCGACGAAAGCGATGAGCTTGAGTTTGTTAGATAACATACTTGGAGCGATATTAGTGTTGTCAAGTCTGAAGTTCGCAACTCACATCTGGCTTTAGTCAGTTTTTGTCTATCCCAATCACAAGTCAGAAGTTCGACTCACAGATTTATGATGGTCTGAGTAGAAAGCTGAGCACCGCTTAAATAGACTAAAGCGCCCAGACAGAAACAAATAGGTAATTTTTTCATAGGTACAAGTTTTTTTTATAACCTCAGCCCTCCTGGGAACAGCCCAACGAATCAAGATACGCCAAGCGTGGCTGATTAAATTCCTTCTACACATTGATAGGGAAGAAGTGTGGAATTTGCTATATTAACGATACAATGAGTTAGTTTGATTCGACAACTATGTATGTCTTATCTATCTAAAACACATGGCTAACTGTAAATGAAACACCAAGGACATATTGACTTTTAAATTAAAGATTCATAAGCGAGATTAGAGCGAGATTAAAGCAAGTGAATGATAAAGCTTCAGTGAAAGTCAGTGTCTGATGCCTTTGAATTCGTTCACGAAAGTGTTATTTCGATCTATGCTCTTTAAAAAAAGGGACCGAAAGGTAATATCCAGATAAAGAAAGTTTGACCAAATAAATTGTAGAAGTGTTTCTGAAAGCTAACATCCAAACCATGTACGTAATTACTCCAAATTGGAGGATTAAATAATCTTGGACACGAGTCTTATGGTATTAGTCCTTTGATGTACATTCAAATCAATAAAATCCATTATATTTTTGGAATGAATTACGCTGGTGTTTAGGGTTCTTTACACACAGCAGTACCATATTTTGTATGACGATGGTAGTAAAACGCATATAAAATTGGTTTAATTTATTACTTAAACTGAGACTACATGTCTGACTCCTCGCATCTTGATAAATGTGATACAACTAACTAAGAACAGGCCATAAACAAATGTAGGAAACCACCCAACGACCATAGCGCAACTCAATGAAAGTAATTCATCGTCCCCCTCACTCGCTTTATTTGCAAATATAATAACTAATAGAAGAAGAAGATGAAATCTGATTATATTTTTAAGACGATACATGTTTAAAACTGCGTCCATCAATACTTCTCAAAGCATGAGGAGTCAAAGAGGGTGATGAATTTACTTGAAGCGTCGTAATTTGTAAATTGTTGGTGGTTCTCAATTACGCTGAACCACCGTATTATCTTCGGTACGTATTCAATTGCGGTTTGAAGAACTCGTAAAGGGCTTGTAGAGAGTGTGCGTTTCTGAGTATTGGACCTAATTCGAACCGAATATTGCTCTTGGTAATCTTTCTTTTTAATGTGATTCTGGCCATTATATGTTTTCTGCAGATGAAGATTCTATGCGAGATGGTGTACTCTATGCAACACGCACGGTGTTTAGGTGAATCAATCAGTCAGATCGTAGTTGAAAATTTGCTTGAACATCCTACGGGGCAAATATTTGACAGTATAAGTATTTAAATTATTTAGCCATTTCAGCGTGGATGTGGTATAATGGTTAGCACGTTCCGTTGTGGTTTCAAGCAAACCCGGTAAGATCCCGGTTCGATTCCGGGCATCCACACGTTCTTTTTCCCAAATATTTTTGCCCTCTTTTTCACTGTTTATTTGAGCTCACTTGCACTATATACTCATCTTTACTTTTTAAGGCCTTAAGCCAAACCAGAAAAGACCTCTTGAAGAGATGCAATCATCGAGGGAGATGGAAAGTGACTCAAAAAGCAGCAGTCGGTCGAGCAATAAAAACCGTGCCTCATCTGGGATATCGCCGTCAACTGTAGCAGGTATATCGATACTGGCATTCGCTGCAGTTTCCGCCAGTATGGCTGGGACGATATGGAGATCGAACCGGGCGCGTAAAAGAGCGACACAGGCAGTTGTAGACTTCAGGAGCAATTATCACATAGAGAAAAGACCTCTGCCTCTGCCGTCTGAGGTGCGATCGAAGGAAATTAGTAGAAGTGAGAATGCAATTGAGAGTGATGCACATGTTGCACAAATTGGAGAGAATAACACACAATTCAGTGAAGATGGACACTTTACTTACGGTGATGCAGCTAAAGCACTCCTTATTGCTACCTCAGCTGTCGGAATCGTGGCTGCGGGCAGTGGGTATTATGTGGTGAACAAGCTAGAATTGTCGGATGTGAGAGGTATCTTGAGTTTCGCTTAGTATCTAACACAGCAATTCAGATACAAGACACCAAAACCAAACTTAACGCCATTGTCAGAACACGATTCAAGACATTATACGATAGCATACATAAATCCGACGGTCTAGAGGAGGATATACCCGACGATGCAAAGGAGTTCGCGCAGATGTTCTACGATGAACAAAATGAGCATCGGGAGGTGTAGCATTATAGATATATTACATACATTCCTTTTGCACGGTATACAAATCGCACTCGCCAGCACAGCTAGTCAGCTAATCATCTAATCAGCGCCATCGAGACTGCATCCTTCACCAGGTAGAACAGCCTCTTTCTTGGCTTTCTGCTGTTTCCTTTGCTCCTTCTCACTTAGATGAGAGTCGCGCTTAGCTCTCGAAAAAAGTCCGACATCCTTCTCGAAGATAAATCTGAAAGTAACCATCGGCCAACTCGTATGCCACTGGAGATGGTTGTAAAATTCAGGTGCGATATGTCTGACTTTGGGAAGATTGAGCCACGACACAGCAGGGAAATCGTGGTGTTCGTTGTGGTATCCGACATTATAGCACAACCAGTTGAGCAAGCCGTAGTACGAGTAGGTCTCCTGTCCGCTGCCATCAAACATGTAGTGCTCGGCTATGAAGTGTGCAGCGCAGGGATGGAGAGAGCCTGCGAAGAAGGTGCTAAGGACCGAGTAGGCGAAAATGCCTACCCCGTAATGCTGGTACATGAGAGCATTAAATCCTACTTGCACGCCTGCGTTGAGTAGGACGAAACCACTGGGTGGTTTTGGATTCACGAGACCTGGTCTGATTGCGTAGAAGAGTATCTGGAATGTGCTGCAGTGTGTTAGAGTTATGAATGTCTGACCGCGCCTCATACCCACGCAAAGAAAAGCTTTCCAAGAACATTCTTCAAGAACAGGAGCTCAAAGTTTGTCGGTAAATCAGTGTCTATGCCGTCTTCACCAAGGTACCGGTGGTGTTCGTGGTGGTACACCTTGAAAGTGCCAGCAAAGGGGATGCCGACGGGTAGGTTAGCTATCATAGCCAGAGCTTTATTGGCAGTGCGCGATTTGAAGACGAGGTTGTGGGTGATCTCATGTATAGCTAGAAAGAGATTCTGATTGCATACACCACCAACCACGTACGCAGTGAGGAGAAATTTCCAACTAAGAGGGTGCCAGTCAAGGTCTGTAATATGCGTCGCTGTGAGTAGCTGGATTGCCACCACAGCGAGTACAACGAGTGCAGTGCGAGGATCAGGCCCAAACAGCTTCTTGACCTGGAGAGCATGTCAGAAGGCTTTCAGCAAAATCCATAACAGCCCACCTCGGGATGCTGCTTCATAATTGCTCGGCAGCGCGAGCGGTGTGGCTCTTCCTCGGTGAGCCTTACGCAGTTGGTCAGCGTATGTATTCACAATGAACAAAACCCACCAGTAAAAGTTGTTGGCATCTTGTCCAGGCCTTATATGATCTCCAGGATCTCCAGCCAGTGCCGTCATTTTCGGTGTGAGTGAGCAAGACAGATAACAAAACGCAGTTCAAATCAAGATACAAAAATTGTTGAGATTGGCCCCTTCTAATAACACGCTCTTTTTGGATAGCTCTGCTCGTCCTCTCTGAGGCTCCGCTGTTTTTTTCAGCATCCAGTACGCAATTCTTGAGCCTTTCTTGGTATCGCCAATTTTCTCCTTCAATAGAGTAAATCCAACGGTGTTGAGCATCTCTAAAAACCTATCTCTAGTCAGATATCGCGAATTGGTGATGCACGGCGCCGGTAAGACCATAAAGAGATATCCGTTGGGTTTGAGGAACGTGTTGAGCCTGATCAAGAATTGTCCTGTGATATGCGTTACTGGGGAGCATATCATCGAATGCAATACCCACCTCTTTCTACCGGTGTCGGTACAAAGTTGAGTACTAGCGATGATGATACAGCATCCTTCCTATCGTCCTCGTTGCGAGGCAGTGGTCGCTGTAAAAAGTCTTGTTCACGTATGATAGGGTGATTGGACTTTAAATCGATAAGCTCTGTGTCTATCCATTTCCGCTCGCTTTCGTAATTGTTGTGGACTAGTGCACCGATTTCTAGCAGCCTACGAAAGCAAATGAGAAATTTCGGCCACCATCAGTTCAACTACCACCTACGCCATTTTATCACGTCCTTCACTCCCCAAATACTCCCGCTTTACACCCAATTCAGTCAGCCAGGCGATAAAGACGTGCGAGGAATCACCACCGCGACTGCTAGACTGTCCGATAGTAGAAGCGTGTTGATAAGCAGCCATTCCTCCCAGCTTCTCAATCTCGTTATCAATTTCACTCAACTGGTTCGGATCTTTAATTGTCTTCTTCTTTTTAAGGAGGAGGTGAAATGAATTTATAATTGATTTTGTCTTCTTAGAGGAAAGCGATTGTGATTTCACTCCCGTGATTGGCGTCTTCTTCTTGTTCTTCTTACCGAGCGCCATCGATCATCGTCAGTTATCAAGAGCGAATGAGCGGCATTGCGGGTACGGACAATGGTAAAGCACCTCTTCCCAAGGAGCTTACAGATTTCATGCCTGATTTCCTCAAAAACTCAATGGAATCCAAGTGTGTGTGTTTACATATCGCTACAGCTACTGATACGCACACGCAGTCCATACTTCTCTGCTGGATTCGGTTTGATGGTGGGTGAATAGCCCCTCACTTGAAATCCAACCCAACGCTACCCTCAGGGCGTAGGTGCAGCACTTGCTGGACTTAGGCGCGGTATTACATTTGGCGCAGGAGCTGCGCAGCGTCGACTACTCATAAGCCTCGAAATACCCTCTAAAGACCCCTCTTACCTCTGGTTCTTGGAGTGGCTCTCTGCCAATGGCAAGCGCGAAGCCACGACGCTGAAACCTGGACAACCCCAAATAAAACTCTACTCTCACCAACTCAGCGTAGAGACAGCTGAGAAGAAGCAGCAAGATTCTAACAACGTCACCTTCAGTCTTGTCCCTGGTCCCGGCACGCATTGGTTTAGATATAAAGGCGCTTGGATGCAAGTTAAGCGTGAACGCGATGGAAAAATGATGGATCTAACTCAAGGTACACCATGGGAGACAGTTACTTTAACCACACTGCGAAGAGATAGCGGTCTTTTCGCAGATCTCCTCCACGAGAGTCGCAAATTGGCGGAAATGGGAACTCAAGGCAAGACGGTTGTATACACTTCCTGGATGGTTGATTGGAAACCGTTCGGGAAACCCAGAAGGAGGAGAGAATTGAGTAGTGTAGTGCTCGATCGAGATGTGAAGCAGCGCGTGGCAGATGATCTCGATAAGTTTCAGAATAGAGGTCAGTGGTATGCAGAAAGAGGTATCCCATATAGGAGAGGTTATCTCCTCCATGGTCCCCCTGGATCTGGCAAGTCGTCATTTATATACGCCTTGGCTGGTCACTTTAAATACAACATCTGTTTGCTCAATCTCTCTGAGAAGGGCTTGACGGATGATAGACTCAATCATCTCCTAGTCAACGCCCCAGAGAGATCCATCATCCTGCTCGAGGATATAGATGCAGCGTTCAACAAGCGTGTACAGACAGGCGCGGATGGATACCAATCTGCTGTTACATTTTCAGGTCTGCTGAATGCGCTGGATGGTGTGGCGAGCGGAGAAGAGCGTGTTATATTTATGACGACAAATCATTTCACCAAACTCGACAAAGCCTTAGTGAGACCAGGAAGAGTGGACATGATAGAGTTACTAGGTGATGCAAGCACAGACCAAGCGGGTGAATTGTTTGGTAGATTCTATCCAGATGCTAGTACAGAGGAGTTGCATGCGTTTATTGACAAGTTGCAAGAAGGGATGGATGCAGGATATAGCGTCAGTATGGCTAGTTTACAGGGGATGTTTATAAGGACTACTGCGGCTGAAGCTATAAAGTATTTGCCAATGTTGTTTGAAGTGCGTCATGATGAATTTGATTGAAACCGTTGAATCTGAACTTTGATGACGCCAGAATGGAGATAAAGCAATTGTACAAAAATAATTGTATAGATGATGTGGGTAAGGTTGCGAATAGACATACACTCCAACAAAAACGCCCAGGAATGGCTAGAAAGCTGCATAGAGTATCTGCGCAACACTCTCAATATCAGCAATAACCAGGAGATACTTAAACAAACTCAGATACAGTTTATAAACTCAGATTTGTCAGATAGTACGACAGGTGGTCTTCCGAGGGATATACAACAGCAGGAGCTGTTGTTCCCTTCACCAAGCAAAGGAATTCTGCTGCAAGTAATTTCAATTACAGATATTGGAATATCAGCGTACAACTTGAAACTCAATAGAGATCAGAAGTCAGCTCTGAAATTGAAGTTATCGGATGGCAGAATATCCGTAGACGCGTTTGAATACGCTGAAATACCTTGGCTATCACTGTCAACGCCAATTGGGAGCAAATTACTCTTGAAGAACGTCGAGCTGTTACAAGGAACTCTTCTCCTTACCCCTTTCAACACTCAACAAAAGAATGGCAAGATCGATGACTTTGATAAGTACAGAGATAAGATAATCAACGACATTTTAGATGCAAGGTTAGGCAGAGTGTCCGAGAGAACGACTAACGTAGCTAGTGCGTCTACCACGGCAAACACAGCCGCAGATGTTATCGAAATCAGTGACTAAACCAGCGGTTAAACCGACCATCAAACCAAATCAGTGAATATTAAACATAGAATTATAATAGTACAGTGTAAAGTAAATCTCGGTATATATTATATACCTGCTATCAAGTTAGTAGTCTTGCCAAACCTCCTCGAAGGTGTCGTAGCCCTTCTTGAAATATTTGCTCCTTTATTCACAGCAATGCTGTCACCAGCGCTGTTATTCCTAAGCCTGCTATTGCTTTTGCCATTATCATTAATATTGCTATTGCTATCACTTCCACTGAGATCGACAACGACTCTTTTATTCTGATTTTTGGACTTGGCATAGCTAGTCTTAGACCGTGAAAGCCCAGAGTTTGACTTCTTGAGCTCCCATCCACCATTACGATCCTCTTCATCAGAATCCGTTGGCGTAATCATTATTTCTCCTTTTTGCGAGATCGGTGATCCCAAAACCTTTGTTGGTTGTTCTTGTGCGGCTGTCGATGTCTCTCCCTCCTTTCCCTCACTCTTCTTAGATGTGAGAGCGAATAGAAAGTGATCCTGATGCTTTATCAAGAATTCGAGCGTCTCCTGGGATTGCTTAAGTTCATCGGGTTGTTGAGCGTGTGAAGGATGTGATAAGATACCTGGCTGGAAGATTACTGCCAAATTGAATGCGTTCATTTTGTTATGTCGAGATTTCCTGTCGAAAACGGCTAACAAGTCGAGCACGTAAAGCAACAAGCACTGGTTAGCACCAGGGAGCTGGACTATAACGTTTTGGAATTTAGAAATAGCTTCACGGTGCTCAGGTTTAGATTTAAGGATAGATCTGAAGTTATCGTAGAATTCATGCGGTATTACTGGTTCTGGCATAAGTGTCAGATACCTCCTAAGAACGGAAGCCACATCGTGGCTATTGAATGCGTATTTTTTCCAGTCGAGATTTTTACCAAACTTTGTGTGTGCGTCAGTTTGTGACTCCAGAAATTAACCCCTAAACTCACTTTGGGCGGCGATTCAAAGATAGCTTGCAATTCCTTCATACGCTTAGAGCTGCCTGATATTCGGAATGTTCCCTCCGTCTCTGTCGCCGTCTCCTTGAGATGGAGACCGCATTTAGCCACAACAACGGGCACGAATCCGCAGACAAAGTGTTCATCGCTTTCGAGCGCCGTAGTAGATATTTGAACATGTGCATTCCTCAGGCTATCCCTTAAGGCTATCCCAAATATTGGCACCAAAGCTATGCGACTGCGATTAGAGATACTCCGATGGATAGCAGCTACACTCACACTCATTCTTCCTCTTCGCAAAGCCCTTCCACCACGTGCGAAGACTCGCCTTCATCGCCTTGACGTCCTCGCCTTCACTCGTAGCCATTTTCTCCTGTTTGCGCTCTTGTGGTTTAGTTAAAGCCAAGTCTAGATTTGTCGATGTGACTGAAAAAGAGGATGCATATGGAAATCGTAAATTAATATTATATTTCATTTTCACTCAAGTGAATTCCGCTTTATTATTTTTTGCACGTCTTTATGCTTTTTCAGCCACTCAGGGAATGATATCCAATTGAGGTGTTTATCGTGCTCTCTAGCTTCGAGGAGGTAGTTGGAGTACGACACTAGCGCTCCGTATCTGTGCAAGTAATTACATGCCACAGTCGATAACTATATCCTTTTGTCAGAAAACCCTTTCGTTTCACTCGGACCCACCCTTTCAAACTTCGGCGTTCCCTCCTCCTGTGCTTCGGCTTGTAACTTGTATGAATACACCGCTTTGCGCAGGTTCTGAACGCCTTCCATTAAATCTATAGCCTTATCGGCTAACATTTTTGCGCGTTTGCCGTGCTTCAATACTCCGACCAACTCGAGAATAACCCTGTATTCACCTACGTACGTCATTAAATGTGCTCCTAGAACGCATAACGCACGACAACTCACCGTTCAGATGTGGGTGCGTCGAATCGTCATCTTCGCTCTCGAGGTCGGTGCCGTCATGTTCATCTTTGCCACCCTGCACTTCCTCCACCGCTTTAATCGGATCTCCCGGTTTGTGGTATATAGCTGTCACCAAACAGCTCACGATCATACCAGTTGTCGTCCTGCCCCTACCCATTTGACAATTGAACGCCATACTGTGACCATTCTCGACCGCTTTAACACATCTTGTCTGCAACTCTGCCAGAGCATTAGGAAGTGGTGCTTGCTCGTCTGTGATAGCAACTCTCGAGTAATCTACCTTATACCCCTCCAGTTGTACAGCTTCGAACATCTCCCTTGGTGTCAAGATATCGCTCTCTTCAGCATTCTGCCAAATTGGTATGATCTTGTAATTCCCAGGCGAGATCTCTTGTTCATCATGTAATAACACTCTGCCTGTATCCTTCGCCGCCATGATGACATCCTTTTTGAGCGTACTCTCCATAGCTTCTACTACTTCTGTGCTCACACCCGTGCTCTCGACATTTGTCAGTGGCTTATTGGCAAGTCTTAGGACGTGTGGATGTCCAACTATGTAAATTACTGGCTCTTCACGTAAGCACGTCCACGTAACCTTATTGTTACCCTCCTTCGCTGTATTCATCGCTTCGAGAGCTTTGCGTAGACCTGTTCCAGACGGCATTCCCACCCCCACTATTATGCTATCCGTCTCCGTTATTTCCACCTGATCAAGATTTGCACTCTTGTAATACTCTACGTTCTGAGCAAGAGATAGAGGCACACGGCGGAAGTTGGCCGCGCCTTCTACGCGTTCCGGTAGACTCATTTTCTGTAATTGACTGAAGAAGTCTGACTTGAGCAATGTCTGTGCCGAAAGAATTCTGCCATTTCTATTCCTAACCACTCGCTCTACTTCGTCAGAAAGAGCATTACCTTCTGGTGGATTGTCGTCACGTTTAAGCGCTTGGAGCGACTCCAGTCCACCAACTTTAATCTCATTTTCAAAAGTCCTCAACACAGGTCTAAACTCAACATAATCTTTCAAAGATGGTAGATTCTCAAGCGTGTCAGGCTTTGCTTCTTGGAGATAGGATTGGAATACTATGAGCCAGTAGTATCTACGCAGAGCGATGAGTCCCTTCTGAATGAATTGCCTCTTGGTGGCTTCATCCTTGGCTTCGACCGCCTTCACTCGCGCATCTTCCACAGCTTCGCGACAATTGTAGGTATCTCCTGCTTCGTCAATTGCATCGTCGACGATATTCTTCAATTCCAAGCCTCGTCTTACTACTCTCAGTAGATTGTTTATAGGCTGGTAAGACTTGCGCGTCGCGCTCTTCTTGGCTACGTTGACAGTGGGCTGTCTCTTCAACCCAATGTGTGGATCGAGAGGCGAGCGCTTCTTCAGCCATTTCTGTATAAGAATGATGAGGACTGCTGCAAGCGTACTGCGGCCTCTTCCAAGTTGGCAGTTCACCACAATCGGAGACTGGCTGTCCGTCTGTATGACTACATTCATGAGATCGTGCAAATCAATGAAATCAGGTACGGCTTCCGAAGTAATTGGTATGCGTTTGAACTCTATCTCTTCTGCTCGCCTTGTCATGATATCCCTCAACGAGGCTATATCATCCTTATTGACATCCTCCCATATTGGAACTACCTTCCCATCATTCGTCTCCGTATGGAGTAGTAGCTTGCCATCAAGCTTCGTAACTTCCGCCGCGACATCATTCTTCAGTCGATCTTCAAGCACTTCGAGACGTGATGCAGATATACCTCCAAAGTCCTTCAAATTGCGGAACGAATAACCCTCTTTACGGAGACAATAAGGTTCTTGATTGACGTATGATAGAGGCTCCTCGCGGAGATTTATCCACGTAATGCGTTTCATCTTAGGATGCATTTCTTGAATCATCTCCACCAAGTGGTCAATCGCACTGATGTCAGGCTGACCGAGTGCATAAATGTTAGTGTCAGAGACACGTCTGAAGTTAACTGCTCCAGGCAAGGCCACATGACCCTCAGTCTGCCTCCAAATGTCATTCTTGAGCAGCGTGCTACTTCTCAGTAATATACCGTTGCGGCGGTGAACAACCAGCTCTGCATACTCATCAGCTAGAACTGTACCACCAGCTATCGTAGGATCTGTGCCATTCTTCGCGAGAGCCGTACTAGAAACTGTGCGTTTGGAGAGATCTGATAGGTCAGCAACTGGTGCAAAGTTGAATAATTTGCCTCCTTTATGACGAAGAAATTGTATCATGTTGCCTATTTCCTTCCTTTGCTGCAGCCATTCGATGAAGGTTTTGTTGAGATCTTGACATTCGTCGAGATAACCAGCGAAACAGACAGCGAAAGCGTATCTCTCGAGAGCTTTCAGAGCTTCTAATAAGTACGATTGACGCGTGTCTTCGTCTACCCTTGTAAGCGACGACCTCAGTCTATTCTCAAGGACTGATTCACGAAGGTTGACGACGTGATCAGTCATGTCAACGACGTGGTCTACGATCCCTTTACAGGAATTACCGCGTTCAAGACACGCCATAATGTTCAGAACGACATGGTAGTCTCCCAGACTTGCAGAGCGCAAATCTTCGAGGAGATTGGGGTGCTCGATCAACAGCTCGATCGCCGATCTTTGATCTTCAGAGAGCAAAGTTTGTTCGACCAAATGCGTTAAGCGGAGGAGTGACATTGTGTTGTGATGCTGTGCACTTGCTTGTTGAAGGACAGACGATGCTCTGCGTTCGGAAGGCTGTGGTGATAGGTTAGATGACATGTAGCGGGCAAGCTTAAATCTGCTCACGTTGAGCTCTTGCGACAGGTCTAAGTCCTGGAACGGATCTTTTTCACCAAGTAGCAGCAACTGCTTACGTCTGACGAGTAGAGCAGCAGTCATAGCATATGTCGTACGGACAACACCCATTCCACATGAGAAGATAATGTTAGTTTCACGTGGATCGCTATCCTTCATAACATTAACGTAAGCGTCGAGGTAATTATCCTCTATAGGAGTCTCAGGTGAGATTGGAATACGATGGTAATCAAGGTTAAAGCCCTCGCGTTTGATACTATGCCAGAGTTCTCTTGAAGTGAGCACATTCGAAGCATCTACCGCGAGCCAAGTAGGTACGATCTCGCCTTCTGTATCTTCCTCATGCGTCATAATGAGACCGCCATACTTGCGGGACTCATTGAGAACATCAGCCTTGAGACGCTCTTCAATACCTTCGAGGGATTCAGCTCTATAACTGAGCTGTATGCCGCGCTTAGGGTTGGTAGCATGCCGAAGAACGTAAGAACGGCCTGAGATATAAACGATCGGTTCATCGCGTGTAGAGACAAAGACAGATTTGGCTTTGGAAGAGTGGGCAGCAGATTTGAATGCCGTGTTTGGTATGTTGAGCGTGGCATCTGGTGATACCATAGGGGAGGGAGTGGGAGCAGCGCCGAGAAGGGTGAGGAGAGTGCGCAGGCCAGCGATAGTGGGTTGAGCCGTGCCATAAACACCAATAGATTCAGCGCCTTTAGGCCTTCTGAAGTTGGGAGCACCTTGAATAGAAATGTCGAGCGCTTTGGCTCTGGCTGCGAGATAATGATCTGATTTGAGGACAGTGGATCTAGAGAGTACCTGTTTACAGTATGAGTGGCGTATACGGCTGCATCTCGCAGGCAACGTACTTGACCTGATAAGGAGTGAGCGAGATGGAGATGGTAACGACATTGACGCACCTTTTCGATTCTTGACAATATTAGCGCTGCCTAATTTGTCGAATAACGAGCCATTCAAGCTGTTTGGCTGTATCCGATTTGAGTCCATGAATGTTTATGACAAAGAGAGAAGACGCAGGGAATTGTAGGATTATCGGATATAAATTGGATCTACGGAGTCGGCAGCGTCCTGAGCTCAGATCTCGGGGATATAGCCACTTATCACCGCAAGGATTGTTACAAGCACGTTGTGGACATTACACGGACGTTGTGGAGGTGCTTCAGATATGCGGAGACTTTTAATATCTTTAGAGGCTTAAAGTTATATAAAATGTTGTCACCGCGGTTGTTATCAGATTGATAATCTTGGTGAATAAAATTCAAGTTTGAGCAAGGAGGCATTAAATTCGATTAGGCAATCAGTCTTCTCCAGATATCCTCCGCAGCATACACGCATCACTCACCGTCAAATTGTCATGTGTTGAAGCTATATTTCTAGTTCAGCTGGTCATCCCCGCTCCATCATCACAAATTTAGATGTCCAGTGAGTCGTGGGCTTTTATGTGCCTAAATCACTAACACGCATCCTCAGATGCCGCTTCTTCAATCAGCCCCGCCTTGGAGTTTTTAAGCGGCTTCTCCTACACCAGCAACTCCCCTCCATCGCGGGTCAACGAAGGCGACAACGTTGACGATTTCGTCATTGGCTCTGTTTTATCTTCAGGCTCATCAGCTCTGGTCAGAAATGCCAAACATTTGCCTTCTGCGACCGCTGTCGCCGTCCGTATCGTCTACCAATCCAACAACTCTCAAATTCGCTCTGAAATTGACCGCTGGCTCAGTCTCAATCATAATAACATTCTTCCCTTACTTCACTTCTCAGAACTTTCAGATTTTCTTCTCACTTTTTCCCCTATTTGCAGCACCACTTTACTCAGTTATATCAACAAATACCACAGCACCGGTATGTCGCTACGCAAGACCCACAATATCTTCAATCAACTTGCTTTAGGTGTGAGATATCTCCACCAGCAATGCTCTTTAGTCCATCGTGATCTTAAGCTGGAAAACATACTTCTCGACAGCGCGGGTAATTGGGTTATCAGTGATTTTGGTCTTTCTCAATCTCTCGAAGAGACAGAGTCGTTAGGTGATATGGGTAGCTTGCCATATGCTTCACCCGAGCTTATTAAACCCCCACCTGAACAACTAACCACGGTTGAGTGGTTCGATTTACTCAAAAAAGCTGATGTTTGGGCTTTGGGCTGCATTTTGTACGCTCTTCTCTCGGGCAAATTACCATTCGCCGATGCTTTCGTCCCGCGTCTACAGATGAAAATCCTCGGTGGTAACTATAAGCGCCTAAACTCAATTTCACGATCGAGGGAGCGAAGCAACACACGCTCTCGCAGTCGCTCAAGGGTAAGGGGGACAGACGAAGCTGCCGAATTAGCTGCTATGGGCGTACTAGAAATGTGCTTGACTCCAGTTGCTGATTTACGCCCGTTCATTCAAGACGTCCTTGACACTGAGTGGGTGGCTAGCGGATATGCCACACGCGCTCTTGATCCACCGGCACGCAGAATGCGGTCCAGATCCTCTTCGCGCAACAGATCGAGTAGATCAAGATCACGCTCACGGGCTAGAAACCCTATGGTTGCAACTCCTATGAGCAACCTCAGTCCAGTAAACGAGCAAGTCAATGGTGACGGTGCAGACGAAGAGCGCGAAAGAGGCAGACCTACCATCAAAAGGGCTTTAGCAAAGTAATACTACTTATTTTGATAAAAGGACAGTCGTTACGTTTTGATAATGTTGTAAAAAATGATATGTACTATAAACTATCCGTCTATTTGCTGAGGTTGGGGTGTGCGGTATTCGTATTCGTCAGTCAAAGCATTTCTATGTCGCTCTACGCTGCAAAATGCTTGACCGAGTATAAGCAGGGCTTTGGCCCGTCTATGTAGCGTGACTGTGTCGGCATCATCAAGTAACTTATCACAGACCTATTCTTCGTCAGACACATTTGCGCGCAAAAAAAAAAAAAACCTCTTACCTCGCGCACTACGGACTGAATTTCCAGTGAAGTGCCTTTAAAGAGTGCTTTGAGACCCTGTACATTGTTAGTCAAGTGAAATATACAAAAGAAGTACTTTGACCTTGTCTGCTGCATCATCCTCCAACACTCTACGCTCATCTATACCAACGCCATCTTTTTCAGCGTTTGCTAGGGCATCGAACGACTTCTTCAACTCAATAGCAGCGTTGAGTGTCGATATCGACTCACTAAACACCGCATACTGACCCTTGGCATTTTGCATCCAGCCACCCAGCCCCCATCCAGATCTCCAGTCAGGGTTGTGCGACGACAGCCATGCTCTGCTCTTATTAACATAGACTGCACCCAACGTCTGTACCATCTCCCAACCAAATGACTCGCTTGAAAGTGTTGTAGCTTCTATTTCACTGAGTGCGCGGTAAGATGCGTCAACATGAACCGATTCCAGTGCCTCTGTGTGGATTGAGAGCTGAGCGTGTGTGATATGAGTGGTGATTAGGCGGTTATATAAAGTAGCAAACACACTTTCATAATCAGATTATGTAGCAGTGTATTTACACGTTTTTCACGTTCTAGAGCTGCCTGTATGCAAATATTAACATCAAGACTTTAATGTCTCACTCTTCTTCACACTCACCACCTGCGCTTTAGCTATTTTAGTCTGCGACAAGCGTGTTTTCTCGCGCGTCTTATCCTCCACTGTAAAACTCTTGCTAGCCTCAATCTCAGCATGTTCGCGCAACGCCTCACGCATCTCTGCACCGATGGAAATTTCACCAACCAAATCTTTAAACCTGCCACCACCAAAGAAAGTCGAGAAGAGTGTTTCTGGGTCGGTAAATGATTGATTCCCGCTGATTTCTACGATGTTATAACCATTATTGTCGTATCTTTTACGAGTATCGGGATTGCTTAGAATTTGGTATGCTTCGGAAAGTGTTTTGAACTACAGCAGTAGTGTGAGATGTACTCACTCATCACTGATGTGGTCCCATTTCTCACCTTCTCTTCTGCTTGTGGATCGCCCATATTCTTATCGGGATGCGAGGTGAGTGCGTGCTTGCCTGGTGTCCCTGTGAGCATACACCACACATCACACCGACTACACCCCACTTACGATAAGCTTTCTTGATTTCGGCATCTGTTGCATCCACGTGGATATCGAGAAGTTGATAGCTGAGTAGATGGCTTAGCTGATACTACATATTAGCACCATTTACAGACAAATTCATTCATAAAATTTGGGATCTTGGCTGTTCACTCTAAACGCCTAACAGTCATGGACGATTTGACAAATAGGCCGCACAATTTGAAGCACGAAGACGACGACGACGTGCAGATTAGATCAGATATAAATCTCAAGAGGAAAGAGAGAGAGAATGACGACGACGAAGTACAAGTCGTTAGTGAGCCAGATGTATGTGAAGATACGCGAACGAAATGTGATTTTAACGCGTGACTTATAGCCAATGATGGAATCACTCAAAAAGCTGCTATCTAAATCAACCCTGTATTCCAAAATTCTCCAGAAAAAGATGTCTGATCCCTCTCAGCCGCCACCACCCAAAGAGAAAGAAGAAGTCAACGAGTCGGATACAAAGCCAGATCCGAAGCCACAGTCGAGGGCTGTTAGAGTCGACGATAAATCCATCGCTCCCCCAGCTGCTCCCTCAGTTCCCTCCCCCGAAAAGAGGAAGTCATCGCGCCCTAATGCCGGTATCAATGCTCAAATGGAGAAGAACAAAAGAGAGGCTGAAATGCGTAGAGAAGCTATCGAGGCACGCAATAAAAGGAGTCTTCGTTCACAGAGAAAGAAAGATGAGTTGGACAAAAAAACTCGTGGCACAGCACGCAAAGCTAAAGACAAACCGAGAATTGAGTTCTCAGACTCTGAGGAGGAGCAGAGCAAAGATAAAAACAATAAGAAGGAAGAAATTCTTTATAGAGACGACCTCGAGTCTGATAACGCACAATCTGATTATGATCAACAAGAAAGGGAAGACAGTGAAGACGACGAGTATGACGATAAGCCGAAGCACTCCAAGGTTGTCGTCAGTTCATCAGAGGAAGAGGAAGATGAAGAAGATAACGACCAAGATCTTCCCCATTATCCCGGTCAACCTGCTCTAGTATCTGGCACAGAGCTACGTGACTTCCAGAAAAACGGTGTCGAGTGGCTTTCTACCCTTGACTCTAACGGCTTCTCTGGTATTTTGGCCGATGAGATGGGTCTCGGTAAAACACTCCAGACTATCACTTTCTTAGCTAAACTCATGGAAGATGGCAGCAAAGGTCCCTTCCTTATCATCTGTCCTCTTAGTGTTGTCAAGAACTGGATAAACGAGTTCGCCAAGTTCACTCCAAAGTTACAACCGGTTATGTATCACGGTGACGCCAAGAAGCGCGCCGCAATCCGTCAAGAAATGAAAACGCGTGGATTCTTTAACCCTAAACTGAAGAATAAGTGGGCATTACAGCCTAGGATTATATGTACGACTTACGAGATGGCTATTCGCGATGCACGTACATTCAGGAGAATTGAATGGCGGTATATTGTCGTAGATGAGGGACACAGGCTGCGCAATATCGAGACGAAGCTTCTCAAAGAGCTAAAGACTTTTGTCAGTGCAAACAGACTGATAATCACTGGTACACCGCTTCAAAACAACCTCAAGGAACTATGGAGTCTACTCAACTTCTGCTTGCCTCAGTTGTTCGATGACTTGGAATCATTCAATACCCTCTTTGACTTCAATAGAGTGAACAGTGACGAGAATGGCAATTCCGAAGAAAGGCAAAATGAGACTGTACAGTTGATGTCTACGCTGCATGAAATCCTACAGCCATTTCTCCTGCGTCGTCTCAAGTCAGATGTAGCTAAAGGCCTTCCGCCCAAGAAGGAATATGTGCTTTATGCACCACTCACCCAGAAACAAAAGTCCGTATACGACGCCATTCTTAATCGTCAAATTAGATCAGCTATTTCTGATCTCAAGACTCACGGTGATATTGATGGCGAAGGAATGAGAAAAGAAGAAAAGGGCGACGAAGTTCTTGCCCCACGTGCATCCAAATACCGCAAGAAGCATGCGAACAATGATGACATGAAAATTGATGACTCGAAATCAGATTCAGAAAACCTAAGTCCCACTAACAACGCGAGTGACGGAAACAACAAGTCAATCTCAGCGTATTTCACTAAACCTAAATCCCAAGCTAAGACCAATGACGATGACAAAAGCAAGATTATAGTTATAGAAGACAGTGATGATGACGACATAAAATCCCAGTCAGCTAAAAAAAAGGAAAAAAACGCAGATGATACGATTAAGACTGTCGAAAATGGCAAGGATGATAAAATGGAGGATGATGATTTCGAAGCAATGTTGATAAAAGAAGCTGAAGATCATCGCCTTCGTGAGGAAGTTGCTAATGGCAAACGCAAATCTTTACAAGCAGCTCGCGACGCTGCGAAGAAGGAGATGGGTAATATGAAATTCGAGAATCTTGTCATGCAGGCGCGCAAGATATGCGCACATCCCTATATTTTCCATTGGGATGTCAATGAGGAGAATGAGAAGACTGTGGGGAGAGATCTAGTCAATGCGTCTGGTAAAATGATGCTTTGTATGCGTTTATTGGAGGAGTTGAAGTCTAGAGGACACAAGACACTTATATTCTCTCAATTTGTCACTTTGCTAGATATTCTTGAAGGTGAGTTAAAAAGCTTTAATTGAACATCGCTTCTCACTCTCCGCAGACTACCTCGTCGATGGACTCGGCTGGAACATTTGTAGATTAGACGGTAGCACATCACAAGAGGAGCGCGAGTTGCAAATTGATCTCTTTAACAATCAAAGTGACTATGATCCAGACGCACCAAAGGTCTTTTTACTGTCAACAAGAGCTGGTGGGCTAGGTATTAACCTTGTCGGTGCGGACTCGATCATTTTCTACGACAGCGACTGGAATCCTCAAGTAGACATCCAGGCTATGGACAGAGTACACAGGATAGGGCAAACAAAACCAGTTCTGATTTTCAGATTAGTGACTAAGAATTCTGTCGAACAGAAGATGATGACGACTGCCAAAGGGAAACGCAAACTTGAGTCGATGGTCATCTCACAAGGTCATTATAAGCAAGACAATAGTGGAAAGAAGGTCAATACAACGCACGAACGCTTAACTAAAGCCTTGGACGAGCTTGATATTACTAATGTTAGGACAGCTACTGATGACGAGAAGCTTATCAGTGATGAAGAGATGAATCAGCTACTGGATAGGTCTGATGAAGCTATGAAGAGAGAACAGGGATGGACGCACGGTAAAGGTGCCAGTGATATTGCTCAAGTTATGGGCTTAGCGAATGAATCAAATGGCGATGACAACATTAAGATGAATGACTTGGATGATCAGTCAGCGCAAGAAAGCTCAAACTTACCATCCAATGTGGCTTCAGCTGAGCCATCGAGAGCTGTCTCAGAAAACACAGAATCCCATAAATAATATTAATTTATTGCTTTATAATACATTATTATCTGTACAAAATCACTGTCTCTTAAATTGATTGAGTCTTCCCCTCAAGTCGCTGATTTGAGTATTTTGAGAGTTCTGCTGTCGTTGTGAAGACCTGCGCGAGTTAGGATCTCTACTATCCGTAGTACCAGACGCTGATCCTGATTGATGGCTTTGAGATTGAGGTTGAGAATGAGGCTGTGAAGCGTGTCTCCTAGGAGTAAACGCTTTGTTTTTACTCAAAAGGCTCGGTTGTCTCTTTTGTGGTGTACCCGATATTGGCTCGGACTTTTTGCGACTTCTGGTCGCTGGTGACGCCTCTGCTTGACTTGGATTTGGGTTTTTACGAGGCTGATGCTCTTCATCATCATCGTCTCTAAGTCTCTTCTTAGCGTTGGCACGTGGCGATGCACTACCTTTAGAGGCTTCGCTTGATTTCTTTTGAGTCATTTGTGTAGTATACGTGCTCTGAGTGCTTTGTGTTGCATGTCTCGTTCTAGATACTATTTCAGAAGACGTTGAAACCTTGGCATCGTCATCTTTCTTCGAAGAGCCAGATTGGGAACCTGGTTTTGGATGCTCCTTGATAGCAGCTTTGAGACGGTCGACCTGGCTATTGAGTCTCTTAACTGTCTTCTCAAGCTCAAGACACTTATCTTCAGCTTCTTCCGTCATCTGCTGAGCTGACTCCAAGCCTGACTCTAGCTGCTGTATGCGTTCGCGAGCCTCTTCAAGTTCTTCACTGTTTGAGCTGTCAGAGGATATTTAGAACGTCGTGAAATAGTACTCACGCATCAGCTGTCGCTGATCCTGATCCCCCATTTTGGACCTTATTTAGCAGCTCCTCCTTTTCTGATTCCAAGGTAGCTAAACCATTACTTGCCACAACCAACTCTTCTTCCTTGCTTGAAATAATAACCTTGTACTCATCAACCTTTGCATTACTAGCTGACACGGAAGTGATAGCTTCATCACGCTGTTGTGTTAGTGCTCCGATTTCAGCTTCCAATTTGCCAATATCCTCAATAGCAGCTGATTGTGTGGACAGTGCGTCATTAAGGGTGAAAATTTCAGCTTCCCTTTCTGTGACAAGATTAACATTCTCGTTGAGTTGCTTTTCAACTTGCTTCAGTTGCTCAATCACCTCGCTGTAGCGACTGCTAGTCTCCTCAGCTTCACGAAGTAACGTCTGATCAGTCTCAACCTTTGCTAAGAGTTCATCAAGTTTAAGACGCTTTGATTCCATTTCATCTTCTTTCGATTTGATGACTTGTTCAAGCTGTGTCCTCAGCTGACTATCTTCCTCGAGTTTCACGTTGAGGGTTGTGATTTGTTCATTCAACATACTTCTCTCATTTTTCGCACTTTTGAGGAGTGTGTCGTATTCAACTGAAATTGCGATTAGTAAATTGCAAATAGCAAAGCCAGACACAACAAACTCACCTCTGCTCTCCTCAATCAACTTTGTCGAGCTATCAAGCTGCTGAGTAAACTGTTCACGCTCCTCTTGCAACGCCTTGAGCTCCTCACTAATCACCTTATGCTCCTCTCTGAGTTCTTCGTAGGCTTCGCTATCAACCTCATTGCGTCCTTCTTCAACACTCCTCAACTTTTTCTCTAAGTCCTCAACTGATCTCGTCAACTTACTTGACTGTTCATGAGAAGAAAGTAGTAATTGCTTTTGATGCTCCACTTCACCATCATGTGTGTCGATCAATCGGTTAAGTTCCTCCTGCTTATGTTCGTACTCGCGTGTAATCTTCTCTAGCAAAGTAGTAATCTCTTCGAGTTTGATATTATCACTAATACGATCTTGACGGAGAACTTCCAACTCGGTTTCGATGTTAGCTGCAACTCGCTTCTCATTTTCCGTTTCAGAGTCTTTTTGAGATTTATAGCCGTCAAATTCATGTGATAGTGTGGCGTGGTCGTTCTTTGCAATAGTGAGTTGCTGCTGGAGTTCAGCGATGCGTTCGGAGTGGTCGTGGGTAATAGTAGACAACTCAGCTTCGACTTCCTTGACACGCTCGGAGCGAGTGTCTGTCATCGAATCGAGTTGCTGGTGGAGTTGAGCGATATTTTCATCGTAAGTGTGCTTTGCAGCAGCCAGCTCAGTTTCTACTTCCCTGACACGATCGGTTTCATTAGAGTGAGTGTCCGCCACAGAAGCGAGTTGCAGCTCAAGACCAGCAACACGCACAGCATGTTCCTCAGCCATCTCCTCAGCCTTGTTTTGCAGATCAGTTATAAGTTCAGAAGCCACTCTGTGCTCCTTCTTAGTGGCGAAAATGACCTGCGCCATAGCGTGCAATTTAGATTCGTGCATCTCGTGGGTAATGTACTCGGCCTGCAGTGCGTGGAGCTGCTTCTCCTGCTTCTCCTCATTCTCCTGATCAGCTTTTTTGAATTCTTCGTAGAGTATGCGGATACGCTTCTCGCTTTCATTCACAGCTTCATTTAGTTTCTCGTCACGTTCAGCTATGGCTTCACGTAGCTGGCGCTCTAGCTGCATAATACGACCACGTAGCTCGTCATGCGTTGGTTGACGCTCAGCGAATAGCTGAGCGATAGTCGCGTCCGTTGAATGATCAGCGATACTGCCATCACGATGGTTTTCACTCCGATTGAGAACTTCATCTGCCATTACAGATTCATCGAAATAGCCTCGGCTCTCATTCGACATGCTTCCTTCTGCGGCCTGGCCCATGCTCAATCCGATTCCAGTAGCGAATAGGGAATTGTTGATAGTGTTGTTGGATGTCGGCTCATCTTCACTGCTACTGCCAATATCAACCACTTCTCCACTGAAGCTTTGCGACGGTTGCTGGTTGCGTTGCTCTATACCCTCTCTAAAGAGATTGTTGAGTGTGTCATTGCCACCAACTGAAGATCTCATGCTTTGTTCCCTAGTTTGGTTTGCACTCTGCTCAAACAAGTTTCTGAGGGTTGAATTGCCGAGAGTCGAATTACCAAGAGTCGTGTCACCACCAGCTGACATGTTTTGGAGGTGTGCCACATTCTCCAAACTCTCGTTCAGCTTGGTTTCAAGATGGTGTACTTTCTCATCCGCCTTGTGGACTTGATCGACAAGCTCTCGTATACGCTCCTCATACTGTATCTCCATGGTGTGATACTCCTCTTTGTTCTTAGCGTCATCGACCATCACTTCACCTAAACTTTCATCATCGAGGTTCTTTTTCTGCATTTGGATCAATTTCTCGTCAAATTTCTTGCACGTCTCATCGAGTTGGCGCTGCTTCTCTGAGTTGAGTTTCTCTATATCCGCAGCGTGTTGAGCTTTGAGTTCCAAAAGTACCTGCTCTTTTCCAGCCAAATGCTCAACAAATTCATTCTTCTCGCTGCCAAGCCTCCTAACATTGGCTTTGAGGTCGGAGATAATACCATCGTGATGATCTTCATGGATTTGTATCGCAGCCTCCACTTGACGATTGCGATCTTGGCTGCTATCTTGATGAGATTGCTTAACTTTGGACAATTCGATAGCATGCTCATTGCGCAAATTCTTTATCTCCTCTGAATGTTTCAGGCGGGTTTGGTTGAAGTTTTCTCTGATCGTATTGGACATGTCGGTCAGCTGTGACAATCTACTATCTGTGAATTTCGCTCTTTCATGTTCGCTTTCGAGAGCAGCGTTGAATTTACTATCAATCTCATCTATTCTAGCCTCATATGCCATGCGATCCTTATCAAACTCAACTGTAATTGACTGAACGCGATCTTGTGCAATACCATAGTTTACTTCAGCACTTTGCAATTTCTCGCGAAAATCATTTAGACGATCCTGCAATTTCTCAACAATCCCAACTGCTCCCTCCTGTAATGTGAGATGATGCTCTTCCCAATCTTGCAAATCCTCTTTAAATTCCTGTGCTTCTTCTTGGGATGTTTTCAGAGCAGTCTCTAACTCTACAATTCTCTCTCGATGTCCGGAATATGAATCTTGAAGTGCTTTGTATTGAGCAGTAGCAGCATCAATCTTGATAAGATTTTGCGTATCAGTCTGCTCCATGTCCGTTATTTGTACCTTGGCTTGACTGAGAGATCTCTCGAGTGATTTCGTGGTCTCATTCGACTCATGTCTTGTTTGCTCAAGTTGGACGGCGATTTTCTTCATTTGTTCTTCGTACTCGTGGCACGTGATTCTGGAGTTTTTCAGTTCCTCAGTCAACTCGTTTCGCGTGTGTACCAAACTAGAAAGCTCTGTTTCATGCTTGTCCAAGTCCTTTTGATGAACTTGTTGTGAGAACTTTAATTCAGTCTCTGAAAAATGTGCTCTACCGAGGTTTTCATCGCGATCAGCTCTCAATCTGTGAATCATAGCCATCAGACGAGAAATTTCGGCGAGAAGTTTAGAATTTGAAGACATATTAAGGGCAGATTTAGACACTGGGGTGGACAAAGCATCTTCCAACTCGGATATAGACATTTCGTCGTCTTTATTTTGTTGATGAGATGCGTTACTTTGGCTAGTTCTTGACTGCTCTTGAATAAGTTGGAGTTGCAACTGCCTTACCTCATTTTGTGCGCTCTCCAAAGCGACTGTCTTTTTATCTAACTCACCTTGAATGCTATCCGATTGAGCAAGGAGAGATTCAAGATTCTTTTGCGCCTCATGACCATCCTGAGCTTCTTCTCGCAACTGCTCAATTTCGCGCTTAGAGGAGCGTGTTAAGGCCATAAGCTGATTCTGAGCCATATTCAAGTCTTGTTGAGATTTAGATAGTTTCTCATTAAGACTTTCTATTTGAGAATTGAGAATTTCCTTGATTGATACCGAATCGCGTCTGTTAGATGAGGTGTTTTGATGTGAGGATAATTGCATAACGTTGTCGTCAATCTCCTCGCGTAGTTTCTTGTTAAGAGATTCTGAAGCCATTAGCTGGTTTTGAATCTCAATCATCTTCTCAGATAACCGCGTCTGTTATGTTGATTAGTGAGGTGGTTGTAGAATAAGCGAGAGTAGCTACCTTGTCTGTTGTGGCGTCTTTGAGATTGGAATTTGCACTATCCAAGCGAGACTCTAGTAATTTAATAGCGTCATGATTAGAATGAGACGAATTGAGACGTTTCTCAAGGCTGCTCTCTGAAGACTGGAGGCCTCTGAGTTTAGCGTCTGAAGATTCCATGGTAGTTTGACAGTTAGCCAGCTGTAATTTGAGTTTCTTTATTTCATCTGTGTGCTTGATGGAGTCATTCTCGAGTTTGTTAGCGCGTTCAGATTCTCTAGAGGACTGTGGTGGGTGAGTGGATAGGAAACGCCTCAAGATAACAACCCACGCGATAAAGGGCGTCCTTGTAGTTGATTGACAGGTCGTTGTAGTCGTTATTAGCCATGAACAGCTTGTTCTCGTAAGAGCGTATATCATCGTCTGGAGATGGATAAAGATGGATATAAGATTACATCAACAACAGCATCACCAAACCCACCTTTACTAGTAAGCTGCCGTTGTAGCTTCTGGGTCTTGTCGTCGTCGTGTTGTGCAGACGACATGGAGTTGATGGTGGTATCGGATCAACGGAAGACTTTTATAGATTTTTGGTTATAATTTAATAATTTAGTCTCTAGAATGCAAACATCCATCATCCTACAAATATCGATAGCGATATCCGTGATCCTGGGTGTGTGTGCGGTGTTTAGATGGAACTTAATTGAAGTAATTTAAACAGCCACTGTAATCTACTTCATATCCTCTACAAGTAAAAAACAAAGAGTTTTACTCGTTGGTCCAACTGCCAGTGGTAAAACGTCGATTGGATTGAATAAATTATCAAAAACCAAGAATTCGGTTAGAACTTCGGCTGCAATTAACTTTATAAGCCTTGAGACGACAGTGTTGGTTGATATCCCTGGACACGAGCGTGTTTGTTTTGATTACTTGAGACAGCAGCTTACTCAGGGCTGTGATAGAGTGTTATACTGTATAGATCATAAGCAAATACAGCACTCTGTCTCTCACTTCAATTCATTCCTTGGTGTACTCGAACAATACAAGAAACCAGTAGAATACATCATCCTACTAACCAAGGTTGACAAGGTCGACAAGGCAGAATCACTCACAATCCAGCGCGCAAAGAATGCCCTCGAGTTTGAGCTCAACAAGATGCGCAAATCAAGTGTAGACAGCGCAAAAACCACATCACTAGCCAACGTAACCATTCTCACTTCGAATCATCACAACTTATCACGCTACATAGAATAAATGTGTCGGTTCTATAGTAATTGCATTGTTTCTGACTTTTATATCCTCTCGTAAACTAAAACATAAACATTCTGGTCATCATTTTTGAAGCTGTACTGGTGTTAATTCGGTTAGATCACCTTCAGCAACTACTCACCTCTCTTGTAAGAACTCCTCTTCCGTTTTCTCCCGTATTGTCTCATCACTAGCCCAATACCACTGCAGGTCATCACGATTACCTTCCTCATCTGTGTTTTCATCCTTATCCACATCTCTTCTCTCTCTACTCGCGAATGAAGTATAATGACCACTAATCATAGTGCGACCACAGTGATTAACAGTCGAGCGCAGTCTATACCTAGTCGAGTTAACCGGGTAAGCAAGTTCAGCGAGTCGTTTGAAGTCTTCTGTGGTGGTAGGATCGATGTCGTCGGGGAGGTTTGACTGTGATTGTGATTGTGACTGAGACTGGCTTGTCTGTTTTGGCCTTTCTGGTGCAATGTAGGCGCCGATATCGAGGAGAGTAGGAAAAGTGATATTATCGAAGATCTTACTCAGAGCGAAACCACCCACACTACCAAAGCGCTTCAAATGCAATACCAGCACTGGTGGAGCGATGGCGATGAGTGATCTACGCAATGCTTTCGTACCAACCACTTGCTTTTGGCGGGGGATATAAGCGACTGTGTCACCGTAGAAAGCTCGCCAATCCTTTTCGTCGATTTCTTCCTCGTCCTCGTCGTCAGCGTCGACGTCGTTATCTTCATTTTCCGCCTCGCTTTCTTCAACTCTCTCTTTGTCACTCTCACTCTCATTCTCATTCTTATACTCCTTTTCTTGGTCATCCAGCCTCTCGCCTTCGTGTAGAGGCGCCATTCCGAGAGCAGCCGGTCTGCCCTTGTCTGGGGAAGCCGATAAGCTAGCGCTGCCATTCCTTCCGTTCCTGCTCCTGCTCCTGCTACCACTTCTGCCGATTCCCCCACTCCTACTCCTACTTTTCGAATCCTTGTACCGTCTAATCATCTCGACATGCACCTCATTTTGCATCTTCCAGCACCCGTGGCAATGAAATTCATTCTCATTTTGGAGTGTTTCGATACCTGCATATCTCTCAAAGGCCTCTTCAATGCCGCTCTTTGGTGTGGCGGATGAGCTATGTGAGGTGGTAGAGGTGGTAGTGCCATTTGTAGGGCCATTTGACATGGGTTCACTCTCACTCTCGCCATTGACAGTAGCATTGGCATTCCCACTGCCATCTTTGGTAGTATCACTACTGGGTTTTGGGGGCGCTTGGCGTAGCGCTGCCAGCACCCCGTTCTGCGCATTCGATCCATTCACCGTTGGGCCATCTTTGAAGCCGCTATTTTTACTGCTATTGTTACTTTTATCTTTGTCGCTCGGCGACGCGTTTGCATTCCCATTCGCACCCGCACCCCCACTCGCCATCTCGCTCCCCAATTCGGTCATACTGAGACTGTGCGGTGTGGGGGTAGAGCTGGGAGTGGAGAGGTCACCGAAGAGTTTCTGGGTGTAAATTTTATCCTCAATGGTGCGCCTGCTCCTGCGTGTCGTATCTTCCTCACTAGCACCAGCATTAGCGGCAGTAGGAGAAGACTGAAAGGCTTCTTCACCCCCACTACCACCTCTGCTAATCCTCTTGCTGACTCGCCGACCGAGGCTACTACTGCTGCTGCTGGGAGGTGGAGCGAGTTGAGAGGGCGACGAGCCCATCTGCGGACTGCTGGATGGGGAAGGGGGCGGGAAGGGAGCTAGTCCAGATGCCCTTCTGATGCTGCTCTTGGGTGTGCTGCTACTGCCCAGAGAGAAACTGTTCCTGAAGGAGAAACGCTTCGATTTGGTTGGTTGTGGTTGTGACTGTGTGTTTGTTTGCTCTCGCTCACTTTCACCCCCCTCCTCATTATCATTCTCCTCCGTATCACTCAACACTACATCTTCCACAGTCAGCTCATCCTTACGCGCATTAACGCCCTCTTTGTTACTGCCGAGCAAGTTTTCGCGTATAGACTGCCTAAATCCTCTCCTTTTGGGAGCCTTCTCATGCTGATCCTGCAAAGCGAGAGAGATGTCCAGAAAAGGTTCGTAGACGTGATAGATTTGCTTGCAACTTGCACATATAATCACATTCACAACCATACCCTCGCACAGGCGATCGACAAAGGTGGTAGGGGTGAGTGATTGATAGTGGTGAGGTTGCAATTTCTTCTGCTTGCGGTTCAAAACCTGTTTGAGGTGGGGGTTGAGGGAGTAAATCAGGTCGAGCTCTTCCATGCGCATAGCATCAAACAGCTGGCGAAGGAATTCATGGGAGTCTTGCTGGCCGTAGTCGTTGTATTGGGAGTACTTAGATGCCATTGCTTTGAGCATTTCTATTGGGATTATTGGGGATTTGGTGGATTTCCAAGCATCCCTTAGTGTATTTAGAAAGTGGCAAGTTAGTTTGAGTTGCTCGTTGTAGCCTTCCTCTAGCCAGACTCGGAGTGCGGGGGAGTCAAGTAGATCAAAACCCGATGACGCCGGTACCTCCGATAGAGCGATATCTCTCAATAAATTCAACGAATAGATAGATTGCAGGAGTGAATTAATGAAGCAGCTAGATAGAGTGGCTGTGAGAAGTGTGTCCAATTACAAATCCAAACCCACGTATTAGTCCTGTGTGTTGTTAGAGAAACTAGATATTAATTAAACAGCCCACTCACAAATTACGCATTCCAATTGGTTTATCCATTTTTTATTTTATTTTTAAATTCCACGTTGGTCGTCCGTCTTATAGGTCATCATTATCACCTCATCATTCAACCCCTGGTGTTCCTAGATAATGCAGTTAAATCTAATTTTTATTTTTTTATTTTTTGGTTTTATAGGGGCGACTGGGAGTAGTACAGAGAACACCACAGAAAGTACCACAGAGAACACCATAGAAAGTACCACAGATACCATCCACTGGTCGTGCACTCAACGTAACTCGTAAGCTATCCACTCCAATCCAGTTGCACGTTCCCCTCACTTCCTACAGCTGCGAACCATGTCCACCAGATAACATTAACGACGCTGTATGCCAACCATTTGGTAATAGACAGCTACTGCGATGTAAAGATGTCAATGATATGGAGCACCCCGATAACCACCTTCTTACTTGGCACGCGTGTGGTAGAATTAAACACACTGAAAAGATTGGCTTCTTACACTTTATTTCGCTCAACCTAGCTCTCACCGTCACCGCAACCGTTTTCGTCATTATTCGCAGTAATCATCTTGCCAACGCGCAATACAACACTCTAGCTAAAACTATTGGTCTCCCTGACTCCAACCTCAAAAGCCCTGATGGTCCAATCGCTGCTGCAGGCCGTTTACTTAAATTCTTAAGAACTTGATGCATTATTCACATTCCTAATCTTTCAGCCAGTGTTTTTGTATGTACAGTTTGACCTGGTTGCTTTGATTGAACTGCCTTTCTTCGAGCACTCTGTGTACTTTGATTACTCTGTGTACCCTGTGTGCTCAATCCACCCCCTACACTCATCCTATCTAGTAGAGATTGACCCGATTGACCCGATTGAACACCCGTGTTTTCCTTCTTTTTCGCCTTTGGTTGCATCTGCGTCCGTTCTAGGATCGATAAAACAGGTTTAGCTGGTGGGTTCTCCTTCCTCTGCCTAGGTTTAGACTGTTTGGATTGAATCTTTGGGTTGGTATCTTTGGATTTACGTGGTGATGGTGTTGGTGCGATACTATCAGCGTACATTTTTCTATCTGAAAACAACGAGTGGACATCCTCCAACGCCGTCTTTTCCACAAGGTTCACAACAAGCACCTTTCCATCTGCGTGCAATCCATCGAAAGCTTTAAGAGCACTTTGAGCATCTACCAGCCTCTCGAAAAATATATTCATTGCCAAGCTATCATCGGAGCTGTTGACTGGGTTTGGTGAGGTGTGAAGTATGTTACCATAAGGTGATAATGCCACTTTTACATCCTCTTGAGACGTTCCCGGTGCAAGATTGTTGATAATTATTTGAGTTGGTTGGTGAGAAGAGCCACGAATGTTGATTGACTGTTGTTTCTTCTCATTCTTCTTCTGGCGTGTTGCTAAACCAGAAATTCTAGAACCCAGTGGAGTATGTGTTGTGTCTGTTGTATTCCCCGCCTGTTTATTAAACAAACTCGGATTTAACATCCTAGCGCCTAGTTCACCACCAATAGATTTAATATAGAGATCATTTCCCCATTTACCACTATCGCTCGGGTTTAGTGGACGCTGCCTTGTATTGTAAGGTTTAGCAGATAATCTTTTATTCTTTGTTGATTTATCTGGACGCGTTAGAAGTGAGTCGATGGATTCAGAGGACATGGTGGTGGTGATAAATAAAAGAATACAACTTAAGTTCAAATATAATAATCAGGTTTACGCGCATTAATCCCATAATCACTCAAAGCTGCCGTGAGATCATCTGCTGTCAACACAGTCTTTGATTTTGATGTCCCCGTCGGTCTACCTCTTCCACCCGGTCCTGCACTTGTACGAATTCTTGCATACTGATACGCGTCATTAGAGATATCGCTTATAAACTTCTGCGATGCCAGACTGAATAACCTCTTTAATCTCTCATCGTTACACTCGAATCCCGCCTTATTGAGGTAATGGTCAACCACTTGATCTGGTATTAAAGGCTCATTTGCACCTAATAAATTCATAAATTCCGTCATTTTTTTATCATGCGCTGTTTGTGCTTCTGTTTTTTTATTTTCTAAGTTATTGCTTGAGCTCATGACGGTTGTGATTAAAGAGGGGTTTCGGTGTGATCGACGAGATGCGAGGGATATTGAAGAGATGAATGGTACAGCCTAGGTTAGAGCTACTCAATTACACTATAAATGCTTTAAAATTTGATTTTGACATTCACACTGGGCTATCGACGTCTCAGGTTAGGTCTAGACCATCAGATAACACGCCCCTTTGTTGACAACGTCCATCTTCTCAACAATAACAACAGCTTTTTCGTCTTTCTTTTTAACTCCCATCTTCTTAAAATAAAATCATTTTAATGGATGGATGAAATTACACGCCCGAGGAAAGTACAATTCTCTCAATCAACCGATGGCGGTGATAGCAATCAAGGATCTTACAGTTTAGATCCTAGATTTGACGATTACCATTTGGATTCAGATTCGCAAGGTTTACAGATACAGCTCATCAAAAACTCGTTGAACAGGTCTCACTCACGGCCTTCAAGTGTTTCATCTGCAGATACTTCCAACTCGCACGAAACTAAATTTCTGCCTCATGAATCCACTTCGGCAACCACAGAAACTCCAGCGTCTTCTAATCCTTCAACCCCCACTCAGGAATACGCAGTGCCGATCCCTTTCGGTGAAATTGATGGTCTTCCACAACCCCCGTCTTCTAAGAAAGGCTCCTTCGACTACTATACAAAGAAAGCTAGAAAATTAGTCGGGAAAAAGTCAGAAAGCAGTCATAACAAGAAAGACAAAAAATTCATCACAAACAAACATGATCCTGAATCTGGCGACATTTCTCACTCCCATGATGACCCTTTCAGCTTAGACTACAAGCCATCCAAATCTAGAGGTGTTCTCTCCACCCTACTCACCCTCCAAGAACAAAGAGAACATCATAAGGCTAAAAAGAAGGCTAAAAAGCAAGCAAAGAAGGATCGACGCGCTAGAAGTGTCTCTACGTCTTCTTCTTCTTCTGCAGGTACTGTCTTGAGTAACTCAGGTGCTGCAGATCAACTCCCTGAAAAACCACCTCCTACTTCAAAACCTCAATTGCCAAGAAGCCATTCTGAAACAAATCTCGCTGATGTTGCTAATGGTGGTCTCTCTTCCGCTCAGGAAGAGGATAAAACTTACAGACAATACAAACCTTCTGCTTTCCGCATCCCTGATCAATTAAGATTGCGTCCTGAGAAATACAGACCCAAAACTGCTAGATCTTCCGCAGGTGTTTTTGGTGCGCTTGTCAGCTCAGGTCAGAATTTATCTGGCTTCGTCAGCCCCCATTCTACAGCGATTACGCCGAATCTCAAACACAAAGGGTATAGACTGCAGCGATACTCGCTCGACCCCACATTAGACATCAAGGAGTTCACCAAGGATAATCAGGAGGCTGAAAAGGCTGAGTCGTTAGATATGAAGCACTCACGCTCGTCGTCGACTGATTTGGAATCACTCGCTCCATCGTCCCCACCGCTGCACACCGCTCAGAAGAAGAGCACGCCCAAGTCGATGCTCAAAGATCAATTTAACAATATGGCAAGTGGATTCAAGAACCCGAAGTCACCTGCGACAACACCCGACGAGAAGATGTCCCAGAGTTCATCCATCGACTACTTCAGCCTGCCACTCAAGGAGCGAGAGAAGGAGAAGGAGAAGAGTGAGGAGCGGGAGCTTAAAGAGCGCAAGAAGAACCTCGCTAAGCGTAAGAAGGAAGAGCTATACATTACTATGCATGTCGCTACAGTCCTCCATCGACAAGAATTCCTACTCAAGCTCAGTCGCGCGCTAATGATGTTCGGTGCTCCATCCCATCGTCTCGAGGCGCAAATACAAGCTACAGCGCGCGTACTCGACATACCCCTCCAAGTCGTCTATCTGCCTGGACTTATGTTGTTCAGTTTCGGTGATGTAGAATCACACACATCGGAAACCAAATTCTTGAAACAGTCAGCTACACTTGACCTGCGCAAGTTGCTCGTCACCCACCAGCTCTATTGGCGCGTAACGCATGACGAAATGTCGGTCAGCGATGCGTCTAAAGAGTTAGATGTGTTGATGACACAGAAGGACAATTTCAACGCACTGTCTAATATAGTCATCGCAGGTTTCTGCTCAGCTTTCATCACTCCATTTGCCTTCCACGGCTCTCTCATCGACGCTTGTCTCGCTGCTCCACTCGGCATGCTTCTCGTAGCTGTTCAGCAGATAGCAGTAAAGAACGATCTGTTCACTAACATATTCGAGATCTCAATGGCAGCTGTAAACTCTTTCCTTGCTGCGTCGTTAGCAGAGACTAACAAAGCATGCTACTCAGCTGTAGCTTCCGGATCGGTTGTGTTGATCTTGCCTGGATATATTATTCTCTGCGGCGCGCTGGAGATGTCAGCGCGGAACATTATAGCAGGCAGTGTGAGAATGTTCTACGCTATCATCTTTTCGTCTTTCCTCGGCGTCGGCATGTCGATTGGATATCAGTTTTTCAGACTAGTGACAAACCAGTGGGACAACGATGACAACAGCGCAGGTAGCGATTACCGCTGTGCATCTGTACATACGCCGGATGCCCCCTTTTACCAGAAAAGCATAGATCCTTATTGGTACATTCTCTGCGTACCTATTTACGCCATTTTCATCAGTTTGCGCAATAAGGCTAGCATCAAGAGCAGGGAGCTACCTCTGATGGTAATAATTGCAATTTGTGGCTTCACTGTTAATTACTTTGTCAGACAGCGTATCTCACGCATTGATCTGTCTAGCGCTGTCGGCAGTTTCACTGTCGGATTGATTGGTAATCTTTGGGGCAAATTCACTACTTCCAGACCGGCATTTACTATGACTGCCAGCGGTATCATGTTACTCCTCCCAACTGGTTTATCTGATGGCGGTATTTTGTCAGTTGCTACGACTTCTACTTCTAACAAGTGGGTTAACTGGCTTTTAATCGCTCACTCACTCACTCACACTTTTTTTTTCAGCTCTCTTGGACTCGGAACTAGTAGCAGCCTCATTCAAGCTGCTATCGGCCTCACTGTCGGCCTTTTCGCAGCCGCCGTTGTTGCTCATCCTTTTGGTGGTACACGTAGGAGACGTGCTGCCATCTTTTCCTTCTAGGATATTTTACGGAAAGTGTCATACGAAGGACTCAAAAGTCTCACTTTTCGATGTCGCTCACTTTGTGCTACAGGATTAGCACAAATTATGTATTTTCTTCTGGCCTTCTCACGTTTACTCACATCACTTGACGTTTTTTTACTGGATCACGACTTTAAGCTTCTCGCTCGCACGACAAACATATTACAATTATTGACTTGTACTTATTCATCAACATTACGGAATTTTTTATGAAAAGAGATAGTAATAGATAGTGTGTATGGTCTAGTGAACAGATAGCAATAGATAACTCCCCCAAACGACTCTGGGCTAGTGAACAGCTTCGAGTATTCGCCGAGCTATACTCTCAAACACCTTGTATGTCGGTATACTTTGGTAGCGCTCTATGAGAGTTGTAGAGATAGCTTCCTGATCCTGCACAGAGAGTGTAATGCCGCCCTGCTTGGCCTGCTCCTCCTTCTTCATCTGCAAAATTTTGATATCATCGAGCAGCTTAACGAGGAGGGGATCTATGGGAACTTTACCGAGGAATAGGATATGTTCTCTCTTCGCGAGTGATTCTCCGCCGCCCGTAGAAAAGACGTTAGTGCAATCAGCGCAATGGGGACAAGCGTAGCCAGACATGTTCTCTATGAGACCGAGGATGGGTATGCCGACAGTCCTTGCAAAAGTAATTTCCTTCTGGACGTCGCTCAACGCTACCGCTTGGGGGGTTGTGACGATGACGGCATGTATCCTATCGGCGAGAGGAGCGAGATGTTCAGTGAGGGCTATATGTTCATCGGATGTGCCTGGAGGAGTATCGATGATGAGAGTGTCGCAATCCCACTTGACATCAGCGAGGAACTGGCGAATCATTGCGCTCTTCTTTGGCCCACGCCACACAACGGCATCGTTCTTGCTCTTGAGGAGGAAAGCTATTGACATTACAGACAGCTTTCCAGCGCGGTCGGCATGTACAGGCACCCAACCCTGACCGTGGAGACCCATGTGGACAGAGTGACCATCGAGACCGAGCATCCGCGGGAGAGAAGGTCCCGTGAGATCGACATCTAGCAATCCCACTTTTGCATTGGTTGAAGTCGTCGCTGATAACGCCAACTGGGTGGCTACCGATGATTTACCCACCCCGCCTTTACCACTAAGGACGAGTATTATAGACTTAACATTCTGGAGACGCTTAACCACTGGACTGTCTAGATCCATTATAATTTATTTGTCGGTCGATGTCGCTGCGAACGTTATCAACAAACGATCGAATAAAATGGAATTGAAGAAAATCTCAAATGGTCGGTGGTAGACACAAAGCAGACGCAGCACACACTTACCAACCTCACTACTCCAGGCAGAACGATGCCTTCTATTGGTTTCGGGCTGTATCAGCTATCGCGGGAGGCGACACAGCGAGTGACGACGCGGGCTGTGGAGCGCGGCTGGAGACACTTCGATGGAGCGCGCGTGTATAGAAATGAGCGAGAGCTAGGCGAGACTATTGCGAACCTCCCCCACAATCACCGTCGCGAAGACCTCTTCCTTACTTCGAAGCTGGACAAAGCAGGTACATCGACCTCGGCGCTGGCTGACGTGCGCAAGAGCATCCGATATCACAAGACAACGTATCTTGACCTGATGCTGATCCACTCTGCCACTCCAGGCTACCTCAACCGCATCGAGGCGTGGAAACAGCTCTGCGAAGCGTACAACACGGGTCTGTGCAGAAGTATAGGCGTGTCTAATTACGGCATTAAGCATTTGGAGGAACTAAGAAAACTGTGCGAGGAAAATGAAGGCGTGGTCATGCCCCACGTCAATCAGATTCAACTTCATCCTTGGCTTCAGAACAGGGATATCGTCGCTTACTGCAAATCTCACGGAATCGTAGTTCAGGCTTTCTCCCCGCTCGCGCGTGCCTCGCGTTGGCAGGACCCGACTATCGACAGTTTGGCTAAGAAACATGGCGTCACAGCTGCACAGGTGTTGATAAAGTGGGTCATTATTTTCACCACGCGCATCTTTAACGTCACTCAAGATGGTCGCTGACCCATGGTTTCGTTCCCCTCGTCAAGACTGAGAATGAGGATAGGCTGTCGGAAAATCTTCTCTCAAACGTCCATTTCAACTTGGATCAAGAGGATATGGCCGCTATTGACGCTCTCGATGACCCCAACGGTGCGTGTACTTGGAACCCCGTCAACTGCGACTAGTTGGCGAGTGTATCTATTGTGGCAATTGGCGATTACATTGGTCAAAGTATGTTATCCATTTCTGCAATTCGTCAGTCGAGGGATGGAAAACTCACTCCACCCACCTATTAATACAATCTGTTGCAATGATCCAGCTATGATAAGGATGCGCGTATTATGTATCTGCGAGTATTTGTAAGCATGTTTGGGAGAAATACCAGACGCACCCTTTATCAGCAACTACTGCTCTGCCGTGTGCAACAACAGTGTACTTGAGTACCCAATCTATCCCCACGCTCTTTTCATCTAGCTGGTGTGATTGGTTTCTGTTGAAAGCAGCAGCAAGCTCTGCGGGCGAGAGTATATCTAAGCGCAAGTCAGCAGATAATTTAAGGCTCCCACACCAACTCACCGTGGATATCTGGATGGGCTGTCAATTCTACGTCGTGCTGCTTGGCTGTTTTGACGAGCTCGCTGGGTGGCTCGCAGCAGTCAGACAAGCTAATCTGCGTAGTCTGCGGTTGCCTAGCGGTGTCTTTGATCTTGGCGATGAGCTTGTCCAGCTCGATCGGACCGAAATCGGCAACACCGAGTTGAGTGTGCGGGAATTCGGGAGTAAGTGACTGATTTGAGGAAATGAGGGGTAGTGAGCGATAGAATGACATGACGTACCTTCCAAATACGTGCAGCAGCATCCAGTCTATCGCTGCTATCACTTGTATCATCACATAGCCCGTTGAAGCTGAAAATGAGAGAATCGACGGATCCGAGCGAGGTAGTGCGATGCAAGCATTCAAAGGCATCGTTCAGCGTCTTTTCATTCCACTTGCTGTAGTCAGGATCCGTGACAAACAACTTCGCCGTGACTTCGTAGTTGGTCCTGTGCTCAGACAGAGAAGGCTCGCGACGGGGATGGCTGGGTATGTTGAGCTGCCTCTCTGAATCTGCGACGTCCGTGCTGTCGAGCGTGTCATAGAGTGCATCGAGCAGCTCGAGATTGTTGGCTGATGTAATTAAAACTTTAGCTTTCTCTGCGGGAAAAAGAAGGCCTAAACGCACATTCCTGGGTTACGGAAATTGGATTGAGATTAACGTTATCGCAGTTGATGTAAACTGTTTTCATCCTATCTGTCCTCACCGTCCCTATTCAAGGAGCTTCTTATCGAATTTCAGTGATGGCGCAATCACAGCCAGCGCAGAAATACGGACCAGATTTATCTGTGAAATTGGTAAATATGTGTATTTTGCAGTAAATTTATTATTGAAACTTTAATTCCCTTAGATTTGTCCTGAATGCCAGATACCCAATCCAAACGTCGTTGAGGAATTCAGCTCTGGTGATCTAGTATGCGGTGATTGTGGTTTAGTTCTTGGAGATAAGGTCGTCGATACGCGCTCTGAGTGGCGTACATTCGCCAACGACGAGGGTGACGATCCCTCGCGTGTCGGTGCAGCCAGCAATCCACTTCTCGACGGCGTCGATGAATTTGAGACGATGATCTCTTCTAGAGACGGCAACTCGGGTATTTCTAAGGAACTGCAAAGAGCTGCTGCGAAATCATCTCATGGTCGAAGCGAGCGCAGCTTGATGAACGCGTTCCGCGATATTTCCTCAATGGCTGATCAGATATCCCTTCCACGTTCCATCGCTGATATCGCTAAACAACTCTATAAACGTGTCGACGAAGAAAGACTGCTTCGTGGTAAATCCACCGACGCTATCATCGCTGCTTGCATTTTTATAGCTTGCAGACAGGCTGGCGTGCCTCGTACTTTCAAAGAAGTCTGGGGTCTTACACGCGTGCCTAAAAAAGTCATCGGTCAGTGCTTCAAAGTACTTGAAAGAGCTTTCGGTAGCAACTCTCCATCTATGACGCCAGGTGTTGACACTCCAACTCTCAACAATGTACAAAGTGGTCCAGAAGATCTTATGGCGAGATACTGCAACCACCTCAGTCTTCCCGTGTGGCTCCAGAGTGGTGCTGTCGATGTCGCTATTGCTGCTCGTGAACACGGTGTTTTGGCTGGTAGATCCCCTATTACTGTCGCTGCTACGTGTATTTACTTTTCCTCTGCTCTCTTTGGCTATCCAAAGTCTGCTTCGGAAATTGGTAACATCGCAGGCGTCGGCGATTCAACCATCAAATCAGCATACAAGATATTGTTCAACGAAAAACAACCCGTACTAGCATCTATACACGACAAAAGAGCAAACGTAAGGAATTTACCTGACCCATAACCGCATGTCACAACACATCCTAGGATTATTAAATATGTACAATAATTTAACTCTATGCATTATTTCTATTTAGATACTCATTGGACAAACAATTTCGAGTAGCCATATCTATGCATCGACCTACTCACTCAAGCTCATTCCGAGCTTGAGGGCATCGTTTGATGACATAACGCACCAATCAACGATATCCAACTCCCTCTTAGTAAGGTCTCCTAGGTCCATATGACTGAGGAACCACTTTAATCCATTCGCCAAGTTGGAGATTGGAGCTGCTTTCATCATGATACCGTCGATCACACTCTTGTCACCCCTCTTGCTGTCCAAGTTGAGAGTTGGTGATGATGACTGTATCGATAGGAAGAGATAGACAAAGAATTTGTTGAAGAACTCTCTAGCCTTTGGGGTGAGCGTGGGGAATATGACTGGTTTGAAGATAGACAGTGGTACTGACGACTTAGCAACCCACCAGGCTAAAGATTTAGCGAGATTGTCTATACGACTGGTGCGCACGGTCGATCCATCTCCACCAGTCGCTCCGTTTTTCAATATCTCCGATCCACCCACGCCTGCTTCACCGAGCTCTCTTAGGAAATCCCACATGACATACTGCAAAGTGATTCGAGTTGAATGCGACTGACTGAGCAAATGCGAGGCAACCATTGTGTAATAAGGATTGTAGCGTTTTTCCTTATATTCTGGTTAGCGTTGTATTGTCAGAATAATAATAAAAAAACCCACATTACCAGCACAGTGGACAATGACTCTGACAATCTCACGTTGCTGCACCTCAGATAATCCCAAGCCACCTAATCTATCACAAGCATCAATGTAATCCTCACTGCTCATGAGAATAATGAAAATACTCCGTCTCACATCAGTATTCATGCCCTGTTTCTTAGCCAGCTTGACGAGGGCATCATCGCCACCTTTATTTTTAGCAAAGTCCTCCTTTTTATCGACAAGCGGGTTACCACTCCAGGCACTACCGACAAGCCACCATTTTCCTTTCGAGTCAGCTTGTCGCAGGTCTATGAGGCTGACAGTGAGGGCTTCTGTGGTCGACACGCCCGGTCTTTTGTCGATGTTTTTTATGTATCGCTTTATTCTATCTCGGGATTCACTACCACCTTGAGCACCTGGAAGGTTTTTTATCTTGTTGTTTTTCAGGTTGTTGAGACACTCAAGCATGAATTTGAACCGTGAGCCGAGCTCTTCCTTGTTTATACTATCAACTTTATTCTGCACAGCAAGGACAATTTCCTTGAGTGATCCAGGATCATCGTGGCGCAACTGCTGACCGGCACTCCTAACTATGCGCAATACAGCATCGATCTGCGCCTCATTCAATCTGTCGGTCGATATGAGTGCGCGTATTAGATCGTATATGAGGGCATTGGAGAGACTGCCGAGATTGTAAAGCTCGGAAAGCATGCTGATGAGATTGAGATTTTGTCTAGCCCCACCTTCCGTTGAGTGGGACAATGGATTCGCGTCGAGTTTTGTAATAGTGGTTTGAGTGAGATGGGCTATAAACTCCACACCAACTAGTCGATGCAAAGCTGATATAAAACCGGCGTAGAGGATAACAAAGCTGTCGAGCATGTTATCACGTGATCCTATTGTAGAGAGCACTAGATCTACTATAGAACTTGTCACGTCATGTCTGGGTTTGGTGCGGTATAGGTCGAGGAGTTGTTGGAGGATAGATTCAATGTTTGCTTCTGAAAGTCTGTTCAACGATCCCTTGACAATTTTGTTTATCTTTTGTAGCTCTTCTGATTTTTGCACATTGACGCTTTGTGATTCTTGCAGCTTACGCTCACGGGCTGCTCTGACAGCTGGAGGGATGTATTTAGCTGGTTGGGAGGAGGGTTCGTGAGTTTGCGTCTGAGTTTGTGTGTTTGTATCGTTGATAGCTTCATCCATAGTTTCATCCAAAGCTGTGTCACCTTCTTCATCCTTGCTGCTGCCAGCATCTTCATCATCTTCCTCGCTTTCTTCACTTTCCTCACTTGCTTCACTTTCACTGGGGTCACCCTGGTTCAGATTATCATCGATCATCATCTCCTCATCATCGACTTGCTCATTATGCTCCTGCTGATCATCGAACAGACGACCCTCAATGCCATTGACATCATCGAGAAGATCGTCTAGATCATCCTTAATATCGTCAGACTTCTTATTCTTCAGTTGATATTCGAGCCAAGCGATTTCATCGTCTTCGGGGTTAGATTTAGTTTTCTTTGATTTTTTAGAAGGATCAACGAGTTGCTCAATAGCCTTTGATTTGTCTGTGTCCTTCTTACTGCTGTCGCTCTTACTGCTGTCTGCCTCCTTTATCGGCTGCTGATAAGCCTTCTCTCTTCCCTGGGTACGGGCATCATTGGGATCTAGCTGCTTCTTAACGACTGGAGGTGCGCCTTTATGTGACTGTTTCTTATTCGACCTTATTTCCTTACGAGTCTCCTTCCTTGTTCTTAATTTACGAGACGGTGTCTTCGTACCGTCTGCCGAGCGTTAGACAATCTATCAACACTAAAACCACGCAGACTGACACTTATCGTCGATCTCCGCAACGAGATTCTGCGGTAATTGAGTAGTTTTGTTTGCAAATTTACCCGATTTCGCAGATTTCCCAGATTTCGTAATGGCCATATTGGTTGAAGAGTGATGCTCAGGACACTCGGACTGTACAAGCAAGCACACACTCCGCGCACAGCACACAGAGTACCATCGCAGCCAGCCATGCCAGGACCAGTACACACAGCTATACAGGATAAGCTGCGCGGTGAGCTCCACCCGCAGAAACTGGAAGTGAGGAACGATAGCAGCCTCCACGCTCACCACCACGCTATGGTCGTTCAAGGCGGTGGCAATGGCGAGACTCGTACGTTAGATTGAATCAGATTGCAACTAAGCACATCTAACAAAACACGCTAGACTTCGCAGTGACCGCTATAAGCGAGCGCTTTAATGGAATGTTGCAGATACAAAGACATAGACTAGTCAACAGACTCCTGACTGAGGAATTTGAGAAAATGGGTCTACACGCACTCAGTCTGCGTCTATATACACAACAAGAAGCTGAGAGGATGCAGAAACAGTAATTGTAATATAAATTATACACATGCATACATATGTACACTGCTTATATGTTCCTTTGATCCTACAGTGCGCGATCAAGGCTCATCGAAGCAGTATTCTCTGTCAATCTAAGACTGAGTACGATGAGTATCAGGAGCATTGTCCACACCTTACAGCCACGTCTCGTCTATACCATCCTCCCCACACCTACCCTACACCTAGACTTAAGAGACATCTATGGAAAGGTATAACAAAGAAAATTAATATCGTCCGTCAGACGCAACTATTTTAAGTAGATTCAGTTGTTTGTAAGTTGTTGATAATATTGAATGAATATAAGTCATCATCATTATGAAATTTTGCTTGGTATTGAGACTGACTGTGATGATTGATCAATTTTAAGCTGTAGCGCGTTTGATCATCTATAAGGCATAAGTTAGTAAATTGAACAAACCATAAAAATCCACTCTCAACTCACCTCTCTTGCCCATTTCGCTGTTCTTCTAATAGATTCAGTCCCGCCTCTAGTTCTGCTCGACTTAAGCATATCAGCCACCCAAGGCTGCAGGAATAATTCCTTGGCCTCTCCTCTTGGATATGCGTCTGCAAGATCACCGAGCAATCCGACAGCTGAGCCGAGTGCTGCCTGTGTATGCTCCTGATCAGTAGCGCAGATTTGTACAAAGTTGAAAATAGATGGCAAGTATGGTAGCAGAAGATTACTCTTATCTGCAATCTTCAATCCACTCACTATACCCACATATGCCTCAAGAATGCTTTCGCGCAGCGTGGCAACATAATCGATGAGATCATAGTTGTTTGGATCCGGCATCATACTTCCAGCTTGTTGAAGTACTTGCAGTGTCACTGGAAGGTATGGCTCAAATTGTCCTCCTATCGCCATACCGATATCACCAAACGCGGAAAGGATTGGTGGCTTCACTGATCTGTGAAGTTGTGATGCTGCGAGATTCTCCAATAAAACATTCATAAAGTTGTTGCAGTATGGACTAGACGCTTCGCCTAAGGCACGGCAGATATCACCAATCAAACCAACACTAATCGAACACAGCTGGTACTCTTCATGTGATTTGAGCGCTTGGTAGAGGAATGGCATGAATGCCTCCAAGTATGGAGAGAAGTCGGTCTCTAACGCCGTAGTAATCGCACCGATCGCGAGGAAAGCATCTTCAAGTACAGTGGAGTGTTTACCTGATGATGAAATCAAACTCAACAAGATAGTCATAATCCTGTCAGCCAATGGTTTAATCTCCTTGCCGAGTCTACGAATGACTGCCGTGATTGCTGAGCAGAGATTCGATTGTAACTCATTCCAATTAGCTCTATCATCAGTACCGAGGAGTTGGTTTTGCATTGCGAGAAGTTGTTCCATACGCTCAAGTAAAGCGACAGTGACTTGACTAATAGTCTGTAAAGAATCTTGTGGAGCTTGAGCAATGAGTGTTGAGATGGCTTCGTAAGATGATGTACGTGAATTGTTATCGTTAGTAGGTCTATCACTGACTTGCATGAGTGTAGATAAAATACCATCATAGTAAGGAGAAAGAGGGGATGACTGAATGTTACCATCAGCGTCTTCAATTCCTTGTAACTGATCGGCAAGGTTCATCAACGACCAGCAACAGTTACCAATAATACGAGGGTTGTCCTGTAAACCGGCGACCAAGGCCAAAACTAATTCGTGAAGGTGAATATCAAGCTTGATGCAATCGATGAGAACATCTGAAATACGACCAAGTGTCCATGCAGTAGTATCCTTGACATGGATAGAAGGATCTCTGATCATCTCAATAAGGGTTGGAAGAGCTTGTGAGACAAGTGGAGCGAGAAGTGCTGGGCTTGGACCATCCAAGATAGAACCAAAGGCCATGACGGCAGCCTCTCTACCTTGCCAATCTGTCGAACGAATGTTGGATTCGACGAATGGGACGATATACTGAACAATATCGTCGGTGACAGTCTGAGCGAGAAGGCTGACACAGGTACCGGCAGCCATTGAGACATTCCACTCATCGTCGGTAGCATCTTCATCCTGTTGAGTGAGGAGTTTGAGAAGAACGGGAATAATTTCCGGTAAAGCGCCCTTTGCGAAATTTTTCGATTCTCTTTCGACAGGTTCATCAAATTCGGCAGCCTCGTTGGCTTCCAAAGCCAATTCGATCTCCTCATCGCAGACAGTAGACCAGAATTCGATAGCCTGGAGAGCGACGCCTTCTTCTGGGTTTTGCATTCCGAGGACTGTCAAGCCAAAGAGAGCTCTCTCCATGTAGAAGCCCATTTTGGAGTAGTAAATGTTCATAATCTTAACGAGACACTTGAAGGCGCCGATCTGAACGTCTGTGGAAGAGGACTGAGTAGCCTCGCAGACGACCTGCATAATGTAATTCCTCTCGCCCTCGCGCTCGAAGTTGTCTCTAACAAAGTCGAGTGAGTTGTTGAGGGCGTTGATAGCAGCATTTTGAACGTCAGTGGAGGGTTCCTCTTTGCGAGCGCCCTGGACAACAGCTGTAAGGATTTCATTTGAGCGAGCAGCGAGAGTGTCAGCAGGCTGAAGTGGAAGCGTAGTTAGCACATGTCATCACGTTCCAAAGACAAAACTCACAACCGACTCGCAGACAAAACCAATAGCAACGAGCGTAGTCATACGCTTAGCTTCATCGGAGGCGTCAGTGACATTGTTGAGCAGCGTCGGCACGAGCTCTGGCCACTGGTCGTGAGGCAGTTCAATCGCGGCGACAGCGCTGATGACTTGGGCAGCGGCAGCACCGATAGCTTTGGTGGAGAGAGCAGCGAGTACAATCTGCTTGATCTGGGCGCGGTGGGTGGAGTCGAGTGCGAGCCACCTCTGCGACTGATGCAGGGCTCTCGACTGATCCCGCGCGACAAGCGAATTCTTAATAGCCAAACCAGAGGCCTGGCGGATAAACGGCTGCTGGGACTCGTTGGCCAATTCATTCGAGAGCGTGTAGATGTACGAAGGGTAATCCTGGCTGGCTGCTTGTTCGAGCTGTTCCGAGGCTGTAGCCCGGGCTTGTTGCTCTAAATAATATTTATTAGTCTGTTGCCCAGCCTATTTTCAACCCACCTGGCGAGAGAGATGCAGATAACAAAGATGCTACGTCCATGCTTCGTTTCGTGGTCGTCGCTGTGAGAAGATCAAATTCGCGCGTTTTTTGGTGTGTGGCTGGGTAAAATTATCTTTGGATATAAATCACAGCGTGTGCTAATCGTAATATATTTGTGCTCCCTCCCATCCCGCTCACCGCTCAAATGTCAAAACTTGTGCTGAGTTTATATCTCTTTCGTGGAGACCGTCCGTAGAAAGAGATGAATGTGATATTCGTATTCCCCGTTGTACGTTTCCCCTGGATCTCTAGTCTCTGCTTCTTCACCGCCGACTGCCATCTCCACCGCCATCTCTATGTCGAAAGCCGTGCCCATACGCCCGCCAGACGCTGCGCCGTCACCAAGCACACCCACAACCCCCAAATCCCAAACCGCTGTCCCCATAAAAGCATCGACGCCAGCGTTTGTACCCTCAGCCGCGGCACTCGCAGCGACGCACACGACGCACACGACGCAATCCCCCACCAAGACAGCCAGTCCGTCGGGGTTTGCGGCTACAGCGCCAGTATTTATTCCCAAGACGAGTTCGCCGTACGACGAGCAAGGCGATGAGGAAGCGACAGCGCCAACAGGAGCGCAATGGGAATGGAGTGGCATGGACAGCGAGCTGAGCGGGATATACGACAATTCTACCAGCTACCCACGCCACCCACTCCAGTACCATCTCTACGTCCCTCCACCGCCATACAAGCTAATCCACAATGTAAATCTCTCCCAATTCTTCCTCCATCAGGACACACACAAGGCTATAACTGAAGCGCACGAGTCACAGCTACGTGCACCTCCACCTGGGCTGCGTCTGCCCGAGCGACTGCACGTCTACCGCGACCTCTATCCGCTAGACGAGGGTATCGGGCCAGGTGTAGGATTGGCGAGTTATCCGACGTACGTCTACCGCGCAACATCGGAGAGAGACGGTGCTCGTTACGCGCTGCGTCGCGTCGAAGGCTTTCGCCTCACATCGCAAGAGCCTTTGAGTGTAGTGGACAGATGGCGTCGATTGCGTCATCCCCATGTCGTTCCTCTCATAGAGGCATTTTCGACGCGCTCTTTCCACGACTCCTCCCTCATTCTCGTCCACGCTTACTACGCTAATGCCAAGACACTTGGCAGCATACACCAGGCCAACGCACTCAACCCGCACCCGCCACCACTCGTGGAACACACGCTGTGGGTGTATCTCGTACAGATCGTGCAGGCAGTCATGCACATACATACACAAGGACTAGCTGTGCGCTGTATCAACCCCTCACGCGTTCTCGTCACGGGTAAGAATCGTCTGCGGTTGAATTGTGTTGGTGCGATGGACGTCCTGCTGTACGATGATTTCGCAAATGTTCATACTCACCAGCAGGAGGATCTTTCCGCCGTTGGTACCCTCCTCCTCACTCTCGCTCTGGGCAATTCGAGCACCGTCACCGCTAACCCTACCAAGGCCATGGAGTTCTTTAGCAGACAGTACGGGCCTGATTTGCAGCGAATCGTGCTGTGGCTGCTGGGTAATAGATCACCACTCAAAACTGCCCAGGAACTTTGGGGAATGGTGCTCAAAATTAAACCCGCTGTTGTCGCTGAGTTGCTCGATGCTAGCGTTAGCGCGGGCGATACCCTCACAGATGAACTCGCCAAGGAGGTGGAGAATGGCAGATTAGTTAGATTGTTGTGCAAATTCGGTTTTATCAACGAGAGAGCAGAGTGAGCTGAGAGTCTCGTATCAGGTTCTTTTCTAAACTAATCACTCTTAAGATTCGATCTCGACTCTCGATGGTCAGAGACTGGCGACAGGTATATCATCAAACTCTTTCGAGATTACGTCTTTCACCAGGTCGACGAACATGGGAAACCAGTCCTCGACATGTCGCATGTCCTCGTCTGTCTCAATAAATTAGATGCTGGCGTTGATGAAAGTCTGATGCTCATCTCGCGCGACGAGCAGAGTTGTCTCGTTGTGTCTTACAAAGAGGTTAAACAGTGTATAGAATCTGCATTTGGGGATCTTAAGAGGGAAACCGGTGTGTAGCCATAGCAAAAAAGTATAATTCATATTACAAATCAAAATATTTAAGCAGCCTCGTCGAAACGCTTGCCAGCTTCTTGCATATCCATCACATTCCAGATAGCGTTGAGGTAGTCTGGCTTAACGTTCTTGTATTGGAGGTAGAAGGCATGTTCCCAGATATCAATTCCGACAATTGGGGTGAGGTGAGTGAGTGGGTCCTGGTTAGCGGTAGTAGCGACTTCAAGACGCTTGGCCTCCTTGTTGTAGCCGAGCCATCCCCAGCCGGAGCCCTGGATAGCAGCGGTAGCCGCGTTTACTTTGCCTTTAAGGGCGTCGAAGCTGCCGAAGTCCTTGTTGATCTGCTCAGCTAAGCCACCTGATGGAGCAGTTCTGCCGCTGTCTGGAGTGAGGTTCTTCCAGAAGAGTGAGTGGTTGATATGTCCACCGCCGTTGAATTTGAGTGCTGGTTGGAGTGCAATCAACGTCTTGATGTCGTTTGCGTTTTGTGCCTTGACGTATGACTCTTCAGCTGCGTTAAGTCCGTTTACGTAAGTAGCGTGGTGCTTTGAGTGGTGGGTAGTCATCTGATATGTGTTAGAAAACTCCTTGTGGCAAGCGACCTGGACTCACTATGTCAGAGCTGATGTGTGGCTCCAATGCGTCGTAAGCATATGGGAGTGGAGGGAGTGTGTGCTTCAAACGCAAAGCAGTGGTTGCGAAAGAGCGCGATTGTTGTGGGAGTTGCTTGAATGCGTTGGCGAACATGATGGTATAAAAAAGGAAGTTCATGTGGATTACACTGACGTAAGCCAACCTGAAAATTCGACCAATCTGGTGAATCAAATTAATGAATTTACAAAGTGAGCAAAAGAATCATGTAGAGAGTGCAAGTTATTCACTTTTCTTTCGTCACCCTCCCTGTATTTGCCTGTCTTTACTAAAATTTTCGCTAGAGGTAAATCTGTGCCCAGATCAGACAAAGCGTCATCGCCAACTATAGCAACATCTTTGTAGTCTTGCTGATTTATACCAAGCTGATCTAAAGCGGTTATGAAGAAAGACGAGCTGGGTTTCCCGCAGATGAGGGGAGATTTTCCGGATGCAGACTGTAAAGCATGTATGAAGGGGCCAGGACCTAGGCTAAGTTGGTCATCTTTGTCTTGGAAGTATAAAGAGGAGTGTGTTGCAATGAGCTGTGATTGAGGAATGTCTTTGAGAATTCTGAAGGCGACGTTCAATGAGTGGTAGTCGAACTTATCAGGAGCCAAACCGACGACTACAGAGTCTAACGGCTTTGTAGAGTCAACAAGGCCTTCAAAGTCTTTAGAAGCAGATTGAGTGAGTAGGAGAAGTGGGTTGAGATTGTTATCGCGGATATGCTGGCTACAGGATGATAAAGGAGTTATGAGGTCGGATAGAGAGATATCCAAGCCTAGCTTTGTTGTCAAATCAAAGTGTGCATCACTGTGGCTCTGTTTTGAGGCATTTGAGAGCAGCTTGTGTGGTATACTCAGTCTAGATAGAGCAGCTACTACTGAGCGTTGAGTTTGATTATCGTTTACTATAAGGGTACCAGAAATATCAATTAGAACTGCTTTGAACATAGTTTACTATTAATTTATCTAGTGACTAGTAATTTACTAAATGAATGTTGAAATACAATAGGGTTGCACTTAAACCACCATACAAATGTCAAAACCCTATACAGATTACAAGCTAATATCGAATAATTCAAATGGATTCAAATACAACGTTATGAAATTGAATAGCAATAAGCAAGTGGATCTGTCAACCCTCCCACAGCCACTCAAGCTTAACAGAAAAGATCCAAATCATTTACTCACTCCAGTTCCAAAGAGGGACGAATCTGGTAAAATAGAGTTGGATGACAATCATAATCCCATTCTAATCGATCCAATAACAAAGCAAGATATTCCACCTATACAGCAACCTTCCAAGCACTTTAAGAAGAAGACAAAGCAGGTTTTCATGGCAGATGAATCCACCATTGAGTTGAGAAAGTCGGAGAGATTGCCTTGGATTATGGAATCTGGCGACTCTATCTGGCAAGGTCAGTTGGATGGAAAACCACAGGATCAGTCTTACGTGATGCTCATTTTCAATAAAAATCATGATTTCAAGGTTGAGCCGACTAATAAAATCTACAAATTCAATCCACAACCAAATTATAACACGCTATCAATTGATGAGGCTGATCAGATATATAGTAAAGGTGTTGATAATCCTTGGTTTATGAGAAATAAAGCTAGTAATGACGGTGGTAGTGTTAATGACGGTGCTGTTGATAATAACAATCCATCTACCTCCCATCAACGTCTACAATCTATTCTTAATCACGCCCCAGACTCCTCAAAACCCTCCACTCAAAAACGCATGCAAGTCGATAGAGGTGAAGTTAAAGATGAGACCGTAGACGCCCTATTCGATGAAATGGAGTTTGACGAAGAATTCCAAGATGACGACGAACACGTCATTCAAGATAACCAAGATGACGACCAGCTTAAAGAACTCGAAGATAAGATTAAGAAGGAGATGCACCAGGCTAACATTGGTCACGTCGAACAAACTAGCAATCTCGATGATGTTGAAGAAGATATTAAGCCGTTCCAGAAATCCCACACGGAGAAGGAAATGAAGAGGTTTTTGCGTCGACATGACAAGTCTAACGCAGAGGCTTACGATTCTGACAATAGTGATGTGAGTTGGGTGTATAAAATGTACTGAGGAGATTCCCAACTAACCACACAACGCAGGACGACCAAGAAGAAGAAGAGCAACGCAAGAAGGAGCAAGAAGAGCAGGAGAAACGTCAGCTCGACGCACAAGAAAACGACAAGGCAACATCGCTGACAAAATCAATAAAGAAAGAACACACACCTGCATCACTTGCAGCCCAACAAGTTGCACGCAGGGCCACATCACCATACAACAAACAACGCTCTTCTTCACCTTCCTCCAAACGTAGTAGAACGGATATCGACGATCGGCACGACAGTAAGAAGATTAAAGTCAAGAGGGAGAGTATGTCACCATCAGCCTCCCCTTCCACACCACCCAGCTCGGCAGATCTGCAGCTATTGCAAGAGGATGAAATTATCGCGTTCCTTAGAGGAAAGTCTCTCACTACTAGCGACCTTATCCAGCATTTCAAAAAGAGATTTAAAGCTCAGCCTAGGAATAGAGAAGTTATTGGTAGTGTACTTAAAAAGGTCGCTAGCAGAACTAACGATGGCAAGCTCCAGCTCAAGGAGGGTCTTTAGTGAGGTGTTGTACAACATTTATGACTTGTATTTATCAATCAATGCTGCTATTATGATAAATTGTCCATGCTGCTGATTGGGCACTCGCGAGCTAGAGAATCTCCAGTGTTCGCGGCTAGTCCACCATCTGTCATTTGCTGCCGAAGGGAGAAGATGACGACATTCGCTATCTATTCGAATATGTTTAACAGAAGTAAAAAGGGTATTGAGAATAAAGGCATCGACAAAAAATAATTGAACAGCCCTCCTACTGCGACAGAAGATTTGCAACAGCCCAAGAATCATAAAACCCACACGCTAACCAAGAGAAGCATACGTACGAATGCAGCGATAAATTTGGATCGATTCAAGCAAAAAAGCCCCCGTTGAACACTATCGAAGGTCATCGTAGGCAGATCTAACCCCAACGCAGATTTGATACTAACGTCATCGGTGGGTCGCTCCAAGACTCGCTTAAGAGGAGTACCTTGACACCACTTCTTCTTCTCTTACACACAAAACACTTAATTCAAATATGAGCGGTCCACAACAAGCAACTTTCGGCGGTAAAGACCCAAAGGCCCAAAACGAGGTTGAGAAGCAGGCTCAAGACATCCAGCGCCAACAAGAGACCAACAAGGGTGGTGCTGCTGGCCGTGAAGGTGTTGCTTCTACCAACCCAGCCGACTACGACTCTAGAGGTGGCGCCGGCGGTGGTTCAATGAACGGTTAGTTGTGTGTTGTAGTCTATTGTCCCTCCTAACGCCACGAAAGACCCAAAGATGTAAATTGCTAGGATTTAAACACTGTACTGTTGTCACGATATAAACGTTACGTCGCATTAATAATTCGAATTTCCTCGATGATCTTGTGTTTTCCCTTGTATTGTGCTTTCTTGTGCTTGACTAAAGTAATTGATAGTGCAGTTCGCACTCAGATTATACCAGCAAACGCGCCCTTTTTCGAACCATTTACCTTCTCTGCCCCGACACCCCCACCCACTCCGTCTTCTCTCTTCAGATTTGAAGATCTGCTGATCAGTACAAGTGCAAATGTGAGGCTAATATTGCGCTATCGCTACTACCACGCAAATACCTCCATCTTATTTTATTTTCTTATTTGTCTGCTTAGAAATCATCTGCATACGTCAATATAAGCCTATTCGTGCTATCCGGTCTGGCTTCAAACAATCATCATTTACACATAATGAGCCTGCCAAACGTATTCTTTATTACTGGAACTTCAACTGGCTTCGGTAGAGAGCTCGTTCTTCAGCTTAATGCTAGAAAAGAGAAGGTAATTGCCACAGCCAGAAATACCGATAAGATCAAGGACTTTGAGCAACTTGAGCATGTCTCAATCATGAAGCTCGATTTGAACAGCAACGAGGAGGAAATCATCAGCGTCGTACGTGACGCCCTTAAGATCCATGGCCACGTAACCCACCTCGTCAACAACGCTGCATACTCTGTAGCTGGATGTGTAGAGGAAGTACCTCTCGCGCAATCCAAGAAGCAATTTGACGCTAACTACTGGGGTACAATTGCCCTTACGAATGCATTCCTCCCTCACTTCCGCGGCCGCACAAGTGGCGAGAAGTTCATCGCCACCATTTCCTCACTTGTCGGTATTACAACCATGCCTTTCGTCAGCTACTACTGCGCTTCCAAGTTTGCTATCGAGGCTTCATTCGAGGCACTCAAGCTTGAGACTGCTCACTTGGGCATTAAAGTGTTGTTGATCGAACCAGGGTAAGAATACTGTTAATGATGGTGTTTTCCCACTAACCCTCTACTTGTAGTTACTTCCGTACTAGCTTCCTTCAAGAGGGTAGCAACATCCAGCCTCCTCAAAACCCGATCTCCGACTACGCGCCAATTAGTGGTGCAATGGAACGCGTGTTCAAGCAGCAGAATGGTGCTCAGCTCGGTGATCCTGCCGTTGGTAGCGAGAGAATCATAGAGCTCTTGACCAACACGGGTCTCGTCAAGCAGATCAGCAACGGCGAGATCCCTACCAGAGTCGCATTGGGCTCTGACAGCTACGAAGGCATCGTCAAGAAGGGCCAAGATCTTATCGACAACGCCAACAAGTGGAAGGAGTTTTCACTTTCGACCGACTTCAAAAACTAATGCATTGTTGTAACGACAGATTATTTACGTTTGAAATTGCGCATTCAATTGGTTTACCTTTCCTTGTGAAGACGTCGCTCATCTCGCGCTTTGGAAGCTGTGTCTCAAGATATTCAATACGTTCGATGCGTATAAACCGTTATACGTTGGCTGCCGGGATATGTTGATGCTGTTTCTATTATAAACTTTATTGAAGTTACGTCATCTTGTGAGAACGCCATTCATCCATTTCATTTAATCAATGTCTTTCTTCAAACCATAATGAGCCTACCAAACGTATTCTTCATTACGGGAACAGCAACTGGCTTCGGTCGAGAGCTTGTCCTCCAACTCAATGCGCTGAAACAGAAGGTTATAGCAACGGATCGAACGATTGATGGAATAAAAGACTATGAGCAACTCGAGCATGTCTCAATAATGAAACTCGATTTGAACAGCGACGAAGAAGAAATAGCTGGTATAGTGCGCGATGCTATCAAGATACACGGCCACGTTACGCATCTCATCAACAACGCCGCTTACTCAGTAACTGGATGCGTCGAGGAAGTCCCACTATCTATAGCACAACGTGAATTCAACGTCAATTACTGGGGTACAATTAAAGTAACCAACTCATTCCTTCCTCACTTCCGCGGACGCACGAGTGGAGAAAAATTCATATTGACGGTCTCCTCGATAGTCGGCATCAACGTATGGCCATATTTCAGCTACTACGCTGCTTCCAAGTACGCGATTGAGGCATCGTTTGAAGCACTCAAGATGGAGACTCAGCACCTTGGCATCAAGGTGTTGATGGTCGAACCAGGGTGAGCTACTGCGAAGATAGTAATGACCACTGAAAATTTACAATATTCAGCTACTTCCGTACCAGCTTTCTCAAAGAGGTGAGTTTCCTTTTATCGCATCTCGTTACGTCATTTGCTGATGAAAACATCAGGGAAGCAACGTACAGCCACCTGGGAACCCAATTGCGGACTACGAGCCCATCAGAGGATCTATGGGTAAGGAGTTAAAAGAGCAGAATGGTGCTCAAATCGGCGATCCTAAAGCTGGATGCGAAAGGATCATCGAGCTGTTGATGCACACCGGCCTTGCAAAGCAGATAAGTAACGGTGAAATACCCACTAGAGTCGCATTGGGATCTGACAGCTACGAGGGCATTATAAAGAAAGGTCAAGATCTTATTGATAACGCCAACAAGTGGAAACAGTTTTCAGTGTCTACTGACTATAAGAATTGATGATAGCAACAACAGCTCAATGAAGTTTTTGTGAATTCCGTTTGCTTGTCCTGGTGTGTGTCTCGATGACGATGCTCTGTGACTTTCGAAGAACAAATCCCAGTAAGTATTCTAGGGTCGCATCTCAGCTTAACAGCCAAATAGACTGCTCAAGCCCATCCCATTCAGTGATATTTTACATGCGATACTCAGATACCCATTCGAGATCGGTAGCAATTGATTTCCTCTTTTGGTAACTTGAGCAACGCAGAACGAATTATGAGACCAAGTGCATAAAAAAACTGTTCGCCGATGGACGGGACATCGTGCCTTAATACATAATTGACTCCGCTGCTTGAAGCCAAGCGAATATACCCAGCATGTCAGTCGAAGATTTCTTGAATGAATCACAAGCAAGATCAAGACATTACGTAATTGCATATAAACTTCGATCATTAAAATTCATTTGTGCCTCCACCTCAATGTGACTTTATGAGACACATGTAGCCTATCCAGTTTAGCATCAGACGATCATCACGTACCACACTAAATATCAAATATGAGCTTACCAAACGTATTCTTCATCACGGGAACAGCAACTGGCTTCGGTCGAGAGCTTGTCCTCCAACTCAATGCGCTGAAACAGAAGGTTATAGCAACGGATCGAACGATTGATGGAATAAAAGACTATGAGCAACTCGAGCATGTCTCAATAATGAAACTCGATTTGAACAGCGACGAAGAAGAAATAGCTGGTATAGTGCGCGATGCTATCAAGATACACGGCCACGTTACGCATCTCATCAACAACGGAGCATACTCGGTGAATGGATGTATGGAAGAAGTTTCGCTCACAGACGCCAAAAATGAGTTTAATGTGAACTATTGGGGCACAATTAAGGTGACGAACGCATTCCTGCCGCACTTTCGCGGTCGCACTAGCGGAGAAAAGTTCATTACGACCTTTTCCTCTATTGCCGGTATTCAATCGTGGCCATACTACGGATACTACTGCGCCTCCAAGCATGCTATCGAGGCGTCATTTGAAGCACTCAAGCTTGAAACCAAGCATCTCGGTATCAAAGTATTGCTCATTGAACCGGGGTGAGTTGAACCTCTTATACAGAATCACCATCGTTGATTGTATGAACTTGCAGATACTTTCGAACAAAGTTCCTTCAAGAAGTAAAGTTTCCATATTTCTTCCGCCAATGCTGACAACACGCCCAGGGAGTCCACGCAAGACCACCTAAAAACCCAGTCTCAGATTACGCTCCGATCTGCGAGTTCATGACCAAGAGCGTGACAGACATGGGTGCATCTAAACTCGGGGACCCTAAAGTTGGATGCGAAAGGATAATTGAGCTCTTAACGAACACTGGCCTTGCCAAGCAGATCAGCAACGGCGAAATACCTACCAGAGTCGCATTGGGCTCTGACAGCTGCGAAAACATAACGAAGAAGGGTCAAGAACTCATCGATAACGCAAACAGGTGGAAGGAGTTTTCACTTTCGACCGACTTCAAAAACTAATGCATTGTTGTAACGACAAATTTCTTACGTTTGAAGTTGCGCATTCAATTGTTTTACCTTTCCTTGTGAAGACGTCGCTCATCTCACGCTTTGGAAGCTCTGTCTCAAAATATTCAATACCTTCGATGCGTATACACCGTTATACGTTGCCTGATGCGGAAGATACAATAATATCGTCAAAACCAATCAAAATCTCATTGACAATTCCAGCAGGTGAAAAGAGTTCTCAATTTCGACCAAATTCAACAACTAACACTATTAATGATAGCATAAAACTTATGTTTCCGGTTTTCAATTATTGCCTCGCTTTGTATTGTAACTTCTCTATCCCATAATACATGAATCGCTATCGCTTGTGTATATCGCTTGCAAACCTTGGACTAACTTAAACGTCATCAGGTACAGATCATTAAGTCTGCCTTCGAAACGTCCATAAACACCACGAAAAACTTATCATGAGCACACCAAACGTGTTTTTCATCACCGGAACCTCGTCTGGCTTTAGGAGAGAGCTTGTTCTCTAGCTTAATGCCTTGGGAGAGAAGGTGATTGCTACAGCCACAAATACTGATAAAATTAAGGACTTTGAGTACCTTGAGCATGTCTCAATTATGGAACTCGATTTGAACAGTGACGAGGAGGAAATAGCTAGCGTAGTGCGCGATGCTATCAAGATCCATGGCCACGTTACGCGCCTTATCAACAATGCAGGATATGTAATGATCGCATGCATGGAGGAAATGTCAATATCACAAGCGAAGCATCTAATGGATACCAATTATTGGGGCGCAATTAGCTTAACAAATGCCTTTTTGCCTCATTTCCAAGGACGTAAGAGCGGATAGAAGTTCATCGCCATCATTTCCTCCATTGGCGGTATTCAAAGACTGCTATCCTTGAGTTACTATTGTGATTTCAAGTATGCTCTCGAAGCATCTTTTGAGGCACTTAAGATGGAGACTGAACATTTCGGACTTAACGTGATGCTGATAGAGCCAGGGTGAGCCCACCTGTGAAGAAACAATCTATCCTCTAACAATAAACAGCGGATTCCGTACAAGTATCCTCGAGGAGGTATGCTAATTTCACCTCACACCATCGTCATTACTGACACAAATACCAAAGAAAGCAGGTGTCCAGCCGCCAGAGAAACCCAATATCCGATTACGATTCCATTAGCGGAGCTCTTTATAGAATGTTGAAGACCCAGATTGAAATTTTTTTCGGCGATCCTAAAGTTGGATGTATGAGGATCATCGCGCTCTTGACAAACACTGGTCTTGCCAAACAGATTGGCAATGGTGAAGTACCCACCAGAGTCGCATTGGGATCCCGTAGCTACGAAAATACAATTAAGAAAGGCGAAGAGCTCATTGATAACGCTACTAAGTGGAAAGAATTTTCATTTTCGACGGATTATAAGAATTAGTGGAGTGACATCATTTAGATCCATTGAGCCTGTCTTGTGAAATAGAGAAGGTGTAGTAGCATTGTAAATTCAATTCATGTGTACAGTCCACTAAATTTGGCTTTCTTTGTTTTATTATTCCAGTACTTCTTTCGCCGACGCTTTCACTACTTAGACGAATGAAGGAAAGCTACGTGCCTGCGACAGACGCGATACCAAACAAGCCAATTTCGAAGCCTAGGCCAAAGAAGAAGAAGAAGGAAAAGACGCTTCCGGGTAACGTCGGCACGGATGGTTGGCCACAGCACTTTATCAATCTTGATAAGACTTTTAAGGTGGGATTGATGCTGATGAGAGAGTGTTCGCGCTGATTTGCATCATAAAGGCAGTTAACACTGTCCTCGCTTTCTGCTCCGCTCAGACAGCTTTAGCGGCGACATTTGACCAAATCCTGAAATCGATAGAGGGCTTGTTGAAGCGGTATGTGTTGTATCAGTATGGGTAGCTAGAAGCTTATTAACGCAAAAGAGAGCTCGATTTATTCGACATTGCTCAGATAAAGTAGGCTACGACTGCTGGGCTCAAACGCACGCTAAGAGGGATACAGAGCTATTATACCAGACAATCTGCGATTCGCATACGTAAATAAATCCTCAATTAACATCCATACTGAGCACAAATACTTCAGCGGTTACGGCAGAGATAGGAATGTTGATGACGTATTCATACCGCCATCAACTTCGAGCGACGTTGATGATAACGATGTATCGAAGCAAGTCTTAGTGCTCGAGTTCACTGACGTCCGTTCATTACACTCCCGCCAAAAGCAGCAGCGGGATGTCGAGCTGAACAAGGCCCCAACATTGACACGCGGCGACACGCTCAAATTGATCGAAAAGCGTAATGACAGATTCAAAGTGGCTGTGAATGAGCTTCTCGGAGCGGCTTTAGAGACAGGAGACGATCCAATCCAGCTCGTCACTTCAGCTGCTCATCAGCATGTGCCTGCGAAACCATTCATGCATCCTGCATTGAAGAATGCTCTGGCTAACAAGTCATTACCCATTCAACGTCCCTCGATCGAACAGGTGCTGGATGAGTTTAAGCAGCAGGAATGGTTTAGAGAGCAGCCCATATTCCTCAAAACTATCCCCGCTAGACAGGCAGTCTATTCAGATTGGAGTTTCGATATCCCCGATAACATCCGACTTGGTCTGAGGTCTTCCCTCCATGTGGAGACTCTATTTGCACATCAAGCTCAAGCCATCCAGATTCTCAACGAGGGGAGAAATGTCATTGTGTCGACATCCACTGCGTCTGGTAAATCACTCATTTATACCCTCCCTTTTCTACTGTCGCTCGACAAAGACAGAGATTCCACCGCTTTCTTCGTTTTTCCTACGAAAGCTCTAGCACAAGACCAGAATGCGAAATTACGAGAACTGGTGGGCAGTATTGAAGGGATGGAAGATGTGGTGGTTGACACATTCGACGGCGACACACCGCATGAAAGACGTGACGAACTGCGTGAGACTGCTAGTCTGCTCTTTACCAACTTCGATACACTGCACCACACCATGCTTCCGCGGGAAGACACATGGCGGCATTTCTTCCAAAACTTGAAGTATGTGGTAATAGACGAGCTGCATTACTACAGCGGGGTCCAGGGTGTGCACATAGCATTCGTGATGAGGCGACTGCGCAGGCTGTGCGCAGCGCTCAATAACACATCTGTGCAATTCATTTCAACTTCCGCTACAATCGGCAACCCCATTCAACATTTCCGCACGCTTTTCGGAGTAGACGACGTAACGCTGGTAGACATAGATGGTGCGCCGACAGGACAGAAAGAGTTCCTGATATGGCGCCCTGGTCTGATAGACGAGATGGTGCCAAATGGACCGCGCCATAACCCTATGCATGAGGCGTCGCAGCTGCTTCGCTATCTCGTGAGCCGGGGTATACGCACAATCGTGTTCTGCAAGCACAGAAAGAGCTGCGAGATGTTGATGAAGAATGTTAGACACGAGCTGGTAGTGAGTGGACGTATGGATCTCGTCAATCGCGTAGTCAGCTATCGTGGTGGATACAACCAGGAAGAGAGGAGGAGGATTGAGAAGGAGCTGTTTAGCGGCCAGCTTCTTGGCGCTGTAGCTACCAATGCTCTTGAATTGGGTATTGATGTGGGGGCACTTGATGCTGTCATTTGTCTCGGATTCCCTTTCTCGCTCTCGTCGCTGAGACAGCAGATTGGTAGAGCGGGCAGAGCGCGAAGGGATTCACTTGCTGTGCTGATTGCTGAATCACTACCACTCGATAGCTATTACAGCACTTATCCCGAAGAAATCTTCTCTCGCTCGCCCACGGATGTACAAGTCGATCTCGATAACGACGTCATATTCGAGCCGCATCTGCAGTGCGCAGCTGACGAGCTGCCCGTGTCGATCGATAGCGATAAGGTGTTTTTCGAGGAGGAGCAGCTGCGCAGGGTAACGCTCAAGGCACTCGATAGGGATAGAGAAGGATGGTATCATTGTGATCCGAGACTCCGGCCGTATCCATCCCGCTTCGTTAAACTCAGAGGCAATGAGGAGTCAGCGTACAAAGTGTTCAATATGCACAAAAATTCTGAGTCTCTTATTGAGCAGGTGCAGGAATCCAGAGCTATTTTTGAGCTATACGAGGGAGGAATATTCTTTAATGCGGGTTTGGCCTACCAGATGTATGAGGTGTCGCATGACACAAAGACAGTCAGAGCCAAGCAGGTTGATGTCAACTTCAACACCAAACCGAGGTGCGTAGAAAGAAGCAAAAATGAGTAATTTGTCTCACACCGCGACACACAGGTACTTCACAGACGTAGATCCAATGGAAACCTTTAGAATGCGCGCTATAGAGGGATCAACTCGACGTGCCTTCTACGGCAAAATAAAAATATCGTCGCATGTCTTTGGATATCTGAAACTAAGAGATTTCAAGGTTTTAGATGTTGTCGATCTTGAGACATCGCCTTATGTGCGATCTACTAATGGGTTCTGGCTAGATGTACCCTCTAATGCCATGCAGATCATGACGGTGAAGTCCATCAACCCAGCAGAGGTAAGGAGAATGTCTCAGCCCTTTTTTCAGCTAATTCGTTTTCCAAGGCTATCCAGGCATCGCAGCATGCACTTTTGAGTCTCACGCCGCTCTATGCCATGTCTGCTGAAGGTGACATACTCACTGACGAGAAAAAGGCTCAGAAGGAATACAAGACGAATGAAAGCAAACGTAAAAGACCAGGAAGGTAGGTGCAATTCCTTACGCTTCTTATACACCCACTCAAACTCTAAAGACTTATCATATTTGATGCGGTTGGAAAAGCTTCCGGGGTGTCAATGAAGGCGTTTGAAAAAATTTCCGAACTTTTACATCACGCTTTGGATGTTATCCTGAGATGCGAATGTGAGCTCGGGTGCGTAGGCTGCGTTGAAGGTGAAGTTAAAGATGGCCAGGCATCGACAAGTAAAATTGGTGCCATTGTCGTGTTGTCTTTCTTGGTGGGTAGGCAGTTGTCGATGGATGATGTACCTGATCAGGTGGGTGAGAGTGGATATGTGTAATTAGATTATTAACCTATATCACAGGCTCCATTCGTGCAATCTCAGCAGTTTATCTACCCAGACACAATAGTACAAGCTGAAACAATCACAAATGCCGATGTAGAATTAGAAAAACAGTAATTAATCCTGCTAAAAAAAAGTTTATTATTAGAATTCTGTACTTACATCTAATTTATTCGTCATACCTGTCATGAATGCAAATTCTCAACTAAACGCAAGCAATAACTTGATATATATTTACCAATAAGTATAGTAGTGTAATTTTAATTCGTGATAAAAGTTCGTTATAGACGTGAGTAGGAATTTTGATTGAGCTAAGCTTGAAATTTTAATGTTTAATAGGGGCTAGTGTGGGACGAGAAAACTTAGTATCTGTCAAACAAACCAGAGTTGACAATAGCAGCCCAAAGATTATGAGCGCTTCTTTGAGAGATGATTTCTAATTCGTTGGCGATTGTAATTCTGTCGCTAACCGTGTTGAAGAGGATCTTCAGGCCAAGAAAGTTACGTCTGTCCCACTCTCTTTGAGCAGCGTGAAGAGCATCGTTTGAGTCAACTTGATTCTTGTCGAGGATGATGTTGCTTGGGTGGGTCAATTCGGTAGAATCTAAACCCTGAAGTTTGAGAGCATCGGATCTTTTCAAGCCATTGAGAACGATATCATCGAGACAGAGGAGGGCGAAAGCGCCAGAGACTCTCCTGTACCAGAAACCTTGCTAGGATTACGTCAGAATTGAGTAGCTCCGCGGTGTGACAGTCGGACTTACACGAGGAGGGAACCAGATGCTAATACCGGAGTTACCTGATGGCTGGAGAACGGGGAGCTGTAAGCCTTCAACGTTTACGTGTACGATTGACCTGTCATGCGAGTTAGACGGGAGAAACAGATGTGGCAGGAGCGAGTAGCAGGCGGATTAGTCCTCGGAATTTACCACCAAACCAATCAAACACTGAAAAATAAGTCAAACTAACATTTTTATTAATTTCGTCTTGGTGGTTGAATACTAAAAGGTATCGCATCTTGGCGTAGACTAAATACAAATCGGGAGACCACGTGATCGGAGAGAATGGGAAACGGAAATTAAAATTAAATTCAAATCGCTCACAGTGTATCACGCCGATTTGATTTTAGGTCTTTTTATCTAATCGGATTTTCATCAAGATCACTTTGAACACGTCGTGGAATGCATCGGCGAGTTGAGTGACATCAATATAAGAATTCATTTGACAGCTGTTTCGATCTCTTGGATACTTGATATATATTCCTGTGCAATAAAAGCAATACTTTAATTGACAGATTATCTACACTATCTAGATAACGTCACCTGATTTGAAATTGCCGCAGCACTGCACTCCCCACGATCACCAGTGAATAGCTTACAGCCGCTATCTCGAATCTGAGAACCTAATGTCTCCTCAATGAAATCCTAGTGTCACCATAATCACTTCTACTTTCCTTACAATCATTGCATGTGCGGTCGATTCAGTTTACACGTACCCCCGACAGAGTATAGTCGTAGGATCGCCATTGATTATGGCTTAAACATTCAACAGAATAGCTCTAGTACTTGGAATCAAAGTTACAACGTTTCTCCTACTTCAAATGTTCCTGTCATCAACCAGAGCTTAGTCGTGAGAGTTTGTAGATGGGGAGTTATTCCTCACTTTTCTAAAGAGTCACAACTACATGGATCAAATTACACGGCTTCGTTGAAAACAATCAACGCGAGGTCAGAGGTGAGAGGTGTAACTTATATCCACATCCAGCACTCACTCAATGTAGTCCCTCGAAGATGGCAGCTCTCCACTCTGGAACTCACTTAAGAGCTCAAAGAGATGCATTATCCCCGTTGACGGCTTCTTCGAATGGCTCCAATCAGGGAGAGAGAAGATACCTCATTTTACCAAACGTAAAGATGGAAAAATGATGATGTTCGCTGGTTTGTACGATACCAAGAATTCAAAAAACGGTAACGAGCAGAATATTCAGTCCTTCACAATCATCACCACTAGGGCTTCATCCCAGTTCTCATCTGTTCACAGCAGAATGCCCGTAATACTTACCCAGCAAGGTGCTGTAAAGTGGCTTGACAAGTCTAAAAAGTGGGACACTGAACTTGCCCGTCTTCTCGAACCATTCAATGATGACTTGGATATCTACGCTGTGACAAAGGAGATGTCTAAGCCGGGTTCAAGCAAACCAAGCTATGTTCAACCCATCAACCAACGTAAAGATGGTATTAAATCTTTCTTCGCTAAGCAATCTCAATCGCCCCAAAAAGACGGTGTTACTAAGGAGGATTTGAAGAAAGAGGAAAGCGGTGATGTGAGAAAGGAGGAAACTGAAAGCAATCTCAAAAGAGAAGATAAAGAATTAAACACAGCTATTAAGCGCAGCTTGGAAGATGCGGGCGGTGATTCTCGGAAAAACTACAAACCACTCAAGATTGCTAAGAAGGAACAAGACAACAAGACACTGGATGGATTTGTAAAGCAAGGGTAACAAGGCATTACCCATTTCATATCGCACACAATCTGTATTTTTGCGTAATTTATTCACCATGTTGTACATTTGACTAAATAATTGAGAATGGTATCAATCAAACACAAATCAACTTCCGAACGAGGTTGCAAGAGCCTGCTGCACCTGCAAGATCTGTTCCGATACAGCTGACAAGGTACCTTCATCAAGACGGTTGAATCTGTAAAAGAATAAGTCAGCATGAGCGCACTCTTTAAACTTCCACACCCACTCATCGAAACATCCCCACGCGCCAACCTGGCATAACCCAATGAAGATACGTCCCATGGCCTGGAAATCAAACGTTTCATCACAGCAGAAAACCAAGACAAATCTACCTAATTGTACACCAAGAGCCTTCACTGACTCTGTTTTACCTGTACCCGCAGGTCCGAATGGTGCACCACCAAGTTGTGAGTTAAGTGCTTGTGTCAAAGTCAGGTAGCACCTGTCGGTTAAAGGCGTCTGAACCAATCTGTCTGGTACACCTAGGTATTCGTAACCGTAATCGAAAGTAGCATCAGCCATGTGAACACTTAACCGGTCCATTGATATTGCCACATTGGTGTCCAAGTAGAATCTCATTTGATATAACCAATTGAAATCTCTGTGGCTGCTAACTTCATCTCTGATAAGCGATCTCAGAACGTCTCTTTGGTGTACTAGTTCAGTAATTAAGTGTTCACATTTACGTCTCTGTATAGTTGGTAGGTTCGTAAGGACGGTATCGGCCAAGACGTCAAGTGTGCGCAGAATAATAGACTGCTCAGCTCTCAGATCTAATCCAGCCTGCAGAGCTTTGTCGACTATGGTAGAAAACTCAATTTGTGTTGCAAGGACTACCAACTGAGCTGGATATTTGTTCATCCATTCCAAGAACATGTCGATATCGAGTTTTTCTTCGTTTGAGTAGAACTCCCTCAACGAAACGACAGAGTCAGTAAGCAAGTCTGCCAAAGACACCCTCATCTCACTCTCTATCCTAGCCAACCAGTCGTTAATCTTCGGATAGTCTTTCAATTGAATGATATTTGAAAAATTTACGATTTCGCCCTCTTTTGACACCATAGCTTGTATTTCGGTGATATCATCATTCAACACGACGTTGGAAATACCAGCGAACATTTTTTTCAAATGTTTCATAATCCTGATGATGTCCTTGCTGTTACCAATGATCTCAAGTAAATCTTCATCACCGACAAAGTAGAATCTAGGGAATGATGAACGCTCGCGCTCCAAATATTCACCCAATGCTTTCTGTACCTTATTGAGCGTTTCTGCGAGCTTTTCCATGCGCTTCTGTACATCAGTGATGCTCAAAACCTCCAAAACGAATGGTGCTTTCTTGACACCTTTAAGAATATTGTAGAACTCTGTATTGATGGTCTGGAATTTTTGACTCTCCATTGGAAGCAAATGTTTTATATCCGCAGATCCTGAGAATATTCCTTCCAAATAAACCCACTGTCTCTGTACATCTATCCACAAGTTGAACAGATTGTGTACACGAACCAGTTTGTCTTCCCACGACCGAGCATCATCTTCAAAGACCTTAAAGTAGGGCGAGTTAGACATTGCATTAAGTGAGTTTGTATGCTCAGTGCATTGCGAGAATAACTCATCCCAGCCCTTGATCAAGAAGCACTTGTTTTGATAATTGACTAGTTCAAGTTGATAGTTTGACCACGTTTCGCGAACTTGTTTCAAAAACTCCTCCAACGCCATTTCACCAGCTGCTTGGGTAATCACATCTCTTATCAAGGACTCATTCCGCTTCAAATCAACGTCATAGATATTACCTAGTGTCATGTTGTTTGGCGAGTAAACGCGGTTTATCTTTAAACTCTTAAACAGCTGATTCCAATGGCGGTCATGTAGAGCCTCGGAGCGGAGGTCTGAGATAGTTGAGTTGAGCTTTAGGTAGGACTTCAGAGTTTCTTGAACATATTCAAATGCACTGTACTGGCGCATCCTGCTCGGCATTTCGTTGGTCGAATTGAGCAGATTCTCCAACGATACACGCAATTTGCGTGGTTGCAGCGAAGCCCAAGTCGTCTCCTTTAGCTCTGCTATCTGGTCCCAAACACCTGAAAGCGCTGTCCACACAGCACGCAGATCCTTCAACTCTTCAAGCACAGGCTCGAGGCGATCATCATTCATATGTTCAAGGTCAAGAGCCTGACTGAGTGTTAGATATGGATTGATTTGTATGTGACACTCACCTCCTTAGCCCTGAAAACCAGATCATACTGACTCTTCAGCTGTTCTACGCGCAATCCGTAGATGTTGATTGTATTCATGGCCTGATCAGCGCGTATATTACCTTGAATCGGTTTGTTATCCTCCCATTCCTTGATGATCTCTTCTATCTTATTACGAACAATCTTATCCTCAGCATCGATCTTGAGCTGCAGACCAGACAACTGCTCCAGAATGAGGTCATTCTTACGCTTGAGGATTTCATTGAAAGCACTCCATTCACCTTGTACCTGATCAACCCAAAGCCAGTCAGATGGGAATTGGTAGCGCTGCTTTTCAAGCGTCTTTTCACTCTCAATAAACAAAGCAATTTCAGGCTCCCACTTTCTGGCTCTCTTTTTGATATCCTGAACGAAAGTGATGAAAGACACAGCCTGGACTGTAGAGCTACCTTCTATAGACTGCGTTTCTAATTCGTAGCGAGCTTTTTGTATAGCAGAATGAGCCTCTTTCATTGCATCTTTCAACTTCTGCCCAAATCGAGTGACAATATCACGTTGCCAGAAATCATACTTTGCATTTACCTTCACTTGCACCTGAGCAAAATCCACAACAGCCGCACCGAATGAGTGTTGAGTGTCAGAAGTATCAAATGTACTTCTTGTCTTTTTTATCTCACTTAACAGCTGCTGCCACAACGCTAATGAGTCACCAAGACGACTGTAAACCTGTTCGCCTTCCAGATCCCATAAGGATTGGAACTGTAGCCATTTACCGACATATGAACTTACTTCCTTCACCTTTTCTTCGATTAAAGCGAATGGTTTGGCTAGCGTCTCGAATGGTAGCTTGGTGAGGAGTGTGGTGTAAGTGTTGTCGTATTCAAACTCTGGTACGCGGCTGAACTGCAGACCGATTTCGTACCGCGAAGACTGTATGCGCGGGAGGTTACATATTACACCCAGCCAAATGTGCAATTGCTTATACCAATCTGTGCGGGAATGCTCAACCGGTGGATCGACGTAGATCACTTGGTCTCTGATACGAATTTCATGATATAATTGCTCCAACTCTATAAAAACTTCGTTATCGTGCTTGGCTTTCTTCATAATTGCCTCTTTTGATCGACTGACTGGTGCCTCTTCTCTACTTCTATTGAAAGCGACGCACCATTCGTCAATAATCTGCTTTACACGCTCAAGTAAAACATTTTCAATCTTAGAGTCCAACTTCTCAACCCAATTATTCAGATTAGTGTATCCTTCCAAGTTGAGCTTGTCGATGGTCTTTTGAATAGATGTCAGGTGAGAAGCGAAGATCTCTGCTTTGAATGGACAAGTGACTAGCTCGTCAATTGTTCTCATCACTTCATTATACGTGTCAATAAGATCATCGGTTTTGTCCTTAATAATATTAATATAGTTAAAACATCAGTCACCGAACTCACCTGCAATACTCCAACCGCACTAGCAAACTCTCTTATAAAGTACATATGTCTCCCTTCGCGTCCTTCTATACTTGAAAGAGCCCCAAAGCGAGTGTCATAGGTATTAACAAAGAATTCCCATCTTAATGGCATACCCTTAGTGATTATGTTTTGCGCTTCAATTCTATACTCGGCAATCAAGGGCTCAATGCCTGGGTTAGCAGTGATTCTTTCGACTGTCAAGGAATACGTTCGGACAGTTTCCATCAAACTGACTGCATGTGGGTAGACACGCTTGGCGTCTTTAGCTATGTTGATGATAGCATGCGGAACTTGGAATTGTCTCCAGAGAAGATTTCTGACCTCTTTAAAGAGCGTTATAACTTGTGGATCAAAATTAACACTGAGCTGATAAACATTTAGTTCGCCAGTAACTGAATTACGAGTGCGGCTAATTTCAAACAACCGACCTTCAATACGCATGTCACGACGATTGATTTCATGTAGCCAGGCCTCGAAGATTGGACGCGTGTCAAGCTTTTTTCTGAAGGAGGTACTCTCACTTTGCAGCTTAGCTCCCTCAGCATACAAATCCCAACCCTCACCAAGGACATCCTCAACACGCTTCATGTACATGTTCAACTGCCTCTCGATCTGTTTGGCCCATATAATTGCGCCAGCGATTGGCGGTATATCTCTGAGCTGCGACATGTGGAATGCCTCAGTGTTTCTGTACTGTGTTGTAAATTTGCCATGTAGTCGCTTAATATCTTCTTTGACAGAATCGATGAGCTGCGTTTGGTATTCTGAGATGGCGCCACGAATCTAGATACATGTCAGGCAAGTCATTGGTTCTAGGAGAGCACCCACCTTGGGTCTAACGAAGAGTGCATTGTAGTAACCGAAGACTCTAAACATCTCAGATGCATTACGAGCAGTACCTAGGAGGTCCCTGAGACGAGCAATGATCTGATTTTCGACGCGTGCAACACGCTCGTTGTAGGCAGTTTCAGCGGCGATCCAAATTTCAGTACCCTCTGTGAGTGTTTTAGATAAGACATTTTAGTAATGAAGACGACCGACCAACTGAAATATCCAAGACATTGACGTTTTTCAGAGTGTCATAAGCTGCCTTTACTTCGTCCTCCATATCGAGATCGGTGAGATTGTCGGCACCAACCCCTGTACCGGCTTTGGTGTTTCTTGTAGCAGTCATGTTGCGCAATTGCTCATGCTGCTTGCGAAAGTTACGAAGATACGCACACCTCTCAGCCAACTTCCAATGTGCTGCGTTGATTTTGATAGGAAGAAATTTTTCCGAGCGCTTTCTGGTTACTTCACGTGCGACGTTGGTAAACTCCTTCAAAACGTCGTCCCAGACTTTGAATGCGGAGTCAGCAGCGTTGATGGAGCGCTCAAAACTCTCGTACTCCATGTACATTAGTCTGTGCGTTTGGAGTACTTTAAGCATTTGGTCGTTGAAATCTTTTGAGATAGCTTCGACTAATGGTAACGCGCGTCTGATTGGGTATGGTGATAATTTGAGCTTCTTGTTGATGTGACCGAATATAAGATATAGACTGTCTTGTATCTTTTGAAAGTCTGTAGCTGAAAGCAGTTCGTCTAATGGGAAATCCTTCATTAGTTGGTTATACTTGTGAACAATATCGGTTGCCTCCTTCAAACCGGTATCAGCGATAAATGAGACCGTAGCATGAAAACGTTTGGCATATTTGAGAATTTCCAATGTGAGCATGATTGGTTCGGACTTGAGTTGTTCTTCAATACCTTCTAAAGCTCTTTCCATACTAAGCCAGAAGTTGATTTCTTGAGAGGCAGTTCCACTGGCGACATCTCTATTCAGCTTGGTAACATTTCTGATCTCTTTGATCCAGCTATTAACATCGTTCTGAAGACGATTGAGAAATGTGCTGTCATTGAGAAGTGATTGTGGCTGTACATCTGACGGTGCAGGTCGAGTTCCAGCGGCATGTGCAATGGTTACAGCGTCCCTGACAGCGGAATGAATAGCAAGATGAGTCTCTGGAATCTCAACATTTTGCTGTAAATGAAGCAGTGATAGTTCTAACTCTGCAAACTTCTTTTTTGTCATTGGAATACCCATCTTGGAATCTGCGTCTTTCGATTTACTGACGTCGTTTCCTTTTCCTTTGGCATTGACGAATGCATCAAAGTAGGGAGCAGCGGCAAGGTGCACAAGAGCATGCAAGACCTCATAACCGCCGTCAGCGAGGTTGAGAATGACGAGTTGGGAAGAAAGTGGATCAACCGGAGAAAGGGTTGGATACCTCTTTAGCATGAAAACGGTTGAAACGAGATTAGGAGGATGAGTCAGAGTATGTGTCAGATTGTAAGTCAATCTTGGAGGATCGTCCTGCGTGCGTAGCTGCTGGATGTACAAACCCATCAAAGACTGGTCATTGGCGAATCTGAGGATATCTTCGTCTGTACTTGCGTTCCAAAGACTAATTAATTCGCTGCTGTCCGCGTTGATTAGCTTAGGGAGTAGATCCTCGAGATATGCTTTGAAGGAATTCGCGTCAAGACTCTCTTGAATTGGCTCAGTGGCTGGCGGAGGTTCTGGATTAATTGGAGTCGCGTCTACGGCTGACATTTATTTATTTTAATTCCCAATGTTGATCGTTGTAGCTAATCAAGAGATTTCCCTTCAATTGTACGACGATGAGCGGCCCAGCAGAGACTAAAGTATTAGCAGTGTGTTTGGGTAATATCTGCAGATCCCGTCAGTCTGCCCTTGCAGCCCCACGCACACAAATCTAAATTCATCTCATAGCAATGGCGGAGGGAGTTCTCAAACAAATCAAAGACGAGAATAACTTGCCTGTGTTTGTGGAATCTGCCGGTACTGCTGCTTACCACGAGGGCGAATACGCAGACGAAAGAACGATATCCACACTCTTAAATCACGGAATTACGATGGATTCACTCGCTAGGAAGGTCAGGCAGAGTGATTTCAATGAGTTCGACCACATACTCGCCATGGATGGCAGTAACCTTTCAAACCTCCTCAAAATAGCTCCAAAGAACTGTAAAGCCGATGTTAAACTCTTTGGTTCATATGGCGATGGCAAGGCTATACAAGAGTGAGTTGATGAGTCTTGTGTCCTCTTCCCGCTAACACACGCTTAAGCCCATACTACGGTGGACAAAGTAAATAAACACACTATAACATCACAAACACTAACATACGATAGTGGGATTCTCAAAAACTTATGAGCAATGTTTGAAATACGGGAAGGCATTCTACGAATCTCTCGGCTACACTTTAAACGCAATATAGATATAGATGAATCGTAACGTTAATTGAAAAAGTAGTATACAACGAAACAAATGCAAAACAAAGCCCCACTCTCCAATTTAAGCGAAGTAACACTCACCCAAGAACAGTGAGCTGAGTTCAGATAGCTGCTCTTCACTAAACTTGTGGATATTCTCAGACCAGCTGTCTTGGTGCGTGCGTCTCCAGTCCTGAGCTGTTTTTCTTATTGTTGAGCTGATGACAGTATCTGAGCTTGACACATGCTCAGCTAATACCCCAGTAAGCAATTCAGGCATCCAAGAAGGAACGTCGTATGGAAATGCGTTTATGAGTGCGCAAATTCCAAGTATCCCTGAGTGTAGCTTGAGTACTGCTGGTGCATAACTACTGTTAACTTCTCCACTCTCCATTCTGCGTCTTGGGAGAAGTGAGTGTGCTGAAACAGTGTCAGTAAACCTCTTCTTGAGGTCAAGTGTGTATGATCTCTGAGAACATCTAACTATTCCTGACAGTGTCTCAGCTGCTCTTTCTCTCACTTCTATGTTTTGATCTCTGAGCAACTTGTACAGCTCTTCCATAACTCCCAAAGTAGTCGATTGCGATATGTGAGGAAGTTGGAAAAAGTAGAAGACAGCTATTTTTAGGTTAGAGGAAAAACTGAATTGAGAATATGACTAACCTGTTATAGGGAGAGCATGCAAACGAACGCGATATCTCTGCAAGATTGTTATCAAATTGAAATTCGCAGTATCGTCAGCACCCACAGTAGATGATCCAACGACGTCCAACAGCGTGCGCACAACAGGTTCAGAGTACTCTCTTGGTGGTGGAATGACAGCAAAGAGACTGAGCACTGACTGTGCAGTAGCTTGCAGATCAGGTGAATCAGACAGCTCCCGCATATTGAAAAAGTCAGGCAACAGCTCGATTGAGATAGGGTAGAACGAGCATCTAGTAGAATCGTGAAGTGCATCCCAGATGAATCTCAAAACTACTTAGTGTTAGTGTGAACGTCAATGACGAGACTGCAACACGCACTTGTCAAACCAATCTTATCGTACGTCGATAGTGAAGACTTGGGTGGCGGAAGTCTGTTATTATACTCAAACGCCAGGTACTTTTTAATGTTGCGAACATGCCCCAACGTCTTTTGCTCAACGTTGTGCTTAATAATAATCTTGTCGCTTGGTACGGTCTCTGAAACTCTTTGGAGGTCGTCGACATTCGCAAAGCTAGGATGGAGCTAGATTCGGGATATTAGCGGTTTGCTTAAATAGACTGCTAATTCGCAAACACACCTGTGATCTATTCAATTTCTGTAGAGTCTTGGCGATGTTAGCCCTAACTTCCGCATAATCATGATTGAGCGCATCGAATGACCAATACATGTCACCAATTTCAGCTGACCATGCTGAAAATCTCCAGCTGACTGTCTTGACGACGAGTCTGAGCAGATTAATGGAGTACGCCTGAGACCAAGCTGACGATGATGCGTTTCTGTTCAAGTCACCCCGATTAACAATCCAGCTGACAAGAGGTAACAACCTTCTTGGATCACGGTGATAGAGTGCGTTTATGACAAATACTTCCCACGTAGCAGCGCTATCTGGTCTAACATTGCTCAAGAAGTCCAGTTTCGGGGTGAGCCAGCTCCAGAGATCATCAGATGCATATTTCGGCCAATGCTTCACACCCCTCAACAAGCCGGACAACAACTCAGAAGCAGCCCTCTGCTTATGCCTATCCCCAACATCTTCCAATAAAGGCTCAATCACAGTCTTCAGCAACGTAAGCGGTTTTTCAGACATTGCGAAAATACTCTTGATGAAATTGACGTGGTCGTATGAAGGTGTAGTCGACGAAGATTCGATAGAAAGTTGAGAAATAAACTTATTCCACCAATCGATCGACATAACTGTTTCAGTGATGGCCTGTACTGACGCTGAGCTTTCGTTTTCCCACTCAAATGGGAAACGATTTACGGGGGGCAGTTCATATACTTCGAGAGAAGGTCCCCAACACAACCATCCTGATTGCGCTTTATCCTGAAGAAGCACGTCGCTGCTCCAGTCTGAGATAGGCTGCTTAAATTGATTGAGGTACTTATCAGTAGTGAATGAAGCATCATCTTCAATCTTGACTGTCTTTTTTAGCGGATTTTTCGTGTTTTTCAATAAGAGCTTTTCGTTGAGATTAGTACCTTGACCAAATGTACGCAGCTTGACAAAGTGCAAAATTTTAGTAATACTCCCATAAGCGTGCTCACGGATTTTGGGACTATAAGAAGTTAGAAGGTTCAACACTAATTTTAAAACCTACTGATCTGATATGGTATTTGCAAGGAAGTAGCGAGTGAGACGCTCAGACATTGGTTTATCTCTGCGTATAAGATTCTTCAGTACACGTTGCGCAATGAGCTGGTATCTCCAATGAGTATTGCTACTCTCGGCGAATTCCAATACTTGAGGCATCTAGAAGAAATGTGAGCGAGGTCTAGACAAAGTAGGTTCACCTACCAGCTCCTCGTAGAGCTCTTCGCGATGTTCTACGCGTCCAGCCGCAGCGTTGGCAACCTCTGCAATAAGCTCTTGTGAATCAACAGACTCTCCACCCAGCTCCTTCTCCAGTTTCTCAATGACGTTCTCAGTTTGCTTGCACTTTAAGCGTGATGTGAGGGCATTGATCTCTGGCATTCTTACAACAACCTCTCTCGATAGATTCTGAATGAGGTTCTGGATCGAAGGCTTTTCCTCAGTCTGTGCGCTCAGCAAAGCCAATATAGTTCTCTTGAACTGGTCGAAATGGAGAAGATAGTAGCTGACCCACGACTTGTTCATCAGAACGAACAGGGCTCCCTTTTTGCGATCAACGTCTACACCTGGCTTGAGCGCATCCAAGATCTTGTCCATTGATAAGGCTTTAGTGCCATCATAGAATACTGCCAGTTGGTGAAGGGTGTTCTGTGCTGTCTTACGCACTGCTGTGTAGGACGACAGTGACAATTCTAGCACATCGTCTAGGAGCATGTCGTCCAATTGGGAGCGCTGGCGATTAAACGTGTTGAGATGAAGTCTTGTGGCATGAAGATATGACGCTCTTCTAACAAACGTCATGCGTGGCCATTCTTTTTGTCTCGGGATGATTTTATTGACAGATTTGTGGAACGTGTAACGTCTACGTGTGTTTTCGTAGTGTGTGGAGTCCATGCCGTTCTCACTCATAAACACCCTCAACGAACGTAAGAACGCCTTAACGCAATCTATAGAATCAGACGACTCATTCTGCTCGTTGGGGTTCGTAAATGTACGCGCCACTTTGTGCAAAAGTTCGCCGAATCTGAAGCGGAATTGATTAAAGTACTGTATGCGTGGGTCATCCTCCGATAAGACGCCTTGAGATTTGAAAGGTGGTTGTTTTTCGACGAAATTCTGCGGGAACTCTCCCCAATCTGACACCTCACGACCTTTGTCTGGTGCCTCAGTCTGTAAAAGTGATGCAATAGCAGTGAGTGAATGTCTTAGGTGCAGAGTCTTTCTGCAGAAGTCATTTGACCAATCCTTACTCTTGGTAGACGTACTCGAAAGATTATCGAGATCTTTCATCTCAGGTTCGAGTATTTGCTCGAATAGCTCGACAGCCATATCGAACTCTTCGAGCGATGGAATGTGCCATTCTACATCCACATCACCACCTTCATATAACCTTCCCCAATGCTGGAAATGATTGCGAGCGAACGAAGGAGAGTTCCACTCCTCGTCATTCACGAACCGCGTTGATGTCGTGTAGTATTGGACAAGCGTCTGCAGAACTCTTTGCAGAACACTCGATGACCACATATAACCTCTTTCAGATTTACATGCGGTGGCAGTCAATTTGAGTATATCGACAATATCACTCTTGTAAGCCAGTAAAGCTTTGCCACAATGACTCAAACAGCCTGTTAGGACTGCCAGTGCCCAGTGAAGAGATGTGTCACCGGCGAAGGGCGTAGATGTCGATGTAGTCCTCTCGCCTGAAGCACCATGATGCAACTCAATCTTGACAGTTGAGATAGACCATCCCAAAAACTGCTTCAAAGTTTTCTCAGCATCCGCCTTGGCAAAGCATGAAACTAGTTGTCCAATAACCCTCACACTATTGGCACGTGTGGTTGTTGAAACATACTGAAAAACCTGCTTGAGTGCCAGTTGGAAGATAGGTGGTGAGAGAGCCCCACAAACAACTTCACAAGCCGACATGAGAGTGTGTATTACACTCTCTTCAATACGCCCACCAACTCTATTATGTTTACCGCCCTCTTCTGGTAGGTTTTCACATAAAATAAAGACTCTCCTAAAAAATTCAATAACCCAATCTCCAAATGAAGAGGTGGAAGTGCGTATCAGATTGTCAGCTTCTTCAGGCGTCAATGGTGGATCGTTTGCTTCACGTCCTTCAGGGAACGATGTCTCGACAGGGCTGCTTACTTCGATTGGTGCACACCCATCCAAATCCATAGGATTGACTGACTTGCGACGGTGAGCATCTACCTCATCCGAGCCTTCAGATGTAGCATCACCAATCCTGACAGAATGAAGGGACGTGATAATAAACATGCACGTAGCGATTGTTTTGGTGGGATCATTCATATCTATGCCTGGTAACGAGAACTCCAGCAGTGGAAGAAGATCTTTGGCACCTGCATAATATTTGGAGCGTGAGACGAGGTGTGGTGCGACAGTTGAGAGTGCAGTTATTACAGCTGATGTACGGTGTGTTTCTGTGAGTGCTTCTAGTGACGGATAAGCGCGTTCCATGAGAGCAGGGTAGATGAGATCAGGTTCAAGCAGTGCTAAGTTGCGCAGGCAGCTCTGTGTGTTAGTGATTGAGATCGGGTCCTGATACTTGCGTTAGAGTACATACGATGTAGCGAACAATCCTACCTTAGAAAACATAGAGAGTAAGGCAACTGTACGTAATGAGTGCACAAACTCCTTCTTCATTTGCTTCGTCAAGCGCCATTGAAGGGGAGTTTTGCAGTCAGGCTTCTGCTCATCATTCCACCTTTCCAGAAAGAGCGAGGAGGTATCGGAAATGAAATATGTTAGTGCGAAAGTGTGGGCTCCCCAATTCGAAGGATGGAAGTATGTCTCAGTGTTGAGGATGAGCTTGTTTAGAGCATCGAGTGCCTTTGAGCCACCGAGGTGTTTGTTGAATGCACTTGATCCACCGACTGTTGGAGCACTGAGCTGATTCTTAGACTTGTTGACGGGAGTTTCGGAAATTGGTGTGCCAGCGGCCGATGAAGCAGCCACGCCAGCATCCTGCGACATGGAGTAGACCAGAATAATAGCCAGTGAAAAGGTTCTATTTGTTGGCTTCTTCAAATTAAGTACATTCTGGCTGATCTTTCCATCTGGACCTAGTGTGTCACCTCCTCTCAGCTTTCCAACAGCAATGTTGAAAGACGACAAAGCCTTTTGCATGACAGTATCAAATTGAGCTTCAGTGAGAATACCAATGTCTTTCCTAATGCCCTTCCAGCTGCTGTCGGCAGATTTGTCTTTGGGTGGACGGCCGACACTTGGTATATCTGAAGGGGCTGGAGCAAGAGAATCGATAAAACGTGGGTCACTGATGGAAGGGTCGAGGTGCTTCTCGGTCAAGCGAGCGACGAGGTCGAGATGCTGATCATCAATATGAGAGGAATTAAAAGTCTCCCAGATTCTGAAAGTGATAGGCAGCCAATACTGTGGGTGAGACAAGGGCAAAAACTGGACCAAGAAGGCCTGTGTGGAGATGATGGAATCAACCGAGGAACCATCCATCTGTGGCAATATCGTATCGAGCATGTTTTGGTACTCGGAAGGGTGGAAGAAGCGTTGAGCGTATTCAGTGAGGGTGAGAAGGTTATTTGTGATGTTTTTGCGGCTAGTTTCACGCTGCTTAGGGAAAAGCTCTGTGGATAGAATATCATAAAGTGGTTTCCAGGGCAAGACAATGTCCTTGATAGAAATTCTCTTCTTGGAGCTTATAAGGGACATTAAGCGATTAGCGAATAAGTTAATGAAACGGCCATCCATCCCAGGGGTGACGAGTAGCTGGTAATAGAGACGCGTAAGCTGCACTCTTCGTTCCCTGGTCATAGGATACTTGAGGGATAGCCAGGCCTGGAGTCTATGATCCCAAATGCTGAAGCTGATGTCCCAGTCATTGGCTTTGGCAGCATTGATGAGCTTGTGAATGATATGGTCCAATCTCGAGTCCATTTCTTCAAGGGATTCAACTTGATAAGGAATGTGCTTAAATTGGTGCGTGGCTTTGACCCTCGAGTCCTCATCGCGGCCAGCAGAAGGCTTCATCTCATCCTCCGTGAGATCGATTTCTGAGTCCGTGGAATCGTCGCTGCTGTAGTCTTCTATGTCTGTCCTGCTGTGGCGTTAACGGGGAGTTTGTGTGCTAATTACAAATATAATTACATGTTTGATGGTATTGCTCAACGATTACGTAGGTGTCCCCGAAATGGGGATTCATCAAGGCGAAAACAAAGTAGCAAATAAAATACTTAGATTTCTTCTGATAGGAATCCTGGATTATTTTACTTGAAATTTACTTGAATTTATTGCTAGGGTTATTGAGCGTAAAATTCGATTTTGGCGGCCAGTCTTCTCTTTTCAACAACCACGCTTGAAATTGCGTATAACATTGTAATTTCAAGGCGGTGGTTATAAAGCCAACGCTGGCAGTGAAAAGTGGATTGATCCTCAGCGCTGCCCACTCTTCACTGCCAGCGTTGGGCTGTTTGTAAGAGTGAGTTGAAAGCATATACAGCCAGATGATGAATAAACGCAAATGGGAATCTCTCTGATAAATTTCATGAACCGATAAACATTTATTTGCTAACTGAATCGCTGTCGACGTGATTTTTATTTTGCTAACTGGCTTTTCACAGCGTGCCTTAAAGGGCGTGAATGGTGAAGGTGCTCACGGCGGCTATTTGAAATGTAAGTTGAACTCCCCCTCAGCAACCCAGATAGAGACAATGATGACTGAGATCATGCACCACACATAATGATGCTTAGTACTTGTCAGTAACCTTTGTTAGCTCAAAGTGACAAGGACTGAGCGTCCACTTGATGAGAAAACGATCCGCTGCGTTCTTGCTGACCGCTCTATCTTGGGTTGCTGAGATATTATAATCACAATCTAACAAAGTATTTGCAGTGTTCTTGAAAGAAATTTATATGATATCGTTAACATTATTCAAAAATTACATGTTATCATTATTCTTGTCCTTGATTGATGCTTTCCTATTGATACCTTCACCAGTTCTAGCTCTTTTTTCCATCTACGGCAATCGCCGTTAGTGACGTCATTTTCTAAGGGATCTATCTAAACTCACCGCTTTCCTCTCGTTCTGCCACATATTCTCTGTGAAAAGTCTTATTCCCTCACTGTCTGAATCCACGATCGTCAGCAACAACGCCACACTGCAGTCCACTTCCGCTACCCACACTTTTTCTGTGCATGTACGTCGATTGACGCTGGAGGCGGTGGGGTTTTCAATACTGGATGCTCGGACATCTTAGATAGTCAAGAAGAAGGAGCTATCTCCACACTGTACCTGTGACGTATCTCGTTAAACGTAGCAAGAGCATGTGGAGGTCTAAGATGTTTTTATGATTTTTATAGAGCTATTAATTATGTCAATTTAATGCCTTACTTGGTCCAAACGGTGTGCTGATTTCTTGCAGTTGCATATCGAGTCTCACGTATATGCAATCTCAGGGTGAGTTAGATGCCGAAGGTACGCCCATCCAGGCACATTGTCTATAATCCACAGGAGTTATTAATCACGCCTATTTGTTATGACACATCCAATCTTCGCATTCTACGTAATCAAAACGCAGTAAACTTTTTATTAGATGGTCCGGGTGGTTTGACTTGAGAGACTCTGGGTGCATTTCAGGTAGAAATGAAATGTTGGGCAGCCTCTGAGATTAATAAGCATGCCAGAATGTATAAAATTCCACTCGGTAAGATCATCAGCAAGCCAGATTCAGTGAACGGGGAAAGATGTGAAGTAAACTACTTTCAAATAATTCAAACCAAGAAATATAAACAATCTATCTTAGATTGTCTTGTTTCATACACATATATAACACATCTCTACGACAAATTCGCAATGACGCCATACCCTTTTACGCAGTTTGTATATCCAACTTTACAATATTTCTAGTCCTATTAAAGATGTCGTTGAAATAATAGCATCCAAAAGCACCGAAAGCAGCACCACCGAGGTGAGCGGCGTGATCGAGCAGCTTCCATCCAGCGAGCAGGCCAGCGACGTCGAAACCTACCATAGCCATTACACCGGTGGAGATAGGAAAACCGAAGAATGGCAGGAAGATTAAATTGACTTTGATGTCTGGGTTGCTGTACGCACTCATCACTAGTGTCGAGTAAACTGCACCTGAGGCACCTAAAGACGGCATTAGAGAGCGCTGCAGATACTTGGTAGCACTGATAGATGCGAGATTCGACATGCATCCCGCCGAGAGATACAGTGAGAGCCACTTAAACACTGCCGTCCCTTCGACTGTATCCGCGTGCTGCTGTCGTTCGAGGAACTTGAAGCTGAGGGGACCAAACGAGTAAAGAGCGAGCATGTTGAAGCCCAAATGAGCTATGCTTCTGTGGCTGTCGCAATTGTTAAATTTTTCCGCGTACTAAAGTTAACATACCTAAATACACTCGTAAGCATGGTATGAAGAGGTGAGTTGTACGAGTGGAGGAAATGGCGCGCCATATATCTTTGTACAGCTGGATGGGGAATCTGCCATCCAGCAAAGACTACCGTGTTGAGAGCGATTATAGCAGCAACACTTCGCTGACCATCAGTCATTGCGAGTAAGTCTTGAATGGGTCAATTAGCCAATTTCAATGCAAACTAGGATATTTGCCCACTCTCGCTTGCCAGAATGTAAACACGCTGTACGGTTTCAGGCATTGAGTGTATTTTATCCAGACCTGCCTGGAGCTTACTAGCCAGATTCATCTCCTTGATAGTCTTCAAGCGGCCAGAAGTGATACCTAACCAATTACTGCTCTGCTTTTCTAGGTGATCAGTCTGCCAGTTGGTGATCTGAGAAGCAGCAACGACAGAGAAGCCAGACAAGGACAAGGCGAATACAGCGGATTTACCGATTGGGATGAAAGGTCTGTTGTTGCCACCGAAGCCGAAGCCACTCTTTCCGGCGTATCTCTGTGCAAGCCTGGCGGAGAAGAACATGGTGGTAGCTGTGATAGCAGTGGCCGATAAATTTCAATTCCTTTGTAATTTTATAAAGAAATCCCAAAGAAGCTGTCCAAATGAACTGACGTATGCGGATTCGCTCGTACGATCGACTTTCATCATCTGTAACTGGAAAAAGAGGAAATGTTAAAAAGGAAATCAAGCAGCGGATTTTTTGGGATGGTGTCTGTTAGGTGAGTGTAAGAGTAGCCATAACCACACCGCTCACCTGCCAAATTTGACAGAAATTGCACTCTAATCTACACAACAACGACTTTCTTATGTTACGCAGCATCTGCATACGCAGCCTTTAATCTACTCACAATTTCATGTCCACATTGCACTACTTCCCCTTCCAACACCCACAACACTTCAACCTCCATTCTGGACAGCGCAGACGCACAAGCCAGGCTTGGTGCTAGACTGCTATTCGTATCCATCTGGTACGCATTCACTATGCTAGTCGCCTCCTCTTTTGGCTTCTGCGGTGTCGTAAACGTTAGTTACATCACCAACTTACGAATTTAATTTAATCTTATCCACAGGAAAGCATACGCACTCTAAAGCTATTCCGTATGATGAGCTCTATCGACGTTATTCTCTCCTTCCTACTTACATTCCTCCTCGGCCCTATCGGCTTGACGTTGTCGATCAAAGACTTTGTTTGTGACGCACCTACAAAGATTGAGAGCAATCACTGCTGGGATGTCTGGAGGTCGTCGGTGTACAGATTCATCGGCCTTACTCTTTTTATTATCGTATTTAAGGTGGGCTTGGTTTGTTGTGTTGAAAACTGCAAATTCTCATGTCTTTCTAACAGGTCTACCTTCTTGGATGCACGCATGTGTATATCAGACAATGTCAGCTAAGGCAGCGCAAGCTCAGACCTAGGCCTTCAATAGTACTTGTCCCACCACCACAATCCTCCACCACTCAACAGGTCGCGGGCTTCGTTGTACCTTCACCAACCCAGAAACACAAGAGATCGCACTCAATCAAGCAAGGCGGATTCCAGCAGGACGGAGGTCCAATAGCTCTAGCAATCAGACCAGGAGAAGGTCTGCTCCCTAATCACAGTTTCACAGATCAATATGAGCTGCTGACATAGCAAAATCATATTTTTATTCATCTTCCAGCCTCTGTATATCAAAGACCCCAACAACAGCAATATTTAATACGATCCTTAATAGCCTGTATACTTTATAGTTCCATTCATCTTTCAGCCTCTGTATATCAACGACATAAACACACCAGCAATATTTAATTTCCTACGTATGTTTATGATGAGCATGCTTATAAGGATACTGAGCATAAATGCCGATTACAATAACTCAAAATACTCAAATTTACTCAAGTGGAATATCAACTTCACCCTCCTTGATAGCCTCGATCAAGTCGTGTGGTTGCTTTCTGTCGACGGTGCAACCAACAGATTGGCAAGTACCCAAGACTTGCAAGACGGTGCCTGCCAAGTTCTTTGAGAGGGATTTGTAAGCCAAAGTTCTAGCAATGTTGATAATCTCGTCCAATGGAATTGAGCCAGAGTGCTTGACGTTCTTCTCCTTCTTTCTGTCACGTGGTGGCTCCTTCAAAGCTCTAATGACCAATGAGGAAGCTGAAGGAACGATAGCGACTTGAGCTTGACGGTTTTGGACGGTGAGTTGAACGGTAACACGCAATCCCTTCCAATCACCGGATGCCTTGGCGATATCTTCACCAATCTTCTTTGGTGACTGGAGTGTGTGTTAGAATACCGGTCTGCGTAGAGCAACTCAAGCTCACAAGACCGAGTGGACCTGTATAAAACATGTAAGCATTTTATCACTAAACTTGAAAACACTGCAAACTCACCAATCTTTGGTGCGAGTGCGGATGATGCACCAACTTCACCACCAACGGCACGGAGGTAGATGATCTTTACCTCATTTGGATCGATCTTTGGGGCCATCCTGATGAGCTGTGTGAGCTATGTGTGCTGGCGAAATTGATAGTAGGTGTATGTGGGTGGACTGTGGATGCTCGCTGAGGTCGCTGTGGTTGCTATGGAGTACTGTAGACTACCTTAAACTCCCTCATTATCCTTTCATCCACCCCAGCTACTATTCCAATTTTTAACTTACGTTGCTCAGTAAATATCGCTAGTCAAGAAGATTTGGCCCAGTTGGCGGAGTGCGTCGTCGAGATAAAAAATTATTTCTCTCGAAGAAGCGAATAAATAACTTGATCATGTATTTGGCGGTAATACAGTGAGTGTATTGTGTGTATTGGGTCTATGTATGTGTCCTTCTTCTGCTCAAAGGACTTTGGATGGTATAACGAACATGAGGTGTTCGCTGCTATTGATTGGGCCACCGTAGAACGACTCAAAGAATCCCTGTGTGTTTGTGTGTCAGAATTACTGCTTACTCTCCCCTCTCTCCTCTCACATAGAAAGCTAAGCAGCTGTTGTTGCATATTCCTAGTGCAAACACGCCAAATTAAGCCAGATTCTTCAATGCTAGCCACCTACCTACCTATAAAAGCCTTTGACGCCAGCTCCGGGACTCCAAATAGTTTTATTAGCTGCCGGCTATCGACAATGACCTTGGCTGTAGCGCCTATTGGGAGAGTTGAGAATGTGCATTGCGTTAATTCCATCCACACCTTCCCTAGCCTGAGTTTCCTGGCCTTGGAATGTCGTCCTCACACCGACGTTGTCGTTGAGAATGCTGAATTCCAGCACCCCCTTCCAATCTGCTGTAATAGAGACGAAGTTGTCCAGTATCCGCAGTTTCTCGAGGACAGTCTTGAGCTTGGACATGTTGGGTAATTGTATTGTAACCTGCACGTGCGTCATCAGCGCTATCACGGTGCTTCCAATGAGCGACAAACTGACATCTTTATCGGGAGTCTCTGGCCGGACAAAGGCATTGACGTATATCTGCTTCTGTGGCCTGCACGGCACGTCCTGCTCGATAGTGAAACGACTATTGTAGTGGCTCTATTGGGGAGTTTGAGTGTGTCTTACTTGTAATAAGCAATATCTCACCCACCAATGTACTTATAGACAGATTAAGCGTAGGTATAGCGCCCTTCTTCATAAGCCTGAGCAAAACGTTATCGGATTCGTGTGCTGATTTGATCGCTCTAAAGAGGTGCTCCATGCTGACTTCAATGTGTACCTCGTTGTTGTTGCTGCTCTCGCACCTGTATTCGCTGAATAGCGTGTTCTTCGTACTGTTAGTCTTGGCTTCTGGCTTAAGATCAGGCTCAATGACGCACTACGTTGAGCTGTCTGAAGCGCGTTGAGATTGCTGAAACGAAGCACACAGCTCACAACTCACAGCCACGATTTGACGGTCGTGTCTACGCCGCTCTGTCCTACGTAAACCGCGTCGTGCGTAAACCTAACTATTGCATGTCCATTGCCCAGCAGCTTAGCGAATGCTTGAGTTATCTGCGTAAACAGCTTCACGTTATAGATGATGCATCTGAACTGTGCGCTGTTTCAGCCGTGCTCTCCCTAATTTACCCCCGCTCCTCTCACTCGCATATCGTCGTGGTACCTTATCAAGACTCGAAAATCCATTTATAATTACATTTCTTATCATCGAATAAAGCATTGGCATTAGCATTGTTAGTTGCATCTAGTATCGTCACTTAAATTGTGCCTTCTTTTTCATCTTTTAACTTGTTTTTTCACTCATCTTTTCAATCTGAAGTCTCAGACTCAGAAGCATCTTCCCCATACACACCAAATGTACGAGCAGAAGTAGTTGGCGACATTGGCGGTGTGCCAATATCTCCATATACATTCCTAAGGCGAGCATACGTTGGATTCTCATTGACACTATCCAGACTAGGTTGGCGACTACTTCCCTTCTCCCTGTTTCCACTCCCACTCCTGCCCTGTCCTTGATTGTACACGTGACGCATTGAGACCGGTTGTGGTTTAGGTTGCGCTGTGCTTGTCCCAAATCTGCCTGGAGATCCTCTCCCACTCAGCACCGAAGACGGCTCGAATGCGGAGGTGAGTGATTTCGGGAGTATTGGCCTCGCGCGACCGGGTCCACTTGTTCCGCTCGGTGCTCCTGCAGCAGCTGAGGCACTAGCAGGACTAGTCAAGCCCGCCTCATTTTCGCTCTTTTCATCAATATCAAACTGATCGTCTTCGTCATCATCATCGTCATCTTCGTCAGCATCATCATCATCACCGTCCTTCTCGTGATCTCCAACTCCATTATCACCATTCTCTTCATTCTTGAATTCAGCGTGTTTAGGGCCCTCCTCCACGACAACAAAGGATTTCTGACGCGCACGTTCATTCCAGTGTAGAGTACGACTGAGCGACGAGAACCAATCGGATGACTGTTTATCAGCACATATGGTAGGACAAGGATACTTGGATGCAGTCACCTTAATATGGTCACCCTGCTTCAGCTCGACTCTGCCTCTGCCATCGAACGATGCCCAGGCAGTAGAACGAGAGTTAAACGGTACGCAAATGCGCAACTCCATCGAATCAGGCAGGAGCATTGGTCTGAAAGACAACGTATGAGCACATATAGGGCTTATTAAAAGAGCCGGTATTTCTGGATGCACGAGACTACCACCTGCACTTAACGAGTATGCGGTCGACCCCGTTGGAGTAGATACGCACAAACCATCAGCTTGTACTGTCGTCAGGTGGTTCTCATCTCCGAACAGCTCCAACATGGAAACATATGGTGAGGGACCTCTGTCGACTACGAGATCATTGAGCACGTTGAATGTCTCAACGGGACGCGTCGTGTAACACATTATTTCCTTGTCGCGCTTCTTCGCTGTCACTGGTGGCGTGTTGCCCTCCAGGGCATCCCATCCTTTTCCTTCTACGTTGCGCATCAGTATTTCGCCAGTAGCACCACGACGGAAGGCTGGTCTACGCGCATTAGCAGATTGCGGATCTTTTTGTCGGTACTCGGATCTAGGGGATGCATTAGCGGACTGTAACTGTCATTTATACGAATATGGTCTATCTACCCACCTATAAACCGTGCACGTAAACCTCATTCGTAAATTCACCCTAATGCCATCATCGACAATGCTATTGATCACCTTCTCCGAGTTTGTGAAATCAAAATTCGTTAAGAATCCAAGACTTCCGAGGGAGAATGGCAGCACGGGTGGGACGGTAGTCTGGAAGAGCCAGCTGGCAAACAACACAGTACCATCGCCACCGAGAGTGATTACGAGATCGAAAAGGTGGGGACTGTTGGTGCACATATCAGGTGTCCAGAAACGCAGCTGTCCTTCGTGTGGATGCTGTGAAGATTTGCTTTCTGGTGAAATGCTCGTACTGCTCAGATTAGCAGAGAGATCTGAACGACTTTGTGAACGTGGAGAGAACAAATGTGGATAGTCCTCTCTAATACCGGCAACATTGAATCGTTTCGAAGTGCGTAGCTGACTGTCTACGTAAACAATCATTCCATGTCCTTTGAGATCGTCTCTAGGGGTATTCATCAGATAGAGCGCCAATTTACGAGTCTGACGTATAAGTTGATGATCTCTAGCTTTAGTGATGATCATAACTGACTTGATTTTGCTCTTAACTCTCGCTCGGCCGAGCTGCTTGGACATTTCACGCACTCCGACGGCCGTCTCTGCGAGCTGCCGAGTGAGATTCTGGCGATCGTGTGCAGCTTCATCGGAATCGTCCATTTCACCTTCGACTTCCCCCGCTATGCTCTCTAGCACTTGATTATTGCTGCCGACGAGATTTGGGGCTATCTGAAGGTTATCGTGTGGAGTGCGCTTGTCAAAGTCTGTAACCGTTGCCGCGCAGTGGTCGAGGTATGAATGCAAAAGACACGGGCTTGCTAGTGCTCTATCGCTGGACTCTTGCGTCTTCTCCATCGGCGTTCGAGTGGCGTATGTTTTGCGTGCGAGATGAGCAGATGACGGTTGGAGATTAAGAAAGGTAAAATATAAAAACACTTTACTACAAAAATCTAGTCACCCATTCACCAGTGACATCCCAGCGAGAATTCATCGCGCGTGTGCTGACGTATTTGACAAAGTGCAGCAATCCAGCATCACGTAGTACGATGTGCAAGCGATTGAAATGGGGTGGGAGAGAGAGCAATGGCGCGTCCTCGTCGCCATCACCGCTATCGCCATACGTAGCTTCGTCGCTGTCTTCCTCGCCATTCAACCAAACGTCCCATCCACCAACGGCGCCTGATTGCCAGATATCGTCATTGTCCGTCAGATTCAGCCCAACATCCAATCTAGACGTCTCTGATGTACTCTTTTCGCCTCTTGCCAGAGTGTAGTCCAATCCCGGACGAAATCTTCGGCTTTCGATGAGATGTGTTTCGGGGATTGAGGAGGTGAGTATTGAGAGGAGTGCTCTGAATGGCTTGCTAGCAAATAGTCTATTGACTCTCGCAAACAGATCATCGTTATCGTGTCTCGTCAGCGATACATAGCGCTGTATGTGTGGCGGTCCGACGAGCTTCCAATCATTATCCTCGCCTGTTGTGTGAGAAGGTATCTTGTAGCTAGTGCCGTAGTTGTTTTTCTCTACGCGTTTGCTTCTCGCCACGCTGTCTACTTGATCGCGCCTCTTTATCTGCTCGTGGAGTGCGTTTGCAATGTCTTCCTTGAGGACTGAGGTGAGGGTGAGCCAAATAGCTAACCAAACAAGACCACCACATACAATCTGTCAGAAGCACGTGAGAGTCTTCTAGAAACTTGCTCTGAAGTAATTCTATGGTCTTGATATCAAGATACATCGGATTAACGAGTTGCTGGAGCTCATTGACCTCCTCATCATCCAGTTTCTCGGGGATATAACTTGGCGCTTTTTCGGAGTCACCATATGAAGTTAATGGACGGAGAGCAGCTGCGTACTGCGTGTGTGAGCTTCGACAAAAGTAAGACATAATAACCCACCAACTGCTCAAGCGAGCTCTTGGTCAATTCAGGCTGCGCGCCCTCATACTCCTCTTCTTCAGGTACAGGGCGATGGAACCATCCACTAATAGATATACGCTGGCCAACTCCCCCACTAACCGATTTATGCTGCAGTTTCGGGTGGAAAGCGACTTCTTCGACAGAGTGGAATGAGTGTCCAGGCTGCACCTCGAAGAAAGCAAACTGGTTGAATGACGGTGGGATACTGACGCTTGGTTTCGGTGCAGGTGTTGTGGGATTTGTTGGTGGTGAGCTAAGCGGGTACAGCTCAAGTGCACCACCGAATTGGGGCTCCCATGCCGGTTCTGGGAGTGGGAGGTAGAGGATAAATGATATTCTGCGTGTGCCGATGACATCATCGTGATTGAGAAGATCTGCGTAGGGCGTTAGAGTGGTTTGCACAAACATAACCCAAACCCACGGCAGCCAGAACCGTAGTTGTTCGTCGACATATCCGTCTTTACTCCAGAGAGTGGCCCACACCCTGTCACCTCCCTCAGAAAGCGTCTGAATTGGGCTGAATAGAGCATGTTGCGCAGTGTGAGCAGCGTGGGCAACTCAGCGCGCTCGTCTTCAGGAAGAAGATGAATGTTCGAGAAGTCGCCGCTTTGTGTTATCTGCAAGCGCTTAATACAGTCCACTGACCTAGAACGAACCCACCTTGTATATATCCGTTTCCTTCTCCTTGAAACTCAGCTTCAATAGCTCTTCTCGAGCCTTGAGTAGGAGTTTTTCTTCGAATAGCTTTGGAATCACTGCGTGCTTGTAGGGCGAAGATTGCTTGTATGCCGCGCGATAGTCTTGAGCACTGGATGGCGCAAATAGCCCGTCGCTGAAATATTCACTAACATCTTCAATCGCTGTCTTGTTAGTGCTGCTAGTGCTGCTATCTGACTTTTGTTTTTTAGCTGCAGGTTCTGCCATTGGTGGGTGTATTGAATGTGAAGAGAGAAGACAGCGTAAAATCATTCAAAAGGCACATTTACAAGGCTAATATATACTACAAACACATTCCTCACTTGAAATACTCCTCAAACCACTGCAGCGTAGCTTCGAAGCCGGCCGTCTCAGCCTCCACCGAGTCGAGAGGATGGCCAGTGCGATTGAAAGTGAGCATATCAACAATCTTCCGCGAGGCTTTAAGAGCGTGAAACCAGTGTCTAGTCTGCATATTCGGTACTCGCTGGTCATCACACCCTGCCAAGAGGAGGGTAGGAGCGGTAACGGAGGCAGCTTGGTGGAGAGGCGATAGCGCATCCATCCGTCTATACTCCTCCGCCGATGGAGCCTGTCCACTCACACTGCCCCTCCCGCTCAATCCACTCTCCACAAAGCACCAGTCTGGAATATCGCTCTGTGTAGCATTCGACGCGAGGCTGATGACTGGATTGCGCATGACAGCAACTGCAAAGCGCTTTGGATGTTGTGCTGTGAGGTGAGCCGCGAGGAAACCGCCATGCGAGCCACCATAAGCACACCACCGACCTGACTCCACCCCGTACACTCGTTCAGCCATATCCATAGCTGCGAGGCAGTCGGTGACATCATGCTCTCCCACATGCCCGAGTAAGCTGCGCAGATAGCCGCCGCCATACCCTGTCGATCCGCGGTAGTTGGGCAGCACCACCGTCATACCTGCTGCCGCAAGAGCTGCTAGGGCGGGTGAAAACATGGGCACGCTCGATGAGTGCGGTCCGCCGTGCGGTAAGATTATTCCCCGCTCCGTCTTACCCGTGGGTGAGTAGAGAATCCATGACTTGGTGCGAGCATCAAACTCTACGGCGAGCGTGCTGAGTATCTGCTCGAACGCACGACTGGTGTGGCGGTGCAGCGTCTTCGTTTGCCCTTGCGCTGCATCGTGCGCGCCCACCCCACTACACACCAGTATTTGCTGCGCAGCGGTGAAGGTGGATTGCGAGATAATCGCACGAGATCCGAACGCAGCGAGACAGTCCAAGCTACTATGGGAGGAGCGTGAGGTGTGGGATTGCTGCGCGTCTGCAAGAATGCTAATATCCTGCACATCTTCACCGATCAACTCAAAACGAAGAACAGTCTTCCTACTACCGAGGATAGACGTGGCAAGCAAAGCGTCGTTCCCCCCATCAACTTCATCCCAGAGAAAGGGTTCGTAAGGGAGCTGATCAATGTAAAGGCCTGGATCGTTCGTGTCATGCCTGTTAATCCTCGACCAGCCCATGCCATAAGGGTTGCCGTCGGTAGTGATGCACTCCACCCTGCAGTTGCTCGCGTGTGGACCGTCAAGCTCGTTAGAGAGGAACACAACCACGTGCCTGCCGTTGCTGAGGGTGGTGCACCGTGGGCTGCGTACTGAGCGAGATGCATCGGACAGCTGCGTTGTGCGTCTAGTGTCCACATCCACCGCATGTATCGCGCTAGGTCGGTTCTGGCAGTATATTATACCCAAGCGGCTCTCGTCGTGTTGGTTGGCGTAGGCTGTGAATATTACCTCCTTCTTACTCCGCCCGAATTGCGGCTGGCCGAGAGAGTGGGTGGGCAGGTCAGCTGTTACTTCTACGGGAAGGTATGGTGTGTCTGGTGTGTGTAACTGGTCTGCCTTGTCTAAATCCATGTAGTAAACGCGAGGCTGCTGCAGCGTAGGTGGGAACTGCTCGCCCCTACCAAAGTATCAGCCTCAGGTCAACATACACACAAACCACCCACCATGACGGCACATAACGGCGTTTTTCGAAGAGAGAGACAGCGTCATCATCTCCATCGCTCTGCTTACGTCTGTCGGCTGTGTACACCAGCGCACGTCCACACGGCGACCATCTAACACGACCGAAAGTTGGATCAGCGCAGAAGAGGCCGTGGGAGGTAGTGACGTTTATGGAATGCGTCCGATGACCAGATTGGAGGTTGTAGATATCGACATACAGCGTTTTCTTTCCGTCGCTGCCGCTGCTGCCATTCAAAGTGCGCAATATGGCCTGGCGGTTTCCGTGCTTGTCGACAGCTTGGTCGGTGACGTCAACGAGCTCAGCAGCGGTGGAGTGGATAGATTCATCTGAGTCGTTGAGGAGGAGCGTCCGCTGTGTCTTCACTTTCGTTTGGCGCTGTGTGTGGGGTTGTGTCTGGGTGAGATGGGCTACGTATGCATGGTTGGCGCTGCTGGAATCACCGAGTGGACGTAGCTGTGCTGATGTTACAGCCGGTGAATCGTAGAGTTGGTTAAATAGCTTGCGCGTGTGTGTGTGCGCCATTAGATGATGGTGGTATCTCCTCAAGACAGAATCTGAGGGGATGGTGCATTTTGAGCGTGTGGAATGGGCGCTATAGCGCAAGGGCTGCTTTATAATGCTGTTTAGCCTAATATTCATGGACGTTTGAAATTTTTCACGTAAACGTAACAGATGAAAGAAGTTGTCAAAGAATCCAATTCTGATACCCAAATCAAGCTGTACATTCTTCACAGGACTGTCGCATCTCCCTCTAAGCCACCTCCAGCATCTTGTTTCGCGCCGATTCAACAGCTTCCTCTTCTGGGCATTGGCGGTGGTTTGCGGTGTCATTCACCTCTTCCAAAGCTAGAAATCATGCCAGCGACAATTCAAGTTATCTTTGAGCACATAAAAGGCGTAATCGCGTCGACAAACGGCACGCTGTACCAGACATGCAGACATCTTTACGAAGCCGGACTCCCGCTCGCATATGGCATTATATACGGCACAAAGGTGGCGTTAGAAGATGCGAGTGAGGAGAAGTACACAGAGCACCTCCGTTTCCTGAGCTTTATCGCTGATATGCGACATTCGCCCGTGTCTCAGGCTGTGCGCGAGGTGTTTGTCAATCTGGAAACACCGGAGTTCCCAAAGTGCTTTTCAGTCTTGATCTGGAAATGTGCAAGTATTTACATCGCCTCGTCAATCTCTAGTGTTTGCACGTGTCCATTAGGAATTTGGCTGCGTTCAGCGATTATACTCGTTTGAGAAGCTCAATTCACTCACACTGCACATCCGTATACCTTTGGGCCCATCTACGCCGCAGTTGGCGCAACTGCTCTACGTCAAATACCCGAATTTGGAACACATAAAGTTGTTTGGGAACATCCATACGGATTTCAACGAAGAAAGCGAGTGGGATTTATATAAATATGGGCTGGTTGAGTGCATGAAGCGTCTCAACCGGAAACATAAGCTGAAAACAATCGTGTTTGCTTCGTACGACGATCTTTACGGGACGAAGACTTGAGATTTGTGTGGACTCTATGAGAGTTGTTGATTCAACAACTTGTACGCTGATGAGAGTGTTACGAGGGAGGCGAATACAGACTGGAACATGATATTGAACATGTCCGAGGATAACATAGAGTTCAAGCTGTGGAGAGCGAGGTACAAAACAATGAGGAGTACTGGAGGAAGATGGTGGTAAGAGGAGGAGTCGACAGAGTAAGAAAGTAAGACACGATATAAATATAAAGATACGACTATTACTGCAATTGCTACTGCTGGCCAGGTATGAAGCCATCGCGAAGCATGCGTTCAAGGCGCGCAACTTCATCGGCCGAAGAAGCCTCGATGATTGACTTGCGGATGTTTTCTCTGTCTTGAGGGGTGAGTAGTCTACCCTTGTGCTCGTGTTGGTGCTGGTGCTGCTGACCACCTGGGATAAAGGTGTTATCATGCTGTGTGTGGTCATCGGAAGCTGATTTTAAGGATGTAATTTCAAGAGCAGCGGCTGTGGGTCTGCCATCGTCCGTTTCGAACGTGTCTTTAGCGAGACTGCGCTCTTTATCAGACACTCTCTCGTAGTCCAATACGCGTAGTTTGGGGAGGATGTACACGAGCCAGAGCCTGTACCTGGGGGATTCAGTTGCCGGGTTGAAGCGGAGGTCGAGGAAGGTGAGGCCGGGGTGGTTTGCGAGCGAGTTGAGCTCGCCAAGTTGGAGTCGGTTGTGGTCAGCGATGAGCGAGGATAGCCTGGGAGTGGATTTGGAGATGCTCGGGGATATCGACTGAATCAGGTTATGGGAAAGGATGAGCGAGTTGAGATTGAGGAGGCGTGGGAGGAGGGGGATGGAGTGGATGAGATTGTGAGATAGCAGAATCGTCGACAGCTGGTCCTTGGTTGCACCGAGATTCTCAATTGAAGGTATTTTCAGTCCACTGAGGTTCAGTTCATGCGAGGGTTCGATTGGACTTATCCTGACTAGTAATTTATAAGCCTCGTGGATATTTAATAGCTATACACTTACTTGGTGTGCTCGCTAGTAATTCTGAAGTGATTTGAACCATGACAGTCTTTGAAGAGAAACCACGACGATGGGCTTGAAATTTAATAGGCAGCTCTTCAAGTGGGCTGTTGGCGGTGGGAATATCAGTCACAGCAGTCACACCAGTCACACCAGTCACAGCAACCACAGCAGCCACCCCGTGCGTACACACCACTCTCCTCCATTCCCTCTGACGCCATCTCCAGCCGCACCGGCAGTACGTTCGCAGCCACAGGACTTCACAAGCGCACTCCAATACCCACGACGACGCTGACCATCTCCTTCACTTGTCCCGTGGCCGTAGCTCTACTCCCACCACACAGCGAGCCACACAGGCGCTGCTAGCGATGGATGCACCCGCCACTCCTTCTACCCCATTTCCTCCAGCCACTCCCTCTACATCCGCCCACCACGACCGCCACGCTCTACTCCACCGCATACGCCTCTACGCCCGCGCACACGACGTACCCGGAGCGTTACGCGAGCTGAACGCGATATTTAGCACGCAAAGCAGTGTAGTGTATCGTCGACAGTTGTTCCCGGACGCGCTCACGGTGAACGCGCTGACTGTGTTTATGGAGGAGGTATCGCACAGCGGGAGTATCAGCAGCCTCGCCCTCCTCCAGCTAGTGCTCGACGAGGAGCTGCTGCTGAAATCGCGCACACACACTCTCCTCCAGACTCCCACCATACGGCGTCCACTGGGTTACGGCGAGCTCGTCCGCCCACTCTACCGCGCCCTCTTCCAATCCCCTCTGCGCGAGCTAGCTGGGGCTGTAACGAGCGATGCGCACGCAGAAATACTCATGATTATCGCTAATGCCCGCGAGAGCTACACGGCTGCCGCGCAAGGCATCTACGAAACACTTGTTGCCCGCTCTCTGCGCGTAAGTGAGGGCAGTGCGCGAGTACTCATGCACCATCTCATCAAAAAGGGTGACGTGAACGGTGCCAAGACTGTCTACTTCACTATAGAGTCACCTGCGTTGGAGACGAAGAAAATGGTCGCTAGGGCGTATGCACGCGACGGGGACACGCGCGCATTAGAAAGCTTGGACGGCGTAGGCAGTGGGAGTGGTGGTGTGTCGCACACAACCACCCTCATCGCACATGCTCAGCGCGGCCATCTGGACACGGTGCTGAGTGTGTACGCGGGCATCCGCCACCCGAGCGCGAAAGACAGAGAAGCCGTGCTGTTGTGTTACGTGCAGCGAGACGATCTGGAAGGTGCGTTAGGCTGGGTGCGCAAGGTGGAAGGAGAACGGGGTACTGGTCGCGGTGCAGGCGCAAGTGCAGGGCTCAGTCGGCGATCGATCTACACGCGTCTGCTCACTCTCTTCGTCCGTCGACTCGATGTCGATGGGGCGATGGAGGTGGTTGACATGATGCGTGCCGAGCACCTACCCGTGCGACTGGACCACTATGCGCAGCTAATCGCACTACACGCGCGGCGGTGTGACGATGCAGCTGCCCTGCACACTCTCCACACTATGCACCTTTCTCCCTCCCTCGAATGTTGGAGCGGGGTGATGAATGCACACGCAAACGCTTGCAACTGGCACAGCGTTATAGGGGTATACAAGCGAATCCGCGCTCGTTTCCGTCTCACTGCACCCACTTGCAACACTCTCATCAAGGCGTACGTTATGTTGGGCAGTGCGTTCGAGAATGTGCTCGCAGTCGTACGCGATATGCTCGCCATGGGCGTGCGTGGCGATGAGACGACATTTGCGCTTGTTATGCAGAGCGCATGCGATATGGGACGTATCGACGCAGCCACCGCGCTACATGAGGAACATTGCAAATGGAGTGAAGAGGGTCTCGTGCACCCACCTAACGCTATTCACTACACTATCCTTATCGCTGCTTTATTGCGCGTTGGGCAGTTCGCAGATGCGCGCAAGTGGTATGGACGCATGAAGGAAAAATTTGTTCAACCTGATTCAGTCACTTATGGCGTGATCCTCGCTAGTTATCTCGCGCGTGGCGGCGAGGAAAACGTGCAGGTAGCTAAAGTTACCCTGGCCAACTTATTAGGTCAGGAGGAGAATGAGTCGCGCAGCAATCTCAATAGCAGTCGCACTGGCAATGGCAATGGTAATGGCAATAGCAATAGCACTCCCACTCGCGCTAGCTGGATGGAGGCCAGCAGATCGCACTCGCGCACACTCTCCAATGTCCTCAGGCCATTCCTGCAGAACTACGGTAAGAAATTCACGCCTGAGCTTGCTCGTGAGACGTTTGAGTATATGGCTGATATCGCCGACGGGGCTGGGGACATAACCAACTTGACCATGCTAATGGATGGGTATCGTCGCGTGGGCAACTATGCAGTAGTGGACGATATCTGGGGAAGCATACTAGGCAGTGCGGGGGAGCGGGAAGGACATTCAAAGCATTCAACTCAGTCAACTCAGTCACAGCCACCCCGCAATACGCTGTGCCTCCCGCTATCAATTTACATGGACAGCCTGACCATGCAGCACAGACTGACAGACCTTCATGATACTTTCCGTGTGGTGCGCGAACGCGGATTTGCGTTGGATGCGCATAATTGGAATCATCTGGCTGTTGCTCTCGCCAAACTTGGAGATATCCGGCTCGCTTTTGCGGTGCTCGAGCGGATCGTGCGCGTTTATGTTACCAAGCGGCGTAAGGGGGTGTATAGTTGGTATGACACGGAGGAGAAGGAGGAAAAGGAGAAAAACGAGAGCAACAAGGAGAAGGAAAATCAAGTAGACGACACACCACAGCCGAACAGAGCAGCAATACGCCGGACAAACACCACAGGCATGCGACAAGACCGGGAGAAACGGAATGGTGATATCGTTCCACTGCTGCCATCACCCACGCCACGCAATGAACACAACGTACACAATGCACAAATTGATCTGCTGAAATACATGGATGACATAGAAGCAGAAGGCGGGAACCAGATGAATTGGCACGCGCATCATCGCACACTCGAGGTACTCGTGCAAGTAAGGCAGAATATGTCGCCGGCTGAGTGGATGGATGTGCAGGCGGAGTATGTCGGTGCGTCCTGGGCAATACGGCGCCACGAAGCGAGGAGAGGTGGAGAAAGCTGGGGAGAGGAGTGAATAGGAATGTTCATAATATAATATATTCAAATATTCAAATAAAAGTAATTTTTAATTCGAGGAATGTTAGTGCGTGCGTGGTGAGAATGCATCTGAAGCTAGGGGACGTGCGCGGAGGCGAGGTCGATCCGATACGGCCAACAAGTAGAAACGCAGATATGAGCAACAACAGCAACTCACACAGCACATCGCCCATTGAACGTGAAGGGAGTGTAGAGAATGAAACGATGACTGCCAGCGCACACGGCGCACACGGTGCTCACAGCAGCGCACAGCCATCCCCACCTATACCACAAACAGCACCACTTAACGTATCGAAAGAGCAATCACCAGCAGTCTCAAACATAGTCAGAAAGAAGCTCGGAGGATTCGTCGGATTCGCCAATCTGCCAAACCAAGTACACCGCAAGTCTGTGCGCAAGGGATTCTCATTCACTTGCATGGTCGTAGGTGAATCAGGATTGGGCAAGTCGACGCTGGTGAACACGTTGTTCGAAACTAGCTTATATCAGCCAAAGACACTGCCAGAGTTGGGCTCCGAGTTGAGTTCTACGGTTGGTATAGAGAATATATCAGCAGATATCGAAGAGAATGGCGTAAGACTAAAGTTGACAGTGGTGGATACGCCTGGCTTTGGTGACTTTATCAACAACGACAGCTCCTGGGATCCTATAGTCACCTCAATCGAGTCGAGATTCGATCAATACCTCGAACAGGAGAACCGAGTTAACAGGGCAAAGCTCAACGATAACCGCGTTAATGCTTGCATATACTTTATTCAACCAACAGGACACTCGCTCCGTCAAGTTGACATAGAGTTCATGAGAAGATTGCACACGAAAGTAAATTTGATACCAGTAATCGCAAAGAGTGACACGCTTAGTGAGGAAGAGGTTGATTCTTTCAAGAGACGCATTCTAGCAGACATTGAATATCACAAGATCGAGATATTCAAAGCACCTGCGTATGAGATGGAAGATGATGAGACAATACAAGAAAACAGTGAAATTGAATCAAAGATACCATTTGCGATTGTTGGCTCAACGCAGACGATTCAAACAGGAGACGGTAGAAGTGTTCGCGGTAGATCATATCCATGGGGTGTTGTTGAGGTTGATAATGAGGAACACTGTGACTTTACAAAGTTAAGACAAATGATGATTAGAACACACATGGAGGAGTTGAAGGAGAATACCGGGATTCTTTACGAGAATTACAGATCAGAGAAGATGTTGGCTATGGGAGTTCAACAGGATGCAACGGTGTTCAAGGAGGTTAACCCAACAGCCAAGGCGGTTGAAGAGAAGACCTTGCACGATGCCAAGCTTAGCAAGATGGAAGCAGAGATGAAGCTGGTTTTCCAACAAAAGGTACAAGAGAAGGAAGCAAAGCTGAGACAAAGTGAGGAAGAACTCTACGCGAGACACAGGGAGATGAAGGAATCGCTAGAGAAGCAAAGAGGGGAGTTGGATGATAAGAGGAGGAGATTGGAGTCGGGTAGGCCACTGACACCGGAGAGAGGTGGAGGCGGAGCGCAATCGACGCAGAAGAAGAGCAGAGGGTTTCTACGTTCATAAGGTGGAGTAGAATTAGTCAAATGTAGCAAATTTTAACTTTAATTTAAATGAATAACAAGAAATGATTTTGTTGATTACGTCGATGAAGTGGTTAAAGAGCAAGGTAGAAGGGAATCTGGATAGGTGGATAGAGGATAAGAGTGAATATAATCTATATAACATAATAAATATAATAAACGATGATAACGTTAAGGATTTGGTTAAATGCGTTAAAAGTAGATTGAAGACGGAGTATATGGACATGGAATACTTGATGTTGGTATTGGTGGAGGTGGATATATTCGCAGCAGCTATAAATAATGCAAAGACTATCTCGGTAATCGTTGATTATAATGAGCTGTTCATTAAACTCTACTTGAAGTTGATCAACTCAAATCACTTGATTGTTGAATCATTTGAACACAAGTATCAACCCATTTTGATCTTATACGATGGTCTATTTGAACACTCTTATTCCTCTCATCAATTAGCCCAAATTAATCTAACCAATTCAGTCAAAGTTTCACTTGAATTGCTCAACAATTGTCTCATTTATAATAAGTTAGACGTGGTCGAATTCACTGATAGTTATAAAGCATGTCTTGATTTCCACAATACTTACAAAGACTCCTTAAACACCTTACAGCTCACCGCCTCCTCCTCACGCCTACAACGCGACCAGTCCATCGCTTTCTCCATCGATTGTTACAAGATTGCTGGTATTCTGGACGACTACAGAGACACTTACACCCCAGATGAACTCATTTTACACCACACTCGCGCCCTTATCGAAGAAATTCAAAACAGTCTCAATGAATACCACCATCTATCCCTCCACATCAAGCAAGACGAGGAATTGCATCTCGTTACTCAGCAATCCATTCACGATACACGCTTCGATAGGTCTAAACATCCACCCACACCCACACATTCACTTCACTCACTCCATTCACACTCCCAATCTCACCATCAACACTCATCTCAACAATCCTTCAGTTTTGAAAGGATTCCTTATAGCACTTCGATTCCATCCGATTTAGGTGGCAGCAGCATGTCCACTCACATACCAATTGCTTTTGAGTTGGCTAATAAGGGTAAGCTGGGTCTGATGGCAAACATGGTAAATAGAAGTAACGACTACGATATCATCACTCCCCTTCCAACGCACAAATCAATTCAGAAAAGAAGACAGCTCGATGATTATCACCCTGGGAATAGCTACAACGACCAAAACCAAGATAATGAACATGACTACGATTATGACTACGAACACGACCACGAGCATGACCAATCCACCTCTCCCTCTGAGTATTATCAACCTTCACAACAACTCGAGGTTGACCATGATATTCAACAATACCACGACCAAGAGCATCACCATGACATGTTCCAAGACTGCTCTCCATATGCTGGCATCGTAGAGTGCACCACCCCGACAAGACCCACAAAGTAAAATAAATCAAAATGAATTCAAGTAAAAGTATTTTTGTTGTGCTATTATCATTACTATGCCACTTGCAAACCACCTAATTAACTCCTGTGTCTGACTGTACCAACTCATCTATCTCCTGCCTCTACCTCTACCACCTCTCATACCGCCCCTGCCTCTCATTGCAGATTGAGCAGTCTGGCGATCGATTGGTGGACCTGGATTCTGACCTTCAGATTGAGGATTACGGATAGTTTCATCTACAGAGAGAACCAAACAGGCTGCTTCAGATGCACTAGCAATAGCGTTCATCTTGACAAGAGCAGGTTCCCAAATGAATTGCTCTACACTATTACCGACTCCTTCAGTCTCAATATCGACACCTGCCCAATAATCATTCTTTGCATGCTGCATGCGCAGCTTATTGAGTATATCAGTAGCGTCGAAGCCAGCATTATCGCAAAGTTGACGGGGTATGCCTTCTAATGATTTGGCGAAAGCAGCTATAATTAATTGTTGCTTTCCTTCAATAGATCTACTGTAATCTCTTAATCTCTTTGACAGCTCCATCTCAATTGCACCACCACCACCAACGATAGTGCTGTGTTTGATGGTTCTCCGAACAATCATGATTGCGTCGTGCAAAGATCTTGCCACTTCAGCAATAAACTGCTCAGCACCACCACGTAAGATGATAGTGCATGTTTTAGTAGCAGGGCATTCAGTGAAGATGTTGAAACGGTCTGAACCAATTTGACGCTCTTCAAAGCGACCACAACTGCCGAGGTGTTTGTTTGTGTCAATATCTGAGACTGTCGACTGGACTGATCCACCGAGTGCTTGAGTGACGCGCTTCATGTCGTCTGCAGCTACTCTACCAGCACAGAAAATATCCCTGTCTGCGAAATACTGCGTTGCAAGATCACCAATTGGGAGTTTTGATAATACGACCTTTGCACCTGTGTTGACGATTGCTTCCAGTTTCTTGTAGATAATGTCCCATTCAGCATCGACAATCTTTTGATACTCGCTCACATCCTCCACTCTCACCTCAGCATTGTCCTTCTCAGCCTTAAGTTCGAGCTCCACGTTGAGACAGAGAATGGTTGGGTTAGTGAAGGATTTTGGCTGTTGTTCGAAACCTGCGTAACTGAAAGTTTTCTTGAAGGCGACACCTTTAACGAGTAAAGAGTCCTGCATACCACCACCAGGAACCTTCTTAACACCGATGTAGTCTTGGTTGAGGTCGTCCTGGTTAAGACACATGACGGCATCGACAGCCATATTGGTGAAGAAGGGTTTGTAGTTCTGGATAAGTTTAGAAGACATACTGGTAGCAGCGCACTTAAGGAGATGCTGTCTAAATTGAGTTGGATCAGATTTATCGATTGGGATTCCCAGCTTCTTTATCTCATCGAGGGCGACTTGAGTTGCTTTTCTATAGCCCTTCATGATAATATAAGGATTAACGCCGTCTTCAATGAATGACTTGCACTCTCGGAGCATTTCACCGGCCAAGAGGGTAACTGAAGTAGTTCCATCACCAACCTCAGCATCTTGAGCGCGGGCGATGTCAACGAGTGATTTAGCAGCTGGGTGGACAATCTCAAGCAGCTTGAGGATCGTTGCACCGTCGTTGGAGATTGTAGCCTCGCCTCTGTTGCTGACTATCAGCTTATCCATGCCACGTGGACCGAGAGTGGAAGCCACACAGTCGACAACAGCCAAACAAGCGCCAATATTAGACAGCAGCTGTCCTTTTCCCTGTGAGCTGTCTGTGCCATCTAATCGAAGACGTCAGAAGGTTTGAGTGGTGGGGATTCTGCTCACCTCTGAGGAGAATTATCGGTGGTTGCTGGTATATCTGTTAAATGTAATCCAATTATACTGGAAATCTCACCATCATTCCTGGCAACGACATTTTTATTCTTCGTCGCTTGGTCGTTGAGAAGAAGGCTCAGCTTACAGCACGCACGCACAAATCAAATATCAAATTCATCCATCTACGCGTGTTCTAATGCTATTTACGCGTCTTCTAGAACTAATCTACGTCTTCTGATTGTACGTTATCTGATGGACCAATTGTACCGCCAAACGAGCCTGGCATGTTAGTTGTGGGGTCAGAGCTGCGACGAGGGCGTTGAGTGTGAGTGTGAGTGTGAGTGTGAGTATTCTCCCGCCGTCTATCCCACTCTTGCCTCTCCATTGCGACGCTGTACCTGCAAATCGGACACGTGCCATTGATATTGAGCCATCCAGCGAGACACTGTGGGTGAAACGCGTGGCTACACGGCATGGCCATCCACTCATCGCCCACCTTGAAGTCCTCTTTGCATATTGAGCAGTCTGTGATTTCCTGCGCGCGTATCCAGCCCATATCAGCTAAACCACGCTCGAGTCGCGCAATACGCTCATCTGATGCGGGTATAACGGAGGATGTCTGCTGATTCTCCATTAATTCATCAACGAACCTATCAAATGCACCCTGCGATAGTATGTAGTCACCGAAACGCGCTTCTCCACCGCTAAACGACATTGAAGGCACATCACTCGATCCGAGCAGAGACGACAAGAGGTTTTGGATGTAGCCACCGATGTTATTGTTGTTGGTGTTATCACTGCTGCTGTCTGGCCGCGTACTCGAGTGTATTGGTGGTGGCTGGAATGAATTGGCGAGGAAGTCGCTCAAAGTGGGGTTCTCTAGGTTGCGTGCGTCTTGTGTATTCTCTGGATTCTCTGTGTCGTGCCTGTTCTCTGTGGCCTGCCCTCCAAACGAGAAGGTCATGGGATTAGCGCCACTGCCTATCATCACATAACCGCGTCTGCTGGCTGGATGAGTGGCTGAGTTGGCGGGTGGACTGGGTGGAGTGAAATGTGAATGCCCTGAGTGCGCTGATCGCCCAGATCGCCCCGATTGCGCTCGTTGCACACGTTGTCCACCAAAGAGCCCCCTCATGAACTCCTCTATTGGATTTATAGTGTTGTACTCTGGCGTGCTCACCTCCGTGCCCGGGATATCATGACGTATCTCCTCAACGAACTCGCTCTGGCAGCGGCTACAGACTCCGCCAACCAGCCTCCCTTGAGATGTACACGCGTGGCAGTAATATTCCATTTTTATTTTATTCAATCGCCACGACTTGGTGGTTGATCACTAACCACCATCACCCGCTTATCGGTGAGAACCACTAAATGGCGCCAGCTTCTCCCACACGCAACTACGCCATTATAATCGATGCTGGATCATCTGGCTCCCGGTCCCAGATCTACAGCTGGGAATTGGGTCGACGTGGGGACGCGCAATACGCCCACGCGCTTCTCCCCAACGTCGAGCTGGGCTTGGGCCGCGGAGCACCAGGAGATACCCTCGGCGACGCGCCGTCTCCTTCGGGCTGGAAAGTTGAGCCAGGGCTCAGCGCGCTTTCCCCGACCGCTTCCACCCTCGAGCTTTATCTGCGTCAACTCATCCAGCCCGCTCTCGATCTCCTTCCGCCCAGCGCTCGCCCCACAACCCCCGTCTACGTCCTCGCGACTGCCGGGATGCGTCTTCTCGCCCCGCAGCAAGCTCACGCCCTCCTCTCGAGCGCAGACGACGCTCTCGCCGCTATTCTGCCTCACCACCGCGCCCACTTGTCCTCTCGCATCATCTCTGGCGAAGAAGAAGGCTTCTTCGGGTGGCTCGCTGTCAATTACCTTATGGATGGCTTCGTCGACAGGCACGGGAGGCAGCCGCAGCTGCAGTCACCCGCACACTCTCACTCCTGGGGCTTCCTCGATATGGGCGGCGCATCGACGCAGATCGCTTTCGAGCCGACGCGCGGGTGGGGTGGAGACGTAGCCCGCGAGAAGGATGACGGTCTGATCGACTTCAATCTACGCATGTCCGATGGCACTCACCGCCCGTACACGGTGTTCGTCGCGACGTGGCTGGGCTACGGCACCAACCAGGCGCGCGACCGCCACGTGCGCCACCTGATCAAGCAGAAGGAGAGTGTCAATGAGAGCGATACAAACAAAATCAATAGCATATCCTACACAGACACTGTCGCAGACGCGGAGGCACCCGACGACGACGACAGTCTGCATATACCCTCAACGCAGGCACCTCAACTAACGATCGAGGATCCGTGTCTACCGCGCAACTTGGACGTGGTCGATGTGTACACATCGCACAACATCCACGGCACAGGCTCCTTTACGGGGTGTTTGCGCGCATTGGAGCCCCTCCTCGAGCGGGAAGCCTTCTGTCCACACCCACCCTGTCTGTTCGGTGGGCAGCGTGTACCACCTATAGACTTCTCCCTCGACCGGTTCGTCGGAGTGAGCGAATATTGGTTCTCGTCCGAACATCTTTTCGGTCTAGGCGGCGCATGGGATCTCGTACGCTTCGAGAGGGCTGCCGAGGAGTACTGCGCGCAAGACTGGCACGCTCTCGAGCGAGAGTGGAAGCAGGGAAACGTTACTGGCACTAGCGGTAAGTGGGGCGACCAGATCGACCTCCCACGCCTGCGTATGCAGTGTTTCAAGGCGAGTTGGATCGTAGAGGTGCTGCACCAAGGTGAGTCAAGGGAGTAATCAAGACACATGAGCTAACAATAAGCCACTCGCAGGCATAGGCATTCCGCGTATCGTAGATCCTGGAGGTAACATCACCACCGCCGATCCTCTCACAGAGGCCAACGAGAAGGCGGGTCAGAAAGGGCTGCGCTATGGCGAGGGTGAGCGGGAGCAGGAGCAGGCACCCTCACACGCTCCCTCGCACGAACCCATATTCCAATCGGTGAATGCCATAGACAGTGTACCAATTTCATGGACACTAGGCTCAGTACTCCTCACAGCATCTGGATCGCAGTCGCCTTTCCTCGCCTACAGCACCAACACTCCACACAGCACCTCGGACGACATATTCACCTTCACCGGTGTGAATGGCAAGCTGCTAGCGCTGGAGAGTAGGACGGGTGTGCGTGCGGTGTATGTGTTGGCTGCACTCGCCCTCCTTCTGCTAGCAGTAGGGTGGTATGCGTGGTATGTGTATCGCAGACGCTCGCGCAGACGCCGCGACAGTGACAGCGACAGTAATGTGCAGCGATACACCGCCATACCCACCCAGATGGAGGAGGGTACTGAGGCGATCTCGCTCAACGACGTGGGGCACAAGGCATACTCGCACAAGAGTCGCAGTGGGAGTGGGAGTAGTTTGGGCAGTTTAGCAAGTGTGGGTAGCAGAGGTGCTGCCGCTATCGGCAAACTGCAGCGGTCCGTGCGTCGCCTCGCTAGAATTATGCCAGGCTGGAGTTGGAGCTGGCGAGACTGGACTAAACCATCTGCTCCCCGCTCGCGCACACCGAAGCTGCGCTATAGCGGTGGTTTGCCCTCGGATCCTACCAGTCAACCCCTCCAGCACACCTCGAGCAGTCCGGCCATCATGACTATCAAGAGTGCCCCTTCAACGCCCAAACGTGGCTCGTCGCGGCTGCACGCATACAAAAACAGCCAGAATGTGGATGTGGACGTTGGTGGGGTTGGTAGTGGTGGTGTAGATGCAGGTGTAGGTGTTAGTGGCAGTGCGATCAACGACAAAAGCACAAACACAAAGAAACAACCACACGCGACTGGTTTGGGATTATTTAGAAACCCTCTTGATAGATCGAGCAGTAGTGTTCACGTCGATCAACTGGGCTTCCAACAGCAACAACAGCAACAGCAACAGCATCCTTCATCCCAACTCCAACTGAATCCACCACAAACCCTCGCCTCTCATCCCTCAAATCCCTCGCACCCCTCTCACACCCCTCCTCGAGCTAGTCTCAGCAGTCGGAATAACTCCAGCGCTAACCTCACCACGCTCGTTAGTCGTTCCACTTCCTCTGCCAAGCTTAACAATATGGGTATTGTGCAGGATGACTATTTCGTGTAGTGTATGACTATTGTTATGATTATTACATATGTACAATGGGGTTTGTGGGTGTATTAATGCTGATTGTATGCCTGTGTTTTTCTTACGTCGTGGTACTTGAGGGATGGTTAGATGTTGCACTAACCAACACACGCGTTGACTTACTCTTCGGTATTAGCATCAGCATTAGCATTAGCATCAGCATTAGCGTTAGCATCACCATCAGCATTACCATCACCATCAGCATTACCATCACCATCAGCCTCAGCCTCACCATCACCATCGCCATCCTCACCACCCTCCACCTCACTCTCTTCCCCACTGCCGTCAAATTCACCTTGATCGACAGAGTTTCTCAAACGGCTAGTATAGCTATCGCCTAGAGAATGAATCATGAAATGCTCTAAAGCGTCGACAGATGAGCCATTCAAAGAGAGAGCATGACCGATGAGTTGGTGAGGGGAGAGGGAGTGAGCGTAGAACTCGCAAGTGTGTTTGAGGGTGTCACACAGCTTAGCGAGGTATGTGTGCAAGAGATGAGTGAGGAGGCTGACTGGTGTGGTGGTGCTAGAGGTGAACCCAGTGTGGAGAACGGTGGCCACTGCGACCTTATGGAGCACGCTGCCGGCCACATTATCATCGAGGGTGCCGGGCTGGCTGCTAAGCGGGTCTAGCATTGATGAACCCCATTTGTAGCTGTCGCTGTCGCTCTCACCCTCGCCCTTATCGCCACCTTCACCTCCCTCACTCCCACTCCCGTCTATGTCCATATCGTCGCTCTCCTTGTCGCACGACTTGTTGAGACTGGTGAGCAGAGACAGCTGCGTGCTGAAGGAGGACTGCAGTGATGAGGGCATGTGTGGGGGGATGACGAAAGGAGTGGAGTAGGTGTGCGAGGGTGGTGCACATGGCATGCCATTCCGCACGCTCTCTTTGTACGATGGGGAGTCGATGAGAAGTGAGCAAGTCTTGGGAGTGGAAGTGTTGTCTTGATTTGTACTATCTTCCTCGTGAGTAAAAAACAGTTGCCAAGGCTGCTCTATCTCGTCTTGATCGATATGTCTCATATCATTACCGCGTAAAATAGCCATTGAATCTGAAAAAGGGTTGGATAATGTGGTCGTTGGGAATGGTGTCGGTGAATGTGTAGGGGAAACGGATCTAATCACAGCGTTGCTGTCCAATTTGCGCTTTTTGTGGGGACGTTTGTGGATGGGTTGAGAGGGAGTGAGTGATCTGCCAGCGCCAACATCGTCATCCTGCAATAAAGAGTTTGGAGAATCAGGAATAAACTCTAATAACTGAGAAGACTTAGTTTCCAAGTGAATAGCATGTGATCTGAGTGGGTGATTTGGATCAGTATTGTACACTAAGCAATTAGTCCATATCAAGTCCAAATCTGATTTGAATTGTTGCTTGTGTTTATATTGGCGCTGCTTAATCTTCTTGGTTATAGTGGACAGGTCCATTGGGTGGGTAATAACCAAATGATAGTCAGGCGCTTCAAATTTCCTAACAGGTTTTCTAAAGGCGAAAGAAGAGGAAGATGATTTGAGCTGGTCGATAACCTTATCAAGCAATTCAAACCACTCGTTGTTTATAGATGGCTGCTGGCTTGTCGTTGCATTCGACAGCTGCCGTATTTTACTAATAAGTGACTTATAATCCACGCCAATTTCAAATAAACTCAATTCCTTATTCAAATATTTCGTTGAAGACATGGTGATGGTTACGCCCAACATCCATCATGGCCATCTCCAAAATAAAGGCAGCGATCAGATCTCACCACAGGCGCTTAGATAAGGGCGTTGATGAGGAGACCAAGCAGTCCATCTCCAGGAAACTCGATGGCCTCAATTACGAGCTCAATAAGGTCAAAGAAGATGAGCTCTCAAGGAAAATGAGCTCGAGATATCACAAGATTAAATTTATCGAGAAGAGGAAATTGTTTAGATTGATTAATTCTATTAAAAATAATAAAATTAATAAGAATGACACTCACCCGGATTCGAAGCGAGCTCTATTCAAATACAGGCAGCAACTCAACTACATAATAAACTACCCAACGAATATCAAGTATATTTCTGTCCTTCACTCACCCTCCAACTCGGCAGACACAAAATCCAGACAAGAAAAACTTGATGACGTTGAGTCAAAGATGAATGCAGGCGATATCAGCAGTACTCCAGAGCTAATTGTGTTTAAGAGTCTTCAATCTGACAATGTCAACGAGGTAGAGGGGAGTAAGGGGAGTAAGCAGAAGCCCCAGACGCAGGAATCCCAGAAATCCCATAAATCCCAAAAATCCCACCACCATCAGCCATCAGAAGATTCAGATGACCAAGCCAATCTCTCCGCTGACGATTTTTTCGAATAGACCACTTGAATGTAATTTTATATTTATTTACCGTAGAAAGTGAGACACTTGACATCACACCACATCCCCCTCGCTTTCGCTCTCGCTGTCAAAGTGCAGCTGCAGGCCTTGTGTGTTTCTCTTGGCGAACGTGTATCCATCGCCGCATGGCGGGTGGGGGATAGGCAGGAGGAGTACAGTCCAGTGTCTACGAGAGGCTGTCAGAGAAGGGGAGAAGAGCGCCACATACCCACCTGCGACCGCCACCAATGTTGAAAAAGAGCGACAAGTTCTTCGCCCACCCGAAGTCGTAGGGGTTGATAGCAGTGTAAGCAGGCTGAAGCTGGGTAGTGAGAGAATGTGTGAGTATGAGTGTGCACCATATCTCAAATAAGCAACTCACGCCATTTCTTCGATCCCGCCTCACAGCTTTTCTGTACGCTCTATGATCCTCGTACTCGACACTAGTGAGGCCTTGAAACACGAGCGAGAGCTGCCACGCAGCCATTACACCGACAACGCTTCCAATAAGTAGGGCGAGAAGCCAAGTCAGCACTGCAAAGAAGGGCGGCGAGTAGTAGCGCTGTGTCCATTCATCACTACCTCGATTAGGCAACACCTCATCGAACACTGCGCCATAGCCCATCACCCCCACTATCAGACACGCTGCAGAGAGGTATAACCTGTATGATTATGTGCGCGTGTGCGCGTGTTAGTTATCACCTATATACGCCATGTACACCACTCGACAAAGCAAAACCCACATAAAGAGCACGAAATAACGCTCATTGCCAAGCCCGACACACTGGTTGATCCACGGACAGTGGTGATCGTATTTGAGTATACAGCGGCTGCAGACGCGGCAATGGTGGGCGCGTTCCGGCTTCACGGCTGAGCATTTGGAGCATTTTGTGTGCGATCTGTGTGCGGTGTCTGCAGCCACTTCATCTTCACCCACGCTCACCAAGCCCGGTGACACAGTAACAGCCTTGTAGTAGTTGAAGAAGATCACAGCGGCATGCCAGGTGCAGTACACGGCAGCCAGACGACGCGTGAGCGGAGTTGAGTGAGCGAGAGCGTGTGGAAAAATAACTTCAACTGCGTTTGCGGGATAGTGTGAGCGGTGTGATACGCACACTTAGCACTGCACCCACAGAAAGAGAATGTACACGGTATGAGCAGTGCTACGGCGAAAGTGACAAATAGCACACCCGTTCTCCCCACAATCCTGTCCGATAGATCCTCGCAGTGCCGTAAAACTTTGTGGATCCGCCGCGCGTGTTTTTCCATCGAAATGGTGGTGATCGTCGGTTATCAACCGCCATTTCGGATAATTTTGGAGATGGTCTCAAACAGGGGAGATAGGAATACTTCCGATGTAATCCACAGACAGCCGCTGCATGACAAGAATGCGGGAAATAGGGGAGTTGGGAGTGAGGAGAGCGGGGAATGCGCTGATAAGACGCCCCCAACGCTCGCAACACGCCAGACGAAGAAGCCATCCGCTAAGAAAACACAGAAACATCACGCATCACTCACCAAAGAGAATCTCAAACGGCACACACGATCGATGAGCACGAGTGGGAGTGCTTGGGGTTCGGGGAGTGTATACGGCAACAACGTAACCAAAGTAACAGCCGCAGCTACGCACTTGTCAGAAGTTTCGCCCGCGCCATCGCCACCGCACAAAACAAAGCGCAAGATGAGAGACAGGGACAGGTACACGGCCCAACTTACCCCGCGCAAGCTCAAGCGTATACGTGAGTTTAAAGAGATCGACGAATGGCAGCTGAGTGAGGAATTGGTGTTGTTTTGAGGAAAAGTTATAAATATATGCAGTATCCAGAGCATGTGTGTGTGTGTGTGTGTGTGTCTATCTATACCTATTTCTGTGTCTGTGTCTGTGTCTATCTATACCTATTTCTGTGTCTGTGTCTGTGTCTATCTATACCTATTTCTGTGTCTGTGTCTGTGTCTATCTATACCTATTTCTGTGTCTGTGTCTGTGTCTATCTATACCTATTTCTGTGTCTGTGTCTGTGTCTATCTATACCTATTTCTGTGTCTGTGTCTGTGTCTATCTATACCTATTTCTGTGTCTGTGTCTGTGTCTATCTATACCTATTTCTGTGTCTGTGTCTGTGTCTATCTATACCTATTTCTGTGTCTGTGTCTGTGTCTATCTATACCTATTTCTGTGTCTGTGTCTGTGTCTATCTATACCTATTTCTGTGTCTGTGTCTGTGTCTATCTATACCTATTTCTGTGTCTGTGTCTGTGTCTATCTATACCTATTTCTGTGTCTGTGTCTGTGTCTATCTATACCTATTTCTGTGTCTGTGTCTGTGTCTATCTATACCTATTTCTGTGTCTGTGTCTGTGTCTATCTATACCTATTTCTGTGTCTGTGTCTGTGTCTATCTATACCTATTTCTGTGTCTGTGTCTGTGTCTATCTATACCTATTTCTGTGTCTGTGTCTGTGTCTATCTATACCTATTTCTGTGTCTGTGTCTGTGTCTATCTATACCTATTTCTGTGTCTGTGTCTGTGTCTATCTATACCTATTTCTGTGTCTGTGTCTGTGTCTATCTATACCTATTTCTGTGTCTGTGTCTGTGTCTATCTATACCTATTTCTGTGTCTGTGTCTGTGCCTCTTTAGCCTCCTTCTTCCGCCGCCTTCCTCTCCTCTTCCTCCTTTACGAGCTGATTAACACTCTCCACTATACCTTGCTTACGCTGCTCGTTATTCGCATCCCACCACTTTCTCCCACCCTCATCTATCCAATTAGGGAGAGGAGCCTGAAAGCACCAATCGGGACTCGTGTAGCGTGTGGCATGAAGATAGATGAAAAGTTTCTCGCGCGGGGGGTCTGGAATGAGGGGGATGAAGCAAGTGGGGCAGTATCCGCCGAGGCCTTGCGTGACGCTGTTGAGGTTATGAGCGTCAGTGTTTGTATCATTGTGGCCATGTTGTTGTTGTTGTTGATCTTCCTTTATTTGATTCTGCTTCTGCTTCTCCTGCTCGTCGCTCCCAAAACCCAGCGCATCTCTCCACCTCGCCCAGCCGTCGCTTTCGTCTTTCTGCGCGCGTAGACGTCGTATCACCTCCTTGTACTCCTCGTGTAGCTCGACTGGGCTGTTGAACCCGATATCGTCGTCGCTGCGAATGAAATGTTTGGCGTTATCGCCGAGGTGTTTCTCGAGTATTTCTACGTCCTTGGAATGACATGTGTTTAATGGCTGTTCTTTGCGCTGCTCCTGATTCTGCCCCTGTTTATGTTCCTGCTCCTGATCGTGCTCCCTGTCCAATTCCAACAACTCACCGAGCACGCGCTCGGTGGTATACGTCGGCCATCCCCCTTTCCCTCTTTTCACGCCCCACACCTCGTAGCTCGAGTAGAGAGGATCGTTAGCGATCGGATAGCCTAGGTACTGAAGATGAACGCGAATCTGGTGAGTGCGACCAGTGAGAGGTTGGCAATAAACGATGCTAGTATCAGTGACAGAATCATACGACATACGTTCGAACATTGTTTTGGCCTGCTTGCCGTGTTCGTGGCGAATAACGAGTCCCATCTGTCTATCGACGGTAATGATAGGCTCGTCGACAGTCTCGCGGTCTGGGAATCGACCCAGGACGCGTGCAATGTACTCTTTCTTTATTACGCCGCGCATAAACGCTGCACCGAGTTGCTGACCTGCGCTCTTGCGCGTGCCTATCACCATCACACCGCTAGTCAGCCTGTCGAGACGATTACAGCAGTAGAGGCTGTTCATTTTGTATTCGTCCTGGAGGATCTCCAGCAGCGTGTTCTTCCTGTACCGCCCAGCAGCGTGCACAGGCATAGAGCCAGGTTTGGACACAACGAGCCAGCCACGCTCTTTGTTTTCGTAGATTATAACAGGCAGCTCAGCTACAACTGGTGGTTCATGCGCATGCACTCGGTTCTGGATGAGGTCGCCATTGCGCACTACAGAATCGAGCGTTGCGGGCTGGCTGTTGATAGTAGCTATGCCCGTCTGGATGGCCCACTCGTAATAAGACTTGGACCGGTCGCGGAACTCCGTCGTACACACTTCCACTAACCTCCGCCCAAACCACCGTTGCTTGGCGTATGTCTGGTAGACGTAGTAGTACGGCTGTACACTGCGTAGACCTTCCTTGTACACTATGCGGGGAGGATCCGCCGCGAAAATATCCTTTACATCCACTTTCTGCGTCTGTGGCATCCTTCTTCTCATATACCGATGGGCGTCGCAGAGCAAGAGAGGGCAGACATGGAAATGGAAGACAGCCCAAGCGACTCGGAGTTGCTGGAGGGATTGGAAGACGATGATTACAGGGAACAGCGTATACGTGAAATACAATCAGACATCACTCGCCGCCAGATAAACGCAGAGTTCGTTAGTCGAGGCGGATACAGGGAGTATACATCCGAGAAGGAAGTGATGGACGTTGGGCTGAAAGAGGCCAAGGCTGTGGTGCATTTCTTTCATCCACGGTTTAAGCGGTGCGAGATAATGGATACCCACTTGGAGGTGAGCGTTGAGCTCATAAATCACTCAAATCACTCACCCACCACCCCAGCTCATTGCTCACCAACATCTAGGCACCAAGTTCCTCAAAGTACACGTCGAGAATGTGCCTTTCTTGGTAGAGAAGTTGAGAATAAAGGTGCTGCCATGTGTGATTACGTTTAGACAGGGCGTGGCAAGAGATAGGTGTGTGTGGCGTGTGCATGTACACCCTCTAACCCACCATACAGACTCGTGGGCTTCGAAGACCTCGGAAAATCTGATGAGTTTACGACGAAAATGCTTGAAAATCGTTTGTTTGAAATGGGTGAGTTGGGAGTTAGTCTATTTCTTTGCTGATAGGTGTACAACAGGTGCAATTACTAGCTTTGATCAAGATAAAGATGCTAATCACGGTAATCACTCATCAGACACAAGTGACTACGATGATTAGAAAATTAACTCAGTATATCTCATCAAAGGGTCTTGTATCGTTGAAGCAGCTGCTGAAAACTTGGTCAACAACCAATTCAGCCTGTTGAGTAGATTTGCAGTTAAAATTTGCAGCGACTGATAAAATTGCCCTTCTTCTAACGCATTCTTGGTGATGCTTGTTAAAGCCCATGTTTCCCCTCTTGAGCTCTTTAAAGAATCTACAATCACCGCTAAGATTCGCGGCTCTTATCTCGGAACACGCGTGATGACGGAGGTTGTTCCAGTCGACATTAAATCTGTGGTGATCCCATGAGTGAAGTAATTCATGCGCCAGAGTATTCTCCATGTGCTCATAACTGAAAATTCTATTGCTGCATAACAAAATGCCAGTATCGGGGGAAAAACCACCACCACGCTTAGAAGAACAGGGAAAGCAGTGAATGGAATTTGAATTAAAGTCAACGCCAATTTTACGCAGATGATCGACCAAGAATATAATAACTGGAGATGATTGCAACAGAGATCTCTTATACTTGTCGCATCTTTCAAAATCCTTAAGTTGAATCCAAGCAGCGTAATCATCTTCAGACAATCCCAAACCAGAAAATAATTTAAAATTGTTTATCCATTTTTTATGGAAATTGGTTTCACTCATTGAAATTGAAATCAACGCACAGACACGGTTATATCTCTTTCTTGGTTGGCAACGGCGAAGAGGGAGATGACAGGGAATTCCTTGAATAATAATTTAAATAATTCTAATCTAATGAATGGCCTATTCGACGCTCCCAGGAAGCTAAAAGGTCTTTCAATATCTCAAGTTGTCCCAGAAGATGCAGATGACGCAGGAGAATACGCACCGCAATGGCTTAGGAACGTTAAGGGCACCAGGCTACACCCAGAAAAGCTATCTTTGGTGGCAAATGTACTTGGATACAATCACAACCACTCACCATCACCAGTTACATTCAATTCTGGTTACTTACTCACTGTTATTCCTCCCAAATCGCTTAAATCCAAGTCTAATAACAGCAAACAGTTCAGTAGAGGCATTCTTATACCATTACAACCCTCTTTACCCGCAATGAGAGCTGCTATTGCCAGAGAATTCAATCTACCTTCTTCGGGTGGTTTGGTTGTCTATTTAGTGGAGAATATGTCTCAGGACTCTGAAGACCCTGATAACTACATCGATTACCCAGGACCTCTTATAAACGACGAGTCCTGGAATCTTCTCTGGAAATCTCACCTTCGTTCTCCCTTTTTCTCGGAAAGAATGCCCGATAAAATACCAAACGATCACCCTAGAGCGACACCCTCACTCAAAATACCTTCCACTCATCAATCCATTGCAGGCAAAATTGAATTTGATTTCGACACGGATTCAAAAGCCGGTAACTGGTATAGGTCTTGGCATTACCCTAATCTTCAGATTCCACTAGCTGACGGTAAGCGAAAGTTTAAGCTGCGCTCGGATAGTAAAAGCGTCCGAGGTACACATAACACACATGACACTCAAGGTACACGTGAAACACGTGACACCCAGAAAATAACGCAAGAAATCTTCCTTGACAATAAGGACACAGCACAAGAAATCTCATTTAACACCCAAGACAGCTCTCAAGTTCCTACTCCTGCTGCTCCCTCTAACCCAACCCTCGATACCAATACCAACGACAAGAACGAATCACCACGATCTACTTCTTCACTACCTTACCGTACATTCGAGTTGGAAACACTGCACTCTTTACTGAATCCACACTCCGGAGACAGTTCCCCAACTCAGTCCATCTCTCAACAAACCAATTACGACCAAAATCCAGATGAAAACCAAGACAAAAACCAGAACAGGGGATCTGTTCACGTTATGCAGGACACACTCGACGAGCTCGAAAAAGCACTTACTGAGCTCAGTCCAAAACCTATCAATCTCCAGGAGGATTTTGGGCAGCGCCGTGATGCTGTACAGAAAGCCGCTCGTACTCTATCAAAGATTGGCAACAGGGACGGTTTCCATATGCCACGCAAAGATGATGGTACTTTGAAATCGTTTGAGGAAATTTCAGACGAGAATGAGATCAATGAGAAGGTGAAAGAGAAAGAGGAAGAGAATTGCAGTGGGTGAAGAATTTGATGACTTCTAAGCTTACTAATCAGAAATATAGCTACGCAGCAAACACAGCACGGCACAATCAACGCACCAAAAAACACCACAGTCAATACCGTCGGATCACGCCAAGGCTATCGTAAGGATGACGAGCCTGTTGATCTCCCAAAATCACCATCACGGTCGATGGAGTCGAGGAGTAACAGTCTGTCTAACTCGGATGACAGTAACCAAAACGACACTCTCACTGAAACTCCAGCAACAGAGACTGATATGTCTAGATACACTCCACCACCCAAACCATCATTTAAACCACATCTCAGTATCGAAACTAATCCTCACCCTCAAGCTCACCCTCAACATCCCCTATTCAGCATAACTCCTTCCTCACCCTGGAGTACTGGACCAAAAACAGCACCACCAAATTCAACCAACATATCACCGCCACGGTCTGGATTCAATCTGCCAAAAACTCCAACAAGCGCTGATGAGAATCGATCAACCAAGACCTCACTTACCTTTGGCGGTCGTCGCAAGGAGTCCATTCAGATGGACAAAGCAGACAAGGTAGAGAAGATGGAAAAAGTGGACAGAAAGAACAGCACAGAGTCCAAGAGATCCATCAGCTCAAAGGAGGCATTAGGATTGGATGGGTTAGGTATAAAGGGATTTAAATTCTGGTCATCGGCCAAAGGTAGCGCAGGCAACAATAGCAATAGCAGTACAAGCGCCAACCAAGCACCACCGGCGCCAAAACAGAGAGAGAGAGCACCCAGCATAACAATGCCTATGGGAGTAGTCAAGACAGCTTCTGGGGGTCCAGGGAGGATAACGCAGACTTACTCACACCAGCCCGTCCCCGCCAATACGTCTATGTCTATGAGATCTATATCACCCACACTATCAAGTCAAGACCACGGCACCGACGCTACGACGTCGATGATTGACCATTTCCCAGACAGCCGATACCCCAAAGACATAGAACTGAGTGATGGGAAGCGTGAGTTTGAGTTGACTAGAGTAATTGCATTATGATGGCTAACAAGTAATTGAAAAGCAGATATGGTCCCGCTAAGACCACCGCCAGTGCGTCAAAATTACGTCGATGGTGCACAAACGGCGAGGACGCATTCGTGGAGCAGCTCAACGAAAGCTCGCGGATTTCGTGCCCGTAAGCAGTCGTTGGATAACGGTGTAGGGCCACCTACACTGCCAAACCAGCACTCCGTCGTGCACTCATACTCTTACTCTCACTCCACTCCCCTCCCGTCAACAGCGACTTTTGCACCGCCGGAACCTATACCGGAGAACCTGGAGGAAATTAAGAGAGATTCAGAGGCAGAAGCAGCCGAGGCTGCAGAAGAGGAAAAGATAAATGAAATACTGGCCAAAGAACGCGAAAAGGATTTCGAGGCTAAGGTGGAGGCGTTCGAACAGGACCAGCTGGCTTCTCAAGCCAGAGCTAGAGCGCTCACTTATCAGGAAGAGACGAGAAAAGCTATCAAAAAAGAAGAAGAGCAGGAGCCCGAGTTAGTTTCCAAGAAAAAGGGCATGCCTGGATCGAGGTTTAGCCTCAGCCCTCCTCCATCCGCTTCGCGCAAATTGCCCAATGTGCCTGTCTTCTCTAGGAGGCGGTGATATGGGTTCTTTTATTATATTTTAGTCGTCACATTAATTCAGCAGCGCAGCGTTATAATAAGAGTTTGACTTGTTTCCTTTGCTTTTTTTTTTTTCTTCTATCATTCAACGGAAATATACTATAAGGATATTGTATACATGTATTTATATCTCGAATTTATAAGAATCATCATTGCCAACTTTGCGTCCGCATGTGTGATCACGTGAATTGCATTAGCTTCAACAAAAAATTTTGACTGGAATGCAAAGATTCGCACTAAAGTAAAAAATACTAAAATTTAAATACGATATTCAAAGATGTACATTTCTTGCCTCCCAACAACACTTCACAAAGAGAAACAACATGAAGTCAGCAATTTTCCTTGCAGCTCTCCCAGCCGTCATCTTGGCTAACGGCATCTGGATCAAGAACCCTGTCGAGGGTGGAGACGCATACTGGCGCATAAAGCACACCAACACCATCAAGTGGGGCGCTGACGGACACGACAACCCAGAAGCCTTCAGTGTTTACCTCAAGAACGACAATCCTAATGTAGACGGGAACAATCTTGGTATTGCAAACAATGTCAAGACTACTGATGGCTCAACCAAGATTGAAAAGCTTCCAGACTATGTCAAACCAAGGTAGGTGTTTTGGTATTTTGGGTGTTTCACCTTGTCTCAAACTCATGCTCACACTCACATCTGCAGCGATGGCTGGAGAATCGAATTCGTGCAGGTAGACGACATCAACAATGTGTACACATCCTCATCTGACTTCAACATTCGTGAGAAGGACGCACCAAGACCACCAGCACAGGAGGGAAGCGACCACGATGAAATCGACGAGGACAACATTGAGGAGTCCAACAATGATGACGACAAGTCTAACAAAGACGACGACAAGTCCAAGACCGAAGATGAAGACGCAAGCAGGACATCCAAGTCATACGTAAGCTCAGGCACAGCTAGCGTGATGAATATGCCATCTTCCTCAAGCTCCAAGTCATCCTCTTCTACTTCACACTCAATCCCTAACCCTACTCACAATGCGCCATCAAGCTCCGCAGATCCCGATAGCCAGGCCGCTAACGATGAGGACTCTTCTGCTACAACGGCTGCCGTTTCTTCACTCTTACTCGCTACTCTCTCGCTCGCTATCGCTACGACTGTTTTTTAATCAACGTTTACTAATGAATTGTTCTCTTTATATAAATGAATTAATACAATACTTGAAAATTTTTATCAGCAAGATGGAAAATTATAACAAGAAAAGACCCCTGTCACTTGAATCCAAAGAATGATTTGGTGGTCGACCTCAAGCTCGTGTCGGGTGTGAATGAGCGAGATGGTGTTGCAGATCTGCTTCCGAGACTAGAAAATATGCTACCTCTGAAGCTTTTCTTGTCGTAAGTGGATTGATTTAAACCTTTAGTAGATGACTGGACACTGTTTGGACCGTTCTTGTTTTTGGTTGGTGTCGGCAAGCTGTCTTGCCTAGATGCTATACTAGCCATGAGACCAGGCTGTGCCATGCCCTTGCCAGTTGAAGGAGCTGGAGGTGGTTTGCGGCTTGATGTGTGCAACGCGTGCGCAGATGGCATAGGTGATGCCTTTATTGGCGAAAGCGACTGGCGCGGTTGGTGTTGGTTTGGTGACGTAACAAGGTTCACTACGTTTGACGTTGTACGTTGTGGTAGTTGAGATGGCGGCGGCGATTGGCGCTCTTCCAAAGCCTGCGCCCATAGTGGCTTAGGTGGTATGCGTCCTATAATACCCCTCAACTCCTTCACCCACACCTCTTTATCCTCATCTGTGTCACTGAAGAAGTGTAGCTTCTCTTCACCACTCTGGTCTTGCAGTACGAGCATAAATGATCTCTCGACGCTAGCATCTCCCTCATCCACCCATCCATTCTCGACCGCCTCAGCTGACGCGTTGTTGCAATCTAAGACTGCTTTCGCCGTTGCTAAGTCTATAGTGGCGATAGCACGCTTTGTCACTTCGTTGAACACTATAATTCGTCCACCGACTAAGCTATACATCCGACGCCTCCAAGACTGAAGTCTTTGTCAGTACGATGTTAATACTTTATAACCAAAACTCACAGTGACACCTCCACCGAGCTGAGTGAGAACTGATTGGCATATTTTCTTCTTATGCCACTGCATTTCTTTCATAGTCTTGACAGTGTGCTCCAAAGACGAAGGCAAATCCTTCTGAACAACACCCGGCAGAGTCGGTATTCCAAGCACATGTAAAACCAGTTTACCGACAATGCATTTGGTCACGCTGCCGTCATTCTTGGTGAATTTACCTTCCAGTGGAAGAATGAGCTCGACCATTCTGCCTTGACACCTAGGTGCGACTTCATTGTAGATGACTCTCGTACTACCGAAAGTGCCATCTTTCTGCAAAAAGTTAAGCATGGGCTCGGTAGGTTCGACGGCATCAAGCTCTTCAAATTTAGATTGCTCAATTTGCCTTTCGAGTTGCTCCTGCTGTTCTTGCGCTTTCCTCTTCTCCTTCTTAGGTGAGCTGAATATTGACCTGAAACCAGATCTGCTCTTCGACGGCGTCGGCGGCTGTGTTGGAGTGGCCATGGCAGGCCTGAAGCGAGGCTGTGGGCGTGGTGGTTGAAGGTGTTCGTCCATGCGGCACTTGAATGATAGCGTGAAAAAGAGATTCTTGTTCAATATCAAATCAAACTCTTGTCCCAGTGGGGCCTCTTTCCTCAGAGTAGTGTATGGAGTTGCGACGTGATTGATACCGTTGTCTAGTGTACAGCAGAAAAATGTTTGTTTGCCAACAGGTATCGGGAGTTCAACATCACGCAATCCAGCAACCTTGACAAACACCTTGCCTGTAGCTTCACTGAGAGGCTCCTTATTGCGTACCTCTTTCAGGTGTCGAGAGTACTCATTCATATCAGACGGACGCCTAATTACCTTCCATGCTTTACCAGTGTCAATATCACCTGCCTTTGCGTGGTGACTAATCTTGGGCTTTTGCACTGTCTCTTCTTGCGATGAAGCTCTGATAACCTCGTTATGTTCGAACATTTTGTATTTTCTGTCCGAGTCCTTGAATATCTCTCTCATTTCTCTGTCAAGATCATCACCAAAGTCTCCCTCATTGAGTGCTCCCGGTGTCGGCAACCCACTAGATGGTCTAAATATCGCTTTCTTCCTTGGTGACTCGACTGCATCTGCCGACACGCTTCGCCGCCTCGATGGACGCTCTCCTCTATCTGCGCGAGATTTCTTCCGTGATAGCAGAATGGCATTTTCACGATCTTTCAAACTGGCGTTACCACGCATCGATTGCTGTCTCTGTGGGGGAATTGCATCAAGATTTGGAGAGACAAAAGGTGCGAAAGATTCCAAGTCTCTTGTTGCTTCCTCATCTTGAGTTGGTGGTTGCAGCTCAGCCTTGAGTTGGGGTTGGGGTTGAGCTTGAATATGAGGCTGAGGTTGAGGTGGTGCATGTTCCGTCTCTTGGTCTGCCTCTGATGGTGCTGCTGTTTCAGGAGCGCTTGGAAATGCCACGGCCTCCTCAAACGACTGTCTGTTATGCTTCATTGGGGATGGTGCAACTGCAGCAATAGCAGCCTTGATTGGAGATGGAGGTTGAGAATCGTGTGCATCTGGTGCTCGAATTTCGGGTGTCTGATGTATTTGTTAGATTGTCATGTAAGCTTGTGCGTCACTTACCAAAACATCTTGAACGTTCTCCTTTTCATGCTCACGTTCACGCTCACGCTGAGCCAGCAATGCAGCGTTTGCCTCCTCAGTTTCTCTCTTTTTTCTCATTTTCTCTTGAACAGCCTCCCTGAGGTTGCGGCGTCTATTGATACTTCCAGCTGCATTTGGTGAGATTGGATTGCCCGCGGCGTCGAAGCGAGGTGAAAGGAGTGGTGAGATCAGGCTATTGATGTTCGGTGTGTCGTCTGAATGCTCTGATTGTTGAGGCAACGGGTGAGCTCGCTCATGTTCATGTTCGATTTGAGGTACTTTTGGCATCTTTGCAACTTCTTCAGATGGAGGAGAGAGTGCCCAAAGAGGTGATGAGTGTGGTAACTCTGGCAAGACTGAACGATCCTTTAAGTCATCATCACTTGACTGATCTGGCTCCATTTCAGCAACTTCAGGTTCTTGCAGCAGCTCAGGTTTATGCTCCTCCGGTTGCTCAATTTCAGGTTCTTGCCGTGGCTGATGCTCATAATCTTGCAATTGTTCTGGTTCAAATTGTTGTATTGTCTTTGGCTTAGACTCTTGTAGCTGTTCAACTTGGAACTCTTGCGCTGGCTCTGGTTTAGACTGACGTGGATGTTTAATTTCAGATTCTAACGACCGCTCGATTTCGAACTCTTGCGACTGTTCAACTTCGTACTCTTGAGATTGCTCTAAGTCGTACTCCTGCGAGTGCTCTAGCTCAGACTGTTGTAGCTGCTCTGATTCAGACTCAGGCAGCGCATCCTCTTCCTCTTTAATATGGCTAATCATTGGCTCATCCTTAACCATTTCATGAGAAGCCAATTCGGACAAGTTAGGAGATGGCATAGACTGTGGTCTACCGATACCCAGCTGACGCATTTTGTTAGGCGTGGTATCCTTGGTAGGTGTTGATTGACGCTTGTTCGTCGAAGTTCTTAATGGACTAGTTTTAGAGTACCTGAGCTCCTCAATAGACTTTCTACGATCACTATCTCTTAGCAGCTCATCTTTCAAAATAGAGTCAACCAGGTCTTCCATCTGGGTGCGTTCCTGATCGTGGCTCTCGTCTGCGTCTTCATAAGGATGCTCGCCTTGGTCGAACGAGTGGTCGATCACTGACGAGTTCTCATCGTAGTGCCCGCTATCATCATTTTCATTCTCTGCAAAGTGCCCACTTTCATCTTCTTCGTCGTAGAGACTAGGGGACTCTTCAGGATAGGCGGCCTGATAGCTTGTATCAACTTCCAACTCCTCATTTCCAAACTCATGAGGATATTCGTGGGAGTATTCCTCCAAGATACCTTCGTGGGCATAGTCATGAGCGAGTTCGGGTGTATTTTCGGCGCTATCTTGAGTGGGAGTATGACTCTGTCTGTTTCTACCTAGCGTATGCTGCTCGACTAGTGAGCTAGACGGTGGAGGCATTGGAGGGGTGTCTTCCCAGCTAGCGCCGACTAGAGCGTCCCGAGCATTCTGCGCGTCATACAGATCAATATCATGCTCCAGATCATGCTCAACTTCCTCATACTCCTCTCCGTCATCGTATTCGTAGCTACCGTCGAATTCATCCAACCTATCATCATACTCTGGGCTGAATACACCCGTCGCAATGGAATCAGGCTCAGGCTCACGCTCGAACTCGTGTATATCAGGGTTTTCTTCGAAAGTGACTGTCTTGCGTCTGGAGAGGGTGCTTCCAGCTGAAGGTGGTCTTTCCTGCTCATATTGATCAAATTGATCATATTTATCATATTGCTTTACTTGCTCCTCCTCCTCTACTTTCTTAGAAACAGACAGAGGCTTTGTTTGCGCAACGGTTGGAGTTGGTGGTGAAAAAGCAGAAGATGGGTGTGCCGGGTGATCAGCTTCCGAGCCAGCGGAGCTGTGGTGCCTCCATGGTGACTGAGTGACGCGTTGAGCGGAAGGAAGGAGGTTGTAACCCTTCGATTTCCTAGGCTTAGGCGATGAAGTGCGTTCTTGGACCGTATGGTGGCTTTGAATGTGTCTGTGAGGCGATCTCGATGGATGGAGTCCCAATCCCATCGCCGGAGATTCTTCTGGCACCGGTGATGATGTGTAGTCGATCTGTGGAGAAGGGAAATCGTTGGTGTGTTGCTTAAACGGGGAATTCTGGACGAGGGAGTTGTTTCTGACATGTGAAAAACTCGATGAAGTTCTCCGCTGTGTGGATTGTACGCCTGCACCTGCAGCTACAGCAGCAGCGACAGCAGCGGTTGGAGACTTAGGAGATGACTTTGGAGACTGCTGAGTTGGTTTGAATAGCCTGTTCGGACTAAACTCCGCGTCTGGTGACATTACTGAGTGCGCCTTGAGCGCTATTTTGGATGATGGCTGGTTGCGATTCGACCATCCGCGTGAAGCTGCAGATATGATAGCGTCTCTATCGCGCTCCTTGCGCGTAGGCGTTCCAGGAGACCGTAGCTGTGGTGAGTTGGATGTTTGCAATGGCTGCGTGGGTGTGGGCATTGTAATGACTGTGATTTGGCTGATGGGTTGTGTTAGTTGGCCAGATTTATAGAATTCCCTATTGAAAACTCACAAATGCTTCTAATTTACAAGCTTTATTTAAATTTAAAAGCCTTTGAATTTAGATATAACGACTGTTCGCGGTTGAAGAGGCAGTCGCCAAAAATGAACGCGTAAATCGAGGACGGAAATGGCTATTTTAGCCGTGTAAAATAGTGTTAACTGTATTATGTCCCAGTATATTCCCTCATCATACGTATAAAGCGCGTTTACCCCGCGTTGATTCTTTTCACTTTTGCCGCTCCACTGTGTCATGACACCAACGGCATATTAAATTATCGTATAATACAAGTTACAATTACTCAAATGGTATCATTTATGAAAGCCTCTTTTACGACCTTTCTCACTGTCTCCTTTGGTTGTCCAGATTGCTTAAGTGCCTTGATGTTGATCTCCAGTGCACGCGTGACCTCCTCGAGACTCTTCATCGTCAGTTTCTGCGAATCGTCGAGGTATGGCTTCAGTTGTCTTGCTGAATCCCCGTGTATGCCCTTTTTTGTGCTCGCTATAGGTCCCAGCTGTGCAATCGCAATGTTCAGCATCAGCCAAACTGTGTGCATGAAACTTATAACCTCAAACGGCATAGGTTTGGCTACTCCTAGCAGCCTCAAAAACCCTGGAATCGGCCGTGTGAGCAAGTGGAGCTCTGTTGTCAGCATTGCGAAGAATAAAGAAAACCGAGTATATGCTGTGGATTTGTAAGACGCATTGAAGAGCGACATAACCATCATTGAGACAAATGTAGCGAGGTAATACATGAACACAGCAGGAAGACCTCTTTTGATGTAGTCTTGGAGAGTAATGCAGTGCCTCCATTGCGCTATTGATGGTCCGAATCTGTAACTATTGTAAAAAGCTGAGCAGGGGAAGACGCTGATCAAACACACCTTTCATAAGCAATCCTTCTCACTGGATCTTGAATCAACTGATAAGATTCACGCGCATGGACAAACATTGTCGTGTCTTTGTTCAATCCGACGCGATCTGGGTGATTTTTACGCGCATAAGCCTTCCATGCCTTATTTAGACGCGTATCGTCTGCGTCGATTGGTACATTAAGCAGCTTAAAGACGTTTGGATGATAGCCCCAAGCCATTTTGATGAATGTGAAAGCAATGTATGCGCCAATAATGGCGCACCTAGCTCTGTATGGATGGTTTGGTGCTGGTTTCACATCCGGTCTGAGCTTGTAAAATGCCCTGAGAGCGTACGATTCAATGATAGGCGGTGCGAAGTAGAATATAAGATCCATGTTCTAGCTAAGTGAGCGGGTTAGAAGGGATTCTAAGTGAGACAGAAAAGGCTCATAAGGTTTGTTGCCATCATAGCGGACTCCTTCACGAAACAGCGTGCCTTATCCACTCACATCCTCACGACATCGCGTACGGAGTAAAACACGCGTCGCTGAATATAGCGAGTACATAGCTATAACCAAATACGTCCACCCAAATCAACAAGGCTCGGTTGAACGGGCTCGGCTGACTAGGTGAAGTGTATGAGAGCACCTTTGCCGTAGCTGCTATTGGCCTTGAGCAGCCCAGCCTGAAATGCAGACAGATTCCTATATGATGGATGTATGGCTGCGAGCAAGCACGTGGGCGTTAGGCGCGACTCACACCACCGGCATCTATTCGGCACGCTGCTCGTGGATCTGGAGCCGCTCTGACCTTTTCCTAATATAATAATCATTGCCGATAGGACTACTCACCGGGAGATGGCAAGATGGACGTCGCGGAAGAACAGTGAACACGTAAAATGAAATTAGAAACTGGTACGAGAGTGTAAGCGTGGCGATGTTTTTAATGAGCTATTTAATTTACACCTATTAGCTGGCTCAGGGACTCGGTACACGGATGGATTGGTGCCGCTGTCACTGGAACATCCGCAGGCAGCAAATCAGATGAATTGGTTCATTTACGGACTTCCAACGGCGTAAGCGGACTCCGCGGAGATTTCATCCCTTAACAAACCACCCAGCCAACTCAAATCGCTGTCAACAACACAGACGATCATCCACCTCTGCGGAGTTTTACACAGGAGCAGAATTTCGTGGATGATCTCACTCAGCTTCATCTACTAAACGAGCCAAATTGTGTGTTTATCGAAACAACCGCGTTTCTTGAACCCCGCTGACAGCTATCAGTGCTTATTACACTAAGAAGCCGTTTCGAGCGCAGAATCATTTATACGTACTCAGGATTAGTTCTCGTAGCCCTCAATCCATATGCAGATACCTCAATTTACTCAAACGATCATATACTCCACTACGCCTCCGATAATCCTCCGAGCCAGCCTCATATCTACTCTGTTGCTCGATCAGCTTACGACGGTATCTGTAACGCAAAGCGCAATCAGACTATCATTGTCAGCGGTGAATCTGGTGCTGGTAAGACTGTCTCAGCGAGGCACATCATGCGCTATTTCGCTGTTGCAGGTAAAACCAAGGATAAAAACACCATCACTTCAACAGAAGAGCGCATCTTAGCCACAAACCCTGTCATGGAAGCATTTGGTAACGCCAAAACACTCAGGAATAGCAACAGTAGTCGTTTCGGTCGTTACTTGCAGATATACTTTGATGACAAGAGCAGTATAGTTGGTGCACATATACGCATTTTCTTGCTGGAGAGGTCGAGGCTGGTTTATCAACCGCACAACGAACGTAACACTCACATTTTTTACCAGCTCTGCGCAGGCCTCAAGACAGACTTTAGTCTCAAGAGGGAGTTGAAGCTCGGTTCGGCTGACGAATACAACTACCTCAATCAAGGCCAGTGTTCTAGACTGCCTGGCGTTGATGATGCTTTCAACTTTGACATTACTAGGCGTGCCATGACCTCATTAGGTATTGATAACAGTACACAAAAACAAATATTCAGACTACTCGCCGCATTGTTGCATTTGGGTAACATCGAAATCAAACAAACTTCTTCTACCAGACAAGATGCATCCGTCTCAATCACCGACTCAAGCCTACTGCATGCCGCAGAGTTGTTGGGTATATCAGCAATCGCATTTCAAAAAGGATTGATGCATAAAACTATCGGTGTTGGAAGAATAAGAGCTGAATCTGAGAAGATTGTCACGTCGCTCAATAAAGATCAGGCCACCACTGCGAGAGATTCACTGGGTAGACATATTTATACCAGATTATTCGACTGGCTTGTTATTAAGCTCAATTCTACCCTTCTTTCAAAAGAGTCTGGTGCCTCGGATAGTGCTCGACAGTTTGTCGGTGTGTTGGACATATACGGCTTTGAGCACTTCCATAAGAACTCCTTTGAGCAGTTCTGCATCAACTACGCAAACGAAAAGCTGCAGCAGGAGGTGTGTATTTTGCTCATTCAGAGTTGTGCTCCATGAGGTAACACTGACACCTTCACAGTTCTACAACCACACCTTTAAACTATCGCAGGAAGAGTATGATCGCGAGGGATTGAAGGTCGCATACATCAATTACCCAGACAACCAACCCTGCATTGAAATGATAGAATCTAGAGTTGGTTTGCTTGCCCTTCTCGACGAGCAGTGTCGATTGCCTGCAGGCACTGACGCAGGACTGCGCACCAAGATGGATGAAATGCTGCGCTCGCCTTACAAGAAGGCTTTGTTTTCAGGTAGCAAGAGCAACTCGCTAGGTGCAGGTGCATTCACGGTCGCGCACTACGCCCAAGATGTGACTTACGATGTAGACGGATTTCTAGAAAAGAATAGAGATTCTGTACCGGAGGAGCACAAAAATCTGCTCAATGAAGCTCAAAATTCATTTGTTAAGGAAGTTTGTACAGCCGATCTCACACCGACGACACCGCCAAGCATTGTCTCTACACCTACGCAACCATTGAAAACACCTTTACAAGCAGTTCACTCGCCCCCGTCAAGGTCTAGTGTAGATGAACTGTCTAGCGCTTTCAGCAAAGGTCATATTCGCTCACCTTCAACAATCCCGCCTAGTTGGCCACCCGCATCGCCTGGCTCGCCGTCTCTCAGCGCGCCAACTCTGCGTAAACAGCCAACGTTAGGAGGCACATTTAAAATGTCATTGAATAATCTAATGACAACGATAAACGACACTGACACACACTACATACGTTGTATCAAACCAGCCAATCAAGAAAACGCATCATGGTCATTCGACAACCAAAAAGTATTATCGCAATTAAGAGCATCTGGCGTGCTCGAAACTATCAGAATAAGCAGAGCAGGATACCCGTCCAAGATGACATTCGACAAATTTGTTGAAAAGTGGGTGATTTGTTTGAAGTTTATAAGACTGACAATTTTAGATACGACATACTGATATCACAACGCGAAACGAAACTTAAATCGAACAACGACAGAAAAGCATCTTTCAAGATACTGGAGGGGACAATCACCAACAAGACACTATATGCCATTGGGAGAACTAAGGTGTTTATGCGAGTTGGTGTGTTGGCTCATCTCGACAAATTGCGGTCAATATTGCTAGCAAGGATTGTGGCTATACAAGCCAGCGCACGCTCGACAATCTCCACCAAGCGCTACATCCGTCACCAAGCCAGCATAGCGGTGGAAGCTAAGCTATATGTAAGCCTGCAAGCCGTATCGCGGACCAAGCTAGTCATGCTGCGTGTCGGCGAAGCGCTTACCCAGCGACTGGAAAACGTTCGCATCAGACACGCCGAAAAGGAGCGTTGGGAAAGGAAGGCACTCGCGCAAGCTGAAAAAGAGAATGCAAGACTATCAAATGCCTGGATGGCACCTGACGCTAATGTGGATGTGAATGTGAACACAAATTTGGGTGTCCGGCGTCCGGAGAAGTCCCCAATCAGGTATCAGAACAGCGCTGGTAAGGGTGATGACGAGGAGGTTATTGGGACTGGGAGTGTGGAAGTGCTGGAGCATTCACGTAAGGTGTTCCACCACGCTAACAAACCCTCTTTTGCAAGCTCATTGGCAAGCTCCCTGACAAGCTCTTCGTCTTATGCTACAGCCTACATGGACGAGATTATCCCGCCAACAAAACCTCCCCGAAACGCTGCTAGAAATAGTCGGAACGTGACTCCAAACTCTGATACGAGCTCGCGCACTTCCACCGGCAGAACAAGCTCCATCATTAGAGGCCCCACACCAACACCCCCAGAACGCACAACTAGTCTCTCAAACGCTAACGATCCACGAGTTAATAAAAGATCTTCGAGAGGTTTCTCCTCCCCTTTCTTTATGGGATGAGTTAGTTGTTTGCTTTTTTTTCGTTCTTTCTATTCACTTTGTTATACCACTGCTCTTACCCAGCTCATATCTTCTTAACTTGCTTCGTAAACTTGTATCATTTAAGCTGTCATTCATGCACGGATCAGCCAGGTTCTGTGGAGTGTGTTAGAGAAGGCAATTGACAGGGACAGCGCGCATAGGTTTCCGAGAAAACAGACCAGTGACGAGGTAGTCACAACCCATGATTTAAGAACAATCCCCAAGACAACCATGGCAAGTAGTTTCAATATCTTCAACTAGTATCCAGTGTCCACCACGTGTCCTCAAATAAATTTGAAAAACCTGTAAAGAAGGAAAGAATGTGTTGAGGCTGAGCCCATGAATACTCGTCAATTACCCCCATGTGGATGTGAAAATCTTCAATCTTGACCTCAAACACTCACTTGCTTATCCGGTATGCATCCTCGGTGATTTCTGCGCCTATCAAATATATTTTCCACTTGATCCACTTTTAAAGCTACACGAGCGGTCCAAGGCTGAAAAAGAACCAGCTTGTTGCTTGAAAATGGATTTGTAGGTCCACCTAGGCTTCCGCTTTAATGGGTGAATTGACAAATTCGAATTGTTCAAACATGTTGTTGGTACATTTGTATTAGGGTTTTGAGGGTGTGATAGGGTGTATATATCTTTGTATGTCGCAAATTGGATTTATCTGTACAAGGTAATAGATTACTCCAAGGATGGTGCAAGTACACGCGGGTCTTCCCTATCGACGCTTCTATCCGTGAATACGCGCCATCCACCGTCAATCTTGAGGTCATGGCCATTCATCATCGAGTTGTTAATCAGGAAGGACACTGCACTCTTTCGAAGGGTTAACAGCGCAAAAAATGCCGAATCAGACTCACTGAAATCTCTTCAGGCTCAATAGGCCTAGCCGGGAAAGAAGCAGACTTTGAGAGATCCGCGATAAAGTATGGGAGTCTTGCGCCCATCATAGCTGAGTTGATGACACTAGGGCTAACTGTATTCACACGAATGCCTGTTGGTTGTCAGAGATAGTAGCAGGCCTCTACTCCCCACCCACCTGAAGGACCGAGGAAGTCTGCTAGAGCGACTGAGAATGCCGACACGGCCGCCTTGCCGGGGCTATATCCGAGGATGCGCGACGCGGGCTGAGCGCCTGCAATGGAAGAGAAGTTGATGATAACGCCTCTTTCCTCCTTAGTAGTCCACAATTCGCCCTTCTTCATCTTCTCCGGCTCGTATCGCTCGTTGACTGCATCTGCAAACAATGCAGAGGTAATATATGTGCCAATCCAATTTATGTCGGTCATCTTGCGCACCCTATCGATCGTGTCGCCCAGTCTGTTGGTCCAGGGCTGGGACATTGACACTCCAGCGCAGTGTACGAGACCTGAGAGCCTCTTCTCAAAAGCGTTGGATGCAATGCGCATCGCATTCTTGACGCTGTTCTCGTCTGTGATGTTGGTCTGGACGTAGATTGCCTTAGTGGTGCTGATACCTGACGCAGCTTCCTCTCCAGCCTTCTGTTCGAGCAGATCTAGTAACACTACATATCCACCTTGGTCTATTACGCTTTTCGCAATGGTTTTACCAGCACCTCCGAGGCCGCCAGTTCTGCCATCTTGTTAGATTCTGCGGTGTCTCAGTCGGTCACCCGCTTACACTACAAATGTGTTTTTGAGGACTTGCATTGTGTTTGTATATGAAATATTGAAATAAGAGGCTCATAACGCATGGCTTTTATTTACCGGCAAGTGCCATGTGAGAGTAGCTGATGTCCGACTCGGGTTTCGTCTGCAAATTTTGATTGAAGCCCTATCAAAGAGAAGAACCACAGGGCTGTACTAGGAAATGCGCGAAATCTTCAGTCGGCTAGACTATTCAATCAAAATTTATCGTCATGTTCGACAATATCGCATTGCGTCATAGGACTTCTTTCCACTATAGGTGTGTCGGGGGCTGGAAGTAGGTCTGCGCAGTCCAACTAAACAGGATTACAAAAAATAGAATTATGAAATTTGACCATCTTTACCATTCTGCTCCCTTCCTATGGAGTGGCGAAAATCATAATATCGTGTGGGATCAGTGAACGTCATCTTTTTGGAGTGAGCTGTGGGCTATAAGACACGGCCAAACTTTTGTCTTTCTACACTACTCTCATCATAAAATAATGACTGGCTCTAAGAACGAATTCTCCGGTGGCGCATCTGATGCAGCTTTAAAGCACGAGGCTGAGAAGAAGGGACTTGGTGGGTGCATTTTAAGCTCCTAGTAGCCATCTAATAAAACTCTAGGCACTGGACCAGGCCACGAAGCTGCCAAGCCAGCTGAATCAACCTTCAAGCAAGCACCAGTCATCAACGACGCCCCAGTCGTGACTGGTATCGATGTCAACAACAAATCTCACGGAACAGACTCCCACTCTGGTGCTGCAGGTGCTGATGGCAACATCGAAGTTTCTGGCGGTGCACCAACCGGCTCTACTGCCAACTAAAATTATGAAAAGTAACGATCAGTACTAATTGCATTGTATTTGACTAATGAATTTAAACCTTTATACGCGCACATCGAATGTTAGAGTAGTGTATTTCTAACGGAGAAGATTGTCAATTGTGAAACAGACATTGACAATGTTATTAGAAGTGTTTCAATGCCATCCGTACATCAAGTTTGCGAACTCGAATTATGCTTACCGCGTTTGTGAATTACCCGTTAAACTTGCTCATATTCAAATAGCAAAGATTTCTTTGGTTATCTTGTGAGGCTATAGGACTAATAAGTTGAGCGCTATTCTGGCTTCTGTGCTAGGCTGTTTCACGTTGAATAAAGACTAACTCACGTCTATAAGAACGCTAGTGGGACACGCGCTGCAGATTAATAAATGTAACATCTATAATTACGTGATGATTCGAAAGGTCAGAAGAAAAGAGCTTGAAATATATATAGATTTGCACTGTATTGTCAAATATGTCTTAATCTTCCAAGGTGCGTAAAATGATAAATGCAGAACGAACAGCTTGAAATCACAGATCATACTAGTATTATATTCGTATCTTTCCAGGTCTCGAACCTGTCATGCGATACCAAAAATTTAGAGCTTGTTGACTGAGAGTTTGTGCTTTTGATATTTATGGATGATTAGACAAGCTATTATGAATTTCCAAACACTCACGCTGCTGGAAATGCTGCCATTCGTTCCTTTTTTCTTCGTCGTCGAACTCTTCATCACTACCATCCAGATCAATCACTAGAGCGGCAGATTGGAAGCCAGCAGCGGCTACAGTGAAAGCAAAGGTACGCCTATTCCATGAAAAAGACACGGGAAGTGGTTCAGCGATAAAGTCATCGCGGGTGTGATCCAAGTTAGTCACACCCAATCTCCCTCCCTTCTGCTCTCCCCAAGCGCTCACCTCGCCATCACGCGTGAGTAGCAAAGCGTGACCATCTCCTCTCGCAAACTCTACAGCATTATTCACTCCAAAAGGCTTTGGTTGAGCGTCATCTGTGTTTGCCATGCCTTTCAGTAGCACGTTGTGCCGGTTGGAAGATGCGTAGAGTGAGAATTGAGTTTGTGAGCATGTTATGTGGCTGATGCGGGGTTCTTCAGCGCCCTCTGGCAGTAATTTTTGTAGCTTATCTGGAGCAAAGCTCTTCATCTTAAACTTTTTGTCAGCACTGCGCGTTCGCTAACGCAAAACCCACCTCATTCCATCTTTTGCTACCGTTTATGAACATTTCATTGATATTTTGTACTCTCTCGCTTCCCCTCAGATCGGGCCTGCCGCATATGAAGTCCATCCTATAAAGCCTATTTGATGCTGTGAGAGCCAGTACGGCATCTTTAGCATTGGATATTTGCACAACACTCTCATTTCTGATGGGTGGGAGTGTCACACTGTCCGGTTCAAAGTCGAAGGGACGCGTACTGAGACTTTCTCCATGAAAGACGTCTTGTACAGTTTGCCTCGGTCCAGCTCTATATCCAACCGTGTAATCCTCCCGTAGAGAACAATCATGAGGCCAGAAGATAATTATGGTGCCGCTCTTGAGGAGAATGGCAGAATGTCTCCACCCCGCTCCTATCTGTACTATTGAGTCATTTTCAAGGAAAGGATGAACGATGCGATGTGGGAGAGCGCAGCATATTGACTGATAGACATGTCCATTATCGGTCAAGAACAGGGCATGAGCACGTCCGGCGCTGTGACTAAGTCAGCAGTGCACACCACTCGTAACCCACTCCCACCTCACGTCTACTGTGCGGAAAGGCAGGTCAAGTCTAGTGGGTTTCGTGACCCTCAGTCCAGGATTTCTATAGTCAGGGTTCCCGAATGGGACGGTATCACCTCCATACTCGCCCCAGAAGACGACCTCACCTTTGCAGCCCAAACCATGGAACGAGGTGTTACCCGCGACGATTTTGACGAGGTCGATACCAGCATCGATGCAAATTGGCGATGGGACGCAGTTGCCTCTAGCCATGCGCTTATCGTTTAAGTCAATACCAAGGCGACCACTGGCAGCTACACCCCATACGTACAGCTGAGGTGAGAGAGAACGTCTGTATATTGTCTGCCAGTCCAGCGGACGCTGCGATTGCGCAAGGATGCGCAGTGCGATGTAGGGCGAGTGTGCGTTGAGCTTGCGTTTCCATATGGTTGGTTCTAAGATGAGCGCGTGGAGACTGCGCGATGAGCTTCCAATAGCGAGAATATCGCCAGCTTTCAGCAGCGGGAAGATATCATCGAGGACGATTTCAGGTGGCAGTCTATCGAGCATCTTGGTGGGGTTAATGATAGCCGTGTGCGATAGCTGCGATAGAAATCAACAAGTAATGTTTGTATTCGCGCATTCCATATAATCCTGCTCCTCATATCTTCCCTTCCGCAAGACGAGGTGTCTCACGCGGTCGCTGAAGCAGGCCACTTGTGAATATTGTGAAAGTGTAGAAAGCCAAATGGCTTTTATATTCATTTGTCTTTATATCTTTTGCTATCTTTCTCTACAAAAAGTTCATGAATGCATACAATTCACTCAGTATGAATATGGCAGTGGTCTTGAGGAAGAACTTATTGACCAAAATTTCCGTAGCAATACGGCTGACTTAAAGCCGAACAAATTTATTATTCTTCTAAAAACGATATAGACTACAAGATGCTGGAAAGCGCATCATATCGCATAATGAACATGACCGAATAAGTCGTTCGTGTACAAGGTAAACAATACTAGTAGTCTGTCTTTGCAAGAATGCTGTTATTACCTTGCGCTGCTATGCTAGTTCTCCTCTACATATCACAACCATTTCACTCAGACTCAAAACTGACATCAACTTGCGCAATAAAGATATCAAGAAATGTCCGTTAACAAAGTGCCAGTAGAGATTTGGGAAGAAATACTTGAATGGTGCTTTATCGCTGATGACTGGGCTATCGGCAGCAACTTGGCTCAAGTGAATACAAAAACAAGATCAAAATTACTATCGACGCCCATACCCTGGCGCAGAATCTACATCAAGGCCGTCGAACTCCTCGATCACGATAGCGACATCAGGGAGTCGTATGAGGCGTGGGCGAGTTTAATCAAAGAGAGATCAGAGCATTCCGTGAAATACATACACCTAGATATTCTCTATGCACCCGAAAACAAAAAGTACAAGCTACTTCATACCTACTCTCTCGACAATCTGTTGAATCCATTCACTTTACTGCAACTAGACACACTCATATTCACCTCTGGGCAGCCCTATGTCGAGCTATTTAGTATACCAGCCAAACACATCATTGCGCGGCACACGGGCCTCGACGAAGATTCTGATCCTATCGCCCTACACCTCAATAACACAGTGGAGACGGTAGATTGCGAGGATGTGGTGCTTCGATATCCTGATATATACACTGGTAATGTATCGACATCACTCAGATCTGCCAGGTCGAACTTTGTGGGTAGAACGAATGCTATTATGAAAAGCAATCAGTGGACTGGAGATGATTTTAGAGACTGCGCCACGGCATACGACGATGAACATTTCGATGTTATCTTCTCTAGTCCGAAGCTCGAATCTCTCACAGTCATTCATTCAGACGCCGCGACGTGGACGACGAATAAAAGCATGGCTCAGCTCAAATCACTCACTGTTAGCAATAGCCACTGCGACTTTTTTTATAATGTTCGCATGCCGAATTTGGAGAGACTGACACTCGCTGATTGTTTCAGTATCCAGTCTAATGATTTAGCTGTCATGCCTGACTCAATTAAACACCTGGCGGTCATACGCACTGAAACTCCTTATTATTATCACTACCTACCTAATATCATTTCGCTTAATTTGGAGGGTTCCCCTTTGGAATTGGTTCACTGGGTGGATCGACTGCTGAATGTACAAAACCATAACTTAACATCGCTCAACTCTCTCAAAGCACTCAACATCTCTTTCACATGTGTGGATTTTGAAACGGTGCTTGAGATAGCCAAGAGGCTCGATCTGGACCAATTGGTATGTGATATGCCCCCTGGTGAGGGACTAGAGGGATACATAAGAGACTTTGTTCCTCATGTTTGGACGAGCATAGAGCAGTATTATGAGGATGTTGAGAGAAATGATGATCTGGAGCAGTACTTCTTCCCTGCGCCAGTGGAACCTGGTATACCACCGGATTCAGATGAGGAAACTTAAGTGAATTCAGCTGTAACAATATGAATGTATTTATCGCTTATTTTGTTGTTTGTTACGTGCAATTTATTGATACCAAACATCCACCAGGTAATCTTAACGAATCAAATAGCAATCTCAGCTCTAAATATACCAACCAATGACAATTACAAATTACCCATAAAGATCTGGGAAGAGATCGTCGAACTTTAGTATGATGCTGACGACTGGGGGTATCGGAAGCAATTTTCAAGGAGTCAATAGAAAAAATAAAAAAATAAAAACCGGTTCTATGAAGAGTTTGGTATTATCTGCTCTAGTCCAGAGCTACAAAGCTTAAAGTGTAATGATTAGAAATGGGTAAATCTCTCGGGGCCAATTTGAAATCGCGAATACTTAGTATAAAATTTAGCAATCACCACTGCTTGACCATGACCTGATACTTCCTCGCATAATGTACCTGAACTTATTTCTTCCTAATGATTGACGTCATCTTTTCATAAATTGATACAGTACAAAATTGGTGAATGGATAATTAACGAAATCGTAGCATCATCTCTGTGTCATGCCAGTCCTCATACCGATGAAGCGCTGGACAAAGGAATAAGCATGTTGAGTGAGACTGTTTGCTTCGGCTGTGTGTGGGGGGATGGTGTGAGGTGAGTAAGAATGAAAGAAAAGAGAGAGGAAGGTACGTACGCTGTTCATCTTGCTGCCCTTTCTGCTCCTCCTCGTTCTCGTTCCCCTGCTCCTGCTCATATTCCTCCCCATCGCCATCATCGCCATCATCGCCCTCAAGATCGATGACGAGAGCGGCAGAATGCCAGCCAGCAGCGGCGACGGAGAAAGCGAAGAAACGTTTGCGAGTGCCGCCGTCACCTTCACCATCGCTTTTGAAGGAGACGGGGAGAGGATCACTAACATCGCCATCGCGGAGGTGGTCCAAACCGTTTACACCAAGTTTACCACCTTTCTGCGACCCCCAAGCACGTACGTGTCCGTCACGCGTGAGCGCGAGAGCGTGGTAATCACCTCTGGCGACATCTACAACATTGTCCAATCCAACGAGCGTAGGCTGACTGTCATCTCTAGTAGCGTCGCCTGCAAATACGGCAAAATTGCGGTGGATGGAGGGTGCATAAAGGGTGAACTGACGGAATGAGCATGTTATGTGGCTGAGATGAGGTGCTTCATCGCCGTCGGGAAGCAGTTTCCGCAGGTTCTCAGGAGCAAAATGAGTGAGCTGTAGTGTGTCAGCATTATACAACCCCGCAACACCCAATCAATGGTCAACCTACCTCATTCCACCGCCGACTACCATCGAGAAACATCTCGTGCATGTCACGCACCCGCTCGCTGCCGCGCAAACCACGTCGTGTGGACAGATCCATCCTGTAAACTCTACCAGAAGCAGTGAGGGCGAGCATAGCGTCTTCTGCGTTGGCAATCTGGGCGACAGACTGGCCGGGTATGTGAGGTAGTGTGACGGCGTCTGGTGTGTAGTCGAAGACTGAGGCAAGGATAGTCCTCCTACCCCCAGCCCCATCAGCCCGACCATGTGCATGCTGTCGCGGACCGGCGTCGTGCGCCACCCTGTACTCCTCGCGCAACAGACAATCATGAGGCCAAAAAACGAGAATGGCGCCGCTGGTGAGCAGTAGTGCGGAATGCGTCCATCCAGCGCTTATCTGAGCAATTGCGTCATTTTCGAGACATGCGTGCGTGATGCGCTGCGTGAGCGCGGGGGATATCGACTGGTAGACGCGGCCTTTGTCGTCGGTGAGGAGGATATGAGCACGACCTGCGCTGTGAATTTAATAGGTTAGTAGATATCACAACACACACCGTCCACCCACCTCATATCGACGGTGCGGAAAGGGAGTTCGAGAGTAGATGGAGTGGCTACGCGCGCGCCAGGATTCCTGTAGTCTACATGACCGAAAGGGACGATATCACCGTTGAACTGACCCCAGAAGACGACTTGTCCGTTGCGACCGAGAGCGTGGAATGACCAGCCACCAGCAACGACCTGGACAAGATCTATACCGGTGCGTATGGGAATGGGAGTGGGAACACAGTTACCGCGTGCTATGCGTGGATCGTGGAAATCAATACCGAGGCGCCCATTGGTGGCTACACCCCAGACGTAGAGCTGAGGAGAAAGGGCGCGCTTGTAGATGCGCTGCCAGTCGAGGTTATGAGATTGGGATGATTGAGTTAATACACGTAAAGCAATATACTTTGTTTGTGCGCTGAGCTTGCGTTTCCAAATCAGGGCATCGAGGATCAAGGCGTGGAGAGAGCGTGAAGAGCTGCCAATAGCAAGAATATCGCGGGGAGAGAGGAGAGGGAATAAAGAATCGAGAATAATTTCAGTTGGAACTTTATCGAGCATTGATGGCGGTTGATCAAATACAATGGACAGTCCCAGTAAATCACTTAAACGAAATCACAACCAAGATGATTTGTCGCGGTCGTTGAAGCAGCGCACTTACGAGACTAGCATTAGTAAATCACAGTATGAGCGTAAATTACTGGCATTTGAAACGACAAAGAGAGAATTCGAGATAACGATGCGGGAGAAGAATCTGCAGCATGGAAAATTGGTTAAGGATATCTCTTATTATAAGGACAAGGCGGAGACAGCGCACAAGGAGAAGGACGCGGCTCTTGCACTGGCTAATCAGAACAAGACGGAGAATGATAAAACACAGAGCCAGCACAGATACACGCTTGGTCAATTAAAAGAGGAGAATATTCAATTGAAAATGGATTTGGACAGCCTTCAATCACAGTACACACGCCAAATCCATTCCAAGGATTCTGTGATTAGTTCAATCGAGCATAGGTGTGCTTCTCTAGAAGAAGATCTTCATTCTGCCATCGAAACTTCCAATCTGAGACAATCCTTACTCGAAAATACCCGCAGGTCGTTGGATACCCTCGAACAAGACAAGTCATCGAGTAACATTGACTCCTCACACGCTTACACCTCTTTCATGCGCGATGAGCTCTCTAAGCAGTCCTCCATCAACAAACATTTGGAATCCCAGAACAAATCGTTGAACAGAGACTTGAACGGGCTTAAAGAGAAGTCTGCTAAATTTGACGTTCTTAGAGAGGAGAAATTGGCGCTCTCCTCTAAACTAAAGATGCTCGATAGAGTAAGCACGCAGTTGTCCAGTGTGGAGTTGGAGCGTGATTCCTTACTTAAAGAAAAGGAAGGCTGGCAAGATGTCTTACAACCAGGTGAATCACCTGCCACTGTAACCACCCTCATTGCACAGCTAAGACTGGAGAATGCCACTCTCAGAGAGAGTGTAGGATCAACCAACGCTGATAAGAGTGGTCACTCTACAGAACTAGCTCAGTTGCTGGACCAAATCGACAGTCTGAGAAAGGCAGAAGCGCAGCTGCAAATTAACGTTGAGAAACTCACCACCTCCACCACAAGCCAGTACAGACTACTAGAGTTGTCACAACAGGAAGTGTCCTCGCTGAAGAAACAACTCGACACAATACTATCAGAAGAAGAGACACTTAATGCTCACAAACTTGACACTCTTCATCACGACAGAATGGTTGGTTTGGAGGGGCTATTGCAGCAGCACAAAAGCGAGAATGAGAAGCTGGCAAGAGAGATGTTCAATCTGTCCAAGAGCACAACGACTGACACGAGTAATGAGAAAGCCTTCCAACTCAAGATAGACCACGCTGAGCAGACAATCGTCTCCCTCAAAGCTGAAGCGCAGGAGGAAATAAACAAATTGGCTGAGCAAGTGGCACACCTCGAGCATAAAGTGGGCAGAGGAGAGTTCAATTGCAAGAATATTCGCGTGCTAGAAATGCGCGATAATCCAATCTCCCAAGACTACGCTATACGCAGCGAGACGCTGAGTGCGTTGAGAGAGGAGAACAGAATGCTTTTGGAGGAGAAGGAGGGGAGGGAGGAGAATGCGATGCAATCAGTGCAATCGACACATCCGTCACTCCCCCTCCAAACAACCCTCAATCACACCAAGGAAATAAAGACACTGGAGCAGCAGCTCTCCGACAAAGACAAGCGTATGCTGCGCCTCAAGGGCATTTTCTCAGACAAAGCTGCTGAATTTCGCGAAGCTATATACTCGTTGCTGGGTTACAGAGTACAATTTCTCCCCAACGGACGCGTACGACTCAACTCGGCGTATGCAGCCTCAGAAAGCGGGGGAATACTCTTCCAATCGAATGAAGACGACCAGGGGACTATGAAAGTGGAAGATGGGGGGCTTGATGGTGTAGAGGATTTGCTAAGGTTCTGGGTTAATGAGAGAGAGTCAATACCGTGTTTCATGGCAAACCTCTGCCTGGAACTGTGGGATGCAAATGAGAGGAACGAAAGAGGACGCTTGGCTGTGCGGTAGGCGAGTGTGATTGTATTTGTAAATGCGATAAGCATGTTTTGTTTTTATATGTCTGATGTCTGAAAAGTACAATTTTCTGGGGAGCGTAGTTGTGCACCCCTAAAACACGGTGAACGAACGTCTAAAAGGAACAAAATGTTTTGCTATTCCAGTGGTGCATGACCCCTAACGTTGCAATCTAATGCCTAAACGCGTAGCACTCACCGAAAATGGAAGCAAGCCATGGGAGCTACACAGATTATAGTTACGAATAATAAACATAGAATAAAGTCACAGAAATACGGAAACCCCAAATATTTTTATTCGTTTACCCCTTTATTGCCACCACCTCTCAACTCCTGTCATTCCTCATCCGCCGCTTAATCCCAAATGAGCATCATCGATAAGGGAAAGGGCGCAGATAGAGACAGCGTATACAATCACGCGCTCAGAGTGGCGTATCTCTCACATCTCACCTCCCCAAAGCCTTCCCAGCCTTCACAGACGGCAGCCTTCACGTCACCGCACAAGCAGACGTCTTCGAAGCACCTAGCATCCATATCCTCCATCTCCATCTCCGACGTTCTCAAGGATTCTCTCACTCGGGACAGCAAAGGTGTCAAGTTCCCCGAGAAATTCGTCAAAGCGTTGGAGAAGAAGTGCGAGCAGGTGGCTATGGGCAGGGATCCAATGTGGGTTGCTAATTTTACAAGGCCTGCCTTTCTAATTACCCCGCAGCTACAATGACAGAGACTTCAGGGCTATCATCGGCGTCTTTTACGGCAAATTCAGCAGGAACAAGCAAACTTACAAATCTAATCGCAAAATTGAAGAAATAGTTATGCATTTTGTCTCGGAAGCTGTGGTTCATTTGAAGAAAATATCCCCTGATAACTGGCAGAATCTGATTATACTACAGTCTGTCAAATTTATTCAGCTTATCTCAAACACGCTTAAGTCCATCTCCGGCGTCTCCACGGAACTCCTCGATCGTATTAAAGGTTATGAGGCTAAACTTAATCCTGGACATGACATCAGCACGAGAGATGTTACTAGGGAGGGCACAAGGGACGCTATGAAAGACACCCCAAATAAACAACCAGGCAGCCCTATTCCATCCACTCCAAATCCCGGGATCAGTCATTTGGTTAGCGATATGCCTATGGTCCTCACTGTCGGTGAACTCTACGGCAAATCACCCCTCACCCTCCAGGAAGATGTCAACGTCATCAGCCTGATTGTCTCTGAAAAAGCTGCTCTCAACGATATTAAGACATGTCTCCAACATCTCGGCTCTGATGAGGCTATCACAGGCAAGGTATCCGACTTTGCCTCCGAGCAGGCATATGATCATTGGAAGTTGATCGAAATGGAAACTCTCACTCAGCTTATGAAAATGATGGTCCAGCTAAACCCAGCCCTTGCCAAGTCTGGCCCTTCTGATACTCTGCCATCACCAAGACCTACATTTCAGCAATCCAATTCAAATTCTCAAGAAGACTACTTAAACACCCTTTCGCGTAATACCCACGCTTCAATTTCACGCAAGCCTTCAATGACCTCACGATTCTCTTTAAGCTCAGTAGCTGATGCAGTCTCAAGAACTACATCGAATGAAGATGAGAAGAGCGGTGAGAATGCAAATTACCATCAAGCGATTCAAACTCATGATTACACTATCATTCCACCATCCCCAAGAAGTTATTATGCAAGTCTGCTCAATCAGTCTATGGCTTTCGATTTGGATGCGATGCAAAACATGTCTGAGGATGACCAAGTATCGTTGGGTATTATTTCATCTCGCCATCTAGAATTACTCGCTGAATGTGCAGTACGTTGGCGTATTAGCCCACCATCAAAGACGGCAGCATTTGTCAATGAGATGGTAATGAGATTCGAGACTGACCAAGTACCAATTGACTGCATACATGAGGCAATCAGAGGAGTACAGAAAACACTAGGTGAATGGCAACTAGACCAGTGGCCAACAATCGATCGCAATTCTCTTATTAGTCTATACAAGCGAGTAGCATACACATCACTGATTAGAATTGGTGAGAGACTCGATGACGCTTTGTCTTCTAGTGCGGATGATCTTTACACTGATACAGAGATTCTTCCCATCCTACATGACACTGGACTTCTTATACAAGGTGGCATGGATATCCAGTTCGAACTTGATAGAATCAAAGGGAGAGTGTCAGAATTCGCTAAAAACACCTACAATGCTGAACGAAAGACTGTTGAAAATACAAACCGTCTAAGCGTAATGGATTCCGCTTTCGCTTTAGTTGAATGGGTGCAGAAGACAGGAAAGAAATTAGACAAACTATACCCAATGCCCCTTCTTGAGTGGGTGGGGTGCCTAATTATTGATTATCACACTAACAAGCCCCAGTTACATCGACATTGTACCCCTATTTATTGAAAAGGCTGTGCCTTTGTGTATTGCAGATATCAAGTGGAAGATACCCATGTTCTTGGAACAACTACGAAGCAGGCCAAATGGATTTCCTATAGACGACGCATTTGAGTTAATGTCGAGGGTGAGGAGGTTGATTACTTTTTCAAATCAAGCGTGTCCTGGGTGAGGGTGGTGTTATTTTGAGGTACTCTACTTACATCTCTAGCAGAGCTCAACTGGACTTTTCTATAAGCACTGCCTTCGGTCCATTTGTGGAGCACTACTTGGAGCAGTCTGGCCGCAAGACAGAGCAGTGGGTGCAAGCTGTGAGTGGGAGTGGGAGTCCATAGTAAAGTACAGTGCAACTGACGCGTTACAGGCTATCAGAGCGGATAATTTCCAACAGGAGGACAATATCGGCCACTCGTCGTCAATAGTTGATCTCTTCGCATCGCTCAAAACGTGTGTGCTAAACATTAAAAACCTCGACTGGCCAGATCAAGTGGAGCACGCCAAGTACATGACCAGACAGGCAAAAACGCTCAGTCGGGCGATCGACCAATACAGCAGGACGTTACTGGATATGTTTATGAACGAGATGTTTCCAGCCCCGCTACCAGAGACGCCACTGCCTGGACAATCAGCGTGGGTGGCCCGAGCGCAGCATTTCGTACAGGGTGAAAAGAAAACGGTGCCGTTCAACTTTGACGCAAAATCTTGCGTCAAGTTGAACAACATAGAGTCTGCGAAATCGCTCCTCGACAGTCTGTATACTCTGTGCGATGCTGACGAGGTAGCCAACATGCTACAGGAGGGTGAAGGTGAGGGTGAGAGTAAAGCTGTGTACTCTAACACCCCATCCACATCCACACATAACCCCCGCTACCTCTTCTCTATCAAGGTCGTCATGGCGGAGGATCTTCGCGCGAGAGACCTCTCACCAGGACGATTGGATCCTTTCGTTACTATCGCCGACGAGCGTGGTGATCGCATTTACAAGAGCAGGACTATCTATAACGCCCGCAACCCGCGTTGGGAGGAGAGCGTCGACCTGTCGCTCACAAAGGCGCTCTGGATCGGCGCTACTCTCTGGGACAGGAGCACAATCGGCGAACACAAACTGATCGGTAGGGGCTATCTCAAACTCGACCCTCCTAAGTATGAAGATTGTCTGCCGCAGGACAAGTGGCTGAAGTTGGATTCTAATAATGGCGCTGTGCTCCTGCGCGTGAGCATGGAAGGCGAGAAGGATGACATACAGTTCCATTTTGGCAGAGCTAATATATCGCTCAAGAGGGCAGAGTCTGATATGTGTCGGACGATAGTTGATAAAATGTCACCGTTCATTCAGCAGTGTCTCAACAGAACAGTGCTGCGCTCTCTTCGCAAAGGGGGTGGATACTCGGAGCAGGTGACCAAGACTATTGACAATATCACGGCCAACTATAAAAATTGGAAAACTCAACGCACGAACCAGTCGATGGATAGCGAGATACCACTGCCTAAAGATGAGCTACCACCGACACCACCAACAGCTGCAGTGATGCGCAATCGCAATCGCACTGATCAGCTGACAGATGAGGAGATCGAGGATGCTATTGGACCTCTTTTTGATTACTTTGATGCTAACTTTGCAGTACTGGCGTCGACGCTGACTGATACTGCCAAGATAACAGTCATGTCGAGGGTGTGGAAGGAGGTGCTTATGACAATAGAGGGGTTACTCGTACCTCCGCTGTCGGAGCACTTTAGCGATATGAGGCCACTTCCAGATAAAGAAGTGGATATAGTGTTTAAGTGGCTGCAGTCGCTGAGACTTTTCTTTTACGCTGATGGTGAAGGACTGCCGCTTGAGACGCTGCAGAACCAAAAATACAACGAAATAGTATCAATACGGCTGTACTACGACTGGCCGACGTGAGTGGATGTGTTACATGTTCGTTACTCCAACTAACACTAACAATTGCAGTGATCCACTAATGGAGGAGTGTGTCAAGATGATGCAGATGGGTCTGCGCAAGGCGCCCACATTGCGCAAGAAGAGAAAGACAGTCAAATCGCACAGGAACATGGGTACGATCAAGGCGCGCAAGAAGAAAGATCACAAGCTGCAAGAATCAGATCATGGAGATATCATACTCAAAATCTTGCGTATGCGTCCATCTACTAAGGATTTCGTCGGTCAGCAGTTAGAGGTATCGAGTAATTACAAACCTGCGAAAAATAGATTAACGGATGGTATTACGCAGATAAAGAAGGGAATCGATAGCGCGGCTTTGCGCACAAAGAGATCGTCTGTAGTTTCTACCATGAGTAATAGCCCGAATACTGACGCTAGCTATGGTAATACTAGTACTACTGGGAATACTACGAATTCGAGCATCTAGTATGGTGCTATATGGCGCCACGCCTTTCTTGTTTGTTTAGCGTATTGAATGCATGTTATTTGTAAAAGCAAAGGAACAATAAATGAAGTACTACTAAGTAAGATACATGGGATAATTACAGTTTGGTATCGCCTTGGCGTTTTCTGGATTGATTGGCTTCGTCGTAAGAAGGTAGGGAGTAGTCTTGGGGATGAGTGGGCGGCTGTGGTTGTGGTTGTGGTTGTGGTTGTGGTTGTGGTTGTGGCTGTGGCTGTGGTTGGTGTGATTGCTGCTGCTGCTGCTGTGCGCCTTGGACATAGACAATTTTAGGCGGCTCATCCTCATAAAAACCATTGCGGTAGTGGTGTATGATATACCAGGCGTGTATAACCGCAGGTATCCATAACACGACAAATAGAACAAGGTTGATGAGGACGTGTGTGGCACCTTTGGTTGAGCAGCCAGTGACAAAAGCGACGCTGAGAGTTGGAATGAAAATTGCTAAAATCCCATTGAGGATCCTTTCGCAGCCATTGTGTCCTTGCATTTGGATGGCAGTGGGAGTGGAGAGAGCGACACGCACACACGCAGACACCAAACCAAACCCAAACACCAAGATATAAATACAATTGTAAAATAAAATAAAGAATATTATAATGTAATATCCCCCTTGAACGATGACGATGATGTCGACGATGACGAGGTTTCAGGATCCGCTTGTAGCATTCCCACCAGAGCTTGTGCTGCGCATAATATCAGAATTAGATGTTAGCAGTTTATCAGCGATGCGTGAATGCAGTAAATCTTGGAACACATTTGTAGACGTACACGAGGAAGTTCTTTTCACGCTTATTAGAGATAAACAAGGTAGATTGTTTGAGGATGCATTGAATACACTTGAGAGCGTTGGCGGGGGATACGATAAGTGTAATAATTGGAGAGATCTTTGTGAGTTATATAATTATATTCACGCATTAAAACTAAACCCATATTCAGTCATCAATGACAATAAAGTTCAATCTAATATCAAATCTAATCATCCAAAGATTTTTGAGCGTTTCGTAAACACTGGTATGACCCTTACTTGGAGATTTAAGCCGGATTTTGATTTGAATTTCGTTGTCATCACTGCACATCAAGGTGGAGTCAAAGTCTTTGATTTAAATACTTCAGAAGCTCTATGGGAAATTCCAGAGGTAAAAATTTCTTGTTTCAGATGTCACCTCACTCACTCCTTCATAGGAAGAAGTACGCCCGCACGCACACCTCGAATATTCCAATGGTCACTTCTGTATCGATCGCTTTGGAAATGCTTTGGAGGTTTGGAGGAGAAATGACATTGAAAATGCTTATAGAGGTGAGCATGATGAGATGCTCCCAGAGAATCGTGGTCATTTCACTCGCGTTGCCATTCTACCCCATGAAAGAGAGACTAGAGGTTTTCAATTAGACTACCCACACCTCTCCGTTGTTTCTAGTGAAGGTCACGGATATCTCTACGACGTATCAGGCACACCTAGTTTAATCCGTCAGGTTGATATCGAACGAGGCGCAATTGGTCACCTCGATCAGTGTCCAGCTGCTATTGTCTTCTCGATTGGCACAAATGGCTATCACTTCCACAGCAAAACTGATGGTAGACTGATGGGTACATTTCCACCTCAGGAAAGCAATCTCACTCCTGCTAACTACTTCCACGCCCATCACCCTCAACCACCAATGCCAGGTGGTAGCGCTGGTACTGAGAATATACCTGCTCCAAGTCAGCATGTCGAGAATACACGACTCGGAAATGGAACACTCCAAGAAAATCCACCTTCGAGACCTAGAACGCACGAAATGGCAAGTCTTCAAGGTGACGATTGGGGAGCAGGTATGATAGATGGACCGTACTTTGTCGGAATAAGTAGGTCAGGTAGATTAGTACTGTGCTCAGATTGGGAAGCTACACTCGCAACACCCTCATTGGCATCGCAAACGGTCAGCGTACTTGAGTCGGAGACTGATGACTCGAGGTTTGATCTCGGAGGCTGGCTAAGTGTGAGGCACGGAAAGGTGCTATTCGAAGTTTCTGATAGGATATATATCCTCCATTTACCACCTCAAGGAGAGTTGTTAAATCCAGCGACAGCACCACCAATACAAACAGTACCTTCAAACTCATACGCACAACTTCCAGTGCCGATTAGTTACATGTCGGTGCACTCTGATGCTGTCATGTCTACATACGCCACACTACTATTCAATGCGGTGAGAATTGGAGTGGCGAAACACATAAGAATTCTTTCATTCGCAGGTGAAGTGGATGATAGTAGTAAGTGGATAGATCCGCAGTCTCCTGAAAATGAGGATCCTCATAGAAGTGCGTGTACGATTGCATGAATTGTGAAGATTTTAACGAAAGTTCAGATTTTATACTGGAAGTAATGCAAGATAATGCCAACATGCTGGTACCAGAAGATGAAGATGAAATAGAGAATATAATAGAAGATTTTGATCAAGACGAGCAGGATTGGGAGGATGTAAGTGAGGAGAGTGAGGAGGGGGAGAATAGAGGGGAGAGAATTGATCAGGTATTGTAGAAATTACAGAAATTACAGAAATTTTCAGTTGAAATATTCACTTGATCCGAATTATGCATAAATTAAATTACCAATTTAGATACGTGAAGACTGTTGGGGCAGATATGAAGATAGGGGAAATAGGGGGAAAGTGGAAAAAGGGATATATAGCTCTATTAAATACATATAGACTCTATGAATAAATATAAATATTTAAAATCTCAAAATAATTTTAATTGAAATGCCGAACGAATTGCGCAATCAGAATGCCTTGGACACAACCACCATCAAGCGCTTGAATTGCATAATAAACTAAATTAATTGACCAGTCAAGTTCTTAATTGAAATTTGGCTAAATACTGGTCAATCTCCCTCTTAACGATTAAGCAACGTATCTCTCTTTTTCTTTAATTCTTAGGCAAATGAGTGAGTTGGCGTGGTTTATAACACTTGTTACGTCATTAACGGTTAACACAGACTCATCCGCAACTCAACTTTCCTCTCCTCCAGCCTCACCTGCTCATCGATTCATTTCTATCCACGAAGCTTCTCATTTCGATCGCAGGCAATCAGCAGCTCAAGCAGCCCCAGGAATTCCAATTACTCCTTCCTCTGAATCTTACCTACCATTTCCACGTTCAGCTTCACCAGCACCTGCAACTCTAGCCCCTTCTCCATCTCTCTCACACGCCGTCGTTAGCTCCCCGCTAGCTGTACACGCAACTCTCTCTCCACCAGCCACACCTTCACTAGCAAAGAGACCTCTCAACCCAATCACTCATAGCCCACGTTCGTCCATTGCCTCTGTTACTTCCCCAACCCACAGGCAATCTATGGCTCTCGCTGTCTCTTTGTCCTTGGCTGGTAGCGTCGCCTCTTCTAGATGTTCCTCTAGTTCCGCTCAATCTCGTCTTTCTTCTAGAAGGTCTTCTCTCAGTGACTACCCTTCAAAATGGTCAGATGAAGGCGGTGACGAAAGAGACAGCGACGATGATCAAGGCTGCGATATTTTTAAACTCGGTGATGTCTTTGGTGAAGGTTACGATTTTCAAGGTCAACCTGTTAGATCTGTTGAATTAGGCACTCAAACTCAACAAAGATTAACTGACAGACCAAAGAAGATGGAAGTTGTTAAAAAATTAGGTACTGGCTCTTACGCTGCTGTTTACGCGATGAAAGAAATTCTTCAATCCGATCACGATTCAGATGAGGATGATTTCGAATTATCTGGCGTACCTAACAAAAATGTTAACAAGGGTGGACAACCAAGAATGTTTGCTTTAAAGGCTTTATCAAAGAAGAATCTGGATGATTCTCAACTTGAAATTCAAATGTATGAGGCGAGGATACATCAATCTCTACCGGTAAACCAAAACATTGTCACGCTTTATCACACACTTGAAACTTCCAATTGGTTATTTTTGTTGATGGAGTACTGTCCAGGTCAAGATCTTTACTATTGGTTACAAGGTAGATTAGATGAATCTAGTCTGGATTTAGATGAAGAATCTGATCAAGAAGTCAGCATGTCCAATGAAATGACTCCTTCTGCCTCCACGTTAGCTGCTACTCCTTTAGCTAGAAACGGTCACTCTCTAATGGATAAATATTTGGGTGGAGTAGGCAACAAAACTCCTTCAACTCCCTCTTTGTTGGCAAATGTTGACACAAGAAATACTATGGAAGGTAGAGCCAGACTCAGACTCATCTCAAGAATGTTCGAATCAATGTGTGAAGCTGTGGCAGTTTGTCATGATAACGGTATAAGTCACAGAGATATCAAGCCAGAGAACTTTATTGTGACTGACGGTGTGGATGTCATTCAACTTGGCGATGGTAGAACTAAAAAGGAGAGAAAGGTTATTTGCAAGCTAACTGATTTTGGTCTTTCCACCTTCGATACTCAGTCATCTGACTTTGATTGTGGCAGCAAGTCATATATGGCGTTTGAATGTCGCAATAATCTTAACCCAACTTACAATCCAAAACCAGCTGATGTATGGTCACTTGGTATAGTACTCCTCAATATGCTCTTTAAGCGTAATCCATGGGGCGAACCAAGTGTTGAAGCAGATGAGTCATTCGACTACTATTGCCAGGATCCTCAAATGTTCTTGACTGGTGCATTTGCTTTAACTGAACCAGCAGCTGAATTTTTGGCAAAGAATGTCTTATGTGAAGAGACTAAAGATCATCATAGAGTTGGTGCTCGAGAGTTTGGTAGATGGGCAAGAGATTTACATAAGCATGTAGAATTGCCAAACCAACCTAGCCCATTATCAAATTCCATCAGACCAGCTGTACTTGGTAATAGTTTTACACCCTTGAATATACCATCAAGACCACAATCACCTGTCAAGCTGTCTCGTTCAGATGTACTTAACAACAACTTTTCAGAGATTGCAAACACATCTTCACCTAGACTTAACAAGGTTGCCACAGGAAATGAAGACTTTGATCCAGATTTGGATGACACTTTACCTTCTCCATTACCAATGCCGGAGAGGAAATTGGAATCTGAAAACGAAATGAATAGAATGGTTGAAGAAGCTACTCCAAGAGTGACAAAATCGTCACCAAACAAGTCTGCCTTGTTAGAATTTGAAGACAGGGACGACATTACACCGGGACAAAAATCATCAATGTCATTCCAGAAGAACAAACCAACTAAAGTACAGAGAGAAAGTTTCGAACACACGACAACACCAACGATGGCAACTGCGTGGAATTCATATGGACAACGTAGGGATAGAATTGGAAAAAGGCAACAAGCTGCGAATCAAAGTGGAGGTGGAGGTGGAAATGTTACACCAAATGGTTCAACACCATCAAACCACACAAGTCCAACAAAATCTACTACCCCAAGTAAACCGGGATTCAGACCTTTGAATACATCAGCACCTGCTCAAGGTGGGATATCGAAGGAAGCACCTAACAAACCCGTTGGAGTTTACAGACCACCAGCTGCTAGAAAGGAAAAAGATAATAAAGAGATAGGATATGGGGAGAAGAAAGTTTATAACAATGGGAACGTGAATGAGAATGCAAATACAAACAAAGATGCTACCACTGCTAATGCTAATGAGTGCGTTAAGTTGCCACTGCCAGTTTGGAGACGGAATACTTCCAAACTGGTAGATAGTAAAAAGGCCAATAGGTCTAACACTACTTCAGGCAGAGGCAAGCAGAATTACGTAAAATGCAATCGCAAGTACCGTACAAGTCGTCCAGTTTTAAGGTGAGTATTGGTGGGATAATTGACGAAATAGAAATTAACAAAAAACGCAGACCGGTCCTCACAAGCCAACAACAAAAGGCAACAACAACGGATACCAAGGTGCCAATCAAGCCACCAAATCGGCAACCAATTCGTCGACGCATAGAGCAAACGAGAGCGGACAAAGAGCGATTGCGTCAAGACAACAACCAACAAGAGAATTGGAGACCGATAGCCAACAAACGAGCAAATCGTATAACAAGCACAAACCGACAAAGACTTTTGAACACATCCAGCAAGCGCCGAAATCAAGCAGGCCATTTGCAAGGCTAGTTGGATTACCGTTTGGACATGTTCATAGTGAGAGATAGTGCACATAACAAAGGTACAACTTGAACAAGAAATTGATCCAATGAAATGAACTAAACTGAAAAAAAGATGAAAAAATAAGAAAAACGAAACTTGAAACTTATTTTTCTAAATTTTTTGTAACCACCACTACATGATGAATAAAAAAAAAGTTGTACTTTATATCTTTTGGGGGGTATTTCTGTCGCGTAGAACGCACGTATCACCCATCACCCATCGTCACCCACAATGAGATGGAAGTAAATAAAAATTATTTGAGAGTTGATACGAATATCCTTTTGGAGCTGATTGGGTTCATGTTGTCTAGGCTGGTGCAGCATAATGATCAATTACCGCTAGATAGAAATAAGCTTACTAGATTTCATTCGAGGGGAGCACCGGGAATATCAATCAACGATTATCTCAGTAGGATACATAAGTATACGAATACTGATGTGGGTGGTGTGCTATTGTAACTCTCACGCTTACACCAGCTCAAGCCTTGCTGTTTACTAATTCTACTCATTTACATTGATAGAATAAGCGTAATTCTACCCGAGTTGACTATAACAAGCTTGACAGTACACAGATTCATCATCACTGCTATCACCGTCTCGTCTAAAGCCCTATGCGATGTTTTCTGCACGGCGAGCCATTACTCCAAGGTTGGCGGTATTTCACTCAATGAGTTGAATTTATTGGAGAGGGAGTTCTTGCGTATTATCGACTGGAATCTCACTTGCGATAACAAGCAATTAGAAGAGTATTACTTGAATCTAGTGAATAGCCATCCCAACTATACGCTTGGTGGGGGTGATGGTGATGAGGATATACACACACCTAACGACGACGCTATTACTCTTTATGCCTGCTCGCCTACCCACTCAAAACCACAAATCATTCCGCAATCGAGACCAAACCACCAAGACATCACCGAATCACCACAGCAACGTCGACGACTGAGTTGATTTTAATACATAAATTTGTACCAATATACATAGATTGATTTTTGTACTCTACAGTCTATTTATAACACTCGCCTTGGCTTTGGGTGAGATCGGGTTCTTGTCTGCAAAGTACGCCAGCAAGAGCTGCGTGGAGATGAACTTGACGCCTTCTGATTTGCTGTCCAGTCGTCCCAGTGTGTCTCCCTATAAATGTTGTTAGATACACACTCACCACACAACACAACACACACCTTGTACGACAACACCAAGTCGCCACTCCTTGTCTTTGTCAAAGTCAGTTCATCGCCTTTTGGTACCTTGCTTGGAGGGAAAAATGACTTGAAAGTCTGCAGCGACTCGTTGACTTGCTTTGAGGGGGGTATTAGTGTGAATGCCGATGTGGGTGTGGAAACTCACCTGCGACTCCTCAGCGCCCAGCTGTGATGTCTTCATACGCGCCTGAACAGCGCGGACGAATCCATCTCTGAGGTGGCCAAAGTCTGTGTTGCGCACGGGCACTGCGTCAGCAAGTTAGCAAGTTAGTGCATGTCTTGTCTAATCCTCCACGCACCGATCCTGACTGCAAATGTGTATGGGCTGGTGATCAGCCTCTCCATAAGTTTCTCGCCAACCATGTCGCTATCCTGCGAGGCTGTCCTGGTGAGTTTCTCCTTGACGTTCTGGGAGTGGTTTAAGTCAGGTCGGGATGCGCAGTCCGTGGACAGCTTCGCCACCCACCTCCACGGCAGACAATGCTGAGTGTGCGCTCTCCTCGGCGTATATACCCAGCGAATACACGCGTATACTGAGGAAAGAGACGGTACGCACACCCAAGCCAAGCAGCTTGAGCGCTCCGCTGTCGTGTACACTCGCAACCTCATTAGGGAACTTCACCCCGGTATCGCTGTCTTTGCTCAAGTGTGATTCGAGGTCTTGTAATACGCCGGCCAGGATGGGCTTTGTCGGGGTGTTGGGGGTGTCTAATCTGATGGTATCTGCATCTGCATCTGGGGCGTTGTGAGGTGCGCCAAGTATCTTCTCAAGACCCACTGTGGCTGTAGTAGGCGAGCACGAGGAGCATCGATGTGGCTCCAGCCACTGCAAGCCTGCCTGTCCTGTGTGCAGTCAAGCCCTGGCTCTTTGCGATGCTCTTCGATATGTTTCTCACGTTCGCTTGTCGCTGTGCCTGTACACCTCGATGCGCTAATTGGCGGAACATGAGTTGGTGGTGTTGTTAGGAGACGAGTTGCAAAGGTTTGGATTATATGCACCAAGCACCAAGCACAAATCACACAATACAAACAATTTTATTAGCTAATGCATCCGTCGGAACACAACAATATCACCACGTCGTCTGCTATCCTCATGCAAAACCGTGTTGAAGAGGGATAAAGTGACCTCGTATTGCTTCAGCAACTCAGCGTGCAAATCACTATAATCGATGAGCAGAGCCTCAAAGACTATGACGACATCCTCAAGATGTCTCTTTCTCATAAACTCTACCGGCGACGCGTAAAAGACGTCCTCCTCGTTGTATCCACCGGGCTCGCATTGGACAGCATAGAGGGTGAGGTCGGGTCTGTGTATGTGCGACTGCCACGGCGTAGAATGGCACGGCATGTAGAAGCCTACACTGCGCACCCCACTAACTTCCCCTACCCACTCAGATACCTCTACTTGACCGCGCATGTGTGTGGTGAGGAGATAGAGCGCAGGTATCACACCCACAGCCAACCATTTGACTGTCTTCTTACTCAAATTCATCCGCGATGCTGTCAACGCCATCGCTATTGGTAGGAGTGGCTGGATGAAGCGCCATTCTTTGTGTGCGATGAGCGTGTAAACACCTGTGACAAATATCAGAGTATTTCGCAGCGCTTTCTCGGTAGGTGTGCGCATATCGACCACCGCTTTGTATGTATAGACGATGCTCGTGTTGAGGAGAATCGGCCATGCCTGTGTAACGTAGTAGAGCGCGCTACTCGTTCCGTAGAAATGCGACACCGAGTTGATTATGTTGCTCTGTATGAATCTCACCGGAGTGATTGTGAATGAGCCGTATACCATAGAGTCGAGGGACACAACGGAAATCAGAGCAAATAGCCTGTGGGTATTTTAGGCTGGTGATATAGGTAGTAACACATCACTCACCCTACTCCGACTGCCAACATGAGCGCGCTTAGTCGGTTAACGGTTCTTCTTATCAACAAATCAGCCGCTAGGGGTATCCATATGAGTACGTTGGTCGGGCGTATTGCCGCCGCTAAAGATATCACCACCAGCGACTTGGTTAACTGGAATTTGCTGTTCAGTGTCAGAAGTGTTGATCATATACACATCACCTGCCCTCTGCTAGACCTGCGAAAGGGCCAATAAAACAAAGCTACACTAGTCAAAGCTGCTTCAGCGGTATTTGATAAAGATCTATGTCGGGTATAGAGGTCATAGACATTGGTGAAGGCTAGCAGAGTCTGGTTGGGTATAAGGAACGTGTCCTATGATGGCAGAGACCCACATAAGACATGGCTTTCTCATTGCCGTATTCTCTCCTCATAAAGGCGATCAAGGCGATATCCTGTATAGCCGCGAATAAAGCGTTGAGGATCTTTGGAGTGACTTGGACTGGGATATTCGCCCAATCACCTAAGGTATATCCAACAGCGTAGATGGCTGGGTAGGCTACAGAACGGATTCGATTTTCCCACTCCCAAGTCAAATAGCCAAATCCATAGCGCATCCAGTGTGCGACTTCTAGAGACTGGAAATATTCATCTGGTTGGAAGTAGGTACGTGTAGACAGAGATAGAATTAGTCTCAGTAAGAGGATTACTATCAACATGGAAGCAAGAAGACAAGGAGGCGATAATAAATAAATTACATGAGCTTGTTAAAAATCTTCTTGAGTAGGGTGAACTGAGGGATGAACATTGCGACGTGATTCCGGTACTCGTTGTAGGAGGGATACTTTGACAAAGAGATACTCTCTGTGAGTCTGGTAGATGCCTCGAACAGAAGTGACATAGACAGTGGTGATATGAAGACGCTCAATAGATCTACACCGTCCAATTTGGTTCCTAGAACAACCAGCAACGACCAAATCCACCAATTAAGCTGCTCGAATGCAAAGTTTGGGTGCCTGGAGATAGCAAATAAGCCCGAACTGTTGAATCCATCTGCGTAGAGTTTCTTCTCTTTTGGAGTGAGTAAATCCTTTTCACTTGCTATCTTTGTAGAAGAAGCTCTCTTCCAAGATTGATAAGCGTATTGTTGATTATCGGCGATGAACTCGGCTGTGATATTGGCAACACCCAATCCAAAGATGAGATAATCGTTGCGATTCACGTCATATTGCGGGGTCTTGGCGATGATAAGTGCAGGGATACCTGTGATCAAGTGGAGAATATTCTGTGCAATCGCCACGAAGAAGAGGTTCAGAAGCTTGAATTGCCACCAGTTCAACTTCCCCCTCACAATGGGCCATCGATAGTCCTCCGAAGCAAAAGCCATGAGACCTCTTCTGGCGGTGTTGAATGTTAGCCTCGCGGACCAAATAAGTTGTAATGTGAGCAGCAATAGGGCTCTTTGATTTACGGTTGAATAGAGAATTGAAGTCAGTGGAATTGAAGGGGGTGCTTGAAGGTAAGTTTTAAAAGCGAGATCGAATGCAGGAATCACGGTGTATAATAGCGGGAGAATTGTCCATACGCGATCAACCTGTGAGACGTTTGAGGTGATCTCACTAATGCTATATGTCCAGATAGTGTTATATACGCATGCGAGTACCATGAGCTGATCTGTGGATGCATTCAAGTAAATCTCTTTAAGGTTAGCTGAGTGAGTTATTAGCCGAGTGTAGCTATAAACATCGAGATTGAACATGGTGGCGTGTAAGCTAAGAAACGCGGTGTGGATTCATACCACTGCTTATGAATATACAAAGAATACGTAGAAATCACTTCTATTGCCCTTTTCTTCCTCCATAAATCTCACCTCGCGTCTTTAACGGGACAAGTGGCTTAACTTGGCGAAACCGACCGACGGTAAATACCCGCTTGAAAGAATCCTTTAACGGCAACCACCATCATCAAAACAACAAATGTCATTTATTACAATTCTAATTTTTTCGTGATTTCTGACTCGTACGCTTTTCGAAGCACGCCAACCAACTGGGATTGAGAATGCACAGGAGATTTTTACAGCAGAAGCGCTTACAGAGCTCGTCTACTAAGAATCTCATTCCAATCAGGACATCTCTAAAGGGCGCTGGTTTGCTTCAGCAGCCCGTCCTCAATAAAGGCTCTGCGTTTAGTAGAGAAGAGAGAGAGATTTTCCAGGTAGACGGACACATCCCATACGATGTACACAGCCTGGAGAAGCAAATGGTTAGAGCCTATGCTCAGTTTAAGAGACAGCCAAGCAACATCCTTAAGGTATTTTCATCCCTTCAGCCATGTCTTGTCTCTAAAACCTACACAGCACGCCTTCTTAGCCTCACTCAGAGACCAAAATCAAATTCTGTTTTATGCCTTGGTTAGCAGCAGGCTCAAGGAAATGCTACCGGTATTGTGAGCATTCTCATTGGCTGTTATTTTTAGCTCACTCGGCTTACTCCCCAGATACACTCCAACTGTCGGTGAAGCTGTCAGTCAATACTCAGATCTCTTTAGAAGACCTATTGGTTGCTTCCTCAGTTTACCCACTGCTCACACTATGAGAGAGCAACTCCAATCACACGCCAATGCCGCTTTTCGTTACAAATATCCACCAGGCATGAAAAATTCAGACACCGAGAGACCTTTCGATATTGTCGTCGTTACCGACAGTGAAGGTATTCTTGGTATCGGTGATCAGGGTGTCGGTGGTATCTCGATTTCCACTTCAAAGGCTGCTCTCTACGTAGCAGGTGCTGGCGTTGATCCAAACCGCATTCTCTCTGTTGTACTCGACGTTGGCACTGACAACCACACTCTCTTCGCCAACCCTCTATACATGGGTTACAAGCACGTCAGAACTAGGGGCGTTGCATACGATCATTTTGTCCATCAATTCATGATGAACATCAAGGAGCTCTTCCCAGGTGCTTTGGTTCACTTTGAAGATTTTGGTTTGAACAACGCCGCAAGACTCCTCGAAACTTACAAGCCCGTATTGCCATGTTTCAATGACGACATTGAAGGTACTGGTGCTGTTGCTCTTGCTGCAACCATGTCTGCTATCGGTGTCACTAAATCTAAACTCTGCGATCAAAGAATTGTCGTTTACGGTGCAGGTACCGCTGGTATGGGTATCGCAAACCAAATTAGAGATGCCATGATAGAAGTCGATGGCCTCACGTTAGAGGAAGCCAATAGCAGATTCTGGTGCATCGACAGAGACGGTCTTCTTCTCAAGAGCAATCCTAGATTGCAGGGTAGTCAACATGATTACGCTCGCGATGACGAAGAGGTTAGAGATTGGACGAGAGAAATCCAAGAGCAACCTAATTTGCGCATCCTCGATGTGGTAAAGGCAGTCAAGCCAACCATGCTTGTTGGATGCTCTACCAACGCACGCTCATTCAACGAAGATGTTATCAGGACGATGGCTGAGCATGTGGAAAGGCCAATCATCTTCCCAATGTCGAACCCTACATCCCTCGTCGAGGTCGACCCAGCTGATGCCAACGAGTGGACCGACGGTAGAGCTCTAATTGCTACAGGCTCACCATTCCCACCTGCCAAGAACCCAATCACTGGAAAAGATTACTTTATTGCTGAAGCAAACAACGCACTCATTTACCCTGGTTTAGGTTTAGGTACTATTGCATCCAGATCATCAAAGATGAGCAAAGGTATGATCTTGGCTGGTGTTAAAGCTTTAGCTAGTGCGTCACCTGCATTGGAGGATCCAGATGCACCACTCTTGCCTGACTTGGCTGGAGTTAGAAAAGTTAGCTTGCAGATCGCCGCTGCTGTCGTCAGGCAAGCTATGGAGGAAGGCGTTGCCAATATTAATCTTAAAAAGGATGATGATGCTATCATCGAACATATCAAATTTGGTATGTGGGATCCAGTTTATAGACCTTTAGAGTTAGAACCGGAGGATTTAACGAGTGATTAAAATTTCTACTTGAATTACACTCCACGGACGTTTATAGAATTATTGCATAAACTTATATACCAAAAATACTATCTTTTCCTGCTTCTCTAGAGGTTTTCTAATAAATACTTTGCCATATGTGGTTATGCATTCTTGGAAACTCGGAGTAATGGGCCTCAACGTAGGCACAAAAGAATATTTTTTCCAATTAAGTCGCATTTATGTTTCCATAGTTTACAAAAATCAACAAATACATTTGAGAGTGAGAGCGTGCGAGAGTAAAACTTTCATCCGTTGACAAGAAAAATCCTTCTATACCCCTTTAAACACGTTCATTGTGCATCACTGATCCTTTTTCAGTGGAGTAGATGGAATCCGTTCCAACTCTCTTCATTTGTCTGTCATTGTCAAAGTTGGCCATGGGTCCGACCTCGTCATCCTCGTGATCACCCGCACCGGCTTCACCAGCAGTCTTGGCATTCTCGATATCCTTACCGAGATTCTCCTTACCAGCGAGAGCGGTGATGAAAATGAGAGCTCCAATGATTCCGACGAAAATACCTGCTACCGTACTGTAATCTTCGATAACTTCACCACTGCAATTAATGATTGTTCTTGTTTCTGCAGCTCTGGCTTCTATTTGAGCTGAGGCACTTGATACCATGTTACCGAGCTGATACGTCAATCCGGAGAACAGAGAACGGTATGCTGGTGGCGATGCTTCCTGCAAGAAGATTGGGATGACTGAAGATAATTAATCAAATTAGCAAATGATAGCAAAAGAATTTGCAAACTCACCACCCCAAGCGCCCTGTACACCGAATTGAACAAAGAACACACCGGCTGCCAAAGAATTGAAGTCCATTGGAATGACCCAGAGTGGAATAAATGCACACGCAATTACGGCAAATAGTGCCATCGTGAATCTTCTACCAGCTTTTTGCGACACTGCACCGGCAATCGTACCACCAACGACTGCACCGACGTTACCAATGATAGTGAGGAGTGTTGCATCATGTGAGGTTTTACATTTTGCAGTTTCCTGTATTTCTGGTAAGAGGTGGGTGTTATACATCAGTTGAACACTCACGAAGATCTTTGTGAGAAGGTCTTGTGAGGCGTGGGAGAAAAAGTTGAATAATGTCATCACCCAGAAACAGTAAAGAGCCATAATCCAGTAGTTCTTAATCATTTTCCAGATTTCCCTCAAGTATGTCTTAGAAGACACTTGCTGATAATCGCCTGATTCGATCTGCTCCTTCTTACGTGCCTTGGCTGCCTTGTACGTGTCACTTTCTGGGACAAACATTCTAATTATACCTGCTGCCCATGACAGACCAGCACCTGTGAGGTGTGAGTGAGGTGTTGATAATTTAAGACACAACCCACCCAAGTAAAACAAACCACGGTATCCAATGTTATCAGGCAATCCCGGCACAAATCCCAGGTTTACAACAGCAGCAACTAGGTATCCGACTGCATAACCCTGTTGGAAGATACCTGGTTGGCTTTGTTAGAAATATATTGTTAGTTGCTACCGACGCACCCGAGAAAAGACCTCTTGCCTCAGAGGGAAGAGACTCAAGTGCAATACTACTTGCAGGTCCGAAAATGGCACCCATTCCTACTTAATGTGAGATGGTTTGGAGGGAGTGGAGGTTGTCTAAACACACCAATTCCGTAAAGAGACCTGACCTAATGCACTGTCAGCCTAAGTGTAAACATAAATGTTCAAACTCACTGCCAAGAATTGCGAGAACGTTTTTGCGTACGCAGTTGCCAGAGATAAAGCACCGATGATCGCCATCGTCACGACCAAGACATTGCGTCTACCGAACTTGTCACTAATCAGACCACTAATAAGTGCTCCAGCTGAACGCAAAAGAAGCGTGAGAGTCATTGAGGTGGTGATACTCGTTGTGTCTCGCTCGTAATATTCACTAAGCGGGGTGACAGACAATGAAACACTGTAACACTAATGTGAGCCGGACATTACGCAAATCGATAATCCAGCCTACCTGAAATAATCATATGCGTCCATGAACCAACCTGCGTGCTTATGTCAGAAAATTGTCTAAGAAAATTTTAGTGCGACGAAATCGGAGGCTGATTTAGGTGTACTATCAATCAATTACAGCCTTACAGACTTCTTTCGCACCTTTGTGACACTTACAGAGCCATGCACTCAAGTATTGCATCCAGCCAAGAAAAGTGCTGAGAGTCTTGGTAAGAATGACGAGACTTGACGAATGGAATTGACTCACATATGTTTGCAGACCTTGAAGCTGAACCGTCATGTAAGAGGGGATAAAAACTAAATGTAATTTACCCACGGATTCAAGCTGTACTGTCTATATACGATATTAGCTGGGATATCGCGGAGATAGCAAGGACACTCACTGTTCAGGGTTTTTCGATACTTTAAAGTGCTCGATAACTGCTTGTTTGATCTTAGCCATTGTTGCTTTTGTTGTTGCTCGTCGCTGCTAAGTAGATTGGTAGGTTGGTTGAGGCTTCGCCGTAAGATGGATTTGATTGAAAGTGTGGGACAAAAACAAAGAAGCTCTCGTCGTTGTATTTAAATAGAACGGAGAACGGACCACGGACATTTATAGTCTGACAATCAGCTGGGCTGTTTTAACCATTTGACCACGAGTGAGTTCCTGACAACATTAATAAGAGGACATGGGTGGAGTTGACGTGTTCATTGCGCTATTATTTGGTCCGCTGGTTACCTTCCTGTTTGAGGGGTTGGAGTAGGGTCCCGCACTAATGCATTCCTCTACTAAATGGCAAAGGCTCCGACCTCTTTACAGTAAGTGCAGCATCATTGAACAGTCTCAATAACGAAAAAGTGTAAAAATAATGATACCAGCTCGTCGCCAACAAGCCCAACCTGGCCAATGGCAGTCAAACTGGCCAAGCCCGCAGAATAATCCGAGCAGCCAAGATGTTACGGAGAAATCGGCAAGCTCAGCAGGTGAGTTGTCATAGTCAGCAGGTCACCCTCGATCACTGACATTGTGATCAGTTACGACAGGCGAATCACAACCTGAGCCAGAATCTTCACAAGAATCCTCACAAGAACAGGATCGTGACACGCTGAGTGATAAGGGCAAGTCAGCACTTGCGCCGACGCTGACGATATTCATCGTGATCGCGCTTGTCGCAGTGGCACTTCTGTACTGGACACGCAGGAGAAAGAGATTCGTGAAAGACGAGCAGAAGAAGCTCGAGGTGGAGACAGTCAGCTCAACAGACAAGGATTACAAGGGTGACATGTTTGATAGGATAGAGAGTCCACCGCCAATATATACCAGAAGTAGCAGTTTATCCGTACCGACGAGAAAGGACTTTATTAACGGAAATCGCGACAACGACGAGAACCGTGAATTTTCTGACTACTCACTCACGGCGCCGACAGTGAGATTTGGTGGCTCTCAAATACCATCTAGAAGTTCATCTGTGACGAGTATGCCCGCATCAAATAGCCGTGCCAATTCATACGCGGGCACAGGCAGCAATCGATCAAGTGTGGCTAATCCAAATATGGTACTCCCACCAAAGACGTATACGCCATTTGAAGAAACAATGAGAAATTAATGCATGTACTAAATTTATTATGAATCAACATTCGTTTATGTGAACAAAACCACCAAGTGCGATTAGGTGTTTACCGGTATTATTTGTATAAATCAGGCTTGTTACACGGAATTTTATTATTTATCACACTGGTCTACCTTGCTCGATTAGATTGGATAGATATGACTTCTCGCAGCGTGTACATAAAAGAAGAGCGACAACTCAATTCTAGAAAATGTGGCAAATCTGGCATTCATTCACTTTAATTGAGATTTCCTCAGCTTAGCTTAGGCACGTATTCATACCAAAGTCCAAAGGCTAAACACTAGCCTCTCACTCTACTTTCCCTATCATCGCAAATCGATGCGGTTGAAATTAAGCAGAAAGTTGTCAAACAGGCAAGCAACTCTCCCAGATGGTTTTGAAGGCTCGGGTTTGAAGATGGGTTCAAGTAACACCGGCAATAGTGAAACACAAAAGCAAGCAGGTCAATCTGAAGATGAAGCAGACGATGTCTTCAATATCCCTGAAAGTGAGTCTTACCTTGTACATCCAAAACAAACTAACAATATCCAAGACCCTCCTGACTCTGACCAGCCAAAAATCGACCAGCACCAACATGGCAACGAGAATCACAACGAATATTCCTCAGCTCTCGCACCCTCACTCACCATTGGTATCGTCGCAATCATCATCATTTCTGCCGTCGTCGTTCGCTACATGAGAAGGAAGAAGAAGCTGGAAATGCTCGGCAACGCTCCAAACAAACAGAGCGAAAAGGAGAAGCAGCTGGTGGACAATGAGCCGTATGCCAACTCTTCATTAAACTACGGTGACTACGACACTACGCCTCCACCCACATACACAATCCTGCCTCGGAGTACGTCCCTTAACACTCACGGCACCTTCGGCAACGACCAATTTGGCACTATAAACAGTGTCAACAGTGGTATCAACCAATTTGGCGCTATGAACAGCGTCAACAGCGGCAACAACCAATTTGGCACCATAAACAGCGCCAACACCGTCAACACCATGCAAGATCTCCCTCCGACACCAGCCCCTGAAGACGAGGGGGACTTGCGTGGACTTGAACCACCAAGGAGACCTTACGTACAATCGCCGCCAACTGTTCATTTTGCACCAATCATGCCGCGCTCCTCCTCCCTTGGGAGCGTTAATTTGCCGCAATCAGCTTCCCAAGGTAGTGTCAGGAGTGTAAATGAACGTACTGCCAGTCCAACTGAGCGCGCTGCAAGTCCATTATCACATTCATCAAGTCATGCTTCTTTTCGACCACAGTCTGTCACACCGGTGCCCAGAAAAACCCCTTCCCCATCCCAACTAGTTTCGCCTCCGGCAAGTCAATCGCAGCCATCATCTCCCGCCTCAGTCACCTTCGTCAAGTCTCCACCTCCATACGCTCCATCTCCCCCACCTGGCTAACTGAAGAAAGACAATGTATTTATATCGAATGTACTCATGAATTAATGGTTTAATGGCTTATATTACTTAATGAAAAGAGAGTTGGCTAATTACTAAGCGAGCGTGATAGAATCAGGGAATCAAAGAGTACGAGCGCTCAAAGTTTGGTGGGTCTTCATCGGCAAAGCATCCAAAGGGCGTGTCGTTATAGTCCGTCTCAGGTGGCTTGATTGAGCGTGGTTTAGGTGGCCAAAGCTTTGGGCGAAGCTGAGATGGATCCACCTGGCAAGAGTTTACCATCTGAACATTTGCTGGCTGTGAATGCATATCATCTATGGAAAAGTCGTTAAGCATCGCGCTGATAGTTTTGTCGATGCCGGACAATCCATCTGGAACGGCAGATTCTGTGCAACGGTTTGTCTTATCTTCAAGGTGTGTGTTATTTCCTACACACTCCTGATCGTTCTCCACCTGCTTTTGCTTTTGCCCCTGCTCCTTCTGCTTTTGCTTTTTTGGTTTTGCGCGACGCGTGAGCTTGACGCCAGGGTATTGGAGCTTGTGGTTTTCAGTCTCGATATTCGCCAAATAGTTATAACGGTCGCGCTGCGCTTTCGTGAGCTTGGAGTACTCTGCCGAGGCCAAACTCGAAACTTGGCCGACGGCCTTCACTTCACATCCTTCAGCTCTGCAGTTACATTAGCTAATATTTCCATCGATTTTTGCGCTCACTTACTTCAGCTTGTCCTGAAATTCGTTCCGAAATATTAGCCAAGCGCTGTGCTGGTTAAAGTGGACGTAATGAGAGTGGAGGTTGCTTACTCACTTCAACGGTTTGGTGATACTATTTCTTTTCCTGCGTCTCTTTTTCGGTGGCTTGTCCTGTGTGGGTGCGACGGGTTCATCGGGAGCACCATGAGCACCGTGGGTACCAGCGTCGATAGCGTCTCCAAGTACATCGAAAGTCAACGCGTAATCACCCAAAGTATCAAACTCAGGCCAAGCTTGCAAGTACTCGGACATTGCTAATCATGTGACGCAGTAAAGGATGCCCGTAAGGCACAGTAAGAGATTTTAAATACACATGAGCTATTCCACAGTGCATTTTCGCTTATTAAGCATTACAAACGCTAAAGGTGTAAGTGACCCTTTCCGCTGATCAACTGTGTGAGGAGTGTGTGAGATGCGAGTGGCTTACATTCTGCATGTCTTAGTATCTAGGTCTGCCGTGTGTGAAATCTCTTCACCTCCATGCTACCCCAACCATAACGTAAGCCAACAAATTGCTGAAATTTAAATCAAACGACCCGATCCAGAGCATTATACGCCAAAAAATAATGTGGAGCAAAGGTACAACAACATCGTCCAATAATTTTAAAAAATTATAAACTCAAGTATATTATGTACTTAGGGCAAAATTATAACCGTAGTCGAATACTCTACCATTGAGCCAGCCGGCCGTGGTGACCGACGCAGGGCTCGAACCTGCAACCTTTCGATATCAGTTACTCCCATTGAGCTAGTTTGAATATGTAAACGTCTTGATCTTTGTGAGGTGAAACTGCACACAAAGAGCAAGGCGCTGAGATTAATAAAAGAATTAAGTCTAAGATGTATTAAAAGAAAAAGTAGTCGTTTAAATAGTTTAGAATTCTAGGTTTTATTCCCATTGTCTCGTTATCTTCATTGTCCTCGTGCATAATCATGCATAATCTTCATTGTTCTTTATTCTCATTGTTCTCATAGCGACCATGATGTCATTAGGTTTATAGGTTAGGTTAGGTTAGCAAGCATTTAATTATTGTCGATACAATTTGTCTTATTTCTAAAATACTTTAAAAAGATGAAAAATTTGTGGTAATCCAAATGATCGCTTAGAACTCAAAATACGCTGCCCTTGCGCGTATAAGGCCCAATGATAACAGTCTTGTAAGCATTTCATAATGCGGCGTTATCTTTCGCCACTTCTGAAACACTTCATTCGAAGAATCCGTTACGAAACCCCCCGCAGTGAGAAGAAGCGGAACAAAGGAAGTATCAGTGAGGTCCCCGTACTTGTTGACCTTTTCACGCTCATAAAACGACAGCTCCATCTTGTACCGACCCAATGGGCCAAGATTCTTGAGGTGGGTCGCTGCCGTCTTCACACTGGCTGTAGGGGCGATTATCGTAAGGTCGTACTCACACGAGTTCCCTTTAGACGCTGCTGGGCCAGTTACCCGAAAGTCCGTTCTTAAATGAGTATTTCTTACAGCTGGCTCAGGAGTAATTGTTGAAGCGGGAGCTGCTGCAAGAAATCTCATAAGAAGGCCTTTCACATAATCATGCCGAGCCGTCCTAAGGTTTTCGCGTGAGTTACAGATATCATCATGGCCTACAGAATTCTCCATGCCACATTTCCTGCAATTGTTATCCTTACCAGGACAAAGAGTACGAATGTGTAACGCATACGAAATCTCAGTGTCCGAAAGCTTCAGTTGCTTGTTGTATGGTATTGTTGATAACCATTTCCGGCCCAGCTTTGATTGGCTATCCAGCACGACGTTCCTCTGATCCCGGCTAAGTGTATCAAACTTCTTGTTGAATTCCAACTCATAAAAAGCTCCAGTACGTTGACGCTGCAGCGTTAAAGTCTCATACGGACCACTACGTTGATGAAAAATGGCCTCTAACGTAACGCAAGCTTGTTCCATCATCGAAGCATACGCCATGGGAGCCACGTCTGAATGTAACGGTACACCCAAACCTCCATAGCGCTGAGGAATGCCGATGATCCAAGTGTCCAAGACTTGACGACGTGATGACCCACGTAACTTCTTCACTTTTTCATGAAGAAGCGTATCCAACACATTCCATTCCTCCAACATGTCATCAGTCCTGAGGCTGCGCTGCAAATGACGTAGCTCTGCTTGAATGCATCTAAGTAAAAGCAAGAGCTGATGTTGGGAATGAACACCGTCTAGTGCTTCGACCTTGGAACGAACTTGAGCAGTCTTGGAACGGAGGAAGCCTGCACGTGCTTCACGCGGCCCGACCATGGATCCCAGGATCTCGCGCCCATGTTGCCTCACATCGTCCCATGATACCACCGAACACTTGGAGCGGTTAAGCTGTAGACCACAAGTTACCTTGGCGAAGAACTCCTCGACGTCTGCCATGACATCCTCGGTTGCAAAAAGGTACACGTCGTCGAGATACGCAAGCACCATTGCCCTATCACCAAGTATCTTTTGTAAGTCTTGGAGTGTATCCTTCACCGCTAACGAAAACAGTAGCGGGCCAAGCGGATCACCTTGCCGAACGCCTTGACTGGATTGAAGGGACGCCTGCGTATCATCGCCGTTGACTAGGAGTGAGCTAGGTTGATTATAAGCCCACTTGACTGCTTTGGTGATTGGCTGTAAATGCTTGAAGGTTGCGGATGCTAATACTTTCCTATCGATAGTGTTGAAAGCATTACGAAAGTCCAACGATATCATGTATTTGTACTGTCCTTCATCCTTATCGACTTGCAGTTGCGACGCAAGCACGATGGGCTCTACGCCTCCACTTGTACCTACACCAAGCTGATATGGATGGAGACAGGACGGCTTGAAATATGTACGCATAACAACCTTCATAACTAGACGATAAAAGATCTCACCGACAGCTATTGGACGGACACCACCATCCGATTTTGCAAGAGGGATGAGTCGGCTGGCACAGAGCATCTGTTGAGCGGGGGCTGTACCTTGTACGACTAGACGCACTAGCAGATCCATAAAGTGCTTGAATGAATCCACCTTGTACGCCTCCTTGGTTAGACTGTAAGTCCAGCCAGAAGGTCCTGCCGCTGTCGATGTGTTCATCCTTTTCATCGCTTCCAAGCTATCCCCATCAGCTGGCATAAGACCCGAACGATACCCGTTGATACCCTTGAAAGGGTTAGGTTCACCTTGAGGGTGTTTGCTACTTAGCTGATCTATAACCTCACCCGTCACTGGAAGTATGCCGGCTTTGTCTCCCAAGACTCGACTCGCGGTACCGAGGCTTAGGTGAACAAGCATTT